TAGAACACTTGGGGATGAACATCAGCTCCACCAGACCATCCCTGTGTCAGGTAATGAAATGTAATTGCACTCTGCATAGGTGCCTCAGGTAGTTGAAGGCTCGTCCAATGATAATAGTTATGGTTGGATATGACGTGATATGTCTTGGCGTGATTTACCCCGCTTCTCTTCATCCTTAATAGAAAATATCTCGATAGTTTTACATTATTCCGTAGTTAACTTGTAAGATCAAAATATCTGGGCTCTCGACAGAACATATCTTTGAAAATTTACACAATTTTGCGGTTAACTTGTAGGATCAAAAAACCTGAGGACTCGATAACATGGCACTAAACCAGGTCGGAGCCTATATAGTATGTTCTCTAATTTAATAGGATATATAATATCTAAGCTGACAAGAGTATCCTAGAATGTATAATATACGTAACTACAATGAAATAGCTCTTTAACTAAATCTAGTAATCAGGAAGTTAGTTATCCGATGCTCGTTAAGTGGTTTATACTAATATACTCCTGTCTGATGGAAATAGCTCGTAAGTAACTGCCTGGACGTCGCGAGCTGTGGGATATGGACTGACGCCCGCCTGTCTGATGGGAATAGCCCGTAAGTAACTGCCTGGACGTCGCGAGGTGTGGGATATGGACTGACGCCCGCCTGTCTGATGGGAATAGCGCGTAAGTAACTGCCTGGACATCGCGAGCTGTGGGATATGGGATATGGACTGACGCCCGCCTGTCTGATGGGAATAGAACGTAAGTAACTGCCTGGACGTCGCGAGCTGTGGGATATGGACTGACTTATGCCTGTCTAATAGGAGGTGGACAATTTATGGGTTTATTATTTTGATGAGTCGGCTGGTGTAGTTGGTCACTTCGCTGGTAGATAAGTCCCGATTTGAGCCTCGCCCACTTGGGTCGGTGACGAGTCGCGGGTTCGAATCCCGCAGCTGACACACAAGGGGGTTTAGTCAACCCTTACGGCGCGCTGCCCACCTTGTTGACTTCGCCTACCTAGCGATAATAGGGAGATTGGTGCAGTTTAGGATTACGAGCATCCTAGCCAGTCGACCGTCAAGCACTACGTCGGCGGAATATAACTCGACAGCCGGTCCAGAATTCGAATCGTTAATCCGACCCCTTATCGGACCCCCTCTCGCCGCGATTCTTGCGAGCGTCTAGACCACGTTACGGTCTATCCACTTGAGCGTATGGTTGAGATGTATACGCTCGACGAGAACCCCAATTAGCAGATACTACGACTTGTCGCGACAAAAAATAGTCGAGCATCTTCTGCACATCAGCAGCATCCCACCCCTGAGGACGAATTTAAGTGCCACATTACCACACTTATCGGTAGTTCAGGCAAGGGTTGTAGCACAGACTTAGGGAGGGACAGGAGGTTTAGTAGTCGTTTGGCTACAAGTTTACCTGTATAACCGCCCGCCGCGGCTTAAGGGCCCGCTATATCATCTATAGCCCCTTAAGGGAGTACTTGTAGAGGTACCGAGGGTTAACACCTACGGCGTATTTAATATTATTTTTTTATTTTGATGATAAATTCTGTCGCAGGTCTTTGGAGCAAAGTCATTCTCCGACGATTAGGCCATGCGGTGATTGCAGTCCAATTCTAATCTCTAATGGACTGGTCAAACTTTCGAACCTAGGCAATAACACATATGCCTGTCCTTTCTGCGCTTTTATACTCGAACAAGTTAGAAATATTAGCGAATCCCACGCGTCGGACACGTTCGTTAAGAACACAGATTCGTTAATAGAATTACATATTACTGGAGCGTCAGGGACTATACCTGTCTTCCGATTATATCCTGGTAGAGCCTTCTCCCCTGCCTTTTATATATTCACTTGAACTTACTGGCTAATTTAGGTTCCGCGTCAGGCTCGGAAAGACCTCGAACCCCCCCCACCCGTATCCTAAATACCTCCTCCGTTCAACCACTGCACAATTGGCTTGTCCAATGCGATCAGAACCATCAATGTAGGAAGCCCGAGATTATGAATCAGCACGCCGAATACGTACCGACCCGCCTTCTCAACGTTACTGCATATAGTAACCCGGATGACCTACGTCTTGACAATTTTACCGCACGATCTGCCAACGAAATACCACAATACGTTGCTTTGTCTCATTGCTGGGGTCAATCGAATCCCAATTTGCATCTGCCCTATCTCACAAAGAAAGATAACCTTGAAACTCGTCAAAAGGGATTCAAATTAAGCGAACTTCCAAAGACCTTCCAAGACGCTATTACGGTCACACGCCAGCTTGGTGTACGATACCTTTGGATTGACTCATTATGTATTATCCAAGGTCCAGATGGCGACTGGACAGAACAGTCCCAACTAATGGAAAAGGTTTTCGCCTCAGCATACTGCACGATAGCTGCAACATCGGCCAAAAACTCTGACGCTGGGTTTTCAATTAAATCTGTGGATAACCAAAGCATATTTATTCAACAAGGATCAGGACAGCACATCTGCGTCTCGACAAATATAGCAGACTTTGAGACGGAAGTTAATAAGGCTAATCTGAACAAACGGGCCTGGGTTATGCAAGAGAGACTCCTTTCATCACGAACAATCCACTTTTGTGAAAATCAAGTATATGGGGAATGTGGGGAAGGGATCTATGCGGGACACAACCTCTTCTTAAAATGGTAAGAAGCATAATATACCGATAAAGTGTAACCACGTTAACTATTCTACAGCGACCGATTCACTACGAATTACTACAGGCTTGACCCGAAGTTTCCCGATCGACTTAATAGCTCGGGTTTCGCTGAGACCTTAAGATTCCTTCAGTCCTTGTTAGAGGATTACACGCAGCGTGGTATTTCCAAACCAACCGATAGAGCTATTGCTATTTCGGGGTTACTAAATCGTATCGGACGCGCGTTGCCATGCCCAATACATTATGGCATTATTGAGTGGTACTTTCACAGAACCCTTCTTTGGAAACGATCGTCGGGGCCGAAAACGAAGCGGATTGATTACAAGGCCTTCATGCCGTCATGGTCTTGGATGGCTTATGAAGGGGCTATTGAATTTGTGCCCGATAAATTTGGTGATCTGGATCTGGATCTGGATCTTACGCTCAACGAGGGAGCTGTGACCGCCACTATTTGGGAGTTCACAGACAATGGTATGAAGATAGAGAAAGATAGGGATGATGTGCGATACCAGCTTGTAGATTTGCAGGGGATGAAGAAAGGATGGATAAGTTTTGACGAGACTGACCTTCCCAAGGTACAGTACATGGTTGTCGTTGCGAAGCGTCGGTGGGTCCAAATGGATAACTGCCTGTATTTTGTTTTGTTTGTCAGGCCTTTGGAAAATCAGGATGGATATGAACGACTCGGGATGGGGATGCTTCAAGAAGACTGTGGTTTAAGGATGAAGGCGAAAGGCCGCGTACTCTGATAGTTTCAGTTTGTTTGCACTGCTGTCATCTTCACACAATACTGTCATTATCACTATGCTATAGGTGCCATCGCTGCCTGGACAGTACATACGTTTAAGGTCCAATCCGTAATAATTGCATATAACAGCAACTCGCATAGTGTAGGCACCGTAAATGGCTTAAAGGATCTGTGCTTTGAAACTCAATATTACTTGAAATGAAAAGCCGATTATGCAAATCATTGTAATCAAGAAGGAGAGCCTAGACTATCTTGTTTACTATCTCTCACACCCTAATATGGACGAGGAGGGAATGCCAGTTTAGGAAGTCTGACAGGATGAACTGGCGGTTGTTAAACTGGCAGATAAATTTCCAATTAGATGGCCATTTGAAAAGGAGATACCGATGCGACCTTACCTGGTTACTGGATATATTTCCGTAAAATATCCCAAAGTATGGTCTACCCCGGCAAAGTATATAGATTATTTTTGGTCACAATATCCAAGCTTGGCTGAAGATCTAATGCCTGCTTGCAGACCAATGAATCTACTTTTATCCCGGATACAAAATTTGTCCTCGCGAGAGACAGAGCCGAGAGGCTGACGGCGACGAGAGAGGGGTGGAACCAGTGGAAGGACATTATGGAATAGGTGCTGCTTACAGAGGGGGTTCATCATACGGTACCGCATATGGCATTCACGGCCTTGCGACGTGGACCACGGCCCAAGAAGCCTTGTTTGATTTCGGATGGATGTCACACCCGACATGATAAGAACTTCATATTTTGATGGCAGCACCGCAAGACTTCACCGAGGCGCGATGGAGATACATAATCCTCCGATTTTGGCAAACCGTCTTTTTCAACTCTGGAACCATCCACTTCGTCTTACGTCCCGCCAACCAGAAAAACCTTGCACCGGGTGGACATATCACCTTACTCTGCGAGAAAAGCCGGTAGGAGGTGGATGCTGGACGCCTGGCGAAGGAGAAAGACGCGCGACTTGAGCAAGCGGGTAGGAAGCGTTTTTGTGGGCACCGATCTGAGACTGGACAGTCGATCAGTGAGTCCGGCCCGTGATAGTGGGATGCTGGTTCGTATTCTGGGCAGCTGAGCTTACATCACCGTGGGACGAACACAGCTATGATGACCACTGTATGCTAAGGCAGGGCCAGAGAGACTGTACCCTTGGGCTGTCGCGAAGGGGATCGTTCGATTATTGTTGCTTCGGCATGAATGCAGCATGTCCTTCGACATTGACTTTCGTTTGCGCTTGTATGTTCATGTTGTTGATGTTCGCTTCAAGCTGGCAGCGAGTCTCATGGTGATGTCAGCTCAGCTGCCCAGAATACGAACCAGCTATTTAACTGGCAATGTTTTGAGTTGAAGTGCTCCAATCGACGAGTCTCTTTTTGAATTTGATTCTGAGGATTTGCAACTGGAGTTTGGAAGGGCCAATTTCCATGTTTGACGAGGGAGATTGGGTGTAGTTGTGGATGAGTCCTGTAGTCGAATCGATGTTATAAGTTGGTTGGTGTTGTGATTGACCAGAAGACCACTCATCGAAGGAAGGACCAAATACAAAATGCATATGTATTTCAATGCCCGATCTCCGCGTACTCATTCAAACTAGCTCAATTGAATTCTCGGAAGAGGGTAGAAGCTTTGGCCTCGTTGAGAGCGCTCAAGGAAATCAAGCCCCCTTTGCCACCTGTACCCACTGTACCTGTTCATTAGTAGTACGAAAATATTAATGACCTTTCGCAAGGCAAAACCAGTTGCATCCCCAGTATCAAAAGTATCTCATTAGTTTACTATCTCCCTTCTTTTCCCTGATAGCCTAGTGGGTGTATCCTTTACCAGAACTCCAAGATCCGTGGGAACGGTGTGTCGTTCATTGCCATTCCTCGTGTTATCATGTTTTCATGTCTTCATAAGTCCTCGATCAAGAGGTTATCCATCATTTGTTATTTTCATGCTTTTGCTTCTTTTGGGCGTAGTCGGCATCCGCAGGATCCGTCGTCGGTACGTCGGGAAGTTGGCCGACTTTGGCCTCTGCTTCAGCCTTCTGCTCCTCTGCTGCTTTCTCTTGCTCGGTCGAAGTTTTTGTATTGGGCGGGAAGAAGCGACTGAAAAGCATTCTGTTAATAACAATCCACATCAAGATATGTACATGAATATCCCAAAGCAACCAATGACAATCCAAATTATTCTAGTCTCACTCTGCGCGCGTCTTAAGAACGCCTTAGTCTCTGAAGGGGGAAATAGGCACTTACGGCAAGACTTGATTATAGGCTCGAACATCCTTCTCCTCAAACGTCACAAAGACAACCTTGTCGATAGTCTTGTCTCTATCCAAGAAATTCTTGACTGTCTCGCAAGCTACCATCGCGGCGTCCAAGCTGGGATAGCCATAGATGCCAGTGCTGATTCCACTGAAAGCAATGGTCTTGAGGCCATTCTTCACAGCTAAGTTCAAGCTCGAAGTGTAGCACCCCTTCAGGGCGCGTTCGCTGTTGTCGGGGCGGATGTCGTCGTAAATGGGGCCAACGGTATGGATGACCTTCTTGCAAGGCAAACTGTAAGCGCTAGTGATTTTAGACGAGCCCGTTTGACAGCCATTGAGGGTGCGACACTCGGCTAGCAGGCTGGGGCCAGCGGCACGGTGGATGGCGCCGTCCACGCCCCCTCCTCCCAGCAGGCTGTTGTTGGCAGCATTGACGATGGCGCCTACTTGGAGGGATGTGATGTCGCCACGGATGAGGCCGATTCGGTCGTTGTGGGTGGGCGTGGCCCCTTGGACGGGCGCTAGGCGCGACGCGTTGAGCTTCTTGAGCTTGTATAGCAAGCTGAGGGTGGGAATGTCAGCGGCGGATATGGGAGCCATTCTCGCGACAGTGCGGAACACACGACAGGTTCAGAGGGTGGTGGTGTAATTGCTTAAGAAAGAAAATGGGCGACGCGATTGCGTACAACAACTGAATTGCAGTTATGAGTTGAAGAGTCGCAACCTCAGAACCTGAGATTCGGTTTCCATGTAGTGTAGTGCGAGGGTGACGTATTTGGGAGCTTTATCGATTAGACCACCTCAGCTTGTGTGGGGCATTCTTTTACTAGGAACTTCTCAGTAGGTGATGACCTGCAGAAGTCACGACAATTTCATCCTGAGGTCGAGTCAATTTAAAAATAATATTAAATACGCCGTAGGTGTTAACCCTCGGTACCTCTACAAGTACTCCCTTAAGGGGCTATAGATGATATAGCGGGCCCTTAAGCCGCGGCGGGCGGTTATACAGGTAAACTTGTAGCCAAACGACTACTAAACCTCCTGTCCCTCCCTAAGTCTGTGCTACAACCCTTGCCTGAACTACCGATAAGTGTGGTAATGTGGCACTTAAATTCGTCCTCAGGGGTGGGATGCTGCTGATGTGCAGAAGATGCTCGACTATTTTTTGTCGCGACAAGTCGTAGTATCTGCTAATTGGGGTTCTCGTCGAGCGTATACATCTCAACCATACGCTCAAGTGGATAGACCGTAACGTGGTCTAGACGCTCGCAAGAATCGCGGCGAGAGGGGGTCCGATAAGGGGTCGGATTAACGATTCGAATTCTGGACCGGCTGTCGAGTTATATTCCGCCGACGTAGTGCTTGACGGTCGACTGGCTAGGATGCTCGTAATCCTAAACTGCACCAATCTCCCTATTATCGCTAGGTAGGCGAAGTCAACAAGGTGGGCAGCGCGCCGTAAGGGTTGACTAAACCCCCTTGTGTGTCAGCTGCGGGATTCGAACCCGCGACTCGTCACCGACCCAAGTGGGCGAGGCTCAAATCGGGACTTATCTACCAGCGAAGTGACCAACTACACCAGCCGACAGTCAATTTATCGCTATAGTTACAAGTTCTTTGGGAAAAATTTTCTTACTTCCCTGAAAATGCCAAAGTTTTGGAGTAATAACTGGGAAGATGACGAACGCAGTGCTTGTGACCTAACGGCCTTCCTCCAGTTTTCCATTGCCGTGCCCAAGCATCACCAGATGACGGCAATGAATAAAGCACACTTTGCATCAAGCCTCCAAGCCCTGAATATTGTGACCGACTTGGTCTGAATTTGGAATCGCGTATCATACACTCGAGCACGAACGGGAGGCAGTGTCTTCGAAAACATGCCGCAAACATCACATTCCAGGGTCAAGTGGCCCGAGACTGCATTCTTAATCCGATGGCCGCCATTGTTTACATCCCAGGGCCAGGGACGTGACCTTTGTCTTCTTCCTGTCCCGCGTGTCTAGGCGGGAATAGGTACTGTTCGTCCTCCTTATTTTCTTCGTGCAAACTTGTTCGGCCTTGTGCGCATCTCCTGTCTGTGTCCTGTCTGTGTCCTGTTTGGAGAAGAGTGATGCCGCATCTTTTTCAACATGGCGGTATCAACACCTGCTGCATTGTTCAGCCCACCATCACATCCACCACAACCACATGCAGCGTCAAAATCCGACGCCAATCCTCATCCTTCAGACTATTATCGCCCGTGGTCCCCATGGGCAGAACACTTTTACGTGTCGACTCATCCATTCTGGCATCGCCTCGATGGTCAATATCATTCCGCTCTTGCACCAGAGTTCCCACCACTAGATATTGAATATGAGTCTTTTGGCCCTGAACCTCCCCCAACCGAAATGGCAGGGAGTTCCTCAGTGGGGAGGAGATAAGCGGTGGCATGACTTTATCCAAGGGAGAATCACCGTCAACGAAAATTCCTGGCTCAATCTTTTTGCAAAGCCCAGGTGGTATGATCTGAGGCCTGCAAAGGCGCATGCTCGTGCCACTGATACTATTCGATACCCTTTTCCACAAATGGAGGAGCACGACACGCCATGGTGGACCGTTGACAACCCAATCATATGGGAGCAGGTCAGCATATCTATTGAATTGGCCAACAGGATCCTCCTGCGCCTCTGCCAAGAAAGAAATCCTTGGTGCGGAAGACTACCTCCTAATAAGATGAGCATGAAATATGAGGTGCTGATTTAATGACAGGATCAATACGCTTCTATTCGCAAAAAGTCTCACCTGGGCGGGGTTTGACATGGACGTCTGTAATATATGGTCAACATAACCAGATTACAATCCAAGGCTAATGGACGCCGCCCAAACACCTCTTCGCTCAGCGGAGGAGATCGTCGAGCGGCTGGTTGACCTTAACATTCCGACTGTTTGGGGCTTCTGTGACGAAGCTGGAACTTTTACCCCATTCCAAACTTTGGGTGTGACAGGCTCGATGAGAGCGCCTAATACGAGAGGTGATCCGACTATGTCCTGGATCACCTCGATGATCCATGTTGGCCATCTTCGGGCGTTATGCGACGAGCAGACACCACTGGCGGAAAGATGCAATATACAAGCCTCCCTCGCGGTAGTGGTATGACTGTTCAAGCGCAGGTTGACCTGTTCCAGCCGACTGACACACTCTTGGCAACAGATGCTACACGAAATCATGGTACGCACCCACTCCCCGTACAGCAGAAGACATAACGAATGGATGGCTTAACACGACGAATAGCATGCGACATATCGTTCAAGGGTTTCACGGGAACCAGATATTCCCGGGGGAGAAGAGCCTGTAAGTCGAATGTTCACGATGTGGACGAAGTTTTAATCATCATGACTAGTACATGTACCCTGAAGTGAACAACGAGATTGGCGATTCATTTGAAACGGCTATTTTTGGCGGGTTGATCCGCCCAAACCCAACCGCCCGTGGGGAGGAGATCTTTCGAGGGGTCAATACTCACCTGTCAGTTCTCGAATGGCCACACTTTTTAGATTTGGGGAACTTATCCGCTGCCACGATCGCCCATGTCGCATCAACTCAGGTATCTATGGACTACTTGATTCCTGTGGCATGGGCATCGGCCCTCCAGACGCAGCACTTTTGGGACGCGGTAGTACCGGTCCACGGAAGTGCGGCCTTCAAGGCCTCCAGAATCCTCCGTAACGAGTTGGTAAAACGAGACTGGTACATTGGGTATAGAATACACTCAAGTAGGCGCATGCAAATAGAAAACACCCCCCCCCCCCCCCCCCCCCCGAGATGCAAGAGTACTACAAACAGGCCTTGATCAATTGGCAGAACAGGAAACAGTACTGGGAACTGATACGGCCGTGGCACGCAGCCGAGTACAGGCTTTGGTCGTTGAGCCCGTGGAGCTGGGTTGAAGCGCGGAGGCTCATCGCTCAATTCAAGGACGCGCATGCAAACAAGAGGCTTAGCGACTGCCTAGATACCGCAAGGGAGTTGTCATCGTACTCCCCAGACAGAAGCCAGCCCACCACCTGCGCCTTACACCATACCACTTGGCTATTTCTTTCCATCAGCAGCTTGATGTTTGCATCCATCCCGCTTCTGACACAAGATGTGTGGCATTATGGACCACACAAGTTTCAAGACTTGTATCCAAGTCAAATGCGGAGTCAAGCAATGCAATACATCGAAATAACATACAAGAGCAACAGCGATTCTTTACTAATCATCAACCCATCCCCTTCCCCGTCCACTGTCTCACTCCTCCTCATCATCCCCAACAAGTCGATCGACTTTATACGCCAACGTCCGATGCGGCATCGGCGTCCACCCCCAAGCCAACATCTCCAAATGCTCTACCGTCGGCCTCCCCTCGGCATCCCACAAATCGCCCACATCATACCCGTCCATCGTCTCTTTGCCCTCCGGTACAATCTCATAAAGCGCCTCGTACCGTTCCTGCTCCCAATCAAGTCCTTTGGGATCATTATCTACAAGCTGGTTTCCTAATCTAGCATTCTTCTGCAATTCGACGTAGAAATCCGCGAAGCGCATCTCGTGAGGCTCCAAACCGGCATCGAGCATCTCGTCTCGCAGCTTGGAGACAATGTCTTTACTTACGATAGGTCGGAAGCCCCGGTTGCCGCGTAGCGATTCCACAGCCGCTGGGTAGGTCACTTCGAGCCATTCATGGAAGAGAGCCGCAGCGGCTTTGATACCCGGGGTGGGGTGTAGGTGTGAGTTGGCGCGGTTGTGCAACGTGTTGACCAGGCTCGCCTGGTAGCTCAGGCTGCGGTGCTTGATTACTTCGAGGGTGTAAAGGGCTGTCTTGGAGTCCTTGAATCCGGTGCCTTTGAGGGGCGTGGGGAATGTATCCTCGTCAACGGAGGGTTGGGGAAATGCTTTGGGCTTCTTGGGAAAATTGGACAAGCCGGCGGCGTCCTTGGTTCTGGTTGTCCTCGTTGCTCTGGTGGAGGCGGCAGCTCTCTGTGCTTTCGGCATGGTGGTCGATAGGGAATTGGTGTTGAGAATGTTGACTGATTGATTTGGCACGATAACGCTCTGGGTCTGCATCCAGTAATACTTCATAAGGGAGCATTATATATGTTGCGGAAGCTGGGCAGGAATATTATATGATGACTCCATAAGTGAATGAGGGCTAATTATGGTTACTGCCCCTTTGTTGTGGTTGGAATGGTGGTGTCCTTACAATCTGGCTTGTCTGAACCCCGAGTTCGTCGATAGGGGCATAATTATGACGCATGCGGAAATCTTGACACAAGGAGACATCCCACAACACCCTAAAAGGATCGTCTGAAATTTCTGAAACTCATGTGGCGTCAAAGTATATGAGCGTTATACAGTTGGCGACTGCATGTCATCTGAAACATGTCTTGCCAGTCAACGCCCGATCAGCGCCTGCGGGAAATGTCGCCACAATTCGTTTCTAAATACGATCAATTTATCTAATTGATTTATTGATGGCATATCAGTTGTTTTGGAGTGATGTGTACCTCGGAGTATTTGACTCAAGAGTATACAAACTCTGAAAATGGAGTCACAAGTACTACTGCCTATAAGCTAGAACTATACAACATACCTATACTGCACTCCACCGAACCAGAATAACAATCGATCGATTTCACCCTTCATGTCCAATCACCTCCCCACAGTCTGTTTCCAAACCGGCAAGAACACAAACAATAAAACCCCCAAACTTGCAAACACGGCGCCCCCAACCAAACTCTGCACTACAATATTGGTCTGCAACCTCCTCAAATGCACATCCTTAACCCTGATCTTACGATCCAAAATCATCAATCTCGACACCGCCCTCCTGAGTCCCGATGTTTTCGAAACGACACTGGCCCCATCATCGAACCTCTCCCATGGCAACGGCTGCCGTCGCGAAAACAACAAAAGGAAAAAACAACTCCCTCTCGCCCCCGACAGAATCAAACTCATTCCCAACCACCACATCGGCCAGGCCGCGAAAGACTCCCAGCGGCTGTGTGCGCCCCGAGAGGGGACGAAACACCGTAGGAACATGAGTAAGAACCCTGCGAGCACGAGAACTATGCCCAGGCCGGTCGCCATGCAAATTGTTTCCATGGTGCCGTTGCATATACCGAGGCGCACGAAATTCCGGTGCGAGCAATTGCACAGAAGCTGGTAGACATGTTCGGCGATGGGCTGTAAATGCGCCGGGTCGGAGGAGTTTGCGAGGCCGGCGAGGGCTTGGGATCGGAGTGAGGGCGGGATGTTGAGTTCCTTCGGGGCGGAGGGGACGAGGTAGGTCTGCACTATGGCCTTGAGCTCGGCGCGTTGGCCTAAGGCGGGTTTGGGGAGGGTAGATTGAGTTGCGGTTGGACGGGTCGTCGTGGTCAGGTGTGTATTCTTCTCGGCGTTGGGGGTGTTGGTTATGGCGGTGGTGGGATCGAAGACCACTTTGTTGGCGGTGCAGCTTGGGTTGCAGAAGCCATCTGGGACGCAGATGGCCTGTGGACTAAGGAGTTCGGCTATGTGGTCGAGGGTTTCTCTGGCTGTTTGCATTGGTGAGTACAATGTTACTAGCTGATTGAAGGGGCAAATACCGATTTCGGGGTCTGGAATGAAGTCCATAGATGAGTTGGACTCCTCTAGCTTCGATTCCGAGATCTGTAATGAACCATCATCGTCTGTGTCTCCGAAGTCTCTGACGCTACCTGTCTTCGAGTATGTTTTCTCATAGTTCTTGAGCCTGAAAAACATTTCAAGAGTCAGTAATAAGCATAAGTCTCATGTGCAAGCCATTGCGCACCAAATATAGAACTCCAAGTTTTCCGACGAGAACTCAATGTACTTCAGGTACATATAGAAGTCATAGAGTGACATGGGACTGCCTGCGCACTTGTCAGTAACTCTTCCTGACGAATGAACGAAGGTGCTTTGTATACAAGTCTTGTTATCCAAAATCCGCTTCAACTGCAGCCGTCTAGGAATAGCACTCTTATTCTTTCTATCCGAGCTCGTGGGTCGCTTGCCACTCTTGGCCTCAGCCGAGTACTGCTTGATGTCGCGATACTCCGGCTTCTTGTACCAGACGAGCCATGGTGGCAACTGCATGATTGCGACTGTATGATAATTTCACCAAGACAACACCTAACTCCCCCGAAAGAAAAAGAAAATTAATATATAGTGTATAGAAAAATTTCCGTGTTCCAAATGAAGATTGAGGTCAGAAGAGCTGAAACAAAATCGAACGGGGTGTTGTGTAAACGATCGCCCTTGGTTGGGGGGTCAGCCATACATAAAAGACGGTGTCTGCATGGTTCGGTCGGTACGTTGGTCGTGCGCGATGCCCCAACAACGCCACGACCGAGTAGCGCCGACAGGAACGGATGATTGGTGTTTGGTGTTTCCCCTTGCGTGCTCACAAACATATATCGTTTGTACCGTAATTCCCCAGGTGGCTGACCGTGACGAGAACATATACAATAGAACATCTCATCTCGGGAGCCCATGGCGATCCATGAAAGACGTGTGTCAATTTGTGAGTAGAGAGAAGATTGAAAATGCCGTCCGCAGTGCGGAAAGTAGTGCGCCATGGTGAGATCCAAACCCGCAAAACGCCATGAAAAAAAAGCCACAGGATCACCATCCGAGCTGAACCCACCAGAACTATTCCACGTGGCGAAGTTCCGAGTTTAATGATTAATATTGCTTCTTTCCCGTCCGGATCTAAGCTGCGCTTTTCGGTGCTAAGCTGTTAAATATCTTCCAGAATATTTGGAGAATGAGTGCCTCTGTGTGGTTGGACAAATTTCAGGTTTTTATACTGAAGACCGTGATGGATTGGGGATACAGCCAACCAGCCAGCCATAAAATTTATTATTATTATTATTATTATTAAATATGCCGTAGGCTCGAAGCCCCCGGTACCTCTACTAGTACTCCCGTATGTCAAACCGTGCCCTAATGGCTGGACTAAATACATACGCTGCGTCGTCGGTTCGCCCTATTGGCGACTGCGTTGCGTTCACTACCATACTACGTTGGTTCTCAACCTACCAACAAAGTCCCCCCTGAGAAGATCGATGCTATCTGGGCCTTGAAGCTGTCCGACCCGTCCCTAGCAGCCACCTTACAATAGTCCCACTAACTACTGGTTCTCCTGTTGCCGTTGCGAGGTCTCTGCGAGAGTATAGTGGCCGTGGTGCGATAGCGGCCCGTAATCGTTCCCTCGGTCCTTCCAACAGCCCGCAAAAGAGGATTACGTGCTCTGCCGTCTCGGGGGCGTCGCCACAGCGGCATAGCGGCGAGTACACGCCAAAATCCCCTGTCTTGAATAAGAAGGCTGCTAGTCCTATTTTTTCCGTCCTGATCTGGCACAGAGTTGGACAATATGGGCCCTGTGGGCCATGTGGGTCCTATACTTGCCACTATCGCCACCTAGAACGGCGACCATCCCCACATACCTCTATTACGAGAAATGTGGCGAGGATAGAACATTCCCTACTTATCTATATGCTTCTACAACTTGTCTGAATTAATCAGCAAGTCTACCATTCATTGACTATATAAGAACCCTTTTGTTTCCATACATAGACCCTCGAAGAGAGGACCAGAGTTAGCTACAATACATACAGGTTAGGCATATGTGCCCTCCTTTTGCTCCTTCAACGGGAACATAAAATCCAAGTGGATGTTACGCGGCAAAGCGATTTCTTAGTTGGCCATCTTGTTGATGTAGTCGAATGAGGTATGTACCAGGCTTTCATGTTCTCAAGTGCAACCAATATGACGACTTGACCGACCTCTAACTGTTCATACTCCCACCTGGTCACTTTCGATAGTAAGTTATTGGTATTTATGTAGGATTCGCTGGATAGCTTATCCCCGAGTGCCGTGAAAGCTCTTGGCTTGACCCAGCCCAGCAAGGGTCGGATAAACCAAACCAGGTCAGTTGGGATGTCGTGCACGAACAATCCGATCCCAAAAATTCTCCGGATTTTGGTTGCCAAGGCTAACCATTCTGGAGGCCTGGTTGGATGAATTGGTTGTCTTGGACTGTACCTCTGTAGGACTTATTACTAGCTTGAAAAATCTCTGAAATATATTGATGTTCTTCTAGCGCTCCAATCGCTGCCTTTATACTATAGAGCGTCTATCACCCCTACAACGCCGACCCCGGTGGCATCGATATCTCGCTAGACCTTGCCTATAGCTACCCTAGTGCCCCGGAGCGCTAATAGTACCTTTTTCAGTACTTCTGAAGCTACACCTTCTCTACCCGCTGTAGGCTTGTGGACGTGGACCTGTAGCTATAATATCCAGAATAACGATAAACGGCGATGGGTATGTAAACGCTGTATTAATTGACAGGATTCCTAGCTTAGTAACTATAAGATGAATACGGATATACGTGACCCTACTAGCTACTATTATGACCGCCAGCTAAATTTCCTACGGCTTTCGTTAAGAGCGCTAGATGTCCTTACAATGCAGGCCATGTTAGCTGAACGTGAGCGGTTATTTTGATCTACCGGTAGAATAGTCATTTCACAGCGGCCATGTCTTAATGCCAGCATCAAGACACTACGAATTTGGTACAGAGTCGCCTTACAGGATAGTTATATACTCTGCCTAGGACTCTAATTTATGTTCCGGCTACAGAGGAAGCTATAGCTATCTCCGCTAAGAGGTTTCTCGGGGATAGCGGCGGCGAGATTAGCGATAGCTTCATTTCTTAGCACAAATAATCAAACCCAAAAGAATTAACCACAACTAACCCAAATTAGTTGACTGCTTGTCCAACCACACGGCAATCTTTTTTACTAATTGGACAACCAACCGATTAGGGGGGGATGGGTGATTGGTTGGGTTTCTCCGACCTTGCAGCCCATGGTGCAATGGCGCCATGGCAATATTCAATCGAGTTTTCGTCGCATATCCAACGAGACAAAAACACATCGCTGCCTTTTTTCCATGGCTTAATGTGTGATCCATATCATCGTCACACATATCGCTACTCTAGCTCCTCTAGCTCAGTTGGCAGAGCTGAATATGAGTATCAGGCTAGGTCCTTAGGATACAGGAGGTCTATTGGTCATCTACTTCATTGCCTCAATGGGTGCGTGTGACATGGTGCGTTCTTGCGGCAATTAATTTCAGTTGCAGCTTGGAAACCCTGCTCTCGAACTTTCACGACGGCCATAGCGTCACCGTCAGGAAGCCATTCATCGCATTGTCAGGTGCCCCCTTTCTACCACTCAACGATAACAGGTCATCCAAAATTAATAACAATGAGGACTATTATCATCATTAATTTTCTTTTCAGTTTGGTGAGCACGAGTGATCATATGAGTCAACACAACTGGAAAGCTAAAAAAGAAAAGATACACAATTTGCAACAATCAAGGTCTACTCGGACCAGCAAAGCGATGGACCCTCTCTATTAGTCCAAGAAGGCCTAAGTGTGTCTGAAGCCTTGATATGTTGGAATCAAAATCATCAATCAACCGATACCAAATTGCAGTAGAAGTACCTGTAGTTACCCCTATTACATACGGAACCCCTGTGTCCTCGGTGCCTAACACTGTACGGTATTCGATACAATATTCACACAACACGCGGTTCTCAGAGATAAATACATCGTCACTATGATGATAGTATTCATTCCAGGACATGAGTAGTAAAAGTAACTTCATAAAACCATTGAAATTTCATTTTGATCATTTATTCCCCCTCGGACATCTATGCGTCCATCTCTTTTGACCCAATTCCTTTTCACTCTCGCATCGACGATCGAACCTCAAGTTTCTGTCATGTCTCTTATCTTTGACAGGAACAGGAATACCCGCCTCCTCCGTCTTCACCAACTTGGTCTCACTCTGGGCCCAACCAACCCGCCACCACAAGTTGAATAGCTGGTCCATAGTCTGCATACTACGATCCTTGCGCTCGGGGAAACGCGAGGAAGGCTTAGATAAAACCGACGGCCATGTACCCTGAAAGCAGGCAAAGGTACTAGAAGCGCCCATGCAGGGAAGCCCTGCGTGATGCCGAAGCTGAGCAAATTTGGATAGGTGAAAGCGATGATGACAATAGCGTCGCAAGTACGAGTGGGGTATATTTCCGACGTGCCCAGACTGGAGGAGGAACATCCAATGCCATATCCCACGGCGAAGATATAGACGAAGACAAGAACGAGCCAGACGGTAGCTCCAGGGTCGTTACCCAAGTTGAGTTCCATTGTGTTCAGGAATTAGGCGAGGTAGAGAAGTGGCACAAGTTTTATGACGGTGCCAATGAGCAACAAGGTGCGGCGGCAAAAGCGGTCCTTCATGAAGAAGGTGCACACCGCGAAGGTGGCTACCTTGACCGTGCCATAGATGGCGGTGAAGAGGAGCTCCTGCTACTTTTTGAGCCCCATGGTCTCGATTATGGTGCGCGCGAAGTAGGTTATTCTGTTGCCGCCGCTCGTGATGAAGCATTTTTAGATTAAATAACAAAATAAAAAAATCAAAGCACTTGCGGGTCGACTCGTCCGTCATGTAGTAGTGGATCAGCGTCTTGGGCGCCTTGAACCCCTTTTCTGCTTCGGCCTCAGCGTAGATCTTACCTTGCAGTTCCTTTCACTCATAGTAGACCACTTCAGCTCGTTCCATGCCGCCATTCAGGATAAGGTAGTGGGGCGACTCTGGGCAGAAGGGGAGGCGGATGAAAAGCGCAATAGCAGCGATCAGCTGCAGGATCAAGGGAACAATCCACTGCCGGCTCGACGTGCTAGTACTTTCTTTTAATTGAGGAGATGACACGCGTTCTTCTAATCATACCCATGCATGACCAGATTTGACCCGGCAAAGATCTACTTTCATCCAGCCATTGGGTAAAAGACAAAATCTTGGCACTGGGGCCATTTCGAGGGGTCCTTCAGGTCTCTTAGAGTGGCATTTGGGACTAGTAAAGTGGCAGATAACGGACTAAGAAAACGGCTGTAACTTTTAGGATCTGTGGGGGTCCCCTTGTTGCAGTTTTGTCGACGCACCCACGTATCGTGCTAATTCGGTGTCGTATACAGATATCAGCTTTTTCAAGAACACCCCTAACTTCAACAAGCTCTAATAAGAATATTTCCGCCATCAAGTCAGTCAAAATCGGCTCTTCGTGCCGCTTGACCCCTTGGCCCTGTGTTCCTAGTACGTGAATCTTTTACTACACATCAAATATTAGGATATTGCCATGCCATCCGATGATAGGGTTTTCTACCGTCTCGACATAATGACGATGACATCGCCATTTATCAACCACTTTACAATATCATGTATACGGAGACAGGAATGCAGTCTCAGACATCTGTTTGAAGTCCCTTGATTAATTATTTCCTTCACGATATAGCACATTTACAATATTGCAATATGTGTATTACTCTATAATTATGTCCCGAGTGACCGCTCGCCTCACCGAGAAGATATTTGAGTCGTCAAGGCATATTCAGCATTGAGACTGCGTATTCATAGTAACTTGTACAATGCGGGCTAAAATCATATCTCTTAGCGGACATATGAATGATATTTGATGTTCGGCATCAGTCACGCAGACAATATCTACTGCCGCATTTCAGGTGTAGTACATCAAGCAGATCGTAAATAACCGTGGCATGCGTTGCTGGATGGATATGAAATCTGGGGTACATTTATCTTCTCGTCTATTGGCCTAGATGACGTGAGCCTATGACTGTCACTTCAAAGTTTATAAAGGCCATCTGCCGTTCTGAAGTACCCCGCGTTCTGGAAAACTTCCATACCAATATGGCAATACAGTATTGCTCTTCATTGGATAACCGGTCTACATCCACCCAAAATGATTCATTTCTAGCTGTTTTCCCAGATTGGTGATCGACAACGCCTATAGCGATGGCGGCAGTTTTCGATCTTGGTACTCACCGCGATGATATGCATGGCTTTCTTGCTACATATAAGGTAGACACTCAAGATTCCATGCGTTAAAAATCCGAATCTGGCTGAGAGTGCGCATTTTTTCATTGCAGCGTTCTTGGGCTATTCTTGACACTGCCAAGATGTTTTTCCCCTTGTGGTTTCTTGCGGCTTCTTCCGCGCTCAGTGTGGTGGAGGCAGGTCCAGTCGGGAAGAAATCCAATATCAGAGAGTAAGGCCCATCTTCCTGGTCTCATGAGATGCTGTTCATTTGGCTAACTGGGCTACCCAGGAGGATAAACGGCTTTTACGCTCTCGATGAGGTCGACTTGCTGCAGGAGGACAAACTGAAGAACTTTGATGCCTATCTCGCTGCCAACCCAGCCAAGTCAGGATGCACACTCGAGAACGCCGCAAGGCGTCTCGAATGGTACGTCTCATCATCTCAATATTATAAGGCGCTGTCCACTGACTTCCGTGATTCAGGGGCGACCTCACGGTTTCACAAAGGGAAGAATACATCGCCGCCGTCCTTTGCCTACAATCCAAACCGCCAATTTCGCCAAGGGACAAGTACCCCGGTGCGCTCAGTCGCTATGATGACTTCGTGGCGAACCACATGACATTTGCGATGCAGCTGCATTCAACAGTAAGTCACATTTCCTTCCCGATAACATCAGTTGAACCCAAGCTTACATCTATTCTCGTAGCCACACTTGCTCCCAGCGCATCGTTTGTTTATCCATCAATATGAAAAGGCTCTTCGCGAGGAATGTGGATACACAGGATACCAACCAGTATGTTTCAGATCTTTGGAGGCATACACATAACGAACACCAGCATTGACAACGGATATTTTAGTACTGGAACTGGGCGCGCTACGCAGACGACCCGGTGAACTCGGCCATCTTCAACGGCAATATGTCCAGCAGTACGCAACTTCAAGAGTTATTCTTTCCCCGTTCTCGTCTGTCTCAGGAGTAAAAATTGCCCAATCATATTGTGTTGGGAATTATTGCTGCTGAGATACGACTTAGAACTCCTACATTATTCGCTTACATCCCCGTGACGAGTATATATTAACTCACGTTGTTGTAGTGGGCGGCCAAGGTCTCCCTATTGAGTACGACGGCGTTCCCTCCATGGGTTTCGAGCCACCCTACGACATGATCCCACCCGGCGGTGGGGGAGGCTGCGTAACTGAAGGTCCATTCAAAAAGTAATTATACCTCCCATTGTCTCTGTCTCTTTTTCTCTTTCCTCATCTGCCCTAAATCACCCCAACCACCTTAAACCCCAAACTCAAGCTAACCCCCACACCTAAAGAATGAACGTCAGCCTCGGCCCCATCGGTACCGTCCTCCCTGACGTCCCGCCCAACCCACAAGCCGACGGTTTCGGCTCCAACCCACGGTGTCTCCGCCGCGACGTGAACAAGTATTCTGCCGCGGTCACCAAAGCCAACTACACGTATGCTCTCATCACCGAGAATGATGACCCAGACAAGTTCGAGCGGGTCATGCTGGGTACGCCTGAGAATAACGATTGGGGTGTCCATATGGGGGGTCATTACACCATTGGTGGGGATCCCGGAGGTGTGAGTAAACCCGTTCTCTTTGCTCTTTTTCCCGGTTTTCCTTTTTTGCCCTATCTCTCCCGCAATTTGAATAATTGTTGAAGGTGTGACAAGAGTAGAATTTATGCTGACATGACTAATTTTTTGATAGGACTTTTTCGCCTCCCCAGGCGACCCCATGGTAAGTTCACTTGTTTTGTATGCAGCAGAGTTATAAGCTAATCAAGTAGTTCTGGTTTCACCACGGCATGATAGACCGCATTTGGTGGATTTGGCAGATGCAGGATCCGGAGAACCGTATGCATGTCGTCCCTGGAAGCCCGCCTGCCGACGACATTGTGGATCTGGCTTGGGTGGCACCACCAACGCTTCTTTCGGATCTTCTGACTAATATTGGCGGTAACGATGGGGACTTCTGTTATATCTATGACTAGGGTGTGCGTGGTTGTCATATTGCATTTATCGAGATGTACGGTGTTAAATACCATCATTTCAATCTGTAATACTCTACCTTCTATAGCATGCTTTCATATAAATACTCCGTCTTACCTGTTAATTCTTACCTGTTAACATGGTCTACTGTATTTACTTATCGGCATAAAAGTTTACAAATTTCTATGTAGTATGTCTTCCCCATGATACTCAAGTTCATGATATTGATCAGTTGCGGTATTCGAAGACCAGGAGATTTATACGAAGGCCAAAAAAAAGATGTTTTGTTTTTCTTTTCTTTCTGATGTCTACTTCTGGCTTGATGCGGGGTTTTGTAGGCATTCGGCCCTGCGCTTGGCCGTACCTTACCATCTCCAGGCTACTTCAGATGCAACGACGTCTTCTGGAACTCTTCATAGTAAAGAAGTGCCTCCCTTGCAGTACTGCATGAAGAGATATAATATCTAAATCCTCGGGCACCTCCCAGATTTCAGGCGTCAATGGAATTATTCGTGCTCGGCATTTGGTTGAAGCAATGCTACAGGGCACGAGTACTTAGTACTTTCCTAAAAGCTCTAGATTGCGTGGGGTGCGGACTCACGTTGCCTCTCCGAATCTCCCTTGTTTTGCTCTTTTCCGGTTTTGTCAATGCCGAAGAGCTCTACCATTTCCTCCAGTGAACGACCCCTCGTTTCGACTGTTTCTGGTCAGGAAATACTCAGGAGTAAAATTACGGGGTAACTTACCGAGGGCATAACGAACAAAGACGAAAGCCACGATGCAGAACATGATGAAGATTACGTAAAGCCCGTAACCAGTTGCACGTTCGATAGGGGGAGACACTTGAGCCACCGCAAAGTTTGAAATCCACAGGGAGGCGGTACACAATGCATTTCCTTTCGCCTGGAGGAGAGTTAGCGAAGACACATATTCAGAGTGATGGCGACTTACGCGTAATGAAATAGGAAATATCTCAGCTGCATATGTCCAAGAGCCCGAGCTCCAACTCATGTTGAAGAAGGTAAAGAAAAGGTAGGGAAATGCGACAATGGCATAATTTGCTGGATCATGGGGATAATCCGCTGCATGCTGCTGGAGTGCACAAATTCCAACAAGGGCACCCACCATGCCGACAAGGCCTATCTGAAGCCAGGTTTTGCGTCCCAGCCGATCAAAATAGAAGATAGGTATCCAGGCACTGAAAAAAAGGACGACACCGATGCCTCCAGTGGCAAGATTGGCCATGTCGGGGTTCGTGATGCCGCCCTTTTTGAACAAAGTAGGTGCGTAGTAGAATATGCCATTCGTGCCCGTGACTTGTTGTAGGATCTGAATACCGGTGCCAAGCAGCGTAATTCTCAGGACTGGCCCCTTGAACATGTCAGCCCAGGACGACTTCGCCACGGCTTCCTGTTCAGACAAAGTCTCGCGTATCTCGCTCATCTCGAGGTCGGCAGCTTCCGAGCCATGTAATCTCGAGAGCACTTCAAGTGCGCAGTCATATCGTTCTTCAGCCACGAGCCAGCGAGGGCTTGGTGGTACCCAGATCCAGCAGCCGACTGCGAGAACCAAGGCTGGCACGACCTGAATTGCGAGCGGCATCCGCCACCAATGGTCCGAGTTGAGGAAGTAGAAGCCGTAGACGATCCAGAAAACGACCATTTCTCCAAAACAGAGGATCATCAAGTTGATGCCGACGATGCGGCCGCGGAGATTGGCGGGGGATATCTCGGAGATGTAGAGCGGGACACCAGCAGAGTAGGCACCCACGCCGAGTCCCAATATGAGGCGACCAATGCTCTACTTCCGTGTTTAGCACGTAATCACACAGCAAAACGACACATTATTCATGGGAAAACTTACGATCTGTGGGATGCTATAAGATGCGGACTGAATCAAGGCACCGGTGATGAACACGGAGCTTGCCAACGAAATGGTTCGCTCCCGACCGCACGAGTCTGCGATGAGGCCGATGGTCAGGGCTCCCACGACACAGCCGATGTTGTAGATGCTCACAACGAAGCCAACGCTCCCTATTAAACAAGTGAGCATTTGGAACACGGTGGATACACAGGGTACTTGCAGTCATTGGCCGGTTGCATGAGCCTTAACCACCGCTCGTCAGCAATTATCATGGCCATGACCCCTTGATCCCAGCCAAAAAGAAAGCCACCAAGAGAAACAAAGGTGGTGAGCTTATAGACATATCGAAGGTTCGGCGGCCGTTTATGACCGGGTTGGGAATCTATCGGTGGCTCAATGGGGGCAGTTTGCTTGATGAGGTTGATCACGTATACTTTAGTGGCCCCCATTATGCATCTATAAATCTAGTCGACAAGAAATAGAAAGATTCAGAGCAGGTGGTATCGCGGTCCTGTGGGCAATTAGAAAGATGCAATTGGTGACGAGTCACCTTGTTTCTGGAAGCGCTGCGACGATGGATGCAGGATGACGTTGAATTACAAGCAACTTTGAAATGCGGGCTATTCTAATGTCGCGTTAACGTAGTCCACAAGCGAACGGGTCACCCAACCGAACGGGTCACGCCAACTAGCAAAACATGGAATTCAACACGATTTCGCAACCACAACGCCGTAAATCAATTAAAACTACTCAGAATACTCTTGCCCAGATGATTCTATCTCTACCTGACAGGTTCGCGCATTATGCCCGGTCTTCCCGCATACGCCACAGCGCCGTTGCCGTGGCTGGCCACGATTTGATCCAGCGCTATTTCCACGTATTTCCTGCTGTACTTGCTGCGCAACGTCCTTTTGATCTTGAAGATCTTGTACGTCTTGTGAATTAAGTGATCCTCTAAGCCGTACTCATGTTTTTTTGGCCCTGCGCCGCGTGCTAATTAGAGCATTTGCCTCTCGAAGTTCGGCGACCTCAGCTTGGAGTAAAGCCATCTTATGCATAATACTCCGCGCTCCTTTCGAAAACTGATCGATAGCATCGTAAATTGACGTCGGGGAGCTATTTTGATGCCTAGCAATTCGAGATTTAATAAATTCGGATTGCGAAGTAGCCTCGGTTGGGTTGTTTGGCGTCCGAGAAGCCTAAGGAAGGGTTTCCCGCGTAGGGGGCCGGGAGGACGTTGGAGTCTGTAATTTCACATCCAGCTTCTCAATAACAATATCTGGACTTAAAGGCACAAGCCCAGCCCCTTGAAAGCCTGCACGAATATTGCTTTCGGTCAGGCTCTTCTTGAACGCGTCGCAAAATGCCGGAAGAAAGTCCTCCTTTGTGATATGCGAGTCGCGTAGCAGTCGGTTTGCCATATCTTCAACACCACTTAGCCGGGGAGGAAATGCTTGCGAATCTAGCTCAATTCTCCTTTGAATAATCGTATTTTCTTCTAGTTTTGTTGAATTCCAACCGTTGGCTTCGCTATTGCGACGTGATTGACGTTTTTAAGACGCGCCTGGAGAGTAGTATTCGAGACTTTGTAGATTGTTGCAGCACGTCGGATACTGAGTGTTGAGTCATGTCTGATAGCCTGAGTTGCAAGGAGTAATTGAGATTCTTTTTGAGCAGAATCCATCGAGAATTAGTTGCGTGGTAAAGTTAGGAAGTTTAGTTCTATTTTTTGCTATGGGCGTGACCCGTTCGGTTGGGTGACCCGTTCGCTTGTGGGCTACGTTATATAAATAATATGGACGAAGTATTTAGGTTGATTCAGTTAGACCCTGCAAAATGGGGGCGCATGCAAAAAGGTGGTCAATGCGGTTAGGTATTTCTGGGCAGAGTGAGAGGGGCGGAAATAGAAGTTTACATCCAGCAACCAGGCTGGCCTGCAACGTTGGTTTCGTCAAAGTCGGGTGACCTATACCGTACTATGTGGTACATGCCGGCGTAACCTCACTAACCTAGCTGATATCGCGCCCTCCTTGACGCCAGAAACGCCCTATGTAGCCTCAAAAATGTAACTTTGCAGCTCAGCCCATCGCCTTGTAATAGTATCACTATCAAACAACCAAAGCTATTATCCCATTCTCTTGTCTGTCTCTGCAGATGTGGGCTTGTCCTCATCGGGGTTCAAGTAGTTTGCATCCTCCGCAGCCTCATACTCGGCAATCAGATCCGTGACCACTTCCCTCGCCTCGTCAAACTCGTTGAGATTCTCTGAAAATGGCGCCGTTTTCTTATAACCTTCCATGAAAGCATTGCGTTTTCGCATGCCGTCGTACTGCCGCACAATGCGCTTGAACAACTGTGAAACCCAAAGTCAGCGTGGCTCCTCGGCTTTGCAGATGGAAGAAGATATACTTACAGTCCCAATACTTGTGTGATTTGCGAGCATAAGACCACTGACCCGATGGCTCATGGGTACGTATGGGCTGCGCTTCGTCAGAGCAACTTGGATACTGGCTGGACCCCATGGGATGAAGGTGGCCAGTCTCCTTTCACGGATACGCAAGAGACTCTTGTGAACATCCGTGGGGTCTACCTCGCCTTGGATGACATTTAGGATGGAAATGTAGCAGCTCTTCTTGCCGGGTACCGTAGACACCATGCGATTCTTGGGCTGCAGCAGTCTTCTCATAACATCCAATACCGTAGTTTTCCGCACCGTCTTTGCCTGCTCGACCTGGTCTCCAGTAAAGGGGGTATAGGCCGTCATCAAGAAGTGACATCTTGGAGTTGGGATCAGCGAAGCCAGAATGCTGACGAGATCGTTGTGCATGTAGCCTGGGTATCGCAACGTTGTTGTGCTTGCCGACATGACGGTTGAAACAAGCTGGTTCGTCTGCTGGAATGAAGGTTCTTGGACGTGCAGCCGGTCCGCAGCAATGGATGACAATGCGCCGTTGTCGAGCACCACTACCGCATCGGCATTCTGAGTTAATCGTCGCATAGATAGCAAACTGTTGTATGGGTGGACCACGACGTCGCCGGAGTTTGTTGTGTCAGGGAATACCGAGTACGTTTGTATGATCTTCTTGGGGAATCTGTCGTTCATCCTTTCAAGCAGAAAGGAACCAAGACCCGAACCGGTTCCTCCTGCTATCGAATGCAGCAACATGAACCCCTGTCAAGACCGTCAGCCGCAAGGAGCAATAGTCGAGATAAGTCAACATACCTCTAGAGAGTCACTTCCATCTGCCTCTCGGTCAATCATCTCCATGATCTCCTCATGGACAGACTCGCCCGTCTGGTACCCATCACCCCAGTTGTTGCCGGCTCCTATGCCGCTCTTCCCTATGAAAAAATTCTCCGGGTTGTAGATATTTTTGTACGGGCCCGTCTGTATGCCATTGATGACTCTTGGCTCGAGATCTATCAGGACTGCTCTCGGGATATACCTCGTGTCGTCACTCTGGTAGTAGAAGACGTCCTTGCGATCACCGCCTTCTGTGGCAAGGTCCTCGAGGTTGCCATCTTGGTTGATGCCGTGCTCCTGGCACAGCTGCTGCCAGAACTGACTGCCAACTTCAACCTGTCAGCTTTTTCCCGGCCCATGAGACAGCCTCCTCAATTACGCATCGACGTTCGAAGTTGGTGTGTAGAGGTGGGGCGGAAGACTAACTGCTGTTGCCGCATTGGCCGGCTTGAATCGTGATGATTTCCCTATACGTCTGTCAGGGAAGTCTTTCGCCATATCTCTCTATTCTGCAGCCTACCTTGGCATTATGACGGCGGCTGTCGGGCCTTTGGGGGGTTCTAAGATCAACTCGAGGCCCGTCGGATACTCGATTCTCGAACGCGAATGTTTAATATTGATGCCTTTACGCGTAACGCGTTTGATTGAAACTGCCTGGCGGGGTCGACCCGTTTAATGCAATAATGTGTGCGAACCCTGCAAGAACTGTAGAAAGCAAGGATCAAACCGTGGAATGTTTGGCACACAATCAGCCGAGCCTCAACTCGTCTTTTAGTTTCCCTTGGAAATTCAATCCGTGAGGTTGACTCATGAAGTTGTGAAGCAAGTGGTTGGAGAAGTTGTAATAATCGGCCCTCTCATTAGGAGCTTATTCCCACATCTTCAACTGCCGACCAGACTCTGCCCAGCTCATTGGACCTCCAAGAGGACGAAATCAAGAACACAACTGAAAGCTTTCCATTAGACTGTTTTCAGGAAGTACAAGGTCCGCACCGCAGTTCCAAAATGTCGGGTCAACATCTAGAACAGTGTCAAAGCCTTTGATTTGACTCGTGGTACTCGTGTGTTTGTCAAGGGTATCCCACTGAGCTGGGCGTCGGAACTGCTGTCACATTGTGAACTGAAGTGTGGTTTCATTGGCCACAATCTGGTCTAGTTGCATACTTGCTAAACGCAGCACAAAAAAGACCCCATGGCTGTATGCGACAGCGAGCCTCAGCTGTCACATTAAACGCCATGATAATGTCTCATCACAGTGACGAGATGTGGACATGCGTCGGGAATCAGGAGCGGATTGATTAAATGGAACATGCCGAACTCGACGACATAGGCAGCCTGCCCGTCCACCCGTGCCCACCCCGTCGCTTCTCCCGATTGCTAATCTTGGAAAGACGGCGTCCATCAGGACCCTCGTTGCTCAACTAGCTTATTAGCCATCACCCACCCGTCTCACCGCAACCGATGTAAGTAATGTTTTCTTCGTCTCGTCAAAGTCTGTTCCGGGATCATGAACTTCAATACGATCTGATATGCGTATTCTTCCCGTCTCTCCTACGCGATAAACGCAAAGCTTCACACCTGCAAACTTGCCGTCCTCCACACCCACGCCAATCAAACTTTCGCCAGGATAGGGAATGCGCTAGCACTGCATCGGGTGCAAGTGCCTGTAATAACCAGTTCAGCTCGGAGCCAAGGTCATGCGCAAATCCGGGGCGCCGTCGTCCCAAAATGCGGCACCTTTCTTCAAGACCAATATCTGGGGAAGCAGCAGTACCAACGTCAGTACCTACGACGGCAGCAGTTCGAACATCGCATCAGGAAGGCGATCACGACCAGGAACTAGTTCAGGCGATCGCATCGACGAGGAGCCATTCCAGCCGCCGCAGTACCAACAGCCACCACTACAAGCGCACAATCAGCCGAGCATCCTGTTGAAAGAGCGCAAGGTCTCCCTCAGCCGCAAGCCGTCCTTCTCATCGCCCATTAAGAGCCGACGGCGAACCAGCTCGTCAAATGGAGGCGGGACCCAGTTCATGACTGACGCCACCGCTCCTCCTGCGCTTCCGGAATTTGCGCTCGCCGCCGCTGCGAAGCTGTCGAGGGAATCCGAAGGGTCGCCCGCATCCGTCGATTCGTTCTCCAAGATGCTCGGGCGCGTGGCGACGTCGAATGGCAAGGATGGCATCACACCACCCCTGCCCCAGGGTATTGGTCCGACGAGCCAGCCCAACGAGTTTTTGATCGTGTATCAGCACATTCAGGAGATTGCGAACAAGAGGATTTCGACGTTGGATTATCTGCGCAGGGCGTAAGTACATGTGGTCGCATTGCCGAACCAATATATCCGTAGGTGGATATGAAGTCGTTAACATGGATTCATTATCAGCCACGAAGGGCGTGTCTACTGGTTCAGCACGCTTCTTTTCGATAAGCCAGACGTGACGAAGATGCCATACTTTGATCCTCGAAAACTCGCTCGACGCGCAACGAATTATCTTCTGCTCGGCCTTTCCCTCCCCGCCGTGATCGATCTCAATTCATCCACACCTCTCGAGTTCCTCCGATCCCTGAACATCCTGCTCGGCGAGTTCGACTCCTTTCAACAAATCCATACCGAGAATGGCACGAATTCCAGCTCCCTATCCCGAGCCCGATTGCCCCAAATGTTTCGTCGAGCGCCCGGGGGCAAGGCACGGAGGACGTCGGGGGCAGACTTAGGATATCAGGACGGTGCCAGTGGGGCGATGGCCAGCAACTCGGTTGTTAACCAGACGCCAACAAACGTCATGACGTTTGGACTGGGGGGCGAGGGCAACGATCTACTGCCCGGTGAAGAGTACACACATCTCTTGACACCGAGTCTGCCGTTCGATCCGGATTTCTTCGAGACTTTCGCGACGCTCTGTGACGTCTTAATTGACTGCTACACAAGGCTACTGAGCCTGCTATCCAACCCGAAGGATTGCACGTCACCTGTGGCCGAGCTGTTCTCCAAGGCCGATTCGAAGGTGCGGAAGATCATTATCCAAGGGGTTGTGAAAGAGTTCGAGGACGCAAGCAGGGCAGGCTTGAAACAGGAAGTTGGCAGTGTTGGCAAGGTGGTTCTTGGCGGATTGATGTAAGAACGACCAAACTTGGGCATGATGGATGATATAGACTTTGGAGATACCTCGTGTTCTAGGCGACCAGTGATATTCGGGGTCGGCAATGCATTTTTGCGAAAGCTTCATATATATTCAAGAGCATTCGCACCAGGTCACATGGCCAAAAGAGTTGACTTATGCAATCATGATATAACGCTATAGAAGGACAAGGTCTAGTGTTTGGAATACCACGAACGCGTGCCGGGTGCTTACCCGATTTCGTAGTTGTAGAAATCAGTGCAGAAGCTTTAATGTTCATCAGATACCATAACGCATTTTGGTCATCATCGGGCTTACCCGTAGGTTCGCCTCAGTGCTTGACTCTATTGTTATATCATCACCTGAACTGCTCCCGCAAGGTCCCTCAGAGACCCCACCTCACAAACCTCCAGGCCAGACGAAGACAAGGGGAGGGGAACTTCCAGCGAAGTCCAGAGTGTGAAAGTGTCTTGTCTGACCTTTTGGGTCATGGACAAACCTCCCTCGCACCAAGAATAAGCCCCATCGAGTAAACCGAGCCACCAAAGCAGCGTCAGGTAATCGCATAACTATCCATCTCGACTAAGAAACTCCAACCCAGCCCTTCCCATCAAAGAGAGCCAAGCCACCATCCGCACTCCGCGGCCAACAGCCATCAACGAGCCACCACACCGTCACGGATCCCAGAACCGGAAAAGCAGCGCGGACTCATATCTTCGTCCGTGGGGTCTGCTGATTCAGCGCCAGGGCGGATAACTGTGGGTGGCTTGGAGATGTAACGACTGGAGGGGCAGAATGGAAGGAGATGACGGGCTGGGAGGAACGCAGTGCTTCTATGGCGGCGCGTTTCCGCGTGTTGCTTCGGAACGAAGCGTGTCCGGGGACTTTCTCCCAAAGCAAGAAGATCTGGAGACGACGGAAAATACGTTGTCTCTGTATGTAGCTTCGATAGCGATTTGTTGGGCGAGGGGGGTCTGTGAAGGGAAAAGCAAGGGAGAAGCGTGCGGATAAAATTTCTCGACGAGAATTTAAAGAGCTTGCAAGCTTGAGAGTGGATACCACTAGCGCAGGTCGGTGGCAGGGGTGGACCCAGATTTCCCAGCACTGAGGATTCATTGGCAGGCTGCACTGACTGCTCGCATCAGCCGAATTAATTCCGAACTTGTTTGAAAGCTGCCCAGTGACAAACATCCAAGGCTCCAGATTCAAAGAAAGTTCCATCGCGAAAAGGGAGCAGCAGGCCAGACACCCGACCGCGCTCAATCGGCCACTGTGATCGTGTTTCGACTCCAAACGTCAGGCGGAAAGTGCGCGACCGTGTACGGAAGGGCAGGCAGATCGTCTGCCATTTACGAGACTCGAAGTGCCATCCGAACCGCCATGTTGAGCTCGTGATTCGAGAGCAAAGCAGCAACTCCGTCGTTTGCATTCCCTCTACATATCGCATCGCCGAATTGTACCCCTCGCATCACGACCGAATCCTCCTTCCTTCCTCAACACCAGAATACCTTCATCATGTCTCTATTCGGGAGCGCAGCTTCCTCGGCAGCGACCAACTCAGCAAACACGGCAGGCGACCTCTCCAAGGATGTCACCGTCTCTGATCCACCCGAGGATACCGTCTCTGATCTAGCCTTCTCACCCACACAGGACTTTCTGGCTGTGTCAAGTTGGGACAAGAAGGTTCGGGTGTACGAAATCAACAGCCAAGGCCAGAGCCAAGGAAAGCTCCTCTACGAGCATGCTGCTCCGGTATTCAGCGTCGATTTCTCTGCAGTAAGTGACGGTCATATTGGTTGAACCTCGGTTCTTAGTTCAAAGCTAACGGGCTTTCAGGATGGCACGAAGTTGGTCTCAGCCGGTGCCGACAAGATGGCAAAACTGTGCGATCTCGCGACTGGCCAACAGCAACAAGTCGCGGCCCACGATAACGCGATTAAGTGCGCCAAGTTCTTCACTCCCCCCAATTCTAACGAAGCACTGCTGGTGACGGGATCATGGGACAAGACTGTCAAGTACTGGGACTTGAGACAAAGCACGCCTGTTGGAAGTGTCACCGTCCAGGAGCGGGTGTACTCGATGGACGTTTGCAAGAATCTCTTGGTCGTGGGCACGGCAGACAGATACATCAACGTCATCGGCCTCAACGAACCCTCCAAATTTTATAAGACGTTGCAGAGCCCGCTTAAGTGGCAGACACGAGTCGTAAGCTGCTTCACTGACGCTTCGGGCTTTGCCGTAGGAAGTATCGAGGGTCGCTGCGCCATCCAGTATGTCGAGGAGAAGGACGCCTCTCTGAATTTCTCGTTCAAGTGCCACCGAGATCCTCCCCAGGGCAACGTCACAAACGTCTACGCTGTGAATGACATAAGCTTCCACCCGCAGCACGGCACTTTCAGCACAGCCGGCTCGGACGGCACCTTCCACTTCTGGGACAAGGACGCCAAGCACCGTCTCAAGGGCTATCCGACAGTGGGCGGCAGCATCACGGCCACGACCTTCAACGCATCGGGCAACATCTTCGCCTATGCCGTTGGGTACGACTGGAGCAAGGGCCACCAGGGTAACAATCAGCAATATCCCAATAAAGTCATGCTGCACCCCATCCAGGGCGACGAATGCAAGCCTCGACCCAATGTCAAGAAGCGATAGGTGAAGCCTACACTGGGCGTCAAAGATGGCTTTAGCCAGGACAAAGGTGATGACAAGGGGAAGGATAATACGGCTCTGCCCACTAAAAGTAATGGCATGAAGTACTGAGACAGGATCATCACAATCAGTAGACGGTTGCTTCGGAAAGAAAAGTTCATGTCCCGAGGGGCAGGCAGTAATATTCTGTCAATTGGCTTAGGCATTTCGGGTTTCAGGGACGAGGCGTTTTGTGTGTGCTGAATGGGACTTGCGATGCGCGACGCAGACCGACAGAGAAGGGGGCTGATACCAATCAAGCTGATGCCATAAATACTTACATAGTTTAGAGTTCAAAAAATGAGAACCCAATGTTAGTGCTCCTTTCCGAGTGATATGTCAGGGTGCTTCTGGCTGTGTCGACTTAATACACCTGGGACTCCGCGAGCCATTCCGTTGATATACTCGTCGCCCACCCGGGGTTTTCCTTCTCTGGAAAACGCTCTCGAAGATTGAAAGGAGTTTCAAAATAATTTCAAGATCATCGTGTTATTTCAAACAGATGAGAACTGTGCTAATGCCACAGGGGGACGTCTAGTTTCCAGTGAGATGTTCTTGTATTTGATGTCATTTTCGATCTATTTATTAAAGATCTGGAATAATTCCGTGTGCGGAGTGCCTCCATAACGCATCATTTCATTAGATCCAGACTATCTGCCATTGGGGTATGATGTCTTTCCCCTGGAATAGCGGGCCGTCTTAGCGTGAACTCAACTGCTCGAAGTTAGTTGCGCTAGGATGGAGGCAATCTTCGAAGTGCCGCCAGGTCTATTACTAGATTAGTATAGTAAGTTTCAGGCTTGCTATGATAAGTGTACTAGCAGACCGAACTAGCTGGTGGCGGCGAACCTCAGCGTATTCATCTACATAAATACATCCAGCCTTCTACTGCTCCAACTCCTGTTTTGCTCACAACTTCAATACACAATCACAAAACTAGGGTGACCCATACCAGTCACAATGGAGCCTTTCAATATAACGGTTATGACGGTCGAGGACGGTGCCTTGGTATCAACCAGGAAAGGTATCCGGGTTAAGAAAGAAAAACACGGCAAACTCGCCTTTATTAACACTTCGACCAACAATATCTGCCCGCCCAGGACACCAATTGCCAAGTCCAAGATCACACAATCTTCCGATCTTATCGTTATGCCAATATCAGGTCCAAGACGGACAAGGCCCAAATCGCCGCGTGCGAAAGCAAACAAGACCAAGGACAACAGTTCCGGACCAGAGAAGGAACCAGAGGTGGATCGAATCTCTCGCATCATCAAACAACTTGCCCTGCCCCCAAGATTACTCCAACGACTCGAAACCCTACCCGCCTCGTCAAAATACCAGGTACCCGCTCACCTCTCCCCAGTGGGCCAGCGACATCTCCTCTGGTCCATGGTCATGTGTCCCGAGCTTAGCTACCCCCTGGACAAATATGGCATCATGACCCATAATCCCATGTTGGCCTCGGATCGGTCTGAGTGGATGACGGCATCTCATTTCATTCTGACCACGAATTTACTCCTGGGAGCTGCGTTTGAAGCCCGTCGGGAGGGGAAAAGAGAGTCGAGGGCGTTGAGGGAGTTGCATGCCAAGACGTATCGGTATGTTAGCCATCAGCTGAAGGAGCCGGGGGAAAGGAGCGATATTGAGTATGGTTTTCTGGTCATGTCTGTGGCTGGCTTGGCATTTACAGCAGTGAGAAATTCTAAGCCCCTCTTGTGTTCTTTTCGAAAGATCTGGTTGACAGCAGCTGATTGACGCGCTATAGAGCCTAGTCGGCAACGATGCTCAGTGGAAGATCCACGCCAAAGGCATGCAGGTTCTTATCAGTGCTAGCGGAGGATTGGGCAAGCTGGATCCCATCACACTCAACTGCGTGCGTGGGTAGGTCATAGTCCTACTCGCTGAATCATCTTCTTATGGTCCGTCGTTAAAATGTTTTGCGGCAAGTATCTGACCAATGTGCAGTGTCGACATTGATTGCGCAATTCCGGCAGGGGCACAGCCGCATATTCCCTTCTTCAGGAGGCATTACCCTTTCACCCACGTGCTACCTGCCGCTGAAATCGACGCGATGTTTTCGCGGCTCAGGACCCGACTTTCTGTTTGTAGCGTTGATCCAAACGTCATTGAAACTCTGATCTCGGTCTTCACCCTTAAGCAGAGTACCTACTACGCACGTACAGCAACTCCCGCCATCAAATTCGGCCCCGAGGAGTTGATGGAAGAAATCTGGTTCTTGAAGTTTCAACTCCAGTCATCCCCCAAACCACTGTTTAAGCAACCAAAAGACCAAAGCACGTCAGTTACAGAATCACTGGAGTCGGCGTTACGCATTGCAGCGCTGATGTACTTCGACAAAAGACTCCTAGACTCTCCGATTGGTTGGAGATATTACTCAAAGCTGCTTTATCTAATTGTCAAGCCTATGGAAACACTTCTGGATGCGGTCCACGCAGGAAATATGCGTAGGTTGCCCATAGACCAGGTCATTGCGTCTGCGCGGCCGTTTCTGCTGTGGATTTGCATGTTGGGACATCTATTTTCGGTACGGACTGGTGTGTATCCTTCTGGGGCGAGCTACCGGGATTTTGGAAGTTCTATTTATCGTCGGATGGTAAGGAAGTTGGTGGGGACCCAGCTGGAGAGTGCTGATGCGGGGGATTTAGCGTTGGCGGGTGAGCTGAGTTATATTGGCGGCCAGCGGATGGATATAAGGCGTGTTCTTCTGAGCATACTGCAAAATAAGTAATAGCAATGACTGCCGACACATGTCCCGGTGGCAAGGCGCGGTAATGTATGGGGCTAACTTGGTCCCTGGATACAGGCCTGGTATGTCTGACGGGCAATAAAATGGCAGAAAATATATCAGACAAACTAAGAAACGGCCTGTCAGATCTCATCAAACTCCAACGCCCGTATCAAGCATATCCGAATGTGTACCCTCCCGCCTGCAGTCCCAAAATCGAAGCCACCAGGCAAATTATGGTCAATTCACCGTCTGTCTTGGGCCATTCTTGACTGCGCAAACGACTGCACAAACGGTAAACGGTATATCGATCCTCACTCAATGTGGAAACTGAGTCCCGTGGCTGACGGGCTGACGTACGTGCAAGAGAGACGAGGCGGAGAGGCAATGCAGATGCGCATGATTCTGCTGAATTTTTGATTGGGGGACGAGATAGTGAGGATTGCGCTCGAGGTGGTGTACCCGAATTCACAGGAATCGGTTCCAGGGGTGGCCTCTACTGTGTTCTTAATCCCGGTTTGTTTGATCTAGGATACCTCTAGGTTAGCAATCTTAGAGCTGCCCATGCTATTAATGATAAAACATCCCAAGCGCGTCTTTTCCCCAAGACAGACTGCCGGAGGGGGCCCTTTTGGGATGTCCTTTACTCAAGGCCATACATATGAAACCATTAGATCTTGGTCCGGACGCTTCAGGATGGCCGAACTCGCCCCCAACCCCCAAACCCCCAGCCCGTTGAGCAACATTGCTTCAGATATGCCGGCTCAGGTAAGCTCATAGCGATCTTCCCGTCGTCCCTTCCTGGATGGGCACGGCGGGACAGCTCCATGACTACAAGGTCTCTGAGATAGACGGCATTTATACTCAGAACCTTTGGACGCCGCACCACCGGTGCCAGTTGCTCGATGGGTAGCGCTAATGATGCTGATCAGCAGACGGGTTTCTCTACTCACCGAGATAACCACTTGAACCTCGCCCATACTGAACGGGAACAATAAATAGCAAGGACTCGTGTGATGAATTAGCAACGTTGCATGTTCCTCATTCTGGGCACGACGTCAGCAGCTGTGAAGCCTCAGTGCATCCACTTCCCCTGGAAAGATCGTGCCCGGATATGAAACTCGTTACCATGCCGGATACTATGTACGAGACCGAGATATGATGTATTGGTCTCATGCCCCGGTCCCACGCGCATCGAGGAGTCAGCCATAGGGCCACTTCTGGTACAGAACGGTTCACTGCGAAGTGGTAAATAGATTGACCCAAGAGACAGTCTGCGATAGGCTGGGCCTGCTGATGGTGTGCACACTACTGGTTTTCATCAAATATGAACCCTTGGTATGGCTAAGGTATGTAATCATAAGTGCCGACCAGAAGCCCTTGGTAACCCGAGTCTGATCTGAGACTTGCAAGCGAACACTACCCCACTATCTTGACGATCTACCCCGCTTAACGACATAGCTGGGCTCAGCAAGATCCCGACATGCATCCTCCACCCGTCGGCACTATGATTGTAGCAGTAGAGCAATCATGTATCCGGGAGAAGCGTCTGCCAATATAGCTTCTCCGGGGCCTCTGGTCCAGTAGCCGAGCCACTCGAGGTACGCCTTCACATAACCATGGCTTCAACCTCCAGAAGACGACTGATCTCATACCAGCCATTGAGCTTCCTCTACAAGCTATTCCACATCTGCTCCGTCATTGCGAGAATTCCGTCATGGCTGCTGCAATATGCCCTTTTCCGGCCTCACCCAAAATGGACTCTCCGCCAGAGCCTCCTGGTCCGGATCCTTCACGAGCTGGTGTACATGGACAGTATGACGGAAACGGCACAACCGCTTTCTCTGCATCCCGGAAAAGAAAAGAACAGGTTCCTGGTGATAGAGCCAGCCTCGGCAGCCTTCTACAAAGGGCCACTGGAAGTTGAAGGCATACACCCCGCCGCTGTCGGCACAACCTGGTACCCACGCACCGACCTCCACCCGCGCGATCGCTACTCCATCACGTCCGTGATCCTCCACCTCCACGGCGGGGCTTTCATCCAAGGCGACGGGCGAACCTCGCAACTCTCTTTCCTGGCCTCCACGCTACTCGTTCATGCCGACGTGTCCTGCATCTTCGCCCCGCAGTACCGGCTTTCCTGCCGTCCGGGAAGCCACCCGTTTCCCGCTGCGCTCCAGGATGCGCTGACGAGCTACCTGTATTTGATCCACGACCTCGGCATTCCCGCGTCCCACATCACCCTGTCCGGCGACAGCGCAGGTGGTAACCTCGCCATCGCCCTCGTGCGCTATCTCACTTTCTTCGGCGCCGAACTGTCTATTCCTCTCCCCGACAACGTGGTCCTCCTCTCCCCCTGGGTCTCCCTCGTAAACAGCCTCGCTTCCGATGCCCGACAACAGCTCAACCCCCACTTCAAAACCGATATCCTGCCCCCTTCTTTCGTCCGCTGGGGCGCCGAGGCCTATTCCCGCCTCGTCCCGGCTTCGGATCCGTATATTTCCTCGCTAGGCCACCCCTTCGCTACTTCTGTGCCTATCTTCGTCAACTTCGGTTCTGCAGAATTGCTGCAGGTTGATGGCAAGCGCTGGGTCGAGGAGATGAGGGGCGTGCAGGGGGGTGAGGTAGTGATTGAGTATGAGGAGGCCGCGCCTCATGATACTTTGCTAGTGGGGGATATGATAGACTGGAAGCACAGCGCTGAAGGGGTGGCTGCCAAGATTGGGGTGTTTATTCGGGTTGCAAGATAGCTCCATCGTTAGTTAGCTTAAGTTCCGTATCTTATTCACCTGACGAAGCATTACGGGGGAAGTAAATCATGGGGAAAAGGTATCAGCATTAATTCAACATAAATCGCAGGCGGGCGTCTGTACAAATTTGGGGACTACAGGGCAACCATTTCGTTTCATGAATAATTGAGTGAGTTGGGAGGGAGGGGGGTGTGGTTGGTGGCTTCAGGAGGCTTTGATTAGAGAGAAGAGCGCGAACGCATAAACCAGCAACGAGAATACGGACAGCAATATCACACAATGTGCTTCAAGGACGGCAATATTTCTCAAAGGGTATCCAGGCTGCATGAGCCGTCATTTAATACAGTCAAGTTGTAGCTCTTGCCACCTCTCCGATCAAAATACTGCGTTTTTCGCTCATCCCGCGGCGGGGGAAGAGGTGATTGCGTCAGACAGCTTGGGGAGCTACCCATGACGGATAGCAAAGGAGGCTTACGTGCGTTGACCATAGCCCATCGAGCACCAAGAAAAACAGTCGTGATGTGTTGATGCAGCTGCCATTGATGCTATCGCAATCTCATTATCATGTCGGTGTTGTTCGTCATGCGGGGGATGCACATCTAGCTAGTGCAGTGCGTTTCAGTCCGGACCACGGGAGGACAAATTTATTCCTCGTCGGACTCCTCCTCGTCAGCCTCAGCGACAGTCTGAGCGATACCTATAACAGCAGAGTTAGCAATTAACAAACATGTGGTGTGAAGGGGAAAACATACGGTCAAGATCACGCTGTCCCTGCTGAGTAATGCGGCGTCCACCCTTCTCCTCATCCTGCTCGAGGATCTGCAGCTTCTCGAGAGCCTGCATGGCCTTGCGGTTCACGCTGCCGCTGGCATCGACGTGGTGCGAGGGGCGGACACCGCGGTTCTTGGCGGAACCGTACATCTTGGAGACGCGGCCAACACCGACTGCGAAGAATGTTAGAGCTCGCGGGGATTTCAAGGTCGTGAAACGGGATAGTATTTACCAGTCTTGCGGAGGTAGACCTGGCGGGCGACCGAGGCGCAGCGGGTGTAGAACCAGTCTGGGTCGGATGGGGGAAGCTCGTTGCCGTGGCCAGTCTTGACGGTATCGACCCAACCTAACCATCAAACGCCATGTCAGCCAACCTTTGCTGCAAATAATTTTGCACCGAGGCAAGGGTTTAGGGGAAGGAAATTTTATTTACCAGGGACAGGCAGCTTGCCCTGACGCTTCAAGAATGCGGCGTACGCATTAATGAAGAGACGCGCCTGCAATCATTTGACACCCCATTAGCATGGATTCCGTTATCAGAAGCCTTGCGGCCCCCTCACACTGCTGCCTCTCATGGTATCGTCGTCTCGAAGACTGAGGAATGCACAATCATTTCGAGCGAACTGTTGAACGGCCGTAGTTGCTGCTTGTTGCAGTTGCGATTCCAAATTGCGGATCGAGAGCTTTGCGCGCAGCAGGACCCTCAGAGGGCGGAGAAGTGTATACTCACGTCGACGTCACGAACTCCAACTCCAGTCATCTTGGCGGTTTTTGTCGGTAAGGCGGTAAGAGATGGGATTTGAAGTTGTTCGTGGGAAAGATGACCCTTTGATTAGTTGGTTGCTCGCAAGAAGATGGCTTAGATTGTCGAAAAGTTCGCAAAGTAGCGCTTGCCTTTTTCGAAATTGTTTTTTTGTGCGGCTGGCTTGTGCGTCTGATATGTCACATGATTCGTCCAGAAAACCCTGGTAGTAGGCCCCACACATGAAGTGGGGCCTGCCCGTGCTCTCGCTTGGAATCTCCGTACTAGTGAACTGCAACTGCAACTTCATGTGCTACAGCTACGGCATATCATGCATCCAATCCCATCCCCATTGGATGCCATCGCAAGCAACTTTTATTGCTACAAGCCTTTCGTCATCCGGGACTTTCCGATGCTGCTTGCCCTTCTGCGACAGTTTGTACCCCTCCGTGAATGACACGCACCACAAGCCAGCATGGACTACGCCGCATATTTCTCGGGCCGGCTTTCAAGTTATCGATATTCTGTGGGATCGCACTGGTACTGGCATGCCGGCTACATAAGAAGCTGAAGTAGGGAAGTACAGGTAGGGGTGTCCAAGCCGCACAAGGCTTGAAAGTATCTCAGGTGTACCTCACCATGACCTCAGGCCACCAATTCCACAAATACTATATAAAACTATTACAGTTGTCTATTATTCTTATATGACGTGTTAATTATACATTTTATAATTACTAAATATAATATATATTGACGACGAGCACTGTATGCTCGCAGCTTTTTAAGTGAAGATAGTGGAGACGGACAGCAAGGTCCTTAACAAGATCAGCTGTCCGGGAAGGTAACAGAAACAAAAATCAAGAGCCTTGTCCCCCTGATCAGATCAACAAAGGTACCTCAGCAGGTACTAACAATCGACTGGACCTCAACACGTTCTTGAGAACAGAACCACCTCAACAGGGAAAGAAAAAAAATAAGACCTCAGCAGGTCATCAAACAATTAGCGACTCAACAGACAAAAGGTATGCACATTCAATTCTTTTCTGCTTGTCGTCTCTTGCTCTTCTTGCAAGACTTCTAGATATCTACCTAAATTATCCAGGCCTTTTATATATCCATGAACAGTACACTTATTGCATAAATCATCCGAAAAACAAGGCCCGACAACCCTCTATATATGTATATCTTTAGGGAATAAACTAACCGCATTGACCACCTTTTTGCATGCACCCCCATTTTGCAGGGTCTAATTGAATCAGCCTAAATACTTCGTCCATATTATTTATATACAGAACATACTTAATTTAAGTGTCCGAAGACTTAGATATATTCTTTCGAGCCCTCTTTTCAGGAGGGACCCTTCCTTCGAGAAAAGTATCAATTTCTAACTGCTTATCCGGTAAAATAGGCCGTATTCGCTTATTTCTGTCACGGTCTATGACCGGTATTACCCTTGACCCTTACAATTTCGCTTGTCCTGGGCTGTTCGGATCGCTGATAAGTTAACGAATACTTTATTCGGGTCTGGCTCGACGGGCTGGCGTATATCTGGAGCGTATTTATCGAGTTCTTTATACCGTTGCTCGTTTTCGATACGTAATTTGGCATTCTCGGCGGCCTGGAGTGTAAGGGCCTTGCCCGCCTTGCCTACTCGGGTACGAATCTTACGAGATACCCCGCCCTCGGCTTTCTCTATCGACTGTAGTTGGCTAGATAGTTGCTGCGCTTTCTGAGGAGTAAAAGCAACTAAAGGTGGTGATATATGAGGCGGAGGATCTGGTGTATGAGGCTCCGGAGGATCACAAGATACGTCGACTGGTCCTTCGGAGCCTAGGGGCCATATACCAGTCTTCCGCCAGCCAGAAAGTCTCGGATCTTGGTCGAATCGGACGCTCTAACTCGGCTAGCATCTACGACGCGCCAAATTTTGGTACGTATCTGTGGATGGCGGCTAACGAAGTGATCCACCCAGTGTTGGCCGAGTGTATTGTTATCCCCTTGAGCAAGGAGGATTTCGGCAGCGAAGTCGGCCACATAACGCTTGCTAGGAGCCCGTCCACACATTTCTTCGTGTAGGATCCAGTTCACGATAACCTCCTCTTGCTCTGGAGTCAACTTTTGTTGCCTGGAGGCTGCGTCACGATGCGAATTACCGTGACGAATACGGTAGGACAGTGCAGTCCCCTTGATACCGTACCGATTCGCTGCTACGGCCTGGGAAGAGCTCTGACGGACAAGCTCTTTAGCGCGTTCGATTCGCTGCTCAAAATCGTCCAGACTATTCTCCACTGGATTAGCCATTTTGTACGTAGATAGGGAGCAATTGCGAGGTAAATTGAGAGACGTCGTGTTGTTGAGGCGTAGAAATTCCCTGCAAAATGGGGGTGCATGCAAAAAGGTGGTCAATGCGGTTAGTAGATATGTCGATGGATCGATGATCCTGCCCTGCGTCGCAGCTTAATCGACAGTTGTGCCTGAATGCGAGTCCAGCCGTGGAGTTGAATTTGGTAACAATCCCCTATGTTTGACGTCAGACCAGGCTGCCCCTCCAAGTGACGTCAATCCAAATGCAGTCCGGACAGAACGCTCCAGCAAGCCGCCCTCGACTTTCGGATTAAAGCATTTGAACACTTCGTGGCATCTTAAATGACCTTGTTGTAGGTTTTTCAGTCTCAAACTCACTTTTCACAACACGAAGGACAACAACTGGCATCTACGATAAAATCAAAATCACACACTCAAGTTCATTACCTCAACCTTCACACGGACCAGTAAGACACCCCTCCAACCTCGCCTTTTGCGCCTGTCTACGTTCTACTCTTCAAGGAACTTTTCGATAGCATTGTCCTTCCTCATGTTGTTGACTAGTTCACAAGCTAACATCCCTTCGCCAGAAATGACTCAATCCAAGGCCGACAAGATCGAGGAGGTCCGCTCCAACCTCCCCCTCCCCGAGCAACCCCCCGTTGCCTCGGACTGGCAATCCGCCGACGCCAGCAAGGTCAACGTTGGATCCGGCCGCGACGTCACAAGCGATGTCTCTACGGGCGCTGGTGCGTCTTCGGGTCTCCAGGAGCCCGCTTCTGTCAAGGATGCCGATCTGAGTGGTGTTGGTCGTCAGGGAAAGGATGACCTGGAGGGTCCGCCGAAGGATGCTGCGAAATAAGGGAACTTACGTTTCACGGCTGGGGAGACATTGATATGACAATGGCGTTGGATTAGAACCAAGGAATTGGTTGTAATCATCATAGGTCATATAAATTGCATTAAAAGCATGCCTGGCATGCGGCTCGCCAGTATAGCTAAATTCGAGGATGTGAGATAATCGGATGAACTGCCCAGACAACTCACCCATACACATTCAACCTTAATAAATGTTGCACTATTTTCCGCAGAGAAATTGTGTTCTCTCACAATCCGCCTGTATAAGTATTCATGCGTATCGAATGGATGACGTGCTGACCACTGATATTCCCAGAGGCGTGCGTGTCTGCAGTTTCAACGCAATAAACCACGAACGTCCCAAAGTAGTTTAAAATCAAGACGCATCCTATTCTTGATAGAATGCAAGATATCCAAAGCTCGTGACATCAAAATTTCGTCTAAGCATGCTGGGTCAACGGTCAAATATTTTCATTATGGACAGGTACAGCACATGTCTCGAATCGAAGACTGGATGCCGTCCGTTTTGCTGCTGATGTAACAGGTCAAACAATGGAAAATTTGGTCGTCATACCCTAGTGGAATTACTTCTTATCTATACATTACGAAATTCTTCTTGCAACTTGCAATGTACTTTGTGTCATCATGAACAGAGCGGGAGCCAGTTGGTTATTCTTCTATTCCACTCGGAACATTTTATTTTTGACAGAAACTATACCAAAGAGCTTTTGAGCCTCTCGCTACGAAGGCGTTATATATATTAAGGCTAAAACATGCCATGTTATTCACTTACACAGAGTCCTTCTTCTATTGTTCCAAGTTCCAACCTGCAATTCGCCTAATCATCAGGAATATACGATCCCGAAGGATCCTGGAATAATACTAGATTGTTCATAGTGGAAGACAGTATCCACAACGAAAGGACATACACGGAATGCATACTCTGGGTTGGGTAACATTGGCCTTGAGAATCTGGAGCAGGACATATTACATCAATCTTCAACAACGGTCGGATAAACCAACTAACCAACCATCCCCGCTAATACGCAAAATAACCGTATATTTAGATAAGTATTAAACTAATCTACGTTACTTATGATTAGTTCTTCTAGGGTTGATTATTTGTAACAGTAGATGCTGTATAAGGGGAGGCCAGGCACAATCGTCAATTCCCAACGCCAGTAGCAATTAGATACAAAGAAGAAAACTTGCCCCTCCAAGTTTTTTTGGTGCCTTGAGCACTATTTGAGGGTCCCAGAAGGTTTCGTTGAAACGCCGTCGGATCGTCATGATTTTGCCCGCTTATCCAGGCGGGCCCGATCGCGACCTTCCAGCCCATTCTAATTCTAGCTTGTGACATTATTACTGCTAAGAAATGAAGCGATCGTTAACCTCGGCGGCGCTAACCCCTAGAAACCTCTTAGCGGAGCTAAAGCTTCCTCTGTAGCCTCGTCCGGTTGATATAGCCACTTATTCTCTATAGACGGATCAACCGTCAGAGCCCTAAGCAGAGTATCTAACTAGCCTATGAAGCCGAATCTATACTAATTTCGTAGTATCTAGTATATGTCTATAATACTAACGTTAAGGCCTAGCCGCTATAAAGCAACTATTCTACCGGTAGATAAAATAACCGCTTGTTGGAAAAGACGGTAGTGACCTCCATGGTTAACAGGTCCGGCAGGAGGTTGTTGCTGCGGTTAAGATGGAAGGGCACGACGCAGTTAAAACGGGAAGACTCTGACTTCGCTTTAAAAAGGTAATTTTTCGTAGAACTCCTTCTAAGCTAACTAATTCACAATTTAGTGATGGCTTCTAGTTAATTGGACCTCAGTGCCCCAACCGGCACTATATCACTTCCACACTGCTTATGCTGCCTGTTACGAACCGTTGGTTCCTAACCCACTAAACTGTCAGAGAACAGAATGCCATAGGCACCAGTGGGTGTCAGGACACTGAACGCAGGACACCGGTGGGCCGCCGGAGGGGTGTTTCGGACAAAAGACTCCCGAGTCATGATTACAATCTATGTGAAGCTTTGGGATGACGAGAGTCAAGATCCTTGGCATCGCCGACCCTGCTGTTATGCCGGGTCCAAGCGGCGGCCTAGCTATCTATATAAGGACCATCTCGAAGTAGGATAGGGAAGGAGTTGTCAGGCCACAAGTGTCATCCGAGGCGGGCCGGCTTCCACCAGGTAGGAAGCCGTTTGTGGCGGCTAGAGAGCCGCTTGTGGCGAATGAGAGCCGTTGAAGCCGTTTGCAACGGATAGGGAATCGCTTGGTTGCAGATAAGGAGCCGCTGTCCAAGATATTGGCCGAAGTCGGAGGAACACAGACATACGGAAGCAAACATCCAGAATCCAAGAGAGAACCTCGGCTGGCTATAAGTAAGGAGTCGAGACGGAGGAAGATAGAGAGGGCAGAGATCAATGCATCACCGTGGGCACCCCTACCTGAGACCGCCAGTGACCACCCGGTATTACGTAGGAGGGACGCCCGTTACTCCCCATCACTCTGTACTATTGCCTTCGGCCTAGCTGTACCCTGACAACCCACTAAACCAACCAGGCCCGATGGCAGGCCGCAGGAACCCCGACACGGGAAGGAAGAACTATTACCAGAAAGACAGGAACGGTCACGTGACCTGGATCACCACCAGATCAGTGAGCCAGGCGTGAGCCGCGAGTGAGCCATAAGTTGGGCTCACCAAAGGATCACCAATGGATCACCTTCTGAGCTGTGAGCCGGAAGTGATCCAAGGAATCAGTGAAGGAGAGGTTGGCTATATAAGGGACAGGACTCCCAGGCATTTCATAGATAGACAGTCTCTACTTCAGTGATCAATCTAAGCATCAATCTAACCCATTGGTGAGGCAAACTGCCTTGACGACTCTATTCCCAGTTACCCTACTTGAATACTTCAGTTACCCCAAAGCACTATACTCCATACGTCAGACCCCGATATTATTGCTAAAGGACTCCGCAGCAGGACTTACTTACTAGCACAAACCCTTACAGACTCTTTAGTGGTTTACGCAGCTAGACTATTAGAGGTTTCGTTACACTGCCTTAGTTTCTGATATCGTTTATATTCAGCTAATATCGCCTATATTATAAGCAAATCCAGTGCTATTAACAAAAGCTAGGTAATTTAGCCGGCGATTATACTAAAAGCTAATAAGGTTACGTATATCCGTACTTATCTTGTAGTTACTAGGCTAGGGGTCCCGTCGATTAATGTAGCGTTTATATACTTACCGCATTTTATCGTTATTCTAGCTACAGGCCTAAGCCTACGATAAGATAAACCCATAAAGCTTAGAGGATGTGTAACCCCGGAAGCACTAAAAAGGTACTATTAGGGCTCCGGGGGTACTAGAGTAACCTTAGGCGAGTGCTAGTAAGGACATCCAACGCTGCTAAAATACTTAAAATAGCCGGTTGGGATCGGGTTGTTCGTGCATGACAACAACCCAACCTACCCGGTTGGCCTGGTTTGGTTTATCCGATTATTGATCTTCAAGGACTTGATTACTGGTACGAGTAGAGTGCTGACATTAAATCTTTCAACTCTACATCTCTGGCACTAGACTGCAAGAGCAGATGATATAAAGTAAGAGATCATGTCCTATAATATGGCACTCTTCCGCGCTTTCTTTTCTGGGGTAATTTGTTCCCGGTGCATCGAAGGTCAAGGGCACACCAGTTTACAATGAGATCTGCAAAGATGGGCCCTAGAGCCAACAACTGGAGCATATTGACCCATACAATGTATAAAGGGCTGTCACTTTATACCCGTAAGGAAACGAGGGCATCAAGGAGCAACAGCTAAATATATATAACTTCATGAAGTAAGGTCATAGGCTACTGGCTGCTGTCAGCCGGTTGTCTCAGAGCCCTATGGCTACGATGTTTTGACTTCTAGAAGGCCCAGGATGTCTTGTTATATCGGTCAAATAGAAGACTAGTGATATTCGATGCCACTGCAAAATCGACACATGTCTGAGTTAAATGAAAATGAACTGAATGTCTTCATCAATAGGCACATAGATGATTGTACATCAAAGAATATTCTCGATAGATCAGTATATTGCTCAAAGGTAACTGGACAGTATACGTGAGGCGCATATACCTCCCTGTACCTGTAGGCCTATCATTGCACGAAAGAAAACATCGTGGCTTGGACACTTTGACCGCCACCTGTTTATTCCGCTACCTGGGGCAGTCACGTTTCTCACCACTCAGTTGTTTATTCCGCCCCAAAATTTAGTTGTGCATCAGAGAGGAAGGCGCAGTTGAATTGCTACTGCCAAATTTGGTCCCTAAGGCATCGGACTAGGACTTCCTCGAGCGAAGCGCAACTGATACCTTGCAAAAGTTCCCCTCCTGCCCAAATGATTCTTCTCCTGCCTCATCCCCAAATTCCGAATTTCATAATACCCACCGGCAAGCACCAGCATTGAAGGCCTTCGCAGTCATCTGAATGGCTCTGATCCAGCTCTCTGCAGGGCTCTCTTTATTGGCATTCGATCTCGACGTCACCACGTTACTCCTAAGTAAGCTTGACTACGCTTTTCTCCCCAGCCATCCTGCAAAGGCTGACTTGATTCTTCAGCCAAGACGGCATTCTTCAGCTCTGGTTCACTAACTCGATTCGAGCACAGAAAAAACGAACTCGGGCAGATAGACCAGATAGCGTGATAACAGCCGCGTTAGAAGACGGAGCTTCGGCGGCCAATCTCAATCGCCGCCAGCACTATTCCTTTGTTCAGGTACAAAGGGACACACTCCAATCGCAACTCAATTTTGACTTCCGCCGAATACTCTGCCGAACACTTTGCCTAATACTTTCACCTAATACTTCCACCTAACTTCTGTGCTTTCTTCAATGAGAACTCATTCTCTCCCTCTCTTGCTTCTACCTTACCACAAATAAGGAATCAAGGAACACCAAGCGAAAGCTTTCGTCACCATGGCGACCATACTCGATGCCATGATGGTAATACACTTCCTGGCCAAATCCACCGACTTTGACTAACATCATTAACAGGATGATCTTGGCGATGGTCGGATGGAAGATCTTGCCAGAGATAACCGAAGAGACCGACATTTCGACCCGATCCTCAAGTCAACCACAAAGTCAGTCGCATCAAATGGCGGTCCCAAAACCGAGAACTTGGGGGCTCAAATGTGGCAAAGTAAGTTGCGACGCTCGTTGACCTTGGATGACACTAATCATGCTACAGATGCCGTGGCCGAGAATTTATTCCACGACGATGATGCCTTGGGCGTTCAAGGACTCGACAGCATCGCTGACGGTAATCTGCACCGTCTGAGACGTGAACAAAGTGGTCCAGCCCGAGGAGGGTTTGGAGCTGGTAGCAGCCGCGGCGGTTTCCACGGATCCGGCTCCCTGCCTGGATTTGGACGCGGAAGGGGCGAGTTACGGCACCAAATTGACCGTATGTTAAAGAATACAGTCTATGATCCGGCGTAAGTATCAAGTATAATTCAGTTCTATCTATGCCATCTCGCTAAATACGCTCAGTAATCCCAATGCCGGCCGCGGTCGTGCTCCTCGACTTTGCCCAAACTCAGAACGGAGCAATGAGCCGTCATTCGGAGTCACCAGCCTTGGCGGGCTACCGCCACCTGGGGCAATGGTAAAGCGATGGAAACCTGGCAGAGGCGTCTCAAATAATGCTGCTGGTCACTCAACTCCTACTGGAGTTGGACGCGGTCCGCCTTTTCCACTGCCGGCCCGGCCTACTACTCCCCGATTGTCCAGCATCGGTCGAGGAACACCAGGACTGCAAAAATCTCGTCACGCACCTCCGACTACAAATCCTGTCAGAACTGCACCTACCTCAAGACGTGAGACTTCTATGGCAAGCACGACCTCCATGCTATCGCAGAAACGTCAGAATGGTGCTTTTTCAGTGCGCCAGGCTGCGGTTACCGAGCCTGGCCGGGCAGCTGTGGTGTCACCTCGTCTACGAGAACCCTCAGAAGCTCCCACTGTTAGTCTATCTGACCTTCAATGTCCATCTACACCTGCTCCCATAACGCCTCCTATCTCTACAGCGACGGGTCAAAACACCAATGACCTGCCTCAGAGGCAGTCATCCCCAGCAGCTTCGTCCTCAAGTGAAATAGACAAGGTAGCGCAAAAGCTTTCTGCGTTATCTCACTCGCGAACTAGTTCCCTAGCTCCAGAATTTGCTGTTACAAATCAAGTAGCAGTAGAATTTCCACATGACTTGCGACCTACTTCGTGTATCCCCCAGCGGGCTCCAGCAAGTCGCGAAGTACCAGTCAAGTCGCCTGCAGCTTCAACTGTGCCCACTACTGCATCTTCGCCTCGACTGTGCATTGCTGCAACCATTGCTTCAACATCTATGGAAAGGCAGCAAAGCACCGACGCTGGAGCTATACTACAGAAGCCGCAAGTACTCTCCGCAGCCCCAACTCAAATCACTGCAACCCAGGGAGGCTGTACGGCCCCTTCGATTTCACCAAGCATACACATGTCTACCGAAGCTCGGTCGTCCTGCAATCAGAGCAAGGAGAACCCCACCAAAGCTTCCACGCCCGTGAAAGCTGAGTCACCTGCTGGGGCTTCTCCAGTCACCGAAAGTGCTAACGCGGCCCAACAACTCAGAATTCACTACGAAAGCGATGTTGGGATGGCTCGGATGACTGCTGATGGACCGGATTGGCCTATCTTTCACTTATCTCTATACGATCTTCCCGGCAAGGACGTCGTTATCATGAGGCTTAGGCGCGATGAAATGATCATGCAAGAAGATGTTCGCTCTATCATCCAACCAATGTGGTTGCAAGGAAGCTGCCTAGCTTTTCGCAGAAGTGACGGACCAGACACCTGTAACATGAGAATCTCTAATCTTCAATTCGATAGTATCTCCGCCGTCAATCGATTTAAGAACGAGGTACTTCGTCAGCAGGAACGCCTCAAGGAGTCAAAGGAGCCGTTATTCCAGGCAGTATCGTCTTCGCCAACCGCGGCGAAGAGTGTTCCCCTTCCCCTGCCTCAAACAAGTTCGACTGCTCCTGTATATTCTGCCAATAAAAAGGCGAAATCTCCAGTTGAAGTACCGCCGGCGTCGATAACTCTGTCTCTTGAGGATAAGACTCGGGTGGCTGCTGCTGGGTCAATCGCATCCGAGGTTGTTGAGAATGAGGCAATTGTTCCTGGGGTAACTTCTGCTGAACCCGCCGCGCCTAAGTCAAATAAGTATCAGGCAACAGAGACTAGCAAAGAATCACCAGATCAGGATCTCCTAGTTGAAACTGGAGAGCCATCGACCTCAACTAGTGAAACTATTTCCGTTATGTTTACTCCAGCTCCTCAGGCAGTCAATCTCTCGCAGTCGGCGCAAGGAGGTGGCGCAATATTCAATCACGCCAGGACGAAGCTTGCATACTCTCCGGACAATTTGATCAGCCTCGGTGCTTCGGATTCCGACACTGAGCCCGAAATTTTGGTACCAAGTCGCAGTCAATATGCCGATGATCTTTGGGACTTCGATAATTCAGTTACTCCTGTCAGCGAAGCTACACCGAAGGAAGACCCTGTTACTATCACAAACGCAGTAGGCAACGCTACCAAGCCTGATGACCTTATCCAGCTTGAAGACGAAGCCGACAACATAAAACCTACTGATGCGGTGAGAGCAACACCTACAAGCGCCAGTCGTGTCCTTGACCTGGACGTTATTGGATCTGTTCCCGTTGGCATCGACTTGTCGCAAAGTTCTATGATCATTCTGTCCAAGCTTTCTCCTGAAGACTACGCCCTCATGCTTATTGCAGTAAAGAACCTGATGGCTATATTCAAGGGCGCCGTTGTGCCGGTCAACACGAATAGGGACCGGGCACAGAGAGAAGTACTTCTACAGATCAGTGCATATCACTTCCTGCGGGATGATGCCTTCAAGATTCTCAGCGATGAAGACCAGGAAAGCATCGTTGCGGTTGTATATGCTAACTTGTGCCAACTGTGGACTCACGGGAATGTGAGCTACACTTGCGAGCAGCTCTTCCGTCTGAGAAAGTACACTGGCCCGCGCCCCAAGGAGATGGATGAGCTGGCAGAGCTCGTATCCCTAGCAAGACAAATCAATGGCCCAGCTTTGCCTGAACTAAAGCCTGCACTGACTCCCACGTTGAACCCTCGTATATCCAAAGAAGCTGACCAAAAGGCCACCTTTTGGTCAGCGTCGAAGGGCGGATGGGTGAACGGATCACCTATCACCCCCTCCTCCGACAGCATGCAGGGCTCGCCGCCGAAGATATCTGAGAAAAAGCCGCCCCTTTCAGAGGAGGTGAAGATGATCAGTGATTCTGCTGGTCATGTATCTGTTGGTTCTCCTGTCAGCCGCCAACTGAAAAGAGAGTTGCCAATGCTGATTCTACAGAAGCGAGATGCCGAGAAAGAACCAACCTCGGCACCATCTGAGAAGAAATACCAAAACAGGGCTACATTTGAGACCACCGAAGAAACGGAAGATGTCATCAAAACGGAGGGGCCAACCTTCATTCTTGAGGACCACACCAACCCAATTGCGTCGCACCTCCAAGGAATCTGCCACAGCCTTGGCGACAAAGGACTTCAAGGGTCGCGACATGCCTAGATCTTCCCCTGCCCGGCATCTTGCTATCATTGCCTCGGAACCATCTAGAGCGAAGTGAAGCGGAGTCAGGTTATGACTTCGTTACTTCGTCTTAGTCCCCTATATACAATCATACAAAACAGTTGCCGGTTGTATGTCGACTCAGCGATTACATTTTTTCTTTCATCCTTTCCCGCGTTGTGACGCAGCAAAATATCCAGAGGCCACAAAAGCACAACACCTTGTATGATTCATGATTTCCGAAACGTGAACTCTGGACGGAGATACTGTCTGGTAGCGACGTAAGTCCTTATCCTCACTATCACATTTTGCTGTCTAGTTCTCGCGCAGACAGCTTAGGAGTTAAAGCTAAGTCACTAACGGAATTAAAGGTACAGAAATCGCCCTACTACACGACGCATTGTCTTGTTTGGTTGTTTCCTCAATCCCAAAATTCCTCGGCCATCCACCCTTCTCCCACAAGCAACCTTTGGGAGCTCGCTCAGATCAGCTGTTCGACACCCAGGACTAAATTGTCTTGACAAATTTTCTCTTCTTCCCGGTAGATACTTCGCGCGAACTGAGAGGGCGATGTGGGTATCTCCTCAGACCTCCACTAATCATTCACACATCTATACTTCCAACAGGCAATTCGACGTGGAAATTGGACGAGTATCTCTAGCTGGAGAACCGATCACCGGAGGACCGAAAGCAACAAGAGGAAGATTTATTTTCGACTTGGAACTACTTCCTGGTTAGTTCAATGAGGCGATCAGTGGTTTAGTGTACGAGATTTCGATGACAGTTGGGAGGACTTGGTGACCTTTAACAGATGGAGGCACAAGAATGTAAGAGTACTTGTAATTACATAGCACAACATTAACAATTTTGCTTAGAGATGAGGCAATGATATCTTGTGACAAAATTCAACGCGAAACGTCTGAGAGAACATGTATTGATGCAAAGGATACATTGCAACAGGAGAGGAGTCGAGGCCTACAATGAGATGCATGAAGCCTCACCTACGACTACCCATGGGTCTTCAGGTACACAATTTGCTAGAGTATGATAGTGCTGGTTGGAGACTAATCGTCTTTGGTTGATCAACAAATAACTCACCACGTCAGTTTCGTGGCACAGACTTAGGTACTTGCCAGCTATGTCGGGGAAGTAGAGGATGAAGTTCTGGGAACTGCTGAAAGAAGACAAAGTAAGAGAAAACTACAAACAGGAGTAGAGGAGGAGACAGGGACATGCATTCACTCTTGATAGCTGGGGAATTAATTACATGCACTACTCGTTGAACCCAGCATGTCGTGTTTCCTTCTGCTGTCTCAAGTCGTAAGGTATCGTCCATTCTCCCGCCGATACATTCCAACAGTGAAGCAGGCGACCTGTTCCAACTAGCATTTATAGAAGTGAGACTGATTCATCCTTCTCGATCTGTTATATTTGCCCGCCAGGCTTCGATAATGCTCGTCCGCCTAGTCTTGATCAGCCTCTGTAAGTTGGTAAATACCTAATAACATATTTCTATAGGTTTCTATATAGACACAGACGGCAGTACTAAAAGTACCACCCAGGACGGCTTCGTTTACTCACGAGTTTTTATTTCATACGCGTCATTTAAATAGCTGCAAATATTACCTTTCAGTCTATTCGTAATTCGGGTGGGCAATACAGGCAAGAGAACGGTATTGTTGATGATATTTATGGAAGAACTCACTGGGATCTGCAGCTACGAAGAGCTATCTATGGGCAGTTTGCCTAAGCGCTGCACGCAGCAGTTGTTCATGAGCGAGATGTATTGTGAGGGCCAAGTCTCTTCTCCCTTATAAATAGCGATCATACGAAGCTTATTACCTAAGTCCCTGAGATACCAGAATGCCGATTGAACCAGCCTAATGGAGTTAAAGAGTTCATATCCCGACTTTAAGTAGCTTAGGAGTTTACTCAAGTATCCATAGCCTGGGTATAAAGGCTCTATCAATATAAAGTGGAAAGCAGCTGGAGAATTGAAAGTCCGTGATCTTAGACAGCTTCACTTCAATAATAGAAGGCTCCATAAACATAAATATAACTTAGCTAAGAAATTCACAATAAATTATAATTATAGCGTAGATCTAGGTATATGCTCAGACTTGAAATATCGCAGACAAACCTACGAGACCATTCGATAAGGCTGGGAACACTTTGTTAAGACGCTTCCTTTGTTTAGGAACATCACCAGACTAACCAAAGCTCTAACCACCAGCAGGGAGTACACGCAATCATAATGTCAGCCAGTACCGAAAATCGCTAGTATATCGCTGCAACAACTGTAGCATGCCTAAGCCAGTACTATTCGTATATACATATATATATATGTGTGTATATAGTTTACAGGGTCTGCAGATAGCTTAGATGGAACTGAGGCCATCTAATTAAAACTGAATCAGTATCATAGTCGTGCTTTGACTTCCCAAGCTTGTTCTTGTGAACCTGTTCACGTACGAACTTCCAGTAAATCAAAGATCAAGTTAGTAGAAAGGGAAGTAAAGGTGGAGATTGAGGCGGAGGCACAGGCACAGGAACAGGCAGAGATTGATATGGAGAACTTCATTACTTGCATTACCATTCAATTTCAGTGTAGAACGGGAACAAGAAACTGCCGCCATAAAAGTCTCGGTAACCCGAATGCGGGATCGAGTTCCCTCGAAACCTGCGTTCACTTTTTAGATTCTTCAACATTACGCTTGGATAATCTCTTTTAAGTTGGATACTACCTTCATATTACTTGAAATGTTCGCTGTATTCTGTCAGTAATGTCTACTTACACTAGTTCCGTTTTTGATAGCAAATAGACTACCACAATAATTATATCCAGCTTCGATATCAAGTGCCTTTTTTCTTTCCTGGTAATTTTGTCATGAATAGCTCCGAGAGAATGACTCTATCCTGCTCGAAAATCTGATTTGTTTTGTTAGCAAGGCGCTATTAGACACGCCAAGCTCGACGTCTTCGAGGTAGAATTGCTTCCTGTATTATCCTAGTGGGGTGACATGGTGTCCACTTAAGTCACAACGAATGGGCTCGGCATATTATTCATCGAGAATGGTATCAACTGGTCTTGTGTTTCAATGCAATAGCAGCAGATGGGCGGATTCTATTTCCGGGGCTAGCCACCCCAAGGCTGTGGCAGGAGACCATCCCCGCGGGGGGGCGGTTAACCCAAAATTGACCCGGGGAAATGTAGATAGCTCACTTGGGCTACACCAAGAAGGGGTCATGTGTGGAGATGAGTAAGATTAAAAACATAAGGTATCCCATTTCACCACAGGGTTATCTAGACAAAAGGCTCATATCATCTTCAGTGTATTGTTCGTGAAAAGAATCAAGGTTTCACAAAAGACTGGGTACTCTGAATCCTTGCACAATGTCTTCCCCAAAAGTAGCAATCATCACCGGCGGGGCATCAGGAATGGGGCTTGCTGTCGCAAAGGCTCTTTCTGCCAAGGGTTGGGAGGTGAACATCTTCGACCTGAACGCCGCAGCTGGAGAACTGGCGGTACGCGAGGAGAAGAACCTGAAGTTTACCCAGGTAGATGTCAGCTCCTGGGGGTCGTTGTCTGGCGCATTTGATGCCGTGTTCAGAACCCGTGGCAAGCTGGACTTTGTGTTTGCCAACGCCGGAATCCTCCAGTTGCAGAACTTTTACGAGCGGACGGACACACTGCCACCAAAGGAGCCACCGCAAACCAGCATCGACATCAATCTGAAGGCCGTCATCAACACGAGCTACCTGGCGCAGCATTACTTTCGAGCCAACAGGCATGCAAACCAGGACCCGGTTCTGATCATGACAGCAAGCATTGCAGGATTCGTACGTATCAACCCACGGGCAGCGCGCAGATTGGGTTTACTAACGACAGGCCCAGTATCCTCAAGAATTCAATCCTCTTTACTCAGCATCCAAAGCCGGTGTGGTCAATTTCCTGCGCTCCATCGGCAAGCCATTCTACAATGATGGTATTCGTACATACGCCATTTGCCCAGGAACCGCGCGAACCAACTTGCTCTCCAGTGCTGCTTGGGATAAGTTCCCAGAAGAGTACTTGACGCCAATTAGCACCATCGTCTCGACCGTGGAGACGCTTAATGCGGGTGGGCCCTTTACGGATGCTAACGGAAGGCACATAGCCAAGGGTTCAGACTATGGACTAGCCGTGGAGGTATTTGGCAATGCCTTCTATTTCAGAGATCATTTGGAGTACATCAATGACGGCATGAGGCAGATATGTGAAGCTGCAAGTTTGGAGAACCAGCAGTCAAACTTACAAACCGCCCGGGCCTAGAACTCAATCACTTGCACTGGCTAAATTTGATTTGTCATAATGTAGGCCTCCATACTCAGGATGCCGTTGATTGCCATGAATAGCTACAGAGAGCTGATACAAGGCGCTACGTACATGAATATCTCATTTGTCGAGAGACACCGTCACGCGATGCATGAGACCTCGAAGCATATACTATGGGCATGTACAATAGCCACCAGACATGAAATCTGATGTAAACGGGCCAGATGATTGTGTCTTGAATTTGTTCTGACTGACTAGAACATAGCAAAGAGCTTGATTGTACAAGCCACACACACTCGTGGACAAGGTAAAGGTGTGTTGAAGCAAGTGCATGTTTCACACTGTACCCGTTCCCACTTACCCTTGTAACTTCTAAATATCGTTGTGGGCTTTCCCCGAGGTTCGGTCCGGTCCCACTTGCACGAAGAGAGCAAGACTTGCTGCCTTGGATTGGCTAGAAAACTTACGTAGGAGTCCACTTGATGACATAGGAAAGGTGTGCCTCGTCTTCCCAACGAGCGCCAACGCGAGCTAGTGGCTTGCAGATCTATCCCGCGGGTTTTATTTCCGCGGGTTCGGACCCGGATTCTCGTGAATTTGTGTTATGCAGATCGAGTTGTGGACTAAGTGATCTATACGCCTAATGTGTCTCGCTCATCATGGGTACCGCGCCGAGCAATGCAGAAAATCCCTCAACGGATTCGCTCCTCAGGTTCCTATTGGTTGATTGTCGACGTATAGGTTTTGCGGGTGGATTGCTGAGGTGTTGAGAACAACCGGCCAAGTTGAGGTTCAATATATCCAAGAACATTGTATGCGTATTGTTGTTGCCAAAGTGCCAGTTCTGAATCCCAGTACAGAAGATGCCGTGGACAAAGGTCGAACATGAGTTCAAGCACCCCCAGCTGAACTACGATTCCCAGCCCAACTACCAACCATACATCAAAGTGTCTGTCTTCTTCAAGAAGATTGACTCCATCGACTACGACACCTTCTTCGGCCACTGGCGGACGGTTCACGCCGACCTGGCCGTCGCAACCCAGGCCTTCCGAAAGAACATTGTGCGATATGCTCAGGTAGGTCAACCATACATTGCCTGGGTCACGCTCGCCGGTCACTTTGGCGTGAATCTTCACCTTCCATTCAACGAATGCTGACTATTTCACAGCACCATCAAACACCTGAAATGAAGGAGCGGGCCCGAAGCCTGGGCGAGAATTTTCTCGACTATGACGGGTGCGCTCAGCTTTGGGTCAAGACGTGGGATGACTGGCTAGGATTCTACAACAGCGCCGAATACGCTGCGGCGTTGGGCGATGATTGCAATCGGTTCATGAAGTTGCCAATGACTTATATGGTTGGTTATGAAAATCTGGTCGTCGGTGATGCTTCCAAGGCTATGGGTGGAAGTGATGGCTTGGATATTAGCAAGCTAAATTAATTAGTTTTCAATGCAGCCCGACAACTCCCGGCATATTTCGCCCAGTTGATCGTATAGCTGTCCATCAAGATCGTTCTTACTTTGCAGGTTTCATTCATATGCATCATGTTAGTTTGGCCTGCGAACGTGGCCGTTGCGTTTTTTTTTTTGCATTGTAGGAATGAATGCGTGGGCCACTGTAGTTGGATTGAATGTGTGTACCATTTCAAGGTGTGAATTATATGTAGCCTTGTAGATTGTTTCAACGAGGATGCATTCTTACATTGTGGTCTTGTAACTTACGTGCACCATGAAGAAAGGCTTTGGAATGACCGCGCCGGTAGCCAATGTAGCCGAAGATTTCACTCGCATGATTTCCAGACTCGTGGGAAGACGCTGCCTCTAATATTATACTCCTATCTATAGTACCCAGGCACTGCTATCTTATCCGGATAGTCAGTGCTGGAAGCAAAATCGGCCCATTTGTCAAGGAGGGTTAGGGTATCCTGGCATTTGTTTCTCATAACGCTCACAGCATCAGACCCAATGGGTATCCGCAGAGGCAAATTATCAACGTGCTCGTGTGCGATGTTCTCCAGTACTCCAAGATCCACGATTCTTTCGACGGCTAGCGAGGGGTCTCCCGGCTGCGCACCTTGGGTGACGGCATGGATGTCAGCCATCTGTTTCTTGATGGCGGCGTACTCTACTATGCCCTCGTCGGCGTCCAGTTTCCCTTTCTTGTTCTTGGCATCGAGGATATTGGTGCGGAACTGGCCTATGACCAAAATGTGAACCCGGATGCCGATAGCCTTCACCTCCTTGGCCAGACACTCTACAGCACCTGGGGCGATGAAAACTATGAGTCAGCATAATGCTCAGGGACTAGCAGACAACGTGGAGACAGACACGAGCTACGACTCGACGGAGATCGGAGAAAGCAACGAACCTTCAAGTGCGAATTTCGAGGCGCTATATGCTCCACCTGCGGCCACCCCGTGCCATCCAGATATGCTCCCCATGAAAAGGATGACACCCGCTCCCTTGGAACGCATATGGGGGAGCACAACCCGAGTCAAATTCAGGGCACCGAAGAAGTTGGTCTCAAACTGCCACTTCGTATCTTCTGGTCTGTCAAATGTCAGTAACAGAAACACACGAGTGGTTGACTTGGGCACACGGGGCACTCATGCAGCAGCAGAGAGAGGCAAGGGAATTTCTTTCCCTCTCGACGCGCTCACCTCAATTCTTCCCACACACCCGACAAAACGTATCCCGCGTTGTTCACAAGGACGTCAATACCGCCAAATGCAGAGATGGCCGCTTCTACCTTCTCGCTGAGGACATGGTCCGGCGAGGTGACATCCAGTTGGAGGAGCTTGACGTTTTCAAAATGTTGCAAATAGTCTAAATCGGAGACTCGACGGGCTGTGGCGACCACTCTGTCGCCGCGCGCAAGTATGGCCGGCACAAGACTGCGACCAAACCCGCTCGAGCATCCCGTGACCAACCATACTTTGCTCTGCCGAGCGTCCTGTGGCTTGTGGTTGCTGTTTTGCATGGTTGCCGACGAGGACACGACTATAGACTTCCAAGATGCTAAATCTGCCAAAGGGGAAGGAAGGGCGGACTGGAATCGATTTGGAGTAGAAGCAACTACCTTGTCGAATGTACAATATAATACTAGATATGGTGCGGGGGAGAGGGAGGGGTAACTAATCAGTAGACCAGGCTACTTCCACACTCTCTTCCCCGCCAGATTCTTAGGCCACGTGATGCGGGGATGTCAAGGTATGTTAGGGCAAAGCAGCGGCTGCGAACTCGGCTCTGGCTCGAATTTTGCATCCTTGGCCGGATTTGGCAGGCCGCAAGATTACACCGCATGCCCCAAGTAACATACAAACTGGGGGGACCCTTGCAGCTGCAAGATACAATCAATTATGCGTGTTCATGTGGGAAGCCAGGAGAGGACGCGAGAAATCATATCGTTCTTTTTGCTCTATTAAAGTGTGCTAGACGCCACTCCTCGCTGGAAGACACAACCTCTGAACATGGCACATTGCCAGCCAGGTTTGTGGGCGAATGGAGCGGAGGGCATGAAGTGTTGCATTTTCTACATCGTTCGCCTGTATATTCATGGCTTTTGCTCGAGAAATTCTTTGCTAAAAGGGTAGTCTAGGTAGCCAACCACTTCCTTGGGCGTATAAAACGTGTCGCGGTTGTATGCGTTGAGGTCCAGGCCCTTCTGAACCCTGAATGGCAGGTCTGGCGTGGAGATAAAATAGCGTCCAAACATGACGATTATGTCCTTTTCGGGATGTTCTTCGTCTACGAGGCGCCGTGCGGAATCCGGTCTAAAGCCGCCGGCAACCAGCAGAGGCCCATTCCAAAGATCGAAGGCGAATGTCAGCTTATCCGAGGCTTCCACATCGGCGTTGCCGGCAATTCTGGATTCGACAAGGTGCAGATAGGCAAGGTTGAACTTGGCCAACTTCCGAATGACGTCCGAGAACTGCGGGATGGGATCGTCCATTCGCATGCCGTTATAGGTGCTCCATGGGCTGAAGCGAATACCTGTTCTCTCCGGCCCGACGGCTTCACTAACGGCCTTGACAACCTCGACGGCAAAGCGGGATCGGTTCTCGATGCTGCCGCCGTACTGATCGTCGCGCTGGTTGCAGCGGTCTTGAATAAACTGATCGATGAGATATCCGTTGGCGCCGTGGAGCTCAACGCCGTCAAATCCGGCCGCAATGGCGTTCTTGGCGGCGTTCACGTAGTTGGCAATCTTGGCCTGGATGTCGTCGAGGCTTAGTTGCTGGGGCTGCGCGGCGTGAGAGTCCACGGGAAACGTGCCAGAGCTGACAATGGTGATGCCCTCACGCTTGGCCACCTCTGCGTCGGCAGCGCGGCCAAGAGCCCACAGTTGGCAGAAGATGTAGCTGCCCTTGGCGTGGACTGCATCCGTGACTTTGCGCCACGCGTCAATCTGCTCCTGATTGTATATGCCGGGAACATTGGCATAGCCGCCGTCGGCTGGTGAGATGAAGACGCCCTCGCTAATAAGCAGAGTGCCGGGCACGGAACCACGCTGGCTGTAGTAATCCGTCACAATATCGAGGGGCACATGCTCGTCGGACGCGCGGAACCGTGTAAGAGGGCACAATCCCATGCGATGGCCGAGCTTGAGATTCCCAAGGGTGAAGGGCTGGAATAACCGAGAGTTGCTCATTGTGTCTGGTTTTGGGGTTGGTGCGGGGATTTTGGTGGGGGGTATAAAGACGGCACTGAGGGCGAGGGGTTGAGAATGACCAGTCAATTGCAAAATTTCAATTAGATAAGTGTAGGTAGATCATGTAGTCATGCTTCACAACCAGTTCGCGCACGTCATTTACCGAGGAATTTCCGACCGCACAAGAGAAGCTACCATGCTACGCAATAGGAGCGTATTCGGGGTATTCTTATGTAAGTTCCTGCTCGTGCTGATTACAAACCTTGGAAGCAACGAGAATGCCGAGAGAAATCCATGCGTGGATATAATCCACCAGGGCCCCATGCAAGTTGGGCGGTTAGCCCCTGCAGTATTTTATAGTCCCCACTCGAGGGATTTCCGTGAGCTCCACACACCCTGGTCCCAAACCGGTATCAGATAACGGAAGTAAAATCCGCGTGCTGGGGATGTCGTCAGGGATCGGCAACTTGGCATGGCCAGTCGAGCTAGGCCACCAGTTGGCTATACTTGATACCCCAGATTTAGCACTCTGTGGGGAAGAGTCTGGGGAAAAAGTCCATGCCTTGTTCTGGCACGCAGCATGACTCTTGTGACATGACTCTTGGAACATAAGACCAGAGGTCCCTTGGTGCTTGATTTTATTCTTCTGGATCATTCATCATTCTATTTCGTCGGGCTTGACTACTGCTCCTCTGCGTTCTGCCTTGCCTGCCCACCCGTTTTTTTCCAAACGCCATCATGTTCAAGACCAAGGTTAGGGGGAAGACCATTAAGCGGATATTGTCCGCGAGCTGCGCTATTGTGAGGCTCGATCCATGAACCCGCCGCAACACCACCGGCTGACTAATGGGCTCTTGCTAGTCCTTTTGCATGTACGGATACGATGCGGGAGTGCTGGGGGGCATCCAGGAGACAAAGCCGTTCCTGCATGCCATGGGCGTGAGTCCCGAGCCCCTGATGGAAGAGACCAGACACCAGAGCCGCAACTGATGATGGATCGATCCAGAACCCCACCGGTACCTACGTGGTCCCCATGATTGCATCCGCCTACACGCTCGCGGCCGCAGTCTGCTCGCTCGCCGTGACCGTCATCGGGTTGCCTCTGGGTCGACGGATGTGTATCCTCCTCGGCAATGGGTTCGTCATCATTGGGGGCAGTTTGCAAGCCTCCGCTTGGTCTGTGCCTCACATGATCATTGGTCGAATCATGTGTGTAAGTTGCCTCAACGCTCCAGTTGCTTCTCACGCTATAGACTTGCTAATTGCGGATGGTGTATGCAGGGCATTGGTATTGGCGTGCGCAAAACCTTCCTTCTTAGCCGTTGGCCGGCTGCCCGTTGCTGACCAGCGTCCAGTTCATCTCCTGCTCGATCCCGACTTACCAGGCCGAAATGGCAATGGACGATGCACAGCGAGGACCAGACGTGGCCGTCACCTGTGTATACCTTGCCTCCGGTGCCCCCCTTGCTTACTGGGTTGATTTTGGCTTCACGCGCATGGACAACCAGATCTCATGGGTACGTGTTTCTATCCAATCCTGAGAAGCCGTAATCGCTCCGGACTGACCAGGCCTCTCCTATCCTCCAGCGATTCCCTATTGCATTACAGGTGGTTTTTGCGGTGTGTGCTGGCGGCCTTACCCTGATGCTTCCCGACACGCCAAGATGGTACTATGCCAAGGGGTACGAGGCGGACGGGGACGAGACCCTCTGTCGCCTGTTCGATACCCACGTCGACGATCCCAGAGTCCAAAACGTGAAGCAGTCCATCCTGGCCAGCATTCGCCTCGAGTCGTCGGACGAACGTGGCTTCCAGCTTCTGGATCTCATCTGGGACCGGACCAGTCTCCGCGTGGGCCGCCGAATCCGCATCTCGTTCCTCATTCTCGCCATTCAGCAGATGATGGGTCAGTACTCTCTCGGAAAAGGGGTGATAGAAAACTAACGCTCTTCTCAGGCATCAACCTCTCCGTGTACTACAGCACTGTCATCTTCTCACAAGTCGGCTTGTCCCAATTCCTGTCCCAGCTCCTAGCCGCCGTCATGAACACCGTCTTCACTCTGGGAACCATCCCACTGGTCTACACCCTTGAGAGGGTAGGCCGTCGCAATGTCTTGATGTACTCGGCCGCAGCCCTTACCGTATGCCTGGCAGTTTTTGTAGCCATGATTGGCCAGCCGAATCCGACCATGGCCACCCAGTGGGTCGGCGTCGGCGCCATCTTTGTCTACAATTTCATCTTCGGCTACGGATGGATGGGGGTTACCTGGCTGTACGGCCCAGAGGTACCAACCCACCCGGCTTAACCCCTGGTCCTAAGGTTTTGCTGACGTTCGGCCTCTTAGATTGCTCCTCTTCGCCTTCGCCACGCAGGTGCTGCCGCTGGTGCGTTCGGGGAGTGGGTTTTCGCTTTCATCACCGTCTTCGCCGGCGGTATTGCCTTGCAGAACGTAGGATGGAAGATCTGGCTTTGGATGACCCTATCCTGCTTCTTCGCCGTCTTTTTCGTCTACTTCATGTGCCCCGAGGTGAGCCCGAGTTCCCACTTGATTGAGTCCTGTCGCTTTTAGTTGCATCCCACTGACACTTGGCCCAGACCACGGGGAAATCATTGGAGGAAATTGACTTGATCTTCGCCAAAGACGAGGTCAAGGATAGTATCCTGGCCGCCCGTGTCATCAGACACCGTGGGGATAGCGAGAAGTCGGGGGCCAGTTTAGAGTGCATTGAAAATGCTTAAGGACATAACCCTGGTCTTGATGAACTAGAGTTAGTGTGAATGTCCATCACGCTTCGGCATAGACTTGAGGTCCTGTCACGATACCCAGGATATTGCAAAAATGACCGCGTGTCATTCGACGCTTTCGGAGGAATTATAGTTATTTACGCTTGACGACATTTTCTTCAATGGCTTTTGCTTCGTGCGAATCAATTATATTTGACGTGGAACCATACACTATTTTGTTTATCTGCTACTTGAGTGCTATCCAAAGATAATTTCTATGGCGTCCTTGTTATCTGGTTTTCTCAAGCCCAGCCATCTGCAGCTGCCTGGTTCTGTCAACGCCTGTATATAGGAAGCTTGGCAACGAACGTTTTTGTCTTCTGAACATCGTCAAAGTACCAGGAGTTGAAGAATGCAGAGGTGCAATGAATCTAAGCTTCGCTTGGGACGCCCAGGGCTTCGTCAATCAACATCAACATTGGGCCAGGTAAAAAGTCAAAATGAGGTTTCGGGACAGAAATACAAGAGAGCTCAAATGTTCAGTGATAGGTATAAAGCCATGTATGTGATTTACACAGGTGCGTAAGCCTCGATCCAAAACTCCGATAAAAATACATCATGCTTTCAACCGACCAATAAACGCCGTCGCATACTGGGGAACTGACATGGGACCATTATGAGTCGCCCGGGCGGCCACGCCGAGAAGAAGGAGCCAGACCGCCGGGGGCGTGGTTGCGAGATTCCTCCAGGCTCTACGGAAGACCCAAAGGCTCGAACCGCCCGTCATGGTGAAATCCGCCCACTTGGGAAACATTGTGGCCCTCCAGAAGGTCCAAGCCAGCCCGGGCCATGCGGCCGAGTTGCGGCCGGCATTGTTGATGTACCAGTTGCTGCAGCCCGCAGAGAAGACCGTCTCCTCTAAGACCCCATCTAGATCCTGGACGAACTTCTCCTCTGCCTCCTCCTTGACCTCGATAACGTCCGCGTATCCATCCAGGACTGGTTTGATCAATGTGGACGCGACGTAAGCGACTTGGACTTCCACGGCGTAGATGACGGAGTTAAATGCTGGGAACGTATTTGGCCCAAATCTAGAAATGACAGCGTTAGTGGATGAAGTGGGCTTAGTATAAGGGTGTGATGCTCACAAGATGGCGAAGTTGGGAAGGTTGCGCACGAAGGTGCCCATGTACGCTTGGGCGCCTCGGCGCTTGTCCCACTGGTCTTGGAGGCTCTCGCCCGTCTTGCCGATGACTTTCATCGGAGCGAGGAACGATTGCACATCAAAGCCCGTGGCCAGGATTACAGCATCGAAATCTTCCTTCTTGCCTTTCTCGCTGATAAGACCCGTCTCCGTGAAGCCTTGGAGACCTTCTGGGAGCAGTTCGACGTTGTCGCGGTGCAGGGATGCGAGATAACCTGGGTCGTAGATTCTCCTCTTGCAACCCAGTGGAAAGTCTGGAACAATAAAACTATGGTACTTCTCAGGAGCCTCTCGGTAGATGTATTGCCTCGCTTCTTCTTCTGTGGCCAACCTCTGCTTTACCTGCTTTTCTTCTGGGCCATAGACGGCGGCAAGCTGGTCGGTCTTGAGGAAGGTATCGAGCCGGTAGTAGCGTTGCCACAGAGGTATGTAGCGGAAGCAAAACTTGTCGAAGGTCGAGTAGGGCTTGTTGGGCCGCTCGTGGTACCACTGCGCGCCTCGGGCGTACTGGGTCAATTTCTTGACGCCTGGCGCAATGGATGGCACGACCTGGGCCGCACTGCAGCCGTTGCCAATAACGGCGACTCTTTTATTAGTCCAGTCAAACGAGTGGTCCCAAGCGGCCGTATGAAATATTCTGCCCTTGAATCGGTCCATGCCGGGGAACTTGACATCTCTGGGTTGCGAGAAACCGCCCACGGCGGAGATCAATATCGTACATGTCTCGGTGAACTTTTCGCCGGTAATACGGTTGACGAATGCAACATGCCACTGGCCGTCGACCCATTTCGCGCCGAGACATTCCGAGTTGAAGTGGAAGTGTGATCGTAATTGGAACTTGTCCACGGTCGATTCGACATCTGCCGAGTTATTAGGCCCTAGATCACTCCTGGTTGAACACGCATCACTCACATTTAAGAATCTCCTCCTGATCAGCCAGTGCCTGTGTCCAGTCCGGGTTGAGGTTGAAGCTGAACGAATACAGGTGGATGGGCACGTCGGAGCCACTGTCTTGTGGTCAGCCGTTAAATTCGATGAAAGACATTGCAGAGTCAATACGTACCACCCTGGATATGTGTTGGCTCGCCAAGTACCCCCGAGTCCTTCCCGCTTGTCGTATATCTTTGGACACAAGTTCAGTTTTGTACCAAGTCATGTTGGCTCCTTTCTTATTGACCTACTTGAAAATCCGTGTAACCAAGCTTCCACTTTAGGGTATGGGCCATGGAAATTCCAGCCACTCCTCCGCCAATAATTATCGTCTTGGGCACAGCCATCTCGTCGTTTGCTTGCGCGTGGAAATAACTGAGTAGAGAATGACGATGGAGTGAATGCGGAGGGATATGCTTTCAGGACGCAACCACTGTGAAGACGGATTGTTGGAGCATCTGAGCGATACAAATCCCCGCACTCATAAACGTAGAACCGGGGTAGAATGCCGAGAACACAACAAAGGCGCGTTTGGATATCCACATGTTCATCCGTTGCCAGCTAGTTGTGATGCACTCATCTCGGAAACGAGCGTCCCCAACTTCCTGCAGACCCGGCGTCCCGACATGTTGGGGTGCATGTCAGGGATGCCACAATTCCGCGGGATTATAATTCCGTTATCTATCTATCGAAGGACTATCGAATAATAGGTCTGGTGTGATTCGCCAACCTGCCCCATTACATTTCTGGTCCCTGTAACGTTGGAGTACCGCCTTTCCCCCATTTCATTTCGGACCTTGATTCGTTGGCGTACCGCGTTTATCCCCGTGGGTCCCATCCCATGGCTCTGGGACTCTGAGAGCTGTAAATCCAAGAAACCTCTCCAGGCATGCAGGTTATTAGCATGCGAAATCCTCCAGATTGAATGACGGATGAAGAAATACAAAGTACATATCACGTGAGTGTTCAAGTTTCTCGTTGCACAAGAATATTGTAACCTTCAGAGCACTAAAAATCGAGTGAGAGACCACGTGTTATGGGAAAGGGAGCATCAACAATGACAACAGAAGGTTCGCAGAGCGTCATGCGGTGGCATTTCTCTTTTTGTTCTCGTTTATTATACTGTCCTATACAAGCCTACGTCCAAAACAGACCAAGCAACGCACACGATAACCTCTATAAGCGCTCTCAGCCACTTTGGCGACTGACTCGTATAAGTCGGTAATCGGTGAAAAAGCCACCCGGAACGCCGCGGGGAAATTAGGTGGAAACCCGCCGGGGTCGAAGAGTCTGTAACTGGTGAAAGACGGCAGAGTCTGACGTCATTAGGCTTAAGGATATGTGGCCTCTTTGACGGGAGGGAAGTCGGCGAAGCGACGGCGAGGTCGACGATAATTTTCGGTAAAGTAATTGCACAATCTGCTAATACTCGTTAGATCGAGCATAAGGGTCGGCAACGTCGATGAAGTCGATGACAAATAGACTGTTCGGTGCGAGATGCCTAACTTGCTAATGATGGTATTTAGTTCCGTGGCGACGTCGAGGACTTTAGCCTCATTACGCACGTCGTCGGAATTGTTGCTTTCAACACAAACACATGCAATCAGTTGTCTGTGGCGACGCTTTTCTCGTAAGCGCGGGCGAGAGGGCACATTGACTACTTATATGCAGTCATTGTCGGACAATGCAGCAATGCAGGTAATCAGACGAAAGCCAGGGTGGTGGACTTGACTACATTGACTTGCCTGCTTCAGGGGACGCTCCGCATGTATACGAGCATGCTGTGGCGCTGCTAGCCACCGAATGTCTGGTGCCACAACCGGAGTGTGGGAACTCGGTGGCGGGGGTGGTTTGAGCCGTTCCTGGATTGCGAAGAGCAACTTACTCATGGGCAAGGGGTGAATGCTAGACTGCGATAGCGACTCCAAGATGTGGGTTGCAGTTTGGGGAAGCGGGGTCGGACTCCACCAACTTTGGACGTCCTTCTAACGCGTTACAGTCCATTGTTCGTGTCTCGAATTGCCGTGACCATCGCCAACAGAGGCCTAAAGAGTCGATGACTTCACTGAATATCATGGGCGGCAACAAACACATCACGACAGCCTGTACAAACTGCAGGCGACGCAAGATCAAGGTACGTGCCATGTGCAATGCGGAAATGGTGCTAACATATTTCTCAGTGCGATGGGAAAGACACTTGCTCGAACTGTTCGATGTCGAGGCTTGGCTGCGTTTACAACGCCGAGGCCGATATGAGAAGGGCATCCACAAAGAAGGCCACAAACGGATTACGAGCCCGTCTTGCGCAGCTCGAGCAGCTTCTCCGGGAAAAGAACATCGAGGTGCCTCCTCCGTCCCCAGAAAATCCAGAGCAGCGTCCGCAAGTCGATGTTCCGAGATCATCGGTGTCGGAACAAGAATCAAGAAGTACCATGTTGGACAATCGGGATTCTGCAGACGGGCGTGACCGATATAATGTGCGTGGAGATGCCATTGCAGATGACAACTCCGGCAGGGAAGGCACCAACATGTACGGCCACCTGAACCCTTCAGAAACCACTGGGCCTTACTACTCAGAGTTTGGCTCTTTTGCCCCCAGCTGCAGCAATGTGGAGCATAATGACCAAGCGTTTATGCTTCCACAGATGCCCAGTCCTCTAAGTCCACCATTTGCAACGTCAACGCCCGGATCCGAGAGCCGAACGAACGACGTCCAATCTGAAGGTGACATCACCGATTTTCTATCAGCTCGCATGGGCTCGCTTCAGATTGCGGAAGACGGGCAGCTGCGGTATTACGGACCGACGTCGAACTTGCACGTTCATCACAGTGGTTTCCAGTCCCTATCGCGGTCGAAGATCCGCCACGTGGCCAGCGAAGGCAGCGATATTCTGAGGCGCTTAGGCCTTGACCGAGAAGTGCCATTTTCTCTAGAGATGCACCTCGCAAGACTGTACTTCGCCTGGGAAGACCCGGCAATCCACGTTGTCGATGAGAAAACCTTTTTTGCAGAGAAGAGGAGGTGGCTTTCTGGGGATAAAAGCAGTCCTTACTACTCAGAAACCCTCAACAACGCCATGTGAGCAACCAGCCGAGTACACCACTGAAGCTATCTAATCATGCAGCAGATGTGCAATCGGGGCGAATCTGGCTGCTGGTGAGTGCCTTGACGTGCCGGAACCCGCTCCCGAGTTCTTTTCGTCACGAGCCAAGGCCCTCCTCGACATCGAGATGGACAGCCCTAACGTCGCCACGGTCCAGGCCCTCGTCGTCATGAGTGCTTCAGAAGCCGCATTCACACGTGACGCTCGAGGCTGGCTATACAGCGGTGGGTTAACTTGTCAATCCTTCTCAAACAGGAACTCGTAACTGAGCCTATCTTGTCAGGAATGGCAGCAAGACTCAGTACAGATCTCGGACTTCATCTGGACGTCACCAAGCATAATCATCGCGGCCTTCTCAGCCAGCACGACCTAGATATCAGACGTACCACCTTCTGGGGTGTCTTCATTCACGATAAGTAAGTACAGATTTGGTAGTCTCCAAGCCTGTTGACGTTGACTTGAATCAGCATGTGGAGCCTCTATGTTGGCCGGCCGGGGGGCATTGGCATTCCGGACATCACGGTGCCGCGTCCACCGAGTCACCTTGACGAGCCTGGGAAGACAATGTGGAAGCCGTATCCCATGCCCAGCGGTCAGTCGGGGATTCCGGACGAGGGCATCTTCTTTCCACTCGAAACTTGCACCGATGCTAACATTACGCTCTGCGAATTCATGCGACACATCAACATGACGCTGTACTCTGGTCGCATGGTGAGCATCGAAGCCCTGGTTCGCTTTCTCATCAAGACCAAAAAAGAGCTGCTGGCCTGGCTAGAGAACTTACCACCAGCCTTACGGTTAGCTGATGCGTCAGGCATGGAAAGGCCGCACGCTCCTGTAGTTCTTCAACTCCAGTGAGCAGCCACCTCTTCGCACCCCGAGTTTGGCACTAATGCAGAATAGCATGCAGTTCTACGCAACGCTCATCTCACTATACCGCCCGTACTTGTCCAGCAACCTAGTTGCGTCCGGCGAGACGCTCAGCTCAGCCGAAGACCGGGCTGCGATTCGTCAAGCCGCTAGCGGATGCGTCTCGGCGGCACATCAGATGGCCGAGACGCTGCGCTGCTATCGGAGACAGCACTCTCTCCGACAAAGTAACATACAGATGGTGCACATCATCTTCACCGCATCCTTGGTCTACATCTACGACGTCTGTACTCGGACCAGTCTCGAGTCCCAATCCTCCCTCAACGATCTACAGCTCTGCTGCCACTCCCTGGGCGAGATTGGCCAGTGTTATGGCAACGCAACGAGGGCCTTGGAAGTAATCATCCTCGTCAAGAGCGAGTGGCAAAGACTGTCTACAGCGCGGCCGGCCCGCAGCGCCAGCGGGAAGAGAACCAGCGTAAGCATGACTGCCGACAGTCGCCACAGCCTCAACGATGGTGAGGATGACCGGCACAAACGACGCAATCGCTCGTTGAACCTGGGCCACATAGGCATGGACTCGCTGGAACTACCAATGTTTCTCATGCCTCCCTCGTCTAGCACCATTGAAATGCTGCGGAACGATCACATGGGGCAGCCACAGCCAATCATCAATACGGTCGTCCCAGGGGCAGGCATCGGAGACAACAATAACGCTGTTTACGATGCATGGCAATGGCTAGACCGGGCCGACCTGGGCATGGGCAATCTACACGCACCGATGTAGCCGTTTTCCGATATAACGTCGCAGAATATGACGACAAACACTGGAAACCCGACGACTATAGATACGCATGGGGGAGGAACAGCCGGATGAACGACCATGTCAGCATCACTACTGATTCATCAATGTTCCCGATATGTATGTTGTACTTAACATACTATTCGTGATACCCCACCATGCACCCAACCCGTCTCTACAAATCGTGCCGCGACGGAGGAAAAAGTGCGGGGAGGGGTGGACATGGGTGATGGCGAAAGGAACTTAGTCATGGCATCGTTTGCAGGGTTACTGCCTATACTTCCTTGGCAGAAGTCATGGGTTCTGACACCACATAGTTTGCAATTATCGGCACCCCAGGGCGTCTAGCACTACATGAGTCAATGAGAAGTTTCCAGACCGGAACGTGTGTGCAAAGCTTACATCTTGCAAGTCGTCGATCGAGCTGGGAACTGCTTTGTTCGCACATGCTTGTCCAACCAGCACCGCTTGAGCTTTGGTCGAGCAGATAAGTCCAACATACCATTATACGTGACCATTGGATGAATTCTGATTGTGCCAAAATTTCGGGCGGCCAGTCGAATCGGAGCTGGTGTTCTTGACGACGCTCGGGCGGTGTAGCAGACATATGCTTGGGGGACGGCTCTGCTCAGACCCTTTTTCCTGGCCTGTTCCCATCCTCGTCGTAGAACTTACAGAGGCAGCCGCGGCAGGCTATGGTCCATCACTGCATCTTATGTATAGTACTGTGATTCCACCTGCGGTGATTTAGAAGTAATCAAACTACAGTAAATCCGGGAAGGAATCTTTAACACGGGGTACTGCGTGGCCATCCCCACTCGGTTCACAACACCTGCATTCCGGGATAATTTCCCTTGTGGGCCACGATACTCTCCTGCCCCACAGCGCGGAACCGTTTCCCGCATGTTTCGTCCTGCCACGAGAGAATGATTTCGTGGTGATGATAATCCTACATTCAACAGACGTGATCCGACTAGTTTGATGTCGTTTCTGGACAGCTCTGGTGACATTTTGTATGGTCTCAGGTGCAAGTATTCCATGGTCCCATAATGTCTAAACTTGCGCAACTCAAGAATCGGACGCGGAGCAATTACGGCTTCATCTTGGAATATAGGACAAGATGGTATGTGTTTGCGTGCCACCTAAGACGGACAGGGAAACAGGAGCATGCACTAAGAATGGCAATAGGAGCGACAATGATATGTATGGTCATATGAACAACTCGATCTATAATTTTATGTTGGTGCTTCCTGCTCTGCCCCGAAAAGCTGCGTTTGGATCTGCCCTCTAAAAACAAACCTACCAGGATCGACTCCGTCGTCAACGCCTATCTCATCGAATTCGGCGGTCTCAGCCCGCCCACGTCACGACAACGTGGACTCGTTGTTCACTCGCATACGGACTACTTCGGATCCATCTCATATCCCGCCGTCGCCGAGTTGGGACTTCGGGTCAACGCCGTGGGCAAATCTAGCGTGAGATATGAGGTAGGCATCTTCACGAGGGGTGTGGACGAGGTCAAGGCCGTCGGAGAGGTGGTACATGTCTTTGTCGATAGCGAGACGGGAAAGCCATCTGCGCATGGTATGGACAAGTCTATTTCTGATGCACTGCGTCGAATCCTGGACACGGGGATCTCCAGCAAACTATAGCATCGCTGGCCGTTGTTTAAGCTTATGTCTCCTTCCCGCCTGGTGAGGCTAATATGTCAACGTTTCGCGCAAGATTTTGACGTCATAGTAGCAAAGCAGGTAAGCGAATTCAACTATGGTCCTATCAATCAGCAAAGATTGACACCTCATTCCGCCCCTGAGCAACCCTGCATGCATCACCGAGTATGGAGTACCGCGGGATTGGTATTCCCGACAGACCCGTTTCCGCAATGCTCCACTCCGAGCACATTGCCCAAAACTACACATCCATCCAACCCTCATGAGTCCTACCAACAGATGGGACGCTGGGCGGACCATTTTTTTCCAGGATCGACCAGGAGCCATGACGCCGAACGACGATAACATGGATGTATCCAAAGCCGAAGGACATACCAAAAGGCCTGTTTTCCGAAAGAGAGCACCGAAGGCTTGCCTCAAATGTCGAGAAAGAAAGGTGGCATTTTTCTTTACCTATGCATTGCGTAAGGTCTACCCAAGTTAACTCGGGACGATAGGTTAGATGCAACGTTGTACGAGAAGGACAGCCTTGCACAAATTGCCGGCTTGATGGCCACGGCTGCGCGGTGACTCCCCGGGCGAAGAAACCGTAAGAAAGGGATAACGCATGTAGAGTGGAATCGTACTGACGCTGAAGCAGCCGTAAATGTCCTGGGGGAGCGACAGCAGCCAGACAGACATTAGTCGGGTCGTGTATTGCAGATGACGACATCTCGGGCCGCATTCCAAGCACAGTGCCGAGCTTGGAGCATTTAGACAACGTATCCGTGGACATTGATTGCTGGGGAATGCCCATTCTTGATATATGCCACTTTGACAGTCCTTCTGGGATGCGTACAGGCGATCCAACGCCCAAGGGCGGCGGGGGGGTCGCACACTGCCATGTACACGGGGAAACGGGCCAGTCGGCTCGTGAAACACCATCTTCAGAACCAGTACACTTCGAGGCTGAAGTCCTCTTCTCTTCGCATTCTTTTTTGAACATGTGGAAGGTTCTTGACATTGGGCATGGCGACATCAGGTATCTAGAGTCACAGGGATGTTTGCGCGTCCCGACCAAGTCAATCCTCGACGAGTTCCTAAGAAACTACTTCTTGCATGTCCACCCAATGCTTCCCCTCCTCAACGAAAGGGACTTCTGGGACATGTACTGCGGAGAGGATGTTGGACGCAGTTCTGACTGTGGAGACAAACTGTCTTTGCTGCTGCTCCAGGCAATGCTGTTCGCCTCTTGTAATGCAAGTCAGCCTGACCTCCCCCAATATGACCACTGGCTAATCAATAATTCAGTTTCTACGCCAAGAGAGTGTTCGGATTTTGGGATTTTCGACCATACAGGCGGCAAGAGCCTCCTTTTACAGAAGAGCCAAGGTACAAGGAAGAAAAGTTGCTAGATTGCTTGAAACCATGGCTGACAACTTGTGCGGCCAGCTCCTGTACGATTTCGAAACCGAGACGGATCCCATAGCGATCGCCCAAGCTGCTCTGCTGTTGACTTACTGGTGTCCGGGTTCCAGCTCTGGTCTGAAGCAGCCGAACAGCGCCTGGCTCGGTGTTGCCATCCAGCAAGCCAAAGCTGCAGAAGCAGACAAGTACGCAACAATGGCTACGGTCCATACCAAGAGGCAAAACATCCTCAAGCGTGTTTGGTGGTGCTGCATTATCCGCGACCGCATCATGCCCCTCTGCGTCCGCCGGAACATCCAAATCACCCGAAACCACTTCGACTTCAATGCCAATGCTTCCCTTGACTATGAAGACTTATCAGACGAGATCGAGCACTCGAGGGTGTACCATGGTGACTCGAAACGCTCCCTTACCGCTATCATGGCTCTGATGACTGAGCTGTGCGTCTGCCTCACCGATATTCTGGAATTGGTGTACCCTTTCAGGGACACAGCCGTTTGCGGTGCCGAGGTATTTTTGCAAAAGGTGGCACTGATCAAAGAGTATAGAGAGGCTTTGCTGCGCTGGTCTAAAAGAGCCACGATGATCCTGGCGGTATTCCCAGACACCCATGATGTGTCTCGCTTTGAGGAGGGCTCCCACAATGACTCAGTTGTACTATACACCAATCTGATTTGGATATATTACCAGTAAGAATCCACTCTGAATATATGTCGTCTTGGTTCCTCGAACTGACTGTTGTACCATAGCTCTTCCAGAGCAGCTCTTTGTAATTATGAACTACATATCTCCGTCATGGTGCCATTGCCAAGACTCAGCGAGGGTCCTTGGGAGTACCCGGCTACAATTCAAAATAATCGCAAAGAGCTATGGGACGCCACAACGAGTATATCCGACTGTCTGAAAAAGCTCATCCGGCTTGGCCTGACGCGCTGGTTACCGAGCAGCGCAGTTGGGTGCACGGCACTTCCACTAGCACTGCACATGCTCGACATAAAACTGTCTTCTGCCTCTTCTACTCCCGCAGAGATTCTGAGTGCTAATCCTCGAGTAGTCGAGAAGCAGAGGCGGCTGAATATCCTTATCCAGGCCATGAAAGAGTATCGTCCACAGCACGATTGTGTGGGCTGGGTGTCTAGGATAATCAGGCACATCATGGACTTTACACATCTCGATATTGCGACACCGCCATCTTGGCATTGTTTTGATTCGAAGTATGTGCCCTGGGAACAACATTATGATGGCGACTGGACGGACATTCTTTCGAAAAACCCAGCCTGCTATCTCAGGATGGCATTGGCCATCGACCTGAGTCTGAGTAAAGATCGTCTGCCAGAGGAGGAGGACTTTCCACAAAAGCTAAGGGAGTCACGGAGGAATAATGGTCGTCTACTGTCCGCTTTAGGCCCGCAAGCTAGTGGAGGCACTGCCAAGGCGGAGGAACAGCCAAGCTCCGAGCTGGATGACTTGAGTCCAGGACTTCCAGCTGCAATACTTCAAACCATGGCTGCATGGATTCAAAATGACCGGTCGCTGCATTTTGCGCAGGAAATGGGTCTGGGACTAAAGAGCTGGACATCGGAGGAGGAGGTGCTTGATACCTTTGACGCAGCCGAAGACGATGACAGAAATAACTTTCCGACTGAAGGGCTATTATCGAACGTCCAATTGGAAATATCTGAGAAGGAGAAATCAGCCTTTGGGGAAATCAACGAACAGATGGAGACTGGTTTGACTCAAACCTTATCATTATAGGTGTTCAATCTCGGTTGAATTGTGGCTTTTCACCAAGGAGTTGAAACCAATAGTAGGGCGGTCATAATATATTCAGGGGCGTTTTATTACTAGAGGTATGTTACGTAGTGCGGCCATGAATGTCACCGGGGCAATGATAACACATTTAATTATCGGCATCCTCTATTTTACTCTTTATTTTTTAGTCTTGTTTATGATACGGTCCTGCGCAAACCTGCGGCTTATAAAGACAGAGGCCTGATAAGCCAAGCATGACAAAACAGACCAGCCCCTCCCACTCTTTTCCCTAGGACGATTGGTATGCCTGATGAAACAAAGAACAGTTTTCTTTTGGATTTTTCGACGCAAGGCAACGTTCATGTCCTTTCCTCCAAGGATAACAGCCTATCTCTCCTTCTCCTCAGCGGCTAACTCCTATAGGTTGGTAATTGATGAAAAAGCGACCCGGAACCCAATTTGGAACGAAGGCAGAAATAATGGCGTGGTCGAAGAGCCTGGAGACCCTAACAAGCAACGGTGAAGTCGCACATTGAATTTGAGACTACATAGCCTCTTTGACGGGAGAAAAATCGGGCGGGAGTGGATGTAGCGATCGCGAGGTCGATAATGCCGTTGAGGCCGTTAGGGACCGACGGGTTGACTAGCGAGAAGCTAGTACGCTAGGTAGGTATATGTCTTAATTAAAAGGCCGACGAGGTCTATGATTTTCTTTACCACCAAACTGGGATAATTTCATGTTGACACATCCTAGCCGGGCTCTTTATTTTAGGAATTGTCACGTCACATGTCAACATTGAGGGTTGAAGACAGCATTGTGTACATCCAACTTGGCAAACAACCGTAACCTTCACGTCAAGGAATTTATCTAGGCATGCTGATATACACAATAAACTCGTCTATAATCGATGGTTCTGAATCTGTATGAGTGGAAAGAACTGCCTTAAGCAAGTGTGGCTTCTTGTGCCGCAGACACATCACAGCCGTGAAATCGGTATGACGGAGCTACTTTGGGCTATTTTTTCACCGGCGCCTTAACGTAGTAATAAAATATTGCGGATCTTATAGTATTGCTTGCGCGAGAAAGGACTCGATGGCTCTATATTAGACAGGAATTGGCGCAGGTGAACAGTGAAGCGCTATGTGCTCCAGCGCCTCATTCACCCTCCGGAGTGCCCTATGGACACACGAAAACATCCATAATTATTTACATGATGAGGAGCTGTCCAATATATTGAGCCATTCGTGCTTGTTTGACCGGGAAGATTATTCGCTTGGGTGTTCATTCTTCCGCTCGATGTTACTCTTTTGAAAAAGTAATTCCTCAGGCGGTTCATGGTAACTGATGAGATCTCTGGAAACTGACCTATTATTCCCTTTCAAAACAGTATTTCCACCGTCCCGATAAAGGCTTTGTAGAACCGTACAAAAGGAATGCCTTTGGTAAATATTTAGCTTCGGGACAAGTGCCAACCGCCAACCAGCTAAGACAAGGCTAGGCATTTCATGGAAATTGAATAGAAGCCCGCCAGAATCTTGTTACGGAAAAATCAAGGGCTCTAATAACGAGGCCCGGTTTCCACACTCAACGCGTTCCGGTTTGGTGGGAATGCCTACATAGTATCCGAGAGCAGCAGCAACGTACCCGAATCTACCATCCGTTATAGGCAGTTGGAACTGCCTAAGAATTCTGCAAACATGGGGGAAATGTGAGCATACCGTGGATAGAAAGAGCATTGGAACAGGGACGGGGACACGGGGGTGTTGAGGGGATGTTGAGAGCCAGTAGGCGGATGATTTGTTGAACCAAAGCCCAATTCCACGATCGCCGAACAGCCGCGCATGAGATATCAAATAAGGAGTCTTGCCGAGATGCAACACCACATGATGCCGAAAAATACAATTCAGGTTTCCCGGCTCATCACCAAGGTTTGTTTCTCCGCCAATCCGCATAGAACCGGGGCACTAGAATGTTGCAACATGACTCATGCCATGAAAGTATACCTTCCCGTTTCCACTTTTATTGCGAAACAAGATTCTCCGCCACTCGCTATAATCCTAAAGTTGGCAATACCAGGGTCAAGAAAAGCCAATTATAGCGTACTATATCGCTTCTCTATGACGACTCGCTGTTCCAAAATAGATGGCTTGAGTCATGATACTTAGAACTGCCCATAGTTCTCATCAAAACAGCCTGGGAATGATGATCGAAATGGAAGTGAAGTAGAGTGGGCGTTTCAATTCCATCTTGTCCATGTTTTCGTACAATGCCGCTCCAAGACATCACTCCAGAAGCCGCGCCCCCCTTGGGCATCCCTAAGCAGGGCGGGACTTGTTCGCTTTCCATCATCGACACCACATGTAGCCTCACAGTCCCCGCTAAGACGTTGGTCGAGCCGGCAATCCCTGGGCACGAGCTCATAAACTTGCCTACTGTGGCGTTTTTAATAACCCATTCGGCGTCTGGAAGACAGCTACTCTTCGACTTAGGATGCCGCAAGGACTTCTGGAATCTACCTCGTCCTATAGCTGAGATTATTGACGCCAAAGTTCCCGGAATCAAGGTTGACAGAAATCTAGTCGACATTCTGATCGAGGGAGGAATGGACATTGCCAACTTGGAGGCGGCAATTGTCAGTCATCATCACTATGATCACATCGGAGATCCAAGCACATTTCCGGCGTCGATGGATCTTGTAGTCGGTCCTGGGTTTTCGGTCCAGTTCTTGCCCGGTTACCCCACTTCCGAAGCATCTCCTGCATTCGAAAATGCCTTTGAGGGCCGCAGTGTCCGCGAGATGACCTTCTCGGACCAGTTGACGGTTGCGGGATTTCGAGCACACGACTATTTTGCGGATGGCAGCCTGTATATCCTAGACTCTCCGGGTCACGCAATTGGCCACCTCTCTGCTCTGGTTAGGACAACAAGCGACACATTTGTCTTCCTCGGGGGCGATATCTGCCATTTCAACGGAGCGTTCAGACCAACCAAATACGTTCCCATGCCACCGTTATTGCTGAGTCCCAGTGAGGTTGGGCAGTACAATGGTATGCCTTCAGCGGCATATGCCTGCTCGCTCTTCACTGGTTGTCATCCCGATCCCAGCAATGCTAGAACCTCGCCATACTACAAGCCCTGCAGCAGTGCCGACTCGTGGTATCTTGATCCTCCTCGCGCATGCCAGAGTATTGAGCATTTGAAAGCGCTCGATGCAGATGACCGAGTTCTGGTGCTGATTGCTCACGACCCGTCTATCATGAACAAATTTCCGTTCTTCCCAAATGGCGTGTTGGACGACTGGCATGAGGCAGGCTGGAAGCAGGGAATACGTTGGAGGTTTTTAGATGAACTTCCCGTGGACGGGAAGGCTAAAGAGTATCTGGTCTCTGGTACATATATGAACGGCAAGATGGTCAAGACACTGGATGGAACAAAAGTAGAATGAAGCTAGTCAGGCAATCCGCCACAACGCCAAATCATTTATCCTCTACTCTCTGCGTCCTAAGCATATTCAAAGTACAAGTATGTATTCTATTGCGACAATGCACTCTTTTATCTGACCAACTAACCTCGACCTCATGCTCCCGTCTACCTTTCCGCATCGAATATGACCTTGTTAACCTTCATCGTGTCGAATGCTTCGTAACCTTGGACGGCTTGACTAAGTGGCATGACTGTTTCAGTCATGAAGCTGCATCATGATTAGCGGCGGGTGCAAAGGTTTCGGAAGACTTGTCAACTCACTCCAAGAGATGTTGGTTTTTCTCAAGCAGTTTAAGTGCCCGTGGGAAGATGCCTGTCCAGTCGAGTTAGTTTAGATCAGCTCACCACGGGGAGGACTTCAAATTTGGCCTCATCGCTATACATACTCCTCACAGGGCACCTCCCCATCTGTATTGTCAAATTCTTCCCATAAGCTTGATTTGCACTCCACTAAAACAACGGCGGTTAGCAATCATCACGTTTCGCGTATTAAGCTATACTATCGGGGGGTCCAAGTCATGTCCCAAGAGCAAAAACTCCCAAAACAGGCGCCATCAGGCAATTGTTGCCCTTGAGTCAGACCAGAAAGGGACATGAAATATCTCGAAGTTGCGTACTGGTATTTCTCCATTGTGAACGCCAACACTTGAAATAGTGCCCCAAGGTCGAAGCAACTCGAATCCCATTTCAAGAGCTGCACTATGCCCTACGATCTCAATAACCACGTCGGCTCCGCGGCCATCGGTTAGTTCCTTGATGCGCTTGGAGAGACCCTCTCGATCGGTTTGATAGTTCCAGGGCTCAGCCCCAAGGCCTCTGGCTATATCCAGACGACTCTCGATGCCATCGACAGCCAACAAAGCCCTCGGCTTGTACTCCAAGGCAGCGATCAACCCGCAGAGCCCTACAGGCCCGCAGCCAATCAGCACGACGACGCTCTCGTTGGCAATTTGGGGCGTCAGTTTGCCAAGAGCATTGTCGGCTGCAAAGCATCCAGTTGGAAAGATGTCTGCCATGAGACAGAGCTTCAAGTCGTCGATGCCATCCGGGGCTTTGAGCACCGTCGTTTCCGCCAGTGGCACCCTTACATACTCAGCCTGGGCGCCATCCAGTAACGGGCAGCCAAAGAGGAGGCATTTCTCGCAACGCGATGAAACACCGCGAGTACAGTAGAAGCATTTGCCGCAGCTAACCGTAAAGGGGGAGACGATGGAATCCCCAGGCTTCAGCAGTTGCACGGCCGAGCCGACTTGCTCCACGACGCCCGTGAATTCGTGGCCCATTATGAAATTGGTTGCCGAGGGCTGGTGGCCGCGGAAGACGTGGAGCTCGCTGAAACGCAAAGGTTAGTGATGCCTTGGCGTCCTACCCGGACTCGTCTTACCTGCCACATAACGCCGTGTACCGCACCTTGACTATGATGTCCGTGGGGGCCTGAATGGTTGGTGTGGGTCTGTCCTCGACCACGACCTTCTTCACCCCTTTCAAGACTACTGCACGCATCGTATTTGGGGCCATGTCTAAAGGGTATCGATCGGTTTGGAGCTATTGTCCAGATTTAGCGATGACAAGCAATAATAGAAGTGATCTTTAAAAGAACAATGTATACCGCCGTGCTGAACTCGGCAATCGTACATGGAATAGGGCCTAGTTCGCCCTATTACATCAACCTCGGGTACACCTGAGTCATGCGTCTCTGCATTGGTCATGCATGGTTTTTCGGAGATGACTAAATTCACATCTACAGCTTGCTACGCGATTGCCTTGTTTGCTTGATCTTCTCTATCCGTGACTGTGACCAGAGAGCATACGGCAGCGTTTGCAACGCAAATTGCCTAGCCTTGATCCCACTTGCCTGGCCCTTTACCACTCTTGCAGCGATCCCTTGCATGATGACAGCGGTCCGGAAGTTGCTGAATGCCACGGCCCAGTCCATGTCCTGCGTTGTGTCCCAGCCTAAATACGCATGGTACCAGGCCTTGCACTCATCCATTCCCGGCAGCCCAGGCACATGGCCCGGGCGGAACTTGACTTGCACCTCTCTCAGATCGTCTGTTAGCGCCTGCTCTGTCAGCAGCGGTACTTCACCAGGTGACCATGAGAACGGCGACATCAAGTTGGCAAAATCAGAGAGCGGATGACCCTCAGTCGCCATCTCCCAATCCAAGATGCCAATCACTTCCGGTTTTGTTTTGTGGAAAACCAGATTGTCCAACTTGAAATCTCCGTGCACTAGTGTCCTTCGGTCGACGGGTTGTGTCTTAACATCTGAGAAGAAAGACAGGAGCTCCTCATAGTGCGGCAATGGCCCGACTTCTTGGCCGGTGGATTCGCTTGTTGTTCGAGCCTGTGCGATAGAAATCCTGCCGAGTGACGCGATCTGACGACTGTAGAAGCTGGTCGGCTTTCTCCACCCATCGAGTCCGATTTTCGACAGATCTACAGAATGCAGTTTTCCCAATGTGGCCACTGCTTCCTTCCAGCTTTGAATTTGTTAGCATGGTCGAGATTTTTGTTCATATATCGAGTCCAGAAGTGTAAACAAGGCGGCTCACATATTAGTGCGCTTTTCGGGGTCGAGACCAGGCAGCCAAGGCTCTTCGAATATCCTGCCGTCCAAGAACTCCATTATGTAAAATGCGCTTCCGATGACGGCTGGGTCCTCGCAGAAGCAATAGGTCTTGGGTACAGGCACGTTGGTCTGCTCTAGAGCCTTGATAACTTCGTACTCCCTCTCAATCCGATGAGCGGTTTTGGAGACCAGGTTACCAGGTGGTTTCTTCCGTAACACGAACTTATCCCCTGTCGATGAAGTAATCTCGTATGTGGGATTGGATTGTCCATGACTGAACTGTGAGTACTTGTAATCAGCCACTTCAGCTGATCGAGATTGCGTATCCAACAAGGGGGAAGATAGAAAACAAATACCTGCTTCAAGCTGAACGGGAGTTTTATTAGAGCCACATTCTCTTTTATGTATTCACTCAAAGCCGACGTATCGATTGGCTGTCTCACAATGCCCGCCATGGAGTCGCGGAGCAGAAAAATGAGCAAGTAGTGAACAACAAAAACTGCTATCGCCTCTATTACAGGCGGCCTTTTTATCTGAAAACAAATGTGATGAAGACGCTGTTGGGATGGCTCCTGAGCTCGTCCCCGATGTCAGAGGTCATGACTAAGTCCATATGCCTAGGGAAGGGACCCCTGAAAATCTCACCAATTGGGACTGGGGCAAGGAAACGCGACCCGCCATTTAAGTCACCGCCTCAATCTCTCATACTTGGGAACGAGATGTCGAGTGGTATTGTATATATCATCTTTGCTCTTCTGAAAGGCATCAACTCGTGCGACGTATAACCCCAATCTTGGTGTTAGCCATGACGTTCAAATCCCAAAGTCCCGACATAGACCGTGAGTGAAGGCAAGTCAAGCGATGTTTTACTTACTAACGTGCATCTTTAGTGCCCCATGACCTGTCATTGTGGTCTTGGCTTTTCGATTCGACGCAATCTTGCTTATCCAAGTACCCCCGGGACAAGATTCAGGGGTTCACCAATGTTGTCACCAAGCAACATGTGAGCTTTCAGGATGTAGAAAGATATACTACGTATGTCTCGACGGCCTTGACGACATTATGTGGACTACGTGAAGGCGATGTGGTCATCGTCTACGGAAAAAACTCCATCTGGTACCCCGTAGCTACACTTTCCGCAGTTCGAGTCGGCGCCGTCGCATGTGGCATATCGCCAGAGTATAACATCGAAGAGCTCTGTTTCAGCTTGCAGCTGAGCAAAGCTAAGTTCATCATGGCGACAGTCGAGACAGCGGATAAAGCCTGCGCCGCTGCGGCCAAGTCGGGCATTCCCAAGGAGAACGTGATTCTCATGGACGGCGCAAGAGTCGGCATGATGAGCATCCAGAGATTGCTCCAGTTGGGAGAGTCTCGTGGGGAGATGAAACAAGTCAGGCCATACCAGATCCCCAAAGGCAAATCCAATGGTGATGTGTGTGCCTACCTCTGCTTTAGCAGCGGCACTACCGGCCTTCCAAAGGCAGTCATGGTATCTCATGCAAACATCATCGCTCAGTGCCTCCAAGTACAACAGATTACACCCCCCGATCATGACAAGGTCCTCGCCGCGTTGCCATTCTACCACATCACGGGCATCGTACACCAGCTGCACCTCCCTATCTTGCTCAACGCCCACGTCTACGTACTGCCCACCTTCACCCTGGATGCGTTGTTGCAAACAGTGGCAGACTACAAGGTCAAAGAACTGCTGATAGTACCACCCATACTCATTCGAATGGTCCGGGACGAACAAACCGTGTCAAAATACGATCTTTCGCATGTAAAACGTTTCTCCTCGGGTGCCGCACCCTTGTCTCAGGAGATATTAGCACTACTGGAAAGCAGGTTCCCTGGCACGGGCTTCAAGCAAGGCTATGGAATGACGGAGTCATGCTCGGCCATAACTTCGCATCCACCCTCCAAGTATGCGTACAAATATGCCGACAAGGTTGGCATGGTGGTGGGGTCGACCGAAGTGAGAGTGGTCAACCCCGAGACGGGAGAAGACTGCAAAGTTGGCGAGGCCGGAGAAATATGGGCGCGTGGTCCACAGGTGGCCATGGGCTATCTGAACAACCCCAAAGCAACTGCAGAGACCTTTGACAAGGACGGGTTCTTGCACACTGGGGACATTGGGAAATTCGACGACGAAGGGCTGCTCTCCATCACGGACAGGATGAAGGAGATGATCAAGGTCAAGGGCATAGGCGTCGCGCCGGCAGAGCTCGAGAATCTTCTGCTGGGCCACCCATCAGTCAGCGATGCCGCAGTGCTGGGAATTCCCGACGAGACTGCGGGTGAGAGACCCAAGGCATATGTTGTCTTGAACCCAGCGGGGGGCTTGTCTCCTGCCGATGCAGGACGGGCTCTGATTCAACTAGCAAAGTCCAGCAAAGCAAGACACAAGTGGATCGCCGAAGTCGAGATTGTTCACGAGATACCGAAGAGCCCTGCTGGCAAGATACTGCGACGAAAGCTTAGGGAAACGTCTCCACAAAGCAGTGGGAATGTCATCGTTCAGGATGAATCCCGAACGTCAAGACTGTGACATGACTGCCAGGCAATCGATCTATTACATTTTTTTACAACTAAAATTTGACTGAATATAAAACACTCTGATACCAGAAAATGTGACAATGAGATTGATCTCAACTCTCTTCCAGAAGCCTGAGATAGAGATAGAATAATCCACCATTGCACCAGGTCACGCCTAGTCCGCAAGCTCCATCGGACCGGTACCCGTAATAGGAGAGATACCATGCTCAAAGGCCAACCAGGAGGAAGATGGCCGCTATGGGATTCTCGAACCCTGACTTGGAATGACCTTTGTCATGCCATCAGCCGAAAGTTGCTTAGCGTAAGCTCCAAGCTGCACTCTATCCCAACCATCCATGCACCATTACACCCCTCGTAATTGATAAGAGGCCTGTGCTGATATATGAATAAATATACAATATTCGTCGCTTGGTTTCATCAGGGGCAATCTATTCGCTGTTTCTCACTCTTTTCCTGCATCACCTACGCGACCTTCTCAACGTGGTTCGATTCTCACACAGCCCAACATGGACATTCCAGCATCCGCAAGAATCCCGGCCAGTGTGGTGGACAAAGTTAGCAAAAAAGCACAGCAAACGCTCGACGAGGTATTTTCCAGTACACACATCCCGCGAAGAGTGCCATGCGGGACTCTAAGCCCGGTTCTAACGGAATGAGCAGGTGGAGAGTTTTGTGCAAGAAAAGTGCATCCCAGCGGACGCCGTCTTTGCCCAACAGCTTGGCCGCGAGCCTCGCGGGCGTTTCGCCTCTCATCCAAAGGTGTTAGAAGACCTGAAACTCGAGGCACGGCGACGAGGCCTGTGGAATTTATTCTTGGCTAAAGGACACGACGGGAAAGGCGCCGGATACACCAACCTGGAGTATGGATTAATGGCCGAGCAACTTGGGCAAAGCCAAATCGCGAGTGAGGTATGTCTCAATAGCTCTGTGCTGGTTCAAAAAGGAGCGAGAGCTGTACTAACAGTGCCGGATCGACAGGCAATGAACTGTTCTGCTCCGGATTCAGGAAACATGGAGGTTCTGGAAAAGTTTTCGAATGCTTCCCAGAAAAAGGAATGGCTAGCACCATTGCTCGACGGAAAGATACGATCTGCATTCCTCATGACCGAGCCAGACATTGCATCAAGTGATGCAACCAACATCAGATTTGACATACGGAAAGAAGGTAACGAATATGTGCTCAATGGCAGTGTAAGTCACATTCAATAAGTATTACTTACCCCTGAATAATTGGGGGATCTGTGGCTAAGTTGCTGTTTCACGTCTAGAAATGGTGGAGTAGCGGTGCCGGCGACCCAAGTTGCGAACTTTACATAGTCATGGGCAAGACTGATGCAGACAACCCAAACCCATATCGACAGCAGTCGGTTGTTCTAGTGCCATCTCGGACGCCTGGAATCATAGTACAACGTATGCTGTCCGTTTTCGGATACGACGACGCGCCCCATGGCCATGGCTACGTCACCTTCAACAATGTACGCATCCCCGCGTCCAACGTCGTGCTGGGGGAAGGCAGAGGTTTCGAAATAATACAGGGCCGACTCGGACCTGGAAGGATACACCACACCATGCGGTGTATCGGTGCGGTAAGACGCCTAGCATGATGCAACCCAAATAGTCTTGGTCTGTCGACTAATTACTTTTTGCAAATTCGACTTTAGGCTGAGCGTGCCCTTGGACTGCTGCTTGCTCGCATACATGAGCCTACAAAGAGACCTTTTGGGAAGATGCTCCACGAACACGGTTTGGTGCTGAGCCAGGTCGCCCGAGCACGAATTGAGATCGACTCGTCTCGACTCGTCGTGCTGAACGCCGCTATCAAAATCGACAACGGGAATGCCAAGCTAGCCATGGCGGAAATCGCAGAGGCCAAGATCCTTGTGCCCCAAATGCTGGGTCGTGTCATCGACGATGCCATTCAGGTCTACGGTGGCGCCGGCGTCAGCCAGGACACTCCTCTGGCGTACATGTGGGCCTGCGCCAGAACTATGAGATTGGTGGACGGCCCCGACGAGGTCCACCTGTTGCAGCTTGGAAAACGCGAAAGTCGGCGTGCCGCTGGGGTTAGAGAGCGGCTGGAGAGGCAAAAGGAGCTGGAAGGGCAACTCTTTCAGCATTACGATGTGCAGAAGGTCGACCCCCTGTACATGGGATGGACATCGGAGACGAAACCGAAACTATGAGACCAGAAATTTTGGCAGCACTTTGGGGGTTTCATTTACTGGGTTCATGAAGTGATCAAGGCGTCGGGGGCAGAAATCGACAACGGAGTTTTGCAAGTAGAAACACGTCATGACTGGCAGCACGAGGGCTTTTCCCAACTCGCTCATGTTTTGATTGCAGAATAGCACTGTGAACATGGTGCTTACTGTGTGCAATCGGCCCGGAGGAATTCGCATTGCTCTGCATAGAAACCGACCTTTCGTGGCTATTATGCTTTCCCATGAACTTTCGAAATCCATCTTCCAAAGTATGGAGCATCGGGTGTGGCCCGCATGGAGAGTGAGTGGCTGAGCCAGGATTGCTCTACCTTAGTCAGTCCTTGAGTCTTGAAGCCATTCTCTGGCCCACATAGACCTATCCCGAGGCATACAACCCCGGCGCAAGCTAGGAAAACACCTTGACATGACTAAGGCCATTAAGCGGAGAGGGAGACCCACTGAAAAACATGTTCGGATCTGAGAAGCGACCCGTCGCTGCGCAGTAAGGTGTAGCTAGGCTCATGACTTTGCAATGGCTGTAGGGTTGCACAGCTCAATATGACTCATTGAGCTGGAAGGCCATCTCCACTGTAGAGGATGGTGTCTTCATCGCCCTAGAAGCGATATAGCTCCATGCTCATGTGATTGTAATGAAAAAGGCCTTCGTCCGTGCAAGATAGCCTATCCTGCTTCGGGCCGGACTTGCTTGAGAATATTCGCACTCCTCTATTCATTGTACAAGCTATTATCAATTATTTCACGATGGAGCTCGAGCCGCATCTCACCCAACTCTTCATCAACAACAAAGTAAGATGATGCAACACCCTCTAGTCCGTGCCAGTTACATGATGCTAATGGTGGTAGTTTGTGAACTGCCGTAGCAAGAAAACGTATGTCACAACTATATTTGGGGAACATCGGGGTTTAACATGTGAAATGCAGTGTATCAGTATTCAACCCTGCCAATGGCGAGCTCGTTAGCGACCAAATCCCCGTTGCTGGTAACGAGGATGTCGATGAAGCTGTCGAATTCGCAAACCAGGCTTTCGCGGCTAATTCGCCATGGCGCAAGATGACCAATGTCGAGCGGCAGAAGCTTCTCCTCAAGTTCGCAGACATATTGGAGGCGAACCAAGAACGTCTTGCGTACCTGACGCGGCTGACTTTGGGTGCACCATATCTGCCCTTTGGAAAATCTGAGATAGATACAGCCATTGGCTGTTTCCGATGTAAGCCTACCAGTGCACCGCGCTGCGACGTCGGGCCACTAACCAAGTTCCAGATTACGCCGGTTGGGTGGACAAACATGCCGGCCAGAGCTTTCCCGCCGATGATGGCTTCTACAAGATTGTTCGCAACGAGCCATTGGGCGTAGTGGCAGGGTGGGCCCCATAGTTTCGAGGCAACGCTGCCGCAACTTGCTGACCGAGGTCCCAGCATCATTCCCTGGAACGGGCCGCTGGCATCTGTCGGGTTGAAGGCAGCCCCGGCATTGGCAACTGGGAATGTCTTCATCCTGAAGCCAAGCGAGAAAACGCCACTGATGGCAGCCGAGCTCGGTAAACTCGTCATCGAAGCAGGGTTTCCTCCTGGCGTCTTCCAGGTCCTGACGGGAGACGGAACCACAGGTGCTGCCCTTGCCGCCCACATGCGCGTCGCCAAAGTCAGCTTTACGGGAAGCATTGCCACGGGGAAAGCGGTGCAAGTGCTAGCGGCAAAGAGTAATCTCAAACGTGTGACGCTGGAGCTAGGAGGGAAAAGTCCCGCTGTGGTGTTCGACGACGCAAATCTGAAGAATGCAATTGATTGGTATGAAACACCCTCTTCTCCCTCAAGCATCTCTGTGCTCGTACCCATTGGGCATCGCTAAAGTGTACACAAGGACTGTGAATGGTCTTCTCACCAACAGCGGGCAAATATGTTTCGCGGCATCGAAGGTATACGTTCAGTCGGGCATTTACGACAAATTCATTGAGGCGTATGCCAACGCCTTCAAAGCCAAGAAGAGTGTAATTGGAGATCCCGAAACAAAGGGCATTGAGTTAGGGCCTGTCGTGGACAAGGCTCAATATGATCGCATCATGAACATCATCTCCACTGCCCAAAACGACAAGGAGGGGACATTGCTGTGTGGTGGAAACGCCATGGGATCCAAGGTAACAGTTGCCACTCAGAGCACATCTACTCGGGTAATCTAACCGCCGCGGCAGGGCTACTACATTGAACCCGCGATATTCACCGACACGAGAGAGGATGCTACCATCTACAAGGATGAGATATTTGGACCCGTGGTCGTCATCAACAAATTCGACAGCGAAGAGGAAATCATCCGTCTTTCCAATGACAGTAAATATGGACTGATGGCGGGTGTCTTCACGCAGGACATCAGTCGTGCGCTGCGGTTGAGCTCGGCCATCGACTCGGGCGTTGTTGGGATCAACTGTATCAGCACAATCACCTTCTCGTGTCCATTTGGGGGGACTAAGGAAAGTGGGCTAGGGAGAGAGAACGGGGAGCATGCCCTGCGCGCATACACCGAACCTAAGACGGTCTTGATCAATATGAACTACTAAGGGTGGATGGCGTCGCTGCTCATTGTACTCTTACTAGATCGTCAGAGTGCGACCTTTAGAAACTACGTAAAGTGAGCAACAACTAGCCGTCTTCACGGTGATTTTATGTGCGAACGAGCCGCCTCCCTGTACCCACACTCAGCCCCATCTGCCGTAGCTCCATCACTATTCATGGGTCGGTTAAGTACGACGATATGTATACATGGTAATTCCGTAAGGAGCATTGATAAGATTTTCAGACCCTCTACTTTGATAGAGTGCTTTCAGAGGAGAGATTAAACGACGTTCGAGCTTTACCGCAGTCTAAATATGCTACATTATTCGTAACAAGAATGTTAGACCTCACTTCGGTGAGCGTAAGACAGACCTGAGGCTTTCAGTAGATGAGTAGAAAATATTCGTCTAACAAGTTCGGCGTTGAAGTAGAATCGATGTATTTCCTTTCAGTACCCGTTTTATCTATCCCTTACTATTCTAGATATCTATATTAGTTACTGTTATGTTCACCTGACGCTCCGCCCTCAACCGCTCCTAATTTAAAAATGTATAGACGAACGGAAGTAGTAGGTAGAGAAACACATAAATTAGACGCCAGAGTGAGAGCGACGCGTGTTTTAGACGGGCGAGACGTAGGTTACTGGCGGATCGTATCGGAAGTAGTACGCAATATAACATATGAATGAGCCTTCTACCCCAAGTACGAATCATGGTTGCGCTGTCAGTCTATCTCTGTTGACGAATACTAGACTAAAGATACAACAATACCATCTTGCAATACTAGTGCCCGTTCCTCTGTTATAAGGAGAACGGGTGCATGTAGGTAGGACACCCATACTAGGGTGTCCCTGTTCATAGTCCAGGTACTGGACATCGTGACCAACGTCACACACACACTAACGAACCTTATCGAGAGGAGAGTTACGTCAATTACTTTACCGGTATTTTCTCTAGACTTAAATTCAATTAAGACAGCATAATACGAAATAAATGACTATATGAAGGATACGTACGGCTATATTAAGAAGCCGCCGTACGACTAACTTCGAGGCTAGGCCCGGGTGGCTTTCGACTAAATTAACAAGAAGTATCTGAAGGGTCTGCTAGATATGATGCCGTAACGTAGCGAGGCCTGGTTAATACAAATAGGGGTGCGATAAAGTAGTGAGATACATAGAGATGGGAGGGTACGGCCAAATGCAGGGCCGAAGGCCTACAAAACCCCACATCAAGCCAGAATTAGCCATCAGACAAGAGAAAGAAATCCATCTTTTTTGGCCTTCGCATAAATCTCATAGCACAGGGTTTGGGGTTTGTGTTTAGAGCCTAGTACAAATTAGGTAGTGGTCGAAACACACTGTGGGCCCGCAACATTTCGGGAGGTTTGAATAACCCATGATACTATAGTATGCCGGACACTAGCTATCCCTACCGCCTGCTTAGCTCCACCTCATCTTTCTAGATAGCTCTCGATCAATCCGGTTAGACGTTCAAGGCATAGAGAGCCAAGGCCAACCAACATGTAATGAGAGATAGATTTCAATAAAATTGCCGAGCTAGTTATTTGTTACGGTTGGGATGGTTAGGTTGATTCAGTGGTGTATCGACTGTTCGTTGCCTCTCTGCGTCCTTCGACTGCGTAGGTCTGACTTGTGCTTAGCTCCATCTCCGTCTCTTCTGCTCTCCACATATGGACTGTCCACTACGACACCTTGTTTGTAAACTAGTCGCCTGTGACAGGAGTTCTGACCTGTCTGATCTGTCTGATCCGCTAGGGTAGTCCCTAGGGGTTATATATTTGGGTTAAAACAAGGTTAGCTTGTATGATTAACGATATTATTTTATACTAATTGTGGGCAAACGCAAAAGGGTGGTATTGGTGACGATGATGATAAGACCAACTCCTAAAGGCTGCAGCTACGGAAGGGCTGTCCATGGGCAGCTAGCCCAAGCGCTGCACCTAGCACAGCACGCAGGCGGTGTGCCCGGGACGCAACATTAATACTAATACATGGTTTCTCGATATGTATTAGTCTTTTTTTCAATCCGTGTTGCCGTGCGGGGTCTGGTGTCCACTTCCCCGTTTTCTCCCCGCAGATGTGCTCAACCGAATTCTATCAATTTCATAAGATCAACTCGGTGTCACACAGGATGCAGGGCAGACGTTACTCTTTGCCGTAACTTTGTTATTTCTGTCCTCAGTACCATGTCCGACTCGGACCCGGGTGGCATCGCACTTGCGGGATCCTCTAGGAAGCGTGCTAGAACAATATCCAATCTTACCGAGGAGCAGATCCAACACAAGCGCAGCGTTGATCGCAAAGCTCAGCGTGCCTTTCGCCAGCGGACAAAGGACTGCATCGCACATCTCGAACAGCAGTTCGCCCAAGTCCAGGAGAGGTGCGCCCAAAGGGAGAAAAAACTGCTGTCGCTGCGGGAGCAAAACAAGACCCTCCTCCGCTGTCTGGAGACCATTGTTGACCTGGCCTCGACCACGCTGAGCCAGACCATCGACGATGCGAGCACGAGTGATGGCTCCGGTACGACCGCTAATCCCCAAGCCCAAGCCTTGGACGTCGCTAAGTTCATCTCTTAGAAAGCGGTAGCAGCACCCAAGGATGCGAGGGGCGCCATCAAGGAGATGCTGTCCAAGGGCCCGACTCCCAGCACACGTTTGGAGCGCAGGGCATGCACTCGCCCACCGTTTCTGAGCCGGAAAGACGCCAAACTGATCTGCCAACACAGGCTGCACAAATGCAGCCAGATCATCCCCATTATGTACCCGATCGCTATTCATTCACGGGAGGCGACTCGTCCTACACCGCCACGTCGACCGCTTCTGTGAGCACGAAGGACAGCCACGCGTCACCAACGGAAAGCTACCAGCTTCCACGGCCTATTTTGAACGCTGCACAGTTCTCGGTGGACCCGCAGATTGCCCAGACCGCTGACGACGCGTCCCGGACCGAATCCTTTGCCGCGCTGCCAACTCCCTGCAGTACCATGACGGTGGATTCACGATATTACGTCAAGCCAACTTCCGTCTTCGCCGTTCTTCCTTCCCACTTGCCCTCGACATGCCCTCTGGACCAGATACTGCTCGACTTCCTCAGCTCCCGCAGAGACATGCTCTCCAGTGGCATGCCCATTGAAACGGTCATTGGGCCGCGGAAACCAACAGTCAAGGCTGTCATCAACCCTGAGCTGGTCACTTCTGTGCACCCTCTCAGTGGAGTCCTGGCTGGGGTCTTGTCAACCTTTCCCTATGTCGGACAAACGGAGAAGCTGGCCTTCTTTTACCTCATGTGTCTAACTATGACGGTAGGGTGTCTCTAGACAATTCAATGATATCAACGGCTAACAACGACAGTGGCAAGTCTCTCCCACCAAAGAAAATTACATGTCCATGCCGACATGGCTGAGGCCGACGGTGGCGCAAATTACAATCCCACATCCTGTGTGGATAGACAACATTCCGTGGTAAGAAGAAAAGGCATAGCACCAAGAAGCGCGCTCCACTAATAATGGCTCCCCAGGCCGGGCGTCCGGGACATATTGATAGAGAACTCGGAGGATTTCCCGTTCCAACTATTTTCCGACTACTACTCCCAGAACGTGACGGTGAACTGGCAGTTTGACAGCCTCGACGCTATCTCGGATATGGACAACGACGCTGTATTACATTCGATTTTCGAGAAACACGTTCGTAACCTGAAGAACTGGACCGTCTCGCCCGAGTTCCACACACGCTTCCCCGAAATGGTATCCGCAATCTACGCTGACGACTAACGCGGACTCCAATATTCAACAACCGTATAATGCCGAACGGGGGCATTGCCTACCGAACTGATACGACGACACCGAAGGTATGGATGGAATTCGGCCTATGTATTTTTTTTTTGCCTCTTTGTAAATGACTGCTGTGGTGTCTTGCTGGCTTACATGCCCTTTTACTTCACTGATTCGCTCGTCTGTATCCTTACTTCCTCCGTGTAGAAGTTGAAAGCAGGAAAGATCAACAAGAAACAAAAACTGAATGAAGAGGGAAACCTTTATTCTGCAATCACCCACTTTCTGCATACAAACATCGACTACTGTTTATTTGATGTTGTACGGGCGATTTTAGCCTCACAAAGAAAAGCCGAGCTACCCCCACCGGCTCCGGCTTACATGGTTCAGATGTCGCAACATTGACATCAGTCCAGAACGATTCCAAAACGCCCGGCAGCGTTCCCAGAATTCATCAAGTCGATCAGCTTGTGGATGTCGTGGATGCTGTTGAAGGTGGTTATGTGTGATTTGATGCCATGCTCGTGACTGAACATAATTGCCTCTGGCATGTTCTGAGGGATGCCGCTACTTCTTCCCGCAATGCGATACTTACCCAACAGAATATCCAGGGCGCTGATGGACAATGGCCGCTGGGGAATACCGGCAACCATCAAAAGACCGTTGATGCTGTAAATTCACACGTCAGCCTTGCTTGGTGCCCCACGCACATGAATGTGCTTATATTCAGTGGGCAACATACCGGAGGGCCTTGGGCGCGGTCTCATAGGCTGCATTAGATGCACTGAAGACGGCAGCGGCGTGACAGCCGCCATTGGTGAGCTCCTTGATTTTGGCCTCATAATTGGGCTCCTCCATGGTGTTGATGACGATGTCGGCACCCAGTGTCTTGACTGCCTCCAACTGGGCATTCGAAATATCCAGTCCGATGGTCTTCAACTTCATGGCCTTCGCGTACTGGATTGCTTTTAAGAAGAACACAAGTTAGAGATTATGCCAAGAGATGCCTAGCAAGTGTTTTGATCGCCTACCGAGATGTCCGAGGCCGCCGCACCCGACGATTGCAATCCATTGTCCCTCTTGCAGGTTGCAGCCTTTTACAGCATGATAGGCTTGTGGATAGTCAGCAATGATATGGCCAGAAGTAAAGCCATGACAGCAAGCGATGTCGTCGATATGCCTTACCAGTGATGCCGGCGCAAAACAGCGGTGCCGCGGTTATCATGTCCATGCCGTCTGGCAACACCATTGCGTTTCGGCAGTCAGCCACGGAATATTCTGCGAAATGTCCCTCGCACGAAAATCCATGCATCCTCCCTGTTCCCTTCTCACAGAAGAGGTTGTGCACTTGGCAGCCTTCGCATTCATCTGTAAAGGTCAGCATGCAGGCTGGGAACGAGTATCAGGGGCATGGGGGGTTCTTACAGCAAGCATAACTACAGCCAAGGCAGCCCACCGGGTCACCTATCTTGAAATTTTTGACGTCCTTTCCGAGCGCAACAACGAAGCCCGTGTTCTCGTGGCCGATGGTTATGGTGTCTGTGGGGGGTTCTTCCGCAGTATGGCCCCAGAACAGCATCTGTGCATCAGGAATCACTTGTTAAGGACAGCCCAGACAGCTCTACATATGTATCGAGTACGCACCAGATCGGAGTGGCATAGCGACGCACACCTGGTCTTGATGAGGATCTCATTGTCCTTGCACGTCGGAATAGGTATGTGGTTAACTTCGACCTTATTTGTTTTCTACGACCGTATCTGTCAGCTAGAAGCAGTTGGGAGCGTGTGGGAGACTTGTCGGAAGATGCTTGCCTTATTATACTGCGCCGCATACATCAATCCGGAATCTAGAGAGCCCATTGCGCTGAAGTCCAAAGAATAGTCGTCAGGTACTATGCATGAGGTTTAATCAGAGGTATGCCACATAGGTTGCGTGTCTATAGACGATCTAGATGGGTTGCTTTACAAGGAAAGGTTATGCAGCACTGGTATCGCGGATTAATATTGTGGCAGGCTCATTAATAGCTCAGCAACGGACAATCTTCCCGGGTGCGGGTGGGGCTCCTTCTACTAGAGGGCCCCTCTACAGCGCAGGAATTATACTGTTGCAGCTGTTATTGTAGGTGATGCTGTCTTTGGCGTGCCAGCTACACGCAGGCGAAAGCATCGTGGCACACGCGACAGGGTACAGGTGGGGGGGGCGCGTTCTGCACTTAGTAATGACAGGCCACCCGGGCGCGGCACTCATAGGACCGGATCGAAAGGCTGGACATGACACAGTGCATCGTGTGGAGACCGGAAGGCTGTAGCAGACTTGACATGACTCATGACGTCTGGAGTATTCGCCATCCATATCCATCATCCATCCACCCACCATCGGGAGGGGTATCGGCGCCCATAACAGAGAACCAGTCAGGTTATTTAAATTGGCGGGCACTGCGTTGTTCTGGAGAGCGCATCGCTAGAAGAATGTAGAATCTAGAAGATGACTTGAATGAACACTGTACAGGTTGCCAGCCCCTGAGTCCTCCTCCTGCACATGACAGCTCCTGGAGATTGAGCGATTCCGGAACGCAGAACCAGAGTCACATTCGAGGCATTATTGGGATGGAAACAATCGACGTCATAACGTTTTGCTGCGCCTCATATGAGGCAGAAGAAGTCACTATGCAAATTTGATCTGAAAAACATTGAGGGCGTATCTTTGATCAACTTGGTAATTCTATCGCGGAGTACACTCTCCCGATTGGCCCGACCTTGATATGGTCCTATTCAAGCGTGCAAGGGGCGTCTACTAGATTCTACCCCGTTCTAAAAAGCGGTTTGGCACTTGTACTAGCTTGCATCGCAGATACTCTGCCAGATTCTTCCCCAACACGTCGTAAGTCGAACTAGACGCCACGCCACGATCTAAATGATCTTTAAGAAGGAAGTGAACGGCTGGGAATATGATGTTAGCAACGTCACAGCAAGTGGGAGACGGGCATGCATGGAAGGAAACATACCCCAGAGGTTTGGAAATTCGAAGCGGAATATGGGCTTTCCTTTGTCGTCCTCGCCAAGCAACTCGCGCACCTTCTCCACGGTCAACAGACTCCGGAGCCAATCCCACTCATCGGCGTGGCGCACGAAGAAGCCCACATTGCAATCCGAACCCTTGTCGCCAGATCTCGCATGGACTACGTAGCCTAGTGGCGCCTCGGTAGTAGCTCCCAGCGTCGAAAGATCAATGGGATTTGACGTCTCATATGTCGATTGTTCGTAGACAAAGTCTTGCGTATCTGTAGGCGCCGGGATTGGGATTTCCAACCCTTTCGACGGAAGGTAGCAGATATGCTTCACGCTGCTCTGCGGCAGAATCGTAACCCAGTATTCGTAGTACGGCTTGGGGACAGCCTGTCGAGCATCTACCGCAAAAGTCGCTCCCGGGTAGCTCTGCATGATGGTGTCCGAAACTGGACGGAAAAACTGACTGGTGGAAAGAGCCGATTCGTCTTTTGCCTGGGCAAAGATTCGAAGGTCGACAGTAGCCGAGTCCTGGTTTTTGGGGTTAGGTGGGCATCGCCCATTCGTGCGGAACTCTAAGCAGTGATACTTGGTTTCGTCGAGCCCTGCGCGGGCCTGACGCTCCAAAAACTTGGCTTTCTCCTCAATGTCGAGTCCACACAAGAAGTAGTGTGCTTCTGCTTGGAACCCGCCTTTGGCCGTGATGCCAACCTTGGTCGTTGGAGGCGGCTTGAGGCTTCCGACGTTGGTGACAAAGCTAGACTAAGCGTCAGCAATTGGACTACTTCCTGAAAGCAAGCTACTAACACCTTATCCTGGCCCGCTTGTTCTATCTTGATGCTATCCAATATGGCCACCACGTCTGAGTTGTAATACATTGGGCCCTGGATCTCGTACAACAGCTGGGCTTTGCAGGTGTCAACGGTGACCATTCCGTCGCGGTCCTTCTGCTTGGTGACATAAAACTGGCCATTAGCCGCCATCTCGACAATGGGGAACCCTAGGTCGAGTGACTTGCCCGGAAGGCTCTTGAATCCGGAAAAGTTGCCACCCGTAACATAAGTCGAGCATTCGATGAAATGGCCGGCCACGAATGCATGAGCCAGCTGGTCATAATCTTGTCGGCCCCAGCCATAGTGGTAGGCAGCACAACCTATGATGGGAGAGGCATCGGCCACACGGCCACACAGGACAATATCTGCGCCTTGCTTCAGGGCCTCGACGATACCCCAGCAGCCGAGGTAGCATTGGGCATATATTGGTTCGAAGCCCCAATCAGAAAGCTTTTGGCCTTGGGAATGTCAACATGGCAGTATACAGAGACAGTGTCCAGGCGCGGCTCACCAGTAGTCAGGCTCTTGAAGTCTTGGCCGAGTTTGATGGCCGACTGTACAGCATCCATGACTTCGTCTCCTCCCACCCAAGCTACTTGCAGATTCAACCCGGCTGCTTTCACCTTGTCAACAACGACTTGGTACAGCTTCTGGGTGTCGCTTGCTCCGGCATTGACGGCGACCTTGATGCCCCTGGATTGAAGATATGGCAAAGCAGGCTCAAGAGCTTCGAGGAAAGAAGTCTCAAACTCGCTGGATGCACCATTGCTGGTGACCTTGCCTCCAGCTCTAGTCGTCATATTGTACTCTGACATCCAGTCGCCCACGATGAACTGGACATCTTCGTTCTTGGCCAATTCGGCAAAGGCATGGCGTCGATCCGTCACGGAACCAGACGCGGAAGCGACCCGGAGCTTGAAGTTGTCATTGGAACCCATTTTTGATTACTGTCAGCTTTTCAGAGTGGCGTCAGAAGATTGCAATAACCTGTATCTAAGATCTTGGGCAATTGGCCTGGGTCTTATAACGGACAACAACTCCCAGGCTGTTCCAGATAAGGAGTAAGAAGTCTTTGATACGTCATTTCATGACAAGAGGGACATGTTTTCGGGTCATTAGTGGGCACAGGGTGTGGGGGTAGAGAGCAGGATCACATTAGTCATGCGCGCGCATGCGCTTGCGGCTTGAGTCGGGCGAACTGACTAGGCGGAAACAGGTGCAAACAAGCGTCAACCAGCGTCACACACAGCGGAATTAATCATGACACTGAAAGGTATATGATTACAAACAATCTCAAGTTCCTTACACGGACCAGCTCCACAAGTACAACTTGAATCGTGCCAATCAGATTTACAGCAGTTCTCCCCTATTCAAGTATTCTCATGATGGGGCTTTGAATACTAGCAAAGGCTTCTGATATTGGCAAAGTCGTGTCGGTCGATTTTGATGCTTTGCCACGGTAGAAAAGTGAGTTCAGCTTTCGGGAAGCTGCGGTTGAAGCCATCGGGCTCTCTCCAAACAATTCAAATCAGAGACGGGTCTGATCCTGGCTCGGAAAATATTTGGTGAAATCCATGACATTATTCTCGTTGACAACAAAGCAGGTGGCGGTAGGTTTGTAGGACCCTCTCCAGGAGTGCCGTATTATGCATTAAACTGCCAAGAAGATTGACTTCTGGCAGGGGAGGCATCTCTAGCTCGAATAGCCCTGTGTGATTGAGTTGCTACGTGTTAATCGAAGATGGCCTGACAGCTGGCCAGAGGCTAATCGTTTCTTCTAGTAATTACGTTAACTTATAGCGATAGTAGTTGAAAGATTAGGTAAAATAACTAATAGAAAGAAGACTCTGTTTATAGATTTATTCTAAAAGGGTTGTTATCAGTTTGGAGCAAACGGATCTAGTCGACGGGTTATTTAAGTCGGCAACTTATTTACTTAATGGTATAGAGACACGCGTGTACATTAGGTGTAAACAGTTTCTTAGGAGGAACCAGTAGAAACCGTTCACATGTTCACTACCTTGTATCAGGTAAACAAGCCCTAATGCAGCTGTAAAGAACAGAGTTTATCCTAAGGTATAGTAGTCAAACACTAACGTAATATATCTTGAGGCTCTAGGGCGTTGTAATGCTACCGTGGTCGGCAGGTTCCTGATTTGCACCAAGTATTTGGAGCCAAGGCTCGAGTCTCAGCTGGTTCCACTGGGAGAGACTCGGCACTATAATAACAAGTTATCTATATATATTCTCAGGGGGACTTTGTTAGTAGGGTGAGAACTAACATAGTATTGTGGTGGACGTAACGCAGTCGCTAATAGAGCGAACCTACGTAGCAGCGTATGTATTTAGTCCAGCCATTAGGGCACGGTTTGACATACGGGAGCACTTGTAGAGGTACCGGGGGCTTCGAGCCTACGGCGTATTTAATAATAAAAAAATAATAACAAGTACATGGCTTCTGAAACGTCGGTGGCTACGGCGCAGAATCCGAAGACTCTCCATCACTTTTACCTTGGAAAATCGTCAAACTATATTTTCTTGAGCATGAAATCCAGCGCGCCGGACCCTTCCAAAACAATGGGTATCTACTTCTCACTCCGCTACACGCCAGAACTATCATGGGGCGCCTGTGCGCTCAGCTCCAAGCAAAAGTTGGTCTTGGGAGCTGCAGGCATCCTGCGAAGAAATAACGGTTTTGTGTCGCCTCATCGACAGTCCCTAGCGTCCCGCACTCGTCTTCGGGATACTCTTTCAGCACAATATAGAGTCAGATGTGTTTGGGATGAGCTCGATTTCCGGAGGGAAGAGCAGTGAAGCCATCTCTAGGCAATGAAATAGTCAACTCAGAGGGATGGCTGAAGTTTATCTCTGAATAAGACAAGTATTATAGAAAGAGACTCGTCTATATATGAAAAGGTGGGGTTTGAGACGCGGAAGCAAGTATTGAGACTTAGACGCCCGACTCATTATGTAAGGGTATGTCGGAGATACCTTTTACGATAGATATGATGATACTCTTACAGTATCATTGAGTTGAAAGGGATTTTCATCATATCATTGTTTCAAAGTTTGGAAACCAACGGCATGCACATTCGGATACAAAGGTTACTAGTTACAAATTACCAACAGAGATGCAGAGACTGAATATCACACAATCATGAAACCAAAACATAAACATGAAAGACAATGTGTATATCGGATGAAAACAACCAGCGGGAACAAGAGTATTCTCGCCTCCTTATCAAGGTTGAGATCCGTAGCGCAGAACCCCTATCCATCTTACCACCCACATTACCGTCGATACCTATGATTTGAAAGTTTTCAGATTGTTCGCGTGCACTATCTCTGCAAATAACACACATGAAGACAGCTATAATACAATAAAGATAGACTCACAATCATCGCAAGTCCACTCTAAAAGACGCTGGCAATGACAGACTAATCCGGTACAGGTTAGCTGATGTGTAGGGCGGTCAGCCAGGTCTAGCACCCATCGACCCAGCTGACGGAGTCCTCCGATGATCTTCATAGAATTCTAGATGGGCCCGCTGGTGGTGTTCACTGTCTCTTCGTGGCAGACAGGAGACATATATAGCCTAGCAGGATGGGCTGATATTGGCATAGACCTCGAAGTCGGCTTCTAAGTTGCCGTACTATACACTAGCCGTGAGACCCACGATGGGTTTCGTTGATATGACAGGATGAGGCGGGAGCTTGCGAAGGCGACGAAGAGGAGGACTGCGCTCGTCCCGAATAGAGATTGCCATATGATGAAGAGTAGGCTGATAGACCAGACGAATGAAATGGAGGGTAAGAGGCTCGGAAGCTGTCATCAACTGCACAAAGTTTGCGGCCAGTTTTGAACGCATCTAGATAGAGAAGGATGAGATGGAACACGAGTAACCCAATCGTGGCTAGGGGTCATTGGGGTTGACTTCGCCCAACTGCATAGCTACGCCCACGAATTGTATATTGAACCAATGCAACAACAAACACAGCCTGAAGTCGTTCTTGTCTTCAAAATAATTATCGCTTCGTTGCAGTGGATGTCAACGCCTCTCCAAGACGAAGGTAGGGCTGCGGCGTATTTAGGGGTTGCTCTAGGACGCCAAATATTACTTCATCGCACTCATTCATTCCTCTCACCTCTTCTCATTCCACGACATCTAAATGTTCTCTCCCAGCAACAGCAAAGACTCTTATACAGCAATATAAAACGTCAACGCCTAGAAGTATCGCTATGGGCAACCTCTCATGCTAATGTTCTGGGGCGGTTCTTGGGGCTAGTCTAGCCCGTCTTCTAATCTAGCGGCCGAGTAGGGATTGAAGGTCGGAAATAAGATAGGGAGGATTGCAAAGCAAATGGATAAAACGGAGCGAAGCGCTGTAGCACAGAACCAGAGTTGGCCGCCAGTGTTTAAGCATCTCACAGGGGAAATGATCGCGGGCGGATAGTTGCATGCATGGACTGGACAAAGTGCGAAGTACTTGTAGTCTTCGATGTAGCATTCTATTTGGTCTCGACATGATAGTGTAACCCTCTTAGAATAAGTCCTGAAGCCCTTTGTATTAAGACACGGCATGTTAGAGAGTAAAATATCGCGTTCTAAAGTTTCCCAGAGCATCGTTAATCGTCTATAGCTTGTCGTCAAAATCCGCTAATGGCGTTGTTCGCGGGACAGCCGCGCCCAAGTGGCAGGACATCCTAACGGGCGATGAGACCACCCGCTGCTCACATCCCCGAGCGAAAGGTCCAATTCGCTTCAGTGAGCTCAATTGATCTTCGCCTTCGTCCCCTTAGCCAATGCTTTCAATTCCTTCAAGCTCCTTACATCCGTGCGCAGGACTCTCTCGCCATCCTGCCAAATGGCGACGTCATGATACAGCACCGCAACCGTAGATGATTTCCAAAGCTGCGCCCGCCTTGTATTTACCTCAATCATCGTCAGGACGAGGAGCAACACCGCCGCCACCTGCACCAGCAGCGGCAGACTGAGCCACACCCAATCGACGCGCACAAACACGACTGACGAAACCGTCTGCCCATGCGCCGTGACATTATAACCCGCCCTTAGCTGGTTCGTCATGCTATGCGCCATACTTGTGAACCTCTCCGCAATCCCCACACTCCTGAGCGCACCCCCGATGCCCGACGGCGGGTCCGGCGGCGACTCGCCGTCGTAGATGGTGCCTATGAATTGGCTGGACGTGAAGAATTGGGCCAGAGCGCCAATATCCACGGCTTTGGCCTTGAGCTCGGGGCGCTCGGCCGTCGCGTTGAAGACGAGGGTTCCCGCGGTGTTGTCCGGGACGGCGACGTAGCCGGCGTTGAGGGCGATGGGGTCCACCGTTTGGTTGAACTGCGATCCGTTGGCCGAGACATGCGAGTAACGGTATGCAGTGAGGCCGATATCGCACTCGAAGATTTGCAGGGTGTTGATGTATTCCGGTGTGTCGCTTATAGCGCCGTATGCGAGCGGAGACCTCAGAACGGCAATACGGACAAACTCGGGGGTATAGTCCCATTTGGAACTGTGCTTGATGATGCCAGTGGCGTTGACAATGACCATGGTTTGCCAGCTTGTCGGGACATAGGCGGGAGACATCCGTATCCCTCCTGGGGTTGTCACGTTGGCAAGGAATGGATGCTGGCCTTCCAACGAGGTGGCGTTGGCTTTGGCCGCAGCGAGGGTTACTTCGGAGACGTCGGCGCATTGGCTAGCAAACCCAAGCGAGACATAAGTTTCGTTCCACTGACAGGTCGAGCTGCAGTTGAAGGCAATGGTTGAGTCTTGACTGTATATACCCCGGAACGCAGCCCCTTGCATGATGGTGTCAACCGTTGGGGCTATATGGACGATTTAGTATTGAGCTAAGGGGAGACGGAATCAAGAAAAGCTCACCCGAGGGCGTAAAGGCGTTTCCAGACTGTTCTTGCATTGTTGCACCACTATCGTAGAAATGGCTCAGGCCGAACGTAGCATTGCCATCATCAGACGGGACATCGCGCGAATAAAGCGTGACGACTTGCTGTGCAAAGGCATCAATGCCAAGCGCCAGGATGGTAGCCAGGCCACCCAGGGTGGCCACCCCGAGCCTCCATCGAACTCGGAATAGAAGCACCAGCGATCCTAGAGGCCCGCGACTGGCTTCTTCAAACAAGTCCAGCTCGTGAAGCTTCCTGGCGGAGGCCTTGAAGTGAGTCCACTTGCACTGGCTGATACAGGCGGCTACGGACAGCAGGAGCATTGACTTGGCCGCAGTGATGAAGATGGCGATGGTGGCGTTAAGACTGATAAAAAATGCCCAATCCGACAGCGGCTGCTCCTGCATTTTAATGAGGATAACCATCACAGCCACCATGCAGCCGAAACTAGCAGTCACCGACAAGGCTTCCCAGATCCATCCCCATCGTAGCACTGGGTGTTTCTCTCGTTTGACCGAATGGTCGAAGGTGGACACTGCGACTGGGGTATATTTGGTGAAGGACGCTGACCTGGACTGACTATCCATTATCGGTGCGAGGTAGAGTTGAGGAGAAATCGGTACGTTATGCGAATAGTTAACATCACTTGAAACACTGTCCCGTAAGAAGTTCGTTGTCTAACCTAGGTCCATGAAACCTGGGGATGAGGTTGTGGTTCAAAGAGACCTGCGGTCATCTTTATGAATGCGCATGTGGCTGAGACGTCGATGCTCGTAAAATGCCGTGAATCCTCACACAATGAATTCGAGCCATCAAGTCTCGGGGGCATGAACAGGTTATAAATGGGAAAGATGAGGCTATGGTATTCTGCATTGTAGCACAATGCATCCTTCTGATGCGGCTAAGTGGCACAGCACAAGGGGGGTCAGCAGATGCTACATAGCGGCAATCAAAGGAAGCGGCGAAAATATAGGAATTATTATCAGCCAAATATTCGACCCGACAAAAATTCCGACATGCAGAATCTTGATATGTAATAATAGCTGAAACAGGACGTATTTGGGACCATGCTTAGTCCTCCCATAGCTCGAGGCCGGCGTTGAAATCCGAATCTAAATACTGATGGCTTATGATGATCCCTTCGAAGGATTCGGACCCGAAACAGGGACCGACCTGGAATTACTCGAGTGCTGACATGCGGGTCGAAAGACGTAGCATGATGCGAAAGCTATCGAGTCCACAATGTTCGCAGGTAGATGCATCGGAGATGACTTTGCAATCTTGCTTCCCTGCAAGGTCATATCCAAGCCGAGGACTTTAATTGTTGATTGAGTCAAAGGCTTGGTATATTGTGGTTCCGAATCGGAAGTGCCAGAGAAGTTGCACTGAAGATCAAGGGTCGCTGCCGCTGTGGGTGCCCCACATGAGCTAAATCCATCTTTTGGTTGCCCACTGCGTCGGGTTCGATAGGTTCGATCAAGATTGGTTGCCCGAATGGATGCCAAGTGAATTGCCGCTGCCTCACGTGCGTAAGTGCTGCCCCCGGCTACGCCTGGCCTTGACTGGCTCTCGTTGGCAGGAGAGGGGGGGGGGTGAGGAATGGTGGGGGGCGAGCAAAGGGGAAAGCAGCCTTTTACTATGACTTGCTAGACCGAAACTCTCGGATCGGTTGCGATTGGAAGGCGCTGACTGGGAAGCACGGTAGAAGGGTGGGTTTGTGACTTGTCCCTGGTCTCCACTGTGGCCAAGTCTGGTGGTGGTGCCAGCACATACACACCAGAGCAACCGTCAAGTAAGTGGCTTCTGGAGAATAGAAGGTTGGTAGGAGAAGCCAACGCTTGAAATCTGAGCTCTCGCACTCATAGCCATGCCAGACAGCTTGTTGATCGTGAGAAATAACAGATGTGGATGAGCCGTTGAGACGCACGTTGGATTGGCTGGGTGAGTGAATCGGGCTGAGAAGCTGGAAGGGCACCCATCGTCTTGCTGATTCGAACGCTGCGGGAGGCGAGAAAAGAACGAGTGCCGGCCCGGACTTGGTGGAGACTTTGGCATCCCACACAGCAACCTGGGAAACTTTGACAGAGTTTGACCGCTTTTGTGCCTCATGCCCAGTCAGCCCAGTCCCTCCTTTGCTCTTGGGTGTGCCTTGCTCAAATCAAATCCCAGGTCCTCATGCCGCAAATTGCAGGCCCCTCGTAGCCACAAGGTCAACAACTAGGTCAGCAACTCTGCTGGCCATCTTCGTGCCTAACTCACACTAACCTTGAGGCACCTTGACTGGCACAGCATCGTGCTTGTTTTCACTGACCACCTTGCAGTCCCCACAGCATACATATCAGGCCAAAACATTCACACCCACGCAAATCGCAAGCCCATTAATGCACTGGGTCTGCATGCAAATTTGGCTGAAGATGCACTTGCGCCAAGAAGGTGCCACTAGACCAGGATACCTTTAGCATCGCAGCTCTTCCCTCAGGCCACACTGACACGACATTCTTCTCTAAACCCCTCCTTCCCAAGTACTGTTATTTCTGCTCACCTCCCCCCCTCGAGAATCGCTTTTTCCATCGACTCCGCCCATCATTTAGTGGCAGCACCCAGGTCAAAACATCCACTTAATTTGCCAGTCGTGTTACCTGGTCAAACCAACCCAACTTCAGCATCAAACCAACATCGACGACCGGTGCCCACGTTGACGACGGACATGATGAACGTTTTGCTGTCGCCTCAGCCCCCATTCTTTCCCCATCAGCACGACCACTCCCGACGCTCTCCCTCGCGATCGAGTACGTTCACCTGCATTTAATTACGTTTCCCTCGCCCCAATCTTTGACAGCCGAGTCAAGCCTCTTAGTTGCGTCAGCTCCTCAATTCAGATATCAACACGGGAGCCGTCGGCGAGACAAAGAAACACCATGAGCTAACCATCTCTTGTGCAGTGTCTCCCTTCCACAGCAACATGATGAGCAATCGGAAACGAAAAGCCGAGGACGATGGCGATGAAATGTCGCTTTCGCCCCTCAGCTCGCCCGCTACCCAGAATCGCCAGCTAGCGACCCGACCGTCCAAGAAGATCCGATCCACCGAAATCTCTGGCCGCCCGCTTTCCCTCCCCAGGCTACTCGAGACACTCGATGCGGCATCCTTGCGCAGTGTGCTCCAACAGATTTGTGAGCGACAGCCCGAAATCGGAGAGGAAGTTGTCAAGAGTGCACCCAGGCCGACAGTACCTAGCGCACTCGGTGTGCTACAAGAATACCAGGACAAGCTACAAGCAGCATTCCCGTACGGCGCCACGAGTTCAGACTACACCTACTATCGTGTGAAGGCACCCCTCGTCGCCCTCCTCGATGCACTCGCCGACTTCACACCACAGTATTTACCGCCGATTGAGTCCCAAGCGAATATTTCGTTACAGTATCTGGATGGGGCGACCAAGATGATCCACAGTCTCCCCGAGTGGGAGAGCCAAAGCTATCGCCACCATAAAGAGAACGCCTACGACGAGATCTCAAGAGCATGGGCTTTAGTCATCAACGAGGCGGCAAAGAGAGGTGGAGGGTTTATTCTACACTCGGGAGGCTGGGATCAGGCGTTGGCAAAGCACAACCAGCAGTCTGGAGGACGACTCGGGACCGCCATGAGCGCCATGGCTTCGAATGTGGGCTGGGTCGGCGGAGGACCGAACGCGGGGGCACAACCGGCCGAGCAGAACTCGATTCTCAACGAACTGATGAGCGGAAACTACGGATCGCCAGTACGAGTCGGTCCGTGGTAGGCTATTCGGTCTCGGAGAAACTGTTAAGGAAGCAAGGTGTTATACCCAGGGACACGGAAACAAGCAGCAGAAGGCACATCATCCAGCGAATGCCAAAAATCTGGCAGAATGCACTCCAGTAATGCGGCGTGTATTTCATCTAACATGAGATCATGTCGATTGATATCCCGCAGCGTGCGCCGGTTGCTTGCCATGAACCGGACCCCCCCCCCCACCTTCGTCATTATCCCATCATGGGGAATCGGACGAGGGCGGCGGCCATAGACTAGGGATCACGAAGGCCGGGTTTTTCCGGTTCGGCGTTTGTTCATCATCCGACATAGTATATTGTCGTTTTGTTTTATGATTTCATATCGTCATTGCTGTGAGTGAGGTGAAGGTTGGAGTTCATTTCTTGTGCCTACTGCTACCCTGGCACAACTCAGTTGTTCAACCAGTGGTTACCATGAACAGAGATTGTTGGGGCTGGGTGATTTGTGTAACTGGGAAGGTCATGTTGTGGTCGTTACAGCTCGTCGGTGTAAGGAGTGGGTGGATAGGGTAGGGAGAGTAACTGTAATGTCACCCGTATAATGGTCCTGAGGTGAAGCGCATTAAAAGAGTGCCTGTCGACTGCCTGCGAAGGCTTACACTAGACTGGGACTAGGACTTCATGAAACAGTAGTCTCATCGTCCACAAAGGAAGGACAGGAAAGCGGTACAGCCCAAGATACCCTGGAGTGGTCAGCCACGACAACGTACGCATTCTTAATTTGGAACATGCTGATATAACTCGGAATCTTCACCTTGGGTGATGCCATGGAAAAGAGCGACCCCTCCTTTCTCTTCGCTTGGATGTTACATGTCATGAAGATATTATGAACAATTAGTTTGACGCGCGAGCACTACGTTGATAACAGCACAACTTCGTTCTTGGCCACGAAGTTTGCAAGTACGCGTATTTAGAGTTCAACTCAGATACGTACATCGTTTACTCGAGGTCCCAAGGCCCACCAATTCGTCCTGTACTCCCCTGTAGGGCGGTTTTATATATGAAACGCATTACCTCGAGTCGTAGTAATATAACCTTTGTCTACTAGTATGTTACGTTAACCCTTATTTAGTAATTTAAAACGCATCTATAGGTATTGTTACTACCTGATACAGTATCAAGAACAAGAGCGTTCCTAGCTAAATTCCAAGTAACTAACCTATACTACTAGGTACTACTAGTATCTGTCAGGTTACGCTAATGGCAGGCAGTGTACACCCTTAGGTTTAAGGTGAAGATGTTCGAATCCGACGGCGGTTGTGGAGACTACGCATGCCCACTGCGGAAGTGACGGGGAAATAATTTAGTAGAGTTGGACATCCTACTAGTTCACAAGTGATACGTGACCCCATGGGGGGTTACCCTATAGCGATAGATAAGATAGATAAGATAAGAGCTATAAAAGAGCTCTGCCAGGCCAGAATAGCTGACCTGGCCATCCTTTCCCAATACAACAATTCACACCCCATATGCACTCGCATCAACAAGGCTCATAGTGCGGGGTAAAAGCAGTGGTTAGGAAGGATTTAAATGTACAGGGTTACACTTGTATGTATGTGGATCCAAATCAGAGGATCTGATTGGCTACATCGTTGCTCTTAAGCAACATTTCGTAGCTTCGGAAATAGCTGAGCTTTCTAGAAAAAACACCATCAAAAGAGATCTGAACCACACAACTGACTTGGCACGAAATCAATCCTGATATTCGTGACTTGAGTCCTGTGAGGTCAGATCGACCAGGATACACATGTAAGACTACGTAATTTGCGCTATACCTCGGGTTTTTGGATCTACTGTCCGTCTCCATAGGCCGTAGGCTTGCTTGCATAGCACAGTATAACAAACGAGATTAAAACAAAGTGAACATGATGGAGAAGGATAAGAATATCCTCAACAAGATAAACTATCTGGAAGGGTAACAGAAAGATTAAGTAAGAGCCTTATCGCTCTAGTTAGGTTAACAAAAGTAGTTGAGCAAGTACGGATAATCGTCTAAGCCTTAACGGGCTTAGACGTAATAGGACCGTAACAAGTCCTAGAACAGAACTACCCCAGGAGATGGACAACAGAATAAAGCCTCAACACGTACGAATAATAAAATAAGACCTCAGCAGGTCATCAAACAACTAGGGCCTCAATAGGCAAACAGGAACAAGAATTCAATTCTTCTTCGCTTGTTATCTCTTGCTCTTCTTGCAAGCTTGCTGAATGTCTACCTAAATTACCCAGGTCCTTTTGCATCCATAAAAGACGCAAGGCCTAACAACCCTATCCCTAAGTCATTGCTCGGTAATATCATTATATAGTCGTCTACTTTTAATACAGTAAGTTCTAAGCTGAACATTATTGCAAGTAAATAAATAATCATAAAAAGTTATTATAGTCTTGAAGCTATAACACCCCCTATTATAAATTACTAGAATCGAAATGCAAGTTCTTTTTGATATCAACGATGGGCAGTGTATGCCCGCAGGTTTAAGGTGAAGATGATGGCAACGGAATGTCAAAGTGTGAAAGTGCAAGACACCGGTTAGGCGCCGGTGGGGCACCGGTATAGGGACCTGCGAGTCGTGACCTAATATGGAAGCCTTGGTATACTAAGGAACCGGAGGAGCTAGTGCTCTGCGGCTCCGATATACGGGCTCTACTACTCCGAATGCGGGCTATAGTTAGCTATGTAAGAGAGGTATCGTGGAGGAAGATAGGAAGAAGGGTAGATATCAATGAACTATTCTGGCCAGCCCTACCTGGGACCACCAGGTGGTAACTCGTGGGGTAGCCTAATACTCCCCTTCACTCTGTACTATTATTGCCTGCGGCCAAGCCGAACCCTGACACAGATAACAAGATCCTCAACAAGACCTTACTATCTGGGAGGGTGAAAGAATAACAAATCAAGAGCCTTGTTGCCGTGATCGGTTCAACAAAAGTACCTCAACGGGCATGATGAACGAAATAAGACCTTAACAAATCATCTATACAGCTGAAGCCTCAACAGGCGAAGGGAACAAAATGTATTATTACTGTTCTACTCGACGCACTCGCGAACCTGGCGTTGGAAGAAAAGGCACTTCTTTCTAACTATTTCAGAATCGAGTTTCCGCATCTGCTCCAGAGTGATAGAGTGACCATGTTACGCAAGATAGAGCTCAGTAGGATACCGTGCGGAGCAGCCACCGAGCAAAGATTCGAGCAGATGGGATGGAAAACTGTGAGGAGCACACAGAGTGACTTTGGGGCGCCATGGTGCACATTACAGAGGGATCAGGGTGATCACAACTGGAGCCTATTTTTACCGGGTGGGGGGACGAGAATATGGACAACCGACGTTTCGGGAGTCACTATACAACTGGTCACATATTCAAGTAGCTTGTTTTCCCTGTTTTTCTTAAGGTTAAACTTGGCAATAGAACATATTTATTTAGTAAGCAGGGCGTTTGTGACATCTTACGTGTACCCCAAAGGGGGTTGAGTGAATTCACGGATATTGGCTATTTCTAAGTTTCCACGTCCACTTGTGCTGTCAGTAAACTATTTTCATCCAATATACATGAATTATCTCGACAGTCACTCAAAGGCTCTGTTGTCAGTTCTTCGTTCATCATCCTCATCCGCCCAGATTTAGCATTCTAACTCGGGCCCCCCCAACCACACCTTCAGACATCTGGAAAACCACCCCCTTTTCAAGCAGTTCCACCGCACTGTCAAATCCTTGCTCGTGGATTCCTCATGTACCAGTGGCTCGCACCTCTAACGCAGTCTTCGTCGGAGTAAACAAGCTCTTCGAGTAGCAGTTCTCACAATTCGGATTCTCGATGCAACCCCAGTCGCTGTAAGCAACAACCAGTCAGCTATGTCAAGTTCTTCCATGCAGAGTTTATCCGTCCACAGTTCACCGGAACATGCAATATTATGTAGTATCAGGGAGAATGTTTACTTACTCAAGACTGCAGTGCTGGCAATAATACTGATGGCTGGTGCACCATACCACTTCGGGGTCTAGTGATGCGGTTGGGGCAGGCATGGGAGTAGGGGTCAACAACACGGTCGCGGTTACCGTGACGGTGACGCCGGCCTTGCGGGTTTTGGGTGGTGCGGCGACGGTGAAGGTGGTGAGGAGGAGAATGAGGATTGGGTTGAGGAGCATGTTGCGGTTTGGCGTGTTATGACGGGATATTACTTATGACAAAGCGGGTTGAAGTAGAATATGTGTGATTTTGTTGAAGTATGGAGTGAGGTGTGTAAGTTTGAAGTTTCTGATGATGCTCGTCTGTCTAAGCTGGGGATTTGGCTCCGTATCAGGGGCAAATGAGGGTTTATATAACATTTTCATCTTGGCTCATCGGTCATCCAGAAGCAAACTCAGACGCATGGCGCTCACTTTTACTCTTGGCGTCACAATATCACTGTCTGAGGGAATAACCACCTGTAGGTAGATGTCGTGCTTCATCTATCAACCTCGTTACACCAACCAGCCATGTAAGATCTGGAGGTTGGTGTTTGTCAGGCGTGCGCTATACTCGGCAGTTCACTAGCTTATGTTCAATAAACATGGTATGCCGCCGAAGCTGCATTTCAACGTGTCGCCATCTATTATATCTTGGTATCGCATTCCGCCCATGGCTTGATAACCACCCGGTTAGCAGGACCGCTGTTCGAGTTGTGTTGAAAATTAGGATACTTAGTGGCGCAGTGCAGTGACACAAGAAGAGCTTTCGTCCTGTTGAATATCCTAATGCGTGCTGGGCAAGCGGACAGAAGTCGGCATTTGAGGTTGGACTGGGAGCTTTTGTGGACAGGTGTTGGTTGACTGGAATCAAGGAACTGCGTACGGGTGCACAACCACGTGGTGCATTCGTGCTATAGATCCTTCTAGATTTGTGGAGGACGTAGCAGTTTCTCTGCTGCTGTTTGGACATGGCTTAGGCAAAGCTGTACTGTGTATTTTTTGCAATGTGTCTCCATTCCTTCGCCACCTCGGTGTCGGTGGTTTCCTGAAAGAGAACGCACATTATCACATCTCTGGAACCTGAGTTACCTGGCTTAATCTTCCAGCCGTGTATGACAATCTGTAGAGCGGGGCTACACCAGCCCGACGTTATTGTGTGACGAATAGCGGGGTTTGTGGTCACCAGCTGAGCCATTTGCGTGGGATACAGGCCCTTGTCGTCTGTGAAGAAGGACGATTTCAAGTGATTGGTATCACTAGGTCTTTGGTTATTAGCATCAACGTCTACTGTCAAATGTTGCTTCTCGGTTGTCCCAGCATAGGTTCATCTGAAGGTCTAAATATGCCTCAAGGTAAAACCCATTTGCGAACATTCTGCATCTGTACGATGCGTCAATTCGGTATCACTCGAACAGATCTGGTAGCTTCGGTCAGTTGTGCAAACATTGGCTGACTCTCGCGGCCGTCACACCAAGCTGCCATCATCCGAGCCTTGCTTGAGGGTTCCAACTCTTCAGCTGCCAGGGCTAAAAACTGCCATATCATGCATCTTCCCTTTCCCTTTTCCCGTATCTGATAGTTGCCTGAGACACTAATGCTTTTGATCTTTCTCTTCCATGTTTAAAAGCTTCCCAGCCGCCATCCGCCAGCAGGGGCAAACATTTGCACCTCTGTGTGCAACTCCAAGCCCCACAGTCATATGATTCAACACTGTGTTTGTTGTTGCAGGTCTCGCCAAACCCAGCCTCTCAAAATCATCTCCATGACGACGCCCAGATGTGGTGGCATGTCCAATGGTCCAGAAAGACGGTGAAAAATTAGGAAGTTGTCGGCAGTTGCCGCCGAGTCAGCCGAGATCAGACTGACCTGTAGCACCCGAATGCACGTTCGAAGGTACAGGATACGGCAAATTGCATGGCGTGCAGTGGTTGATTGTCACGAGAGGGCTGAGCTGCCTCTTCGCTTTAAGTGAGCAACGTAATTGCGCAACTGTGGGTTGTGGCTGGCATATCGCCACATGAGTAACGTGCTGCCACGTCAATTCTTCAGAGCTACCTTCCGGTATAGGGATAGGCAGCCACTGGGCAGTATACTATTGGCCTAAACCAAGGATACATTATAAGAATAATGAGTGTTGTATTTGTCCTGGAGAAGAAAGTTTTCAAAGTGAACTTGGACACAAAACCCGTTATCGCTGGGATGCGTTTATCCCAGTCACTCGTGGCCATCTTTCAATAGCAGGAAGCATAGATGGCCAGCATCATCAGCCTTACTATGTACGGTGGGCTGGAAGGGGAACAGCTGGATCCATTTAAACCTCCCCTTCACAAGCCTCGCAACAGGCAGATTTCGATGAACGATCGGTACCCAAACAACGTCTCATGAAAGAATTCGACCCATCAACTGTCGTATCCTGGACTTCGAGGATTTCTACTATGATATCCCACTATGTGCGGTTTTCTCATACACCTGAGAAAACGAAGAGGTCACTCTACAAGACATGCAGAACCTGCAGAGACCAGCGCAGAACCCGAAGCTTTCCTTTGATTATGATCTTGATTATGCCTGAGTGGACACCTACTGCATCGATAAAGCCATCACGCTGATCTGACTGAGGCTATCAACTCTATGTACACATGGTACCAAAGTTGGGGGCTGTGCTTTCAGGGAATGACGTAAAACAAATGGTTGGTAAGGAAATCCAAATAAGCAAAATGAATATACATCGCCCACGTATTTCCAAATTTCAACCGCATGGTTCGATTTACTTAATTTACTTGAATTTAAAAATCACTTTAACCTCGAGATTTGTGGTTGGAAAAGGAACTATACGAATCACCGGTGTGACGGGCTCACTGCGAAACTATACAGCTCAACATGGCCAAATACTGTTAATTATCTAACTGAGGAGGAAAGTAAAATAAGCGAGTTTTCCGAGAACACAAACCATGTTTTTATATGCCCTCGATGGTTCCTTTGGTGGATCCGGACGCAAGGTTCTTGCAGCTCCGGATCCCATTTCAGGCACAGCCTGTCACAACCGGGATACGCTAGATTTATTTCTACTAAATTTAGCAGGATTTGTAGGGGGGAGTGATAATATGCTATCCTTAACTATTACTATTCTAGGAATTAAGATAATCATTACAAGGGTATGGACCCTAGTAGAGTAAGCTAGACTTCCAGATACTGCAGGCTAAGCCATCATAGGCTATAGTCTATACATAGGTTACATAGGTTATTAGTAATGCCCTTCGCCTCTAACCATAGGAAAACATTTTGAACCGCGTCTGCTAATTTGATCAGTGGAGGGAACAAGAGTTTTCTTTTTTTTTTGGGAGGCCTACGCTACGTGCAATGGGACTGGCAGTGGCCTGGATTGCTCTAGGACGGGGGCATCGCGTATTTCTGACGTTGGAGACACTCAGACGGGCGCAGTATATCGCGGCTGGTGAAGCTTAGCCTATTTCATGGTTTTACTGGTGAATCCATAAGTAGCGCACTCAGAATTTCTTTTGTTTTCTTTTCGGAACGCGTTGAGGTTCTGTCCATGAGCCATCTCTAGAGGTAATTGGATGCGTCCCCTACGCCTTGTTAGAACACGATGGATGGAGTTGAACATTGCACACATCCAGTGGCAAGCCACTATGACCATCACTAGAGGTGTAAATTGTAGAGTGCATCTACAAAATCGTTGACTTGGGCAGTCCGTTTATTGGGTGCTCATCTTTCTCATGTAAGAAAAGGATGTACTCCGACTTTCGCCAGCCAAAGGACACGTTTATATGGTGTATACTGGTAAATACTCAACATCCAAAACTAGGAACGGTAGCCGTTCAGCAAACAACAATACCTGACATGCTCGATCGCCGTGGTGCTGGCGGAATATCTTTGCTCACGCCTCGCCAGCACTATATACCAAAGGGTACTGCCAAGCAGGAACGGTACAGAAGAAGACCACGAAAACCCACGCATAACCAATCAGTCTCGCCCAGATCGAATTCTTCATCACCACCAATCTATTTTTCACAACCGTCTCAGCTAGACACAATACGTAGTTAGTAAGAAAGAACCGAAAGTTCTCCCTCGAGGTATTCTTCCTTATTAACACCCAATCAGTCAACGAATGGCAGCCAGCAGATAGCAGAAAAATCCAAAGAGCCTTGAGACTGCTGTTCAATATCCTCCATTGCCCCTCACCTTGCTCTTGTTCCAAATAACGTCGAAGGAAAGGGGGCATATACGCCTCAAAAGGCTTCACATGCAGCCGATGCCAGAACACGCCCCAAAACCGCCGCAACGAGTATGCCTCAGCGAGGCTGCCGAACAGGGCTGGCCATTCGGCGGGCTGGTCCCATTGCAAGACGAAGACGAAGAAGATGGCGGAAAGGTTGTGTGATATCTTGAGAAGGGCGTTCGTGTTCCAGATCCAGATGATTGACATCATCGCGCGGAGACAGAGGGCATGGGTCCCTAAGGGGACTACGAGGCCTTAGTTTGAGGGGGAGAAGTCGTCCATGGTTACGCGTAGTTGTTTCAGTAGAGTGATGAATAGTGCGTTGGCGCGGCGGTGAGCTAATAAGATGAGCAAGCATTGGAATACTCGGCTGGTGAAGAATGATAATTGGGTACGGGATGTGGTGTTCGGTGCGACTGTGGTGCCTGTGGTGAGGCGAAGTCTGCGGACATTGCTCCAGACCCGGTAGGTGGCTCTGAGGCGTTGCGGCAATGGGGCCGGCCCCAGATCTTCAACATGTTTGTCAAGGAAAAGGAGAGAGGACGTGTGCATGGTGACGCCGATGACAAAGGGGACCCAGAGCTGAGGACGAAGAGTCGGTTCCGATCCATCTTCACTGAGGCATTTGAAGATACTGAGGACATGCAGAATAATCAGTCCCTGGCGTATAGTATTGATCGGCTGCTGAATAGCGAAGTAGAATAATACAATCGAGAGGGAAAACCAGTAGAGCGGGGATAGAGTCATGATGCAATGCGGACTGTACGATGTCAGATTCGGAGGCAGTTTTCGAAATGAAGAAGGCTTGCTTCTGGTCCTGGACAGCAAGAGGCTTGATGATAGCATGGGCAGAAAGATTGACGTCTAGTGAAAGCTACCGATCGAAAGCGCCTATCGCCCTTGGTTCCACGGTACCTTGTGCCTCGTTTAGTGTCTAGCATGTGTACCTTGAGTTGCAGAGGGTGCAAACACCTGCCCAAGTCCTTATTCTGCCGTTAATGAGTTGCCAGGATCCAATCGTTTGTTTCATGAAGACAGCAGCGTTGTGCTACGGCGTCACACCGAGATACTCCAGGTGTATTTTAGGTACTGTACAAGTGTGATGATACTTGCTCTACCAAAAGATTACACCCAACCCTATCACATGAAACTCTTTCTTCAGCATTTTGTTTGCTGGCGCCGTGCTGGAGCACATAAACGTGTTATCCGGGAGCAACACCGCGGAGGAAGAAAAAAGATCCGCCCGTTGCACAATGAGTGACATCGTGCTGCATTGGTGTGTAAGCTACAAACCCGAAGGAGCAAATGAGCATTATAATCGCTAACAGCAAGTCGATGATGGTGATACAAATATGTTGGCTGATAGTATGTGTGGATGCACCGTTTCTTGAGTGACCTGGTTTGGAAATTAAGAAACAAGAAGAGATAAGATGATTGGAAGGAGGTGATCTCAAGAGTTTGGACTTTTGATAAGAAGAGCCAAAGCATCACTTCAAAAAGGTTTAGAGGCTTTGATTAGTTACGAAGGCCCAAGTTCAGTTTGGCAACTAGATATCCTAGTAAGTGTTGATGCATCTGACAGATACAAGTCGAAATAAGATAAAGGATGCCTGAGGTTATGGATAATCAAGCAGAAATGTAATCCAACTGCCGATGCGATCTGGTTACATAGCATATGTTTGCCCCATGGCATAGGTTTGTTGTCATTTATGGACGACGATGTTGTGCAAGATGAGCTTCGTTGTTGACGGCGAGGACCCGTGCCATAAACACGCAAACTCTCAGAGGTGATGTAGCAATAGAAATTCCATAAGTGATATTGCCTACTATCATGCCAATCCGCCGTCTATTTAAACAAGACGCTCAATTGACCCCGGACACTCACGAGCTCAGAAGCACCACCGTACAGCATCCTCATCCTTCTCAAAGCAAGCAAAGTTGAATTATCCCGCAAAACCTATACTCAAACCCTCACTCACTCATCCACTCGTCAAGATGCCCATTGCGCTCCCTTTCCTAGAGGTAGCCGGGATATTCACCATGGTCGGCGCACCAGGGGCCGTCCCCAGCATCTACGGCGGAATTTGCTCCTCGCAGAAGACCTGCGTCGGTCCCAACGCTGATAAAAGCACCATCGACATCGAGTCCGTACCGCGCGTCGCTGAGTACGTCCGCCGCGACGACGGCGTGGGACCCTGCGGCGTCCCGCAGTACAACTACGACATGTGTCAGGACCAGCTCGTTGGGGTTACGGTGAACAGCACTATTCCCGTTTTTGGCCGTGAGTTCTCATGTATCTCTGTCGATGATCGTTCTCGTTTTCTTCTGCTTGCAATGGGAAGTAAAGTTCTGGGGCAGGTATATCTAATGTGGTATGATTATGACAGAAGCTCAATTCGACTACCTGCCCCCGGCTTGCATGGATCTTGCCGGCTTCATCGTCGGTTCCTGCAATGCGCCCGATGGCCCGATTCCGGTTCCTTGCGGCTCGGCTTGCATGCTTTATATGGACATGACTAGTGACCACTACACGAAGCTCGCTCTGGCACTTGGGAAATGAATCAGTTGTCGCTTGAGGCAGGTTGTATCCTTGGTGGGTCTCGTGTGGCTTGTGGGGAGTTGAACACACCATTTTTGGGATTGGTTTGCTATACTATTGGTTGAATGACTTCAGTCTTCCGTGGTGCTTCTGCAGTTGAGCTGCAACAGTCGGTCATTGCACCTCACGCTCGTTCGTCTAGTCAGATACAATACACGCCGCTCTGCCTCGTCAAAGTGCTGTTTTAAAGAACTGTTCGATGGTGTCTCATATTGTACTGATAATGCCATCTGTATTCGAATGTACCCTCGGCCGAGCGAGTTGGTTTACTGAATTGAGTAAATAACCTTCGAACCTCAAAACCTATCGGATATTCTCCCTAGAGACTGTGTCGATGATGTAATGTCACTGAAATTCTAGGCCGAACGATTCGCTAGATGCCAGCTCAAAGTCAGCCGTGAATACGATGTTGATTTAGACTCTCTGTACCTACCCGTGTCAGACTCGTTACCAACTTGCTTATTTGTTGCTACATGTGTCGGACACTTCAAGCATGACGCCGTTATTTCATTCATAGAATATACGTGCTTGTCAACCTTTGAACCATCTTACGGTGCCCTGAGATCTGTCAGAACTAGCACTGTCATGAGTATCTTATCCTTCGGGGAGGATACCGCCGAGCTCGTGAATTGACTTTCTATGTGTAGCGGGAGTTTAAATCTAGTATTTGGACTCTAAGTATTATTCTCAGCACATAATTAGTAGTACTCGAGATCATATGCGTATTCAACTTAGCCACAGTCATTTTAGGAATTGGATATAGTGTTATAAATAAAAGAACGAATGACTGTTGAGGCCTTTTGAGGCCGACTGCGAAGGTTTGCCCCAATAACCATAACCTTGACATTTAGAGGCACTGCCAGTATCCGAAACAGACCTTTGCTGATGGCCAACTTCGCTCGAGGTATTATCTTAGCCGGGACGGAGTGCAATGAGTTGCACGGCAGCTTTTACGGAACTAAGGTTTGAGACTAAAAATGGAGAATGCCATGGTAAGCTGTCAGTAATGAGTCCTTTGATAAATGGGGGTTACACCTGGCTTGCGGATTCCCACTCTGCCCAGTGTTCTTTGCAGTTGGTCGTTTTCATTTTATACATTGGGTTGCATTATCGAGCATCTTGGACGTATTTTACCGAGTCCAGCTCGATTACTTAGTAGCAAATGAACATGTGCAAATTTTGAAATAAGTTGTCTTTCTGCAGACGCACCAAAAGAATTTAGAGCTCTGTAGCCATGCAGCGATTCCCACTACGGTAATTTCACGAGCACACCGGGCGCAACCTATCTTACCCATGCAGGCATGTCGCATCCTCGATGCTAAGCCTTGTAATTATGCCCCAAGGAGTAGCTCTCGGTGATTGCTATGGTGTGATACTCGCACGAGACTGGCCTTCGCCATGATGCAGCTTACTTGATACGCGAGGTGCAAACAACGCAGACATGACCCGAGACACTTGGAAGCCGAGCCTATTCACTTCTGGCTAGCGTGGATGACCTCTAATGATGGAAATACTTGAAGATCCAAGTCGACCGTTGAAGTCGAAGTCGAAATAGGCCTCGAATCGGGCTTGCAGAGGGGAGTACCCACCAATGCTGCTATACATGTATTTGTGAAGACGGCTTTGCGCATTTCGTTGGGTTTCGTGATGACTGCCTAGGCTTATTCGAAAAGTTAGAGTCGGCGACCGGGTGGTAAGATACGACTTATCATCTAAAATGAGCCTCTTTTGCTGACGTTTGTCTCAGACTCCCAGCATGATTACACCCGGCACTAGAAGTAATTGTGGGTCCTTCAAGTCTCGGTTGCAGCCACCTCAGCTCAATCGGTCATCATTTTTGGCTTTGTCACTCTCCAACGCCAGGCAACCAAGGATGGAGAAGATATAGTTAAGGTACTTTTTGTCGGTGATACCGACCAAAATCTGGCTTTTAGGCGCATTCATAAAGCGAAGCTAGCAAGACGGCTTGGATTCCGCCACGCTATCGAAATATTGTGGCGCGGTGTGTGGCTGTGGGAGAAGCGGAGTTGCGGAGTATACGTAGTGACTTGCGTGGCCGCCACTGCTATTTTGGGCACTGTTCTGATCTTGACCACAGTAAATCCAAATTCCAGTGGCAATTGCAAGGGAAGGCCGGGAAGACCTGAGGCGAGTCGTCCGACGAACAGCCAAGGTGCCATGCAATTGAGCAGAGTTTGGCTGACTAGATGACACTGTCGTACCTATTTCGAAACGAAATTGGGATACCGAGTCATGCCTGCAGGCTGGAATGCAACGTACTGATCTGTTGATAGTTGGTGTATTCGTGTCTGCTGCAGTAGCAGTAGCGGAGTTTTGGGCTGAGTGAGCATGTGGCCCTCATGAAAATCGATGCTGGATGCGCCGTATGGACGACAAGCGGGTGTGCCTGATGATCTTCCTGGATCTTCATATATGTTTGACGAATCACGCGAGAGGTCGTTAGTAGCCCAAACTTTGAACAGCATCGGAAAATTTAGATTCAGGAACACAGAGACCTGGAGTTACGAGACCGGTGTACAGAGCACAGTATGTCTGAAATTGATACGTCGAACCTCATAATTGTGGATGGTAGGCGCATTAATGGCACATGTCGTCGCTCAAGCCACTACAACGAATACAAAGAGGGCCGCATGCGTTGTCCCAGCCATTGGGACACTACGACACAGCCAATCGCCAGCCCACACTAGAAACATGTGTAAGCCCCTTGTTGTCGGCGCAGAATCGGACTGTTCACAGCAATCAAGCGAGCAGCAGTGAAAATGACATGGCGAAAATAGCGAAAGCTGAACATCAAGATGACGAAAGATATACCATCCATTGCCGTTTGTAGATAGGTTATCTCAACTGTGCCAAAAATGCGCTTTGCTGGTGGAGAGACAGCGACGTCACTTCTTAAAGTTGCTTGGCAACGAGATGTTGCGGATGACCAGGATGGAACGGGCGTTGCCAGGGGGTTACAAGCGGCAATTCGCGCTCCGTTTTTATTTGAGGCACATGGGTGCTGCGCCTGCTCATAGGACCTGAAACGCGAAACCTCCATCAGCACCAATCCTCGCTTGATTTTCGAGCCACCCTCACCATTCGACTGTGGGATTGGCCCTGCTCATCTGCTCCCAAACCATCTGCGTGAAACTCGAGCACTTGACATTTTCTGCCGAATTATCTTGTCGCGTCGAACCTTCTATCTTGCTTGACCCCTCCCACTGAAGTTGTCAAATCGAGAGCGCATTGCAACCTGGGTCAAGGCTTTTAGCTACTGCCGGCACTGTACCCGTCGCAAGTCAACACGCGCCTGCGCCTGCGACGGCGACTTCGACTGCGACGGCGAACGGACTCTTGCCCATTGCAGACGCGTATTCCGTTGACAAACCAGCGGCTTGACGTCGAAACTCAATCTTGGCGATCGCGATAGGGGTGATCTCCAGACTTCGAACCCACCGCTCCTGCTCACAAGACACATTTCACCATCCTCTGGCAGACTTCGACGTCGCAGTTGGAATACACTCGAGATATTGGCTAGTGTGAACCCATTCTAGAGAGTGGTTGTGTTACTACATCAACACCCCGACCTGCTTCACTACCATTCCACCACCGAAGGCACATCAGAGCCGCCCGTGGACCTTCGCAGTCCTACGTGATTCACCCGGTTTCTACTCGACCATATCCCGCCCCTTCCCCTGTTGATATAATAGTAGTAACCATGTCGTATAATCGTTTGGGTGAGTTATTCATGCTTCCTATTTTGAGTTCCTTTGCCTTCACCCCCTTTCTCCGTAGTCCACCTCCACACCCCTTCCCACTTCGGCATTCGATACCCACATCGATATTCATTCTTTGCCTCGTCTGTCGGTAACCTCTCGACCTCGTCTTTTTTCGGATTCGGCCTGCGCAAGCTTGGTCTACATCTCCGAGCTTCGCCGCCGAGTTGTAAGACGACAACATACTTCTGGTGGCGCAGGCAGCCCCTCGACACGTTGCTTTAAAGCCAACTTGACCCAGGGCGAAGAATACATTTCCTAACCTTCTCCACCTAGATGACGGTTACTACGATCCCACTATGGACAACAGACCTGGCGTGCACCGGACGCCCTCGCCGGGCCACCCACTGCAACACGGATACCAATTGGACGATGTCCCGTACGGCCAACATCCGCCGCCGCCGCCGCCGCCGAGCGGCCTTGATGTCCCGGGGCGCCAGGGTGCCTATACACCGAGCGACATACTTCCCCTCAACGCCGCTCACAGTATAGACAACCTGTCGCAAAGCCACTATGGCGGCCACGCCCCGGGCTATGGCGGTTCCGAATACGCGGTCAACCCCGAGCAACATCATGATGCCTACTACAATCAGCCATATGAGCCCGCTCAGGGGACACCATATCAGGAGTATCAGAGCTACGACCTTGAAGATTCGCGGCCAATGCTCGCTCAGAACGATTCCTACGCTGCGGGCGGCCAGCCAGAGCTATACCAAGACGAACCCCGGCAACAACAGCAGCAACAACAACAAGGTGGTGGCGCTCCTATCAAGAGATGGAAGACGGTCAAGCAGGTCCTTCTGTACCGAGGAAACCTGGTTCTCGATTGTCCAATCCCACCGAGACTGCTCAACCAGTTACCCCACGGCGAACGAGACGAGTTTACCCACATGCGGTACACTGCCGCCACTTGCGACCCCAACGACTTTTACGATGAGAATTTTACGTTGCGCCAGAAGCTCTTCAGCAAGCCGCGCCACACAGAACTGTTCATCGTCGTCACCATGTACAACGAGGACGACATATTATTCGCCCGTAGTATGGCTGGCGTGTTGAAAAACGTTGAGTATATGTGCGGCCGAAAGGAAAGCAAAACCTGGGGACCCGATGCGTGGAAGAAGATTGTTGTTTGCGTGGTTAGCGACGGCCGAGCCAAAATTAATCCCCGAACCCGCGCCCTCCTTGCTGGTATGGGTGTCTACCAGGAGGGTATTGCCAAGCAGCAAGTCAACGGCAAGGATGTGACGGCCCATATTTACGAATACACAACGCAGGTGGGCATGGTCATAAAGAACGATGTCGTCCAGCTGGTCCCCAAGAAGCAGCCAGTGCAAATGCTATTCTGCCTGAAGGAGAAGAACCAAAAGAAGATCAACTCGCACAGGTGGTTCTTTCAAGCCTTCGGCCGTGTGCTGAACCCCAACATTTGTGTGCTGATTGATGCTGGTACCAAGCCGGGAGGCAACTCCATCTACCATCTGTGGAAGGCGTTTGACCTTGAGCCTATGTGCGGAGGTGCGTGTGGTGAAATCAAGGCCATGTTGGGAACAGGCGGCAAGCATCTGCTCAACCCTCTGGTTGCTACTCAAAACTTCGAGTACAAGATGAGCAATATTCTCGATAAGCCGCTCGAGTCCGCGTTTGGCTTTATTTCAGTCTTGCCCGGTGCCTTTTCGGCCTACCGATACGTCGCCCTCCAGAACGACAAGAATGGCCTAGGCCCATTGGAGAAGTACTTCAAGGGCGAGACGCTGCATGGCGCCGGCGCTGGTGTTTTCACTGCCAACATGTACCTCGCCGAAGATCGTATCCTTTGTTTCGAACTCGTCACGAAGCGCAACTGCCATTGGATCCTGCAATACGTCAAGTCGGCGACTGGAGAAACAGATGTGCCCGACAGCGTCACAGAACTGATTCTGCAACGCCGTCGTTGGCTCAACGGCTCTTTTTTCGCTGCCATCTACGCTATTGCTCACTTCTATGAGTTCTTCCGGTCGGACCATTCGATTCTGCGCAAACTGGCCTTCTTCATTGAGTTCGTGTTCAACACAATTAACATGGTCTTTGCTTGGTTCGGTATAGGCAACTTCTTCCTGGTTTTCAAGATCTTGACGACAAGTTTGGGCACGGACGACTTGCTGGGCACTGTCGGTACCATCTTGGGCGTGGTGTTCACTTGGTTCTATGGTATCTCTTTGATGTCGTGTTTCGTCCTTTCCATGGGTAACCGTCCGTCGGGGTCCGGGAAACTGTATACCGCAATGGTTATCTTCTGGTGTGTGATCATGATGTAAGTCCAACTTCACCCCTGCCTAACTCTACTACGTCCCTGCTGACAAAGACTGCAGATACCTCACCTTCGCCGCGGTCTTCATCGCGGTCAAGGCTGTTCAGACCGAAGTCGCGGACGGATTTGTTTTGAGTGATCTTATTACGAACAAGATTTTCTTCTCGCTGATCGTGTCCATGCTGTCAACATGGGGCATGTGGTTGATTGCTTCAATCATCATGTTCGACCCTTGGCACATGCTTACGTCCTTCATACAATATCTACTTCTCACGCCCACTTTCATCAACGTTCTCAACGTGTACGCCTTCTGCAACACGCACGATATCTCTTGGGGTACCAAGGGTGACGACAAGCCCGATGTACTCCCGACGGTCGACACCAAGGACGGAAAGGGTAAGACCGATCTGCCTGACGAGGGTGACCTGAACGCGTCATACGAGCGTGAGCTAGCGGTCTTCAGCAAGAAGCACGTTGAGATCAAGAAGCCTCCCACGGATTCCGACAAGGCCGAGGCTCAACAGGATTACTATCGCTGGATTCGGTCACTGGTCGTTCTCATTTGGATGATCACCAACTTTGGTCTTGTCGCTCTCGTTCTTAGTACCGCAGGTTTGGAACGCCTTAACCCGGACTCGGCTGCTGCCGCCGAGGACGAACGTGCGAACTTGTACATGACGATCATTCTCTGGACCGTCGCGGGCCTCAGTGCCTTCAAATTCATCGGTGCTATGTGGTTCTTGATCGTGCGCATGTTCAGGGGTGTATAATTTTGAAGAGGAGTGGGAAGGGGATGAGGTTTCGTCTGGTTCTGTTGCGACAACATTGTTTTGTACCTTTTTTCTTTTTACGACACTTTCATCGACAAACGACCGACGACATTATACATATACCCAGCGACATTTTGACGACAGTACATTTCATCAAGAAGAAAATAAGGTCGATGGGTTCAAGACAAGAGGAGAAATCAAAGGAGATGATGATGACTGTACCTGTTTTTCTTGTTCCCCCTTTTATGGATTGTGTTTGGACCATGCATCAAGCATAGACTACTTACGCTTGTATGAAGCACAGATATCCTGTGCCGAGCTGGGCTCAGTTTCTCTTCGCGGCACCGGGCAGCCTGAATGTTGGATGCTCTTTTTCTTGTTCCGAGGCATGGTCGTTGGGTTCCGGGCCGTTCTTGATGGATGGAGGCTCGCGACTTGGAAATGAAATATGCTCGGCGGGGTGGAGGAGCTGCATGCACAAGGCTTGATATATATTTATGTAGCATATGACGGCGTAGCGGAGTTTTGAAAGACACCAGAATTACATGGTGTTGTATCGTGATCAAAGTTGCTTTGGAAAAATGTGCCTGATATATATCCACTGTGAAATTATATATGATTGCGTCGAATCACTTGATGAAATCCACCACTGAGTTTTTTCTCTGGCCGTATTACTCTTTGTGTTTGCCCAGTAGGGAGTATGGCAATATGTTCTAATATCAAACCGTGAGGCAAAACAGTGAGAACCAACGAGGACGCTCGGTTGCAGCAGCTGGGGTACAAATCTCGGGGCTGCTCGTTGCGCCTCCTTATATTTGTCTTCGCCGCGTCTTGATAGGCAGGAGTTTGGTGGGGTTTGCTTGCTTCATTGACCCTCATTACTGGCGGCATTTCTATGAAGTGGTTGTCCAACGACACGCACCGGGACCTCGTCAGCTTGCCCTGCTTGCTGCTTTTGCGCTTGCTTTTTCCAACAGGCGTGGTATCTTTACTTGGGGATCTCGTAGGAAAGCGTTTGAGCTCTCGAGGAGTGGCGTCGGCTCACATTCGGTGCCAGTTCGAGCGCGAAGAGTTAAACGTGGTTGTCAATGACCCATGGGATACCGTTGCTTACTCAAGCTACTTCGCGAAGGGGTTGGGGATAGTTTCAACTACACCCCGTCATTGGAAGACCGTCGGGGATCAACATAGAAGCATTAAGTTCATTCAGGGCGGATAATATTTATAAATGTTTTCAGCTGTTATGATGGAAGCAAGGGTGCACCGTATTCGACAGCCTTTGGGAACAATTCGACGCGTTCGCTAAGGATCAAACGCCCTTCGACATAAGATCATGGCCATTCTACCTCGGCTACGACGTCGTCGGAGCTCTCTACCTGAGACAACTCATGGGCTTCATCCAGCAGGCTCGCGACATTGGTTGGCTGATGCGCATTCAATATGGTTTACTTTTCCGGGCAGGGTTTCTGGCGCGTCAAGGACCCAAAAAGGGAGACCATTCCCACTGCGTGCTGGCTGGTACCATTCCACCTCCTTTTGTCCGGACCTACATCACAAATGGTATAATCAAGCATTACGTTGCTTCGTAGATCATTGCATTTCACTCTTACTACCTTCTCTCCAACTTCATAGACATGGAGCCGGGCTCAGAAAACCACTGGGACTGGACATGAACTCGTTAGTTTGGGTCAACAAGTGTGACGTTGCACCGGAGCAGCAATTTACTGACGAATTTGTACACCTCAAAGGTAGCCAGATTGTGGTCGATGTAGGTACACGAGCCGTGACCATACTGAAGAGGAGTGTTAGAGTCGTTAGCATCCAAGCAACCATATATTTAACTATTGCCGAGCCACAAGTACACTGACAGGAGCAACATATTTCTTCATCGATTGGATACGTTGCACTTGTTCCAACTCGGCCTGCAGGCGCAGCAGACGCTTCTCGTTCTCGGCGCACAGGAGATTCAGAGGCAGGAGAATGGCATCGATGCCATGCTGGAAACGAGATGGTACATTTCAATGAAGACTAGAACGGAGAAAGAGAAGGTGTGTGAAGTTTCGGGAATACTGGCATTATAAAGGAAAGTACTGTTAATTCCAGGGGAAATTGTCTTTGCGTCTCGCAAACTATGCCCCGGTAACCGTGGGTCACATACATTACAGCATGAAAACACTTTTGCAGTGGCTGGTGGAAGGTCCATACCGTATGCCCCTCGAGTGTGAAATACTCACAGCAGAGAATTCATCCAGCACTATAAAGTTGAGTAAATAACGTTGTACCCACCTTTCAATGTATCACAGTAGCCGTACTAATATACCTCGAGTTCCAGGGTCTAGATGGAAAAAGATCCGGTCCGCATAGGCATAGATCCTACATCTCGAGGTCAACCATCATTAAGTATTTCCATATGCTGACTGGGTAATTCGAATGCGTTTGCAGTATAAGAAAGCACGTTTGTTCATTTCAGCTAGCGCTTCTTCAGCATAACTAGCGCGAATTGCCATGTTCTGCCAGTGGAACGCGCCTTTGCGCATCGCAAACTGCTCAAAGACCTACGGCCATATGCCGGAAATAAAGCAATCCTGAATGCATCTCGTTCTCATCATGAATGCAGAAAGCATACCAGACTTCTCTCAAAACACACTCTGTGCATATACTCGTAACATCCATTCCAACTCGTGGATGGGGCTTCAAATACCCATCTGCTCAACCTCCTGAGCCAAGCGCTCAATCTCATCTGCTCTCCGCACCCCCTGCGCAGGCGTGTGGTGCGCCCCACCAACAGGTGCACCACACTCGGGACACTGCGCCATCTCCATCGGCATGCCACACTCGCCGACCGTGAAAGGATGGCCCCTCTCGCAGGTATACCAATGGCCGGTGCCCAAGAACTCGCCCGCCATGGCACCGTACACGGCTTGCATCTCATATGCTGAGACAGACATGTAGAAGACACCTTCGCGCAACATGGCCTCAGCTGCATCGATATCTGTCAGAAGCATGCCAGCTTGTCCACTATACTGCTCGACAATGGCGCGGGCAGTAGTAAGGTGATCCAAGCCTTGCTCTTTGAGAGTTTCGAACTCCTTTGCAGTAATCCCAGTCTCACCCGACTCATCAGGTCCGGCAGCGGGTCCAAGTATTCTGGTAAAAGCGCAGAATTGGGCAAAGAAGATATGGGCCTCTACCTCCTGGCGCGGATATATCATCCTCTTGGCCAACTCAATTAATTCCTGACAGTCGCTCATCTGCTTTGAGAAATCGAGCTTGAGCTTCGGCCGGGATTGCATGATCTCCGGGCGCAACTCCATGAAGTCGGAGATGATGATGACCTCGCATCGCAGCCAGAGCGCCGAGGCTTGGAGTTGCGATTTGTACTGGATGAGTGACTCGTCGAAATGGAATCCCCCCGTCTCCGAGTGCTGGCGCGCAGCGTGTTGGACGAAATCGGCGACGCGTTGGAAGGGCTGCTCTGCTTTTTGGACCTGTTTGATGAAGTTTTTGATGTCGTGCCAGAGTTTCAGGGCGGCTGCGTATCTTCCTGAGCCCACCCAATCGCGAATCAGGTGCAGTTCCTTCAGCCGCCCGTTGGCAGAGATTTTGGTTGGGCGGGTGTTTTGGGAATTCACTACTTTAGGATCCCTATTTTTCTCTAGGTTCTGGCGGATGTCTCCCAAGTCCTCGGCTAGATAGAGGAATTTGCTGTTGGACCAAGCCATAAACTTCTTAGTTGCTTCGTCGAGCATGGCACGGCGGACGATACGACCGTAGCGTGCGATGTTGCGCAGTGAGCCGCGACAGGTTGGGCAATTTTTGACTTCGTCCATGGAGAACGGGGTAGAAGTCCCGACGAGTGCGACAGGATTGTCTTCCGCTGACATTTTGTAGTGAGCTTTCATGTCCATCAAGCCATCCATGTTGCTCTTGATAATGAAGTGGCCGCAGTCCGGGAAGAGGCAGGGTTCCTCGTCGAGGTCGATCTCATGGTATTGATTGCCCATGATGAAGTCAACCTCGGTTTCTTTGATGTCTTCGACACAGCATATCTGACAGTACTTTTCGTCTGGGCACGTCTCACCACAGAGGGATGGGCCTGGAGACAAAGATTAGTCATAATGGATAGCATGGATTTCGGAGACTGGGAGGAAGTATCTCACATTGATGACCACAGCTCAGGACCTTCTCGCATCTCTTGGAACAGGGGACCCAGTTGCAGGGTGCTGCACATCTAGTTTACGTTAGCTCTAGCTCGAACTCGCAGAATAAGCCAGATTACTTACGGCATCGTGCACTGTATGTGAGGACAGCGGGACGCACAAGTCTGCTCAGCGCATGGAGCGCAAGGCTCATGACATAGCTTGCTGCATTTTGAGTGACTGCATCGAACTTCGCAGGGCCGCGGACACGGCGGGCACTTCGCTTCTCCATGGCAAGGTTCCTTGCAGCTGTGAGGGCAGGTAGTGTACTTGCGATCACACGGCTGCTGGCAAATCCCGTGGTTCACCTTGGTGATCTTGCCTTTTGCTCTCTCTCTGCATCTCCAACATTCACTTCGGCAAGAGTGACCACAGCGCTGAGGTTCGCCGCAAATCTCCCCGCACTTGAACGCATCCACGCTTACGTCGGTGGGACAGGTGACGGTGAGAGTGTGATCACACCCAGGTACAGTCTTTTGCACCTTTTCCTGGCATGCAATGGTCGATGGATTCTGCGCCTGCCAACAAAGCGCTGAACTCACTTTATGTCCACAGGAAAGAGTGATGTTGAGGCCCCGAAGCTTTTCGACACACTTTGGAAGGCATGGCTCGCCACAGTCCCGACGACAAGGGTGATCACACCCCTTCTTGGGTCGTGGACAAGGCTCCAGACATTTAACTGCTTTGTGTAGAGTATTATGATGACATCGGCTGATGCACGAGTGCCCACACGGAAGGCGCCGGTCGCACGGCAGGTTACAGCCTCCTTCGGGCGAGAACTGGAGGAAGTGATCCGGGTCCGAGACCAGAATAGGCGTATCGGGATGGCGCGGGCACTGCAACTCGAGCTTGTCACCGAAGTTTCCAGTTTGGACTAGAATGTCCAGAACTTTGGCCCACATGTTCACGTGCCTGTATGTATTGGAATTTCCGATGAGATACATGCCGTGTTGGGCACGCGAGAGCAGCACATTGATGCGGTTAGAAGTGCTGAGGAAGCCGCACTTGTTCTGCTTATTACTCCTTACCAGCGAAATCACGACGACCTTTGCTTCTTCGCCTTGAAAGTTATCAACGGTAGCCAGTCTGATGCTCTTCAGAAGAGTCGTCTTGGTCGAAACAGGCCGGTTCGGTTGTGGGATATTGTCCGGACCATCTCCTGACCTGCTGGCCTCCAGAACCTCGAGCTCCTCAAGGTCTCTTTCACCGACTGAAATCTCAAATAAAGTCGACATGGCGCGGCGGAGCTGGTGTAGCTGCCCTAGGTAGGGTGTGATGACGGCAATGTCATCGGGGCCATACGATCCTTGCCTTACTAGATGTTGCACAAGGGCAATCGTCATGTTCATCTCAAAGGCATTGGTACGTGAAGTGGTGGTTGCATCGAGCTGGCTGGCCTGGTCCTCGGGAGCCTCATGGTGTAGCCAATATAGTCGCTTCTTCATACCCAGAACCTCAGGGTAATGATTCACAGTTTCACCGTCCTCCAAAGACGGATAAAGCGTCGAACGAATGAGCTCAGAGACGCTTGGATGCATACGTCTCTGAGTTTGGAGGGTATTGAAAGGCAGTCTGATGTCAGTCTCGTGCGGGGGGTTGATGAGGCGCTCAAAGAGCGACACGTCGAGCGAATACTGCGCACCTCGTGGATTATTGCTCTGAAGATCGTAGTTATTGATCTGCGGTCGCAACTGCAGGTGGTCTCCAATGAGAATAGCGTGCTCCACGGAGGGAAGAAGGGCAGTTAACATGTGCGCCTCGAGAACCTCTCCTGCCTCCTCACAGAGCATCACCTTGCTTCGCAATTTCAAGAGCAAGTCTAAGTTCCGCGCAAGGCCGGTGGTGGTGACACCGACAATGTCTGCCTCATGTAGGCAACGCAGATCAACCTCGCGAGAGATCTTGTTCTGGTTGGCCTTTGCTGCTTCGTAATCTTTGCAAACCCCAATGATTTGTGTGATGATCGGGTCACGAATTTCGCGAAGCCAGTAAGAAATGAGATGACTGCGTTCCTCCCTCGTCATTTGCCAGAGATTTGCCTCGATTAGATCATCAACTTGGCGCGGCGGCGAGGTTCCGGGGAAACCACCGCGACGCCATTGCTTGAAACGGTGATTGGGATCGCGATGAACTTCAGTCCATTTACCTATACCCTTGCTAAATAAAGCATCGTGGTGTTGCGGGTGAAACATGAAGAGATAATTCTTGATCGTCTCAGGAGAATTTACTGACTCAAGGTTCTTGATTGAGACATCGAGGAGCCCGACATGCTGATCCAGTGATTTCTTCGTCTCCCACAGCAATGCTTTCTCAGCTTTGGTACGATCAGCGGTTTTTGCAACGACACGAATATTTAGCTGTTCGAGTCGCTCGGACTTGGACCTGGATCCAATTCTAATGATCTTTTTAACACCGTCATCGAGTAAGTGCTCAAGAAGCTGGTCAAGTGCGTGGTTGGTATAGCAGACACATAGAATCGGGCCTAGCCCCGCTTTCTTCTTGTTGGCAAGTAGAACCTTAATGATCTTTTCTCCTGTAAATGATTTGCCAGTGCCTGGAGGTCCCTGGATGAGAACCAAGCTTCTGGACAACGTGTCGAGGAGAGCACTCGACTGAGTTGCATCAAGGGTTGAGTGCTTTGCCAGCTCTTGAGGATCAAGAGGTTTTGTTGGAGAACAACGTAGACTTGTATTGTCGTTGGTCACACAGCTCAGGTCGAAGCTAAAACCCGGTTTCAACGTGTAAGCCGGGGGAGGAACTTCAACGCCGCCGGGACTGGCCTGGGAGGGAGTAAGCAAGTCTATGAAAGGCATATCGGGTGTCTTGGACATTCGTTGGAGCGCCGCGAGCGTGTGTTGAAACGACGGAAGAAGAATGCCGGGAAACTCAACCAGACAACGCTGCTGACTGTGGCCATCATCTCGATACCAGCGGAGGACTTGGCCGATGTTGGCAGGCCGGATTTCGGCAAGGTGCAGGTGAACGTAGGCAGAGGTTTCGTCATCGGCAAGACTCGCTTTCGGCGCCTGCTTGCTTGATTCCTCCTCATCTTCCGCTGTGGCCGGTGTGCGCCGTCGCTTCAGGTGCAACTCTGCATTCGTGGCGACGATAGTGGTTTCAGCAACTACGCAAAAAAGGACAGATCCGTTCTTGGAAAGAACACACAACAGGCCACCCGGCTGTAGGCGCTTGGAGTGTCCCCACCACTCCTGTCGCTCGCGAGACTTCTTTCCCTGAGCAGGTTGGCGAAACTGGATGGTAAAGTCCAATCCAAGGCGTTTGTCGAATTCAATGTTACGAATGATGGGATCGTTGTAGATGTATGTTCGAACGCCGTTCCTATCGCGGTGGTCCCGGCTGCGTTCTGGGTTCTGCATGAACTCAAGTTGGAGGCGAACGACATCTCGGAGTTGGCCGACAGTGTCTTCTCGCAGAAGTCGGAATTCGCGATCCAGACGTCCATTAATTCCATCAATATGGAACTGGGACGAATCGTTCGTAGGCAGATACTCACCACGCGACGAGGTAATCTCCTCGCGAGTAGGCAGGATACTGATTTTGGAGATGTCGGCGTGGTCGTTATTGTGTCGCGGCCCATCAGCAGACATATTTCCGGGCAGATCTTTGCGCATGAAAAACTCGGCGCGGTCCACAGGCGTTCGATTGTTGGTCTGCGCCTCGAGTATTGCGTCGCCCACCCCGAGGCGTCGTCGAAGGTACTGCAAGGATTTACGAGCTTGCATCTTGGAAAACTCGTCCGAAGACTGGCCAGCTCGTCCTAAGCAGAATTCCAGACGGTCGATGATCCGGTTGAAGTTCTCGTTCACAACATTGGTCGTATTGCAATCGATCATTTTCGCCAGGGCCGTGAGAGAGAGCGCGCAAGCGGACAATCCATGCTCATCTTCGGCAGCTATGGGTAGCGTAGACCAAACTTCGAGTAGATCTAGGACGAACTCGAATAAGGTCTTCATTCTTCTGCCACCAATGCCCTGCATGACGTTATAGATGGTGGCGACATCCAGCTCCAGCACTGCGGAGTCAAGAACACGCTCGTGAGTGACAAGTTGCAACAGAGGTTGCACCTGGTTGAGCCAATGATGAACTTTTCCAGCTGCATCGATTGATAGGAAGGTATGGCGCTCAACAAGATCTTTGAGAAAAGCCAATCCATCTTCGGTGGCAAAGAGCTTGATGGTCTCTTGAGCAGCTCCCGTATCACCTTCCATCAACTCGAGAGCGAGTTGAAAGAAGCGGTCACATTTCGAACGTACGAGTGACAAGTTTCGACCCACTAGTAGTTGCTTCCATTCTCGTAGACGATCTTGGACTGGCTCGTTGCGGCCGTGTTGTTCGTGTGACGGGTGCCGCTGCCCTTCAGAAGGAGACGCTGGCGTGGTGATGCCACTTGAGACATGTGAAAAGTTGCATTTCACTCCAAAACGGCATCGACCGGCAGCAAAACCGAAGCAAGGTTTCGCCTTTCCACGGCTGGAGCTAGAAAAAGTGTCAGCACAAGACGTGAACACCAGGTGAGTGACGGAGGGCAAATGAGACAAACTGCTTACCGGTCCATCACGCGCGATGGAGAACGATGAGATGACTCTGAGACACCAAATTCCTGCTTTAGATGTGCCTAAAATCTCTAGATGCGACAAAGAAGTGATGAAAGGGAGGAGGATCGAGGTGACAAGTAATATGGCCTTGCGAAAAAGCTGTGATACGGCAATTGAGGCCGTAGAAGTAGAGGTGGGTAGAACAGCGGGTTGAAAAAACGCGTGGAACGTGGAACGTGACTAAAAGAAGAAAATAGAGCCGGTTAGAACTGGGAAGAATGTAGAAGGCAGTCGCAGCATTCAGGCAGGAGGCCCTCCGTCAGGGCAGACTGTAGACGCAGCCAATGGCCACATCCTTGACCAAAAGTGAACAAATAGCACGCCAGTGGCTGCAAATGACAGGATACTGTGATACAATGAGCATTTATGGGGAGAAGCAGAGCGCCCATGCTTGGGCTCAGCTCATCCGTTTGTTATCCAAAGATCGAGGCCAGCGAAAGCAATCATGATGTTGAGAACATTAAATATGTCACTGTGGATCTCTCATAAAGGATACTTGCATCTTTAAGATCCGGAAACACGGGTAGTGGTAGTATGTCTTGTTTGCTGGTGTTTCTATAGCAGCACGAACGCGAAATTGGCACGTAAGATCGTAAGGGGTACCTTTAGTCGGGGAAGGAACAGGTGGGTAGGAGCGCACTTGTGCCTATGCTATCTATTGGGTATGAATGTAACGTGAGCCAGAATATCATGATTTCGTTGTGACCCTTTGAAACAGCTTAACAACATGCTGGAAAATGGGCCTCGGAAGCTGAAACAACAGTCGTCATCTGTAGAGGCGGCATCTGCAATGCGGAAGAGCTGAGTGAGAAGAGAGTCACATACGAAAGATTTGGCCTGAATGGCGCTATGAAGCGAGTAATTTTCCAGGCATACAATAAGGATCTCCAACCGAATTCCATAACCTTAAAACTCGCACATGTTCAAAGAGATGCGCTCGCAGTCAGGCCAAGAGGACATGTGCCAGTTGGCGAACCCGAGTCCTGTCTCCTTGGCTTCTGGTACGGGCTGCATGCTTGTACCAGTGAAGTCTTCGATTCTAACGAGATGAAAAATCTCACTGGTTCAGTTGCTCAGTAAGTACGATTGGAAGTTGTTGGGCGAATGGCAGATTGTGTTGTGTATGGGGATCACCAGGCGGTAGATGGTGCGGCCACGATTTTGTTTCGGAGAGGCGAGGATTCTGCTGTGATTGAAGTGGTCGGTATGGTTTTTTCAAGTAGAAATGCCTTTCCGCTGAACTAGAGTTGCAGAGGGGTTTGGACATCACGATAGCACGACGCGACACAATATTGAATACTGAAGTAAACTGAGCCCTACCCCAGCCCCCACCCTATGTGATCTGGAGACTTGGCGGAGGACCCAGGTAGCTCTCCTTGACGCCCCCCAGGTCCAGCACCAATTTCTCAAGCAATACATTGGAATGCCGAAGTCGGATTCGAACATCATGTGGTCCAGCTTTCAGCCGCCCGATGTCATGCCATCTTTTCCAGACGCAGTCTTGAACTGCGTGGTACCAACCAGGCTTCAATTCCCCCTCCACTTCTGCTTTCGACACAAGTCGGTGCGTCTGCACTGCCATATCATTGATCTGGACGTCGTATTCCATTGGATCCTCCGGATCGATATCTAACGTCATGTTGAAGTACAACCCCAACGATACTTCACCGTGTCCGTCAAAGATGTAAAAAGGGTACGAAAGAAAAGGGATCGGGTCCAGTGTTGTTTCAGACTCAACTTGGGGTTTGAGGCCAATCGCTCCGGAGTGACGTCCAACATCCGGAAGCTTGCGATAGGCAGGTGGCGCCTCTATGCTTGTCGCTGGTATAGACACGTGCCCATCACTTTCAACGAAGCCCACAAAAGGCTGCGTGATGCGTCGGTGCCTAATAGGCAGATGGATCTGCTCAAAGTCATCCCCGTACGGACCATAATTGCCTCCCTTGGTCCGCACATCAATCAGCACCTCCTCATCAAACCCGTCCGGAACACTACTCCAATCAACAGTAAGCCAAACCCTCACATCAGCCTTCCCAGGCACAAGCCGACCCTTGCTCTCTGACAACCAGATCCAGTCAACCAACACAGAACTCTCCCAATCCAATGTCACAGTCCCACGCGTGTACAGCTCAAACCACCTCCCCTCCGGCCCATATGGCGTCATCTCCCCCAGAGTAACTCCCGGCACCAAATCCCGTATGCTAGGATGCGTCCGATCACTCTCCTCGTTACAAACCCCCGGCCTGACCCCAGCATGTCCCTCAACCATGACCCCCATCTGTCCAACTACTGGATTACTATCCTGGCCCCTCTGTACAAAACACAGACCGCTGATCATATCCCGACTAGGCGCGTGCCAAGTATCTCCATAACCATAGTGTGGCTGTCGCATGATATGATTCCATTTCCCATCCAGCAGGGAATGAAATTCCTCGCTTAGTTTGAAATCAGCATCGAAGAGGTCAAGAACTGTCCGTGCGGCGTTGTTGGTGCTGTTACGGCGCTGGAGGGCCCAGAGCTGGTTGCGGGATTGGTGGATGCGGAGGGAGAGGTAGATGGTGCTTGCTTTGATGGGGTGGAGGACGAGTTGGAAAAAGGCCGGTTTGTATTCTTCAAGGAATTTGGAGGAGTTATACAAGGTCTCGACCGTAGTTAGGAGGTCCTGCCAGTGGTTGACGATGGCATCCGCTTCGCTATAGTGGAGAAGAGAGAAGGTGTTGGATTCGATATGCTCATGACGCCGGAGTGAGACGAGACAGTCGTATTCATGCCAAGCTGAGGCGATGGCAGGGGCAATTTCGGAGTTGAACTCTCGTTCGGCTAGGGAGTGGAAGAAGTCAGGGAGAGAGTTTGAGGAGATGGAGTTTATGTCCCATGCTAATGTCATTGCGAAGGACAAGGGAATTTCCATCGGCTTGATGTCGCCGACGTCGAAAACCCAAACTTGCTTCGCGTTGCGGCGGTGGGCTTCTTGGAGCTGGTGCCAGGTCTTGCCCAAGGAGTTGGAGTTGATCCATTTATAGCTCCGCGGGGTGCCAACATATTCGAAGTGGTAGTAGATCTAACAGTATTGAGAACTGAGTTCGGGTGAAAGGCTGGGTCGAAGACTTACACCTGAGCCCCCTTTCCGGTTGACTTCATTTCCTGTTGGTAGTCTGCGAATGGTGCCGAAGTTGTCGTCGGCAAAGAGAAGGGTGACATCATCGGGTACATCGAGATTGCCCGAGTCCCAGTACCCTTGGACTTCTTTATAGAGTGCCAGAAGTTCTGTCTTGCAGTATCAGCACCTGTTCACGAGAAAAAAACCTCGGATGATGGGTGGTAAACTCACGAGGAACAGCATCTTCGCAGCCATGCAGCTTGTTGATGAGCGATCGCTGGGTGCGGATGACGTCTCTTACAACGGCAGCAGGGTCATCAGTTTTCATGGATTTATCATACTCGCCCCTCATTCCCATAGTAAAGTAACTCTCGAAGCCTTCGGCCCTTTTAAGTCCCTCGTCAAAGAATTGGGTGATCTTTTGCTTGTTCTCGAGCCAAGACCAACTGCCGTCTGGATTGGTTTCAAACCACTTGGAAGTGATTCTTCAGCATTACCACGGACACGAGAGGCATTGGAAAACATACCTCGTTGGTTGCCCGTTGCGTGGGCTCATGATGAGAAGTGGACATGACGATGCCATACTGGTCTGCGATCTTCTGGTTCTCATTGTCGTCGACGAAGAAGGAGCTGCCTGGATTCGGATAGCCGGGCCACATCGCTGGCCACAAGAAATTTGCCTTGGGTATCATTAGGCTGGCAGCAACTTCAGGTCTCCGAAACGTACCTTCAGACGGAGCAATAGCTCGAAAACTCTCTTGTAGAACTCCGTGCCATATTTGCCAAACTTTTCAATCACGAACCCGGTAAGCGCGGGAGCTTCATCATTAATGAAGATGCCCCTGAATTTGACACTGGGCTCTTGACTTGAGGTTGTGATGGGCAATGCGTAGATCTTGGGGTGAAATTTGGGAGGCACATCGGCCCACCAATACCAGCTAAATGGGCAATGTTAGTTGAGGATGATCCTAGAGAGTACGCGATTCCTTACGGAGATACCCCGATTTGCTCCGATAGGGTATAAGTTCCAAAGATGGTCCCTCTCTTATCACTGCCCGCAATGACAAGGGCTTTGCGACAGGCAGAAATGCCGGCTGGCCTTTCAACAATGGCAGTACTAAATGATTCCCATTTTCCTCGGACTCCTTCAACGTCGAGTTGACCGTCTCTCAAAAGCCTTTGGATCAGGGCTGAGGACTTGATGCATCCGATGATAATAGCCGTGTCCCCTTCGATGTCGATATCTCCGTGCTGCGGTCCAATAGAAATCAACGGGCTAGGGGTACTCTTGGTAACGCGCCCGAAATCATGGCTGAGTGTCTGTGCCGCGATTCGAACTTCGGCAGAGTCACTGGGGTCGACCAGGATGGTTGCGCCGACTAAATCGACAAGATCCTCCGAGTTTTGGTCGGTCGAAGATGTTGCGAACGCAACAAGTGGAGGCCTGAACATACTGTACAGTCTTCTTCCTCTTCAGAATAGTTTCGTTCCATAATCCACAGTAAAGTGAGAGAAAATTGCGATTCTGGGCTCTAATGAAGTATCACTCCAGTCTAACTTTCGTGGAGCCGCATTTGTTCCCCTCAATATCCCCGCGTCGTTTTACTCTGCTCGTGGGGCGATTGGTAGGGACCAAACCAAAAGCAGATGATAACGCCGTGGCTGGCCATGATCCTGTCGGGATGTTGTGCGGTCAATGCACTGTGATCCTCATGAACGTGATAGCTGACATGCTCGGCAATACTTTACGAATCTACTTAGGTAGCACAAATGCACAAAGCCTGTTTATGTAGCTGCAGACTGTTCCAGAATTTCAATATCACAGTAAGAGGTAATATGAAAATAATATATCGCATGCCAGCGATCAACAACTCCTAAAGGTTTCCGGCAAGATGGCCGGGCGAAGAAGCAAAACCCACAAGCGAATTTTGCCTATGAGCATGCTGATGTGGAGAGACGCAATTTCGTTGTCAATTATTGGTCTATAATCCTACCTTGCCCGTTAAGGAGTCGTAAGCTCCACTTGAAAAACACCGGGTGTCTTGTAGTAGGTCTTCACGCCCGATTGGAGTTGGTTTGTGGCTTTAGAGGAAGGAATCGTCGCTGTAAGATTAAGCCGATAACCAGAGCGAGTTCTTACGGCCCACCAAGACTAACACAGTGAAGCTAACTACTTTAACCTCAATAGTTCTGGGAGATATTCTTGTAGCACTCCCCATGGGGCTCGAAGTCTCCATAGAAATCCAATGTGACGATGGACGGCTACCCCATGGGCAGTTTGGGGAACCGTTCCGCTCAGTGGATCATAGTCTGGGGTTGAACGGCTAGCCCCGAATACTGTCTCCCCCGACAAACATATCAATTCAAAAAGAGTCCCCGGTGTTTCTTGTGCTCAGTCCAGTTTCCTGTGTCAGCTGTAGAAAGTATCTCAACCCCAGAATTATGGCGGACGAGATTAAGCGTGAGCAAGCTACGGCAGACCCAGCTACTACGAATACCAACACTAAAGTCGATGTTGAGATAAGACTGTCGCACGACGAATCGGGAAAGGATCATGCTAACTATGAACTCGTCGACAAAGAGCTTGCCAAATATGCCGGCGATGTCCCGGTCCACATCGACACGGCTACCAATACTCGGCTCAAGAAACTGATCGATCGTCGCATTTTGGTTGTCATGATTATAACGTATTTCCTGCAGAGTCTGGACAAAGGAGCGCTTGGATTTGCTTCCATCATGGGGATTCGGGAAGACACAAACCTCCAGGGCCCTCAGGTACGCTACATCCCAACTCTTTGCTTGCATGGAGTCGAGTGGTATTTTTGGCGTTGACTCACGCAAATGCAGTACTCTTGGTTGACTACCATTATTTACCTGGTCATCCTAACGGTGGAATACCCGGAGAACCTGATAATCCAGCGAGCCCCAATTGCTAAATGGCTTGGAATCAATGTCATATTGTGGGGAGTCACTGTCACTCTCACTGCTGCGTGTCACAACTTCGCCGGACTCATCACAGTTCGAGCTTTTCTCGGAGCCTTCGAAGCTGTCTGCCAACCCACCTTTACTGTGCTGTCTGCAATGTGGTACAGACGTGAAGAACAATCAAAGACGGTCGTTCTATGGTACGTTGTCAACTAAACGCTCGTGAGAAATGCTCACTCAATATCTAGGTACATGATGAACGGCCTGCAGCAAATATTCGGGGGGCTCATTGCCTTCATCTTTACCCATGTCCCATCTTCATCCCCTGTCAAGGATTGGCAAGCCTTGTTCATGACCCATGGCATTATTGCAGTCATCTGGGGAATTTTCATCATCTGGTGGATGCCCGACTCACCGATGAAGGCCAAGTGTTTCAGCGAAGAGGACAAGAAGTTGATGGTTGAGCGGGTTCGTGATAATCGCACCGGTGTACAAAACAAAAGGTTTCGTATCGAGCAGGTCAAGGATGCCTTTACAGACCCGCAAGGTAACAAAATCACACACAAATTTGCTATCGCACCCTATTAACCCTGATACTAACATTTACATAAAGTATACGCCTTCATCCTCATCCAGATCCTCACAACTCTCCCCTCAGGCGGAATGGGTGCCTACGCTGCCATAGTAGTTTCCTCCTTCGGCTATAGCACCTGGAAAACCCAGCTCCTGCAAATGGTTACAGGTGTCGTCCAAGTCGTCTCCATGCTAACAGGCGTCTGGATCGAGCGCAAGTACAATTCAACCATCTGGCCCTCCGTCGCCTCGGTTATGCCCACCATCGCGGGCGCCGCCGCCATGTGCGCCACGCCCTTCACGCCCAATAAGCGCGTGGGGCTGCTCATAGCTTGGTACTGCATGTACAGCTTCTGGGCAGGTGTGGGACTGGCACTGTCGCTTATTACGCGGAATACGGGCGGGCAGACCAAGAAGTCGGTTGTGGTCTCTTTGACGTTCATTGCGTGGTCGACAGGGAACTCGATTGGGCCGCAAGTATTTCGGGATCAGAATGCGCCAAGGTATTTCCCGGCTTTCGCAGTGATATTGACTTCGTTTGTGGCATTGGAGGCGGTTCTGGTTGCTTTGAGGTACTATTATGTCTGGCAAAATAAGATCAAGGACGGGAAGATCGCGAGAGGGGAGGCAATCGCAGATGTTGATGGGATTCATGGGTTTGAGGATATCACGGATCGGGTAAGTCACTCTTGGTGTTGTACCATATTTACACTAACATCTGCCATCCAGGAAAACGTGAACTTCCGATATGCATACTAGTATCGAAGTTAAATTTGTAACGCGCTACTAAACCTGCTTCTGGTATACAAGAATATCGACTGCCGGGCCATTTGAATTGGACACGACATACCTGAACGAGCCTGCTACAGGATTTGGGCGCATCACCTTTACGGCAGCCAAAATTTCACACCTGAGCCTGTAAGAATATATTCAGTTCTGTCTGCAATGAAGGTTGCAGTTGCGCCTTATCAGTTTGTGGGTTTGATCCAGAGCTACCGGCAAGTGGATGTTTTTACAGAGGTTCTGTGAATGCCGTCCCAATAAGGTGCCCTTGAGCCCGTATAATCCCCGCGCTCCAAAACTAGTGCCGTCCTCGTCCACTTCTTCTTTTCAACTGCCGTTCAGCCATTACTCTCCGGGTTTATTCGATATCCGTAGCTCCGCTTGTTTCACTCAGGTTTCCGGCCCCTAACCCCCAGTCTTCATTTCTCGAAATACCGCTCATTAGTAGTAGCCCACTCCCGTATAAACCACGTCCTCGCCCGAAGTCGCTCGTTCCACTTCGTAATAATCTTATTAATATCCAACGCATCCCTCAATCCCAAAATCTCCTAGCCCAGATAATAATCTCGGTTCTTGTAGAGGGCCTTGTGCGTAAAGCAAGGGCATGGGGTAAACCTGCCGCGGGTAATATTCTGGTTATGCACGTCGTTGACAAGAATCCCGACGCGGTGGAGAGACTTCAAATTGCGAATAAGACGGAATTTGGAGCGACGGTACATGTTCAGCTCAGAAAAAAAGAAGCGAAATACACAGGGAAGGTGCTGCTCACTTTATACAGTCCAAGGGCATATCATTACAAAGCACGTTGCTTGGTGGACTGGCTTCTTTTTCTTCATAAACTCAAATACAGTATATTCGATCTCAACTTCGCCCTAGATGAAGTCACTCAACGTTACTGACTGCCTTGCGCTCCCAAAACGCCGCATGCCTAGTATCTCATGTCATATAGGCGATGTTCCTTCCGTCATATTGATATTCGCTCTTAGCTGAGGCAATACAGCTTGGACCGTACCCTGACCACTTTGCGACAGACTACGAGCCCCTCGTATATAGTATGATCTAATTCCCTGCTGTCTAACATAGGGGCGAGATTTTGCCATTTCGAAATTCCTTCGACACCTGTGAGGACATCTTGGCCCAACGCTCCAGGGTATCGGCCTCGGCATCAAACGCATACAGCCACCTATTTCTCATCTTGATCGACTCTGGGTCAATCTCCACTCCGTCGGCAACATTTTTCAAAGCATTGTGCCAGCGATCACGGAGGTCTTCTCCATTGGTCTGACTCGCGCGAGTCCGAGGGAAGCGTAACTTCTCGTACGTGCGCGTCTGTCCATTTGCCATATTAGTACAAACATATGCATCAACTGTCCGGCAGCAGCAAGCAAACGTACCGCCACTGGGATCCCTTCCTTCCCCGCCAACTTCAGACAAACGGCCAACACAGCCGCACTCTCTGTCGCCTGGCTCGCGCCCTGGGCACTAGTCGGTAAGTGCGGATGGCAACTATCGCCCAACAACACAATTTTGTGACTTTTGGACACCCAAGTGGGCAAGGGATCACGGTAGCAAATCTTCCAGTCAAGACATGAGGGAGTGTACTCCACAGCAGCGCGGATGCGGGGATCGAGGGTTGCAAGCACACGGCGAACTTCCTCCATGTCACCTTCCTGGAACCATGACTCTTTGATCTCCATGTCAGCTTCGTGGGACAGCTGGCGCGTAACGATCCAGTTGAACTCATTGCCGTTGCGCAGGGTGTTTTGGATAAAGTGGGTGTCTTCGCCTATCCTAGAGTCGCGCATTAGCTTATGGCTGAACGGTTATATCGTGTTTTTGCCCCATTCACACTACCAATTGAAATGAATATAGAGATGAGAGGCGACTGACCATATATTCACACAATCATGATCCACAAACTCCGTACACATCGGGTCCTCCCTCAGATGCCTTCCTGGAAAATATGCCCGGAAACACGAGTAACCACTACTCTTTGGCGCATCCTGAAACCCCAGCACCAGTTCCCTGGCCCGGGACTTGATCCCATCCGCGCCGACCACCACATCCGCCTCGTCCTCCGTCCCATCCGAAAACCGCACTTTCGGCCTCTCTCCACTCTCTTCATCATACGCCACTGCCCCCCTCCCCACCCGTATCTCAATCCCCGCATCCCGCACCGATTTCAGAAAAGCTTCATGATAATCACCCCGGTGTCCAATGTAGCCCGCCATGTCCATGAGCGGCTGCGTGGCGAGAATTTGACCGTCATGCCAGCGGCGGATCTGCATGTCGGGCGCTTGGTTGCCAATGCGAGTCAGCGCATGGTAGAGTCGATGTCCGCCCCAACGTTCCAGGAGTTTGAGTGCATTCTCGCCGAGACCTAGGGAATCACCTAGCCGTCGGAAGGTGGTGAGTTTCTCGTAGACGATCACCTCGTGTCCGTGATGTTTCATGGCTAGAGCGGTGGCGCAGCCGCCTAGGCCTGCGCCGATTACGATTACTAGATAAGGTATGATGTAAGTACAAATTCACCTCCTCTATGTAGACGAATAAGTTCTGTTAGGCAGAATACATACCCTTAATTGCGGCTTCAGGAGTGTTTTTCGACATCGTGACTTTGGAGTATTAACTAGCCCCGCATCAGTGTTGAAGTTTAGGGGTGGGGGCAGGTCTTCACTATTTGTACAGCATACCTCATCAACCAATAGACTGCATCCTGGCCATATTTGCCTGAAGTGCAACCCCGCGTTCTGATCTATATAGTAATGCTGATCTCATTTGGAGAATCAACTTGCATCTAACCGCATTGACCACCTTTTTGCATGCACCCCCATTTTGCAGGGAATTTCTACGCCTCAACAACACGACGTCTCTCAATTTACCTCGCAATTGCTCCCTATCTACGTACAAAATGGCTAATCCAGTGGAGAATAGTCTGGACGATTTTGAGCAGCGAATCGAACGCGCTAAAGAGCTTGTCCGTCAGGGCTCTTCCCAGGCCGTAGCAGCTCATCGGTACGGTATCAAGGGGACTGCACTGTCCTACCGTATTCGTCACGGTAATTCGCATCGTGACGCAGCCTCCAGGCAACAAAAGTTGACTCCAGAGCAAGAGGAGGTTATCGTGAACTGGATCCTACACGAAGAAGTGTGTGGACGGGCTCCTAGCAAGCGTTATGTGGCCGACTTCGCTGCCGAAATCCTCCTTGCTCAAGGGGATAACAATACACTCGGCCAACACTGGGTGGATCACTTCGTTAGCCGCCATCCACAGATACGTACCAAAATTTGGCGCGTCGTAGATGCTAGCAGAGTTAGAGCGTCCGATTTGACCAAGATCCGAGACTTTCTGGCTGGCGGAAGACTGGTATATGGCCCCTAGGCTCCGAAGGACTAGTCGACGTATCTTGTGATCCTCCGGAGCCTCATACACCAGATCCTCCGCCTCATATATCACCACCTTTAGTTGTTTTTACTCCTCAGAAAGCGCAGCAACTATCTAGCCAACTACAGTCGATAGAGAAAGCCGAGGGCGCGGTATCTCGTAAGATTCGTACCCTATTAGGCAAGGCGGGCAAGGCCCTTACACTCCAGGCCGCCGAAAATGCCAAATTACGTATCGAAAACGAGCAACGATATAAAGAACTCGATAAATACGCTCCAGATATACGCCAGCCCGTCGAGCCAGACCCGAATAAAGTATTCGTTAACTTATCAGCGATCCGAACAGCCCAGGACAAGCGAAATTGTAAGGGTCAAGGGTAATACCGGTCATAGACCGTGACAGAAATAAGTGAATACGGCCTATTTTACCGGATAAGCAGTTAGAAATTGATACTTTTCTCGAAGGAAGGGTCCCTCCTGAAAAAAGGGCTCGAAAGAATATATCTAAGTCTTCGGACACTTAAATTAAGTATGTTCTGTATATAAATAATATGGACGAAGTATTTAGGTTGATTCAGTTAGACCCTGCAAAATGGGGGTGTATGCAAAAAGGTGGTCACTGCAATTGCCGAAATTATCTCCAATAGTGATACAATATTCCCCGCCTCATACTGAAGAGCGTACGCAGGTATTAAAGGATGGGCAAAATCGCGCCAAAAGAAGTAGCTCGTCGCGAAGAGGGCTACATTTTCGACAAAGCTCTACCCAAGAACAAACCAGTGTATCGTCATGTCTACACCAATGCTAACTGAAAAGTACAGTGGTGCCCCGACTCGCCTAGCGAAAGAGGCTGCCCGCGCTCGCGACTACATCGTTTCCAACAGGACTTTGCCCACCAGCAGCCCGCAGACAAATGGCCTCAGGTTGCCACCAGATGTTTCTCTCGAAACATTCGAAACTGCAATCAAAGAATTACAAAATATTCTCGGCGAGGCAAACGTCGAGGTCAACGACAAACCCCTGAAAGATGGCTGGGTGAGCATGAGCATTCCTCGCAACACAATTCTGTCTAACCCAAAACACTTTGTCCACCCCTTCAAGAGATGACTCCGCTCTAAGACAGAATCCCGTACCAACTACATCCTGACTGAAACAGTACCTTGACCACCCCAACACCCACGACACCTTCCACGTAATACCGCAATCCTCCCTTGTCGCCTCCGCCATCATCTATCCCTCTACCGTCCCTGAAGTGCAGTCAATCGTTTGCTGGGCCAACAAATATCTTCTCCCCCTCTACCCCATCTCGCTTGGCCGCAACCTAGGCTACGGCGGCGCCGCCCCACGCGTCCCGGGCGGAGTCGTCGTCGATCTCGGCCGCCGTATGCACTCGATCTTTAACATCGACGCCGAAAACGCCAGTTGTGTCGTCGAACCGGGTGTGACGTATTTTCGGCTGTATGAGGAGATACAGGCCAGAAAACTGCCACTGTGGATCGATACTGCGGATTTGGGAGGGGGGAGTTTGTTGGGCAATGCCTTGGATAGGGGGGTGGGATATACGCCGTATGGTGATCATTTTGCGAATCATTGCGGGATGGAGGTCGTGCTCCCTGATGGATCGCTGTTGCGCACGGGGATGGGGGCTATGCCCGGCCCAGAGGGGAAGGATAATCCCACGTGGCAGAGCTTTCAACACGCGTACGGGCCTGCAGTGGATGGGATATTTTCGCAGAGTAATTTGGGGATTGTGACAAAGATGGGGTTTCATCTCATGCCTGCTCTGAACGAAAACGAGCATCAGTCGTACGTATTCACGTTTCCAAGAGATGGGGATTTCGAACAGATTGTGGATATTATCCGACCCTTGGCACAGAAGAGAATTCTGGGGAATATCCCACAGATAAGACATGTAATCCAGGAGCTGGCGGTCACGGGTAGGGGAAAAGAGACATTTCATGAGGGCAAGAGGCCGATGACGGACGACGAGATTCATGAGGCGGCAAAGAAAACGCCGTTGGGGGATTGCTCGTGGGTATTCTATGGATGTCAGTATGGATCGCCTGAGTCGATCAAACAGCAGTTGGAAATTGTCAAGGACGCGTTCTTCAAGGTGGAGGGGTCAAAATTCTTTCTGCCAGAGAATGTGCCACCGGGTCATTATTTGCATGATAGGGCCAGGGTGTGTAGTGGGGTGCCCGTGTTGAGGGAGTTGGATTGGGTGAATTGGGTTCCGAATGGGGCGCATAGTAAGTGTTTTCCGCGTCGTTCTGCTTTTTGGCTTTTCTCGCGGGTGTATAATGATCACTAACAATTCTGTTTTCTTCTAGTGGGCTTCTCCCCCATAGCACCCACTCTTGGTCCCTCGGCCCGACTCATCCACGATCTCATCCGCGCCGCCCACATTAAGTACGGCTTCGATCTGTTCCCAACCCTCTGCGTTGCGGGGCGTGAGATGCACTACATCACTAATATTGTGTTCGACCGATCGGACGTAGCCATGAAGGAACGTGCCGTGGCCATGATGCGCGAGATGATCGCCACTTGCGCCAAGCACGGGTTCGGAGAGTACAGGACGCATCTCCTGTTTATGGACCAGGTCGCTAGAACGTACAGCTGGGGAGATCAGGCGCTTATGCGGTTCAATGAGACAATCAAAGATGCGTTAGATCCGAATGGGATATTGTCTCCCGGTAGGAACGGTATTTGGCCCAAGAGGTGGAGGGGAAAGGGGTGGGAGTTGGGGGTGGATGATGTGCATATGACATCGATTGGACCGAGAGCATAGAAGTCTGTGGCAAAGGTGACACGGTTATAAGGAGATTATCACTTGTCGGAATGAAAATGGAAGCCAAATATGCGAATTAATTGAGGCCCAGCCTTGCAAAAGTACACTAGCTATTCTTTCGGTTGTACAGCCGCCTATTACGCTGGACGAATTAGCGTCTTTCGTCGATATGCCTTCTCGAAGTCCAGCTCTTCGAAGTCCCGTCAACTACGATGATCTGGTGGAGATCATAGCGCTTTGTGGCTCTTTTCTGACGTTGGGAGACCGCACTATCTCCTTCGTCCATAGATATACCAAAGACTTTTTGCTTAAAGAGGGAGCCGAGGAGATATTTTCTTCTGGAATAGAAGATACGCACTGTGCAATCTACCACGATCGCTACTAGTCATTTCAACGACACTGCGACGCAACATCTACGGCCCAAGCGATCCCGGATTTCCCATTGAACATCCAGACTGCCCGAGTCGGATCTACCAGCCAAAGCATCATATCTTACGTCTATTGGGTTGAGCATGTATTTGACTGTAGTTCCACCAAAAAAGCAGCCAAAAATCTCCAGGATGGACTTTTGCGGCGAAATTACCTGTACTGGCTCGAGGCTAGAGGCCTTTTAAGGTGGATATCGGATGGGATGATTTCAAGGGAGAAGCTAAATATTTTGCTTCGGGTGAGACTAACACTTTGATATATAAAGCCATGTTAACATGGCCTCAGGGACAAATATCTCGGTTTGCCAACCTGGTTCAAGACGGCAGCGATTTATAAAATTCCACAAATGGGTAATCGAGAACAACCCTCTCCTACAGATAAAGGGCCAGCGCTCCACTTAGCGCCTGACGGCTCTGATATAGCTCCTAATCAGAAGAGTGGAAGTTGGCAGGGTGAGGCCTCAAGGTTCGTGGATCGAAGATTCTCGAGACAAGGAGAGAGGGAGAACGGAGCGTGTGACGGGTATTGGAGAATGAGAGAAATTAAGAATACCTCGGAGGCCTGAGGGGAGAACGAGGCTTATATATGCACATTGTGGTTGTTGACAGGGATGTGCAGCCGTGCGAGACCGAACCTGGAAGAGGATTAAACCCGGGAGGTGCAATAGGCGATCTCGACTATAAACGGAGTGTCAAGGTGATCTTAGACAGCAAACATGATATTATTAACACGCTAGAAATTACACTCACGTGTTTTACCTACGCTTGGGATTATATATAGGCAATCATTTCGTATTCCATACCTAGGCAGATAGATACGGATTTCGACCAGTTACATGACCATAGCAAACACGTCTGAAGGTTGTGATAACTTCCAAAAGCCAACACTGCCAAGAACCAGTCCAATACAGGCAGATTGCGCATTACTTTGGATGCTCTAATTAGCTTGATTAAATTTACATCCAAACAACAACCATGGATCACTTGGCAGGTTATTGAGACAGGTAATTGAGACAGGTACCAAAAATATAGTGGTAACATATTCTCGGATAAGCGACGCCTGCAGGATTCGAACCTGCGCCTCCGAAGAGAATGCCTACACTGTGCTACAAGAGTTCATAGCAGGGCATCGCATTAGGCCACTCTGCCAAAGCGCCTAAGATGTTATTTGATTGGTTGAAGTATGATCAAGTTTTCAAGCTCTATAGACTACACACAAATAAAGTGGAGACTCGGTGACGTGGTTTGATGGACGGAAGATGACGCAAGTGGAAAGGCTTTATCCATCTCGGAAAATATGATACGCATGTTCTGTCGACGGCAGGATTCAATCCATTACTTCAGTTCTAATCTGTACGGCGTTCTAAGCTTCTGACACCTGATAGTCAACTTCGGCACATTCAAGAACTGTATGATCGACTTCAAATAGGGTATTCCAAAGATTCCCAGGCAGTATTCTTACGTATTGTCGTACGGTGGATAGAGGGTGGCGCCACAAAAGGCTTGGTAGGCTGCGACAAGAACCTGGTGTACTCGTGTAAACCTTCTGCATGACAAGTAGCAATTTATTGATCGGCATACTTGAGTAATATCGGGAAATCGACAATGCTATAATACACATTAGCACCTCCCGGGTGTGCGAGGCATTTTCAATCAGCCTAGGCCTCTAAATCCTCCAATTTCACTCTTGTGAAACACAGGGCTTGAATGATTACATGGCACATGTCGTTAGGCTGGTCGATTTGCGAAGTCGCCGACGCTGTAAAGCTGATCTACAAAGTCGGAAACGCTTTGCGGAACTCTGGCAGAGCTGCTTCCGAAAATCAGGCGGAACATCAGTTTCTGGCCGACGGGTATGGCGACTGAACAAACTGGAACCATTGCAGCTGATACCCCTTGATTCGGATCCTGCTGATAACTTGAGAAACCACTAACGATAGACCAAAATACCGTTACTGGAATTTGTTGACGATGCCGAGCCATAATTCGAAGGCCCACTTGGTGTATAGATGATAATACGAATTAAATCCCGGCAAAGGTGATTTATTTCAGGACCTTAATAATACAGTAAGTAGTCAGTAAATTCTTCAGATATCTTCAGACACTTGATGCATAATAGTACGTTCTATGAATGAGGCAATTCGAGATCAGAGCGATCAATTTCAGCACCAGATTGCAACCTGGACAGCAAGCAGAGCCAATGCTTAGAGGACACCATGCAAGCCTTACAAGACTTGCGGAAGCTGGAAGACATCAATACGACGAGTTTAAGAACCGTTATTTGACACACGGCTGCATATTACCGCTCAGTGTACAAAACCATAAGGATATTGAATGTGTCCGTCAGGAATTAACAGAACACGATTGATTGTAGGGAGTGGCCGATGGATGCAATGTCATGTCTGGCCACGTTGAACTGATCTCCCAATCCTGATATTCATCACAAAGAGAGTGGATCAACGGCAGGCGCTCCGGGAGAGTAGATGCAGGGTAATGATGGGATATGCCAAGACCAGACACGCTCAGAATCAATAGGATATGCTGCGGGATGCCTTTGAAGATTCTGTTCGATGTTTTCCTTTTAGCAAGATTGTGAATTTGATACACTTCAGATATTCTTTTCAACAGAACAGCCGCTGTGGTTGTGATAGTACGGTCAGATTGCGGGCAGTGATCGTCGGACTACGTGGGTGTCCGTTACCTGTCGGCAAGGACGACGCTTGACGACATAGCAGACAAGTGTACGGCGAGTCCGAAGTTGGGCATTTTTGAAAATCTGGCTACGGACAACCCGAACCAATACAATCTGCCTGCCGAGGCCAGTTGTAACCATATTTCCAGTCTCGTGGGCTTGCAACAGGGCCATACAGCTCGGCAACGCCGCTATTAGATATTCTATCTAAACCCGTATTCCATAGAAGGGAAACACAAACATAGTTCGAAGTGTACTTGCAAATAAGTACTTGAGCTGATTTGGGATCTAGGTAATTTTCTGAGTCATGAGCTTGAGTTCTCTTATGTCTGCTACTGTCCACAATCACCCAGGACGTCCAATATGTGATAAGAAATCTGTAACCTTGAAGAAAAGCTTTCTCAACATCCGCAACAGATATTGGTAGGTCACTGTTTGTCACAAATAGCCAATAGCAATATACAGCAGTTCTAGCTCTTGAGTATCCGATCGAACTTCACCAAAAACTTCCTTCCTGAATTCGGAGTGATGCCAGAGCACCCAACTGTTTTATTATAAGACAATAAGAGAGTGAGTTATGTGCGCAGTCACAGTGGAGCTAGGCTAAAGGCTCATCAGTTTGAGTTTGAGGGACTGCGAAGATTCCGAAACCTGCTCAACCTTGTTGGCCAGACAGAGACATATGAATTCATCCGTTGTGGGACGGGGGCTATTGGGTGGTCGAACGACACGTCTATGAACTACCAGAAGCGGCATGTACGAGGTAATTCTGACTATGTGCGCCAGGAGGTTGAGATGAGCCATACCAAAGTCAAGTATGTGAAGTCAGAAGACAACCCTGCTGACGGGTTTCCCAAGCCGCTGGACAAGGCCAAATTTCAGCAGTTCATTAAGAAATAGTTCTAAACAACGCCGAGTCAGCAAGATAGCCTGATAAGAGAAAAGGAGCGAGCACTAGTGGGGAGAGGGCGTGTTGGCAGGCATGAATGAAGACCTCAAGAAGTATTATGGTCGTTCACTAAGCTTAATAATCACACAGAGAATGTAGGGAAGGCGGTTGCGGCCTCGTTGCCGTCTATCCAGGCCTCCGACTCTGCGGCTGTGAATATGACCCGATTGATCTACATGCACGTGTACAATGTTTCATCATATTTGGGAGATGACAGTCGTACGATGCGGCCGTCATGCACTATGTGGCCGAGGCACGGGCCCAGATTAGAATGGGGGTGCTGCTTAAGTATTGCATGCATCTTAGCGTCGTCGATCAGAATCTGGACCAAACTGTTGCCCTGGCCGGGCTCCTTGAAGGCATCGATTGCATCATTTCCGCAGATGCGTAGCCCTTTATAAGAGGCTGTTATATGTCCTCATTGGGCACGCGCTGCATGGTCTCCATCTTAGCATCCAAGTCCGGGTTTTATGGCGTGCCTGTCTTCGGGCAGGGGCAGCGTGCCCATGTAGGCATTGTATCCATCGAAAGCCGACAGGCTCCTGTGTGCCGGTTCACCATTAATCGTGGCTTCATGCGTGATCATGACGCACGTTACGTTAGTATTTGGCTGCATAATCAATATCGAATACTCGATTGAAGACAAATTCAAATCAAGCAAAGGCGTGGCCCATGTAATATACGTGTATTATACTGGTCAAGTACCCGCAGCATACCCAGGGATACGCTGTACGCTGTGTGCTACATGACTTGTAGGTGTTATATATATGGCAGTGCGTGATAGGCTGCCATGCATGTCTATCAATAATCGGTACGTCCAGGAAGCTCAGCCCGCTTATCGCTGATAAACGCAGGTCAACCATATATGAATGTTTTCTCATATGACTGCAACATCAAATTATCTCTTGAAGTCTAGTTTAAACTCCAATTCCCCTTGTTTCTAGTTTAATATAATTAGGTTAGTTAGTGTAACGTGAATGTACACCGAGCTGGCCATGACACCGAGCTGGCCACTTTCATGCGCCAACGCGACCGGCCAACTTAATGTTTGATTTTCTCAACAACCAATTATGGCAAAGTCATACAACGAAGCAGACTTAATGCTAGCCCTTCAAGCTCTCAAAAATGACCAAAAACTTAGTCTCCGACAAGCGGCAAAAACGTACCAAGTCCCCCGAAGCACCCTCCAAACGCGTAAAAACGCGCCCGAGGCGCTGTGGTATTTGCAACGGGACTGGGCATAATGCGCGAACTTGTAACATCGCATTGCCATCTTCTGGAGAGGAAGATTCAGAGTAGTTTCAATTGATTTACGGCGTTGTGGTTTTACTATCGTAAAATTTCTATGCGAGGTTATGTAAGGGTGGCCAGCTCGGTGTACATTCACGTTATGTGTACCCTTTATTACCTATTCGCGCGTTCTAACCTCGTAAATTACTTAGTATACTTCCTGTAGCCTGATATATATATGGTAGTTAATATTAAAGTAATTAGTACTCTACCGTCGTTCCTTTATATAAGTAGTTATAGGAGTCCCGGAGCTATAATAGCTCTTAAATAGAGACATAGTTCGTGATTATCAAAAATATCGTTTTTCGTTTCTATTTTAATAGGTTTACTTGATTGTTGCCGGTTCTGATTGCCCACTGAAATTGCACAGTTAATCGCCTCACATAGGTTGACTTCAAGCCGGCCGGTTTTCTTCCTTCACGAAATTATACTAAATAAGATATTATTACAAAGTAAAGACCCAGAATATAGAAGTGGAAAGGAGAAGGCGTTGAAATGAAGTAATCTTTGGAGTAGAGTTTGCGGGTAATAACCAGTGAGATTGGACATCTTGGTTAAGGGAAATAAATAGCATACTTATATAACACTACATTTGGCTTTATAGGAGTCAGTTGTGGACCCTGAACTTCAGTTTCAGCAACTCCAATTCCGATCCGGATGCGAGAAAGGCACAAAACTTTGCAAAGAGTCGAGGCGTTGCTATTTCCCGCCTTTGGGTCCCTGGGGTCGTTTATCTTCTCGGATAAACTTGCTGCTGTTCGCAAGCTGCTTCAAAATCCTAGTGACGGCAGGCTAGCAGGGTGAACCAACTAAGCCAACCTGAGCACAAGCGGCGAATGATCATGTGATACAAAGTGTCAAGATTGGCGTTTTAGAACACTCTGCCCACGTTTGCGTCTATATAAGTCCATGCCTGGAAACGTCCCCCCGCAACAAAAACATTGCATCTACATGAACAAAAGGCCAACAGTCTCGAGACGAAAGAAAAGAAGGAACAAAAATTAGCAAGTTCAAGTAGAGTCCCGGAACACATAATCGAATCAAACATATCTGCGGGCATCATTAAACGGTAGAACGATTGTGATTTGGTGAAGCTAGGTCCACCCAGACATATAAATAACCAACACACAACGTTACAATGGGAGAAATACTGATATGCATGGCCGCGACTTTAACATGCAGACCTGCAGGTGTTGACTTTGAGGCTTAACTAACAAGCCTTGTGGAACGATCACCACACCCCGACGCAGGCACCCCGTCGTAGGCACCCCGTACGGCATAAACTCAGAACAGTGGCTTTGCGGGTACACGAGGTCTATTTTTCGCCACTTGGGGTCTAATTGCGTCCTTGACTAAAAAAAAAACGAAACATGATCGATTTTGGCAAGGCCAATGAACAACATCGCTCTCGAGCGAGGGCACTTCCACCTGATCTTCCGGACGTGGCGTGCCATTGGCCGCAGGAAGGAGCAGTGAGCGAATTCTATCTACGGACACCACAACCGGCAAATATTACTTGATTTCATGCTGAATCGAGGTAAGAAAAAGGGGGCTGTTATGTGAAGTAATCACCCGCAATATATGGCTTGCATATGACAGCTTTTGAGGAGTCGTCAAAAAGTATGATAGACCGCCGTTCCAGGATGTAAGTATAGGCATGGTTAGATATTACCGCTACAGATGCGCGAATCATACAGATGAAACAGCCGCTCAATCGGGGCGCTTACTTTGAATGCCCGACGATCAAATGCCCGCACGGTTCACGTGCAGGCATGGTATTTATGGATGCATGTCATCCCGTTTTCTTCAACGGCTGTTTAGAACCCTGGTTTGGTCGGTTGATCAAGGCATTGTTCAGGAGAGAGATAAATATGGCTCCCATCTGGGAATTTGTATGTATTCATAGCGACAACATCTCGACTCGCACCAAGAAGGCCAATAGACTAGATGCAATCGTCGTCGAGTTCTTCAGAATGTACTCCCCTTTTGAGATTGATCCACAGTTGCTGCAGCTCTCGTTACCGAGCTGCGCGGCTGTGCTTCGGTTTTTCATTGATGATGATGTTCCTGCGCATGCGATGCAGCGACGAAACTAAAATAGCGGCTTCTGCGCCAATGAACTGCACAGCTGGTAATCCATGTTGGTTATACATCTCACGACATCACCATAGTACGCTCAGTTGCGCAGCACTACCCGAGACTCGAGTGAATTGCGAATGGCTCCATCACGATAATCGGGTTCAGGTAGCCGATGATTTCAATTCTCTGGGGCCGCTTGGGGAAACATGCATTCCCGCCTCGAGGCACAGCAATGCCGGTGCCGTGGATGTTTATCGTCATGCTTGATAGTTAGCTGCACGACGTGCAGGGTTGGGACGGGCAACAGGCTAGGCGTTGTCTGCATAGATAGCATCCGGTTCATGGCGAGAGCGAGCTTTTGCGATGCCGTTTTGAGGGCCTGGCGTTGCACGCAGCATCATGAGGTCGAATGAAGGATGCAGTTGAGTTGCCAACTTTGAACTCAGCAGGATGAAGCGACCAAGCCCGTCAATTCAAAATTAAATGAAAAAAACACTCAGGGCCTGTCAGTCAATTGTATAACCAAGCGCTTTCGTCATATTAGAGTGAGATACGATCAAGCGGTTTGATGTCGTCAACTTCTTCGAAGGAAGCAAGAATCCAAAAATAACCTCACGCGGCCCCCGGCCCCTGCATGGCCCCACCATACTGTAGGTCCCGAGTACCTAGCTACCAGCCATCAAATGCACCCGCGCGTAACATGTGTCTATCTGCGGCCTGTCGTTGACTGCTATTGACAGATCAAGAAGGTGTCACGGCGCTTTTCCATTGCGAATTCTCCGACTGCATGGTGCGTTAGATTGGCGCGATCACTGGGCTTTTCAATCTCCATACTACACCAAATATCGACCACGAGCGCCTCGTTACATTCGTTACTTCTCGTGTATCATGCCCTGCAGCTGCTGTCTCCATGCGGCTCTATTACCTTTTGTTCATCGGGTTTCTCGAACGACTCGCGTTCGCATCGTCATTTTGTCGTGCCACCATGACACCCATGGTCATTCGGCCCGGGCAGTTAGTTGTAGCTTGTCTAGCCGATTGGCTTGCCGGTGTCTGCGGGCCCAGTCTGCCCTGGGTTCTAAACACAGTAAAGTACATCTTCGCAGTTATTCGTCTGAGCTGCATCTAATTCCCTTCCCGTGTTTCCAAAAATTCCTTCCCGGTCCTGCTTCGTCATCCTGATGTGGGTCCCTAGGCCCCTATTCTACAGTCTACTGGCACCATCTTCCTTTCGAAGATGCATGATGATATTTTCGTACCTTATTCGGTCATAGACCACCTGCAGCGCCAAGCCTATTCTAATCATGCGCTTGCGTAGTGGCGTCTCCCCCACTCCTCGCTGTATTATGGCAGCTCTTGCGCATTTCCCCTAGTGCGCCGTGGCTTCGAAGACCTAAAGGCTTCTAGATCAGATTGAACCACCGAGTCTGTCTCACTTGCGCCTCACTTTGACGTCCCACGAATGGAGGCACCGCCAAGTTATCCCTACTAGCACCGCTATGATCTATCAATATCACATACTGGGCTGGGTTACTTTGTGATATCATACCGTGCTTACGACCGCCACAGATGCCGCGTCTATTTTCTCTTCTCCCCAGCCTCTGAGCCGGCTCGGAGCCTTGTGGAGCTATGCTCGTGGCTCACCGGTGTGGCTGTTGACTATAAGGTCTGATGGCATCGCTCGCTCCGTGTAGAAATCTCCCGACATATCACGCCTCAATCGTTTCACCACCATCGTTCCTATGTCGGTTTCCTCTTCGCGTTGTCTTTTCTCTTTCCCAGCGCATCTTTCCCTTGGACCATAGACCTAGATCTCCCCTTTGCTGACTTCTCATACCTGTACTCTCACTTTAAAGTCATTTCTTCATCTATTGATGTATATCGCATTATTGTGGCTTTAACCTCCATATTCCAGCTTTCCTTCAAGCGTCTCAAGTCGGACTCCGTTTCTATCGACAGCAGTTGGGATTCTGACTTCAACTTCAACTTCGTTTCCCTTCGATGAGCCAACATCACGGGCTCCTCCACTTTTGTCCACTGACACACACCTATCGAGTCCTGTGTCGAGTGCAAAACGGCGTGTTGGTATCTCGTTGAGCTTCAGTTATCCTCAATACCGACCCCCACAACGATCTCTGAACCCATTCTTCTTAGAATGGCGGCAATGGCTGACCCCCTTGGTCCCGATGTTATTGCGGCTTCATCACCATCTATACCTGTGATCGAGGCCGAGTTGGACTCCGATATCTCAGCGTCCGAAGGCTGCAGAACCCCACCTCTCTGCAAGCCACTACGGGCTTTTTTCCCCATAGGAAAGACTGGAGACGGCCGCGAATTATACTCACTGCGCACTCTCGAGGCTGTGGGCTATCCAAGCAACAACTCTTCGACTTCTTCTCTCACAGGTCCCAACATCGTCTACCAACTCAAGCCACAATCAGGTTCGAGCCGACCATCAACGAAGGACGAATCATCCTCCTTGCCTCAAAAGAAAGGGTCTCAATTCTACCGTTGGCTACGATGGGGCTTTGGATCAGTCTATCGTAGAATCTTTACTCTTGCTTACCTCGCCAATCTGGTCGCTCTGGCTATCCTTGTTGCTCACACCGGTCTTGGCCTAGGATCCCCACTCACTTATTCAACCTGTGCCACTGCCGTGTCTGCCAACATCCTAGCCTCACTACTGGTGCGAAACGAGCATGTCGTCAACGCCATGTTCATCGTTTTCGGTAGTTGGCCTAGGCAGGCGCCCCTTTCACTTCGACGAGTGTTTGCAAAGGTTTACTCCTATGGTGGTATTCACAGTGGCTGCGGTGTCTCCGCGACGTTTTGGTACATCGCCTATCTGGTGATGCTCACCCAGGCATTCACTGGCCAGAATATTCCACTTCTTCGGGCATACACGCTGCTGGTCAGCTACCTCATTGTATTCCTTCTCGTTACTATTCTCGTCTTCGCCCATCCACGGGTGCGGGTTCTCATTCACAATTGGTTCGAAGGTATCCATCGATACCTTGGCTGGTCCGTCGTCGTTCTCTTCTGGGCCCAGACAATGATGTTAGCGGCCGAGACTGCTACCATCCGACACATTCCCATGGCAGTATCTTTGGTCATCTCCCCATCATTCTGGATGCTCATCATCACCACCCTTCTGGTCATCTACCCCTGGACCCACCTTCGCCTGAGGGACGTCGAGGCCGAGCCACTTTCTGATCATGTCATCAAGCTCAACTTCAGCCACGCGGACGCTCAATACGGTCAGGCTGTCCGACTCTCTGACGCTCCTCTCAAGGAGACGCACGCTTTCGCCGTGATTCCCAACCCGAAATCCCAACCCACGTCTGACACGCTCCCGAATTCGGATTTGTCAACTTCGTCCACTCTCGAAAAGCCCCCTTTCCTCAAATCCGGCAAAGGCTTCAGCGTTTTAATCTCTAACGCAGGTGACTGGACAAATAAGATCATCCACAATCCGCCCAAGAAAATGTGGATTCGCGGTCTACCTCAATACGGCGTCCTGCGCGTAGCTGGCCTCTTCGATCCGGTCATCATCGTTGCCACCGGTTCCGGCATTGGCCCCTGCCTCTCTTTCTTCGTGCAAAAGCCAGACCACCCGGTCCGCATCATCTGGAGCACGCCGAACCCCGTCGAGACGTATGGCCAGGCCGTCGTCGACTTGATCTTCAAGACGGACCCAAGAGCTATCATCCACGATACGCGCAAACTCGGGAGGCCCGACCTGGTCGCGATGACGCATCTGGTGTGGGAGGCGAGTAGGTGGGAGGGGGCGCGCGGTTATGCGCTTGGCGAAGAGATGAGTAGCAGGAGGAACCCCCCCGGCCAGTGTGAGGCGGTCGTCATTATTTCTAATCAGAAGGTTACAAAGAAGGTGGTATATGGGCTTGAGAGTAGAGGGATTCCTGCTTATGGGGCGATTTTCGATTCTTGATACCATTGTTTTTTTGCGAGACGTTGAAAGTCGTGCATTTTGTCGGAGTTGGGGGTTTAGGTTGGGTCAAAGCCTAGGGACTGGGAATTCCTTAAATCACTGTATATATGGATACTTGTCGGGTTTTCTGTTATTCTTTTGTTACTGTTCTGCTATTCTTGATATGGATTACTTCACCACACCCGTCTTGCTGCGTTGATATTGCATATTCCCACAGATAGACCTACGTCGTTCCAACATAGCATTATGAGATATCCAATAGAGACATGTATTTTAGTTTGCTCAATGAGAGATCATTAACTAAAGATGTACGATTCGGTCCTGGGATCTGATCCCTAATTCATGATTCTTTACCTTTCTGAACAGCACACCCACTGCATCACCTCGCACGCCCGCGGCTGGCGCCAATTTACGTAGTATTGGAAAGTTCAAGGTCTAGCCTGTTTACAACGCAGCGATTTCTTTCAGTTCAGTCCCCCATACCTCGGTAAATAATTTTATAGGGTTGTTAGTGTTGCGTGCCCCAGGCACACCTCCTGTATGCTAGATGCAGCGCTTGGGCCACTTGCCCATAAACAGCCCTTCCGTACCTGCAGCCTTTGGATCTCAGTCCCATGATCATCACCAATACAACCCTCTTACCTGTATTTCCAGCTGTTAGAGATCTCTCGCTCCACAGTTTCCACTAGTTACTCGTCCGAAGCCCCAAATTTATGTGCTCGATCAGTTCCATCGTATTACACGACTAAACCAAACACCACGAACCAGCCCACGTCCTTCCCCTTGTATACGAATAGAACGCTTCAGGGAGAGGAATTCAGGTTTCTGAATGTTGATAGTAGAGCCATTATTTGACCTTGAGGCTATTAAGAGCAAGCGGTAAGGCCGGTGGCAGAGATATGGTAATGGACAGGGAGTATAAAGAAATGAGCACGTCAGAAGACACCCGCAGTTTATTGCAAGAACCCGTGTCGACTTATTTGTGACGATTGGCTACAGGCATGATAGTACGGACAACAGGGCAAATATACAGGCGAGTGCTGATCGCTGTCCGGAACGGGCGACGGATGTGCTATAAGCAACATTAGCAATCAACGGATTTTTACTATGATAACCTAGCAAGATGAACCTGAAAGATGGCTCCAGGTGTAAGTTGTGGGTGACAGCTCTCACAATTTCGGGCAGAATCACACCGAGGCTCTGACCTAGTAAAGACGACTGGAATACTGTAGATTTTAACGGGGTTTGCATTAGGCTCTTGAGCAATTGCCTACCGGCCATAACTCTCGGATTAACACTCGCGACAGGAAGCTCACGATGGACCGGATAGCCACTGGGACCGCATTCCCTCAGCCCTAGTTATATTGACCCTTTAAGATATGAAAAATCATCAACGCCAACACGAATACCGTGCGATGAGTTTTCTTATTGTCATGTGGGTGATTATGGACTGAGCAACAAGCCTACAGTGAACCAAGACTTGGAGTAGTGTCATTGTTCCCTAACACGTCCCAAGGGGGGATGGGAATGAATCCACATTTCTCCCAGTGTTTTCTAAATATGACCTTCTTCACATGCATTTATTCAACGACAGACACTGTTTTTCCGAATCGGAGAAGCATGACATTACAAAGCATCACAGTCACCTCAAACCCAAGGCCGCATCTGTATTTTGAAATATATTGACCCTAGTGCGGGCAATTGCAGTGCAAAGGGATGTTATCGAGCATATACATTCCCGTGGTGGCCGGGCCCTAGTTGATAATGCCTCGCTTCCCAGCCCCAACCACCACCCACGCCAGCCTGCCAGAGACAGGCCGGCTTTTTTCCTCCAAGCAAAGCGTACCCATCCGATGCATGTTGCTAATTGATGTTGTTGATAGGGCGACCTATGACAGAAATCTTCTTCGTCTGGCAACTTCAAAGATCCAGATCCCAGATGCGTTGTGTTCGTGCATTGCATTGCGTTGGCAAAGAAACACAATGATAGATGACGATCCCACCAATGCTGTCACTACTCGTGTCGACAATCTAACCGACCCACCGCCCCGTTGCGTTGATGTGTGCGTTTGTCAAGATGTGATGCCCAACCACCAATGCTTCTCTCTTTCCTTTGTGGCCGAATTCCTGCTGCACTAGCCTCGATTTTCCTTGAATGAGAAACAAACGGAGAGAACCTCAAATCCAAAATCAGACATCCAGCGTACACGCATCTTCTAATCCATATTACGTAAACGACGAAGCCAACCGACCGAGGTGATGTGCACACATATGCGCCAAAGCAGAAACAGAAAAGAGAAATGTTCAATCTTGGGGATGTTACTTTTCACCTGCCCGCCAACCAGCCAGACACCGGTGCCTGTCTTCTCTTTTCCTCGTGAAGTCGAAAACCCGCTCGCCCATGGAATGTCATCCCGCCGAGCCGGGATTGATACGTCGAATCCGTACCTGATGATGATGATGATGATAAGAAAGAAATCAAAACCATCCATCTTGCTTTTCCATTTTTCGAAACCCAAGACCTGCGCCATGACTTGATGATGGTGGAAAGAACCGAACCCAGTAAGGAGCGAGAAGACGATAGTCACACAACCAACACCGAATGAAAACCACCGCCATCGACGAAAACGACTAGGTTCGTATACAGACGATTATCAGTTAAGTTCCTCCACACCCCCTTCAGTAAAAACAACGCTATCCAAAAATACCATGCGGGAACGAGGCGAGTAAGACGGATGAAAGCAGGCACGAAAAGCATGACATTGGGCAGCCAGGCAGGGCTCAGCCACGCGGATCAATATCGACCCATCAGTCCAGGTTCCGGGGAAGCGGATGTGTGTGATGTGACAAGATTTGCGAGGCAAGACCTGGGTCTGATTTGGGTAGACAGCGCGGCAGCCCAGCGGCAACGCCACGTGTAGAACGGTCGGGAAGATTACCCAAACAGTTGACATCCCGTGGCTGCATCGCGTCACCCACCACAAGGGGAACACGAGGGCGCCACCGGGCAGTTCGGAATTTGCCTCCCGGTGCCATGATTCGTCCGCTGAGTCCAGGATGTCCAGCTGTTTCCCGACTGCTGCCCACTCCCGAGCGAGACCCTGACTCCAGGGAACCGAACTCGAGAAACCGGCGCATTTTCCCATGTGGCTTGAGCTGGGCTGAAATCGTTGCGAAGAAGGGGGTGATTCCGAGTAAATTAGGATGAGCGCCTCAAAAGCAAGGTGTGCGGTGTGTATGGCGTAATTCCAAGATGTGGATAGGCTGCCACACCTGGGTAGAGGCCGTATCTGCGAGCAGCAGGGGCGATGCGGGAAGAACATTGGATGATGCAATGAAGATCCTCGACGTGGGAATTGGTAAGGTGATGCAAGAAAACAAGAGAACAGAACAGACGGTGGTGCAACCCGGAGAAAAACAAGGAACGCCCCAGCAGAGATGTGTGCAAGCGGACTTTGACGGGAAACGGCCTGCCACCTCCGCGCCGTACCTGACAGCAGAATTCATAGACAAACTCCGAGTCCAGTCCAGTCCAGTCCGGAGAGTATAATGCAATGCAACGAGATATTGATTGACCCCGCCCCAACAGGTGGCACGACAGGGCTCCCACTGCACCTCTTGCCTGGCGTCAATCAACTCACGCCCAACCCCAGCAAGAGCCAACCGGGACTGTCAATTATTGGAGACCCTATGCCCCTCGCAGGCTGGCGGCAGAGTGTCTGTGGCCGTCCCCGTGCTGCGTCTGCGAGGTCACACTGCCGCCGCTACGACCACCAGCCGCTGTCGTAGCTTCGGTTGCCGAGGCTGCGGCGGATATGGCGTAACCGGCTGGTGCGTGGGGGTGGGAATGCTGCGGATCAGGAACGTAAACTTGGCCGTTGGAGAGGACCGAGCCGACGCTGGCGCCACCGCTGGATTGGGAGCCCCTTCTGTCGCTGTCGATTTTATCGCCACCGTAGACGTAGCTGTCGGGTTCGTGGGCAGACCGGTACGAGTGGTGGTGGTCCGAGGAGCCGTACGAGGTATCTGCAGCTGTTTGATAGGCACTTCCCGCTTCGGACGGGCGGCCGGGGACATTGGAGGGAAGGGTGGTAGTCGGCGCGTATGAAACGGGGGATTCGAAACTGGAGTTGACACTACCGTAATCCGAGGTTGCTTTGTTGCTCGAATAGTTTGGTCCGGGAAGACCATCGCTCCTATAAGCCGAGGAACTCGTCAAGGTGCGGTTGACATTAGGGAGGCGATCCGAGGGCGTAGGAAGCGAGGCGGCCATGCCGGAAAGGGAAAAATTAGGGAGATCGCTGCTGACAGCAGAAGCGGGGCGGTGGACCAGACTCGGATAGGGGTATGCTGAAGCTTCTGGGTCAACGTACACTGGCGCCTTGGACCCGGAGCCGTAGCGGTATCCCGGGACCATGTGAACGGGCTCCTGACTCATTTGTGGGTATGAAGGGTAGTTCATTGCGTAGTCGACGCCTTCATCAGGATATGCACCTCCCCAACCTTGAACCGAGTAGTAGCTCTTGCTTGGGTACGGATACGTGCTCTGGCGGTACATGACATCCCCGTTCGGCAGATCGGCAGGGTACTGCGAGACCAGCGGCGATACCGTGCCCCGAGTTTGGTATGCCCGCGCCGTGTCAACGTCGTATCCAAAGCTTCCACCACCGTCTCGGGGCTGCATTTCTTGCGAGGATACCTGAGCGAACAAAAGTCAGACGCGGAACGTTGGAGGTTGGGTTTTTAGTCAGATCGTACCCTTAAAAAGAGACAAGGTTCATGGCCCGCGTTCTTGCAGTTAGAACAAGGCAAGCCGTTTCCCGGGTCGCCGCTGCATCGAATCTTGCGCTTACGGCACCGACCGCACTGGTTGTATACTACGTTAGCAGAGTCCTTCCAGCCATCAGGTAAATGGTAATCCCGGGTGCATGTCCCCCGCTCGACTCCAACGTATCCTCGCCATAGGTTCATTGGTCTATCAAAAGATCGTGTGTACTCACAGCTACGGCAATTCGCTTGCGAGGTTGGGAATCATCAGGCTCTCGTTCAGTCATGGTGGATGCTCGAGTGTCGTGGTGGGATGTGAGTTGGAAACGGCGGTCGGGGTAACTGAAGTACGGAGGGCAAGCCCGACTATATCCACGTCGGCCTACTTCGCTAGGGGGATAGCAGGCTGGAGTTACCATTGTTGTTTTTGACACGTCTGAGACAACAACGAGTGTATTAGAAACAAAAGCATGAACAAGTCTCCGGACGTCGTGCTATCGTCGGTGGGGCTGCGTCCGCTTCCACCTCCGCAGATGCAACCAAGGCAAGAGATTGATGACAGGAAAGATAACAGAGTCTCCTACAAGAAGGCAGCATAAGGCAAGAGCAACAGGAGTTGCAGAAGCAGGGGCTAGTTGTTTGACAGCTGGCTCGCGGCTTGCAGCCCTGGATATCTCAGCTTGATGAGCTCGAGATTCACCACGTCTGGGTTGTTGTAAGACGTAGATGTTTCAAAGGGCTGATCAAACTTGGAGGTTTGCAGAGGCGAAGGAACGGGGAAGGTTAAAGAGACGGAGAAGGCTGCAAGTTCCATTCTTGTTATACCCGTGTCACTTATCCCAGACATGTCCCCAACGCTCCATACACGTTGTTTGCAGCTTGATTAACCTTGATAGCTACAAGAATCCTCGTTGGGACATGTCATATTTGCCCATCATGAAGCGCTGGGCCACAGCAGATGTCAAGCACTGGGAGCCATGGCAAAATTCAAAAAGATGCGTCGTACGAAGCCCGGAAGGCTGCAGAGGCTGCATGGAGAGTAGCCAGTAGCCATGCGTGTGAGACTAAGAACCGTCTCTTGAACGCTCTGTGAATACAAACAGGAATGTAGTCCTGTGGCGCACGCGGCAGGGGTCTGCATATCCTTGCGGGCGATCTTGACAAAGAGAACCAATCTCGATACGATCTCTAGATGAAGTCGACAATCTCGTGGGCATCCCGGTCTTAGACCAGCATATTCCCCTGGAGAGAATTCCAGGTACTTGGCTGTCACTCTAAGAAGGCCTCGTGGGGTTCCCGCTAGCAGCGCCGCTCGGCCGATGCGTCTTGGATCCGAATCCTGGGCAGCCAGGGTCCAGCCACTGAGACCCGACGACACGACGCAGTTGTAGGGTCCTGTGTCTTGGTTGAGACACGGCGCGTCCAGGAGGAAGGAATAGTCCGCCACCGAGAGGAGAGGGGTTGCCCGAGTTCCCCCACCCAAACGAAACACAGACCGTCGTTTCCGCACAACGACAAGATTGCTGTACCATCGTAGAGACGTGCCATTCCTAATCCATCAGAGTAACATGTCACGCGCAGGTGTTGAAGTGACAGATAACGAACAGTCACTAGTGACCGCAGGACTGTCGGCGAAAGCAAACATGACGAGGGTTACTTGGGCCAACGGACATGGTTGCACTGGGGCAGGCAAGTGTACGTGAGATGGGGGCCATGGCTCTGATGCTCAGCGATGCCCGATGTGCAGCCGCCACTAGCTCGACACTGGGACCATGAATGCGGCAACCAGGTATTCAACACAGAACGTAAATTGCGCCGTCCTTTCGTGCGACTTGAAGTCTCTTAGGTACTGAGCAGATGAATCCCGACCAGATTGCAGTGTGTTATGGGCTGCAGGCATGGGTGGTTATTCTTCAGTGGGGGAACGAGGATTTGGGGGAGGGGAGGTGAGAGGGGTAGGGTGGGAGAGCCGGGGGGGAAGAGGGGCACCAAACGGGCAATCGAGAAATGACCGGGGAAGTATTCCGTTGCCAGCGAACATGACGAAAGGATCTGTAGCTGCAGTATGTTGATGTACAACCTGCATTGTGAGCAGCATGCCGTTTGATCATTTGCTGTCGACGTCGGTGGATATATGCGACCCACGATGGAAGCAAACTTGGGACCGGAGTTGACATCTGTTCCGCTTCTCCAGGCTTGTTCAGAAGTTGAAGAGGTGCCCCCACATCCATTGGATTGGACCCTTTGACAAAAGGCCCCATCACTCTTTGGCAAGCACAACGCAAACACGACCAACTTGGTCATTGCATGGACGGCTCCGTTACACAGTTCAGAGTGTGTGGAGGCGTGGAGGAGGTATCTCGCACTTTGCAGTCGAAGAAGTTGCAAGTCTAGCCGCCCTATTTGTGTACGTTTGCCAAAGTTCACGTTGCCGCATCATCATTGCAGGACTGAGACAGCACTACCTTGAGTCACTTAATTCTCGGGGTAAATATAGAATCAAACAGTCAGAAGGATACGAAGGGGCTCTCCATACAGGATACAATAGCGCATCAAGGACTTCCTAAAGTCAGCCAAGAAGTGGCCTGATGGCTGATTCTATCAATCTCTAACAGCCTTATACTGGTTGACCTGTCACTTAACCATTGGTGGATCTGTCTGAAAGACGTGGGTGCGGTACAGATTGGAGAATGCAGCATCCGATTTGCCAGCCCAGGCTAGTTTTCGTTGCTATGCGAAGACGCTGGTAAGGTGGATGTCTTGCAGAAAGACGTGGTATACTTGCAGAGCAAAGCATCCTTGCTTGAAGACGGGTCGTGCCTTCCAGATTGCAGATGCGCATTGCCGATCACTTCTCAGATCCATCACGGCTCTTGTCGACACGAGGGCAGTCGAGGACTCCCGCAACAGAACATACCGGCGTATGCTTCTGGTCTTGTTGCGTAAAGCATAAGCCCAATTGGGGGGGAGGGGGGCGCGGCACGACCCGTTTAGGTGGTCCACCTCAGAATCAGAGTGAAGACCATGCCATGTAGACGGAGACCTATTCTGATCGCCAGGCGAACAGTCCACAGCACACGGACAAGGTCATGTGCGTGCACGTCATCATCGGAATGAAGATGGCACAGCTGAATGATTGCGTTCCTCTCGTCCTGTAGAGGTGGCTCAAAGCTGCATGACTAGGGTTGACAAATGAGCGTCTTTCTCGATCGTGACGGGCAATTCGAGTCGAGCAAGTCTAACCTTTGGGCCTTGAAAACGGCCGCACTGCATAATATCGTCTTTCGCCATGCTTGGTGCTAGGCTGTGCCAAGCAAAGTGCTGTTATCTTGTCCTCATCAATGTCCCACACCGCGGCGTGTGGACGTACTGTACGCGCAACACTTGTCCTGACAGCGCACATGGCTGAAATGAAAGCAAAAGCAGAGCAGAAAGCGGAAAATTTTCTGCCCAGCCTCCACGGCTAGCTGCATTGGCGGTGCTGTCAAGCGTCTTGCAAATTCATGCCACTACCCGTCGCCTGTATCACTCGCTGCCCAATGATTGGGCGAAAAGAATCCGTCGGCTGCTGATACCTGGGGCCGATGATCATTAGCTTGATAACCGTTGTGCTCAGGAGAAGGAAGCATCGATGCCCAGTTGAATGCCAGCCAGTGACGAGAGACTCTAATTGAGCGTCCGAGGTGCCATGGGCGAATGATAATTCCAGGTGAAATTGCACCATGGCCTAGGACTTACCATGGTTTTAGTTCTTGGCTGAGTAGATTGCGAGAGGGCCTCAGATGTTTCGGATGAAGCACGGCGGTTTGGCTCCAGCTAAAAATACCACGCTCGACCAAGACACATCTCGTCATGTGTGCGGCAGATGGCTGAAATAGTCTCAATTCATGGACTGCCGGCTTCGGTTGGCACACATTTCACTCTGACACATAGCTCTGAGTCGACACAGTCAACGGTTCAAGACTCTGCCAGTGTGCAGACAAGCAATAACATGTTGGCTTCTCAACACCAGGTCCGTCCCCTGTGCGACGTTACCAGCCATCTTTGTCTTTTCTAGAGAAGACCCTACAAGTACTTGCATAGACGTAATCAACGGAGTAATCGGAGTTCCGAAAGGAAGCCTCAAGATATTGAATTGATGAAGCCCGGGAAGATGCCTAAGTTCGAGGTTTGGGGTGCTTTTGGTTGGCGTACGAAATCAGCGGCAGGCTGCGAGAGCGGTGGAGGGCGGCAGCCCCTGGCCATCAGATACGGTGGGTAGTGATCTAGTTGGAAGACAGACTCGGTCCGGGGCTGGCATCGAGAGCGTATAAAAGGACTGTGCGGTCGTGTTACACGAGTGGGAGGGACCTTGCAGGTTGCGAGCACTGGCTGTGGACTTGTGTATTCGTCTGAACATAGTTGACGAGGGTCTTTACGATCGTCGACGATATATGAGCGATGGCGCAGAGTGCATCAAACCAATAGACATTAGATGAATCTTGATAACTGGGTTTTGGAAACGCCTGACAATATGGATGAAATGACGGTTATTTCCGCAGCGGCCCCACCACACCCGGGGAGATCCTGTCGTTACTGCGCGCGATCCATGTTGATCGTCCTCTCTCTCGCAGGTCGAGGTTGCAATGCTGCTGGATGCAACCTTCCATGGTATAAACAGAAGTACTTCCAGCGAAACATCTTCCGAAGGTTGGATCATTTCGTCCTCGGCTTTTGGTCAACATTATCCGGAGGAGGCGGCCACCCCCGGGCCGTGGGCTGTGACAGTAGCATCCGGCAGGCAGTCAGAGAAGCCATGTCATGCAGTCTGTGCTGCAGCTCATCAACCCCTGTTTAACACGAGCGGTGGACGGGGAGGAATCCGGGTGTCGTCGAGGTATGATAAACGGCTGCCGGCCTCAGCCATGAGCCCCTTGCATCAATCATCCGTCTTCCATTTGTTCCATCCGGCTTCTGGGGCTGGCTCGTCTCCGAACTATATGCCAGAGGACGTCATGAGTTGATTACACCGCCATTTTGCTATCATAACGGCTATTCTTGGTAGATGGTAGGCGATCAGGTCAGTCGAGAGTGAAAAGTTTGCCGTTCAGGGCTGGGAAGTTTATTGTTGAGAAGTCCAGAAGGCACATTGCAGCAGGCGCATCTTTGATTGTGCGAGGCGGCGAGCTGGCAATGGTTTTGTGGTTGCTTTAGGGTGCGCCACAGGATACGTACCAATATTGTTGAGGACATGCAGCACCAACTCGACACTTATAACTTTCCTACATCTACTATCCCACTGATAGTGCAGAATATTTATGCAGTTTTTATAAGTTTATCTGAACATAACTGCGTGTTTAATTTGCTTTGTAAGTTAAGTGAAAAGACGGGCGTGTAAAATCACAAAAGATGTCATGTACGATCTTAATCGAAAAGTTAACTCGAACTAAGCTGAAACTACGGAGAGTTGAACAGCCAGTCGAACTGAGAATATGATAGTGAGTAAAATCAATAGCAGAGTGCTTGTATTTATGCTGTTGAATTGCGCATATGAAGCGATGCCGGCCAGTTTAATTACATAGAGCTCGTTGGTCCTTATGAGATGGGATTTACTAATCACACCCTATTCGGCTACATTACAAGCTCATTTCAGTGATGGAGATGCGAAAATACCATAAATCATTGTTGATGCGGGACTAAAGTCAGCTAGTGGGTTTTCTTGTTCATCCAGAACGTTAGTCTAATAGAGCTGTCGAGGGATCCGTAGCATAGACGCATTGCGCCGTCTTGCTCAACTCTGTGAAAGCGGGAAATGAGAATTAAGAAGTTATTTGGTCTCTCTCAGGAACCTAGACTAAGGTTTTGTATCTCAGTAAGCCAGTATAGCCCGGTCTGTACCAACCATTTCACCATGTATTCAAACAATTTAGTAAGGTGAACCATAATGTTCGTGATTGCCGCTTCCCAGCTATATTGTGGCACGCCGATACAAGGTTTTGGGTTTGCTTGATTGATTGACTGGCAACAGTACCGTAGAGCTGGTCAGGTTGTCAACCCAGTGGTGAGGCTGGAGCGAGAATGGACGTGTTTGAAGGCTTGTTCCTGACCTGTTCCTAAAACGATAGGCCAAGGCTCCCGTGCCTTCGGCGTAGGAGATCATTCTATTTGTATTGCCCATAATCGTCAGACAACCCTCGACACCATCTTCGCTCAATCAATCGTGACAAGTTACATATAACGTAAATATGTTGGATATCGAGTATTTGAGAATTTCGCTGACTTCGTCCGAGTCCTGGCGAAACCGTGTTGTTGATCCCTCAATATTGCCCAACTGATATGTGCTTAACTTCGTAATTGGAACTCGGAGACTTTGACGCCCGAACCTAAAAGTAGAGTCGCCTAGCTGCAATGTGTTCCTATAGAGAGACCAGATATTTAACACAAGGCCATGAATGTGCACATATTAAAGCTGGCACACCAATACTATAAACCTACAATACATAATTATTGTGGGCAAGTGTGGCCTCAGGTATGGAGGGGTACGAGGTAGGCAGGCACGGATTGTGGTATTTAGGGACCCCCGGGGGCAATTTGGGATTGTTCCCCGGCGCACCTTCATAGAACCAATGCAGCCTCTGATACTCGGAATCCGACAATTATCCTGAGTTCGTGTCTGTATCTAAGTAGCAATGAATATCTTGAAGAGTCCAATTGCTAGACGCAAACTATAATACTGTAGGCTTTTGTTTTCTTTTCTTTCTTCTGAAATCATTGCCAATTAAAGTGGTTTCAAGAGATATGGAATTGATAAGACTAAAAATTAGCGGCAAGGTTTTGTTGATCCATTATTCGACTCCTTTGTGCTCTGCGAGGTCTGCAAGGATGCACCCGGTGGAATGGCACGAGAGCTATTGGGCGTATTGTGTGCAAATAGTGTTGCATTTGAACCAGAATGTCTGTCCAACCAAAAGATTAAGTGAATGAAGGTGGCCATAGGGGCCTTAATACAAAATGATATGCCTCTTAGCTGCCTATTTGAGGGCTGGTGATGTCCGAGCATACGAGAGATACTGATACATATATCAGAGGTGTTATTCCTGAAGGTCCAACAAAACCGTATAGGGATACTTCTATCCAGCTGTGGCTTTGTTTGTTACCCTGCTGACTGCCTTGAAAGGTTGATCAATTTGACAGTAAACATTGTTCAAATAATTCCTTTGTCTTCGAATGACAGTCCGTAATATAATTGATGTGAAATGACAGAACTGTTTCTTTTCTTTTCTATTTTCGACCTTTTTTGCGTCGGCCCCATAAACTTCAATTGTTTTGGTGGAAAGTTGTGCGCTTTACCGGTGGTAATAGGGCTACTGTAATATTATAACAGAGGACTGGTAGCACGCAGTCCACTGGCGGAGCCCTAGTTACTCCGGGGTAATGTACACTGGTTAGATAGGTGGCATTCCGCCGCTGCACCTGACGTAACTTAACGTAGCTCAATAAACAACACAATCCTCCATGATATTACGAGAATGTATTGTGAGGTTCGGCCGCAGATCAAGATTACAACTGTTGGATGAGAGGTGACGCAAATGCCGGGATGATCTTGAGCATTTATACAAGATTGGATAGGTTTATCAGTTGAATACAGGGTCGAAGGTGTTACTGAACTTTTTGCAAGCTATAACAAAGGATAGAATCAAATGCGGTACTGGAGAAACCAGGATTCTAGAAGAGCGCAATAGGCAATAACAGCCTTGTAAGTATTCAACGACAGCGTACGTACTGTATCCGAGCTGATAGTGCGGCTGATCGGTATGGCTGAAGTTACTGGAAGGTCCGGTCAAGTGGCTGTGGGAGTGAAGAAACTCTAAATCAGCCGTCTAGCACCAAAGATCCAGGAAAAGGGGCTGCAGTCCAACATGTGACGCATAAGCACTATAGACATCAAAGAATCTGGAGAAAAGGATCAGCTAGGCGCTATCAAAGATAATCAGGTCAAACAATGGTAAGTACCTTGCAGAGATGTTGATGTATATCAATCCATCTTCACGCGTGGCACTCATCCTGATTCTGCAGCTCCATCGAATTAGCCTCCATACTCGTGCTCGGCTCTATAACCCCCGACTCTTTCCTGGACGTCTCCTCATCATTCCCCTTCTGCAACCCCGGCAGGGCCGGGCACTTAACAAAAGCCATCAGAATTAGCATAAACCCCGAAAGCGCGGTCCCAAACTTGATGACGACCCTAAATGACTCCAACACAGCACACCCTTAACCAACAAAGCCTTCGGGCTCCTAGGGGACAGCTTCCTGAGTACCGCAATCGCCTCCGTGATGTGCACATCCTCTTCCAGGTGCAACTTACTCAATGTATTCTGCAGTTGATAAGTGAAGATGCTTGTCATGATAGCCGCGCTGAGACAGTTGCCGCCGAAGTGGAGCAGCATGTTAAGCAGGACGGCGTGGGATTTGTCGCAAGGGTGCAGGGCGCGCTGAAAACTGTTGTTGAGGCCTGGCATGAGAAAGCTGAAACCGAAACTTGGTACTACGATCAGTATGACCATCAATAATATGCTGGTCCATGTCTCCCAGAGTCGCGATGAACCAGCGGAGGAGGTTGGCCCAGCGGTATTGCCCGGTCCGGCGGATGATGACACCGGCGATGATTTGGGCGGGGACCAGGGCGCCTGTGTTGTCCAGGAGCATCATACCTACGCGTAAGGGAGTGCAGCTATGGACGCCTTCATAAACAAGGACAATACTGTGTTTGGGATTTGGGCTAGTTGCTTGCATCGGCTATGTACATTAAAGTGCCCAGGCCATGTAGAGACAGGATCCCTGTAAGCAGTGGGGATCTGACTTAAAGCATCGTCCAGATCAAAACCCGCAGAAAGGTACCCCAACACGCAGACTCTGGTATCGTAGCTGCTATAGTTAGAGGGGCTCAAATCGTAGGGTCCTACGCGATGTTATTTGACCGATCGTGGGTGAGATTTAGGCTGGGGGATTCCACAACGGGACGACTTTTAATTACTCCTAGTAGATTGGGAGACGATTCTGCTGCGTTTCGCAATAAAGAGTGCTCGAAAGAGATTATTTAAGAATTGGGCGGAATCTCCATATGCAGATTGCAGAAGCTGAGCACTCCCCGTTCGACCAATTCACGATCCAGCGAAATATGCGCGACTTGGAGGTCTTTCAATCAACACTTATTAATCCGAAACCGTCAGTCAGCTTCGCAGAAAAGAAGTGCCATTTTCCGCACGTTTCGAGCTTGAGAAGTGGCTTTAAGGAATGGCTTGCAGGTGGCATCGGACCCAGCATAGTTTTAAGATGCCATCTACCTCGCGCTGTCTTGTATGCTCGCTCACGAACTTTACATCTCCTGTCAACAATATTTGCTGCATTCAGCGGAGGTAGATGATGAAGTTGATATGGAAAACGGTTAGAGAGCAACTCAACTGCCCAGGTTTCCCCCCGGCGGTCTTGACTGTGGGCTGGCTTACACACATGCGTATGCCGCCGTAAGAATCATAGGCAAGCCCAGCATCTCTCTAGGCCATCTTCACTTTTGCCTTTCCAAGTACTCTTTTCGACCGCGACCCTTCTTCCTTGTGGGGTCTCATTCGTACCCAAACATACACTCCATCCTGCGCGACCCTGAGGTAATCCACATCTCGCCTCTAGCCGAGATGTTATTCACCGTGCTCCTCTACGAACTCCTCCTCGCGCTCGTCAAGCTCATCCACCGCACCTTCTTTCGCGTCTCCTATACCAAACTCATCCGAGGCAAATACATCAAAGACCAGGAACGCAAGCCCGTGGCCGCAAACTCCTGAGTTCCAAGTCTGCCATCGTCTCCTTCATCGCCGTTGCCCTTCTCGGTCAAGAATACAGCACTCGGCATTTTGGCACCATAGGCTGACTTGCAATCTGGCTCTACGCGGTCCCCGAAATGATATCCTTCGCGGTCGTTGCTGTCCTTCAATTCGCCTGTGCCTCACAGACATGCCGTAGGACCGCATCTTTCTACGTCAAGAATTGGAAGAGATACTCCCTTATTGTATCGGCTGTCGTCTTCTTGGCCGCTGGCTTTATCGGGTACTCAAGTACGAGGCAATACAAAACGGAGCGCCAGGGCCTGTCGTCGTGAACAACACCGACGAAGTTGACATTGTTCTCACCAAGAATGTGGCCCACGAGCTCCGCGACGTGTTTATGTGGTTCCATTCTCCGGATCAAGAAGGTTTGGAATCAAATACTGTGGTTTTGGCCATCAAGACTATGATTTGAGAATATTGAGGGCCCTGCCGCGTTTGGATGATATTTGCTGCATAGTTGGGGTTGTTTGAGTTCCAAAGTCGTACTTGAACCATTTTCGCTATTGCTGTTGTGGATCAGTCTGATTGGGATCTGGGAGCTGTGATTCTCGCCGCTTTGGAGAGAGGGGGTTAGGTTGTGGAGTCAGTGGTAGCTGGCGTGGAGGCGCATGTGTACAGGTATACTTATCAGCTTTGCTATTCTGCTGCACTCCATTTAGAACCGTGGAATTTTGAATGAATGATAAGAAAATAAAACATTTAGCTTCCTACCTTGCTGGGGACACAGCTTCATGAATCGACCGTTGTCGGTCAATGCTGTGAAAATATTAGCGGCTCAAGCACCGTCAGCAACATTCATCAACCTTCGTGTCACAGTACCCAAATGGCGAACTCTGATGGGTTGTGCGCAAGCCCAGGCTAATGTCAACTATTGAGTAGCCTTGTTGATGATATCAAGCGAGACCAGGCTGGCTGGGACCCTTCGAGTTCAGGGTTCCTCTGTGCCACCTAGCGAAGTGTAGACACCGGTCAGATGCCCTCCAAGTGCCGCGAGACCCATCATGCCGGGTTGAGGCAGAGAGCAACAGCGCAATACATCCGATCATTGGTCGGCCGCGTTGTCCGGCAGCCTCTTCGGGGTTTGTGGGGAACCAGCATAGTGAGTGAAACAAGCGCGGCGTGGGCGATGAGGTCATGGGCGGCAATGGGAACAGAATCTTGATTCCTTCCCGACTTCGTTCAAAATGCGTTTTAAAAGATAAAGAACACTCAGCCCGTTTGCTTTGCGAAACCCCAGAACGCTCTTCCCGCCCGTGGTTCCATCCGTCATCATGCTCATGCTTGTTGGCCACGTTTGCTGCAGGTACTACCTCTAGCAAAATGGTCACATCCTGTTTGCAATGTCCATGTGCAGCAGCAAGAATTCCATGGTGTCGGCTCCATTCGATCATGCCCTACGTGCATCCCTCCCCAATGCAGCAGCAAGTCGATCACCAAGGGCTGCGAGCCCGATGATTTGATCGATGCGATTGAACGAAAAAGCTTAGCTGTTTGTCGGTGTAGCGACCTGCGGAGCTGAGTTCCGGGGGAGCTTCGATCTTCCTAAACTTGCGAGCGCCTGGGGGACGGTTTGAAGTAAAATTTTGAAGAGCTTGAAGTTTGGCAACAATATATAGATGCGCAAGTAAGTTTGCCCTTAATTAGTGACACCTCGTGGTCTGTATCGAGATCTTGCCTAGGTGAGCCTCGCGCAAGGTATGCACACTTGACCACGTAAAGAACGATCTGCAAAATGGGCTGCGAACATGCCGGCGATCAAACCATGGCGGCAGTGAGAAGGAGTCGAAGGTCCTGGTGACGGGCTCCGTTCCTACTTGGCAAGCAACATCGACTCGATCACGATCTCCAACTTCATGTGTCTGTATATAGTACGAGAGGAGAAATGTGAATCGAGAGCCCCCCAGCGCATCAATTCCTGGAGTCGCGACCACGGCTGTCATTTCGTCATCCGGACCCCTTCCCGAGAAACTGGGTCAAACTTGCCGAGACGCCGTTTTTCCCGTCAATTTGGGGAGCGCCAAGACGATCTAGGCATCTGGGCATCTGTACTATGGTATCATGGGTAAGTTTTCAATTGTGTGTTTGTATCGTGCTCCACCTAGGCACGAGCCAACTCTTAGCTACCTGGCTTGAAGCGACCTTAACAGCTGTCTTAATCAGATTAAAAGAAAACGTTGTAGTAGTTTGAATTTCGGCTTTCGATTTACCACCGTCGAAATGGAGGGTTCGAATTCGTTAGCGATCTGCTTCTGTAAGGTGTTTAGTCCCTATTGTAGTTGCTACATACGCGATAATTAGGACGCGTTAACAGCAAGTTGGAATCAGAGGTGGAAGTACCTTTTCGTTAGTATGAATAGGCTAGGTAAGAATCGGTAAGAATCAGTATAGCGTTACCTTGGCAGTAGTCCACTGGTACTTGTCAAGGGGGTGAAAACTTTGGCCTGATACCGTAGTACTTTATTGCACAATCCGACAACGTTGCATCTGTGGAGATTCCTGTTATCATTATGATGAAAAAATGAGCTACAAACTGTGGTTCATGTCTGGGCAGCACGCTGATCCGGGAATCAATTATCGAAAGGAGCATGTAAACGTGCTTGGCTTGATTGAGGGGAAGGATTCCGAGCCAGGCTGCCCAAGGCTGTCATGAGGTGCTAATCGTTTGGAACAATCTACGTCACTTCGACCCTACGAAAGGGCTGTATCTGTGGCATTGGACGGGAATTCGTCATCCTCAAATTGGCGAAAGCTCTGCTCCAAGTTGTCTTCTCGTCTCTCTCTTCAGTCCAGTGCGATATATAGACGCCTATCGATCCCCAGCCCAACTCGCGCCACTTTTCAAAATCATCCCAAACTAGCAGGGGCAAGCTTGGAAATCCTGCATCTTGCCTGCATTTGACACGATAAACCTGCATATCGCCAACCCACACACGCACGGGCAAAGCGATTTATTGATAACGCATCGGACCGGACCTACCGAAGCAAATACATACATAGTAATAGCTGCGTTAAACATCCTGAAATCTGCCTATTACCGTACGATACCCCAGCAACCAGTCTCGGAATCGCCATCTGATACCGCAACAAAAGCTACCATTCCACGAGATCGCCTCCAGCTTTGGGACTCTGCAACCCCAGACTCGGCATTTTTGATTCATCTCGACATCTTCGGACCTTGGTACCACCCGCATCCCGCTGAATATCAGCATTCCCCTGCCCACCTGCAACGCCGCATTGTACTATCTTGACTTGACAATTGTCACTCTCGTGTTTCTAAGACGCAATCTCCCCCATCAGATACGCCAGCTTGCGCCACCTAATTTCTACCATATCGCCGTCAGTGCCATCACACGCGGTCTCGTTCGTCATAGTGCAAGTGTTCGCCAAAACCCATTGCGGGTTATCCCTAGCTGGGCCATTCTAGCGCATCACTTTCCGCAAGCCATCCGAAGTGTTCCTGGATACGATTACCCGGAGCCCCAACTTGACGTTATCACCTCCAAGGCACCGCTGGAAGCGACCTGGCATTCTCACAAAGCTAGCAAGCCCATGGTGACATTGGGCATTTGGACAAGATCCAGTCGCCGCCACCGGACACTTCACATCCCCATGCCATCACCTCATCTCGCACCACTGTGCTGAAATCCCTCCCGGTGCTGCCCTATCTCCCCTCCACACCCATTCGCGTGGTCCGATTCAAGCGACATGTGAACATATACCGTATCGCCAACCTGCACTGAAGGGCACCCAGAACACCCTCCCAGACGCAAGGACAAACGACCGAAGCCAATTAGGGTCCTAGCCGCGCTCGATAGCTGCCGGCGCCAACCTTGTTGCACTGCGACCGAATTCTGCGTTGGCGCATCACCCCTCGCACCAGGCCAGGATAGCTGCAGTCTGAGCTCCCCGACTACACTGACCTACCCCCTTTGGATTCATCTGGACTTACTATCCTGGACTTCCAGGCTGTTTGGGCGGCGGATTGCTGTGCGCTCGCAACCTTGGCAGCTCAGACCCTCGTTTCCTCAGGTCGAGATCCCGGGCTCGCAACGGAGCTAGTCGTGCTGGAGCTCTTGGGTTAAAAAGATCGAGGCTCGCATCGCATCTCCACCTCCACCCCATCTTCCCACCAGCTGAACAACAGGTTTTGTGTCTTTGTCAATTAAGTGGTTGCTCAGTCACTTTACCAAACCCATCAACAAGCTGTCGACGTCATTCCTCATTTCTTGTGTAACGCGGTATGATAATAAGAAGCAATTGAGATCGGCGACACCCTTGACCGGCAATCAACTCGCAACCCACTTATACCTTAGTTTCACGGCTAGGGTCGATCAGAAGCGACGACCTTTAATTGCGGTCTTTGCTCCTGAAATACCGGCACATCGAATCCCCTGACATTCTAGCCTTTCTTCCATTTCACCCTTCGAGAACATATTTCTGGGCACGAGAAAATACTCATTCTACCGTCATATGCTGAGCAAACCAACCCAAATTCTCCCCCCAAACTACCAAAGCACCTCCGATGCGCACACCATTAGTAGTCTTTTCTCGACGGCAGCCGCTTACAATGAATGTCGACACACATCTTGCAACAATGGGGTACTCCGACGGATACTATACAGAGTCTCCGACTCTACACAACGGCGACTTCGCCATGCAGAAGTACCTTCTGCTACAGAGTCAGCACGAGGAGCTGCGGCAACACATGCACGAACTCTGCCCAACTTATTCATCTGCTACAACAGGCACTTCGCCTTCACTCTCGCCGACGCGATCCATCAGCTTCTCTCCCACATCTAGCAAACACACATCACCCTCGCGATCCCGAAACCACAAGCGATCGTCAGGTGGCCACTCTTCCGCATCGCGGTCGGGTTCCCAAGGTTACTCGGTCGCCAATTCATTGGACACCGTCCTCGATGAAGACATCGTGATGGAGATGGCGGTCGACGAGCAGAAGCTATGCGATGTCAATGAGGGCATCAAGCGGGCGCTTACAGAACTGCTCAATTGTGAGACTGTTCGTAAAGATCGGACGATGCGCACATGGGTCCAATCACGCCTGATGGACACCGAGCGCGAACTGAGAATAGGTCGACGGAGGAGGAGTAATGGGAGTATCGACTAGAAATCGAGACGGACTATCATTCCCACTATCAAGGATAACCCCGAAAGAGGGAGGGTGGAAGATGCGGAGGTGGTCGAGGACGGAAAATCGCGCAAGGACGAATGCTATGTACGGTGTTAAAACGGCGCTCAACTGGGAGCATGTTGGGGATATGAGGCTTGATTATCTGCTTCTTGTGTCTACATCACGGAGTCCGGGGTTGGGGTGTGCATTTGCATTCCACGGTGGAATTTCAACAAATATGCATCAAGACAAAAGGCACACACAGGACAGATGTGTAAGCGGTGGAGGATTGATACCATGCGATGCGTAGTACTAAAGATATAGACCGACCTTAATCATTATCACTGTCTTAGGCAATACTATCTGGCACATACGCCGTGATCAGAAACTACTAAACCTCTGATACGAATTAGAGTGTGCCAATCACAGCACAAGCAAACAAAGGGCCGCACAACAAAGGGTTGCATGACAGCAGCAGCTCGCGACCATTCGAAGCGCTGAATTGGTGAATGGTGTGACTCTCCAAAGTTTCTCTCCAACACCGCCCCATTACGCCTCCACATGTGCCTCCGTGTTGCGATCCGCTTCAATGCGTGATCTCTTTCATTTGGTTCACGGGGTTTCAGTCCCTCAGTTTCCCCACCGCGGCATTTTTCGCCTAAAATCCTGGGGCAGACCTGGACGCCTGACTCCATTCAGGTCTAGCACTTATGAAAATAAAGTGGGTGCCAATTTGTGGCACGCAAGAAATAATGTGGTGACATGAAGCATTTCTTGGTTCCTATTTTTGGGCAGCCCATGCGAGGCCCCCCGTACTCCGTAAAAATTCAAGTTTTGAACCTTATCAACACCTATCGCCGGCAGGGATCTAGACTGTGGATATTCGACTGCCAAGGCAATATCGCAGGTCTGGATTTGCACAGGGCAGCACGGGGCTGGAAGATGTGCTGTGGCTATAGTTCTTCAGGCGCCGCAACTTTGCGCCACAGCTATTATTTCTGGCGTTCAATGCGACCGCGACGAGGCTGAAAACTTGGACCATTCAACCTTCGCAGCCTCATGAATTGACATCGATATCATTTTCCTCAATCGATCTAGTCAACAGCGAGGTTGACACCCAATACCCTCCAAGATGTCAGTCCTCCTCGAAACGAGCGCAGGCGACATTGTCATCGACCTGCTAGTCGACTACGCCCCTAAAGAATGCGAGAACTTCCTCAAGCTCTGCAAGCTGAAATACTACAACTTCTCGCCCATCCACTCCATCCGCCCCTCCTTCTCCTTTCAAACAGGCGACCCCCTCGGCCCCTTCTCCACTGCCTCCGATGGCGGTTCCTCCGTCTGGGGCCTTTTGGCTTCATCAGCGGCGAAACGTACCTTCCCCGCGACCTTCCACCCCAAACTCAAGCACATCGAGCGCGGCACCGTGTCCATGGCCACGGTACCCCATCCGTCGGATCCTGAAGTAAAACTCGCGGGGAGCCAGTTCATCGTTACGCTGGGGGAGAATACTGATTATCTCGATGGCAAGGTGGCGATATTCGGGAAGGTGGTTGAGGGGTTCGATGCGCTCGAGAAGATTGATAAGGCGATTACGGATAAAGATGGCCATCCGCTCGTTGACATGCGCATCAAACACACGATAATCCTCGACGATCCTTATCCAGACCCCCCTTCACTGCGCGAGCCGTCCGCTTCTCCGCCGCCGAGCAAGGCGCAACTTGCAACGGTGCGGATACCGGAAGATGCCGACCTAGACGCCGAAGTAGATGAAGAAGCTGCTGAGAAAAAGCGACGGGAGACGGAAGCGCGGGCGCAAGCTCTGACACTGGAAATGATGGGCGATCTACCATTCGCCGAAGTCAAACCGCCGGAGAACATCCTATTCGTGTGCAAGCTGAACCCCGTCACGACGGACGCCGACCTTGAGCTCATATTCTCGCGCTTCGGAAAGATCCTATCGTGCGAGGTTATCCGGGACAAGAAAACGGGGGATAGTCTACAGTATGCCTTCATCGAGTTTGACGAGAAGGACGGCGCGGAGAAGGCGTATTTCAAGATGCAGGACGTGCTGATTGATGATCGGAGGATCCATGTCGATTTCTCGCAGAGTGTGAGTAAATTGAGTGACGTGTGGCGGAATGGGGAGAATACGAAGAGAAAGCAGGGTGGTGGTGGTGGTGGTGGTGGTGGTGGATGGGGTGGAGTGGAAAATCTGGAGAAGTGGAGGAAGTATCGGGTTGATGGTGGGAGGGCGGAGAGGGATGATGGGTATGGCATGGTGTACGGCGATGAGGAGATGAAGGGGAGACATGCGAGGCAACGTGATAAGGACGGAAGAGGGGATGAGGATGAGCCTCCAAGACGCGATGAATGTGGTCGTGGTGGTAGTGATAGGGGTAGAGGCAGAGGAAGGGCCAGAGGGTTTAACAATCGGGGTGAACGGGGCGGAGGACACAGAGACTGGGAAAGGGAGTCCCGTAGGCGGAGTCGCAGCAGGAGTCGAAGTCCCAGGAGGGAAAAGCCATATGACAGTACCAGGGGTCGAGACCGGTGGGGTAGCGACAATGACCGCCGGCCTCGTCATGATGATAGGGATCGTAGGGATCGTGGCGGTGATAGAGACAGGGGACGTGATAGGCGGTACGATGACTATTGACGACGGTAGTTCATGAACCCCTGAATCAGATGAATATACCCAATTTGCTACTTGCAGCGCAATCCAACAGACGGCTCAGTCCAGGGGCTTCGAGAGTACATTCCAAGTCCTCTCATCTGCCATTTCGTCTTCCTGCTAGTTTCCACGTTTGAATTCTCATGGTCACATATTTCGACTGTCTCTTCGCATCGCGAAAGGGTAGCTTGGGAAGAAACGAGTAAAAGCTTGGACCGCACTTGCACAACACCGAGCGATACAGAGAAACGTACGGAGATCAAGTGTGTTAATCTATGAGACGGATAGGGGTACTGGGCCAGTTGATACTTGGAGCATTAATCAAGCATATTAGCATCGGATGGACGTTCAAGTGAGCACTATAACCAAATAGTACCATAAAAACACACGACCAATTGCCCCTTCCCAACCCTTGATACCAATTCTGCAAACCATACCCTTTCACGCACTGATATCCCCCTTTCCGCCCCTCCTAGTTCCGATGTCTACTCGCTAACAGGCTCCGATATATTCTTGACCTCCTTACCGGCGACTTGCTTCTCCCTCATCTCTAGCGCGCCCGGCTCTGTCGGATCAACACTCAACCGCATCGCCTCACTCACCTCCGTCGCCGGCCCCGTAAACCATTTCCTTGCCCACAGCACCCATGCGCCCGTCGCCCCTACAGCAATAATCCCCACTGCCACGACGGTATAATTGAGCGTCTGGTCCGAGACAGGATTGCTGGTCGGCAGACAGAACACAACGGTGATACACATAATCCACAACACCGCGACCAGGGCCACGATCTTTGAAAAAGGCCCCAGATTAAAGGGGCCCTTCATGGCCGTGAAGTTCTCATGGAAAATAAGACCGATGGCGATGGGTAGGCCGTACGAGATATATAACCCGATGGTGGCTATCGACGTAGCCGCCGAGAAGGCTACACTGCTCCCTAGACTCGGTAAGGCCAGGATGAAAGACAAGGTTGCTGCTAACCACACCGCGCGAATCGGAGATCGGAACCTTGCGTCGACCTGATGGAAAAAGGGATGAATTCCTCCATCCCGCGCGAAAGCAAACATCATGCGGCTGTTGCTCGTCATGGAGAACAATCCGCAATGCCACACGCAGACCATGACCAAGCTGAACAACGCTAGCGCACCATCCTCGCCAAAGACATCAACAAAGATTTGCAGCACGGGCTGGCCATACTCTGAATCGAGCGTCGTGTCGAAGTCCTGGATAGAAAAGAGCAGAGCCATGAGGACGAAAAATCCAAAAAGAGCCGAGAAGCCAACCGATGATACGACGCCGATGGGGGCGGACCAGGAGGCCTTTTTGGTTTCTTCAGATAAGTGCGCCGAGGCGTCGAAGCCGGTGAGCGTGTACTGCGAGAGGAGCGATCCGCATACGACCACGTACCCCGTGCTGGCGCGGACCGACCAGCCTTCACCGTCGATGCCCGTGCCGTCGTAGAACTGGCCAAACACAAAAGAGCCGGGCTGGTGGGTCGGCGCTTGGGCGAGGACGGCGATGCAGAGCGCGGTTACGCCCGCCGAGTGCAGGATGATGGAAGCGTTGTTGAGGAACCGCAGCACGTGGACGCCAAAGCTGTTGACGAGGCCGTGAGACACGAGGACAGCGGCATAGATGCCGATTGTCTTGGCGGAGGTGGCTTCGTAGCCGGCATTTTTCACGGTGGCGGCTGTGGCGATCAGGTTGGCAAGGCCGAAGGAGATGCCGGTCGTGACGGCGACTTGACCCAGGAGGTTGAACCAACCTGTTAGCCAGGCAGCAAAGGGGGAATATTTGGGAGGCGCCAGCAGGGCCGCCCAGAAGTAAGGACCGCCGGAGGTGGGGATGGCGGAGACGATTTCGGCCATGGCGATGGCTACGGTCATGGTGAAGAGAGAGACGACGATCCAGCCAATGGACATTACGGCGGGCCCGCCTGTGTTGAGGCCGTAGCTGAAGAGGGTGGTAATGCCGGTGATGACACTCTGGGCATGGTCAGCTATTCAGTTGGGTTGAGGAGCTCATCGCAACGGGGAATGCTGCAAAGCCAGGGGCATCGTACAATGATGGAGAACGAAACACCAAAGTTATGCGCGAGACCCCAATCGCGCTTCAATTCCTGCTTGTACCCGAATTGCGCCAGGCGATTCTCGTCTGCCTCGGCCACCGTGTTGGAGGTGTGCCGCCGTTCAGCAACTGGAAGTGAATCGGCTGCCATTATTCGCGTATCGTTGAGCCCTCGTGGCGAATGTTGCGAATCCCGATGAGGCCCTCAAAGTCGGTTGCCAATGTTGAAATGTCACGATGCTCCTTGCGCGCCGGCGTCTCACAGCAGCCAGCGGGTTACATCGTTCCCACCCGGCTGGGAACTGCCATTTATCGCTTGCTTCGTTGCTTACTGCCCTGTGAGCTGCGCTGGTAGCTACACGGGTAGCTTCGCTATCTCGTCGTCTCCCTTGCAACAGTCCAATCCCACGCCAACGACAGGCCGTCACCCTCGGAAAGGTTGCATCGTGATTTGCCAACCCCCATGTCAGAGATAGCTGCTGCGGTCTGCAGATAAGGTACCAGCTTGTCGCAGGCATGCATGCGACATGGACTTTGTCTCGGTCAGCCCGAACACCAGTGCCGTTGGATCTGATAGGACGTGGGGTGCAGCTGGGCGTCGTGACCTGCTTTTAAAGTACTTACCTTTAGTTGAGATGAGCAAGGAAAGATGAGTTGCTTCTTACGCCAATCGTTCGAATATGCGTAATGACATCCAAAGATAGCCTGGAGAAAGATTGCGACAATTGGACTAGGATCTGTTGTTATCAGCTTTGCGGGGGGTGTCGTGTGTCAGGAAGCTTGATGGCATTCAAGCCCGTCAGCACGCCTGACACTCACTTTGAACGAGGGGACCTCGGCAACTCTGCGCCGGAACCCATACATTTAAATGACTGCTCTATGGATAGACTAGCTCACTTCCCAGTTGAATCGGCAGGGTAAATATGACACCCACATCGACCTTGAGACTGCATTTACAAGATGTCCAGGTAAACCCGAATCATGAAGAATAGGTCGATGCTCAAACGTGCGGCTGGGGGCTACAACATACTCCACAAAGTGTGCACCGTGCAGGCAGCAGATGGCGGGATCCGTTGGTTTGACGGCTAGAGGTGTACCCTTCCTCAGCCCAAGCTCTCTGGGGCGCTCACCCCAGAATTAATACCCACGATGACTCGCGTACCATCGATCTCATCTCGTGTCACCGTCATATTTCTTTCGAATATTGAAGCAACACGCTGTTATGGAAATCGATAAATTGTTGGATAGCAACTATCTCTTGACTATACATTCCACTAGAGTCGGTATCTCAACTTACCAAGCTTGTCATTTGTCACCCGAGTCAGCACTGTTCAAGTGCCCTTCTATCGTCGGAGAGCCTGTCACGACTGCCAGTGTTCTTGCATTGCAGGCGACACAAGCACCGTGCACTATCAGCCGTGTTGGCAACCTCCGCCTGTGCCGCAATACTCGGGAGCGATTCCCGTGAGAACTCACCTGCCTCTTGGCTTCTTGGCTCCTTGGCTGCTTGGCTCTCTTGGCCCACATAACGTACGTCTTGCTTCTTCAACGTCAGTCTGTCGCCTGTTTCGAACTCTCTCCTTTACATCTCACTCATCTTCAAAACTGAAGCACCCCAACACCATCTTGGTCCACAGAAGGTGACACATGTGACACCTTCAAATGGAACTGTCCTTCCCCCAATTCAGCCTCTTCCCCGCCGAGCTGCGTGTCAAGATATGGCAACACGCGCTTCCGCAACGTACTGTCTATGTCCGTCTTCGCATGAATATGGATGCTTGGAATTGGGCATCTGAGTCAGACTGGTGGGCGCATTACATGCTTAGCAGCGATTACATGTACCCGGAATCGCCTCCACCGGCGCTCTTCTTCGTTAATCACGAGTCCCGTGCGGAAACACGAAAGTTCTATCGGCGCCTGAGTATCGATAGGGAATTGCTGAAACAATACCTCTTCACCGCGACTGACCATGAACAATATGGCGTGAGTGATGACGTGGAAGATACTGCTCTAGAGCGCACGTGCAACGCCGGCAAAACACCTTGGTTCAACGTCGATACCGATGTCTTGGAATGGAAGCAGTCAAGCGCTGGAGCTGCGATAACATTACCAAGTACGGTATGCTGTTCATGGCGACTAGCATGTCGGTGCGGCATGTCGTTGTGCAGTACGATAGAAATCTGATCCAGCTCATCAGCGCTCTGGTATTCGCTGTTCTAGACAGGAGAACTGTCGTGAAGAGCTTGACCATAAAGATGAGAGATGTAATCACCGAAGAAAAGTGGGCGCTGCGGCTGGTTCGATCGCCCGCGAGAAGGCGGGTATTGGAAGTAGGCGACGATGTCGGGGCGGTCCTCAAGGAGTATGGGGCCTGCTTCCTGGGCGGGTTCAAGGAACGTAAAACCGAGCCGGGGACATTGCACCGAGACATGGGACAAAGCTTGGCCGCAACCCGACTCGCCCTCCCTTCCGCTCTCGATATACGAGTAGACACCCGCTGCGCTGTATACAAGGTCCGCAGCGTTGCAGACGCGGCTGGTCCCTACCGTGGCACAGACCGAATGGAGCTTGTTCAGAATTGGCCACGGATGGGGACGAATCCTCTACGCAGAATTTTGGTGCCAGACGACCTTCAGGGCGACCTGATGCTTGTTCTCTTCTCGTTGCAGGGACATGAAGTGCTAGGCGGATCTCTGACTGGTCAACCCAACACGGGCCTTGTGCCATTCCATGGGTTCTGCTTGCCAGAGTATGGGCTTTCGTGAAGATATAGAAGATCCATGGCCTCGCGTATGATACTGCGGAGTATTTTTGCTCTTCATATATCTGAATATAATGCTTCAAAATAACATTATTGTAGATGATAGAAGATCCACAATTTGGTAAGCTCTGCGGATGACTGGGCAACACACAAAGTATAGTTACAAAAGTACCGTATAAGCTCTGGCTAGCGGCCTATACCCCACACAACCACGTTTCTTGAACGCGGGGTGGGCATTGATCACACCAATATGCTGTTGGGGTGTTACATGGAGTCCACATCCGGACGTCATTTCGTCGGGAAGTTGTCCGACGGACAGTCGGACAAGGTGCGGATATAGATAACCCGTAGGACAGCCGACCGTTCGCTACAATTCACTGGAACTTATCTTGCCGACACATTCTCTTTCTGGGTAATAACGCTCGGAATTATATCACGAACTTGGAGGAATTCTTTGCACAATGGCCAAAGCAGCTACAGACATTTCTTCAGGTCCCGACCTAGACAGTTCGATTTCGATTTCAAAAGATGCAGATATTCCCCCAGTATCTACCACACATGTCGAAGATGCGCCGGTCAAGTTTGATGGCCCGCTGAGCCGCGATGTAGACGTCGCTATGGCTTTGTTCGACCACCCGGGCCAGATCCACGGACCACGAGATCCAGTGGAAGAGCGTCGGCTTGTGCGGAAGATTGATTTCATGATCCTACCTTACCTTGCTGTTTGCTATGCGTTCTTCTACATCGATAAGACCACGCTCTCATATGCTGGTATGATGAGGTTTTATTGAGTCAGAATATGGCAATAGCGACGTAATTGACTGAACGCAGCAATCTTTGGTATACGAGAGGATCTTCACTTGAAAGGGGCCGAGTACAACTGGCTGAGTTCCATGTTTTACTTCGGGTTCCTGTTCTGGGCATTCCCCACAAACTTCCTCATGCAAAAGTTTCCTATTGGTACATCCTCACACGTCGCCCAGATGCCACATATCTGCTAATTTGTCCATAGGGAAGTACCTGGGCATTAACATCTTCATGTGGGGTAGGAGCCAGCCACACCTCCCTGAAGTTTATCGTAACTTATGAGCTAACCCATTCCAGGCTTCTTCCTCATGCTCCAAGCAGCAGCCCACAGCTTCGCCAGCCTCATGGCCCTCCGCTTCCTTGCTGGCGCCGCCGAAGCGTGCTCCGACCCGTCATTCATGCTCATCACCAGCATGTGGTACACACGCAAGCAACAGCCCGTTCGCATGGGCCTATGGTACATGGCCAACGGCTTGGGCATCGCCCTTGGCGGCCTCCTCGGCTACGGCATCGGGAATATCAGGGGGTTTCTCCCGTCATGGAAATACGAGTTCCTCATTATTGGTGCACTCTGCTGCATTTGGGGAATCGTGATAGTTCTTTTTCTCCCGGACTCGCCCGTTAGCGCAAAGGCGCTGACCAAAGCGGAGAAACGTATGGCGGTCCAGCGACTACGGGAGAACCAGACTGGTATCGAGAATAAGCACCTCAAGGCCTATCAAGTGCGCGAGGCCTTCCTGGATATCAAGTTATATCTCTTCTTCGTTCTGGGCATCGTATGCAATGTACCCAATGGGGGCATATCCAACTTCGGCACGCTGATCATCAAGGGCTTTGGGTTCAGCACGCTCGTCACGACGTTAATGCAGGTCCCGTATGGGGTGCTCATCGCGATCTGTATTCTGGTCTGCGTATATCTCAACGACAGGTGTGAGAACAAGCGGTGCTTGTTCATTCTCATATTCCTGTGTCCGAACATTGCTGGGGCTTTTGGGTTGCGGTATCTAGATGCGGGGAACCAGGCTGGGAGACTTGTGTCGTATTATCTAACGGGGCCGTATAATGCGGCGTTTGTCATGATTCTTTCGTTGCAGGTCGCCAATACGTCGGGACATACGAAGAAGGTTGTTACAAATGCGGTGTTGTTTCTTGGATATTGCATTGGAAATGTATAACCCTTTTCACGACCTCATCCAAGCTCTCTGACTGACCACTCTTCCAGATCATCGGCCCCTTTTTCTACTTGTCCAATCAAGCTCCGCATTATGAATTGGGAATATGGTCCATCATTTTGTCGCATCTTCTCGAAGCCTGCATCATCGTCACATTCTGGATTATGATGAGTCGCGAGAATCGGCGCCGCGACAAGATCCAGTCTGTTATGGTCGGAGGTCTAGAGGGCAGAGATCTAGATGCCACAGCGTTCTTGGATATGACGGATCGGGAGAATCTAAATTTCAGATACATTTACTGAAGTAGATGTATCATTAAAAACGAGGGAGATATTTACTTGATATATCTAGTGACACAATTGGCTCGATACAGCGAAGAGAGATGAGATTATCCCGGTCTTGGTCACAGTGATCATCGAATGTGAATTTGCGCATGAAATTCTTCATTCTGGTCACCACAGCTCATGATGCAGTGGATAGCTTATTTTGTTCGAGCATGGCATACTTAGGTGTCGATATTGGCTTCGTGATGAGTTGAACCCCCGAGCTATTGGTGACCGACAGGGAAGAAACACATATTCTCAAGGCAATGCAATGCTACCTCTATGCAACTGAGAGACAAGGCTACACAGAAGAACTGGACCAGAAAGCTCTAGACACCAGGGATACTCAGTTTGGGAATTTTTAGGGCTAGATTCTGCTATGCACCGTGCATTTCGCTTCATCCGGCATTTCTCCTCTTATGTCATCTGCCCGCAATACATTACGAAGTTACCCTTATCTCTACGGGGTTTCCCTTTTAGTTTCCTTCTCACGTATATGTCAGTTGATTCTCTTTTCTGGAAAGTGGTCAAATTAATATTAGCTTGGACGTGTGGGCACATAAAGATGGACTAGCTAGACTATTATGGCAATCTGAAGCAACAAGCGGATACTATGGATCCAGTATGGTCACAATTTGAATATTTCTCATACTAGTTATCGGAAGTATTGCAAGCCATGACAAAGCATAGAATCGAATTTGTCTCTGGACAATCCATAATTATCAAGAGAGCAATGGGCCATGAGTGCCTTCTAAGTACATGAAATCATGTCAAACAGCGAATTACTGTATCGGAGCTGATAGTGCGGCTGATCGGCGTGGCCAAAGACACTGGAAGGTCCGGTCAAGTGGCTGTTATAGTTGAGAAACTGTAAATCAGCCGTCGTGCACCAAAGAGCCACGAAAAGGGCTGGTGCGGTCCGACACTAGTCTCAGTCGAACCTTTCAACACGCCCCCTGTCCCCTGTCCTTCGTTCCCCTTTCTTGACTGCACTACCATCCCATGAAACTACTTCACCGCGTGGTTACAATTTCCTACCATAGCACTTTTCTGGATCCACATTAACTGTGGCCGGGAGAAAAAACAAAGAAGAGCAAATCTCGCCCTCGTGTCGAAGCACAGGGGCATGGGATCACGGTATTTCACGAAGTGAGTTTAATTATATGTTTCCGGAATGGTTTTGGTCGGTTGAAAGGTGGTTGGTGGGTTTGGACACGAGCTATGAACACCATTAGTGTAAATAACACATTTTACTCGGCCTACCATATAGTCTAACTTTCAATCGATGAATTGATATAGGGGTTGAACTGTAACCGAACGCAGATGAGTTCTAAATATGCGTGTGATCCCCAATTTTTACTATATCCCAGTATCATAAATGCTTGATACTGTACAATACTAATCATTGTATCATAAGCCTGCGTAATAGCCTTAGTTCCGCTCTAATTTTCCCTGAGTCATTGATCTCGCCTGCTCATTGTGTGTTTTACCTACCTTAAAACCAATTACTTGGCTGCATCTCTCTCACGACCCTGCCAAAGATACCATATATCTTTCCACTAATTCAATTCTATAAATCTAGCCCGCAATGTGGTAGTACCTCGTTCCATCATACTCAAGAATAACCTCTTTCTCCATCGTCTCAACGTCAACGATGACCTGCTGCCACAAGTTCACTTCGTAGGTTCCGCTCACAGCCCCCGGCATCACCTGTGCACATAGATATCCATTATGACCGCCTTGAGGCCTGATCACATTTCGATGGGCTTCGTTCACTGGCTGTCTACTGCCCACGGCATCTTCGGGGCAGAGTACGACGGCCAACTGCTGCTTGCTGGTGTCCAGTATACCAATGGCACCGGAATCGTTGCTAGGCGACGAAGGATTCCAACTGATAACCATGCCTGGGCGTATACGCTTTCGCCAAGGCAGCGCCACGGCGGCAGGGTCTGGGTCACGGCTCGAGGGTCTGCTGGTGACAAGTGGTGGGGCCATTCCCACCACCATCGAGTTGATTTCCCCTTCGCTGTTGCTACTGCTACCAGTCGCCTTCGTTTTCACTGACAAAGGAACGGAAACACGCAGCATTTCAGCATAGCGCAGTGTATTCTTGCTGGGGCCGACATCGGCTAGACTCGGGTTCACACAGGCGACAACGACCGTCTTAGTCTTGCCAGCGGTGGCAACAGGATCGAAGACATGTTTGAGGACCTTGGTCAGCGTGCTCTGCCGGAAAGGCACATGCGGTGGTTTCTTCTGCCGCTGGGAGTTGGGACCTTGAGATGCAGAAGAAGCAAGGGCGTCGGCCTGTGCCTTACCACGAATGCAATCCTTGAGAACCGACAAACTAATATTAATTTCGCGCGTTTCGCGCATCCGGTCGGCACCGTGGGATGCCACGTCACGGGCGGCTTCGGAGCCCGCAAGATCAATCAGGTAGAGGAATCCGTCGCTGGTCCCGTGACTCCCACCAGACGGTTGGTCTGGGGTGCTGATTCGGAGGAGACAGATGCTGTGAGTACGCGACGAGACGTCATTTTTGAGCGTAGGTGCTGTGCGCCGGAATGATGCCGCCCGCTCAATTAGGCCCGCCGCGGAATCGTCTCCTCCCTCCTGGACTAAGAGGTGCTCCTCCGCGCCCACTAGCTGCGTGACGCCGAATGAGTCTTCGAGGATCGAGATGGGCTTGCGGGAGCTTAGTAGGTCGTAGGCCAAGTTCCCGGCTAACTCGATAATGGTCATGTAGACTTTTCGTCTGTCGGATTTTCCCTCCCCTCTGCGCATCAACGACGTGACCGTGAGCTGCTCCAGTCCGCTGATGGTGGTGGTTTTCCCCGAGCCTGTCTGGCCGTAGGCGAAGAGCGTCCCGATGCCTCCGTTCCACGCGAATGAGACCAGGTCTTCCACTTGTCTGTCGTAGATTTCCCGTGTGGTCGCCTCAGGACCGAACAGTCTGTCCACCTGGTAATTGAAGGACTTGAGGATGGGCCGTCCCCTCGGATGGTGGTAGAGATCATGCACGTCGACCACGCCTGTCTCATCGGCGCGCGGAAACACGGCGCAGGGGAAGCCCGAGGTCAGTCCTTCGTCGAGAAGAGGCCGTATCCTGACGCTCACAACTATGTCTGGACTGGGCGTCTCGGTGCTCTCGCCGCCTCTTGTGTAGCTCACAGCCGGCGACGGCTTGAATCGCTTGACCAGGGTCTGGTACAGAGCTACGTTGTCCAGGAGAAATCTCTCCATTGTAGATTGATCATGTTTCAAAACAGAATTTCTTTGAAGACTTGATTGTAACCTAGAACAGCTCGTTTTTTATGTTTTCCGGCTCGTAAGTGTAACATATCTACAGTACAAGGGTGCTGCCTAAATATCAAAGTAGACCATTCAGCTCAGTCCGCGTACCGTGTTTTGTTTGGGTCCGGCATGTCCCGTCCTGGTGCCTGCGCTACGCGAGCTTCCTCTGTGGCTGTAAATCGTGCTTGGCATGCTACAGGAGGGAGGTAATTCAGTGCCGAAATGGGTTAGTCCGACATCGCATTACTCCGTGCCCGTTCTCACCATCCTGCTGCCTTGGTCGACGGCCGCCAGGGAATGGGCTGGGGTGTATCGTCGTAGGAAAAGGTTGGTCGTAAAGCTAGGAAAATACTTTTTGGGAACAGAGGTATCATGCCGGGCCCGAAACATTAACTAGATAGTTGTTGATGTAACAAGGCCTGTCAAGATCAGAGGTATCCTTTCTTATGTATTCACCCAATCTTCCTTTCGCATAAAGCCATCTTCCGAAGTAGAGTGCTCTACAGGAATTTCACCTTGTATTTTGCATTGAGTCAAATAGTGTCAATTTGAACAACGCTTCGACATACCGAAAGGCAAGCTGACTGATTTGTAACTCCAGTGGCCGAGCACAATTGTCTTGGGGGCCAAACGATAACCAGAGCTGCTGGTGTACCACCATACAAGCATATTTGGCAATAATACCACAGGAAAAACGCTCTGATTTCTTCTTCATTGTGACCATATAGACAATTTCGACTCCTGTATAGACTCTTCTCTATTAGTCCTACCGTAAGGATCAGGTGGAATCTGGGCCGCGCGATGTGTAATCTGGCTTGATAACAGGATCCTGTTCCTTTGCTGCTTTGGCGTTGACCAAATCCTCTTGGTACGGTTTCCGCCCATAGATCACATACCTGCATATGTGGAATCAGTGCTGGAGAACACAACAGTAATCAAGAGCGACTAGTGTTGACTGACCAGGGTGCGTATGAATGGACGCTCGTGTCCGCGATATTCCTCCTGACCCCATCCAGGAAGTATTCTATCTCGGGCTCCGTCATGCCTGTCGCCTTGAGAAATTTAGCGGAACTATACGTAGTTTCCGTGAAGTTTGCTTGCGAGTATCTTCCGATTTGATTGTCTTTCGGGTCTATTGCCCACGGGTTAACCCTGCACAAAGCCGTCAGTTCACCGCTTCTTCACATCTAGATTACTGAGGATGTCATGGACTAGGCCTTGCAAAGAGGGTCGGATAGGGGCCGTGACGTACGGGCCAAGAATTTGTCTCTCGACTACATCAACAAAGCCTGCTTCGATGATCCAGTATTTGTATTTGCGGGCAAGATCGATGTCCCGACCGAAGCTTGCAGCGCCTCTAACAAGGCGCCGCATGTATTCCCGGAAGCTTCGGGGGTTGTTTTGGATGGCAAGCTCGCTGGCTTCATCTACGGCAATCTGCTCAAAGCAGAACTCCTGGTGACTTGTGTTGGTTCGAACTGGGACTATGACGATTTTGGAAGTTCCACATACCTGGTACTCGATCCAACCACCTGGTCGGAGGTGATCAAAGATCTTCTTCACCATGCCTTTAGGGTCGTCAAAACACGAGGTCCTAGAAAGTAGCCTTGTAGGTCCACAAAGTAGGATGAGGCAAGATTTACTGCTTACTTACATGAATCGCAAGTGAATATAGTCGAATGGGAAATCGAATACCCAATTCTCCTCGGCGTCTTCGCGAAAGAACTGACAGTTCGGTGGGATATTTTGAGGCTGTATGAGACTCAGGTCGGTGCCTATGACATTCGATTTAGGATTGCTGTCCGCAAACTCAACCGCCCAGATGCCTGTGCCAGTGCCAATGTCCAAGACATTAGCAGGCTCCGAAATTGGCGCCCAGGCGAGATCACCCTTCATCAAGAGGAGCAAGAGGTAGTGTTGAAAGTCTGCACACTGTTAGCAAGAGAGGCGACCGCGGCTAAGTTGACCTTTTTGTACCTAATCGATCTTGCTCGGGCTTGGAGAATTGGTCAGCTACCACATCGAACTTGATGCTATTGGACTTACCCCGTCATTCGGAAAATAATATTCTGTACCGTAGTAAGCCTGGAATCTGAGCCTGAAATATGGGCATATACTCACTTCCGATTCTGTATCCATTGAATGTCCTTCCGTCCTCCTCAATTGATGCTGGATCTGCATGTGTCTCGCCCCTTCACGAATTCGTTTAGAGACCCGCGTTTGATCAGGGATTGGCAATTGCCTACGTAGGTACTTGGGAAGAATGTCTCAATCCAGATGAACCCGATCCAGAATCTCTAGAGTTAACTGAGGAATTGCGACCGGCCGAAGACATGTCGTTTTCTCGATAAAACGGCCATATAATGACTGGAGTTGACAGTGGACAGGCCACAGGAATGTGAAATTGACGAGAGAAAGAACATACGAGACACAGAATTGCGAAATATCACTCAACGTGGGATTCCCGGGGCATATATTGCGGGCGGCATGGTGACATGGTAGCTAGGGTGGATCGAACGTGCATATGGCTCCAGGGTTGGTTCATTTCCGATTGGCCTCGAAGCAAGTAGCGCATATACCCAGTAATAGCTACGAATTATGCGCTTCCACGGCCAGGTTCTATCGAAATCATCTCAACCGGTCCAGCCTCTGCACAGGTTGGTTGCTATCCTCACAATGAATGACAGACAGTATGGTTGCTCAAGAGTTGAGTGAAATTATTTGACTACTTGTGCAAATTGTATAGCATTGATGCGTGTTGATCTATATAGATCCTTTTCTTCCCAAGACTGTACTGTGGCCATAAGGGCCTTATGCAATTAGAAATGAACGATGTCTGCCCCACAGGCAATAATGATGTGGTACGCTGGGTGGTGCTCATATGGCCTCACAAACTGGCAATTCGGTGTGACGGCCTTGAAGGTCCAACAGAAATCCTAAGTAGATATCCTCGTCATGAAGTTGCGTCTTGAAGCTCAATGCTTCAATATTCCAAGCTCGCCACAGTAGTTGGCACGTCAAAGCTTTATACGATGGAACCTACTATAGAAAATATGTAAGTGCCATACATTGTTTATCCGCATTGCCCAAGCGGAAAGTTGACGAGCTCTCTATGAGATTTCATGAAGTTAACTAGCGGCGGAAGGTAACAAGGATACCCTTGTCACTACACAAGATCCTGATTGGATTGGTATCTGTACGGGGTTTTATAGCAGGACACTTCTTCATATATAGTATGTAAGCTATGTCCTAGAGTATATCGGTGAACATAGAGGGTCTTAAAGGGAGGTTGTTTCCTGGTTAGGTATTCGATCTGCCGTACGCGATGTAATTTTCCATCAGAAAAGAAGATATATAGTTGCATAGATCTACCCTCCACTTTATAATCACAATTCTCCGAATACTACAGAACGTGTGGTATGCTGGGAGTTAAATCTCACCACACACACCATCCCAGAAACATCAGGCCTTGACAAACTTGAGATAGAAAACGCAACTATTGCCTCCTTCAACCGAAAACCATGACCACCAGCTCAAGCCACCTGCGGTTCCCGATCCCCGGTCGGCCCATGCAACTTCGCTAGCCAAGTCCCTACCATCAACTTTCTAATTCTCTTCCCAAAAACCATAAACACAATAACAAACACATTATTCACCACAAGCACCGAGCCAAATATCCCCGCAATAACAACCGCATACCCCCTTTCCAACACCCAGTTCAACAAATCAAGCGACAACCCAAAGCTAATGGCCTGCTTCCCCAAATTCATTGCAATCAGCATTTCGCTGGTATTGGCCTGATATGAGTCCACAGCGTAGGCGAGGGCAAAACTGAAATAGAAGTAAGCACCCCATGAGGTTATGGCGGATCCAGCAAAGAAACCCATCCAATGCAGATTCAGCTCGGCGGTCAGCCCATAGAGGATAAGTCCCGCGGGCGCAATGATGGCGGCGGGGAGCATGACGCCGAGGCGCATTTCGGCTTCGCGGATGCCGTTTTTGCGGCGGGTGAAGTAGGTGGCTAGACGATCCGATGTCGAAGTGAAGGGGACGGCGAGAAGAAAACCGATTAAGGAGGAGAGGGCGATTAGACCGGAGTTTTCCTGATGGAATATGTGCTCAGAATATTGTTCCTAATAGAGAGAGAGAGAGAGAGAGAGAAGGGCCGCAAGGTAGTATACCTCTGTCCAGTTGTAAGGTGGAGCCGTGATCTTGATAGGGAACGTAAAATTAAACGCGAATGCTCCCAAGCCGATGTATATACCGAACGAAGTAATAACCCAGAACACCTGGGGCACCAGGAGGTACGTGAATGACCTGGCCATTGTCATGAAGAAAGGCACCGAATGGTCGACTCTTCCCCATGGGCGCAGAGTCTCTAAAAACGACTTTCGAGGCGGGACACTCGGTTCTGAGGGGGTCGTCTGCTCTTGCAACTCCGTGATGGGCTTTTCGTTGCGAACAGACCCACTGCCTTCATCTGGCAACGATGGGTTCGCCGCAACATGCGTCTTTCTATCGTAGGATGTCTCCTCGACGAATAAAAGTGCGAGGACAAAGAGAGCTAACGCGAAGGCGAGGATGATGTAGAAGAAAAGACGCCATGAGTAGGGCTCGATAAGCATGTGGGCCGCAGGCAAGGGGGCAATCGTACCCAGACACAAGGCAACTGTCTCCAGTCAGTATTCATGTTGAGTTGCCCAAGCTGTCAATGGCAAAAATACAGGTATAGTAGCCAATTCTCTTCCCGCGCTCATGTAGGAAAAATATGTCGTTCACCAGCTGCACTGGGATCGCTTCACAGATTCCGGCTCCAAAGGCGTGGAATACCCGTGCTATCATGAGTCCGCGGTAGTCATGGGCTTGTGATGCGCCTATGAGACCCGCAATGAACTGGTTTCAAACTCAGTTGGGCTCTTGACCATCATTCTGGTGCACCATCTCAATCCAGGGGGCTACTCACAAGCAACATGGATCCAAGCATAACTGGTCGCCGTCCAAATTTGGGATACATGGGCACGAGAAACAAAGACCCGAACCCAAATGCAAGGTTTGGGTATGAGATCAACCCCGATGCCCGCGAAGGGGTGACCCCGAATTGTTGCGAAAAGAGCGTGATATAAGGTGCCGGTCCGAGGAGAGCCGAGTTTCCTATGAACGAGTAGGTGCAGCAAATGACCAAGATCATCGACTTCTTGAACGGGACCCACTGAACGAGCAATTAGCCCAGTTGTGTTTTTCATTCTGCAAAGACGCTTTCATACTTGTAACGGATCATTGGGATCTTCCGCCGGCACTGGATATAATGCCTGCCCGTACGCCGTGTCATCGCCCTCTGTTCGACGCCGGATTCGTCAGAGTTGGCAAGATTGAGCAAACTACGCGAATTTCTCACCAGCAGCTCGGAGATCGACCGTCCCTGGGATCGCGCCTTCGTGAGCATGACTATTGGATGACAAAATATGAGCAGTGAGTTCCCCGCGTGGTGAAGGATTGGAGACAACCTACCTATGGACTAGATGCCTGCTATGTTCCGGCTGGTGCGTCGCTGCTGAACCGGTCTCCATCTTGACGGCAAATTGAATACTTCAAGTTCCAGTAAAACCAGGAAGAAACGAGAATTTATTTCTTCGGAAAATCTTGGGTCGAAAACCGTATCGATCTTTAGCAACAGCAACTCAAGCCAGTTTTGTAGATGCGCCTAGGGTTCGGTTGGGTTACATCCTGATGCACGCTATATCCGGCAAATGTCTAGAGCATGGGGTACATCGCAGATTTGGCGCGAGGCAGGCGGGTCTGGAAACGCCCAGGCTAGAATAGTTGAGAACGGCAGTTCTTTTTTCAGCGTCGTCTTGCATCCGGACCAGTAGGCTTCGTTTTTCAGTGAGTGTCTCAGATCATAAGCGGTACTACTGTTGCATACTTCTGCATACTAAAGGTTTTGCACGTCCCCGGTAGCCTGGTTGGACTAGTGCTCCGTGATACGATGTGTACAGCTATATCTTGTTAGCAATGTAGAAATGAAACAAATCCTACGAAGGGTACGACCTACGGTTAAATATACTGCAAATATGACCCTCAGAGTCAGGTTATTATGGCGTGAGAACACGGGCCCTTCACCATGTCACTTGAACGAGCCTTATTAACTGACTGCTGTGGCTCTCAGGCCCATTGCAAAGGTTTGGCCCCATAACAACCTGAAAGAAATTTGGGGCAGCAGTGTCGAAAAAGTGATGAAGTTCGTCTGTGTTTTTCCAGTTTCCAGCACACGGTACCTGTAGCAAGGGTCCTCGAGATAATCTGCCAGATACGGTCCTCGCATGCTTACCGGGATAATGCAAGTAATTTAATCCCTTGTCAATTACAGCATACCAAAGAATTGAGTATCATTGTAGCTGCATGCATCCCGTGTCAAAGCTTAGAGAACTCGCTAATTGGCTTGCCTGAAGGGAACAAATTTAGGCTGATAAAGAGTTAACGCTAGTGTCGCTATAAATTGCAAAATATGGTACAATCTGGACGGTCAGGAAATGATCACGATCTTGGATTTCAGGTCTCATTGGCCGTACCAGAAATACGAGACCCCGACTGCAACTCGTAAACTAATTATTAAGACTGTCAAAAATAATCCTAATGGTCTATCACACTGCACGATTCGGAGCCATCCTGGCATTGAGTTTCTCTTTTCATTGGGTAACGGTTACGATATCCAGTAGGATGTCTCGGTCGTCAAGCCCTATCGCCGTCCCTCGTGGCCATTCAGAGTTATGTAGGTTCGTAGTGATAGCTTGCTCAATGATGTTGATACAACCCAACTTTCATGGGTTCTAATATCAGCAGCCGGGGAATTTTGAATGGGCGTCTTTAAATGTGCAGAATGCCGCCGAACACCGCTGATACCCATGGACAGGGCATTTCGCTGTAATCGTCAGTACTGTCAGGGTACGGCTAGGCCGAAGGCAATAGTACAGAGTGATGGGGAGTAACGGGCGTCCCTCCTACGTAGCACCGGGTGGTCACTGGCGGTCTCAGGTAGGGGTGCCCACGGTGATGCATTGATCTCTGCTCCTTCCATATCCTACTTCGAGATGGTCCTTATATAGATAGCTAGGCCGCCGCTTGGACCCGGCATAACAGCAGGGTCGGCGATGCCAAGGATCTTGACTCTCGTCATCCCAAAGCTTCACATAGATTGTAATCATGACTCGGGAGTCTTTTGTCCGAAACACCCCTCCGGCGCCCCACCGGTGTCTTGCGTTCAGTGTCCTGACACCCACTGGTGCCTATGGCATTCTGTTCTCTGACAAGTACCAAGACCTCACGACTTCCATCTACATCATCACGGCTCGTTTGAATGCAACAAGGCGGGAACCGGGAACGGATATGGCGGTGAGAAATATGAGTGTTACTCGGGTCGATTCTAAAGCCGTTTGTCAGATAAGCCATACTGGTTATAGTGAAATATGACTTTATCGACGTTGAGCTGATTCATCTGTACGCAGGAGCCCAAGTGAGATTTCTCTTTCCAACATCGTGGGCCTCCCACAGTCAATGCATCGTTAGGACTAACAAACATCAATTGGGGTTTGTTCGTTTGAGGCGGGATGTGAGGGTCCCCATCGGCTACACACATAGTTTGCTTGCTTGGGTCAAGCAGATGATGCTGTGAATCTTGTTTCTTGCACCCAAGACCCCTAGTGCTGGCCATTTTTCTTACATAACGCCTATCACATTGGATGTTTTTGTAGAGACTATCGGGCACTTTGAAACAGTACGACCAGCATCATAACCGATATCTCGTATAATAGTCGAGGGATCAATTCACACGGAATGTGACAATAAAGAGTTGTTCCTCGTGTAACGAATCTTGATCAATATATTGCGAATGGGTCATATGTTTATAAGTTCCTTCAGGTCGTTCTCTGTTACTGCAATGAGAACTGGAGTGCTCAACTTCAATCCAAATTGCACGTTCGGAGGACGCAATAATTGAATCGCACCTTCATTGCCGTTATCACGCCAAAACATTATTCATTTTCTTGTCCCATCATCCACATCAAAAAACCAGAAGAGACAATGGCAACTCCCACCGCCCCCCTTAGTTCGCTCATTGACCGCAAGGTGAGCGCCTTGACGAATTCCCTCAATAAAGTCAATGTCGAAGCCAAACCAGCCTCGGGCTTCATCGACACAGAGGAAGCCCTCACGGAAGTCCTCAACAGTCTCGAAGGTCTCCCAACCAATCCACCATCACTATACGTCGATCTCGAAGGCGCCAATCTTTCCCGCCACGGCACTATCTCGATCATGCAACTTCTCATTCATCCACCAACAAGACGCACCTCATCGACATCCACACGTTCCAAGGCAAAGCCTTCACCACAGTAGGAGACAAGATCGGCCTCTCACTCAAAGACATCTTAGAATCCGGCACCATCCCCAAGGTCTTCTTCGATGTGCGCAGAGACTCGGATACCCTCTTCAGCCACTATGGCGTCCGTCTATCTGGCATCCAAGACCTCCAGCTCATGGAGCTCGCCACGCGGGCCTTTGGACGACGATACGTCACAGCTTTGGCGAAGTGCATCGAGAAAGATGCCAACTTGAATTACACCGAGAAAAAGGCTTTCACTCAGGGCAAGAGCAGAGGCAAGATGTTGTTTGATCCGCAGCTGGGTGGTTCGTACGAGGTGTTCAGTCAGCGGCCCTTGTCGGAGGAGATCCTGAAGTACTGTACCAACGATGTCAAGTTCCTGCCCCGACTGTGGTCAATCTATGACCGGAAACTTACGGTCGCGTGGAGAGAGCGCGTTCGGGTTGCGACAAATGAGCGAGTGGCTCTGTCGCAGGGGGTGATGTTCAATGGGCAGGGGCAGCACATGGCCTTGGCGCCGGTGGGATGGAATGAAATGCGCTGAGATGCTGGATTCCCAGTCGCATAGAATTCTCTTTTACGCGAAGATTGAAAGCCCTCGATGACTGTCATGTTATGGCTGTTGGGTCTGTGGACATCTGAAAATTATGCCAGTTTTATCAACTTATGAAGAGGGCTTGGCAATGTGGAGATTACAATGCGAAATATGCTGTTTGAAGATATCGTCATATTGAACACTTTTGATGGACTTATTTCAATAGCGAGCAGAGCAGAAATACGATGCCAGCATGTTCTAATCTCTTAACGAATCGTTCCAAACAAGTACACATTCAACATGATTCATTGATTCGTACTCTTTCATAGTCCAAACGAATGAGAGCCCTCTTCGCCAAATTCCCAAACAATAAAAACATATTCCTCCTTGTCCATAAATAACATAAATCATCGCTTCGTACTCCGCCACAGTTTGAGATACTCCGTATAATGCAGACAAAAGAGATATCCACCACGCCACTTTGCGCTCCACTCACCCCAGAAGATCAAGGGCGTTGTGACTGCTGACTCGGGCCTGAAATCGTGCCGTAATTTTTAGGTTTCGGTGGTCCCCGGTATCTTTTCGAAGGACCATGCCACCGCTTCGGCTTCCGCACCGGGATCCGGATCTCAGGCCGCGAAGGGCCAAGAAGAGCAGTCCCCTCTTCAACATCACCGCCTCTCAGGTTGCAGCGGCCCTTACCTTTAACCAAAGCTCCTGGCATGGCCACAAGCCCATAGAATAGATAGACTAGGTCGAAGAGAGCAAGCGCCGCCATGCCGATGTACGACATGGGGCTGCCGCCCAAGCCGAACAAAGTGTCCCCAATGGCAGCAGCAGATAGGATAACAAAACCAAGACCGATGCTCGTGTAAGTGATGCCCACGCGTCGCTTTATCATGACTCGTTCCTCGATGATCATTCCAGATAAGAGGAAGGCCAGGATCAGAAGCGGGGTGTAGATGACGTACCAGAAGATGGTCTGCTCGAGCACCTCTGCTGGGGAGCGTTGAGCTACGTTTGGTAGAGTAAACAGTATCGCCAGATGAAGGAGACTGCAGAAGCCTGCCAGGGGTAACCCGAGAAGGAATCCAGTCGACGGCATGATTGGATAAGCATCCTTGTAGCCCTCCAAAAAGCCCTGGTCATTGAGTTTTGCGTTCTTCTGTGCCACGCTTTCCACTGTAGCTACGACTTCCGCTGTAGCTACGCATTCCGCTGTAGCTACTCTTTCTGCTGTAGCTACGCTTTCCGCTGTAGATACGCTTTCCGCTGTAGATGCGCCTTGCACTGCAGTGGATTGTTCCGCACTGGATGCGAGGAGCGGAGTAGAAGCAAGTGCATCGTCCTGGTGACCCGCTTCAATTTGGCTTTCCGCTGGCCCCCTTTTCAATTTCAACCATAACTGCTTAAGCAACGTTGGTGTTCTCAGTGGCGGGAAAATCCAAAGACGTGTTGAGCGAGCCCTCGTCTCACTCGTGGGAGTGGGTTTGGGGTCTCGAGCTCTACACAAGTAGTTCAGGAGCGGCCCAAGAGGCGCTGCAAGAAGGACAAGAACGAGAATCTGACCAAAGGTCCAACTCATGACTTCGAAGCCTCCGAGATGGGAGATCTGAATGAATCGCAGCAGGATCCAAGTGAACAAAGCCATGACACAGAAGACTCCAGCTAGAGCTGAGTTAATGAGGTCGGCGTACATACGCAGCACCAGCCAAAAGCCCAAAGCGGGACGGACGACAAAAAGGATGTACCGCTGTTCGCAACGAATGCAGGCCACCAAGCCCGTTTCGCTTAGTAGTGAAGTCTCCATTGCCCCTTGGTAGTAATCACGCCACTTGAACAAGGTGCTGCCTGGTCTTTCGCAAAGCTTCAACACTGTGGTCAAAAAGACTATAACGACAAGGGCGACGAGGAGGGACCGTAAAGCGGGTGTAGAGTTCGTTTCAAAGCGGAGGTCGTGATGGGGGAAGAAGCAGAGGACGTTGGCGGCAAGTATTTCCTTGGAGTTCCCCTTCTCGGTGGCGAGGAGGTCCTTCACTGTCGATGTTGGCACCATGGAAATCCCGAGAATAGCAACCAGACAGAAGAGGAGACACAGCCTCCATGTTCGCTGGCCGGGGTTTTGGGTGTAGTAGACGCGCAGACATAATATGGCTGACAGATTCGTGACGACCGAGAACCATCTGTTAAACATTAGATGAAGTATTGCTGCTGTAGGCTCAAGTTATCACTTACACCAGGCCGACGATGAGCCACCATTGATACACTGACAATGCACCAGCCAGGGACATGTAAGCGTATATAAGAACTGCAAATCCCAAGCAGAGCTGAACGTCACCCATGATCAGGACACACTATCAGCATACGTCAGTGACCGATGCAGCAACTCGTTTCCACTCGGACGAAGGAAACCCACTTGATCAAGCGCATCTCGCAGCTTGGGCTTGGCAAGCCACTGCAGCCCCATCCCCAAAAGCCCAAACGGCTTCCGGATTTCCTCCAAGAAGAGGACATCAATCGGGTTCGCGCATGGCCGGCCATCCTCCCGAGTGTTGAAGAAGCACAAATACTGCAGCAATAACGCCGCGATAGAGATACAGGCGGATCCGCCGAACGCAATCAAAGTCTGATAATCACATGTGAGCCGGACAAGATCATCAACAACGATAAGATAAAAAACTTACACCGGCACCCACGACATCGGGATTCTGCCCAACCCGTGGCGGGAGTTTCTCACAATCCCAAGTAGACATCACCCTTTTAGTAACCCAGGGGCGCCTTCGGATTACGAGACCAGCTGAAGAGAGAAGAAGCATCCATTTCAAAGATGTATTTTATTTTGCTTCCACCTTAAAAGAAAAAAAGAAGACAAGGGACGACAGAAGAAATATCCAGATAGGCGAAAGAACGCACTGGTCACCGCGGGTGACGTGACGTGCCAAAGTGGACCGGCGGTGTAAAGTCGTGGTTCCGCGCCATAGGTTCTTGACAGGGTGTTGGCAGCGCGCTAGCGAGGGTGACCGGGTCCATTGGGGTCCATTGAGGCCCATTGTGGTATGCGCAGGGGCATGATAGGCACCCATGCGTTGGCCTTAACCCACTTGGGCCTTGTCGCTTTGTCTAATGGAAAGGTTGGAATGCAGAAGTGAGGTATTTGAGGTTGGTATTATGACGAGGATTGCGCAGTAGTTCGTGTTGATGGAGGGGTAACGGTCCATTTCTAGTAAATCAGGGACTGCCATGATTCTGGTGGTTGGTTCAAGACGTCGTGTTTGAGACACGATCATCGAACCGAAAGTTGGGGAATGGGCCAAATCGATATAGAGTACTTAAGCTATGTCGGCAGCAGCAGCAGTAGTAGAGCCACAAGGATGGGAATGAGCTGTGCACCGGCAAAAGGGCCAAAGTCTTGCCAGACCCACACAAGGAATGATTGCACAGAGAGAAGAGGTGTGTGGCAACAATGAACGCTGGCAGGGACCCGGGCCTTCCGGGATGCTTATTCGACCGGGCGCGGCAATACGAGTATACTGAGCTGGCAGTCTCAAAGTCCTGGAATCTCATTGGGCCACGGTCCTACTCCACCTTGCGAGCAGAACGTCTCCGCTGCTGTATATACTTTTTATGCAAACTATTGCGCCACATTCCTTGAGAACCAGCCCAGCCACCTGAGGAGCAGGCATGTTGTCTGGGTGCCCAATCAGGATTCAACAGTAGAGGATCAGAAATGAGCCTTCTTAGCCTGAGTTATTTTCACCAACCACATTCGCACAATCGATCCAGAGGAACAACCACAGACCACGGGTTCGACTCGGGTTGTGCACGTTGCACTCTCACTCTAGGTCTCATAAATGTGAATTCATAAATGTGAAGACGCTCAGTGAATCACCCCTACCTTACGCCATCTTGTCACACACGTGGGGCCATGACGAGTCACAAGACTTGGGCATAGCATCCAAGAAAGGTTGCTTCGACAAGATCATAGCCACAAGCCCGCAGACCATGGATGGCGGGTCGGGGTACGCGTGGGCCGACACCAATTGTATCGACAAAAGCAGTAATACAGAGTTCTTCGAGGCCATCAACTTGATGTTCGTCTGGTATGCACACTCGCATATGTGTTTTGGAGTATGTTACCCCTGTTTGGGCGTCTGGGGCTTTCTCGTTCAATAGCGATGCGTACGACGAATTCAAGAACGGTCGTTGGTTCACTAGCAGCTAGACGCTGTAAGAGCTATTGGCTCCCCCGCGGTTGTATTTTACACGAGAGGATGGACTTGCTAAGCCACTAAGTCCAAGTGGCCTCCAGAGTTTCCCACATCACCACCATGAGCGACAATTTTGTGTCCATTTGTCAGAATATATCTGCGGCGACCACCGCAAAATGCATGTCCTTGTTCGGCTACAGCCAGCGAGCGTGGAAAGAGGATGAGCGTGCTGTATCCTTGGAATGTTGGAGATCAGTACGTCCCTGTAAACGACAAAGGTTCAGGTTCCAGGCTTCAGAAAGAGATTATGAAGGTCTTTGGTGACCAGACTCTCTTCTCCGGGATCTGGCCGTCTTTTCGGACTGAAAAATCGATAACAGAGTTGGTTAATGTTGATCAAGTTCTGGTGTTCAGCAAGGATTGCTGGGGGGTTGCTGTAGCTGTTTCCAACCAAACGAGCATGCTCGCCCCGTCACCTGAAACGTTCATCTCTATGGATTTTCCGTTACCGCGTATGCGGCTAATTGAGCCCATGGATCCTATTCACTCGCTTACGAACTTCACCCTTTCAATACATCTCTAACTGTTGTACACTGTTTGTCAGGATCTCTTCCTGCGCATTCTAGGTTTTCACCCCGCGTTCGAGATACTCATCCAACATCTTCATTAACCACTGCGGCTCAACAGCCGAAGAATCCATTGCTCTAGGCTGCAAATTCGACATCCTCAACTACTCATGACAACCATCGGAGTGCTCTGATGGAGAAATCTACAACCGATATTGGGAGAAGTCGCAAGAGCACGGTCCGTTGAAGTGGTACGCCGACTCGAACTTCAGGAAGGAATTGCCACAAGACCTTGAGATTCTGATGCACACACCTTATGTGTGGTCGGATCACCGATTTCATATTGTTCATTGCATGTACGCTTGGGAGCTGATGCATCATGCGTTGACACTGAACAAGCCAGTGGTGGAGTTCATCTCGCTCTTCGACCATACGATGCATTGTGCGACAGCTCTGGATGAAGATTGGAAGGTACAGGATACGAGCATCATGGCTTCGCATACTCGATACATTATGTTGACCCCAGTAAAGTTCGTAGTGGCTTGGGAATGTTAATCGGCAGGGTTAAGATGCAGGTTTGTGAAAAAGACCGCGATACACAAGTCAGTTAATCACCTAAGTCACTTGTACACTTCCTGTAATATTTTCACCTTTGAACTTAACTTAAATTAATCTTCACTATTTAAAATACGACAAGTCCTAAATATTGCTAACACTTATTTGGCTTTTTAGGCTAAACGTGGGAACCCTTAGTTAAGTTAGTGATACGTGACCCCATGAGGGGTTACCCTGTAGCTATAGATAAGATAGATAAGAGCTATAAAAGAGCTCTGCCAGGCCAGAATAGCTGACCTGGCCATCCTTTCCCAATACAACAATTCACACCCTATATGCACTCGCATCAGTTAGAGAAAGCTTGAATCTATCTATAAAGTCCCTTTTAACACTATTATAAGCAGATATAACGGAAAATAACTATGATAGAAGAAGAAACGATTATCAGACGTATACTTAAGCTAGATTCGTGTCACGACCTGGGTTGCATCGCATTGGTATAGACCTCGATTAGGTGCTATCGACGAAGATTCTACTCTAAGGAGCGAAGGAAAGAAGATGACAACTTAGGTTTGAGGGAGCGCGACTAAGTCATCCACGCTTGGCGGGGCTCCTACAAGGGTTATGATTGGCTTCCCATCTCACACTGCCACGGCAGGTGTTCCAGCTGTAAGTCACCTGGTTGTAGTGAGTCTGCGAGGGTTGACCGTCACAATTCGCGTGTATTTCCTCCCCAGCTTCGAAACGTGGCCGATATTGTCTGATATTCACATATCTTGCGATGTGGCCTATTATGCCCTTGATCTGACAGTAATCTTTCCGTTTTGTGCGATGTATTGATTAGTATGTGTGTTATCTGTGATCTACTCTGCAGAGGGATTTCTGGCCAAGTTCTAGCGACTGGTAATCACGTAACTCTTGGTGTGTCAGGTGATCCCTTGTATCTAACAATTGGCCTGCAACGAAATATTGCGTCAGTTCTATGTTTTCAAGCATCGCTTATCATCCTAAATCGAGTCGCCTTGCCGTTAATTACGAGTCGGGTGCCACGGAGTCGCTGCTGAATGTGCGGCAAAGCAGCATCCCCTGCTTTCCGTATACAGGTAAACATTCATGAGATTCAGAGATACCTGTCCCCTTTCCCCGTGTGCATTCACGTAGATCGGCCGTAATTGTGGCTATTCGGCATCCGTACACTTACGATTAGTTCATAGTAAGCCACTGGCTTGCGTACTAGAACCCACTCCGAGCTATACCTAGTAGCCATGCACACTATTACTTTCGCGATAAGGTGAAATTGATGGAAGATCAACAGAATAGCGACCTTTACATACGCTTTTGAGCAGCCTAAGAGATAATGGCTTCATTCTCGTATTACTGGATGTGACTTGATTCATAAGATCAATTACTAACAAGGCAATTCCAACACCCATGGACCCAATTTGGCCGCGTGTATAGGCTGAGACCACGTATTATAAACGAGCACTACAGAGGCGGTGAAAACAACCATAAGGTGCCACGCAGCCTCGCATACATAAGCCTGGTAAGATGGAGTTAAGTGCTGTTCCATTGTAGGTTCAACGTACCACATTGACCGGATTCATATTGACCATCTTCTGCGCAATGTACGATGCGATTCGGTACCTCACCATTGGTCGTCAGAATCACGCGCGGCATGCAGAACATGTATCCCTGCTAGGGAAAGGGTATGAGTGCATCCAGTTGTGACTCTCGTCGAAGCCTGTCATTTGGCTGAGTTGAAATGACCTGCTTTTGTTGTATGTGATGAGATCTCCTCGCAATCAATAGGATGGATATCAGTGCTAAGTATATGTATCTCAAGAAGCACATTCACAATTTGTGTAAAGTGCTCCAACAGCCACTATCAACCCGACTGCGGAAGATCTGGCGTGATTCGAGCAGCGTAAAGACATCCAGGCACTGCGCAACGAGCATCGCGAGACCGTGGACCCCGCCCCCCGTAATTGCATGTCGGAGAAAATAACCAATATAGTGAAGTTTTTATCTCGTTTAAGGGTTGAGGGGGCCGACTTCCTAGGAAGTCACTGACGGCAGGGCTCCAATGTAACTTCACATGCAATCATAATCCTGGGGGGCTCAGCGGTAACAACGCGTAGTGGTAGCAAGTATACAAAATAGATCTTCAAGCCTCACCCAAGACAGACGGATCCGAACCCGAAGAATTCTCTCTGCGCAGTTGCTCGATACTCGTAACGGCAGCGAACCAAGTGTGCTATGTTCGAGCTAGCCTTCGTTGGCCTGCTGAGATGAAAAGAAAGTAGAAAAATACAAAAGAAGAACAATTCAGTAAAGAAAGCCGATGGTGTCCCAATCTACAATGCACATTGAAAAGGAGACGGGGAATGCGCTCCAATTGCAAATCTGTCATGTCTCCAAACTCCTTTCCCTCTTCCCCTTCCTGTATTACAAAATATACCAAAAGCGAAGAAAGAATATCAATTTTTCCCCCTTTCAAGTCATACGCTATGGACACTCTACATCTCTCTCTGCCTTGTTCTCCCGGGTCCGAGCTGGATCATATGTAGTCGCATGTATCCTTGGCCGGTTCAGCTATCTTAATTCATTTATATTTCCGTTTTCCCGCTTGATATACTCCATCACTCCGGTATCGGGTACGTGCCTGCCGCTACACACTTCTTGTTGTAGCAGCCGTTGCCGCGACCCGAAGCCGGGCCGGCCCCTCCTCGGGCAAGTCTTCAATCAAAGTATGGGTGGTTGACGGCAGCCTTAGCAGAGATGCGGCTCGCAGGATCGTACACGAGCATGAACTCGAGCAGCTCAAGACCCATGTCATCGAGGTTGTGGCAGAGAACAGCAGAATAATCTCTTCTCCACTTGGGGAAACTGGACTTAAAGTCGGGATACGACGTGACGCCAGGCCAGACATCTTCCGAGGGGGTTCCTAGGGCACTATAATAAGAAAGAAGACCAGGTTAGTAAAAATGCGCAGCGTATTTAACGCCAAGAGCTGACGGCGTACCGGAAAATCTTGAAAATCTCGTCAATCTCCGAGTCACCAGGGAACAGGGGCTTGCGCGTGCACATCTCGGCAAAGATGCAGCCCACCGACCACATGTCGACACCAGTCGAGTACTGCCTACCGCCGAGCAGAATCTCAGGTGCGCGGTACCAGAGCGTGACGACTTCGTGGGTGTAGGTCCGCAGCGGTACACCAAAAGCACGGGCCAGGCCAAAATCTGCTAGCTTCAGGTTGCCGTCACGATCGATCAACAGGTTCTGAGGCTTCAAATCGCGGTGGAGCACACGGTGGCTATGGCAGTAGCGAACGCCGGAGCAGAGTTGCCACATGAACTTCTTGACCATAGCATCTCCTAGTCCGAGGCGGCCCAATGATTCGCTCGAGCCCTCAGGTAGGGCCTTGCCCCTTCCACCATCGCTGACAGGAAGAGTCTCCATGTACTTCTTGAGGTCGAGGTCGAGGAACTCGCACACGAGGTAGAGATTGTGGCCGTCGGCGTGCACAATGTTGAAGAGGCGCATGATGTTGGGGTGCTTCATCTCCTTGAGCAGTGAGATCTCGCGGATGGCCGTGCTGGGCACGCCCTCGTCTTCGGTCTCGAGGCGGATCTTTTTCAGCGCGACTATGCGGCCGCCGTTGGCGAGATCGCGGGCTTTGTATACGACGCCATAGGTACCTGTGACGCAGGGAGCGCGGCCGTTAGCTTGGTTCTCCCTTTGGCGGAGTGTGCATGTCACGCTTGTTGTAGCAGCAGCAGCTGCTGCTGGACAACTCACCCTCCCCGAGCTTTTCTAGCTTCTGAAAGTTATCCATGGCAGATAATAACGTAGCTATGTTATATGCAGCACCCATGCAGCCAGACAGTGTGGTTGCATTTCGCTACAGCAGACTAAACAATCAGCCAACTTGTGGCGGCCATTTGCTTTCGTGGATGATACTCATCGGGCTGTTCAAAATTGCCCGCCCACGTGGGGGCTCGGGTGGTTTTGGACCAGACGGACGCTCTGCTTCTGTCTGCCAGGTATGCTCCATCGCGGTTGGCATGCAGGCTTGCATGCAGTGTTCGATAAGCATGTCAGCCAGAGCCCACACCGGCTGCAGGCTGCTGTATTCCCACAGGGCATTCATCACTGTCGCACCAAAATATAACGGTGTGTTGTTTTCCCTCTGCACCAGAGTCACGCCTAGCAGTCCATATCGCGGCAAGGAAGCAAGCGGTCATTGATTATCCACAACAAGCAGCCATGTTTAATATCGTCGACCGCCACCACAAGCCATAACGATGAAGAACGCAGGCTGGCTCAGGTGGGCCATGACTGACGCTGCCTTGACCAACGCCCCCCTCAGCAGCAGCCAATGCCGGGATCGACTAGCGCCGACACAATTCTCATCTGTATCTTTTCCCATGCCTTTGACATGACTTGCTGCAGATTCCCTGAACCTCGACCATTGCGTAACTGTGCTAGAATTCAGTGTTCAGTAGCGGGTTGGGTGGTGGTGGAGCACTGCGGTGAGGCGGGGTAACGGGTTGTTTCCAAAACTACATACCCGGCCCGACTCTGCATCTTACCCAGGGGATTTCTAAACCCTTATATAAAACTCGTAGAGCGCTAGCGGTGTATATATAAATAAAACATGCGAACCTGCATTATATAGCAACGTATAAGTTCTCCGCCTACGATAGGTGCACGTCTAGGTACAGTACGGATCCGTAGTGCCGGTACAGTGAACATTTCGATAGGCGCAAGAGTGTCAGAGAACAGAATGCCATAGGCACCAGTGGGTGTCAGGACACTGAACGCAAGACACCGGCGGGCCGCCGGAGGGGTGTTTCGGACAAAAGACTCCCGAGTCATGATTACAATCTATGTGAAGCTTTGGGATGACGAGAGTCAAGATCCTTGGCATCGCCGACCCTGCTGTTATGCCGGGTCCAAGCGGCGGCCTAGCTATCTATATAAGGACCATCTCGAAGTAGGATAGGGAAGGAGTAGAGATCAATGCATCACCGTGGGCACCCCTACCTGAGACCGCCAGTGACCACCCGGTATTACGTAGGAGGGACGCCCGTTACTCCCCATCACTCTGTACTATTGCCTTCGGCCTAGCCGTACCCTGACAAAGAGGCTATATTAGGTGTTGTGTAATGCCAGAACCTATTACCACGTGCTCCTCCACCTCTGACATGCGTCGCAGCCATGGAGTTATCACTAACGCGGACGGTGATCCACCATCGTATTCACTACCAAATATTAACAAAATCAGCGGCCATGATGACTGAACCGCCGCCAAAGACCGCGCGATGAAGACACGCATAGAGAACCGTGTTGCGCAAAGAATCTGTCGTAATTGTTTGCACCTTCGACATGTAAGCGAGTGGCCGACCTTCAGGCGAAGCTTGACAATTGCGAAAGAAAGCTTCGATCGATGGAGAATGATTATCAAGACGGCGGTGAAGGGAGCCCATAATCACCTATACAGAGGCGAGATTCGTTGTTGTCTTCCTCTCCTGTTAAGTGGCCTGCTGAAGCATGCTCTCCTCCCGTAGACAATACCTTATCTTCCAGTGGTGGTACAACAACTACGGAAGGTGTCGAACAAGAGATTTTTGAGTTTTCCAATTCTTTTCTTCCAGAGAAGTGCGACAGAAGCAATGGAACAGAGAACGACGGCGAAATTGTACAATGATATGCCTATTGCATGCCGACACCCTAGTTCTTCCGGTCAGTTCAGTTCGTACTAAAGAAATGTCTCCAAGCTCGTAGCATGGCACCAATCACCACTCAGCAATATGACACTAAGTAATACCATGCCCACCGGGCTGCCTATAGATAGAGGCATCATGTTCCAAAGATTCAACAGGAAAAAGTAAGAAAAAAGCAGAATTATACTGCTGTCTATTCAATACTTCAATATATCAAATCAATCAAACGAGTGAGCAGTCAAGGTGAGATAGAGATCTAAATTACTATCCAGGCAGTGTCTCCATTACTATCCGGGCTGTGTCCCCGCTAACGTCCCACACCTACATCCGGGACACCACCACATGTGGGACGCCCTAAAAATGACACTGTATATTATAACCATTCAGTTCAACATTTTTTTTTACACTTATTCTAATGCGACTACAATACAGCTTTGACCGTCACTAGGATTTTCAGACTCGCTAGACTCATCTGTACTATCCTCAATTTCACCAGCCTCGATTTGAGCCTTACGAATAGCCTTGATATTAGTAAACTTCGAATTTGGGCTCATCTTGACCTTCCTCCGCTTCCTAGTCCTACTAGCCTCAAGCTCTGCCTCTATTACCTCAATCTTTCGCTGTGCGACAGCTAATTGGTAGTCCTTCTCATCAAAGCCCTTTTGAACTTTCCGAAAGAGTAGCCGCTGGGTATTTGGATCACTATCAAGCTTGCTGAATAAGCTGAGTTGATCTTGGAGCTCATCTCTCCTCTTAGGCGTTGACCAGGCTACTGCTGATGTCTCTAACGCCCAGTCCTGACTACCCTTACTATCAAAGTACCCTTTGCAAGTCTGACTAGGCTGTCTGATTAGTGCTGACGTATTCTCAAGGAGCAGGGGGCTCATAAGGGGTCTAGCTATGCTCGAAGGCCAGAGACCAGTATATTTCCATCCACTGATAATGTGCTTAGCGGTCAATGTTGCTATACGTGCCTTTCTATAGCAGAGGAGAAAGTTTCTCTTCCCTACGCCAGTAGTAGTATCCCATCGGTCAAGGTAACCAAGTTCCTTCTTATAGGCTGCCTTGAGGGGTCCAAAGACTGACTGATCGAGAGGCTGGAGAATGTGGGATGTGTGTGGGGGCAAGAAAAGCAAGTGTATCTTGTTTATGAAGCAGAGGTACATAAACTCTGACGTTTCCTGGCTACTATGCCCATCTAGGATAAGTAACCTAGTCTCTTCAGGGTCCTCTGGTTGAGTCAAAGGAATAAAGATCTTTTGTAGCCACTCAATACCCGTAGAGTCTGACGTCCACCCATTCGCTGTTGCTGTAAACCTCCAGGCTTCGTATGGAGTCAAGTCCAGAGGAAACCACGGCTGCTGGACAGACTTCCCCTTGTATATCACAAGTGGGGGTAGTGCATTACCAGTCGCAGAGATACACTCTATAAGAGATGTCCAAGCTCGAGATCCAGGCTGTTTCTTCCGTATAGAACGAGTCTCAGATGATCCTAGAACAAGACCATTTGATCCTCTACCTTCTAGAATACCTGTCTCATCCATATTGTATCGATTCGAGGCCTTAATAGCTTTGATCTCAGGGATAGCGAGGTATTTGAACCATTGCCTGATCACATTAGCTGAGGCTCCATTAATACGCTGGGAATCGATAGCTCTGCTTCTCTGGACCTTGACTGAAGAGTTCCTTTTGATAAAAGCCTGGACCCAGTTCTTCCCAAGTGGTTCGGTGTCTCCGTGGATCTGTAGGATACGCTCGGCGAAGTCTTTGAGCTGTTGATGGGTTAGTGGGAGGCCTAGGGCAGCCTGGATTCGAACCCATTCAGCCAGATGAGATTCCTGGGCTGGAGAGAGCCTCTGGTAGTCAGCGAAGGCTATATCTCTTGACTGGGCTCCCTGAATCCGTCGTGAAAGAGTAGACCTTGGGACACCATGCTCATATGCTGCTTTTCGGAGGCTTTGACCGGTAGCGATTGCTTGAAGAGCTCGATAAATATGATCTTCAGTATATTGACTCATATTAGTGTAGAGAAGACGTACGTAAAATTCCGTAACGATTGAATCGATATTGGTAAAGAAAAGAGAGGTTGAAGTTAGAGGCTAGCGGTGTTGATAAGGCATTTTTGGGTGTCCCACATGTGGGGGTGTCCCGGATGTGGGTGTGGGACGTTACTATAACGTTGCGCACTGCTGCATTATAGCATCCTCCCTCCTAGGTGCACGCATCACTTCCAGTGGTTGGTATAACCGGAGCTCGATCCGATGGGTCTCTGCTCCCACCTAACACTCGATATAATAATATGACCCTTTGAAAAAGGCTCGCCAATTGATCCATCCGGCTTAGTGCCAGTATCCCGTACATATGCACTAATGCGACCACATTCACGTTTCGGTATACATGCAATTTTTATGTAGTATAATCTACTCCATATGGAAGCTATCGTAGCTCAATAGTCGAAAGTCTCCCCGACAAGCTCTTCACTCAGCTTCAACAGCGCTGGTCGCCCAGAGCCTCACCGTTTCAGTCCAGGGGTCGGCGACTTTGCAGTCCACGAGATAGGCTCCGCTATGCTCTTAAATATTGTTGTCGGCTGGTGTAGTTGGTCACTTCGCTGGTAGACAAGTCCCGATTTGAGCCTCGCCCACTTGGGTCGGTGACGAGTCGCGGGTTCGAATCCCGCAGCTGACACATAAGGGGGTTTAGTCAACCCTTACGGCGCGCTGCCCACCTTGTTGACTTCGCCTACCTAGCGATAATAGGGAGATTGGTGCAGTTTAGGATTACGAGCATCCTAGCCAGTCGACCGTCAAGCACTACGTCGGCGGAATATAACTCGACAGCCGGTCCAGAATTCGGATCGTTAATCCGACCCCTTATCGGACCTCGCCTATCCGATAACGCTCGTCGGCGAACCCGTCCCCTCACGATAGAAGGCGCGCAGCACGCCCACTCGCCGCGATTCATGCGAGCGTCTAGACCACGTTACGGTCTATCCACTTGAGCGTATGGTTGAGATGTATACGCTCGACGAGAACCCCAATTAGCAGATACTACGACTTGTCGCGACAAAAAATAGTCGAGCATCTTCTGCACATCAGCAGCATCCCACCCCTGAGGACGAATTTAAGTGCCACATTACCACACTTATCGGTAGTTCAGGCAAGGGTTGTAGCACAGACTTAGGGAGGGACAGGAGGTTTAGTAGTCGTTTGGCTACATGTTTACCTGTATAACCGCCCGACGCGGCTTAAGGGCCCGCTATATCATCTATAGCCCCTTAAGGGAGTACTTGTAGAGGTACCGAGGGTTAACACCTACGGCGTATTTAATATTATTTTTTTTAAATATTGTTGTTATTAGACGACCCTTCACCAGCAGCACGCGTCTTGGGCAGTGATCGCTCAAATATGCTTACCTGCAATGCTAGGATCAAACGCTGCGTACACGTAGGTGGCTGCGCCCTGCTGTTCTGTCTTCCAGGCATAGCCCTTCCACCCGTCCACATTCCCAAGTACCTTGTCAGAGGCCCCTAGCTATCATAAGCAATTTGAGTCGTGGACTTGCAGGAAAAGTTTCAGGAGAAATGTCACTTACGAATCACCTCAAGCCAGCCATCATTTAATATCAGGTGGCCGGTCAGGTTAGTCATAACGGTACCGGGATGCAAGCTGAAAGCCAGCAGCCCTCGCTTAGGTCCCAATTTCTCAGCCAAGGAGATGGCCATCAACATGTTAGCCGTCTTCGATTAGCCGTAGGCGAACCATTTATTATACGTCTCCCTATTCTGCCAGGAACAATCAGTCTCAGTTAGACAAGCAGAACCAGTTAACAAGGCGAGTTAGGCTATTAGAACTTACATGAAAGTCGTAGTCTCCCCATCGTATAGGGTTCAAGCGATAGCCATCGCTGCTAACGTTAACGACCCGGGCCGACTTAGCTGCTAGCAGCTTACCCATAATAAGATTGGTAAATAGGAAATGTCCCAGGTGATTTGTAGCAAAGGTTATCTCATATCCATCAGGGGTCAGAGCAAAATCAACGCCCAGAATACCAGCATTATTCACGAGAACATCGATCCTTAGGACATCATCCCAATCATTGACAACTGCTGCTGATCGACGAACTATGGCAAGAGAGCCCAGGTCTAGCTCAAGGGGGCGTGTTCGGACCGCGGGATAGGAAACGGCAAGAGCTTCGGCTGTTTCCTGTAGTTTTGGAAGACTACGACCGGCCAGAATCAAGAGACCAGGCTATGCATTGGCGATGCTTTGAAGGAAGATAACACCCAGGCTACCTAGGGACACGCCGGTCGTCAAGAGCACCTTATTCTTAATGTGCTCGCTGAGGTCGCGAACCACCCCGTCTGCTGTGGTTTCGTATCCGTATAGGTGAGACATTGTGTCGGTCGAAAGACTAATTCTCAGGGCATAAGTTTAGTTTCATAAGCCTTCCCTCCATTTCGAAGCTTTTTAAACGCAGAATGCTGCTTAAAAATATAGGTCAAGCAGGTGTGATATTATGGTTAACATTTCACATTTTTGATTTCTAAGCTGCGATCGCACACGAAGATGCAATATGACGGGAATAGACCCACCGTGACCAATCTTGGCTATACGAGAGTGATGTGCGAAATACGCATGGTCGGAACCTTCCAGACAGGTAACATAATCGTCGATGATGCGAAGCGGGATGAATTTGATGAATTGCGTATGCCATGCATATGTCAGACCAGTGATGCCCAATCGCATAGTTAACTTTAGTTAGGTATGCTTTTCTTTATTGCTTTTCGAGCGCGCTGATGCGTGTACGAATGATACGTGACCCCATGGGGGGTTGCCCTGTAGCTATAGATAGGATAGATAAGAGCTATAAAAGAGCTCTGCCAGGCCAGAATAGCTGACCTGGCCATCCTTTCCCAATACAACAATTCACACCCCATATGCACTCGCATCACTGGCTCAAGATAGGCTGCTTCGCCGAATCGAACAGTGTGCTGAGTGATTGAGATAAAGAGAGCTCGGTTGCGGTAGGTTTAGGTAATATAAGGTCAACTGGTTGTCGAAATCAAAGGTTCGGGAAGTCGAAGGAGAAGATGAAAGGCTGGACTGTGGGCCTTCCAGGAAGAAATCCATTTGTATAATAGGGGTGCTTAAAGAATTTCCGGTACTAAAAGGCAATTCCTCAGGTGAAGATCATTTTTGAGTTGTGTTTAGTGATGTGATGCATAAAAGATTCCTTGAATTTGGGCGTTTGTTTGTACGTTAGTCTTAAAGAAAGTTAATGAAGCAGAAATGCATCGTTGATAGACGAATTAAAAAAGAGATCCAAAAAACCGCTAGTAATAACCGGTGTCCGGGAACTAGTAGGGATAAATACCTGAAAGAAATACAAAGATTTGTTTACTTTATTTAGCTGTGATAATGGTGAATGTCATGAACACTATAGGAAGACAGTAAATAATTAAATCCCGACCAAGTTGACCCTTATTTTTATTGTACTTTGACGTAACATAGAAAAGCATGAATTTAAAGCAACAATCCAAGTAGCATCTATTTACACCAAGCATTTCTGTAACCATCCTTATTTACCGAAAGACATCAAAACTATGTAGATACCCGTAATAAAATTGCCCTTTCCTTCATATTGCCTTGTCCGCCTTCTTTGTACTAATCTCCTCTCTTTGTTTCCATGCGGCACTCTGAGTCACTCGACCTGACCCTTATAGATGGATGAGTATGTTATAAATTACGAAAACTATCTTTCAATTCATCTTCCATTTCTTATCCCCAATCAAGCTTGTAAATTACCGAATTAATAACTACTATGGCATCTGGGTATTTGCAGGGCTTATTATCCCTTATGGCATCCTCGTCTGCTGAAGACTCAATGACTACATCCATGAATAAGGTCGATCTGCAACGAATTCTTGGAGACACCCAATCTCACCAGCATAACACTGGAAGCGACAGCGTTATCTCCAATGTTGACTCTTACGACACCAAGAGTATTGACCCGGGTCAAGGTCATCAGCATAGCACTGCCCCTATCCAGAACACCATCAAAAACCGCGTCATCCTCAAAGTCGGCGAGCAGCATTTTAACACCTTCCGTGACACACTGACCGGTGAGAGCAAATACTTTGCGGCTCGTTTCTTAGGCAGCTGGAACGACACCGACAAAGATGGCTCCTACTTCATCGATACAGATCCGGACATATTTAAGTACGTCCTCAACTACCTCCGCGATGGCAGTTTGCCGTTATTCTTCAACGCTGCTACCAAGGAATTTAACTACGAGAAATACACTGCTCTTCTGGGACAGGCCAAGTACTTTGGCATCGCGAAGCTGGAAAACTGGATTGAAAAGGAGCGGTATCTCGCTGCTGCAAAGACCGAATACACATCAACCATGATCTCAGGCGATAACCTGAATGCAGAAATCTCTTACCATTTTGATACAGTGAAGGGAAACGCCACCCTTGATTTATCATATGGCTGGGGTACAAAAAAGGTTTATGTGTGTCCCAGAGCAATTCCAGTTCATCGCGGACAGCCGGACCTCTGTGGTGCGAAGTGTCACAAGGCCCAGATTGGCGAAAGACGTAACTTCGAGGATGAACCGGTTCTGAAAGTCTTCGTGATAAGAAGTGAGGTGATCTTCGATCCGAAGGTTTGCATGGGTGGTGGGTTAGAGGAGCTTGGAAGTCCGTAACATAATGAGGTGTAAGGGAACTGAAACAACGGGGGTCGGGTCGTCTTCGTCGCTTAGGACTATCTATTGCTAAACATATGCTTTGCGAGACCTAGCCCAGGGTTGGATATAAGAAGAGCGTTAAGGTCGTTTGGTAGAAAACAAAGTGGTCATTTTCTTCATTTCAGGATGCTGGGTTCGGGGATTTTCATTAGAAAACTGTCGACTTCGTCTGGCGTGAATCCTCATGTTTTATTACGCACAGATAATCGTTGGATTGAATCACTTTATGTTCTTTGCAACTCAGGTTTGGGGGTTTCTTCTCCCTGGCGCTTCGCCTCGTCATCCAGACCTGCGATTATGGGGCGTACAAGCCAAGCAGCCCCCCAAAGTCTTCGCTCGTCAGCACGCCCAATGTTCATTAGTGAAGCCACGGCCGCAAGTGGCAGCCGAAAACCCCAAGCTTACTGCCAAAGTCTTCCGAGCATATCGTCCCAGACGGGGGCGTAAGTTTTCACAATCTCGAGTAAAAAGCACGCGGAACTCAATAAGACGGAGCATAACACTTCCTCCCGCGGCTGTAATGGCCTCTATCGGCAGATTAGTCGTTCACCGAAGTCTTTTTTTTCAATGTTCAAGTGGCCCTCTGGCGGCTACCGGCGGGGAATAGCGAACGAAATCCTGCGAGCTGGCCACACAAAAAGCGAACATGCGCTCAACTACGATAGCGACTGCAATAGACTAGAGGATAGTATTATGACGTGTAGCGACCGAGCCCAAACACGCACAATACAGTAAAAAAGCACGGTACAAGGATTGGTATGGTCCTCCTATCATCACTTCGACAAGGTTTGCAACGTCCCATCACGACGAGCCCTCGGACAGAACGGTATCAACTCCTACGCGGACGACGGACCGGAGACCCTTCACGCTACGATCGGTGTAAAATACACACATAAGCATACAGGCGGCAAGGTGCTGTCCTCCCCGGGCTGATGAGTGGTGACCTTTCGACATACCCCCCGATAAGGTCGAATAAGATGTTAGTTGGGTGGCTTTCCGTTCATATTACCGAGGCTGTGTTGGTTGTTTGGTGGCAAGCCTGGTCTTGTCCTATCAGCCTCAACACACTGAATACGGAACTCATAGGACTTTCTCAAAAGTTGCAGATAATCTAGCCTTGAAGAGGTCATTAAATTTCAATTATGTTGGCTTGGTTGTTTCTGCTTCGATTTGCTTTCTGTAGACAGGAACTTCCTGAAGTAAAGTTGGGAGAAGTCGAATTGTGAGGTCCATCATCCAGTTGTTCTTTGCCGGAGATGCAAACGATCTATTGCGTGGTTACCCGAGAGAGTTATGGCATGGTCGATTCTGAGCGAATGAATCCGTTTGCTCGTATACCTTGAGTCGTAAACCTTCCCATGCTAAGGCATATTCCGAAACAATCCAACCACTTATTTCCACTCTGTATAGAGCTGCCGAGCGGTTGGAACAAACGAACGGTCTGGATCCAGTCAAATGAAGAATAAATTTGCCCACTCTTATGTCATTCATCGTTCAGTATTAGGGGAGTAGTCGTTGCTACGCCATTTGCACTGTTCATGTGCAACAATTCTGTCAAGCAATTCGGATAATTATTCCCTGGGTGCAAGGATAAAAGGTCGCATCGAGAGAGCCAATATATCATGGAGGATTGTGATGTTGATTGAGCTAAGTTAACCTACGTCAGGTGTAACGGTAGAATGTTACCTATCTAACTAGTGTACATTGTGTTACGGAGTAACTAGGGCTCCGCCAGTGGACTGTGTGCCACTAGTCCTCTGTTAATATATATAAATGAGTGAGTACCTCAATTATTTTCTATTGTTGCAATCTTGTTCTTTATCTCCCCCAATTTCTGCCCCTGCCCAAGCACAGTTTTTCCTAAATGGGCAGCGTACTACCAGCTACAATGAGAAACAATGGCAATACGATTACCCTTGCGAAGGTTGATAAGCTGAGAGAGCTTATAGGTAACAGAATTTCTCTTCCCCAAGTAGTCGTAGTTGGCGACCAGAGTTCAGGAAAGAGCTCTGTGCTCGAAGGAATCACAGGGTTTGCCTTTCCTCGCTCAGATGAGCTTTGCACACGATACGTCACTCAGATTACCTGTCGGAGAGAGGAAACACAGAGTATTGTGGTGTCTATCATTCCTCAATCGCCTTCGGGGCGACTGCGTGGCATACTATAAGTGAGGAACCGGCAGGGCCAGCTAAGAGCCTGGTGGGGATACAGAACGAGTGCCTCCGGGTAGTCTGTGGCGCCCACAAAGCGACGCAGGTTCGCCACCTGGAAGCAGAAGCAGAAATCCCGCCAGTAGATCTCTATCTTAGTGCCCGGGCTGCTAAGTTTGAAGAACGGCTACGGCTTAGCGGGAAGAGAAATCTGCTTCGCAGCGCGAGCGCTAAAGCGTCACATATACTCCGGCAGGATAGGCCGGCGAAGAGGAAGCAGGCGTCGCAGCTAATCCGACCGGCAGGGTACACTATGGAGAAGGAGGCCCGGGGCTCCGAGTGGATGAGTGAGGAAAAGGAGGTCCCGGCTGCCCTCCTCGGACACTGGAGGAAGAGATGGCTCACCGGAGCAGAGCATCACGATCGCCAGCGACGCGCTATCGCTGAGAAACCGGAGGGCCCTTCGATGCAGATACCGAAAGGGGGCAAGTATTTCGGCCTGAACCGACTGGAGGCGTCTACGCTGTGCCAGATCAGGACGGAAAAAATAGGACTAGCAGCCTTCTTATTCAAGACAGGGGCTTTTGGCGTGTACTCGCCGCTATGCCGCTGTGGTGACGCCCCTGAGACGGCAGAGCACGTAATCCTCTTTTGCGGGCTGTTGGAAGGACCGAGGGAACGATTACGGGCCGCTATCGCACCACGGCCACTATACTCTCGCAGAGACCTCGCAACGGCAACAGGAGAACCAGTAGTTAGTGGGACTATTGTAAGGTGGCTGCTAGGGACGGGTAGGACAGCTTCAAGGCCCAGATAGCATCGATCTTCTCAGGGGGGACTTAGTTGGTAGGTTGAGAACCAACATAGTATGGTAGTGGACGCAACGCAGTCGCCAATAGGGCGAAGCGACGACGCAGCGTATGTATTTAGTCCAGCCATTAGGGCACGGTTTGACATACGGGAGTACTGGTAGAGGTACCGGGGGCTTCGAGCCTACGGCGTATTTAATAATAATAATTAACCGTCAAAACCGGTCACAATCTGTTCTTCATTCTGTGATTGAATAAGAGCATGGCAGTCAATCTAGAGAGCCCGTTTAATGCGCTAGTTATTCGTCCGCCAGCAGCAAATGTTTCTGCATCCTGAAGTTGTTCATGAAGAGCTTGAAGGCAACCTGCGTATCTGTCTCCGCATCCTCTGGCATTATGCCACGCCCGGACGACGACGAAGCACCTTCAGACCAGACTTCTCCAACTCCAGAAGCGTTTCACGCAGATAAACAACGAGCATTTCAAACGAACTGCCCTCCCATTGGAGAAAACCCAGATGAAGCTAATATGTTCTCTATTGATGAAACTATTTCCTCTAACCCCAAAGGCACTGTAAAAAGCCACTCGCAGCGTACTGAAAACACGGCCACGAGTTGCAGCAGTAGCAACTTCACGGACGAGACGGATCGACGGATCATGCGGCAGACCGGCAGCATTGCCCACCAATAAGGCCGGGTAACCATAACACGAATGTTGGGAAGAAACCACAACGTATCCGTCGCATTGCTATATCTAAGAACGAGAAGCTTCTCCCGTATCGGTGCTTTCCAGATGAGGTTCCGGCCATGTGTCTGGCGATGCGGGACACACGCACGTTTCATGCCAGACCGCTAGAGGTGTTTGCTTCGCACCAAGATAGCCTGTGTTACTAGCACCGCCAAAAGTTTGCTGAGATGTTAGCTATGGCATCCGAAGAAGAAACTGTCTGTCCTATTCCTAAAATGGAGTATGTCCCGATTGTGCATTAAACACATCTAACGATCGACACTATCCCGTAACGACCGCGCTCTGCTTCGCTACCGAGTATAGATCTATATATGCCTCTTTCGAAACGACCGCAGCTTGATAATAATCGTCCATTGTCCCAAAGTACTACCACTGTAGCCGAGCAGGGTTCTCGTCTAAACCATGACCCAATGCGGAACCAGGTCTACTGGAGACAGGTGTTTAAGGAAGTAAATAGAGGTCTACAGAAGCTAACATTTCTTAAATCGCAGAGGCGGACGCAGGCGATTTAGTCTGTATAATCTTGCAGGAAAGCAAAGAGCCTAATGCCGATCAAAAGTCCGGCGGGGTTGATGTGCATTTCCGGACCCAAGACGAAGCCACAGTAGCCCATCAACTTAACTGTGCCGATCTCCCTCTAATAGTCGTTTAGGTATAAGTACGCGAGTCTTCCCCGATGCTAGACTTCGTCCTACTTCTGAAGCTATTTGGAAAACTTGGCGGATTGGTACGCCCCGATGGTGCGGTCGAGATTGATCTTGCAGATCTACGAGTCCTCGACTTGCATGGCCTCTAGTGATTGCCAGTAGAAGTTGTTGTTCTTCGCCGTATCTAGAAAGTCTATGCCGGCGACGTTGACAAACTAACTACTGAAAACAGCGTTGGCGTATCTGAACGCCACCCTCCCCAACTAAAAGGGTAGCCCGGCCGCTGAATACCAAGGCCAGTTTTTAACTAATATGGCGTTTCATCCGAGTTGACCATATTTGATGACAATACGTTCTTATTGGCGGGTTTCCACTGTCAGTCTTGCCCGCAACTCCTAGGAAACAATTGGATGAACGGGGCTTTACACTTGGGTCTCTATTGGAGCGCATGGGCCGCAACCTCCCATGGTTGCCAGGTGTGGCCCCTAATCAACCTGACAGTATTTATCATATATTCGCCGCCAAAACCGGCGTTCAATTAATGATTCCGACGCCGCAACAAGACGAGTCCAAAGCTCGATGCATCACTTACATATGCAGGTATAAGATGTCTGCAACTTCATTACAGTAATATAATATTTCCCCTTCATTGACCAGCGACGGGTTTACAGTTGTACGACCCCGGGGCCGCCCCCTGGGCGGATCGCGAGTGGAGCAGGAGCGAACCGAACGGTCTGCGTCAGCAATGCGTAGCTTCCTCCCTAAGGGACGTACGAACGAAGATATACCATCGACAGCTTAATGGTAGTCTCTATTCTCTACTGGAATATCGCAGATTCAAAGGCGAACGCAACGCTAGCGCTGGATAAGGGGGGTGACTATGATATAATAGCGGTTCAAGAGCCATGGATCAACCGGCGGACGAAGGCGATTTATTGCCCGAAGTCGTCCAGGTACGAAGTAGTGTACAGCAGCGGCAGAGCTGCGCTATACGTCCATAAACGATACGACGTGGCTACGTTGCGACCCCGTACCGGGATGGACTGGAGCAGTATTACGTTCGGGGCAGGCCCGGACGCCCTTACAATCTGGTCTATCTATTCACCAAACCAAACCGGGAGCCGCTGGGTCAGCCCGCTCCAAGACCTCCCTAATGGGGCGCCGGAGGGGACACAGGTCCTCGTAGGGGACTTCAATACACATCACCCGCTGTGGGACGTCCACGGACGGTCGTCACGGGGCAGCGACAACGTAGTGGAGTTTGCGCGACGCTGGCGATTAGAGCTCGTTACGCCGTTCGGGGAAATCACACGGCAAAGGCACAAACAACGAGACTCAACTATCGACCTAGCCTGGGTGACGAAAGGGGCTAGGATTGATTACGATGGGGACCCGGGCCTAGAGGGCTCAGACCACAGAGCGCAAGTGATTAGGGTAATATCCAACGGGGAAGCAGTCAAGGAGGGCCGCCGCAGTGTCGAAGGGTGGAACTGGGCGATGGCGGATAAGTGGCTCATCGTAGCCGAATCAAGCCAGAGATTTATGAATTATTTGCCGGTTGAGACGATAACGGAGTTGGACCAGGCTGTTGACTGGGTTATCCGGAACCTCCAAGAGATCGCCGACGTGGCGGTCCCGAGACGCACCGTTGGCCGAGGCGCTGGGGTCCCGTGGTGGTGCCCGCAGGTTAGCAAGGCTTGCGCTGAGACGAAGAGACGACGGCGGGACTACCTCCAGGCAAGGTCGCAGACCAACTGGGACGAATATACAAGAGCCGGCCAAAAACAACGGCTCGAAATCAGCGAAGCGCAGACGCGTAGCTGGCACGAGAAGCTCGAGGGGACGGCGAAGGATCACAAAAGCCTGTGGGCACTGCAGAGGTGGGCTAGGCTACGGAGCTGGGCCCCCCCTGAGGCCCACGGCTTGCCAGATCTCCGGAGGGACGCCGGCGACACGCTTACAGCACGTACACATGATGAGAAGGCAAAATTACTAGCTGAGAGGTTCTTCCCAGACCCGTATATAGATCTATCGGACCTCGATCGCGGCCTATTACAGACGAGACCAGAGCTGAACGTCCCTAGGGAGGTGACCACAATGGATATCGAGTCTATCATCAAAGGAACGGCTGCTCGGAAGGCTCCCGGCGACGACCTGATCCCCACTGGCCTGCTAAAGGCCTGCGGTGAACCCCTATGGGAGATCCTAGCGGATCTGGCAACAGCTAGCTTTAGGCTGGGGTACTACCCGGAGCGCTTCCGCTCAGCGAGGGTGGTTATTATCCCTAAGCCTAATAAAACGACAGCTCAGAAGCAGACCCCTGGCGGCTGGCGCCCCATTGCCCTGCTTAGCACGGTAGGGAAGGTAATAGAGACGGCGATGAGCCAGCGTATCACCAAAGTAGCTGAGGCGGCCGGCCTACTACCAAACGGCCAAATGGGTAACCGCGCTGGGAGGTCCACCGAACTGGCAATACGTATAGTTGAGGACGTGGTCTATACGGCGTGGAGACGCGGGGGCATCGCCTCGCTGCTACAGCTAGACATCAAGGGGGCATTCGATACGGTCAATTATAGACGGCTGATTTCCATATTAGCCCGGAAAGGCTACCCGGAGTGGGTTCAGGAGTGGGTACGCAGCTTCGTGGAGGATAGAACGGTACGCCTCCGGTTCGATGGCAAGGAGTCAGAGCCAATCCCCCTACGAGCTGGCGTCCCCCAGGGGTCACCGCTATCCCCGATACTGTTTATATTATACATTTCAACGCTGTACGAGGAGCTAGCGGAGCAGCATCCACTACTTTTAGTAGTCGGGTTCGCGGACGACACGAACCTGCTAAGCGTCGGCACCGATCCAGACACGACCTGCCGCCGGTTGGAGAGCGCATGGGCTACGTGTCAGCGGTGGGCAGTGAGGCACGGGATGGAGTTCGCTCCTGACAAGAGTGAGCTAATGCACTTTACTAGGGCCCGAGAGCCCTTGCCGCAAAGTATTCGCCTTGGGGACGCCACAGTGTCGCCGGTAGTCTCAGCCAGGTTCCTAGGAGTCTGGTTCGACCGCAAACTGACGTGGCACGCCCATGTTGAGCGTGTTAAAACAAAAATGGCAACTCAAAAGCTAGCCCTGACAAAGCTAGTCAATATGTCGTGGGGCTGCGATCTTATACGGGCGAGGCTGTTATATACGGTGGTTATCCGTAGCGCGATTGCCTTCGGGGCGACTGCGTGGCATACTATAAGTGAGGAACCGGCAGGGCCAGCTAAGAGCCTGATGGGGATACAGAACGAGTGCCTCCGGGTAGTCTGTGGTGCCCACAAAGCGACGCCGGTTCGCCACCTGGAAGCAGAAGCAGCAATCCCGCCACTAGACCTCTATCTTAGTGCCCGGGCTGCTAAGTTTGAAGAACGGCTACGGCTTAGCGGGAAGAGAAATCTGCTTCGCAGCGCGAGCGCTAAAGCGTCACATATACTCCGGCAGGATAGGCCGGCGAAGAGGAAGCAGGCGTCGCAGCTACTCCGACCGGCAGGGTACACTATGGAGAAGGAGGCCCGGGGCTCCGAGTGGATGAGTGAGGAAAAGGAGGTCCCGGCTGCCCTCCTCGACCACTGGAGGAAGAGATGGCTCACCGGAGCAGAGCATCACGATCGCCAGCGACGCGCTATCGCTGAGGAACCGGAGGGCCCTTCGATGCAGATACCGAAAGGGGGCAAGTATTTCGGCCTGAACCGACTGGAGGCGTCTACGCTGTGCCAGATCAGGACGGAAAAAATAGGACTAGCAGCCTTCTTATTCAAGACAGGGGCTTTTGGCGTGTACTCGCCGCTATGCCGCTGTGGCGATGCCCCTGAGACGGCAGAGCACGTAATCCTCTTTTGCGGGCTGTTGGAAGGACCGAGGGAACGATTACGGGCCGCCATCGCACCACGGCCACTATACTCTCGCAGAGACCTCGCAACGGCAACAGGAGAACCAGTAGTTAGTGGGACTATTGTAAGATGGCTGCTAGGGACGGGTCGGACAGCTTCAAGGCCCAGATAGCATCGATCTTCTCAGGGGGGACTTTGTTGGTAGGTTGAGAACCAACGTAGTATGGTAGTGAACGCAACGCAGTCGCCAATAGGGCGAACCGACGACGCAGCGTATGTATTTAGTCCAGCCATTAGGGCACGGTTTGACATACGGGAGTACTAGTAGAGGTACCGGGGGCTTCGAGCCTACGGCGTATTTAATAATAATAATAATATTTCCCCGTATCCCTAATATGGGTTTATAATATAAAGGTAAGACAGTCGGATTTGTAAGCCCGTTAGTGTTTACGTCATGCATTTACCTGAAGGCGTATGGCATCACTGTGTCGGCGAGTATGCGGCGAGTATGGGACAAATAGCTCAAGATCGGAACGAATACACAAGAACACTTATCCATCCAATCGGACTTCATTGTGATATCTCTGCCGCGCTTCACACAATTATTGGAACTAGTAATTGGAGCACTCGTATGTCTAGGTAAGTTTCCATAATGCTGACACAGCCCAGGAGAAAAGTGATCACGATCCAGACACCGCCAATGCGATCCAACACTTGGGAAGAAACGCGTCCACACCACGTTTGAAGCTCTCGGACAGATGTAGGTTTTGATTGAATTCGGGGTGAAAAGGGAGCTGTCTGGTCTCTGGAGGATAAACTGCACCTGGCCGATATCTGGCGGTAAAGGTGCAGCATTAAAACCCGTTAGATACAACAAACATCATCCCTCCGGTCATCAATGCAGTCGTATATTTGTCTACCATCCCTTGCCTTCGTGGCCATGACTTGAATGATCTGCATCGTAGTGCACTGCAAGTTGTAATCTGTACTGCTCCATCCTCTGTAAGCATCGACCTTGGTACTCGATGCACCATCATAAGCCAACAAAATTATGGCCTTCTTCATGAGCTTCTTCGTGGGTGTGGTATCCAGTCTGTTTTTCACTTATTTGCTGAGTCTCCACTCCTTGTACTCATGTGCGCTATTGTTTGTTATCTTGAATTTCAAGATGCTACCACTTGGGTCTACGGTACGACCCCTTTCCACTTTTGTTTAAGTCGGTCGCGTTGTTGGCTAACCCGAGATCGACTTGAAGTTTCGAATCATCCCAGCTCTGGCTCGGCTCCGCCTGTTACCAGCAACAAGACCATCACGGAGCGCTTCCCTGTTCGAGCCCTACTCTACGCCCTCTCATGCATGTATCCTCGAATGCGACGTGTATATACACAAGTCCAACAGCACTTATCTCCGTTAGTCGCATGGAGCTACTCACACGTCTCTTTACCTATGCTCTTCGTCAGACCCGAAGCTACCTGGTATTGGCCGGCGTTGATATCTCTTTTCGCCGCGAGATCCGCCCCTTTCAGGCGTACGATACACGCTCCTGTATCTTGACATGGGACAACAAGTGGATATACGTCCTGTCCTACCATATACAAGCTGGAGCAGTAGTAGAGGATGGTGACGGATGGATAGCAACACTGTTTGGGAAGGGCGAGCAGGCAGAAAGCAAGAAGGGGCTTATTTTTACTGTTGCAATTTCCAAGTTTGTCGCGAAGGCCGGCAGACGTACAGTGTCACCGGGCAAATTGCTCGAGCTTGGCGGCTTTGTTAATGCCACCGCATCGGCAGAAAAGGAATGGATGGAAGTGAGACGTGCACACGGCTGGGATTTATTACACGGCAAGTGATACGTTTTACAAAATGTTGATTTCTTGTGGCTATGGATTTTCGAAAAGGCGAACATAGAAACATTGCCGGATACTACCATGGGACCCTTACCGGCAGTTCTGTAGATGTGGTCCACTGTGAGGCTTGCAGAGCATGGACAAGAATACAGTGCACCCTAAATCCTTCATGCAACCGACCATTGGTAGAAAAGGTATGATTATGTTGCTCCGATATCTCTGATCAACATTGCGCAACCCGAGGCTGCATTTATGAATCGTATTTCTCATTCGGTCTTGTTGCAAGGAGGCCTTTCTGGCTCCGGTAATGCACATAGTCATGCGCTGTTGTGATCATACACCCGACCTCATGTATATTATGTAGGCTGTTAAATAAAAATTTTCAACCCTTAGGGACGTTGAGGAGGAACATTGCAGAGCCTCGCATATGTACCCAGCTATATTACCTTGCTTAGAGGGTGTGGGGTGCCACTAGTGGATCTTTTGCTGCGAAGAGACAGTAACTAGGTTAGTACTGTCCAGTTCTCTTGCGTAATTATTGTCACAGTAATACACATAAACCCTTAAGAACGCCGAACGCGACATTATGGCTACTTATTATTTTCCACGAGAGCACTTCGACTTTTCTCTTTCAGCTCACACAATTTGGCTGATGACAACAATCACCTGAACAACTGTAGAGATTATCGTAACGGGTTGACGTCAATTGGCCATAACCCATAACGGACGTCCTCACAGCTCCGATCAGCGTAAGCTGGATCTACATTCCAACCATTGCTGCTTGCAGCTTGCCAGTCAAGGGAGTATGCATAAATCCGCATCAACACAGTTACCCCTCTCTTGCTGACCTTACATAGCTGCTTATGTGCCGATACGGGAACCAACACCGATTACCCCTCCCACCTTGCTGACTTTGCATAGCCCTTGCAAATGTAGTGAACAGGTTCCTTTGCATGGAATTTAAGGATCGAGATACAATCCACCTGTTAGGGCCAGTATTTCGGCATATTTCCGCGCAGAGTCCGATTTGATGAAGTGAAAACGGTCCATAGGTCGGTTATAGTCGGCATGATAACAGTAGTCAAGCCCGTCAGGAATTTACCTGTAATGCCAGTGTTCTATTCGCGCTATTTCTTGCACAGAGTGTAAGACCAGCCTCGGAGGCATCAGCACATATCCTCGAAGCTTCTGTTCGCGACAATCGAACCATATTACCTGTGAAGCTCATCTCGAGCCGACAAGACTGCAATACTTTCACTCACGCAACAAGAAGATTGCTACTCCGTTCCCATCCATATGGCGGCTAACGGGGACGCCAAGCCCCTTTTCGTAGCACCTAATGGTGGCCGGAAAGCCTGGACCATCGTTCTGGGTTCATTCCTCCTGCAATCGTCCTCATATGGATACGTGAGCGCGTACGTGCAATTGCATTTCAAATCACGTTACAGACTTGTATTCTGACAAGAGGGTGTACCCAGCTGCGGCGTGTTTCAGCTCTACTACAAGACTGTCCTGCTCCCCGGCTACTCGTCTCAGGAACTCGGCTGGATCACGACCGTTGCCGTATGCTTGATATTCGGGGCCTGTCTTCCGATGGGTCACATTGTTGACTTGTATGGCATCAGAGCTGTTACAGGACCCTCCGCTGCCTTGGGCGTCGCATCGATAGGCCTGCTCAGCCTGTGCACTAAATACTGGCAAATCCTGTTGTGCCAAGGCTTTGCCTTGGGGTTGGCCTGCAGCGGCACGATGCTGCCGGCTGTTATCTGCGTCACACAGTGGTTCTCCTCCAAGAGAGGCCTGGCAGTGGGAATGGCGAGTGCCGGTGGTGGTTTCGGTGGTGTTATCTATCCTATCATGGTGGCCCGACTGATTGACCAACATGGATTTTCCACAGCAGTCAAGTGGTCAACGTTGCCTATGGGTTTCGGAATGATTTTTGGAGTCTTGCTTTGCGAAAGCCCCTTCCCAGCCAGGAAGGCCCGGGAAAGAGCAGAGCAGCAAAAGCGCCTTCAAGAAGGCTTTTCAGGTGCTCACAATACTGACGCGGGGCAGATAACAGAGTCTAAAGACGGGCAGGAAGGTGTGGACCTCAGCCCAGCGGCCCAAGGCTCGGACTCGGAGGATCTAGAACAAGGCCGGAAACCAGGTGGCTTCTTAAAGTCATTACGCCACAATGGAGCGGCCTGGGCTTGCTTCGCCATTGGGGCTTTTTTCTGTATGTTCAGTCTCCTGTCGCCTCTGAACTACTTGCCTGAGATGGCACAGGAGGCGGGAACGAGCCTCAGCCTCTCTCAATACACGCTGAGCATTATAAATGCGGGCCAAAGTAAGCCATTCCTTTGTTTATATACTTTGCAGATGTCCCATGGTCTCCACCTGTCCACATTTTCTTCAATGCAAAGATGTACTGATAAAACAATAGTGTTTGGTCGCGTTTTACCGGGCTGGTTATCCGATCATGCTGGGCCACTCACCACCATGGCCATGGTGAGCGGACTCTCGGCGATAGCTATGCTGGTCATCTGGCTACCGCTCGACTTTTACCCTAATTTTGCCGGTATCATCTTCTTCGCTGCATTCTATGGACTCAGCTGTGGTGGCTGTATGAGCCTCGCATCTCCGTGTGTAGTTGCACTGGCCGATGGCAGAGTCCACGACCTTGGTGCAAAGATGGGGATCGCCTGTATGTTCATGGCAATTGGGTATGCAAAAAACATCCTGTTTGCCATCGGTCTGAGACTGACAGCATTATCTACCCTCTTAGTTCATTAGTGGGCGTTCCTGTAATTGGTGTCATCAAAGAAAGCACTAACAGCTTCGATGGACTCACTGCAACCGCGGGTGCTACAATGGTCAGTACCTCCATCTCCAGTTCGAAGCCTGATGACCGAATATAAGGAGTTTTGTTGTGCTATTTTTTATCACGAAAGCTAATATTTACAACTCGGAAAGGCTATAGGCGGTGTGCTGTTCTTTATTTCACGAGTCAAGCTTGGTGGCTGGAAGCTTTTGCATAAGGTATAAGGTATTGCGAGGTTTGTTTCTCAGATCGTAACCGGAAAGCAGCTTTTTACACGTCGCCAAAACCAGTCCCATATTTAAACTCGATTGAAGACATTGTCAAAAAACTGCTAATATTCTTTTGCTCTCTATTAGCGATGGGACTATACAGAAAAGGGACAGGACAATATACTTGTTTATATTGATTTAAAATGGCTCAAAAATCTTCATGTTCGCGGAGTTGAGTCTGTCAGATCTCCTTAGGGTCCTTTTTTTATTATTATTAAATACGCCGTAGGCTCGAAGCCCCCGGTAGCTCTACAAGTGCTCCCGTATGTCAAACCGTGCCCTAATGGCTGGACTAAATACATACGCTGCTACGTAGGTTCGCTCTATTAGCGACTGCGTTACGTCCACCACAATACTATGTTAGTTCTCACCCTACTAACAAAGTCCCCCTGAGAAGATCGATATTATCCGGGCCTAAGCGCTATCCGGCCAGTCCTGAGTAGCCACCTTGTGATAGTCCCGCTGACTACTGGTTTCCCCGTCGCCGTTGCCAGGTCTCTACGTGTATGCAGCGGCCATGGTGCGATAGTGGCCCGTAGGCGCTCTCTCGATTCTTCCAGCAGGCCGCAAAAGAGGATTACGTGCTCTGCCATCTCGGGGGCCTCTCCACAGCGGCATAACGGCGAGTACACACCGAAGGCTCCTATCTTAAATAAGAAAGCTGATAGTCCTATTTTTCCGGTCCTGATCTGGCATAGGGTAGACGCCTCCGGTCGGTTTAGGTCTCAGTACTTGCCCTGTTTCGGCATTCGCATCGAGGGGCCCTCCTGCTCCTCGGCGAGAGTCCTTTTAACGAGGGAGTAAAAATGGCATCACTGTATCATGTTAGCTGGCTTCGGCGGGTAAAACGATCGGGCTCGGCGCGCTTAGTGACTGCCTACTCGTCGGCAGCTCGCGATATTGATCCTATAGCAGACAGTTTGGCGAGTAGATGCCTCTTGAGGATATTTTAATGGGGCTCTTGTAAAGTTTTAAGATTTCAATGAATCGTTTCAACGAGGAGTTTCTAGGATTTCATTTTAAAGTACGTTTAGCCAACCCTTTCGTAATATACTATTGAAATATCTGTCGATAGTTGATCTAATCGCGCTACGACTTATATTTAAAACGTGTCTGGATCGTGGCCTAAGGAACGCCTTTGATGACTTAGATATAAAGGGAAGTAACACTGTTGGAGGATAATTCCCTATTAGCTGGGTGCTTAATTTCAGATTGGGGCAAGAATTTTCGTACCAATTATTAAATTATTTACGAGTAACTGAAGAGGCAGTTCCGAAGAGATTGGATTCGAAGTGATAGCGCGCTTTGTGGGGGTTGGCTCAGACTTTTGCACCTCATCTCAAGTTATTACGTTTCGGTTCCATTAGCCCACATCCTCGCCGTGTACTGCTATACTCCAGCCTTGGCATCCAACCTCCCACCCTGTCAGGCTTGTGAGAAGTATAGAATGAACACGTACGCTTCTTTGAATCTTTACATATTTCCTGCCTCCCACGCCCCCCTCAACTTCAACGCAAACCACACACAAATAGAGCAGCGTACAAGCCGTCCAGCCGGTTGTCTAGAAGTGTGTGGGGCAGCAAAACATCGAGCTAATCATGTCACCTTTATTTGACAGCAAGGAACTTGTCGGGTATCTGTTCTCAAAGAACAAAACCCGATGCAGATCGTGCTGATCAGTCTGGGGCACCATCACCGGGACACCCAGGAATTTCCGAAGGTGTTATGCATTTCAAGCACTGCCATAGGGGAAACCCCCACTCTTATGAGCCCAGAAGTAGCATTAATTCCTCTCTGGGAACTCGCAGCTGGGGACACTGGAGCGAATAGACTCGCGTTTTCCAATGTTCAAGAGAAGTAATATCGGCGGGAAATTAGGCCGCCACTCCCTGGCTTGACTTCAAACGACTAATTAATACCATGCAGACACGTGTATTAAAGTATCGGCTTAGTCAGACAACGCCTCGTACAGCCCACCAGCAAACCCCTCACTGATGCCTACGTACCCCGGCGAATATGATGTCTCTAGTCACGCCTCGACATGTAAGCCGCATCATGTGCCGGTTAGTGTAGATATCTCCGCACGTATTGCATAAGGACAAGCTAGCAGGTATTCGGCTAAAACGACGCAGCCACTCAGAGCATAGATCTCCTAATCCCGCCACTCTATTCCATCCACTTTATCTACGGTACGACACGTCCCCTACCCTTGGTATTTCGTGGGGTTGTGGGGTTCACAAATCCTTACAGTTTGGTTAAGTTGTATCTGCAATAAACTGATCTCGATCCATCTACGTGCTGCATGGCTGAACGAAAGGGGAATCTGGCCGATTTCGGAAATTGACGGAAAATATTACGAGAGCCTCAAGCTGATACGCATTATTATAGATGACTGTGACGCTCTCCTGGGCATCTGGTCGCGACCAGATTTGTCATTTAGCATCCCACTGCGCCATGTCAAAACGTCTACGCCTGGCCTGTGACCCCTGCCATAAGGCCAAGATACGGTGCCCTGGAGGTAATCCGTGTGAAAAATGCCGTGACTGGTTTGTGGAACTCCACTTCAAACGCCTGCGCGAAGGCGGAAACGTTGACCTGTGCAACTACAGCAACCTAGAATGCCAATATAGCTATATGGCCAAAATGGGCAAGCCAAAGGGCCGCCGCAACAACAAGACACTCGAAAAGCTGGCGGCCGCTGCTCCTAACACCGCAGTACAGGGTGGGCAGACGACTCGGACAGGTAGTCCTGGCCCGATCCAAGCGTCTCAGAGCGAGGTGCAGCTTCCATCGCCGGTTGGCCATATCGGTAATCTGGCAGGCTTCAGCCCGCATTTGTCTGGACCATTTTATCCAGGCGTTGTGGCCGTAGGTGGGCATCTTTCTTAGCAGGAAGATAGTCACTAAGTGCAAGTCAGGAAAATATATCGACTCAGCCCCTAGCAAGAGACTCCTGGCCCGTGAATGGTGAGAGACGGACCGTCCCAAAGCAGCTGTGCGTCTCTGGAACTTGCCTTCGCTAATGGTTTCCTCCGAGCGGACTAGATCCTCACAAGTATCTACCAACGCCTCCAGCCGCGGCCGTCACTACCAATGAAATTGTATCCAGCAACGAGGAGGAATCTTTTGAGAGTTTTGAGGTTAACTGGACAGATCCGGAGTGGCAGAGATTGCTAGCGGGAAATGATCTTGAAAGGGAACTGCCGTCTGAACCTCCTACAGACAGTAATTTCTCCAATACCTCTCCCGCCCCTAATCACACGGGGGAGGAGCAAAACGAATTGATTACTTGCACGTGCTTGGGGAGCCTGACTGGCCACCTATGTCATCTCAATCGCATGGAGCGGCAGCAGAACATCATCTGCCTGGACATGACGCTTGCCAAGACAACGAAAGTATTGGCTTGCGCTGACAGCGTGCTGGCGTGTCATTTCTGTCGACTCGACTGCAAAGTCCTTCTGCTAGTCATTACGGTCCTGCAAACTGTTCTGAACTGGATCAGAGTCGAGTACAGTCATGACAGCGGCGTGCGTGATCTACCAACTATCCTATTCGGGAACTGGCAGGTGCCGAAGACGGATGGTCATCTCATCAAGAACTTACTGACAAGCCGGATCCTGGCCAACAGCGACTCTGTTGTCAACATCCTACGTCTGCGGATCGAAGAAATTGCCCTGCATTCAGGCAAGAAAAGATTGAATTATCAGTTCATGGATGCCGAGTCCCTCCAACAGACTCTGCAGCGATTGATGGTGTCATTAAGAGAGCTTTCTGAGTGTGTCAAGCCTCTAGATGCTGGTCAGAAGTAGATTTTCTGGTGTTTATTTGCCCGTAGAAACTACGTTAACAGACAGCTACGTTTCTAGAACTAGAGCCATGAAATATGAAATCAGACTACTCATTGTGCGTCCAATATGACAGCATGGTGTTGAAGGCAATTTCGGGAACATGAGGGCTGGGCTTGTAACAATGTCAGTTTTCAGATAGATCAAACAATAAAACGTGATTTGACTTGGGGGTAACTGATTAAGAAGTTAAGTAAAACTAACTTTAAGTGCCACCCCTCCGCCCTCCAGGGCCCCTGGCGCTGGGCGGCTAGTGGGTGTCTAGCTACCGTAATTATCACGGCGCAGCGCATCACATGCCCTTTTCATATTCTGATGTAGCATGCTCCGTAGGTTAAAGGAGTAAATGCGTTTCTGGAACAATTTAGATTTGATACTGTGGATTTGCTTAGCGCATGTCCTCCCGTCCAATCCGACCTAGCGACGTTCATTTGAACCAAGATCAAAGTCGACGGCGAAAGCACAACACGGGACCTTCTTTCTTCCCTGTGACGTGGTCCTTGAGCACGTATTGTGTTGGCCTTGTGTCATTCCCCTCACCAGGAAAACTAACACTGTCTGCCCTCCGAACGTCGAATTCCCAGAGCAGACGGGCAAAGGTAAGCGTGACCTGAGCGATGGCGAGCGGCTTCCCCACACAACTCCTGGGACCAATGTTGAAGGGAAAATACGGCTGTCTGGGGCCCGTTTTGTCAAGCCATCGCTCGGGTGTGAAGCTTATGGGACCCTCCCAGTTCTCCGGGCTGTGATGCATCGCGTAGATGCCCGCACCGACTTCGCAACCGCCGGGTATGAAATCCCCGCCGATGGCAGCACCGTCCTCTTCAACCACGCGCCAGAGCGGATCACCCCCTGGCGGTGCCAGACGCAGTGCCTCATCCATACAGGCACGCAGGAACACGCATGAGTTGAGCTTGGGCCCGAGTCGGATCTCGTCAGCTGATGCGAAAGTTGTGCGTACTTCCGCTGCTGCTCGACGGTAGCACCGAGCTGAGCCTGTGAGATAATGGGATAATGCAGCCATGGTCGTCGATGAAGTGTCCGTACCTAGAATGTCCACAATGTGAGTGTTTGGTCGGAGGGCTCCTTGGATTTAGAGCATCGTACCAGCTACGACGAATGTCGCAATCTCTGTGCCCAGCTCCTTGAGACTTAATCCCTTGTTTGTATCAGGGTCTTTACACTGCTGCAGGAAAGAGAAAATGTCCCTATTTCCCGTCTTATCCTGCTCCAGGCGGCTCGTCAGCAACATTCGGAGGAATTTCACGAACGTCCTAGCTGCTCTGGCCGACCGTGGCAGTAACTTGCGATCCAAATGACCAAAAGTTAATTCGGATGCCTGCCAAAGCACACTTAGCCGGATATTCGATTCTTCGATGGCTGGCACCACGTAGCGAAATTGCGGCTCCTCCATGGTACGATAGTCGGCATCAAAGGACAGGGCTGTCATCAGGTCAAACGTCAAATGAGTGACTACACTCCACGTCAGTATATCCGAGAACCGATATTCAAGATCCATATGTACTTGCATCCATGTGCCATGTCCTGGGGCTCGGTCCATTTCCCTTCAGATGAAGCATGGCCGCGTATGACTTGGCAAAATCTGTCGATCCTGGAAATAATGGTAGGTTCAAACAGTCGTAGACTGCTCTCGGAAAAGGCCTGGCTGATAACTCGTCTCCGGCGAGCGTGTTGAGCCTTATCTGACATGGTCAGAGTGTTTACGGCCTGGGATGACAGTACCATATATCCATCGAATTTTCTCACGTGTGCTCCATGACCGTAGATGTCTGTTAAATAGGGTATACTCGTTATCCGGCCGTTGCAAGCGTCTATCAGGGATAGAAGAGTATGTTGAAGGACATCTTACCTCTAAGAGCCTCTGGACTATTAATCAAAACACGATTTGGAGCATAGCGCACACGGTCGCCTACCATTTCGAGGCTTTAGTCACTGGTGTTCTATGTATGTACCCGAACGTTCAAATCACGAGCACGAACCGTATTTCTGGTGACAACGAAGAACATCCAGGTGTATGTCACCTTTCCAGGCATGATACGCGCTGTACAAGTTGGTGAATTTGCTCAGCAAAGGCCCTGGATACTTTGCCAGAGGGTGGAAGAAGGCACGATAAACGATGTTATAGAGAAACTAAACAACTAGATTATTAGCATTGACTAGGAAATCGTATGCAGAAAGGCAAACATGTGAATCCATACGAGGAGGATGCTACCACCAGCCAAAGTGATAACAATAGCTTCAGCTGAACTTACGAGCGCATCTAAATGCGTCGTATCCAAAGGCCAGAACTGCAGCATGATGAAGATGTAGGCACTACCTCACTGGACGTGTAAACTGAGAGTTGACGGTGTGTTTAATAAGTAAGGGGACCAAACGTGGTACGAATGGCTTGACGAAAACGCCGGCACAATGGTTACTTCTTCGGCCACTATAAGTGGGCAATCAACCTGGTCTCTGTTTCGGAGAGTGTTGGATTCGTATTCTCAAAATTTGAACATTAGCTTTGTACCACGTTTTCCAAGTGATATAGAATTTATATTCGATTAGTTACTATTTCATGTTTTACGTTTGGTTGATTTCTTGCAAAACAAAGAAGAGTAACGTAGTCCACGGTCCAATTGCACACTTCGGCAGATTTTCGTACGCTACCACTTTGACCTGCGGTTTTTCACCACATAACTATGGTTGGTTCTTGGAATGAAAGTGATATGATTCTAGCATTATATGCGCTTCAATCTGATCCAAAATTAAGTGTACGTCGCGCTGGTCAGATCTATAACGTACCTTTTAGAACCCTTGCGTATCGACGCGACGGTAAAACCGCTCGAGCATTTCCTCCCCGATTGAGTGGTGTTGAAGATATGGCCAACCGATTACTTCGAAGTCGCGACGCGGGACGCGTCGGCGTCAACTGGGCCTCGAGCTTCGTAAGACGATAACCAGACCTCCGGACGCGTTTAAATCGAATGATCGACTATCAGAGAGTCCTCTGCGAAGACCCCGACGCGTATCGCGCGCGGTTTGACCTGGTACGGAATACAATTGCGAAATACGCGATCCAGGAGGAGGATATCTACAACTTCGACGAGACCGGTTTTGTGATGGGCCAAATCTCGTCCGAAATGGTCGTGACAACTTCTTATCGGCGCGGAAGGCCTAGAGCAGCCCAGCATAGAAATCGGGAATGGGTTACAGTTATTCAAGGCGTTGGGTCGTCCGGTTATGCCCTCCCTCCGTACATCATTTTCGCCGGCAAAACCCACCTCTCGTCATGGTACGAAAACAGCCCATTACCGCCTGATTGGGTTATCGCAGTTACTAAAAATGGCTGGACTACGAACGAGAGAGGCGAAGATTGGATAAAACACTTCGATCATCACACGAAGTCTCGTACGAAAGGTACTCATCGCCTATTGATCCTCGACGGTCACGAAAGCCATCACTCGACCGATTATGTGAAAAATAGGATTGTACGACATCAAAATAGCTCACCAACGTCAATTTTTGCTGGAATAGATCAGATTGCGCGAGGTACAACGAAGGTTATGCATCGGCTTGCCCTTTTAGAAGGCGAGGTCGAATCACTTCGAAAGGCAAATGAGACCTTAAGTCGACGTCGCCGTGCGAAGAAAAAACAGCTACAGAGTGGAGGGTCACTTCGTATACAAGCTGGACAGGACCTACAGTCTCAACGAGAGGTTGATGGGCAGTTACATGACGAATTTCGTCAAATTGGTGGTCGGACGAGGCGGCGAATTGCGCGTGTACGGCTATAGAATCTGCGGCGAGCCCGGACATAATGCGCGCACTTATGGACGTTCCGGACAACGATCCGGAAGCTAGATACCTTCTTGCGGATACTTAAACCACCATTGCCGTGGAGTATTGAGGGTAGGCGAAGATATTATTTCCTCCGATGGAGACCAATGAGCTCATGTCATCTGCAGACGAACTACGCAAGGGCCAGGGTGCAAGTCGCATTCACAGCGCCGAGATGGGTCATCCATTGTGCGTCGCCTTGCAAATTGCGCTAGTTGACGTGCTTAGATCCTGGGGTATCGTGCCAGACTTGACCCTGGGACACTCCTCGGGCGAAACGGCTGCAGCGTATGCCTGCGGCGCCCTTACAGCCGAGGCTGCCATGTTTACTGCAACACGCTGTGGCATCAGTAACGTTTCTTCTAATCGGAAGGGATCCATGGCAGCTGTCGGGCTAGGGAGGGATGAAATACGACCGTACTTGCTTCCTGGAGTGGATATTTCCTGTGAAAATAGCCAATGCAGTGTCACCTTGTCCGGAGACACGGAGGGGGTTGAAAAGGTGATGGAGAAACTGAAGACCGATCAACCCGGAGCATTCGCTCGTATGCTCCGGGTCGAGAAAGCATTTCATTCCCGTAAGTCGATATCTTCATGATAAAATGTCTGTGTTTCTAACGCAGGAGATATGTGCAGATCATATGTGCGAGTACGGACCTTCCTATGAAGAGCAGCTCAAGCCTGTCATTCGCAGCGTCGAGCCCGAGATAGCATTCTATTCCTCTGTCACGGGCGATCTTCTGACAGGTCATGGAAAGCTTGAAGCATCATACTGGCGTGCGAACATGGAAAGCCCTGTTCTGTTCAACTCGGCGCTTCGCTCAGCGCTTCGTAATGAAGATGGAAAGGTGGTACTGATTGAGATTGGACCTCATCCTGCGCTGGCTGGCCCTATCGGCCAAATCCTGAGGGATATTGGACGCTCAGACGTTCACGTCGGTACACTTTTTAGGGGGAAAAGCAGCAAGGAGAGTCTTCTTCATGTCGCTGGAAAGCTCTACCAGCATTCGGTACGGTTAGATCTCTCTGTGGTTTGCCCACCAGGCAAGTTCCTCAGGGATCTTCCACGCTACTCCTGGAAGCAGGACTTAAGCCATTGGGGAGAGCCCCGCGTTTCGCGAGGCTGGAGGTTCCGGGAGCATCCGCCCCATGAACTCCTCGGAAACAGGGTCGTGGAGACGGGAAGCGAGCCCTGCTGGAGAAAGGTTCTTGCACTCGAAGATGCACTTTGGTTGACAGGCCACGAGGTGAACGGCCAAGTTGTGTTTCCTGCTGCTGGGTAAGTTGCTATGGTCGGCGAAGCACTGCGACAGTTGTCTGGGCAGACGACATATAGCCTCAAGAACGTCCGCATTTCCTCAGCATGAGTCCTGGAGATGGACAAGCCGGTCGAGCTTGTAACCAGTCTGAAGCCCATCATGGCATACACATCTGACAGCTCACCCTGGTATGAATTCACTATCACCTCCTTTGACGGAACGGGATGGGTCAGCAACTGCCACGGCGAAGCCATGGCATCAACGGACACGTCATTCTATGTCGACACTGGTGTTCCAGGTGCTGCTCCGTATCCGCGAAAGGTAGACGAGAAGGATTGGTACAGCATTCTTAGACGAGTTGGATTCAACTACACTGGATTATTTGAGGGAATGAAATACGTCTCGGCCGCTACTACCTCGAGCCAAGCGAAGGCCACGGTGGCAAATCAAATTCAAGGGGCGGCTTCTGACGGTGCAAGATGCTCAACATATTCCTTACACCCTGCAGTCATCGATCAATGTTTCCAGCTCTTCACCGTTGCCGCGTGCCGCAGACTCAGGCGCAATACTAGCCAACTGGCTGTGCCAACCTTCATCGAAGAGATGGTTATCTCCCCCAGCGCCCTGGGTTTGGAAGTCACGGCCAAGATCAACAGTTTGGATGAGTTAGGGTCCTGGACGGGAGACGTCGTGGCGCACGGTGCTGAAAGACCCGTTCTGAGTCTGAAAGGAATGAAGACCTCGGTCCTCACAAGGAGCTCGACAGAAGACGACCAAGTGCCTCTGATTACGCAACTCGATTGGAAACCACACAGTGATTTTGTCGGCGCCGAAACTGGATTGCATCCGCGTGTCCCACGCCGGAAGGAGTGGCCCCTACTGGAGGAACTCATCATCCTGTGCAGTTTCGACCGCCTGGAACGAATAAAGACGAACGACGAAACTCCGGAGCATCTTTTCAAGTCCTTGAACTGGATGCGACGCCACACGGAGAAATATCAGTCTGGGGCGAACGTTCTGATCTCTAAAGACCGGGATCTTCACCATCTAAATCACGAACAAAGACTCGCTAGGATTAACGCGATAGTGGCCGAGCTTTCAGACTCGCCCGATGCCGTCTTCTCAACGGCAGTCCATCGTCTGTTTGTCGAGGCGCCTGCCATATTTGCCGGGGAAACACATGCCCTGCACGTGCTTTTGCCAGACAATGTCCTCAGCAACTTCTACTATTCCATGTCGTTCGACTCAGCCGACGCGATCCGGCTCATGGCGAACACAAACCCTCATTTGCGAGTTCTCGAGGTGGGCGCAGGCACTGGTGGTACCACGGCCAGAGTGCTTCAAGCGCTCACATCCCCCTATGGAGAGCGTCTATACAGTTGTTATTCGTATACCGATATCTCAGCGGGTTTCATGGCGGCCGCGAAGGAGCGATTCGCCGGTGCTGAAGGCATGGAGATCAGCGTCTTGGACATTTCCAAAGATCCTGCTGAACAGGGATTCCAGCTCGGCAGCTACGACCTGATCATCGGGGCTAATGTAGGGTCTCTTTTTCTATGCAAGTCTGTATTTTTACCATCATTGGGTCATGATGCTAACAACAGTCTGCCTTCTTAGGTTCTCCACGCTACTCCTTACTTGAACACTACTCTTAAAAACGTGCATAGTCTTCTTAGTCCTGGTGGGCGTTTGTTTTTAGAAGAGCTTTGCCCGGGTAAGTAAATTTCTCATCACGGCTACGTAATCTTACTTTGCTGACTTTGCCTAGATTCCATGTTCATGAACTACGTTATGGTTAGTCTCTGCTCTCAACTGCATATATATCCCTCCAATTTCCATCAAACCTTGCCGAAAACAAAGGCTAAGTCCACACCCGTAAAGCGGCGTACACCAGCTAGGAATATTTGAGCTGACTGAACCGATTTCAAAGGCCTTCCTTTCAGGCTGGTGGCTCGGCGCAGATGACAACCGCGTGGAACAGCCATGGATCTCGCCAGAACGCTGGACCAAAGAATTAGTTGCTGCAGGATTCCAGGAGCCTGAAGCCATCGTTCTCGATTCTGCTGCGCCATATCACCTCAGCGCTGGCATCATGGTCTCGCGCGAGAGTCGGAGGACTACACCCTCGAGAGTGACGCTATTGTGTGTCGCATCTGACGGGCCTTATGTTTCTGAGATGCGCCGCTGTCTCGAAGAGTTGGACGTGGTTGTGGACATCTGCCTCTTCGGTCAGCCTCTGCCCGCTTGCGACACGATTTCGCTTGTGGACCTCCAAGAACCTGTTCTCCACAACATGTCAGAAGAAACATTCAAAACGATGATTGGATACTTGCAATCGCACAAGGAAAAGATGGTTTGGGTGACCCAGGCCTCCCAGGTTAACTGTGAAGACCCCCGGGGGGCCATGATGCTTGGCCTCGCCAGAACGGCTCGCAACGAGTACTCTCGGGAGTTTCTCACCATTGAAATCGACGGCACCACGACACCGCCAACCGCCACTAAAGCCATAACCGACATCTTACGCAGGGCTCACACTCCCCACGTGAACCCCAAATCTACGGATCCTGACTACGAATACGCCATAGTAGAGGGAAAGATCCTCGTTCCACGACTTCACTGGCAGACAATGACCCATGCATTCGCGGGAATTAATGGTAAAGAGACTCGTAATGGCACGCTCAAGCACCTTACCATGACGACTCCGGGTCTTCTGCATACGATGAAGTGGAGCGACCAAAAAATCAAAAGTCCTGCGGAGGGTGAGATTCTCGTCGAGACAAAGGCAGTCGGCCTCAACTTCCGAGTTCGTAATCATTTAAACTGTAATTTTTAAGATCACATATACTAACTGATGGCAGGATGTTGTTCTTGCCCTCGGTATCGTCCAAGGTAACCCCAGCGAGATGGGCTTTGAGGCTAGTGGCATCGTTCGGGCGGTAGGGCCCGGGGTCCAACGCTTCTCGGTTGGTGATAGAATCATGTGCCTGGGCGACGGTTGCTTTGCGACGCATATTACCCTGCAGGAGTCTATGTGTGTCAAAATTGACAGTTCAATGAGTTTCATCCAAGGAGCTACGGTGCCCTGTGTTTACGCCACCGCTCTCATGGCATTGGTTGGAATGTCGAATCTACAAATGGGGCAGGTGAGTAATGAAGCAATCGACTAGATGAGCCTAATCTAGAGGCACTAGACTGACGTTTTTCTTTTCGACACACAGTCCATTCTTATCCACGCGGCTTGCGGCGGTGTTGGCCTGGCGGCAATTCAAATAGCGCAGATAATTGGTGCAGAAGTAAGTACTGGCCTTTCTGGTCTTCTTTGCCGCCGAATTTACTGACATGTTATCAAAAGATATACTGCACAGTTGGCAGCGAGACCAAACGAAAGTATCTCATGGACAACTACGGCATTGATCCAAGCCATATCTTCACCTCTCGTGATCCGTCATTCCTACCCGAAGTGATGCGCGCTACCAAGAATGCTGGTGTCGATGTGGTGCTCAACTCGCTATCGGGCGACCTCCTACATGCGTCGTGGAAGTGCGTCGCAGAATTTGGCATCATGGTCGAGATCGGAAAGCGAGATTTCCAACGACGAGCCAAGCTAGCCATGGAGATGTTTGAAGCGAATCGAACTTTTATCGGCCTCGACCTTCGCGGGCTTTCTCAGTCCCGCCCAGCAAGGGCTGCCGAGTTGCTGGACCGCTGTGTCGAGCTGATTCGTTCAGGCGCCATCAGGGGCCCAACCATCTCTGGGACCTTCCCTGCCGCCGAGATCCAGGACGCCTACAGGACCATGCAGGCGGCGAAGCACATTGGTAAGATTGTCGTCGAAATGCCTGATGGCCCGCGAGATCTAGACTCAGAGCAAGGAGGCAAGTCTGTCATGGAATCAGTCGGGTTCAAGCCGACGCCACTTTTTCGCTCAGACCGCAGCTACTTGCTCGTAGGCGGCTTAGGCGGCTTAGGGAGAGCTGTCGCCACATGGATGGTGGAACACGGTGCTCGAAATCTGGTCTTTCTATCCAGATCTGCCCAAGAGGGACCTGAGATACAAGGCTTCTTAGCGGACCTACGCTCCCAAGGCTGTCAGGTGCTGTTAGTTGTCGGTAGTGTCAGCAGCATGGCTGATGTACAGACCGCTGTAGACACTGCTACTGCCGCCCAGCCGATCGCGGGAGTTATCAACCTGTCCATGGTATTGAAGGATGTCGGGCTTTCCGAGATGACATTCTCAGACTGGACCGCAGCCGTGGAACCCAAGGTCAAGGGAACGTGGAACCTACATTACGCCACCGTCTCGTCTCCCCTGGATTTCTTCCTATTGTTCTCTTCGCAGAGTGGCCTGATCGGCCTGTGGGGCCAGGCCAACTATGCAGCAGCCAACACGTTCCTCGATGCCTTCGTGCAATACCGACACCGAAACGGTCTTGCGGCTTCGGTCATCGATGTCGGTCTCATGGGAGATGTAGGTTATGTCTCAGGGAACAACACCATACTAAAGAGCCTCGAAATAACCGGCATGTACATCCTGCGGGAGCAGCATCTCCTCGATGCTATCATTTTAGCCCTGAAGAGGTCTAGGCCTTCGCATGCATCTAGTGACACCAACATGAGTTATCAATGCCTTGGTCAGGTGGTTCTTGGGCTCAATATTACAACTCCGATATCATCTCCCTCGACCCGAGTTACCTGGAAGCGCGACGTGCGCATGAGCATCTACCATAACCTAGAAAAGTCGACCGAGACATCCAACAGCGGCAGTTCGTCCGGAGGTAACACGCTGAAAAGCCTCCTCGTGGCCGAGCAGTCCGAAGAGGAAAAATCAGGTGTCATTGCCAAAGCCCTCGCGGTGGCGCTCGCCAACTTTCTGATTAAGGATGAGGACAGCTTCCCCCTGGACCGGCCCCTTGAGAGCCTCGGCATGGGCTCGCTAGTTGCTATGGAGGTGCGGAACTGGATCCGGCAGCAGGTTGGCGTTGAGATCAGCACGTTTACTATTATTCAGAGCCCTTCGTTCACGCACCTAGGAGATAATATCAGACAGGCCATGGCTGGTGAAGGCAAAACATGAGTCATACAAATTCTGTATTTTCTAAGCACATTCATTTTGAAGTCACCTGTTTTTCCTTAGGTATCTAGAATTTTCTATTCAATCAAAATAGAGAGCTTAAGAAAAAGAAGCCCAGCAAGGCGAAAGCCAGAACCTGCCAAATGACTGGCTGTGACATGTCACACATTATTGCCGTCGCTGCCATCAGGGACATGATTAGGCTCGAGGCCACAAGAAAATCTTTCACTCAGGCAAGCAATATTGTGATTTATCTGAGGCACACCGATCACACGGATATCGCCAGGGCCCTCACAGTGATATGGTATATGGGGTTGGTGTTTGGCGTTTGCGGGATCCTCACATCAGGTCAAGTGTCAACAGATACGAATAAACCCATGAACATATGAAGCAGGCTGCAGAAATTAACAATTCTTGATATGTTCTACGAAATATTTGCGTTTGTTTTGGTCATAACTGTGCGATCCCAAGACTCCCTGATCCACGTCCAATAGGCTGAATTAGCGTGTAGCTTGCCGAGCTATTAAACTCTTGTACCCCATTGATCAAGTACAATGGCGTGAAATCTCCATCATCACTCAAAAATAGCCGAGGTCTCTCCCTCCTGTAGTAATCCGTACGTCCCCCGTCCGAAAAATGTACTGTTGTATTGTACACCTCCTGCAGCTTAAACGTCCATTTTCCTGTCAAACTTCGCGAGAACATGTGCCCACCAACTCGAGGATATTTCTCTCCGCGTTCAGTAATGTCTATCATCCAATGACAGAGGATATGCCAATTGCTTCTTTTGTCCCGCCAGAGAAACGGATCTTCAGTCCAATGATTGCTGTAGTCGGAAGTGTTCCAGGGCATCGATTTGATTTGATTATAGGGACTGGAGAAGTCACTGGCACTGAATATGAAGTTGTCCTCGACAGCTAGGAGTACTTTTGACGTCGGGTTTTCTTCCTCCCACAGCGGCCAAGGCGACGGATTTGTGCCGTTAATGAGATATTCAAACGGAGTCCATGGGCCCTGAACTTCGGGAGCGCTGGAGATGGAGATATTATTGGCCCATTTGTATGATTTACACGTATCAGGGGTGTCCGTCTCTACCCCGATGGTATAAAGAAGATATTTCTCATCTGCGGGACTCCATACAGTGGCTGCATTGTGGCGGAAAGTGCCGAAGATCTCCTGCACGAAATGGTATGGTCCCGCCGGTCCTGTTCTTGACTCGGCTCGTATGACTGTGCTGAAAGGTCTCCACCCCGACAGCCCGCAGCCGTGGGCAAATTGATCAACGAAAAGATGGAAGAGTTGCTTATCGTGTCGATCATGAATGATTGAGCCACCCCAGGAGGAATTCCCTTTTGTGCTATACTGATCAGATAGCGTGACGTTTGTGTAGTTGTAGCCTGTCCATCTCGTCGCAGGCAGGAGGTCAAGTTCGCCGCAGTCATCTGATTTCCAACCTGGATCACATATGCATGTTTGGTCCACAGGAGAACAAACTCCGTTCAAACTGCAATCCTCATCAAAGAAGCATCCTTGAGCTGTTTTAACAAGGAGGAAGGTGAAAAGAAGGATCTGAATCTCTATCTTCTGCATTACTAATGCTTAAGAGTAAATCTTCGGTTGGTCGTACATATGGAAATTAGATCCAGAGAGGGTTATTTAGTAGAATCCTAGTCGCAACTTTGTCCCCGCACTTAATCGAGTATTGTCTTGATTATGTGTTCGGATTTCGGAATAAAAGCTACCAATGCCACTGCTAATGATGTGGTTCGCCCACCGTCATACAGCGTAGATCTCCCCACGTTTCCCCGCTGCCCAGGAACTCGACCCGGATCTGAGGATATCCTAGATAACAACGCAAATAAAGCCCACGAATCACAGGACAGAAAAGTCGTGCTTTATGAGTCTACTTCAGAGTTATACCGAGCTGAATCCTACAGTTGAGCTCGTCTTTCCGTGAAAATTAATTATTATTATTATTATTATTATTAAATACGCCGTAGGCTCGAAGCCCCCGGTACCTCTACTAGTACTCCCGTATGTCAAACCGTGCCCTAATGGCTGGACTAAATACATACGCTGCGTCGTCGCTTCGCCCTATTGGCGACTGCGTTGCGTCCACTACCATACTATGTTGGTTCTCAACCTACCAACTAAGTCCCCCCTGAGAAGATCGATGCTATCTGGGCCTTGAAGCTGTCCGACCCGTCCCTAGCAGCCACCTTACAATAGTCCCACTAACTACTGGTTCTCCTGTTGCCGTTGCGAGGTCTCTGCGAGAGTATAGTGGCCGTGGTGCGATAGCGGCCCGTAATCGTTCCCTCGGTCCTTCCAACAGCCCGCAAAAGAGGATTACGTGCTCTGCCATCTCAGGGGCGTCGCCACAGCGGCATAGCGGCGAGTACACGCCAAAAGCCCCTGTCTTGAATAAGAAGGCTGCTAGTCCTATTTTTTCCGTCCTGATCTGGCACAGCGTAGACGCCTCCAGTCGGTTCAGGCCGAAATACTTGCCCCCTTTCGGTATCTGCTGTCAGGTTACGGCCTGGACCGAAGGCGATAGTACAGAGTGAAGGGGAGAAATAGGCGTGTTCCCCTGGTGGTCACTTGATGATGGCAGGTAGGGGTGTCCACAGTAGTTCATTGATCTCTGCCCTCTCTATCTTCCTCCGTCTCGACTCCTTACTTATAGCCAGCCGAGGTTCTCTGTTGGATTCTGGATGTTTGCTTCCGCATGTCTGTGTTCCTCCGACTTCGGCCAATATCTTGGATAGCGGCTCTTTATCTGCAACCAAGCGATTCCCTATCCGCTGCAAACGGCTTCAACAGCTCTCATTCGCCACAAGCGGCTCTCTAGCCGCCACAAACGGCCTCCCGGCTCCTCATTCGCCACAAACGACTTCCTTCCTGGTGGAAGCCGGCCCGCCTCGGATGACACTTGTGGCTCTGACATCTGCATCGAAGGGCCCTCCGGTTCCTCAGCGATAGCGCGTCGCTGGCGATCGTGATGCTCTGCTCCGGTGAGCCATCTCTTCCTCCAGTGGCCGAGGAGGGCAGCCGGGACCTCCTTTTCCTCACTCATCCACTCGGAGCCCCGGGCCTCCTTCTCCATAGTGTACCCTGCCGGTCGGAGTAGCTGCGACGCCTGCTTCCTCTTCGCCGGCCTATCCTGCCGGAGTATATGTGACGCTTTAGCGCTCGCGCTGCGAAGCAGATTTCTCTTCCCGCTAAGCCGTAGCCGTTCTTCAAACTTAGCAGCCCGGGCACTAAGATAGAGGTCTAGTGGCGGGATTGCTGCTTCTGCTTCCAGGTGGCGAACCGGCGTCGCTTTGTGGGCGCCACAGACTACCCGGAGGCACTCGTTCTGTATCCCCACCAGGCTCTTAGCTGGCCCTGCCGGTTCCTCACTTATAGTATGCCACGCAGTCGCCCCGAAGGCGATCGCGCTACGGATAACCACCGTATATAACAGCCTCGCCCGTATAAGATCGCAGCTCCACGACATATTGACTAGCTTTGTCAGGGCTAGCTTTTGAGTTGCCATTTTTGTTTTAACACGCTCAACATGGGCGTGCCACGTCAGTTTGCGGTCGAACCAGACTCCTAGGAACCTCGCTGAGACTACCGGCGACACTGTGGCGTCCCCAAGGCGAATACTTTGCGGCAAGGGCTCTCGGGCCCTAGTAAAGTGCATTAGCTCACTCTTGTCAGGAGCGAACCCCATCCCGTGCCTCACTGCCCACCGCTGACACGTAGCCCATGCGCTCTCCAACCGGCGGCAGGTCGTGTCTGGATCGGTGCCGACGCTTAGCAGGTTCGTGCCGTCCGCGAAAACATTAATTAATACATATGGAATCTTGAGCTATGAATTTGTTGCATAAATAGAGAACAAGTCGTCAGTATTATTTTCACCAAGGTTCGGTTGAGACCATCTGCCTGCTATCGAGCACTTTATTAAACAGGAATTTAAGCATGTATAAGTTCAGTCGTCTAGATTGAGAGAGAGTAATGCAGATCAACATCTGGGAATGAGAGAGGTGACGTCTGAAACACTACGCCGAGCTCATGAAGTTCATCCGATCTCCGCCTTATAAATGGAGTATAGTCCGTTCGCTCTCGACATTGAAGACTCGAAGATAGGACTCTTGAAGACCTGCTGAGAGCTAGGGATCGCAGTTGTGGCCTACAGTCCACTGGGCCGCGGTTTATTCACTGGGTTAAAGACTTACAAGGACGTAGCTGCAGATCCATTCCTGTCGCTTCTTCCCAAGATATTAGAGGAGAACTTCCCTAAGATCTTAGAGTTGGCAGACAAGATCAAGCAGGTGGCGGCTAAGAAGGGGTGTACTCCCCCACAGCTGACTCTGGCTTGGGTCATAGCTTAGGGCGACGACTTCATCCCCATCCCGGGCACGAGAAGTCCGAAATATCTAGAGGAGAACTTTAAAGTACAGGAGATTACCCTCACGCGCGAGGAGGAGTAGTGATACGTGACCCCATGGGGGGTTGCCCTATAGCTAGAGATAAGATATATAAGAGCTATAAAAGAGCTCTGCCAGGCCAGAATAGCTGACCTGGCCATCCTTTTCCAATACAACAATTCACACCCCATATGCACTCGCATCAAATGGTAGCATCTCCTCAAGATTGAGTAAATCCACCAAACCAAACCAACCATCCATCGATCGATCAAGATCACCATCACGGCTACGATCCTATCGCCGCCAGCGTTTCGCACGCACCAAAACCAGCCCCAGATCTATCAAGATCACCATCGCGTCACGCACCTATCGCGCACACCTTTATTAAGAGGACCCATTCATTAGGCCAGTCTTCTACCAGCGCCTAAGCATTACGATCGCAGATATTACGAAGCGATCACTATCACAGTCTATCGAGGGACCCTTCCACTAGGCCAGTCCAGCACTAGATCTATCAAGATCACCAGAATCATCAAGGGACCCTTTCACTAGGCCAGTCTCTACCAGAATAACCGTCCCGGAGTCGATCCACAACATCAAGCGCCCACAGCCGCCGGCCGTCAAGATCTCTCTGACTTCGTTTCCTTTCATCGAGTCGAGTCCATCGCCGTCGCCTTCCGATCATACGATTCCCCATACTAAACGCACCAGAGCGAACACATCGTCAAGAGCACTGCCCCGAACACAGTCAAAGGTATCGGCATCCGTAGCCCCGTCAAGGTCAGATATACAGCAGCTGGCAACATGATGCAACAGTACTTTGGCCTAGCTATCGACACAAAGCCTTTGGAGACCCCGCCATACAGAACTTGGCTTGAGCAGTCTCCTCCGAATACAGCGATTTGGCCAACTTAGCAGCTCTACACCCTGGCAAGTACCCCTGCACCAAACGTACTGAGGACAGTACCATTTTCCGTGTAGCCCGGCATTTTGATACGTGACCCCATGGGGGGTTGCCCTATAGCTAGAGATAAGATAGATAAGAGCTATAAAAGAGCTCTGCCAGGCCAGAATAGCTGATCTGGCCATCCTTTTCCAATACAACAATTCACACCCCATATGCACTCGCATCAAGTAGCAAATCAGAGAAGCAGCCAACCGAATAGAGGTGCCAGGGTCGCGATATCCCGAATCGTAAGCACATACCTCCCATTATCTCCTGAAGTCTTGACTAAGAATATTTAGTTTCGGCCTATTCGTGCTTAGCGACACCCCGCCCCTGTAATTCTTTGAAGGGTTTATTAAGTAGGTAATAGTATCCGTTATTGTATGAGCAATTATCCTTAAAAATAATAGAACTAGAAGTGACGATTGAAGGCCGTTTGCGCGCGCAGGAACGGTACGGCGATATCTTTGAGCTCACAACAATACGATAGTTTATGAGAGTTTGTCAGACTTGATGCACGAGAAACGTAGTATACAAAGATATACACAAAGTGGATAGCCATTTGAATGACGTCTTTGTTGTATTAGTATAAATTGACCTTCCGGAGTAACTTAGCGATGCTTAAAAGTTGCATTTCAATCTTGAAAACATCGCTAGTAGACCTTTCTTGCTCCTGATATTGCGAGGCTTTTGGCCATATTAACTGGTGCTTCCGAGGTGGAGGTTTCCATTTTCGGCTCCTGAAACTTCAAGCTCTGGAAATCTCCATGCTAACTACAAGACCTTTATATACAAAATGCCGAACGCGGACCAAGGGTGCCTGCTGACTTATCGTCTGGTGGCCACTATTTCTTTCTGGTGCTTTTATCTGTTGTCGGATGTGAGCGGATATGCATCGGGATTATAGAGCTTATAGAATTGAATAATGAGGTTTACGCTCTACGCTATTGCTAGACCTAAGTCATGAAGCCACATTTTCAAATCCATGGAAAGACGTTCGCCGACCTTGTCGTCTACGGCATTCTTTTGCCAGGTAACGGTGATAGTTAACCCCTTATCTACTGTAGAGATCGCATCAATGGTAATCGCTGAGCACACTAGCCAAAGGCACAGCTCTCAATCGTCCAGCTATCTTCGCGGCCCTGTTGGTCGCATTTTAAAACGCCTAGGCTGCTCACCACCCAACTTGAAGGACGCTGCTTCTTCATCTCCGATTCTAAGTACGACTTCCAGTTCCTAACAAATTTCAGTATGCCTATCAGATCGTTTTCCATGCCGCGGCCCAACTTGTTGGAAATCTTTTGCCTCACTCTAGTTACGACCGACCAGACAATAGTTGAGAGGCCATCGGATAACGTGCCGTCTGTTTGATCCTGCAGCTGCTTTCGAATCGCCGAAACTAGCCCAGTGTCGAAACTGTGCGACATCGTCGAGATCAGACAGGCAAAGACGCCATTTGGATCCGCGCCATCCAATCTCGCCGGTTCTTGTTGGATTGTGGGCAAATGGTCTTGTATTGAAAGTGTCATGATCTCTTGGGAGTCCAGAGAGAAGTATATTGCGGCCATAGGGGCCTTACATAGACAGAAATGACTGATGCCTGTCCCACAGCCAGGACTTGTGTGGTTCGATGGGTAGAGGTCATATTGGCCCATACTCGTACGGTTGGCGGCTTTTACTTTTCTCCTTGGCTTGACAGTCTTGATGGAGTAGCCTTGAAAGTCCAACAAGTTTTCCCCATATCCGTTTGAGAAGGACATTTGTGCATCTCGCCAAGTTTCTCCAGGGGAGCTTTACGATGCTACCAGTGGCACGTAACCTAATCAGCACTCATCTAGCGCCTGTGAGGCTAAATGAGTTTCTTAAATAGTAAATAGGTACTAGCGCGGCTTATTTGGCTCCTCGTTGGTAGGATCGCCGACGAGGCGGTAGCGTAGGGTGCTACCCGGTATATAGTCGATATTAGATGATTAGCGCTATAACCTGCTATTTAGTACGTTGATAATGGTATCTCCACTACATCATTTAGTGAAGAGGCCTGTAGTAGTAGGTGTGCCTAAAGTTAAAGAATAATTGAGCAAGTTTTCGTATTAATTGGACGCGTTATTATACAGTTATATAGAAAATAGTAGTGGAAATGCGCAAGGTCGCAGGGTCGCGTCACTTCGCGGAGTAGGCCGTCAAGTGGAGTGGCCGCAAATGTATTGGTTGACTTAGATGAAACTCATGACTGTGTTGCGGACGGTATGCGACGCAAGGATGCTATTCACAAGTCTTTTCTTCCCTGAATTGAGCGAGGGCAATTCCTTGGTTTGCTTTGCTCTATGCCTATCTTCTCTCATTCCCACCGAGGGGAAAAGGCCACCATTGATGACGGGCAGTTGTTAGATATTCACGTATCTTGCAGTATGACCGTGATATGACGGTTATATGAAAAGAATAATTTGGTGGTTATGGTTAGGTCACCGTTTTTTCCATGCTCGATTCCCTCTATCTGTTCTGTTGGCTGTGTGCATTGCCTTTAAGTAATCTGAAGGGTCCAGCCTTACTAGGCTACCTCTATCCCACCTTTATCCTGAAGCATAAAGCGCCTTTCAACCTTAGGAATCACTGTGGTCCTCAATCCCTCATTTAATATCAAACAACAGTCTAGACAAAGCTAGAACTAACGATATGGTGCTTCTATGCTCCAATACCATGTGACCCGTCGTTTTTGACAGCAGTAAATGCCCGAAGGTTCAAGGTGTGATGATGGCAACGGACTACAAGATCCTCGACAAGACCTTACTATCCGGGAGATGGAAAGAATAACAAAAATCGCGAGCCTTCTTGCGGACAACAAGTACCTCAGCAGGTACTAACAACTAGTGCCTCAGCAGGTGAACAAGGAGAACAATGGCCTCAATAGGCACGAGGAACAGAATAAGACCTCAATAGACCATCAAAACAACTGGTGCCTCAACAGGCGAAAAGAGTCAATTAACTACAGACTTGGGCCTCTTGATTTTTTTCGTGAAGAGAGTGACTACCTACACAGATCCTTAAATGCCGTCAAGAACACTTTTACATATTTCGTCTAAAAACCGAAGAGAAAAAACACCCGAAAACCCTATCCCTAAGTCACCATGACGCGAAATGCTTTCTCATTTGAATTGCAATGCCGAACCGGATAAGATCCAGCTGACGATTTGGAAGAGAGACAGCCAAGATGCCGCAGCAGCAGCAACATCCTGCATAGTGAATCGGCTTGCCCGTGGTCATGAATTTATGAATTTATGCATGGCCAGTATACTCACTGTCCAACTCATCTCATATCGGAGCCTAGAGATCTGCCGCTCAAAAGTGGAAAATTGAAGTATGAGCGAAATGTGACAGTCGCCATAAAAATTTCCACTGGCATCGCACGTGAGGTCGTTTGCCGGGACAGAAGAGATGGTGAATTCGTAGTAATCATAGGCTGGGGCCTTTCCGGGAGCCTGCCTGTAGTTCAGTACGAGGTTGACAGACGTCATGGCGTAGGCATTGATGAGGTTCAGGCGAGAGTAGCCACCCTCAAGAGCTTCTTCAAGCGTCAAAGTTGTATCGTAAATCGCTAGCCAGATACTTGACAAGAGGGTAATAAATGAGTCGGTTTTTGCTTTATACGAATCATCTGAGATGGTTTTAGTCTTGGGTACGCTGCTTCGCCCTGGTACTGACTTCACCTACACGAGAAGAATGCCTGAGTGAGAATTGTGGTTGTGGGCTGGACACAGACCGTGTACTGACTTGCGTAAAGACTCAATGCTCGGTACGTTGTATGTCCACACTGGACTATCTCGATGGTGGTGCCCCAGTTGCTTCCACAGTTACACCACTCTCCTGGTATGACCTCACTGCAGGCAGCGTTATCTTCGTCCATCCAGCCAATGAAGCACTTCGGTTTGTCGTTGAGGTCTAGGATGGCTTGCGACAACCATTCAGTGTTCTGTAGGAACGTTATAGAAGGGTAGTACGCTTGAGACTGTTGAGAGTGTCAATAGACACAAAGTGATCAGCAGGACTGAGCTTACTCACAACGATATCACGGTCTAGCACAATGACCATATTACTGAGCCCGGGCCTCCAAATTTACCAGAACAAGATGGGAACGGCTATGGTGGTGATTGTGACGGTTAAGAAGGTGTTGGCCAAATTGATTGACCAACATATATCAAAGTCAGGTCCGAGCACGTTGCAGATGGGTGAGAGAACCGTACCGTTTTTTAAATGCCATCTTCAATCGGCCGTGGCCAAGCGGACCCGGTCCCACATTGTAAGGTCCTATGAGTAGATCTTTTGGTTTTTTCACTAATTCGACTATAGTTTATTTACCCCAAAGTAGGTATGTCATGGTTCGGCGAGATTATGACGTGGGGACAGGGTTTTGGGGCATTATTTTTCGGTTGTTCGATTTTCGGATGAATTATTTAAGCGTGTTCTTAAAGGTATTTAAGACCCTGTGTACGTAGTCACTCTCTTAGAAAAAAAAAGAAAATTACGCGGCCTATTCCACAGTAATTTGAATTATTTCTCTTTACTCGTTGGAGGTATTTATTATTTCACATACCTTTTAAGGTACTTTTGTTCCCCCTATAGATATGCTTATGCCTGTTAAGGCTATTGTTCCTATCGTTCACCTGTTGAGGTAATCGCTTAAGGACCTGTTAAGGCCCTTTTCTTTTTCTTCCATAGCCTGCTAAGGCTCCAGTTGTTAGTACCTGTTGAGGTACTTGTATTTCTGATCAGGATAAGAGAGCTCTTGATCTTGTTATTCTTTACTGGCCTGCTAAAGGCCTGCGGTGAACCCGTATGGGAGATCCTAGCGGATCTGGCAACAGCTAGCTTTAGGCTGGGGTACTACCCGGAGCGCTTCCGCTCAGCGAGGGTGGTTGTTATCCCTAAGCCTAATAAAACGACAGCTCAGAAGCAGACCCCTGGCGGCTGGCGCCCCATTGCCCTGCTTAGCACGGTAGGGAAGGTAATAGAGACGGCGATGAGCCAGCGTATCACCAAAGTAGCTGAGGCGGCCGGCCTACTACCAAACGGCCAAATGGGTAACCGCGCTGGGAGGTCCACCGAACTGGCAATACGTATAGTTGAGGACGTGGTCTATACGGCGTGGAGACGCGGGGGCATCGCCTCGCTGCTACAGCTAGACATCAAGGGGGCATTCGATACGGTCAATTACAGACGGCTGATTTCCATATTAGCCCGGGAAGGCTACCCGGAGTGGGTTCAGGAGTGGGTACGCACCTTCGTGGAGGATAGGACGGTACGCCTCCGGTTCGATGGCAAGGAGTCAGAGCCAATCCCCCTACGAGCTGGCGTCCCCCAGGGGTCACCGCTATCCCCGATACTGTTTATATTATACATTTCAACGCTGTACGAGGAGCTAGCGGAGCAGCACCCACTACTTTTAGTAGTCGGGTTCGCGGACGACACGAACCTGCTAAGCGTCGGCACCGATCCAGACACGACCTGCCGCCGGTTGGAGAGCGCATGGGCTACGTGTCAGCGGTGGGCAGTGAGGCACGGGATGGAGTTCGCCCCTGACAAGAGTGAGCTAATGCACTTTACTAGGGCCCGAGAGCCCTTGCCGCAAAGTATTCGCCTTGGGGACGCCACAGTGTCGCCGGTAGTCTCAGCGAGGTTCCTAGGAGTCTGGTTCGACCGCAAACTGACGTGGCACGCCCATGTTGAGCGTGTTAAAACAAAAATGGCAACTCCAAAGCTAGCCCTGACAAAGCTAGTCAATATGTCGTGGGGCTGCGATCTCATACGGGCGAGGCTGTTATATACGGTGGTTATCCGTAGCGCGATCGCCTTCGGGGCGACTGCGTGGCATACTATAAGTGAGGAACCGGCAGGGCCAGCTAAGAGACTGATGGGGATACAGAACGAGTGCCTCCGGGTAGTCTGTGGCGCCCACAAAGCGACGCCGGTTCGCCACCTGGAAGCAGAAGCAGCAATCCCGCCACTAGACCTCTATCTTAGTGCCCGGGCTGCTAAGTTTGAAGAACGGCTACGGCTTAGCGGGAAGAGAAATCTGCTTCGCAGCGCGAGCGCTAAAGCGTCACATATACTCCGGCAGGATAGGCCGGCGAAGAGGAAGCAGGCGTCGCAGCTACTCCGACCGGCAGGGTACACTATGGAGAAGGAGGCCCGGGGCTCCGAGTGGATGAGTGAGGAAAAGGAGGTCCCGGCTGCCCTCCTCGGCCACTGGAGGAAGAGATGGCTCACCGGAGCAGAGCATCACGATCGCCAGCGACGCGCTATCGCTGAGGAACCGGAGGGCCCTTCGATGCAGATACCGAAAGGGGGCAGGTATTTCGGCCTGAACCGACTGGAGGCGTCTACGCTGTGCCAGATCAGGACGGAAAAAATAGGACTAGCAGCCTTCTTATTCAAGACAGGGGCTTTTGGCGTGTACTCGCCGCTATGCCGCTGTGGCGACGCCCCTGAGACGGCAGAGCACGTAATCCTCTTTTGCGGGCTGTTGGAAGGACCGAGGGAACGATTACGGGCCGCCATCGCACCACGGCCACTGTACTCTCGCAGAGACCTCGCAACGGCAACAGGAGAACCAGTAGTTAGTGGGACTATTGTAAGGTGGCTGCTAGGGACGGGTCGGACAGCTTCAAGGCCCAGATAGCATCGATCTTCTCAGGGGGGACTTTGTTGGTAGGTTGAGAACCAACGTAGTATGGTAGTGGACGCAACGCAGTCGCCAATAGGGCGAAGCGACGACGCAGCGTATGTATTTAGTCCAGCCATCAGGGCACGGTTTGACATACGGGAGTACTAGCAGAGGTACCGGGGGCTTCGAGCCTACGGCGTATTTAATAATAATAATAAAAATGTTATTCTTTCCACCTCCCGTATAGTAAGGTCTTGTTAAGGATCTTCTTGTCCGTTGCCATCATCATCACCTTGAACCTGCGGGTGGTTTCACTGCCCGTCGTCAATATCCCTGTGTCAGAGTTGCCTGGACCTCCTAACTGTACCACCACCTCATTGCTTCACCGCCATAAATATTGTCTACGGCAACAGTCCAGTTGTACACGTCACTACCACACCTTACAACCTTCACCTCGGCTCGGCAGCTTCGCTTTATGCTACCACGTGTCTTTACATGACCACTTTCAACTCGTGCATATTAGAAGGAGGTGGCCACGGATCAGTTTGCGTCACAGCGCAAACCTGTAATAACTAGGGTCCAAGAATACACCGACTTCCACCGATGTGACGACGGCAGCGCCGACCGAATCAGCAACGCCGCAAGTGAACGCCTGTAAAACCAAGGCTGACTGTCAGCAATATACATCGAAGGATGGGTCGACTCGGGAATATTCTCAAAGTGTCGGAGATCCCTTCACGCATGTTTTCTCGTGTTAGGCGACGAGCATGGGGTGTCACACAATGGGAAAACTCGAATGTGGTACAGGATGCCCTACCAGTCTATCATGGGGGTCTCTTTCCTTTTTCTTTCGGCCTTCGGACTTAGAAAATACCAGTCTCTACTTCAAGTCAAGTCTTTGGGCGATGAGGAAACGCGTCACCTACACGGCACGTTACAAAAGTAGCAGTAAAGTCTACAGAATCATGATTATGAGAGAAGAGGTTCTTTTAAGGTAGCCTTAGATGAAGCAGGCTGCCGAGATTGCAAAGGATCATATCACCAGCACTGCATGGCACATCGCGCCGTCGGTATATTTTTTGTGTTACTTGCAAGACCCCAGACTCCAGCAGGCAGCGATGAATACCTTAGTAAGAAACTGATTAAATATAAATAAATCCAATTTGCTCTCATACTCGCCTGCTTCAGTCGCACGCCCATCCAAAAAAGCACAACTGAATACGCACTTGTAAAGTTCCCCTTCTTTTGGTAAGATAAGATCTTCGTCTGGGCTGCTTAAGTAGTGGCTGAGCTGACTCAACGGTTACGTAGAATACCTTGCCGTCCACCACTCGTCAACCATACAACATGGTTCTCCTAATTACCATACAATCCATTCTCATCGCATTTGCCACAGCCCACACGTGGGCGCAGTTCTGCGACGACACCGCCTGCAAAGATAATTGCGGCACATCAGTTAACATCGATGACCCTGGTTGTCTCACAAACGAATTCAACCGACGCTCTATCAAGTTCCACGGTGAAGGTTTTGACGGAGTTTACCTTGTGTTCTCTCCTGATGAGAGCTGCAGCTGTCAGAACGACTGTCTGCAGCACAGCGCTTCCACGGATTGCGCGGATCTCACTAGCTTGAGCAAGGCGAGTGCCAACTCGTTTCGATTTCAACGGGAAACTTGTTTTGCTTCGGAGGCAGGTGCGGGCTCGGGCGTGGGGAACAACTGCTAGGGAAATTGACGTAATTCAAACTGGGATATTTTCATTTTCTAGTTGGGCGGCCGGCTACGATAGTTACTTAATCCGGCACGTGGGAATGTGAGGCATTGGACATTCAAGATCGCCGAACTTGAAATCAGTTTGAAGAACTGAGTAGCCACTTCTTGTTGCATTGATGCCTTCAGAGAATGGGTCACAATACATACGTATACCTGTATCTTATGAAGAGTTGTGGTAGAAGTAAATGTCATTGGAAATTTGAAAGCAACAAACATTCTTACTTATGAAGGTCATTGACAACGACAAAGCTGATAGTTGCGAATTCAGCATCTGGATTGACGTCGTTCAATACAAAGCTGTCTTGTACCTCTACTATTGTGTCCCTCGTGTGCATGTATGCCTCCAGAGAGCAGGCCCTCCACCAAATAGGGTTATACATGGCTTATAAGCAGCTTTCTGGGCAAAGTTTTACAGGTGTGCACATACGCCCTTCTTGGAGAGGGAGGTGATTATCAGACTTGTTGCAAGCTATATCAAAGCATAGAATTGAATGTGTCTCTGTCGCCTCTCGGTAGAAAGAATGAAAGTGGCCATAAAGGCCTTAAATACAGAAAAAGGGGCTTCTTGGCTTGCACATCTTGAGAGTGCTGATCACCTCTGAGCATAACAGTGGCTGATAGACCAGCGGGTTTGGGCCACAAGGTCTAAAATCCTGGCAACCGGCTGTTGCAGCTGGAAGCGGAGAAAACAGACGTTGTGAGTCAAAGGCTGGTGCGGTCCAACAATACTCGTGAAAGATTTTAGTAGTTCAATTCACCAAGATTCGTTCCATTTTCTTTTTCGAAAGCCTCAACCCGCTGTAACCTTCTTTATTGCCGCAGTCATATTACCTAATCATGTCGTAAACCTGAGAGATCTGGTCTCGGATGAAATTCCTCCGGTTTCTGTTACATTATCAGATCGAGAAAACAAATTGTTCGAATGGCTAGAGCCCTCTATTTCCGGAAATCATCCTGACAGCTCCTTCCTGCTGTCTAAAAAGTTCGAGAATTGTATTGACATGTTCGAGCTTCACCATATGGTTGGTACAGACCCTATAATGGGCTGGAACTTCAATCGGGATTTGGCCAAATTTGTGGCGTTGACCGTCCGCCTTACCATTTTCGATGGACGTGCGTCGAAGGAGTCGATTTCGATCTCCCAGATCTTATGGCGGGTCTCGGGCTCGTGCACTGACATTGCTTTGGGAGATTGCATCGAGTTAGCTCCGGCCGTCTCGGCGAAAGGGCGAAGATGAAAAGAGGAAAAGGATAAGACTTCATTGTGGACGGGAAAAGTTTCGTTGTAAACATTGACGAAAATTGTATAATGGTAAAGTTTTGCCTCCACCTTTAGTGCCACTTGAGTCACACTCCTCTAGGTTGGGTCATCTATCTTCTCCGTGATACTTGTTTTGTCAACGCCTCACAACTGATCTGTCTGGCTAGAGGCATCAGTCCGGAATGCCTACCTTGACGGTAGAGTATGAGGAAGCGTTCAAATCTTGTATCCCATCTCACGCCGTGGCAAGCCTACAATTTTATTAATGCAATTTGAGACTTAACTGTCGTGGTTTGCGATAATTGTGGCAAGAGACGGATTACATAGGAGAACGATACACGAGAGCTGATCCTCGCATATCGCCACTTCAGTTGGAGTGACCAAGTTCTAGGCTAAAGCATAGACTAAGGATATGTGCCCAAAGTTTTCCTTGCCCTCGACAGGAGAGTGTCCTCTCATATCTTCTCAACGCTAGGTTTTAAATATCACTGAATGAATTTCACCGACACCCACTAGATGAGGGTAACTTTCGTTGGAACATTAATTTTCTCTTACCAGGTAATGGAAATTGACGACAAAAGCCGGATACCAGTGTAGTAAACTCTTTCAGGGGGGCAGGAGCAGATTTAAAGACACCATTAGAGGGCGACCGAATGCAACGGGAACCACGCAAGTCTATTCTCCTGAAGACATAAAAACCTGCGGCAAGTTCATGGCCTTGCCTAGATATCACGAGTTGGTAACCATTCGGCCTCTAATATTTATAGACATGATATTTATGCTCACCCAACCCTGGAGGCAATGTGGTCTCACTGTTGCGAAGGTGGAAGATTTGATCAGAAATTGTGTGCCGCCAAACTACTGAAAAGTGACACTGACTTGAATACAAGGGGAGTGTGGTTTCACCCGACCGTCAGTGCCTGAAATGGAATCAGATTACCGTCTGGAATAACTGGGAGACGTGGTTGAAGAGTTGGGTTGGTCTCATCACCAATACGGCACTCTTGTCCGTATTGGCCACAATTTCTGATTTTGTGTGCAGAGCAAGATATAGCTGGATTAAGACAACTGCTGCCATGCAGATTAGGGGTTGGGTGTTGCTCCAATCCACGGTAATAAAGGGGGATATTTGCGTTCTTGGTATGTTAGTTTATTGTGGGGGACTCGGAACATCGGATGGTGAGCTATAGCCATTTCGACAACAGTCCTGCCAACTGATCACGAATGCGTGAACTTCGCCGCATGCAACCATCCAAGCAGAATTTCGTGGACTTAGAAACATTGTAATCTTGTAACTAGGCTTTTTCATCATATCATTGTCTGCCTGACGTTGCAACCTGCAGCTACAAGGTTACAACTTACACAGAGGAATGCTACTTCCGGCTGGGCCGAAAGTGGGATCGCATTGCGAATGAATCACAGCGATGGTCGTACAAAGTTGCTAGGTATGTAACACTCTAGTGAACAATCAGCAATTCACGAGGATGAAGTTCAGGTTTCAATGAGCAGCGCAATTGCATTGCAGAATGTCCACTCGACGGGATCCTACGAGTAAGATATAGTCCAGGCGCCCCGTTGGGGGGCCCCGTTGGGTCTTCCACGTGCAGCTGCAACCAGGGATTCGTGCAGATGGATGGATCATCGCATACATAGTAGATTTGGATCTGCAGACTCCGAGGACTCGCTATAAACGCAATCACCCCTGTGCGATCCGGCAACTGGACAGCTCCGTTCACAATCTTCTTAATTCCACAATACCAACTCTTGACGCATGTCTTCGTCCAATTCTCAGGCGACGTCAACGCCAAGTTTGCCTAGTTGTCAAGGATGGATGCCAGGGACCAAAACAACGTCTCGAACGATCTCATCTCTTCAGACCCACCCGGACCCCCGGGAATTACAGCCCTGCAAGTACATCAGCCACTTTGCCGCTTTGGGCACTCTGGGTTGGTGGCCCTGAGTCCTTACTAGGAATCCTAGCATTTGATGTGCAGCCAATGGCCATCCTTAATCTTGTCCTTAATTACGATTTCACAGTCACAATATCGCCCATGCAGGCTAAAAGCGCACTTATGTATGTATTGTGCAATTGCGCCCGGTCACATCGCCCTACGTGGAATATAGCAGCCGCCTGTTGAACCCATGCCCACCACTCGAGCGACTCCCTCCAGCCGCAAAGTCCACTTATTGGACGATATGAGCTGTCAGTTGTGAGGCATCTCAGACATGGCACGATAGTCACCTCGACCAGGGATATACCCCGGGTACTTGGATGTCGCACCGGACCCTAGTAGCATCGATCATTAGCTCATCTCCATCTAGTCCCCATATGGACCCATTGAAACACTGGGAATCCTGTTGTTTGAGATAATGACGATAAAGACAAGCCAAAGCTCCCCTTCCCTAGTTCCTCTCTCCCCCCATCCTCTCAAGCATCTTCAATCCGTCAATTCAGTTCTACCATCTGTATTACTTTTTCACTACTCTTAAACCACACGTACTCACATCCTATTACCACTTGTTTAACCTCCCAAAATGTTGTTCAAGACCCTCGCCATCTCCGCCTTTGCGGCCTTGGCCACGGCCGCCTCCGTCTCGGACCTCATCAGCGAGCTCCCCTCATGCTCGACCGACTGCCTCCAGTCGGCCGCCACCGAGGCCGGCTGCAGTGAAACCGACTACTCGTGCCAGTGCGGCAAGACGACCGACATTCGCGCCGCCGCTCTGACCTGCCTGGCTACTGCTTGCGAAACTTCTGAACTCCTTTGTAAGTGGCCAATCTGCCATCCAAATTACCAATTTACGAAGTGAATATGCAGAGGAAAGCAAAGCTGACCATTGTGGTTACTCCAGCCGTCACCACCATAAGCGCCCAGATCTGCCTCGCCGTCGCGGCCGGATCCGCCACTTCCGCCGCCGCTGGATCTGCCATCGGCTCGGCCAGCTCTGCTATTGGCTCCGCTGCTAGCTCGATCGCCAACGATGCCTTCGGTACCAGCACTGCCACCGGCACCGCTGCCACTAGCACACAGACCGGCGGTGTTGACCGTACCGAGGCGGGTCTTGGTCTAATGGGTGCGGCGGCTGTGTTCGCCATGATTATGTAAAACGGAGCTTGTGATGAATGTGTTTGAGCAACGATTTCGCGCAACGTCTTGGAGCTGCGCGATCGGCGTATTTATACCCTGACGCTGAGCAAGCGCATGGTTCTGGGGCTTATTTGTACACTATTGTATTCACATACATATTCTATTCTGTAGTGTATTTGAACACGAAGGCTTCTTGCCCATCTACTCGTATCATCGCACAGCGAAAGAACGTATGTGGATAGTGAAACGGGGTCAGGCGGTCAGTAGGATATACCTACCACCTAACACACTGAAAAGACGGCTCCAGTACCAACAGATCCCATCTGTTGGTCTTATCAGACGAAGATCGTGGTACTGGTTGTTACGAACCGTTGGCCCTAGACCAACATTACAGGCCCGTTGGCAGGCCAGGTGGATACAAGCATTAGGATCACGGGACCCCGCACCAAAGAAAGGAAAGAACCGACCGGGTCACGTGACTTACAAGGGTGGATATGTTGGTCAACTACATATCCAACCAACAGGATATGTTGGCACAGAACATATCCAAGTGGGGATCAGTGAAGGAGAGACGGATATATAAGGAACAGGACTCCTAGGTATTTCATAGATAGACAGTCTCTACTTCAGTGATCAATCTAAGCATCAATCTAACCCATTGGTGAGGCAAACTGCCTTGACGACTCTATTCCCGACTACCCTACTTGAATACTTCAGTTACCCAAAGCACTATACTCCATACGTCAGACCCCAATATTATTGCTAAAGGACTCCGCAGCAGGACTTACTTACTAGCACAAACCCTTACAGACTCTTTAGTGGTTTACGCAGCTAGACTATTAGAGGTTTCGTTACACTGGTTATAAGAGCGAAGCTCTTACACGTCTGGTGCGCGAGTTGGTCGGATGTGCCTCTGATACTCGTATCGTGATAATAGGATCTCGAACGTAAAGATAAGCTGAATAACTAAAATAACTAAATAACTGACTGAAAAGCGAAGGTGAAGATATAGATAAGGAGATGATGATATGAAGATGAGGATGATGATGCGTGAAGATGGGGAACTCGTGTCCTACTCTGCCTCTGTGCCTCTTAAAGAAGAGAAAATAAACTTTCTCCTAGCCCCGTAACCTATTTCCCTGATGTCCGGCCTCACCCCGTTACAATAGTGACTCACATTAGCCAAGTCCGAATCGTCCCAGAGCCCCATCTTCACCTCCGTTAAATAGACTTGCTGCACCGTCCACGGCAGCGAAATGCTGGGCAAACTGCATACCCCGCATCCTCTCTTCCTCCGTCCGTGTCCAATCCCAACCCGTCGTTGCGACCTCGATTTTAGCCTGTGCATCGCCGTTCCCGGTAACTGGTTCACTTGGTGTGGCCATCCCGCTCCCTTCGGTCGAAACCCATCCGTCAGGTCGCTCAGGCAACAACCCGCTCGCCCCAATCAGTATCGCCGGATGCACCGTTAACCGCCCAATCTTAAACACGTACTTGCTAACAGCAGTCGCAAATATCTTCTTCTCGAAATTCGTGTCCTCCGTAGTGGTGTTCTTCCTCGTCGGCCCAAACGCAGCCGCATCCCACGACTTCGGCTTCGCGGCTCCTTTCTCCACAAAGTGTGTAAGTAGGTATATCCACTTCCGATCCCAAGAAAGCACACTCGTCCACATCTCGTACCCCTGATACGGCGCGATCTCCTTTTTAAAACTGCAGTGCACAGCGCCCAGCACGACGCTAAATTTCCCCTTGGCGAACTGTCCCGGTTTCCGTGGGTCTTCGACGAGCTTTGTCACTGCATTGTGGGCGAGGGCGTGGCATCCGCGGGCGAATAGGTGCGAGACGAGGTGGGAGCGCGATACGTCGAGGTCGGCGAAGTAGGTTGAGTTGGACTTGTGTAGATTGTAGTCGACTTCGAGGAGGGAAACGTGCGATTGGCTAATGACGGGGTGAAAGAGCTTGTCGGGGCTGTGCGTGTGGAAGGGCCGCACGAGGATGTGGCTTATCATGGCGTTAAAGACGCGGACCTGTGGGGGAGGATATGTTAGGAACCAGTGGCCCTGTTGAACCGTTCAAGAGGGCTGGATACATACCGTCCATGCTAGTGGCAGACTCTTCCAGTTGACCAGTACGACCACCAGCGCAACGATACGACTAGTCTTGCCAGGTCCCGTGAAGAATGACAGCGCGACAGCTTGCGCTTCCGTCTTGCTCTTGAAGAGGCCGTAAACGAGTGACGCAATCGATGCGGGAATGCTGACTTGCAGGAGCTGCGCCCAACCTGCAGAGGATGCCATCGTGACGTTATGGGCGGGTTGCCTTCTCTGACCGAGTAGTTTGGCTGGCAAAGCCGGTGATGCGCGATCGCAATAAGCCCAAGAGGAACACCAGGATGACGATGCCCCAAAGCGGCACGGTGCGCAGGTGGCAAAGAACCGTACTCGTGCACTTGGACAAAAGATTGGGGCTTCCTGGCATCGAAATACAGAGGACCAACCAGACTATCAGCAAGCGCCGTCAAGATGGCTACAGTTGCTGGTTGCGAGCGGAAGCAGCGAGGGAAGCTGAGGCTTCGAGATTGGAAAGTTGTGATTCAATTGTTGGGCTGATGACCGGGGCGCATCCATCTTGATGGCCTTCTCTACTAACCGCATTGACCACCTTTTTGCATGCACCCCCATTTTGCAGGGAATTTCTACGCCTCAACAACACGACGTCTCTCAATTTACCTCGCAATTGCTCCCTATCTACGTACAAAATGGCTAATCCAGTGGAGACTAGTCTGGACGATTTTGAGCAGCAAATCGAACGCGCTAAAGAGCTTGTCCGTCAGGGCTCTTCCCAGGCCGTAGCAGCCCATCGGTACGGTATCAAGGGGACTACACTGTCCTACCGTATTCGTCACGGTAATTCGCATCGCGACGCGGCCTCCAGGCTACAAAAGTTGACTCCAGAGCAAGAGGAGGTTATCGTGAACTGGATCCTACACGAAGAAGTGTGTGGACGGGCTCCTAGCAGGCGTTATGTGGCCGACTTCGCTGCCGAAATCCTCCTTGCTCAAGGGGATAACAATACACTCGGCCAACACTGGGTGGATCACTTCGTTAACCGCCATCCACAGATACGTACCAAAATTGGGCGCGTCGTGCATGCTAGCCGAGTTAGAGCGTCCGATTCGACCAAGATCCGAGACTTTCTGGCTGGCGGAAGACTGGTATATGGCCCCTAGGCTCCGAAGGACTAGTCGACGTATCTTGTGACTCATATATCACCACCTTTAGTTGCTTTTACTCCTCAGAAAGCGCAGCAACTATCTAGTGTAACGGGGTAAGGCCGGACATCAGGGAAATAGGTTACGGGGCTAGGAGAAAGTTTATTTTCTCTTCTTTAAGAGGCACAGAGGCAGAGTAGGACACGAGTTCCCCATCTTCACGCATCATCATCCTCATCTTCATATCATCATCTCCTTCTTATCTATATCTTCACCTTCGCTTTTCAGTCAGTTATTTAGTTATTTTAGTTATTCAGCTTATCTTTACGTTCGAGATCCTATTATCACGATACGAGTATCAGAGGCACATCCGACCAACTCGCGCACCAGATGTGTAAGAGCTTCGCTTTTATAACCAGTACCACGATCTTCGTCTGATAAGACCAACAGATGGGATCTGTTGGTACTGGAGCCGTCTGTTCAGTGTGTTAGGTGGTAGGTATATCCTACTGACCGCCTGACCCCGTTTCAATGGTGATCAGAGGGAGGCTACACAATTCGGAGGCTTCACGGCACTGAATCTCTCGCTCAGCGGACTGTACTCTTCAGGATCTCTCGTCGGATCGCGATTATTGAAGACAACCAATCAGTCGCGAAGAGGGAATGATGGAGACCCCAAATGCTTCTGCTAAGGACACGGAAGACACGGAAGCCTCGGACATAGAGTTAAGACCGACAAACTCAGAAGGGCGGGGCTCCAAAGTTTCTGGCTACGAATCGACGATAAGGACAGCGAATGTGGGAATTCGAAGAGGAAGTACAGGCTTCCGAGACTGCCGAAGCCACGACGGCCTTATCAACAGGATATGGATAGGGACTTGGCACACAGCTCGGCACACAGCTCTTGAACTCTTATTTAGAAGATAAGATACAGAGAGATAAGAGAAGAGGAGAGCACAGAGCACAGAGCACAGAGCACAGTATCAAGGAGAGACAGACATACGACAATCGGCATCGACAAGAAGGACAAGAGTATCAAGGGCATCGACAAGAGGATCAAGGAGATCAGGAGCATCAAGAGTATCGACAAGAGAAACAACGCCACAGGACCGAGGAATATAAGAAGAAGGAAATAGAAGCAAGAGTAGTACGGGATTGGACCCGGACACCAAGGCTTCAACACTCCTTTTCTGAAGAAGACAGAGAGACTCGGATACAGAGATGCGACAGACGATATAAGACTCAGACACAGAGAGAGACCGTACGGCGAGAAGCACGGAATCCATTACTCGCCTAGGACTGATCAGACTACTCTGGTCAAGACCGCCGAGAATCCGATCAAAATGGCTCAAGCTTTTGCTATGCTATGTAAAAAATAAATAAATATTAAAATAATAATAATATTAAATACGCCGTAGGTGTTAACCCTCGGTACCTCTACAAGTACTCCCTTAAGGGGCTATAGATGATATAGCGGGCCCTTAAGCCGCGTCGGGCGGTTATACAGGTAAACTTGTAGCCAAACGACTACTAAACCTCCTGTCCCTCCCTAAGTCTGTGCTACAACCCCTGCCTGAACTACCGATAAGTGTTGTAACGAAACCTCTAATAGTCTAGCTGCGTAAACCACTAAAGAGTCTGTCAGAGGTGGTACCTGCGCAGCCACCACCACTACTTAGTTCCAGACCAACAACACTAGCCTAGCTTTCTTTCCTCACCAGAATACACTTCATTTCTATTGTGTGTCCCTCAACAAAGTCTGTAAGGGTTTGTGCTAGTAAGTAAGTCCTGCTGCGGAGTCCTCAAGCAATAATATCGGGGTCTGACGTATGGAGTATAGGGCTCTGGGTAACTGAAGTATTCAAGTAGGGTAACTGGGAATAGAGTCGTCAAGGCAGTTTGCCTCGCCAATGGGTTAGATTGATGCTTAGATTGATCACTGAAGTAGAGACTGTCTATCTATGAAATTCCTGGGAGTCCTGTCACTTATATATCCATTCCCTCCTTTACTGATAACTGGGGCCATTAGATCCTTCATGGATACTATTGGTCCTAACTGGTTGATTGATAGATTGATCCGGGCGCAGTGCCGGCATGGTCAATGCTAGTCGAATCTATGTTACAGGGGACTGTCTTCATCTAACATTCCTGTTCAGTGCGATGGGCAGATCTCAGTAAAGAAATTGGTCTCCTCCGCCCATTGGCAAAACAAACGAGCTCCCTTGGCCGTGCCTAGGAGGGAATCTATACTATTCTTGGCCATATGCGCTTTTAGATGACCGGGCGTGGCCTTGCGGCCGCGCTTGCAAAAGTAGAAGTGGACTGGTGTCTTTGTCTTTCCACACCCGCAGTTGAGCAGTACGTCGCGATGCTGGAGTCTCTCGTGGTAGGTCACGAAATCCCCGTGGTGCGACCTCGCTGCGAGTAATCTGCCTAGGTGTTGCCGGGGCAGGCCAAGTTCGGGGGGTCGCGGGTGGATAGCGATCCCTAGATCTCGATACTGTTGAGGGAAGGTAGTGGCCCATCGATCGTTGAAACTCTTCCAAGTGTAGGATCTCGCGATTCTTTTTATATGTGCGAATGAGGCCGGGTGTTGTGTCTTGGGTGGTTGCTCACAGGCCGCTTTGGCCTGGACATCTGCTTCTTCGTTTCCGGGGATGCCTACGTGTCCTGGGCACCACCAGATATACACTTGTCCCGGGGGTGTCCAGGGTTTTCGCTCTCTCTGTGACCAGGTTTTGGACAGCTCTTGGAAGGCGGTGAACTTTGCTTGACTGCTTCCGGGTGGTCCTAACTGGTTGATTGATTGATTGATTGAAATTTAGGGAGTTGGTATATAATAAGGAATAATCTATCTAAGGGATAAACTTGGACCATTAATTTATTAGTATCGAAACAATGTAATTCTTAACAATCTCTGGTTTACCTGTTGTATATGTTCTAATATTCCAATCATAAAGAACTACCCTATTTTCACTTCAGTTGTTATGATAGTATAGGCACGGTGGCCGGACTAGTAGCCTATTTCAAGGGGATGGCCTTGCCACAGCCGCCTCGGTGAAGTCCGCCATAGCATCATTCACATACCCGCGTCAATACGATGTAGGGACACAGCTCCGTACGAGCGAGGCGTCATCTACAACGCCCAGTCAAGGGGGCGATACCTGCGTTCGTGATTGCTTGTACACGCCAAGAGAAGTCAACGAGACCAACGAGACGGAAGAGCCTGCTCTATCTCCATGGCTTCATATATGTTATTTTGGGGATCGATTATACAAGTTATCTTGTTCCATTGCATATATCAATTCGACGATATCGAAGCCCGTCATTTGTGGTGGTTGTTTATAACGCGGTTTAGTACCTAAGTTATCATTCTATTCGACATCATAAATCAAGGTGCACATTACTATATACCAGTTCGTTAATTTATCCACACGTACGAAAAGATTCGCCTACCACTCGTGACCATCTCTTACTCATTTATCCCTGTAGTATCCATAAGTAAGTGTGGCTAAAGACATCACTCTCCAGCAACTCACATGAAGCGTACTTCTTCCTTTGCCACATCATCATTGGCAGAATCCCCCATGTCCAAGGCATCATCTCCGGGAAGTTCTGGATCAGAGGCACAGCGGGCACCTCCGTCGAACTCTTCGCAATGGGACGGGGTACAATCTCGACGCCACTTCTGGCGGCCGCTTTCGCATACGACCACCGACATCCCCTGGAAGCAGTAGGAGTAGTGGCCTGGGTTTTTGCAATATGGATCGGGGGCTGTTTTCAATGGCCTGGCGGCATAGGTGGCCGACATCGTGATGAGAAGGGTGGCGATTGATGAAATGAGCATTTTGGCAGCCGTGTGCTTGGAAGTTGGATTTGGCGATAGTCTCAGTTGAAAACAAGTTTTACAGCGATAGAGAAATAGATAACACCGGAATATATCTGGCCGTAGAGGAGGGATTCTGTATCCAGGATAAACTTTCGGCAGGTAGTCGCTGCATCTTTTCAACAGCAAGTTATAAGTTAAGTATTGCGGCTACGTCGAACTTGGCAAGGTTATGGCTATGGGCCAAACGTTCGCAATTCACCTGAAGGCGTCAACAGTTATTCGGGTTAGTTGAATGGCCTGTTAGACAGGTTGTATGATAACGCGCCATACTAATTTGACCCTCAAGGTCGTATTTTGCAGTCGTTTATTCCTTCCTTCCAAAAAGAACTTTTGATTTCAAGAGTTACGCATACGGTGACACGTATCACTGTTCGCTGAGGGAATTTGATGTCTTCAAGGATCCATTGTATCATAACTGCCACCTAGAAAGAATAGTGTACTCCTCAGGAGAATTGAATTTGACTCACGTATGATACAGACTGGACTCAAGTCAAGCTACTGCATTTCCATTTTCGAAGTTGTGGAACCCCGCTGTGCTGAAGGTTTGTTACAAACGCATGGTGACTCGCAATGAGATAATTATTTGCTCCAAGCTTTGCAAAGTCGAATTTCAATATCCCTTTAGACCTCATTTGATTTTTACGAACTAAATGATTAACTTGTTTCGAATACTCTTGTACGAGATATTTCGTCATTCGGAAGCATTCGTTCGGCTTATTAAGTGGTTGGCCCGGCCAACGGTGTAACAACTGATTACCGTATCTAGCATGCAATAATACACTCTGGTCTGATATGTATATTCCTTGGTATTCGCGGTCCCGCTGACTCGGGATGACTTTGGCTGACGCCCGGGCCCCCGACACACATACGGGGATATCCACGTCGTCCCCCTAGTTAGGGGAACGTGGATATTCGTTTATCTCCTTCCACCATACATGGCGGCTGACGGCCCCGCTGGCGACCGCCTAGCTTATTGGCTACAGGCCCCCTGCCCCCTGAACCGCTAGGCCTCTACAAGGCCAAGTGCCGCTGACTGGCGCCCTAAGACCCCTCCGACCCCACCCCCCCCTCCCCCCTCCCCCCCTCCCCTCTCCCCTGGCCGGCTGCGATACAGCGCTTCGTCCAGTGTTTAGAGCCGCTGGAACGATAGGCCTAATACTGCTAACCTGACCGAATACAAATACAGGGGCGGCACAAGACGATGTACGATGTAAGTTGCCCCGCGCTCTCCCCTTTCCCTCCTCTCCCCCCGGCGCCTCACCGCTCTCCTACCGGCTATCCGGCCTCGCTACTTATTTGTCTGTCTGTCTGTCTGTCTGTCTGTATATGGCGAGGACGAAGGAGACGGGGCGCGTTGCGCGTCTCGGAACCGATGCCGTTAATAGAGCTGAGTTACGGGCTAACACACAGAGGATCCTATCGCTTATCGACCAGTCCAGGCCGAAGAACACTGTTATAGCGTACAAGCCGAAGCAGAAGGAGTTCCAGGTATGTTGTTCGCTTACCTATCGGCCCCGTAGGTTGCCCGGTACGTAGCTAACGTCTTTATATATAGGAGTTCTGCCGGCGGAAGCAGTATGAGGATGCCGATACGGTTACGGAGGACAAGCTCCTCCTCTTTCTTGTTGAGGTCGTTACCGACCGGCCCCTGAGAGCCTGGAGCCGGAAGGCCGACCAGGGCGTCCCGCAGGAGGAGACGCGGCTCGGGTGGCGCTCCGTACGGAGCTATATTACAGCTATTACCGACCTCTATCGGACCCAGAGGACTTTAGGGATGAACACGCACCCCTCCCCGCGGGAAGACCACGTACGTGAGTACGTCCGGTCTCTCCAGCGGCGGGATGCGCAACGGGAGAAGGATCTATACGCGGATAAGGGCCGGGAGACCATCTTGGACGGCTATACCGAGGAGCAGTTCGAGCGGATCTGCTACGAGCTTTGGGCACATAGCAGCTCCTCGCCCGAATGTCACTTTCGGACACTCGTTGACCTCCTTCTCGGCCATTATATGCTTACTCGTGGCGGCGATCGGAGGGCGGCCGAAATCTCGGACCTGTTTACGTTTGAGCTGCAGGGCGAGGGCTCGACCCCTTGTATGCCGGTTATCCTAACTACCCGTGCGGGGAAGCAAAATCAGCATGGACGACTTGAGACCGCAGGGGCACTCCGCAATAGAAAACCGCTTATCTGTATGCTAGGTGGCCTTGCTTTTTACCTGCTGTACCGCTGGGATCTAACCGACGAGCCCTTCCCGGACCTGAGCCGGCGGTCGGCCTGGTACGATATCCGGCTGATCAAGGGGAGCGGGGCGGATCGTACAACAGCCTTCTCGTATAACGCGCAGCGGGACTGGGTTACTAAGGCCTTCCAGTACGCCGGGGTAACGTCACAGAAGAAAACGCATATCGGCCGCAGCGCTGGGGCTAAAACAGCTGAGTTGAAAGGCGTAAGCGAGGAACAGATACGACGAGCGGGCCGGTGGAACCAGGAGCAGATGGTCGGGTGTTATCTCAGCTCGTTACCCCGGAAGTTTATGCGTGTAATGGCCGGGCATCCGCCGCAGATGGGATGCTTCGAGGTCCGGCGGGCTACTATCACGCCCCCGGAGGCCCTGCTTAGGGAGATCTGGCCTGAGCTTGACAGCTGGAGGGATAGGTTCGGCCCTAGCCAGGACCAAGTTAGTGACCTAGCAGCTATGGGTCTAGTCGAATTACTCTTCCACCTCCGGAAGGTTATCCTACAGGACTCGGCCCTGCTACAGGAACAGTTCCCTAATAGCCCTATATGGGATCACCGGGTCTTTCAGCATAAGGCTTACGCGCTATTCGCCCGGCAGGTCCGAACTACAGCCCAGGAGGAGGAGCGCCCTAGCCAGCTAGCTCTCCTGACTCAGGCTATGCCGACGCTAGCTGACTACCTGAGGTCGATCGACGTACGCCACGAGGCAAGGATAGCTGAGCTTCAGCAGCAGACGGCGAAGCTTCAGCAGTCTCTCGATCAGCTCGTACACTCAGACCGTACCCAGTCTACGCAGCTCCAGAAACTCACGGCCGGCGGCCTTACCTTTCGCCTTGAGGCTACTCCAGTAACAGCACCTGTACCTTTACCTACAGAGGTAACAGTAGTAACAACAGTACCGACAACAGCATTAGCACCGGCCATAGCAGAGGGGCAGATACCAGTATTACGTAGTAATCCCTCTAACCGGTCGAACCTAGCACCTACCGGGCGACCTACTGAGCGTAGTTCCCTAAGTCCGCAGCCGTGTATCTGGGCAGGAAATCCAGCGCCCCCGAAGCACAGTATGTGCCGTACGACGCGTACAGTGGAGGGGCTATGGAGGGAGTGGACGATCGGGATCCATGGCCAGCCGTCGGTTACCGAGTTAGACAGGCGTTGGGGCAGCCGGTGGAGATCTGGCCGCCGGAGCGAGGTACAGTGGTACTCTTTACGGAGCGAGGTTATCGTTGAGATTAGGAGGCAAGCACAAGCAAGGCGATGTAGCGAGGAGTCGGCGATGTGGATACTTAATTTGCAACAGCAGCAGATAGGCTGTTCTATAGACCAGCTATGTAAACGGTTACGGGCCGGGAGGAAGGCTCGCCTAGTATAGTAGGACCTACCCTAGCGGCCGGCCTTAGCCTACCAATAATACGTATATATTACGGGTACGAAACGGGAATCGACGCCTTACCTAGCTTTGTATTATATCTTTTACCCCCCGGAGCATCTCTCCTACCTGCTAGTTTGGTATCCGGACGTCGCCGAGCGGCCGGCCGTTAGGCCGGCCATCCGATGTGGTGATATTTGGGATATTCTCACCTGCTGACTGCACGGACGGTGTTTCGCCCTAGTGTGGCGCTCAGCCGCTGAATCCGCCCGCCAAACACCCCTGAAACGCCACCGTGGATATCCTATTGATGTAATGTTATCTATAAAGCATGGAGGACACTCTACCCCTCTCATTGGGTCAATTATTTGTGTGGTATTCGAGCAAGAACCCGTGCGGTTGGATTTCGCATTTATGCTTGCCTGCCTTATTTTCATTGCTTCTCCATATAACGTACCCCACAAGCAAGTTGGCCACTTTTTCTTGGCACCGTACGAACAACCTTTTAATTAACATCTTTACACATACCAAGACGGGATCGAATTGAAAGAAAGCGACATGATTCTAGCGTGTCAGGCGCTTCAATCGAAACCCGAATTAAGCATCCGACGCGCTGCCCAACTCTACAATGTCCCTCGTACAACTCTAGCTAACCGAAAACGCGGACTACTATCTCGACGCGATACTCGACAATCTAGTCAAGAAATTGAAGACCTAATACGGGCGCATATAACCCATATCTCGAAGGAGGATTTCTTTTCGGCATTCTATAGGGCGTATCGTACGACTATAACTAAGTCGAATATCCAGGCAGGTTTCAGGGGGACAGGACTTATTCCGTACGACCCGGAATATGTGATTTCACAGCTGGATATTAAGCTACATACGCCTACACCTCCTGGGAGCTCGTCTGGCGCCCCCTTAATCTGGGAATCAAAGACTCCAAATAACCCAACCGAGGCGTAATCCCAGTCTGAATACGTTAAAACAGAATCGTACAGCATCAGAATAGCTCCCCGACGACAATACTTACGGCTATTGACCAATTTTCACGTAGTGCAACGGCTATTATGCATCGGTTAGTTTTACTTGAGGATGAGGTTACTACACTTCGGAAGGCCAATCAAGAGCTAAGCCGTCGTCGAAGGACTAAAAATCGACATCTACAAGATGGAGGATCTCTTAGTTTACGAGACGCTCAGAACTTACAGTCTCAACGGGATATTGAACAGCAGCTACAGGATAATATACGTGTAAGTCGTCGTCGTACGAGACCGACCGAATGTCACAAGCTAGAATTCGAATGGGCTAGAAGGTCGCGATCGGGCCCGCCTGGAGAAGCGGGCGAGATCATGACGATCCGATGGCGTTTCAACAAAACCTTCTAGGACACTCAAATAGTGCTCGAAGCACCAAGGACTCTTGGAGGGGCAAGTTTCCTTCTTTGTACCTAATTGATACTGGCGTTAGGAATTGACGATTGTGCCTGGCCTCTACTCACACCTCACTTATTGTTATACCGAACCACGCCGACGGCGCTGTAGGGTCTGCGGAGAGCCCGGACATAATGCTCGTACTTGTGAGAATGATAAAGATACGTACGAGGAAGAGGATTCCGATTAGTTTGAATTATTATTTTTTAGTTTAGTTAAGTTATTGAAGTTATTCATACGGTGCCAAGAAAAAGTGGCCAACTTGCTCGTGGGGTACGTTAGGGTTGTTTATATAAATAGATGGCTTCCCGTTGTGATGCATCCATCAATGACCCTCTGTTCTTCTTGCGTACCAATTTCCCCCATGATGAGAGTTATTTGTTTCAGAGAACTGAATGCCACAGGCACCGGTGGGACTCCGGTGAAGCTCCGGTGTAGGGACGTGCGAGTCATGACCTAATATGGAAGTCTTGGTATACGGAACAATCGGAGGAACTAGTGCTCTACGGCTCCGACTCCGGGCTTTAGCTATCTATGTAAGGGGCAGGCGTCCGGGAAGAAGATAGAGAGGGTAGAGATCAATGAACCATCGTGGGCACCCCTACCTGAGACCGCTAGTGACCGCCAGTGACCACCTGGTGCTCTGTAGGAGGGACGCCTATTACTCCCCATAACTCTGTACTATTGCCTTCGGCCTAGCCGTACCCTGACAATTTGACAGTTCTCGCGATGGTAACTTATGCAGCACTGCCCCCCCAACTTCTCACATTTGCTAACGCATTCTCATCTCCCGCGGCCAGGTCGCTCGCTTGATTGGCCTTGATGGCGACTTCGCTGCTCCATAGGGTTGGGTCTGTGTCATTTCCAAGTTGGACGAATCGTTGCTTCTTCGCTGGTTTGGCACCAGTCCCACCGATAGTGATGAGTTCCGTTGGAGTCGGGTTGGCCTTCCGATTGGATCCCCAAGTTCCAATCTTCTGGTTCAACTTCCCCAGGAGAGGTCCCATTGTAGGCAGACAGGCACTAATGATAGCCGCAGAAGTCTCGATTGCGCACCAAGTCCGCGAGGGCAATAGGGTCCCTGGAATATATACGTCAGGGCTGGCCCACAGGGTATGGTGAAAGGGAAGAAGGGTACCAACATGTAATGTCGATTTCATTGACTTTCATGCCAAGGATGAATGTATGCGTGCTGACAAAAATAACACTGTGTCGTAATCGTATTAGTGACATCCGTTGTGAAATTTCAACTGTTCACCTGAACTAGGGAAAGAAAATGGAGACACACAAGCCGCCAAGTAGAAACACGACGCACAACCAAGCCTTTTGTGTCCTGTCGATCTGGAGTTTGATAATCTGGCTTATGGGCAAAGTCAAGATGGCAACATCGGTAATAATGTTGAAGATCGGGGTCCACAAAGGTCCCGAACCGGCACAAGTCCCCTCAATCTGAGGGAGCCATGTATTGTGGATCGGTTTACATCGAAAGAAAGATAAGCAGAGAATGCTGATAGTCCAAACTACCATCATTCCAACAATGAAGTACATGGTGTACTGTATGCTTCTGCTGAAGGGAAATATGCGCCGATATAACTGCAAGATGGAGGTTTTGACAAGCAGCAATGCCACCAAGTACGCGCACTGAGAGGCTACCAGATAGTTGTAGATCAGGAAAAGGTCTTCTCTATCTATATCTGCAGCATGCATTCCCAGACCATAATGCATCACTACGAATTTCTTGTCAGCAAGGGAATTGGGAGCCCAGGTTTAGGGAATGAACGCATACTCGTGAGGTTGAAGCCACCCAACACAAGCAAGCAAAGCTAATAACAGTGGGTTAGCGAGTAATCCAACGAGGGGTGAAAATAGTCGTACTTACCAGGGCGGCGACTAGTACCCAATCGTCCATACCGTAAACGAATCCACAGGTATATCGAGCCCCGAAACGAAGACCGACAAAGACCCCGGCGAGCATAAGAACAACGACTAAAGCTATTGTGTAATAAGGTCTTCCATCTTCAGCGCCCGCGCTCCGGGGAAGCAGATTGGGTGCAAGAAACATCATGAAAAGGAGCCACCATGTACTGATTAAATGTGACTAACACTCAGATGGATTGAATATCGATTTGCAAATATGAGCTATGCAAGCTGATGTGCATCGATGACACTGAAACTGGACGGCTTCAAAAGGTTGGGTCAGGCGGCGGAGATATGTCAGAATCCGGAAGCCACGAGGATTGGTGGCGGTTTAAATGTCCTCAATTCCGTTATTGCTGAACAGGGTAGTTGCCTCAGATCTTCAAACTGAGGCAAGGGAGATGATCTAACAGATAGCCAAATGGTTTCATTCACAGAAGGGCAGACAGCCCCCAGCTGCAACTAGAAGATCCAAATCCAGGGACCTGACAAATGACCACAATGGTCACAACATGACGCATTATAGCAAACATGATACCATTAATCCAAGTATTAACTCTGCCCAATCCAGCCAACGGGCCCCATAATGAGATTCAGGAGAAGCCGCCGGAGAAAATTTAACGCAACACAACATACGGGTAGAAATTCTTGATCAACTTTGTTTTACAAGTAGAACATGTTCACTATGCGGATTTTGCGATGTGTATACGCCTAGTTAATAAGGGAAGAACCTTGCGCAGTACTTGCATCCTTGGTGGTTATCAACAGGGTACAAGTGAAAAACTCCGCACCGGTCCCCTACCCCTTCTGTCCCAATACGCCTGGTTCTGATTGCGTAGCGAGGGCGGTGTTTTCAATGCGCATGCAAGGGGAGGAGATACCCGCTCATGCCCGAGATCTCGAACCAACCAACGACCCAACCTACCTACCTGCCACCCTCCCCCACAACAAGTATTGGGGCCAACAATGGCTGAAAAGCCTTTAAGATTATATCCTCGTGATATTCGCCATTGTGAAAATTAAATTTTCGTCGCACGCAGCAACGTAGCAACATAGAAGTAATCATTGTCACATTTTCATCCACCACCTTAGCAATGCTTCGACTGCGGCGTGTGATATATCCCCAAGCATAAGTATGGCACTGAACCAGGGTTATACATGTGATGTGGAATTAGACAGCATGGAATTCCAACGTGGGAAAATAGGAAGTAATGTGAACAGTCTTCCAGGAAGCCTGCCTCTATCAATCCGCAATTGAGGCATACTCAGGTTTGAAGTGTTAATATTATGACTTCGTGGGCCGCGTGCAGGCCGTCAGTCCGCAGCCTTTCGCCGTTGTCTCTGATTCCGACTCTTAACTTGCGTCGACGCTGATTCCTGACCCGTTTCTCGTCTTTCTTGGTCTTCTTTGGGTCCTGATTTCCTTTGCCATCGCATTCAGAGTCGGGAGCAGGAAGGATACTTCCAAGGCCTAAGCAGGTCATACCATGCCCAAAATCCCCTCACAGCCAGCCATCTCAAGACCCTCGGCGAATGAGCCGAGCTTGCCATCAATAGCAAACCCCTGGGCCTCCAAGTTCCTCAGCTCGGCGTAGAGATCCTTCAGCGGCACCGTAAAACACTCGATGAACTCCCCGTCCTCCAACTGCGCTTTGGGGCTCTGATTCTCTACCTTGGTCAAATCGATGTTGATTTTGATCAGGTACGTGCACGAGCTAGAGTGATGGTTAGTTGGCGACAGCCGTTGCTCAAATCCAAGCCATCCCTCACCTCGACGAAGCAGGAGCTACACGAACATGCCAATGTCAGCCTTGGAATCTCTTCAATTCAACACATTTTAATTTCACTCACAACTCCACAGCACGGGTCGGGCACCCCTTCGGTCCGGTATAACCTCTCCGACGTAGCCCGTTTCCTCACGCAGCTCACGCACGGCAGCTTGCTCGGGGTCCTCTCCCTCATCCACCAAGCCAGCGGGAAACTCGACCACGATCTTGCTGGCAGGGGGCCGAAACTGCTTTTCAAGGAGCAGCTCAGGACCTGTGGGCTTCTGCAGGACGGCGACAATCTGCACAGCATCCACGGCGCTATCCTTGGGGCGGGTGGTACGCTTGGTTGCTTCCCAGGTGCGGGGTTTGCCGTTGCTGTCTTCGTAGTTGATCCTACAACATATGAATGGGTTATAGGTATCTGGCGTTGGGCACGTCTGTATGGCAAGGGGAAGGGGGAATGGTAGAGAAACAGAGTGTAAACGGACTGACTCACTTGACTAGGTTGATCCACTTGGCATCTTTCGTCTCCTGTTCGAAGGATCAGTGAGGCGTCTGATTAAACAAAATAAGCACAAGTACTGACCAAAGGCTCTGTAGATATGACTTTGGCAGACATATTGGCAGGCGGGATTTTGTTACTTATTTGTTTTATGTCAAGTGTTAGTTGAAGTTGGTGAAAATGGCCAGAAGCCTGAAGGGATGTGGTTTTGGTGCTTGGCGCACTCTCCTTGCCGGTGGGGCTTGGTTTGGATGCTTGCCAGTTGGTTACTTACTCGACAGCTGCAAGACCCGTCACTGTTCAATAGGCACGCAGCTTGAGGCGTCTAGGACTGACTCCACTACTCCAGAACGAACTTTCGAGTATGACAGTTACCTATATGCGCAATACCAGACCTGTGTACTGCTTACAATCACCACCGTTGAAGTCTTTTCTGAAACGGACTAGCATTGACTAAATAAAAAATAATATTAAATACGCCGTAGGTGTTAACCCTCGGTACCTCTACAAGTACTCCCTTAAGGGGCTATAGATGATATAGCGGGCCCTTAAGCCGCGTCGGGCGGTTATACAGGTAAACTTGTAGCCAAACGACTACTAAACCTCCTGTCCCTCCCTAAGTCTGTGCTACAACCCCTGCCTGAACTACCGATAAGTGTGGTAATGTGGCACTTAAATTCGTCCTCAGGGGTGGGATGCTGCTGATGTGCAGAAGATGCTCGACTATTTTTTTGTCGCGACAAGTCGTAGTATCTGCTAATTGGGGTTCTCGTCGAGCGTATACATCTCAACCATACGCTCAAGTGGATAGACCGTAACGTGGTCAGACGCTCGCAAGAATCGCGGCGAGAGGGCGTGCTGCGCGCCTTCTATCGTGAGGGGACGGGTTCGCCGACGAGCGTTATCGGAAAGGCGAGGTCCGATAAGGGGTCGGATTAACGATTCGAATTCTGGACCGGCTGTCGAGTTATATTCCGCCGACGTAGTGCTTGACGGTCGACTGGCTAGGATGCTCGTAATCCTAAACTGCACCAATCTCCCTATTATCGCTAGGTAGGCGAAGTCAACAAGGTGGGCAGCGCGCCGTAAGGGTTGACTAAACCCCCTTGTGTGTCAGCTGCGGGATTCGAACCCGCGACTCGTCACCGACCCAAGTGGGCGAGGCTCAAATCGGGACTTATCTACCAGCGAAGTGACCAACTACACCAGCCGACTTGACTAAATATACCAAGCGCAAGTCGGGAATCGCTCCTTCGAAACGACAAACCCCTTTTGCGAAGAGTGATAGTAGTTTGCCGTTAATTCGAATCACTATTAAATCATGATTCTTAGTTTCTCTATTTCGTATGGCTCATTTAGAATCCATATGCTCGCTATAGAAATCGACCAGATCAAGGAAACTCCTCTTGAACGTCCCCCTGAGCGACACATCCCGTAATGCGTACTAAAGTACCCAAACTCATGCAATGCTCTGACAGCCAGTGGCAGTGAAAAACCCAACTCGCTAGATGAGACGGGAATTGGCGAAGCAGTTATGCTAAAAGGAGGGTATTGGCCTCACTTGTAGTTGGCCCAGAGTGCAGTATGCGTGCTTTGCCCAAACGATTCATCTGGTGTTAAGGTAGCTGAGGGCCGAAGCAAGTACGTAGTGTATGTCACATTGGAGGGCAGCAGATGGGACACATCCGAAAATTGCGAAGCCAAAGGCGTCACATAAGTGAGAGGTAAGCTCTGAGGGCTTGCGTACAGATCTGGCGGATATGTGTTGTACGTGAGTTTGGTATACGTCGACGATATTGAAGCATTTTGAGCAAGGGTATTTGTTGTTGCATGGAGTAATATTGTCAGGAAGCGGAGCGCCAGAGGGAGAGAAGTTGACACCATACTGCTGTCAATGAAGAACATATGTCTAAAATGAATGGAAGGTAAAGGTTTGGGAACTAGATTCGGATGGAACGCACAAAGAGAACTTCATACCGGAGTTGTGGGATACAGTATAAAAAACTCAAGGAATAGGACGTTCCACCAAGTAGCGTAGCTGTATAAGGAGCATTGCAATCAATGTTATAACATGGCTCATGTACGGGCGTTGGTTAGCATCTCCTGTGTGATGTGTACATTCGGCTGTCACGCTAGATAAGGTAATGGTGACATGAAGGACAGAAAAACGTTGCAATTGACCATCCTTTATGTATTCGTTGCCACTTGAATACTTTTTCACATAGCCCCAACCGCGGCAAGGCTGAGTTTGCATGATCGTCTCTCCATAAATTGTCACTTCGTAATCTTGGAGTTCACTGTCGCTATTTAGGGTTAATGAGTTTCACACGGTAAAAGATGGCATTCTCACAAGGCGAAATGTTGGCGTACTCGTCCTTGGGCTTCATCAAACTCCTGCCCGACACAGGCGCGGTCACCAATCATGTCGGGCCAAATGCTGAACTGTCGCTGCATCATGCCGGTTGGCACTGCAATATGGACCCATAGGGAATTCGTGGTTATCAACATGTGCCTCAGAGCAGGGCTCGGATTGATGTGCTTGATAGAACATGGTCACGCCGCTTGGGAGCGATGAATTGTTCGCCGAAGACGCTGGGGAATGCGAAAGCAATCTACTTGGATATGGACTTCGCCGCTCACTTGCAAATGGATGGTCTCGAGTAAACAGAATACCAGCCTAGCACCCAAGCTTATGCTTAGAAGGTAGAATAAAAGACAGGAGCAATCACCTATGGGCCTATACGGCTCTTTGACGTTCCCAATCACCCTCAACAAGAATCTTAGCAAGCCGAGCCTTACGCCCCCAAGTTTCTGCGGATTATCTGATTCGCTAGATTCTATCCAAGATCAATTACGCCCCTGGCTGCACCCTTCAACGCGATCGCGTTGTGTTATAGATGGAATAGTTGGTCTACCAATTCCCGGTTTGCGCGGAGCCAGAGGTTTGGCAGAGCTAGCAATCCCAGAGGCCAACTCAAAGCCCTGCAAATCTGCCCGTCGTGCTATTTTTCTGCTCCGTGACGTTGTATGGGCTCTTGGACCTGATTCGGCCCAGTGAGGAGGATATGGACAAGAAGTCGATTCATACTCAGTCCACGACATCAAGCTGCCATATAATTGCCAACATATTGTCGTCGTGCACGTCGTGTTGCTGTAGAACAGTCGTTTTACCAAGTTTTCGGCATGGTCGAGGCTCGTCACAAGGTTTGACTGAAAATAAAACTTCTATTGGAACTGATGCTTTTCAACTTAATTCATGCGATGTAGCCAACACCTTGCGTGTTGAAGATGATACTATACCTCATACTGTAACTCATGTCTCATATGCCTACTAACTTCATTGTATCCGTGTGACCCTATATGATTGAGCATACCCTAGAGACGTCCCCACTATGTGGTAAAGTTGTCTTGCGACGTCAATGTCGCCAAAGAATTGGTAGATACTTTAATTCCAGCTCGTCCCCGAATTAATTCAACTACTCACATATGCCCGCAGGTTTAGTTCATTCAATCAAAGATGATCTCCAACTGGCTCTGACATGCTTCCCCACTTGACGCACGCGTTCCCCTCACCGCACCTGCAAAAGTCCGGCGCTCACGCAAGGTCACGATCTCCGGAGTTAGACTCTTCCGGGTGCCAAGGCCGGAACTAGAATCCACGAAAATTGAGAAGATGGCAAGGGACTGGAAGATCGAGTAGGACGATATAGTAACACTGACGGAGAACTAAATACGGTCATGAGCGACGAAAGTGGAGGCACCGCGTCCATCGCCTGTGAGCCCTGCCGGCAGAAGAAGTGCAAAGTGAGCGCCACCTGTTCTTTCATTAAAACAACCCATGACGTGTTGGAGCTAACAACGAACACTCTGCAGTGTGATCGCAAGCTGTGAGTGCGCCGTATAGCATCGTCCGTAACCGGCAGGTCATTCAGCGCTCATCGCCCCGCAGCCCGATTTGCACGCAATGCACAGCCACGGCGGCCAAGTGCAACTACCCGGAGCAGAACAGGAGGTAAGATGCACCAGCCTTGACCCGAACGCACTGCAAGTTCAGACTGGCCTAACGGCTGTGCAGAGGCATCCCGGCTGGATACCTGAACATGTTGGAGAAGCGACTCGTCGAGACCGAACGAGCTCTCTTCTTCGCCCTGGCCGAGATTCACGCAGGAATCGTAGACAATGATGAGTATCCCAACGCAGCTTTACTGGCCACCAGACCCTCAACTAAGAGCAAGTCGGAGATGATGGCAGCGTGGGCCAAACAGCCCCTGGGAAGTCGAGAGCGTGCGAAGTCGTGGTTTTTAGAGAACCGGGACGGGGCGGTGGATGCATTCCGCAATCCATTTAATGGAAGGAGCTTCAGAGAATCGGGCCATAGTCCGTCGCAATTCTCAAATGTGAGTGCATCTCCGGGGCCAGAGCCGTGGGCTTCGGGGTCAGTGGGCATGGCACCGCCGCAGGTGCAGGTGAGCTCAACGCACTATCTCTCGGGTCAGCAGCACGACTTCATCACTTCCACGTCCAACAATCAAGGCATCCAGAGGGACATGTGGCCGAGCAGTTCGGATAATATTGTAGTCCACATGATGCCAAATCCGAGTGTATCGGAGTTGCCGGTGCAGCGGAATCATATGGGCACTGACGGCAATAGCAGAGCTAGCGCATTGGCGAGGGAACATAAAAGGATGTATTTCTAGCCGCCGTCTTCGCCAGCTGATGTCTCGAAGTCAACTACTTCAATGTGATTCAAAGGCCGTTTACGACAACTAACACGAGTTTTTCCAATGCTGCTTTGTATTATCTACCTCGACGTACCGGCCTGTTGAGGCAAGTAGCTGATGATGCCCGCCCCGTCGAAGAAATTGGAGATGACCCCGCACGTTTTATCTCAGTTCGTCCAGAACAGTCTAAATTCTTAACCATCATAATGATTCTCTCATATGAGTCTCATCCATCGTTGCTCACATTGTCAATACTGTTATGTCGATGCTATCTGCAGAATTACGAGCGTGCAATGAAATTGAGCATTTGCATGTGATTTTCTTCCGTTTAGCATGATTAACACGCCTGCGGGAGAGCGAGCAGCGGATGATGAGTCGCGGCCGGGATGTCGAGATTACGGATCGTGCGGCATCGACTCGTGTTTTCCCAGTCCAATTTCTGGATTGGCTTCGATTTCCAACTTACAAGTCACCTAACTCCTGGACTCATGTGACATCTGAAGACCATCACACGTACACCCATTCCGCGATCCCCTGGCGCATATAATGGACTCATGGCATGAACACCGCGAAAACAGCTTGCACAGTCCAACCTGACTCCAGTAGCTTTCACTCGCTGGCGGCGCCTTTCCCCCCTTAAAGGCCCAAACCGATTGAAGGACAATGAGTGTCACGGCGGGCGCCAAGTACGATGACGCCTGGTCCAGCCAGACTGAAACCAGGTCTCCAACCCAATCTCAGAACCCGACCAAGAGAAGGCGAACCGACTCGTACGGAGGATCAACCCAGGAAACTGGTCTCATGAGGAATGGCGGCGAAGGTTTGCCTCGGTTCATCGGCAGTGGGAGCGGCATTCACTTCATCCGCACTGTGTACGACGTGCTTGCGCGCAGCACCGGTGCCAAACGCACCAAGAACCGAGCCGATGTATCTGGAGATCTAGTTCCCGGCGAGGATGACCAATTAGTGGAGCCGACGCCGGGTGACGAGGCAGTCCCCGGCACCAACGCTCGGGCGTCCTTCTGGCAGACAGCCGAGATTATTCAGGACACCGAACCGGGTGCACCGCCTGTCAACTTTGGTAGTCTGGTCGAGTGGACCAAGAGCTATTTCAAAAATTGGCACCCGGCATTTCCTTTGCTTCATGGGCCCGAAGTGCTCGAAATCCTCGAGCACGTTAGCACCCAGGGCATCGCCAACGTGAGCGAGTCTGATGCCACCATTGTGCAGTCCATTGTCTCCATATCGCTGGCTGATAGCCGCCAATCTGGGGGCAAACAGGGGGCTGTTCCCGCGAGCCTGGTATTCCTGAGCCTGGAGAACATCGCAGCGAGCCTGGCCTTTGCTCTTGGCTCCCCCGCATCCCTGAAGAGCGTACAAGCAGCCGCATGTGTCATGTTGTTTTTGGTCTCCATGCTCCGATTCAACATGGCGTCTAGGCTGGGAGGCATCGTCACACGCATGTCATTCCACTTGGGACTACATAGATGCCCATGCCGCTTTTCCAACTTCACACCTCATGAGGCTTCGATGCGCAAAAGAGTATGGTGGTCGATATACTGTCTGGAAAGGATGGTGTGCCAGTCGTTGGGTCTACCATTAGCCATCAGGGATGATGATGTCGACGCTTGTTTCCCTGCGCAGGAGCTGCACGGGGACACAGCGGACTCGCTCCCTTCTGAAGACGGACTCGAGGGTAAGAAAGAGCTCCTCCAACACTCGCCGCATGAACTAACGTGGCCCTCCCTTCTTCAGTGGATCAATTGCAACTATTGACATTGCTTGCGAAACACGCTCGACTTCGAGGCATGATACTCGAGCTACGGAACAAAACCCTGAGTGCCAGGCATGACTCTGTGGGGCGTTCTCTATTCGTCCAAGCGGAACTGACGCGATGGGTCAACAACATCCATGACGTTACAGACAACCACAGAGACAACGAAGACGCCGCATTTCAACAGCCTGCAGAGGAGGATAGCTGTCCAATTTCCACATCCCACAAGATGTTGCTCTTGATCTTGCAGCACGAATCCACCATCAGCCTGAACAGGCCACTTTTAGCATCCAAATCGGACACGCCAGCTTCACAAGCTGCACTGCAAGCCTGCATCAACGCATCAAGGGCCATCATAGACACAATAGACAGCCTACAAGCTCGGGAAAAGCCATGTGGAGCCGGCGCCTACCCACACCAAATTATGCTGTGGCCGCTACTTACGTGGTCCACTTGGATGAGTTGTTTCGTTTTGACCTACGCTGCGTTGGGGGGCGTGACGGCTGTATCTTCCGCCCAGAGGTAACGACCAAACCCATTTTTCCACCGCCGTGGTTTGATTACTGATGTGCCCCGTTGCAGGTACGCGAAAAGATCATTGCGGATTCTGAAGCAGCTATCGTCACGAGGCACAGCATGGCCCGACTCTTGCGCCGAAGCAGTGCAACATGTTATCTCCGCGCTTGATAAGAAAGAGGACAAAACGACAAGTTTGCACCCTGTGCCATCGCCAATATCTACTTCCTTGAATGGTACGCGTGACTTTCAACTGCAACGAGATGCGACTAGACTGATTGCGACGCCAACAGACCGCCGTGACAGCAGTCGAGGCATTCATGACGGGCCAAGCCAAACACACGACTTCAATGCATACAGGCCTGAAAATCGCCAGTCCTTGGACCAAAGCCAGCGCTCGCAAGTGTTCCTTCCCTCGGACTTTTTGATAACCAGAGCTAATCAAAGTCACAGACTTTCGCCGCCAAGGGCGGATCGTGATTTCCACAGCAGGTTTCCACCCAACGGAGAAACGCAAAGTTCGCCATACGGCCATGCGTTCGACGCAGTTGAGACCGGCGCCCATCTCTTCATGCCGGAAAATACTCCAGGTTTTGATATGGACGGCCAAGATTGGCTGGATCCTCTCAATGCGCTCGACTTTTCCAACTTTGCACAAGCTGGGACCGACTCTGCCATAGGGTTTGGATTTTACTGATGAACCACACTAAGGGTTGTGTCGTATCGGATCCGCGCCATGTAAGTCATACTGGCGGATTTATATGTTCGACTCGTCAACGGTGGCGAATGGATAGTTCCGTTGGATGGAGGATATGGTCCTGGTCCAATGGAGATATATATGACGTTACTCGTGTATCATACAGTATTCTAATCTACGCTGTCTTGGCAGCCTTGCCATACGAGCTCTTAATTTCCTCAACAACAGCATTTGTGACCTCAACGGTACTCGCCTTGCCGCCTAGATCTGCCGTCACAATTCCCTTCTCGCAGACACGCTCAACCGCATCCAGAAGCTTCTTGCTGGCATCATCCTCGCCGAGCCACGCGAGCATTTCGGCACTGGTCCAGAATGTGGCCACCGGGTTCGAGATGCCCTTACCGGTGATATCGAACGCTGACCCGTGGATGGGCTCGAACATGCTGGGGTTCTCGCGCGTAGGGTCCAGGTTGGATGTAGGCGCAATGCCGATGGAGCCTGCCAATGCAGCAGCCAGATCCGAAAGGATGTCGGCGTGCTAGTGTACCATTGTTAGCCCGGCTCACCGCATCGAGATGTCTCAATAATCGCAGACTCACCAAGTTGGTAGCGACAATAGTATCAAGCGACTCCGGCTTCAACACCATCCGGCACGTCATGGCGTCAACCAACATCTTATCCACCGTTACATCCGGGAAATCCTTCGCCACGATCACCGCAACCTCATCCCACAACACCATACCATTCCGCTGCGCATTACTCTTCGTGACCAACGTCAACAACTTGCGCGGCCGCTTCTGCGCCGTCTCAAACGCGAACCGCATGATGCGCTCGACGCCGTGGCGAGTGAATACCGAGACCTCGGTGGCCGACTCCCAAGCCCGGCCACGGTGGGATCGTCCGCCCTGTCCCGCGTACTCGCCTTCGCTGTTTTCGCGGATGATGACCCAGTCCAGGTCGCCGACCTTGCAGTTGCGCAGGGGGGATTGCGTGCCCTTGAAGACTTTCGTCGGGCGGACGTTGGCGTACTGCTGGAAGGGCTGGCAGATGGCGAGGCGCAAGCCCCAGAGGGAGATGTGGTCGGGGACGTCTTTTGGTGTCTGTCAGACCAACCTTGTCTTGACATGACGCGGGTGTAGACAAGGGGGCGAACTTACCAGGTGCACCGACGGCACCAAAAAGAATAGCGTCGTGCTTCTTAAGCTCGTCTAATCCACCGTCTGGGATGTACTTCCCCGTCTTCTTGTACGTCTCGGAGCTCCAGTTGTAGTGTTTGAAGTCGATTGTGAAGGAGCCCAGAGTCTCGGAAAGCTGCTTCAGCACCACGATGGCAGCTTCCACCACCTCCGGACCGATGCCGTCGGCCGGGATGGAGGCGATGTTGTAGCACTTAGAAGCCGGGATGGAAACGGGGGGAGACATGTTTGCTAATGTGACTACCCTAGCAAGTCTACAACGATTCCAAATATTCCTAGGAATGAACAAAGGATCAATATTAGGTAAATGGCTGGCCAACTCCCGAATCCGACTGTCTATTAAGATGCACGTCTTGGATCATATTAACCAAGATGAACGCGCCGCCGATGTGCCGTATCGGCATCTGGGAGACCCACCCGGACTTGATCTTGTCCGTCGTAGAAAACCCTCCCCAACATTACTTACACTACGCTGTAGACTTTGTCCGGCAGGGTTATCCGCCGTGGCTTCAGCATGATGGGTCAATTTCATACGCTTTGGGGCATAACCCGTTCGAAAACGGACGTCCCTGTTTCCCCAAAGTTGCACATCTTGAGTGAATCGTCGGATTCAAAGTTCATGTGTACAATGTTCTTGGTTCTTCTCGTTGGGTACCTATTCCATTATGCACTCATACCGACAGATGGGGATTTACGGCCAATTGTGAGGTCGAAGGCCTACAAAACCCGGCATCAAGCCAGAAGTAGCCATCAGACCACAACAAAATACATCTTTTTTTTGGCCTTCGTACTCAATTCACATTGAATGTTTTGGCATCAACGACCACTTTGGTCCTTCGCAACTACATCTTCTGTGTTGCTGGCTCCAGGCCAGTCTAGACTACGGGTCACTGAAAATCAATTTAAAATTAGTCTAGAAACGCTCAACAAAAGGAGACATCACCAAATCAGTAGTATGCTGTACCATAGAAAGCCGGACCATACGACATTCTCTTTTGAGATTATGATGATAATGGAAAGGTCCGACGTGATGCTATCGATGGCCTTACTCGACGCTGGCCTCAGATTGGTTTGGCATGTTCAAAGTTACTACTGATAGGTTTCACACTATTCTTAGAATTTTCGCCGTATTAATATCATCACCGTCCCTTTGGTCTTCAAGATATCCCCTCGTTGGGAATTTAGGAGACTAATTATAACAAGCCCCATCAACAGAATAGCCAGTAATATTTCTCGCAGGCTGACCGAGACCAAACTCGACAATAGTGCCCCCGTCAGAAGCCTCGGGATCGAAAACGGGCCAGCCGGCGGTACTCTGGACCGTCGAGGGATCTTTGAGAAAGGCCAAGAGGAAACCTTGCATCGTGGCGGATGTGTCGACTTCAAGTTGCGTCACCTCACCCACGTCCAGGCGGTAGGTACCAAAGATCATAAATAAGTCCGACCAGTGGAAAGCGCCCAGCCAGGGCACCGGACTGATGTTGGAAAAGTTTCCTATGCACCGAGAAAATCAGCATTGTGCCATAGACCACCTTGGAGTGGTAGAACTGAGAGACTTGCCTGCCCACAGATACCGATGCGTGTCCAGGCCAATGGAATGCCGCAGTGCAACGTCGGAAGCAGTTGCACAGTCCCACCTCAGCTGTGATGCCTCGACTGCGGTTTCGTTGGTGGAAGGGCTTTCCCTCGCCGCATGAGACCGAATGGCTGGTCCTTTGGCGATCTTTCCATCGATGTATCGTTGTGTCTCGTTGGAGAAGATGTATCTCTCGTCCGCTGCATGATGGTCCGGTTAGTTTGCGACTTTCAGAGCCGGAGACTTAGTGGATGACCCACGGATATATGAAGTAAAAGCAATCGACGGGGTACTGTTGTAGCGATTGATGAACTCCGATATCTGGACCCATGATACCTGGCGCATGCATTCGAGCTCAGCCTCCCAGTCATCAAAATAGTTGCAGCCGAGAGCTTTGGCAACAATATCGAAATCTGCATAGGGGTCAGGTGTGGTGGTGAGATTTATGACCACTGAGGGTGGGGTGGATATCATGCCGAAGCTTGAGGCAAGGGGGTCATCGGGGAATGCCAGAGTGTACGCATGCGTTAGTCCGGCGCCTTGAGACTGTCCCCAGAGCTGTCATGTAACATGAGATTTCGGCTGACACATGACAGAAGTAGGGGTGCTCACCAAGATATTCTCGGCATCACCCCCAAAGGCACCGATGTTCTCAGAGACCCATTCCACGGCAGCTCTTACATCGAGTAAAGTGAGTGATGTTTCATTCAAAGCTCGGGATTTGGGATCTGGCCAACGTGTCAGTAGCAATAATTCTCATGTGTAGGCCTTGGTCGCATAACTTACTTCCAAATATGTTGGACCTGTAGTTCATGGTGACGACGATATGCTCCTGGGACCGCGATATCCACTGAGGTGGCAGTTGAGAGGGAATATCGATCGCACCCGTGACTCCACCTCCGCCCGTAACGAAGAGGGCTACCGGAAGCTTCGAGGTTTTGTTGGCGAAAGACGGGGTCCATACGGCCAAGGTAAGACAGTCCTCTGCAGAGGCCCATGCTACGCTGCCCTGGTTGAGATTTTCGCCGAGGTTGACAAGCAAGTTGGGTGGTTGATACTGGTTATACATGGACGTTTTCCCAGAAACGTACTGCGGACAGGCTGCAGAAAGGCCGAGGATGAGTGGTAAGTGCCCCTAGCAAGTCGCAGTATGGGAGACTAATGCTTACCAGGGCCGAACTTGGTCGAGTCGTATTTTCTCGACGAGTTGGGAAGCTTTTGGGGAGGGAGCCATCGCAGTTCGCCAACAGGTGGCTGTCAAAGGACAATGCGAAGTCAGTGAACTGGTCTTGAGAAAGTTCAAGAAGGAGGAACACTGACCTGAGCAAACGGAATTCGCAGGAATTGGCGGACATCAGGATAGGTATCGTTCAAGAAGCCGACAAATGTTCCAGTGCGTGTTTCCACCGTGAGATTCGTGAAGCTCGACAAAGTACGGGCAGGTTCCTGCGTCAGGTTCTGGTAGTATGGCGGAAAGGTTTGCCCAAGGGCAGAGATGGCCAATGCCAATGGCAATAGGGCAGATACTTGCATCATAATGCTCACTAAACCAGCTTAGTTCAAGTAAGACTTCCAATTACTGGTCAAGGGGGACTGCGTAGTATCCAAGTGATGCATGGGTGAGTCTCTGTAGGAGAGAAGCGATAAAAGAGCGGGTTGGCTACAAGAGCATTAAATACCGAGTGCAACGACACGAATCCGTCAGAATAGTACATCCTGGGCTGACTGAAAACTAAGCCTCGACTCAACCACCCATCTGGGCTTTAGTTAGTGGATCCGCCAGCCTACTTCGTACAAAAGTACTCAAATCTCCGGACTTCGCTGCGGGGATGTGGTTGAGATTCGAAAGTCGGCTAACTGGCCCAATGCCGCACTCGTACGGCAGCTCCAAGCAGCGAATGAACAACGTACCATGGCTCACCACCTTTTGCTCAGCAAATGCGGGGTTCCCACGGAGAAAATGATGTAATTTCAATTTTATACGACTCCATCAAATTCACCGTAGAAACAAGATAAATATGGTGTCCTGCAGCTGCTTAGCAGTGCCTTTTATATAAGTCTCTCTTTTGAATTTCACGGTCAAATCGGATAGTCTTACGTTGTAATTTAGGCTCCGGTTCTACCTTACAGCTTCTACTAGCTTTTAGAAACAACGGCTTCAACTTAGCTCTACGTAGAGGTATAGCTAACAAACTCTGACCGTATGGTACGTTACTTGTAGGAACCCCCGTAGTAGTTATTACCGGCCGTATACAGGGGTTCCGGTAAATTCCAAGGGAGTGCCATGAGTAACAAAATACCTATCCACAATCCGAATGGCAACTTGACCATGCTGCAGATGTAGTCACGATGAAAGAGGGACTCGGAAATCCGAGTAAAAATAGCCGAGCCGAGACGCGCTGCGGGGTGGATGCTGGGGTGGATTCTGGGGTTAATGGGGGGCAATAGAGCCTTTATGATAGGTTCATAATGATATGTCAGTCTGCTCTGCTGCGACGTCGGATACTCGCGATTAATAACAGTATGTTTTCGGCCAACGTATTCTTCTAACCAAATATATGCAGGTGCCCATGGGAATAGTGATAGAATGCTTTGTAGGTATGTGAAACGTATGTTCCACCCATAGAGGTACTGATAGACCACCTGCGGGAGGTGTTGAACCTTCAACGCTATTACACCAAAACGTGCCAGCTTGTAAGAACATATGGTCAACTAGCCTACGATATCGGCCAATATGGCCTCCACCCATCGTACCATTCAAGTTCTGCCTGTGGGGCAGGCATCGTTCATTTCTACCTCTGTAAGGCCCTTCTGGCTATCGTTCGATCCTTAGAGGACTCTTCAGAGATCATCGCTATTCAATGCAAGACCATTTGCCCTACATTCCAATATAAAGTCCTTTATAATAGAACTATAGCGCTGGCACTGTGCTAAATACTCATGCCTCCTATTGGACTGTAGGGCAAATGGTCTCGTATTAAATCGTGATGATCTCTGCAGAGTCTTCCAACACATTCCTCACACTCAGGCAGTAGAAGATAGGTCGTATTAGTGAATATTCCGAGGCTACTAGAGAGCCATTTAAGTACCTAGCTGACAGGCATACGTGTACTTACGCTATCTTGTGTACGAACTGAAGTTACCAACGCAAAGGCCACTTAACTACCTCGAAACTCTACACTCTATTTCCATTGACTTTCCAATCAAGAGTTTCTGTGACTACCAAGACACGGATTGAAAAGCTAGATTCGGAGATAGCAGGGTTTATTCAACCAGCGTTACCTCGTCGTCAATTACGAATCAGCATAGTTTCAATCAAGCCACTGTTCAAACCCCTTCAGCTAGGATACCACCATTCGGCCATACCCTAGTCCTACCATGTATCCGCTGAACGCAACTGTAATACCCCACACAATTGTGAGTATAGACCGCTAGTCACTATTCACTGCGGACATGTATTACCCTTCACATCGAGGCACCACAAGTAGCCGTCGTCGTTCCTGACTGTTTGAGCTGCTGTCGTCAGCACAAAGTGACTTCACAAAAGTGTCGCAGTCTTCACTTACTGAGATCAGTTCTAGCGATGGCCCATTTCCCCTCTTTGTTTGTGCAGTTACAGCTCAGACACGAGGATCCATCAGTAAGCTCGCAGTCGTTGCACTTGTTAATGAACCCGCCACCCCACATTCGTGGCGTGATCTGTCCCCTGTCGTCGACTGCGTAGCAACTGTGTCATAACTCACGTTAATAATAAACACCGTTGAACACATCTGGCGAAACAAGAACGTGACTCACGAGTCGAGGAAGACGTAGGTACATGGCTTGGCACCGGTTCCGGTCTGGCTGCAGTTGCCCTCCAGGACGGTATTGGCCTCACCCGGCCACATCAAACGCAAGCCAGAGCAGGTTTCGGTGAAGGCAGTTGGGTCACCATCACGGGCTTTCATAGCTGCAAGAGGAGTTGTGATAAGAGTGCTAGCAAGTAGCATGAGGGTGTTGATAGCGATCATTTTGACATTAATGACTGGGTGTCTTCGATTTCGTCGCGAAACTGTACCTTCATGCGGATTCGGACATAAATAACTGACGCTTTTTGAAGTATTGGCCGGTTTGGGTGAGGGCAAGAGTTCAGAAGGGCGATGGTAGGTGGTGGTTGGAGGTATATATGCAGGAATGGACTTTGGCTAAAGAAGGGTGCACGCCTTATGGCATGGTCTAACATTCACCAACTCATATGCATGGACTACAGAATTGGAGTGTACTTGCCTTTGTTTTCCCGTAGCACTTACCTTGCTCTTATGTTGTAACCCTTCATCATGCACGACAGGTTAAGGGGCAGCGACCAACAACCAGCAAACATGTTGGTCTATTTCAGGAAGGAACCTGGGCAAACCTAACATATATTATCAATTTAGTAAAATGAGCATGGAATGACCATCCATCCCTTTCTAAACCGCATTCTAGATAATCCTTCCAATTGGCTAGGGAAGCACGTAATATGCAAGTCGTGTTCTTAATGGTTGATCTGCCCTGGGGCGCAGACAGGACGCGAACGATGTCGCCAAGCCACTAGGCCTCAGATCACAACAGCACAACTATCGCCTCTCCAATGAGCATATGGAAGAGTTCAAGCCATGTATTGTATTAACTATTACCGTGTAACGTGGGAGAACGCCGTACATTGCGCCTGATGCACCCCAGGAAACTGACATGTAACTAGTGTTCGAAGAAATGCCTGCCCCGTTCGTTGCGACGGAAGCTAATTACGCTTCTGCAGTCACAAACTGCGAGCACGAAAGGATGCTTGACTGCTTCCAACTTACCGAGGTACCTAGATTTGAAGATTATTCTGTAGCTTCACGGCCAGGTGTCAAATGGTTCAAATTGATTTCATGTTGATTTCATGGTAGTTGTCAAAATTTACGCCAAGTCTCTTACACTGTGGTATAAAACGTTTCGGCACCGAGAGAACATGCAAAAATACTAGTAGACTCGGCTAACAGCCCAAGCACGGGGTCGACACTAAGCCGTGCCCATATCAAACAACTACGTAAATTGATAATATGCCCTTGAAGAGTGAAAATATTGTATCATCAAGCAGCTTCAGTCTAGCTCGGTCTCATAGAAATCGATTGGAAGCCACTGATAAAATGAGAATGACACCATGAGAGTTGTCTAACATCGCTAAATACTAATTCACTGGCTTGATCAGGCTTCCACTTGTTTCATGTGCGACACTTGTGTTATGTCTAAGACTTTATGGTCTGCAATTTAATTGTGTTGGGTATTACGGAATCAGAACCTAGAAACGATGCATATTTGGAGGCTTCATTATCATCTTCGGGATGCAGAAGAAGTCCAATAGTAAATGTAAGCGCAGCAAGGTAATGGCCAATTCCAGGTGCTACTGATACTCTCACTCCCTTAATAAAGTCATCAAGTCGTCCTTGCCCACGTCCTCGCCGCCTACTTTGGCTTGTGCAACCAGGTGAGATGAGCCTGTCATCGATATCCACAGGTTGTTTCCCCATTACTAATATGACGAGCCTATCCAAGCGTCCGTGCCAACCTTCACCTGCCTGTGTGGTGTGCAGACGTGAGATCACATGCAAGGAATTTGAGTCAAACCCTGAAGTGAGACATATTCTGTGTCACTTGCCCACACACGAATAGACCATCTAATCAACGTCTTCTGCAGAACTAGGGTGCTACCGTTTCCGCCAATAGCCCTTACAAGAAGCTTCACCTGGGAAATCAGCAATGGTACAAAATCCCGACTGCTCTCATGTAAGTAGAGCTAAGGAGTATTCGCTTGGGCAGTCTCGTAAGAGCTGACCATTCTTCAACAACAGAGACTGTGCTCGGGTTCACAAACGAGACTCTGACAACATAGCTCGACTCGGGGCCCGATATAATATAAATCTGATAAATCTCTTGTCAAAAACTACATCAATGGCCTTGTTCAAGCTATATCTAATGAAGATACGATACGAATAACTAGAAAGGAGGATTGATTGTCAGGTGACCTACCTGGCCTAGGTGGGCCTGGGCTACTACTATCAGATCCCAGGCCCTTTGTATTATTGTAAATATGCACGCTCTCTCTAGGTTTATTATTCTCAAATTATACTACATTTCCGCTATCCATGACATGCTTATGGGAATGGACAATGGTGATTATCGTTGTTTATGTGATTATACTACTGCTGACAGTTCTACACTAGGAACTCAAAATATGGGTTTTAAGCTTATGCCAACAGCTCTGTCTAGCTGCAACATCAGACCCGAGTGGGACTATTGAATTTGCTTAGTTCAGACGGATATAGGCGCTGATAAGGCCCGTCTGAATTGCGCAGGTGGTATCGAAGGATTTACCTGGGGACGTATCCAATGAACGTAAGCAAGGTTAAGCGATTCGTCGATTTCAGTGGGACATTCAAAGATGTCGGGATTCCAATCACAGATCTCACAGACTTGGCGGGGTTTCACAGTTTCTTACTTTGGGATTATGCTGGTACAGCCTGTGCACACATGGTCTTCCTTGACTCATGTTAGGTGACATGGGACTATTCAACCACAGATGAGTCCGCTCCATAGGACAGATAAGGTATGAATTGCACGATTACCGCAGTCCTCTCATTCTTCTATCCCATATGCTGATCAAACCTTACACACAACTACTAACACACTACTATAGAACCAAGGAACGTGATCTACTAAACTACTGTTTTGGGTGCTTGGGGCAATTTGCTAATCAAATTGACAGACTGAGAAGAAATTCCTGGAAACAACTACTACGTCGATGTGCGTGTACCGCGTGGGCAGAAATATGTAGTGTCTACCTGTGAATAATTATCATGACGATTCAACTGGACCAACCGAGCTACTTAGTGTGATTAACGGCGTCTGGTCGGTACCAAAGGTAGAGCCACTGGTTTTGAGAAAGCATAACGTGATCCACAAGTCATTTTCGCACACAAGTCACTTTCGCACTTTTCTTGGCACCTTCAAGTAATTCAGTAATATCCTATGCATAACCCGCATTTTATCCTTTAAATTACTCAAAATCTTCTTCATTATCAGTTTCTACTTCTATTGAACAAGTCCTTGCATTATTACGGCCAAGCTTACGCCATGAAATTTCAGGGTTGCGCTTTTTAGCTTGGATAGCTAGCTGAAGATCGGCTTCTTTAGATTTACGAGGCATGTTGTGGGAGGGAAGAAAAGTACAAGCTAAGTTAAAAGGTTGAAATATTTGAAAAAGTGCGAAAGTGACTTGTGTGCGAAAATGACTTGTGGATCACGTTAAGTTGAAAAGACAGAATAATCCACAATTACAAATCAACATGTCCATGCTTTTCCGTCGGTATAACCCCCAACTCCTCAAGTAGGACGTCGACAAAATCTTGCCCCTTATAATTAAAGCCGCTAAAAGCCTAAACATGATACGTGACCCCATAGGGGGTTGCCCTATAGCTAGAGATAAGATAGATAAGAGCTATAAAAGAGCTCTGCCAGGCCAGAATAGCTGACCTGGACATCCTTTCCCAATACAACAATTCACACCCCATATGCACTCGCATCAAAATACCTAGACAGATAAGCGTGTTACCATCAGCATCTGTGCATTTGGGATCAACATCAGCAAAGGCCACAAATGCAAGCCCGTTGTAGTATCTTAAGCCCTTGCCTTGACAACCTCACCTATACATGTGGATTCTCCGTGGTCTCGACCTTTCATCGTATAAGAATAATAGCACCAGATTCGGAAAAAGTTACTTTAATCATTTGCCAGTTGTGTACATAAGCCACTGGTACTAATCGAATATAACAGATCAAATAATTAACCAGGCCCACTTGTGTTTTGCTATTTATAGCATTATCCCTGGTTGATGAATGTTGTAAAAGGCTATGTAAGGTAGTTTAAAGTAGACCGACCTTACCCAAAAGAACCCGATCTTTCTAGTTCCGATGTCCTCTATTTCCTGTCATAATGACTGCTGGTAAAAATTTACCAACAGAAACTACTCCTAAAAGTGGCGCCAGCCGAGCTAAACTTCCTTCGCGCTGCTCAGGCCCTCCGTGCTAAAGCATACCATGCCTAAAATGCACTGAAGGATGGTGGTAGCGAGAAAGAACGGACCAGCCGCTGGCTTAAGTATGATCCTGTTGCCAATAGTGCCCTCTCTCTAGTCAAGCTACTCTCGCTCTTGCTCGCTTTGATCTAGCATCGTAAACCCGCACCGCATAAGCCCGAACGTTGCCTTCTGGTAGAGATGATGCGAGCAAGCGTCCACATATTTCTGGTTTAGTCGTTGCATCCCGGTAGTCAAAGCGCTAATATCCATGGTCTACGGTTTACGTGTGCACATCCACCTCACCATGCTGGGACTTCACGTCAGCCTGTACTCGGTGAGCTAACGGCTGAAACATATCCCGGAATGCAGAGGAGCAGCATCAAATGTACGCCCGTCACTATCGGAGATCCAGTCTGGATTCTCGGTATCGGCGCTTGCACCCTCGTTAACGGCAGTACACCGCCCTTCTCCTTGGCTGGCGATTTGTTTGCTCACGTAGTCCAGAAGATAAATCCACACTCTAATGCTGAGGACCCCGAGAACTGCATGATGGCAACGTCGCGTGAGGCACTAATGATTGGTGGAAACAGACCAGGTCTCTATAAAAGATATTACTGGCGTATAGCAGAGCAATAAAGCACGTAGAAAGCTCAAGAGACATGTTTGTAGCATGGAAGAGGATAAAATACAGCCAAATGGTTAGAGCAAGTTACAACTCATTCAAGTTTTCTACTCGTATTCTCCTGAGCCTTTCCCATGATATTGAATCATACGAGTCGAGAGGGCTAGGCAGGGGCGATGCAGCGGATACGAACCGAAACGTTCGATTTTCTCTGTTGTCCCACGAAGATTAGCATGAAATAACTATTTACCATGACCTCAGCACTGTCAGATTTAGATCAGTTACCATCAATGTCGACGGATGACACAGCCACACAAACTCAGCACTAACGTGCCCCGCGAACCAAGCCACCACTTAAGCAGTGCTCAAATACCCAGACAGGCAAATCGATTGGATTCTACCCTGCGACGTAAGACGAAGTCACTACTTTCTTAGTAACCCGGTTCATTATAATTATCGAACACGAGCCGCACGCAACGTTAACATGATATCCACAGCGGTCTACAGGCACGATCGGCATTGCTCCCCGTCTAAGCTTGTAAGCTGGTACTTCATATAATGCCTTACAACACCTGGTGTCTGCATCTCATATCCTCATCTCATTCCACAGAAGCATCGTACAGCTTCAACGGCACACTGCTCGTTATAATATCACCTCTCGCAAAACTGAAATTTCACAAACTGTCCAATTCCAATCTCAGCTCCAAAATGGCCTTCAAGATGCTCCTCTCAACCGCCCTATTGGCAACCACCAGCCTATCATCCGCCCTTCCACGCCAATCGACCACCCTATCAACCAGCTACGCCTTCCGCCTCGCGGCCAACGTAACCGCCTTCGACACCACCCCCTCGGCCCAGGGCCTCGAACTCCAGTACACCGATACTGATGGATGTACGGCCGACCTAATCCTCGCGGGCTCCGGCGACACTTTCTACGCAACTGGATCCAATGTTGGCATTGCCGACTTTCCCTACCCCTCCGGTGGGAGCATCAACGCCGGCATCACTGTCACCAAAGGAGGCACCGCAACTGTACCCGCCTTGTTTCCCGTGCAAGTCAGCTGTGGAGAGGGGACCGCGGGCGTGACTGTGGGCCCTGATGAGGAGACTGGGGCTGTGGCAGAGTTGTTGTATGATGGCGGGTCGTGGATGGCATGCCCGAGAGATGATGGTGAAGGGTTCCGGTTGATTTACAAGTCGGCTGGACAGCGCACTATCTTCGGGTGTGCGGATGTGCAGCTTCTGCCGCTGTGTGAGGATATCGACGAGGATGACATCGAGGATGGGTGGTTGAATGTTGCTTGCTTTACTCAATAATGACGAGGTCCGCGGTGCATCCATGAGATGTCTTACATTTACACAGGGGGCATGGGTATATACGGGATGGCACGGCACTGTTTGCTGCATGGGTTACGGAACAATACACGTTGATGGTGTGATACGGGAGTTTATTGACATTTTTTAGAGCTTAGACTTGTTAGTATTTACACAAAGTAGCATATGAATATAATTACACATTCATTCATTTCTTTATATTTAACGCGTGTACAAAATGGTACAATATAGCACGTTAAGGTATCTTATGACAAGCCACAACATGAGGCATTGAACCTTAACTCCAATGGTGCATGCGAAAGACCATTTCTTCGCAGCAGAGGGATGTCATCGCGAGAAACTCCATCAGCTTGTCTACCATGCTGCTGCTCTAAACACCCGCTACAAAGTCTTAGGGCAGCACGGCGGCTTGTCTAGACTAGGAAGAATTGCGACAAGTTGGTCACGAGTTGGAGACACTGAGGGTAGTGGTGTTTACCCATGATAGGTTTTCGTATTCGCGTCGGTTGTTGTACGTAGCTGGTTGGTCGTGCTGGACATGGATAAGCCGGTGGAGCATATTATTGGATTGTGGGCAAATGGTCTTGTATTGAAAGTGTCATGATCTCTGGAGAGTCCAGAGAGAAGCAAAGGGCGGCCATGAGGGCCTTATATAGTCAGAAATGACTGATGCCTGCCCCACAGCCAGGACTTATGTGGTTCAATGGGTAGAGGTCATATTGACCCATACTTCGTACGGTTTGCGGCTTTACTTTTCTCCTTTTGACTTGGCAGTCTTGACGGAGTAGCCTTGAAGGTCCAACAGATATGAAGCCCGGGTTTGAATGTCGGTCAAGGAACTGAGAAACATTTCGGGTTCTCCATGTTTACGACTTACACAAACTTTGCGAGCTACTTTAAATTTGGTGAACTGACATGCTTTGATATCCGCATTCAGGAGTGGATTAAGAAACAAATAATTACAGCAGTTTCTTTATCATGGCAGAGAGCAACACCCACCCACCACAAACGGACTGTTCCTTTAATTGATCTATTATGCTTTGTGTATGTATTTTTCTCGAGTTGCTTTAGCATGGAGGACATCCAAATGTAACAACCTAATACTAGCTAGTAATGGGGGTACGTGGTCGTAGCGAGTAGTTACGGAACGTTTATAACGTAAAGGTAAATGTAGGATATTAGTATTCGATAGCTACGAGAGTCACGTTTTAGTAGAATTCATCGCTTTCTATGCGTAGAATAATGATATCACGATCTCTATCCCTCCGTACTCGTCGTGTCTACTCTAGCTACTTAACGTTAATTATTTTAATATTCTAAAGCGGATATGCAGTCGTTAGATCGAAGAGCTTATAAAGTTCCGTGTCACAAGGGAGGACCGAGTCCCTAGGCCAACAGACCAAAGTATCTAAAATGTCGGTGGATCACTGACATTTGGTCCGACTAACTATTGTATACAGGACTATATGGCTATGTAATCGCCAGTATTGTGACAATGTGCGACTCACTTCTGAATCACATTAAAATTTATAAACAAGGACTACGGATAATACATGCCCGCAGGTTTAAGGTGTAGATGATGGCAACGGACAACAAGATTCTCAACAAGACCTTACTGTCCGGAGGTGGAAATAACAACAAATCGAGAGCCTTCTTGCCCGATCGGAACAACAAGAGTACCTCAGCAGGTACGACAATCGGCTCAGCCTCAACAGGTCCTAGAATTGAATCACCTCAGCAGGTGGTCAACTCAACAGGTCAGAACAGCTAGAGCCTCAAAAGGCGAAGGGAATGAAGTTCAATGACAACCAGCTTGGCCGCTTGCTTTCCTCTCTTTCTCCCTTCTTAGAGAGTGACTGGCTACACTGGTCGTTAAATACCTTCGAGAACACGCTTACATAATTCATCTGAAAACCGAAAAGCAAGACCCAAAAATCCCATCCTAAGTCGATTAAAAATAGAAATACTGTCTGGTAATAATTAATTACATCAATCAAAATATACCATTTACTCGAAAAGTCTGTCAGGGGTTCGGAATACCTGGCCAACTTCCTCGTAGCTATCCTCATTAGCCAGCCTTGAGCATGTCGTCAATCCTGGCCCACAGCCCCTTTCTCAAGTACCCCGCAACCCAATAGTTGCCCTCGGCATCCTTCCCGGAGGTGAGAAACACGTTGCGAAGCGGGAATCCCGTAGTAACGCCGACACATTGCACGTACGACGGCGTGCCTAACTTGTTCGTCCTCCCTCTCCCCTCTGCATCTCGCTCGCATGCACCCACCACCGCCGGCCCAAAGTCCGTCTCGAACAGCTTGGCCTGGGTCCAATTCGAATGAGTGACCATGTGCATGGTGGCATCGCCAAACAGGGCCGGATACCCGGTCTTGGCCAATGACTCTGCTTGCACCGCCAGGTACGCCTCGACCTGGTCTCTTGAGCCGAGCTCGCCGATGGCGCGGCGCATAATCAATGCCGTGTAGCTTAGCGGCTTAGCAAAAATATCTCTTACGCTAAGGAAGGCGTAAATTAAGCCAAGCACGTTGGACACATACACCCCTGGCGGGGGCAACAGGTCGCCTGCCACCACCGCGCGGAAGTTGTATGCATTGGCAATGGGGAGAGTCTGGTGTGAGTCGCGACGCAGGTGGGACACGGCGAGGCGGGTCGTCCAGGCGCAGAGGACATCTCCTTCGCTCAAGAAGGGGTTCTCGCCCTCTATGGCAAGCTCTTGCAGAGCAGTCTCTCGTAGAGTCTGAAGATAGGAGCCGGGAATGCAGATCATGCGGTGTTCGTTCCCTCGCCACCAGAGTAAACCAAAGGCGAAGCGGATCCCAAAGACGGCCATTCGCCAGCCGATTAGCAAGCGGTCGGCGAGCTTGTAGGGCTCTTTAGAGTGCAAGCCTAGGTTGGCAAGGGGATCGTTACCGACCCCTAGCAAGGGAGGGACCTCGTCATCGCGGCCTTGGAGCACGAGACTCCAGGCATTCAACATCGCCTTGAAGCCCACAGCGTCCATGACAACATGGAGCCACAATAGAGAAACAAGGGTGGCGTCACAGAATGAGACGATGTGCAAGCTCAACAAGGGCTCATCCGCATACAGGTAGTCTCCCAATGCCTTTGGTGCATTGGCGCGGCGTGACAAGTCGTGGAATTCGTCCGGATCCCCCACCACGGCCGGTTTAGTTGTTGGCTTTGGCAGGCGCGATGCCAGGGGGTGTTCGGCAATGTTGATAGCGTATTCGATATGAGAATACGAAATAGCAGGACGACGGTCATCATATTTGGCCGGGATATGGTAATCCAATTTTCCATTTTCCTGCTGATACGCGATGCATCAGGTCACCGAGCCCTCGTCTCGTCAAAGGTCTGGAGGAATGGTGCTCTTACGTTGCGCCTTAGTCTGGCACCCAGCTTGCGCCAATCCTGACGATCGAGCAGCTTCTCGAGAGATCGCCTGAGCTTCACCGCGTCCAACACGTCGTCAAATCTGAAGAGAGGGTTGACCACAACGGTCTGGTAAACGGCGTTGTCATCCAGTGAGGCCACGGGGATTACGGTGTCGGACGACACGGTGACCGGCGCGACCGGCTTGTTCCGGAAAGGGTTCCGCATATTCGGAAGGGGAGCACGCTGGAGCGCCGGTGTAGTCTGTGTGGACCTTCCGGTTTGAGCATCAATGCCGAACGTTTGGTAAAGAGGGTAACACAAATTTCAGGACGAGAACGGGGCTGGCGACAAGGTGATGTCATAAACTAAGTGGGCAAAGCCGCTATATCTATATCGGCGCTGACAAGTTAGACCGCGACACTACTGACACTGCTGACACCGCTGACACTGAACGCTCGTGATGCGTCATTTAGTTGGAACTGCTGGTGTGAATTCTTGTCGACGACAGGAGCTGAGGAAGTTGCCGTCCCTTGCAAGCGGATGACTGTGGCGCGGAGTTATCTTCCAACATCAAGTAGACCATCCAGCGCACGCTAACAACGCTTTGAAGACTGTTTTGGCAGATGTGCAGGCGTTGTTGGTGTTGGAAAGAAACACAATTCCAATTCCCATCTGCTTTGAATGGCGAAACACTTGGGCCCAGAAAGAGCCTGGAAAGAAATGGTGACATCACGTGATAGCACGTTTTGCAAGATGCGACTTCCTCGCTTTTGGCATTCCTCCTGCGCGCTGCTCCGTCCCCAAGTCACCTACCTGCCACCACCAAGTAGGTCCAGAATCCATCAATGTAGCCCACTACAAACCGCCAACATGTCGCGCAAACCGGCTGGGGTGAGGACCGAGTACATTGAGACGGTAAGACACCCCATGCCACCATTTTATCTGATTTTTATTTTTCCTTTTGGGGCGAATCAGAAAGTAATGTCTACTCCCAGGAAACGGGCAACAAGGTGGCCCGAAAAGCCAACCTGGTCGGCACCCAGCACATTATGCTCGGAGGCAAGACCGTCATCATGGCCGATGCAATGATCCGTGGCGACCTGGCCCGCACCGCCCCCACTTCTTCGTCTTCTTCATCCTCGGGAACTGCGCCGGGGAGCAATACGGCCGTCTTCATCGGACGCTATTGTTTCCTGAGCAAGGGCTGCTGTTTACGGCCCCGGGACGCATCTACAAGGGGTCAGCCTTCTCCCTTTTGCCCTCGATATGGTAGCGAGACATGCTGACGACACCCCAAGCGCATTCACCTACATGCCCCTCCGCCTCGGCGACCATGTCTTCGTCGGCGAGTCCGCCATCGTCCAGGCCGCGGCCATCGGGAGCCACGTGCATGTCGGCAAGAATGTCGTTATCGGCGAGTTCGCCATCATCAAGGACTTCGTCCGGGTTCTCGATGACACCGTCATCCCCGCCAACATGGTCATTCCCAGCTTCACCGTCGTGGCCGGCCAGCCTGCGAGGATCGTGGGCGAGGTGCCTGAGGGTGGACATGAGGCTTTTGAGTTGAGGGAGCTGTATCGGACTGTGGGGAATAATCCGCAGCCTGCTTCTGTCTGAAGGCTTTAACCACAGGCTCATTGTAGTTGCACGAGGTTGTACACATTTCCATCCATCTTCCAAGCTTGGACTCGCTCTTGCATCGGACGTCAGCATACAGTATATTATTTGGCCCTAGCCTCAACTCTCATAGGATACAATACAACGCCTAACAGTGTGCTTCACTGCTAAGCGATCTTGATCGTGGAAAGTTCGCCACCTTCCTCGAAAAGCCCTGGCCAGTCACGGAAGAAACAAACTTTGTAGTATCTTCCGAGCCACCGTGCACTCATCGGCTTGTATGTGAACAACCACGTCAGCTTCTGTTGTTTCGTTCTTTATGCTCGTCTTGAATTCTTTTGATACGATGAAGTCTGTCTGCATCGCTGGGGATTGCCACGAGTTCTAAGAGGCATTCTCCGATGAGTTGTGCAGGCTTGGGGAATGACTTGACCAACTCAATATCGTTCAAGAGGTCTTGGCGTTCTTTAACAATGTCGTTTTAGGTCCTGATCTTCCATCTACGCGACGAGGACGTTGATATCGGGTTTCTGTGCTCTGGTTTGGATATCAACGGGCCTGAAAAGAGCCGGGCCTCACGGTCATGCTGGCACATTTTGGCCTTGATGTCAGACAATGAAAGATGACACTGATCAATGTCTTCTGCTAATTGTCTTATGACGATAAGCTTAGCCACTTGTGCAGTGCAGGCCTAAAAACCATGTATTAATACCGAAAACTGACGCAGTACTCATTTGCCAATCGGATCAGGTAGCAAAATATTTATATTGCACCTATCGACGTCCATGAAAGTAGCCAGTAGCCGGATGGACATGCATGAGCCCTATCTGTTTTTCTCGAGGATGACTGACTGACGTGCACCAAATCTCACGCTAAGCGATCAACATCATGATAGCCTGAGCGAATTACCCGCTCTTCCTTCTAGACTTGCCCTCCCTCTTCCCTAGCGCACCTTGTACCATGCTTCCCAGACCCAGAGGGAACTGCGTCGTACTCATCTGTCTCGTCACTTTCCTCGTCTCGTGACCCGTACCCTTGTCCGTCATCGCCGCCGCCGGAGCCGAACTCCTAGGCACCGTCGCCTTCCTGCTAGTAGCCGTATTGCTGCCAACCCGGTTCTGCTTGCTGATCCACCCGGACCCTTGGAGCCGGCTCTTACTCGACTGTGCGGGCGAGTACGTACCATCGAGGTCGCTGTCGGCATAGTTCTCGGTGAACCTCTCTTCCTCGCTGACTGCATCGTCTTCTTGGCTTGACTTCACGTTGGTCTCGGTCTGGTCTTCGGCTTTCTCTACGAACGGGTTGGTATCGGTACCGAACTTTCTGAAGCGCTTCTTGGGACTTGGGGACACTACTCGTGGCAGGGCCCGCTTGTTTGGGTTGGTTTGTGGTGATTTGCACAGCGGTTGCGAGTGCTTCACCGGGGCAACAGGGGACGAGCCGGAGCTTAGCAGCTCGATGATCTCTGTACCAGGCGGCACGGTGAACTGTGATGATGACAGAGTGTTGCGATCACGGGGAAGCGGTGGCGAGGTTCGCATTTTGACCGGTGGCGGAGGAGACTGGGCGAGGTCGGACACCTTGCTGGGTTTCCTCCGAAGCCTAGAGGAAGCTGGCGGTGAGACCCTCGCTACCGCTGTGACTGCATGCAGCTTTTCGCCGCCTCTTGGGGCACGCCTGCCTTCACTTCGCGTACGTCTCGACTCGCGAATCAGACGCTTATCTGCACACTCCAGAACCTCGGGGTCAGAATCGGAATTCACCGCCGAGGTTTTCGTAATCACTAATTGTTTGGTTGGAACCGAGACTTGATCCAGCACTTGGTCAAACTCTTCCACACGTGCCGCATCTCTCTCTCTTTGCCGCTTTTGAAAAGCTTCTTGTCTTTCGCCAGGATTCTGTTCCGCGGGTTTCTCGACTTTCACCATGAGCCTAGCAGAATTATCCATGCCGCCGACGTCATCCATAGCATCATCAACAAATGGATCCATTGCCGAGGATAGAGTGTTAAGTCCCTTTTGGACTCTATTTGGATCAAGCTCGTAGCTGTCAGGCACGTGACTTAGATCCTCTACCATTTCCTCCTCCACTTGGTCCAGCTTACGCATCGCTTCTTCGTACTCCTCATTCGTATCGTTTTGCTTCTGCGGATTCTGCTTGAAAAGAGATGGGAGCGACTGCGACTTGGAAGGACTCCGCGTCTGCGTATTCCGCGACGATGCGGCGGTACACCAGACGGTCTCAAGCGAAGACAGAGAGCAGGGTGAAGAACCTAGTTCCTTTCTCGGCGTGGCACCCTCGCGCTTGGGACTCTCAAATTTGACTTGTTGGCCAGGCGTGGGCGTCTGCTGACTATCTTCTGCTTCTTCTGCTTCTTCCTCAACGGGAGGCGGCTGGGAGGACGCGCCAAGCACAACCGATTCTTTCCCATGACCATCAAGATTGTCAAGACGCTCTTGACAGTCTTCAGCACGTTGGGATGAGTTCTCTTCCGACTGTGTGAGAAGGTCATGTTCTATCATACCCAAGTCGGTATCCATGTCACCCATGTTGGAGTAGTCCGGCTGACGTCCACTGCGCACACTACTTGCAGAAGATGGCGTAGCCGTCACTATCGGGTATTTGTTTTGGGGTATTCCCATGAGGAGCGTCGCATCACCGCTGTCGCCGACTGCATGAAATTTATCAAATTTGTCAAAATTCGGGGCCGACGAATGCTCCAATCTGTTCTGTGCGGTGTCAGGATCAGACATTACAGGTGCGGGAGTCGAAACCAACTGGCTGTCGTCCGCAACGTTCGCTTCCTGATCAGCGGGCGCTAGAGCTTCTGGCGTTCCACGTTGATCAGTATTGGTATCGATATCGTTGTACATCGGGTCATCAACGCTGTCCGGCACGACATCCTGGTCAGATGTAGCTGGTTCAGAAGGGAGAGCAGAAGTAGACTTTAGCTCTTTGGCGACATGTCCAGAAGTTTCGTTGACAATTTGAGGAGGCCCAGACTCTATGGTCATAGCCACCCCATATTTGCCAGGACCAGATTCGTTGGAGTGGCCGCTCGATTCGTCATGCAATTGGCGCGACGGGCTACTGATCTGTGACATGTCCGACATGGAAAAGTTGGAAGTAATAGTCTGGGGGCCTTGACCAGGCTGATACGAGGAAGTGGATGAAAAATTGGTTGCAAGCTCGATAGGTACTGCAACCGCAGGTGACTCAACTTCTGCGAGTGCAGTGTTCTCTTCCACAACCTGAGATGAAGGAGCAGGTGCCTCTGAAGCGTGTGCCATGACCACGTCATGATTGTCATCGAGGGCGCTGGGATTTGATGGGCTCACCGACGGGCTACCGCTGCAGCCTGGCATTGAAGAATTAGTATTCACAATAGTTAAAGAGACAGAAAGTGGGATACACGTCGGATAAAATATATTTACAGTCATATTAATAGCGATATAGAGAGGCACTAACCTTCAAACCCTTCAAAGGTATCTCCATCGACGTATCCATCGTCAGCCTCTTTGGCAGCGCCGGGCTGACCATTATCAGCTATCTTAACATCCTCAGGTTGACTGTCAGCAACCACCGCTTCAGCAACTTCCTCCTCAATAGACCTCACCATGCTCTCATCCCCATTATTGGTGTCATCTTGATGCAAAGGCGCTTGCAAAATCTTGGGGTCCATCATGTCAGCAAAAGCCAGTGTGCGATATCCTTGCCTCTCCATTTCATCAACCTCATCGGCCTCGCCGGTCTCTTCGTCGTCCTCCATGTCCGGTACCTCGAATTTTTCGTAGACCCTGCGTCCGTTGTCATCGAAGGATTTCTCGGTTCTATCAAGATCCCTGTCGCGTCTTGCAAGCAGAACCTGCAGGCCAGTGGCATCGTCGTCAATTCTCACAACTACGCCGGTCAAGTCCGATACTTGGGGTTGCCAGTTAGTCGCCTTAGACAGAACAAACTGCTTCCACGTGATGACCATGCCCTTCTGTACCTCTCCCGGGAGAAGCGCCTTGAGTAAAGCGAGATCTTTCGGAAGCGGAGGAAGGTCTTCCACATCGGTGAGCTGGTTGGCTTCGGCAGCGTCATTGCCTTTGTCAGATGTGGATTGCTCGACATCGTCGTAGTTGAGCTCAATATCGGCCGTGGTATCTTCACCAACCCTATTGAATGTGGTATCATAGCCGGTGTCTTCGTCCAATTCCCCTTCGTCATAGTCTGCAGACTCATGGTGTTTCCTCTTGGTGCCGGCTTGGTAGAAGTGCGCTTGATTGCGGTCTCGCTTCTTGCCAGCGCCTCCGCGTTTGTTCTTCTTCTGGTTTTGATGGAACCAAACCCCCTGCTGCTGCGGGTCCCAGCGTTGAACAAACGGGAACGGTGGCTCGCTGAGCTCGACATCTTCCTGGCAGCATTCTACAGCTCGGTAGGTGATTTTGTCCCGCCACGCATCTGGGTCTTCCTCCGTCAGTTGCTGGGAGCTCGTCTCTTCCCCGTTGGTTTCGGTGGACCTGTCTTGCGCGTCTGCAGCAATTTCTTGCTCCAGTCTGAAGTTCACATGCGGTTTGACGTCCTTCATGAGTTTGGTTCGCAACTTCTCCTCGTCCTCCTTAGTCTTCGGGTTTCGGAGGCCTAGTGCACCAAACAGCATGCGACGTCCAGCTCCCAGGTCGATGCGGCGTCTCTTCTGTGCCTCAGGCACTTCTCCGCCCTCTTGCACAGGCGATTGTGTGTATGTAACCTCTTCTGTAGCCGAGGTGGAGGCTGCGCCATCTCGTTTCCTTTTGTTGCTGAGTTCAGACACACTCGACTGGTCCTCTAGAGCTAGACTGCCCGGTCCCACCTCCACGCCACCGTTTGCTATGGCATCTAGTAGTGCTTGACGTCTGGCCTCAAAGAGCTCTTTGTCGCGTTGTTTCTTGTCTTCCTGGGTGAACGCAGCAACTGTTGTACCAAGGGTGTCCGCGTTGCTTGTGTCAGCAACAGAAACCTCTTCGCCCTGTGCGGCCAGTTTCTTAGCCTTTAGCAGAGCACGCCGCCGGGCGTTGCGGCTCTTGGTGGATGATTTACCCTCTCCAGGAGGCACGGTCGGTTGAGTCCAGACCATGGAGAGTGATTGCGATTTCGATGGCGCCAAATCAGCCTGGCCTATTCCCTTCAAAGCTGCTGCTCCCCTGCTCTTCGAATGGTGAGCCACAACCTTTTCGCTTTCGGAAGCGGAACTTGATTCAGCGTCACTGCTGTCATCTTCCGAGCTTTCTTCGGAGGACGATGTGTCATTAGTAACATCCGACTCATCGTCGCTGCTAGAGCTGGCCTCGGAGCCGCCCTTACTCGAAGACGCATGGTCTGCCTGCCCAGACCTGCGGGTTCGAACGAATCCCCCGTCCTTTGCAGTTATCTCCTCGGGACCACTATCGCTCTCGTCACTGCTGTCATCATCTGAAGAATCTGACCCAGATCCAGAGTTTCCCTCGGACGCATTTGAGGCGCCGTTGTCATCTTGCTCGTGGTCTTCGTCGCTTCCCGAGGATACATCCTCATCTGACGAGTCAGAATCATCACTGTCTTCCTCAACGTCATCCGAACTTGAACTGGTACCACTGCTGGACGTTTCATCGTCGTCGTTTCTGTTCGCAGCCTCGAAACCCTGCTTACTTCCCACCAAGGCTTCCGAAGTAGCCTGGCTCTCGCCGCTCAACTGGTTACTTCTAAACGAGCCGGAAATCTTAGCCATCGCTTTTAACGCGGTGCCAGACGAAATCGAGCCAGGGGGGAGACCCTTGTGATCGAACTGCTTGACAAAGTCAGGTACGCCTTCCATTTCCTCCTCATCCGATCCCCCCTCTTCATCGTCATCAGCTGCTGGTTGGGGGGCCGACATTTTAGACTGGCTGCTTTTCGATACAGTGCCGGGTGCCTTCTGCTTGGCTGCACGCGAGCTCGCAGCTTCTCCGTCTTCTGAATGGACCTTCATTGCCCCTTTCTGAGGCCGGGCCATCAAAGCTGACTCGGGCAAATTAGGAGTAAAGCCTTCAACCAGGGTCGAGTAAGCGGCTTTCAGGTCTCCCTCGCAATTCCCCAGTATCTTCTCACAAACAAAGCTCGGTGCTGAAGGAAAGGCCGCGCGTAAAGCACCAATCTTATCCAACGTCTTAAGGTCCAAGCCTGAAGCCCGTCGGGTTGACGCTCTAGATGCAGCGACCGGTGGCTCCTCCTCAAATTCGCCCAGGGCAGCACTCTCATTCTGCAGGTGACGCAGCTCTTCTTCGAGGTCCTCTTCCTCTTCTCCGTCGAGCATGTCGTCATCGTCCAGGTCCTCGTCGGAGCCAGACTCTTCACTCGTCTCCTGCTGTACTCCCTCAGTTTCGAAGTCTTGGTCATCCGCTTCATCGTCCATCTCAGCGTCGGCATCGTCCTCGTCGGCGTCTATATTGTCAAAGAGCGCGCCGATCCTTACACTGCTGGGGTATTCATCCCCGCTCTCCTCCTCGCCATTAGTAAGGAGTAACATTTGCTCATCATCTGCAGGTTCAAAGTCCCCATCGCCTTCGTCATCTTCATCTTGTTCCTCCTCTTCGTCCTGTGCAATACGTCTTCTCTTGCGTGGAGGAATATCGAGAGCCGGTCGGCCTCTGGGTGTCTTCAGCAGTGGCCTCCCGAAGGCAATGCCGTCTATGAGGTGTTTTCCATCGGTCGAGATCTGAAGACGGCCGCCGACTCTGCGCCGTCGAAGGTCGTCCGTGAAAAGTGGGCGAATGCTGCAACGTCACCGTTAGCTTGCGTCGACTGAAAAATGCAAAGGAGTGTTCAGCATACAAAACTTGGTCATCCTCCTTGAGCACACCTCGTATAGGCTGGAAGTGCAAACACTCAAAGCTTGAGCCGCTTGCATCTCGCAATTCGACGGCGTAGTCCTCGAGGCCCCATTCGCCGCTTTCCAGTGGGAAGATGTCGTTGACCTGCTCGAGCAGTTTGGCGATGGTCGGGTTCGTCTCGAGGGACACACTCCAGACGACGTTGGTATCGGGCAGGCTGTTGCGGCACACCACAAGGCGTAGCCGCATGTCTTTCTGCGACATGGTCGCTAGCTTGGTTGGTCCGTTGCGTGTACAGAACAATGAAGAATTGGGCAGTCGAACGGTTGGTACAAGAAATGAAGATAAAACGTGGGTATCAATAATTAGACATGGGGCATGAGTTTGATGAACTTCGTCGCCAGCTGCAGCAGGACAACCTATGTACAACTGGAAGTTGGGACGCTGGGACTGAAGTCAACGCAGATCGCGGACTTTCAATGATGGCGTTGAAGAGACCGAGTTGAGTTGGGGAAGGCATCCCAAGAAGCAACTTTAATGTGGGGCAACTTTCATTCGACGTCAACTTGTAGATGGAAGTTGCGCCCATAAACTTGACCTGACTCGTGGCCGGTACACAAAATCTGCTCTTTGAAGGACGTGGTTTCCATCCGCACCATAATCTGATAGTATTTGTTTTCCAGGGCGAGTTGGCGCAGTTCGAAGTTGACACGGATCGCGGTACGCGATAAAACTGTACCTTGCACTTTCATCCCTCTCACCAAGGTCGCCTCTCATCCCAATCGGTGTAGAAACGAAACACATCCCAGGGGCAACTATGGAATTCGAATTCTGCGTGTTTTATCCGTGGTATATGTTATTATATATGTGCAACAATCGTCGCCAAACTCGAAAGGACGACAATATATACTTTGTACCCAATGCCCCGCACCCGAACGCCCTCTATGATGCCTTCCGTGGTATGAGGATCTTGTTCCTGATTTTTAACCCACATTTTGATCAATCCGAAGTGAATTCGTTCACATTACGGTCCCATACCACCCATCTCCAGCATATGCCCCATCTTTTCAATCTGCCAAACGGTGAGCAAAAAGGTATCAATATGAATAACGGTCAGAACTCACCTTGGTCTTCAAATACCCCTCCACCTCCTTACTCTTGAACCCACCTCTCCCCTTCCAACTAAGTGGCACCATGGCCACCCTCTCCAGCACCTTCACCTCCCTGTTTGGCCCCTCAACCGCGCGAATCTTTTCAGGATTGTTCGTCAACAACCGAATCTCCTCCTGCCCCAGATCCCTCAGTATCGCCGTGGCCAAGCCGTAACTTCTCGCGTCGGCCGGATGGCGCAGCAGCAGATTAGCCTCCACAGTGTCAGAACCCAAATCCTGCAGATTGTACGCCTTGAGCTTCTCGCCCAGCCCGATCCCTCGCCCCTCTTGCCGCAGGTAGATAATGATACCGCCCGATTCCTGCTGGCTCGGCAATGACATCAGCCGCGCCGCCTCGTCAAGCTGCTCGCCACAGTCGCACCGTGCAGACCAAGCGGTTTCGCCTGTGTAGCACTCAGAGTGTATGCGCACGAGGGGCGAGCTACCATTTCCACCGTCCTTCCCGGCCTCTCCCTCTGCCCCGGTTCCCATCATGCCGCTTGTAGCCCTTCCGGGAAACAACCTCCCCACGTACGCGCCCCGAATCATGCGATCCATCTCCGTCTCGTCCTCCCTGGGCTCGTCCAAACTCCGACTCCGAATGTTGTTCCCAAACACAATCGCCAGGTGCTCTTTAGTATCCACATTGTTGGAGTAGAGATGCAGCCACATCTCCGTGCCTGTCACCGTGGGAATGCGCGCGCGCACGATACACTGCACCTCGGGTAATGTTTCTAACAGCCGGGGCCGCTTAGAGCCGCAGCCGCCTGTGGGCAAAGAAGAGTCGACGGGGACGCCACGGGGCACATGTTCGGTTGTGGGTGTGGCGGCGCCGCTTGGTGTGGCGGGGGGTGTGAATTGTGGAGAGAGGAGGGACGGCGGCGGGAGCTGGGTGGCATCGAATCCGCGGTCTGACTCTGGGTAGGTCGTGGGTGGTTGTACGAGGGGAGAGAGGGAGAGGGTATCGGCATTGAGGTGCGTTGCTGGGGCTTCGTGGGGTCGGGACTTGGGCGAGTAGAAGGACGGCAGGTCGGCCGTCTCTTCGGGCCATTGCGAATTGGCTGTCCTTCGATCCATTGGTGACGTGTCGAGATCCAGCATTGCAAAAGTCGAGTGAGAGTGTCGTAGAGCCTAATGTCTTACTTGGTGGGGGATGCAATGCGGTGGTCTGCGACCGAGGTCGGTGGTGGGGTTCGAAGGCCCTTCCTTGTGCGAGGAAAGTCTAGACTGGCAACTTCAGGAACGCTGAGAACGATGCAAATAAGAATACACAAGAAACAGGCGTATGAATAGAAGAGTCGCAATGGGAATCGATTTTAGTTTAATCAAGAAGCTGACAAGATTATCTGGTGATTACCAGCGTTGGTGCCAGCATTAGTCATGCTGGTCCCTACTGAAGACGATGACGGAATCGCTAAGTGCGCTGGTGCATTGGCGAATGGCGGGGATGCCGGTCAATTCCAGATTCGCCGAATTTCTCGTTCAGTTCACCTTAATAACTCTCATATTTCTCGTTCCTCCTGTCTGGGGCAACTGAAAATATGAAAATATGATAAGAATTATTCACTATACCAGAAATGACCTCAAAGTTTTAATATCGCGTGATTGTTGTTGGTCGAAAGATGGAAAAGCGGATCACATACTAGAACATGTCCCGCTGGGATTGGGAGGCTGTCAATCTGGCCATGCCCACTTTCCGATGAGCTGAGATGAGACTTCCGCAGAAGAATATTGCACCTTCGAAATTTTGGGGCTCTGTTGCGCACATGCAATTCCATCCATAGCAAATTCCGGGATCGGCCAAGGCAAGTAATCGCACTCACATAACTAAGACGACTTGCTTCCAAACTCAGTGCCAGGAAATGCTCACGTTCTGTTCCAGAACTTGTATTTCGTCACAAAATATCTACTTGTTAGCTAGTTATTTGCTCGAAACGAAAGCCAATCTACAGATTCTGCTTCATCATCATAGCGATCGCAGCCCCCACCTTCTGCACGTTATCGGGTACCGTCAAATCCAATGGCTCTTCCCCGTGGCCCATTGCCTTCATCTGCATCGAGCTGGCAAATAACCTCATGAAGAACTCATCTTCTCCGATAGCATACTTCATAATACCCGTCGCCTTCCCTTCCAAAATCGTCTTGGGAAGATCCGGCTCCTGTGTGGCCGCCCGTCCAATACCGACTCCGTCAACGGCGCCCAGAACACCCACCATGCCGGCCACTGTCTTGAACCCGCCCGTGGTGTACACCTTGGTCTTGCTCAGCGACTTTGCAATGCGCTCGGCAAATTCGATGAAAAAGCTCTCCCGTGCCCTTGTGCTGTCCTTCTTGTGCTCAAAGCCTTGGCTTTCGTACGTGCCGCCGCTCGTCTCAACATAATCAAATCCTGCGCCCTCGAGCAGCTGACATAATTCCACGGCGTCCTCAGGTGTGAATCCCTTGTCCTGGAATTCGACCGAGTTGACTTTAATACCCAACACGAATTTATCGGTCACTCTCTTCTTAACCTCAGCCGCCACCTCTAGAATCAGTCTAGCACGGTTCTCCAAACTACCGCCGTAGTTATCGGTACGCTGGTTTGTCGTTGGGCTCAGGAACTGCGCAAGTAGGTACCCGTGTGCGCCATGCAACTCGATGCCGTCGAACCCAGCTTTCTCCAAATACTCTGCCGCATGTGCGAACCCGTCGATAATGGCAGCGATGTCCTCCTTAGTCGCCGCACGTGGAACGGCGTACGTCTTCTTCATCGCGGGGGAAACGAGCTGTACCGCACTCGCGCTGATAGGCTCCGATTGAACATCATCACTGGTCTGTCGTCCTGGGTGAGACACTTGGCCGACAATCAGACTGCCCTCCTTTTTGGCCCCCTCAGCTAGCGCCTTGAAGGCGTCGAAACGCTCTCCCGAGTAAGGCGAGTCGCGCGGGATGATGTAATTTCCCGGCGCTTCTAAGTGGCCTGGGTCGATCATGATATTGCCTGTCAGAAGCTGGCCCCAGCCGCCCTGGCCCCAACGCTCGTAAAGCCGGATTGCTTCCGGGGAGGGAACACCGCGGGCTGAGAGGTCAGTAGCTGAGAAGCTGGCGAGGCGCTCCGACATGGCGCCCTTGAGGAACCGATTGGGTGCTGAGCGCTTGGAGAAGGGGTATTCGAGGGGCTGGCCTAGGGGTGCTGGGTCCGCTGGAGCGGACTCAAAGCGCGGGGGTGACGTGGTAGATCCCATTGTGAAATTCTGACGCTGGTGGGTATCTGGGCATGGAGTTGAACAGGGTTTCGTATATCAGAAATGGACAAGAGTCAGGCTGGGACCTTATATACATGTAAATACGTGTCTCCACGCCCCGCGACTCGATCCGCTCGTCCAAGTCAGTCCCCCATGCCAGGCTGTGTTTGACGTTCGTGCACGTCGACGATGTCTAGACTCTGCCGACTTGCAATTTCTCCCCACCCTCTGTCAACGACAACGGCATCGGACCAACTCGGGGTCCATTGTTTGTGGAGTCTAGCCGAGGAACTCGGATGCGAAGTTACGATTCTGTTAAATTGGCAACTCTTTCAATCCTAAAATCCCGATGACCCCACGCCGTTGTTTTGGAGTGAAAAAAGAGTGAAAAAAAACAGGTTCCCTTCGGAGGAACTCGAGAGAATCTCCGAGGAATTTTAGAAAAATCGTTGGATCTCGTCAACATGAATGTTTGATTGATAATCATTGCAACATTAGTTTAGTCTGTTGGGACAACTCGGCCTATTATTCGTCCGCTTCTCCACCCGGTCTGAATCGTTAGCCTAAGAGCTCCTCTAGCCATGGAATTACAGGCCTTGGCGTTGAGGGCAACGTCAAACGACTATGATTTCTGCTGAGTTACATCAATAGCCCCGGACCGATAGAGATCTCATTCGTGAGACTGAAGTCAGCGTAGACGCTGGCAATAGTAATACTCATACCATTATACCAGGATCCATCGGATACACTGCAATTAAGTATAAAGGCTGGTCCGAACTGGGGACTATGGTCCATAAACTCGTGTGTTCCAACTTGATGTGCATTTCTATATATTTTCTCACTGGCTATAATTTGAGCCAGCTCTAGTACCTCCAGTGACGCCTCGGATCCAGCAGAAGCACTACTTGGAGTGAATACCGTGTCTATTAAAGAGTCACTGTAAAGCTTGCCTGGTTGGTCTGTTACGAGATCAAGGTATGCTGCGTAACATGGACTTGGGCTCTTATCGCTCATATAAAAGTGGTTGGTGAAGCAATATTGCGTCAGTTTTGACTAGTTCTTCATCAATCTGCTCGCTCTCCGAATAACTTACCACAGGTAGAAGTACATTGATCTTACTGGGAGGTGGAAACCTAAGATGCATGGAGACGCATCCCAATATAAAGTTTCTCGCATCAATCCGTGCAGGCCTTGAGAATTTATTTTCTATGCTGGCTTCTTGAAATGAGATCAGATCAGCTAAAGCCTGTGTTTGAACATGTTTTCGTGCGTTTGCCTGCGCAAACGAAAATGGAGCGGTTGAAACCTCAAGTTTCACACAGTGCAATCGAAAGATGCGTCTTCGACCACCAACTTTCGTACTTCAAATTGTGGCATTGCAGCCTCCTAAGGCAGATCGGAACGAGTATCAAGGCGGCCCACCTGTCCGCATTTCTGTGCTCGGACGACTTCGAAGTAAACCCGGGAATGAGGCAGTTGAAGATCAGTATGATTATTGTTCGCCGAATGAGCTCATCAACCATATTGCTAGCGAACAAAGAAGTCACATCCGTGGCCTCCCGGGCGTATCGACAGGGACTCGCATTGTGATGTTTATAAGATAAAGAGGTGATTGCGATCACAGCACGAAAAAGTCGTGCAGAGAGGGATGGTCAAGTCTCTAAACCATTCTGAAGCGGCAATGTTCCCGAAATAGGTTTCTAGTGAGAATTATACTGAAGATGCCAGGACCCCCAACCCCCATGGTATCTGTGTCGCAATACGAGTCCTAGGATCCAACAGGGTGGATGAAGCCGTGGCTTGACTTGGATTGGGAGTTGCTGCTGTCGAAATACAGCTTGGGCAGGTTTGCCAAGACGAACCTACGGGAAAGGCCGGAGAAAATATTATAAGACTATATCTCTGTGTTTATTATCCTTCTTCTCAGTATTTGTTTTCAACAGGTTTGTTTTCAACAGGTCAACTTAACGCATTGGTAGTTGAAGTCGTATCTTAGTGATGAGTTGCTGCAACGGTTACCACTACCTTTGGACAACGGAATCAAGTTTAGCATGCTTTGCACCAAGCAATACCCCTCAAACTGTACACCGAGGTTTGTAAATTGATATTAATTAAGCAATAATTTGGCGATTCCTCAATGCCCAAACATACCAACGTCCTTTTAACTTTTACTCTGAGTAAGTACTTGTGTAAAGAGCCTCCCTTTCGTAGGCAAGTACTACACTACATATCGCCATTGCAGCTACACCTTCATTTTCCTAACAGTATATATGTTATCCAAATATATATTACCTAGTTTCCCCGCTTCCCTTCTAAGTAATCAAGTATTACTCCTCTCGGAGTGGGCAATCGCAGTATCCTTGGCAGCAACTGGACTTTGTTGCTATTTATATGTCACAGTGACACCTATCGACTCATATTCAACATTCATCGCGGTCCCCAAGAACTTCGCACATCAGCTTATCCATCAGAATTTTTATACAGGACCCAGAGACTTTCCTATATTGTTCGTTCGGTTCACAGCTTTTCTCCGCAATCATTCCACAAGAAACTGCTTCCACCCGATCGTCAACACCGAGACGACCTCGGGACGCACCATGAGTCAGAACAAGGAACAAAAATCCCAGAGGCCAAAGACGGTGAGCGGCCGTTTCCCATGCAAAAGGTATGGCAGGATGATGGTGAAGGTTTTACAATAGCGAGCAAATACACCAGTATTCAACGGAAGCTATGACTTAAAATGTGCGCAGCATATGCTGGTAACAGGAGAAGGCCTGCAAGTGCGACAACTGCTTGGAAAAGGACCACGATCGTGAATAACTGCGACCATCCGGTGGAAATCTCTGCAGGCCAGACACAAGCCATTTATCCTCCGCAACTACCAACCGTTGCAGGTCAGGTAGAACCGCAAGACCAAAAAGAAATCTCCGAGATGATCCGATATTGGTGAGCTGCTGCACTCTCTGCCTTGCCTTGGACCGCCGACTCGTTTTGTTAGCGTCGATGTCATGAACTACAGGAGCTATATGTCGGATCAGAGCCATCAACTGCGACTGCGACAAGACAGTTTAAGACAGCATCCATCCAACGCCAGGTGTGTCACAATCTCTTGGATTCTCGGGCTAATGTCAATGGCCAGGACATCCACGGCAGGACTGCTCTGCACATCATCTGTGACCTGGATATCACCGACAAGCCTGCCATAAGACATTATCAACCTGCTTCTATGTCAGGCCCATAGTTACGCCGACCTGATGTTGCAATTGTGCGAAGGCAAGTGGGTCGGCCGGCCGCCGTCCTGTACACATTGAAGCGACGGAGAATCGACATGCTGAAAAGATTTCAGCTCGCTCCACCTCTCGACGTTGAATCTGAATATTGGGGGTACGTCGTTGACAAAGTCAATCGCCGGGGGAAACGGAAACGCACTGGACAAATCGAAGTTGAAACTCCAGCGAACGAACTGCAGCCACTGCTGGTTTTGACCCTGGGTGATGCATAACTCCTGCATAACTCGCTCAAGCCTTGGCCAATTACACCACCCCAACCGTCGCTTACCACTCCAACACCGAACACCACCAAGATTAGCCCCGCAATCGACAACCAGACCTTGGGGCTACCCGGGTATCAAGCATCAAGCTCTGACGCATTCCCAATACGCTCTAACAAGTTTGTTCCAAACGCTTGCCAATGATACCGAATCGCGGGACGGAGCCAGAAACCTTCCAAACATGTCATTGGATTGGGGGTTTCTAGAGATGGCTTGGTCCATCCACTTTGGAGTCATCCATCCATCAACTTCTTAGTGGGGGGAAACTGGAGGGGTAAAGTTGGTGTAGTTGTCGGTAGAAACAGGATTGCTTTTTGCTGCAAGCTGATGGACGCGGATGAGATGGCAGCCTTCTCTGAATGGGTGGATGACAGTAGAGCATGGAAGATTGTTCTGATGGACGATGGAAAACTCGTTTCTTGACTCTTACTCATGGTGCTCGATTATTCACGCTCATCTTTTCTACTTTCCAGGTACTGAATCCGTTTTTGTTCTCTTCGCGAGCATTGGTTGCGCTTGCTTCGATCTGTCTCATAGGCTTTTATTCTACAGCTTTTAGAAACATTCAGAACCTGACTCCTCCACTGGTTGTTTGGGCGGGCATACACGCTATATCACGTATCGAAGAGCTTTGCCTTACCCGAAGTTGGAAAGCACATACCGACACCCTTCCACAAGCAGCCTCAGCAAGAGTTGAGAACTTAGCCATCGAGTCGCCAAAAGGCGCAACTCCCAATACCGATAACTTGAAAGCCTGGGGGCTGGTAAACCAGACCACACCCTCGCATTTGGAGCCCAGAGCCCACAATGCAGGCCATCGCCCTTTTCCAGCTCCTCTTGTTGGCAATCTTCGCACGTGCCAATCCCATCACAATACCCTCCCCAAAATCGGTTCAAACCCCAAGCATAGCGCCTTCACTTCCCACAACCACCTCCTCAGCAACAACCCTCTCGCCTGCACACGCTTTAAAATTCTCAACAGCCCCCACAGCTCCAGTGCTTCTCCCCGACGCAACTTCGACCGGGCTACGGCCCGAAGTCACAGCACCACCAGGCGTCGATAGACAACTGGAGGGCGAGACCGATATGGTGGGGTTGGATATGAAGTTCAGGCAGACGACATATTGGAGCTGCGTGGCATGGACACATACGACGCATTGCGGCTGGCATGAACCAATATTGGACGCGGGGGCGGCACGAATTGGATGTCCAGGGGCGCAGATGGCAGTTCGTGCTGGCGTTGTAGCAGGCCTTGTCGGTGGAATCGTGCTGGGCGCGTGAATGGAAGTCAAGGAAGAACGTGTCCGCTTTCGGCGCTGGTATGTCGTGTTTCTGTGAGCATCAAGTTCTTCTGCGGCTCGAGCGTGCGCGTTTCCGGCTCTGGCTAGTCGGCCATTCCCTGTGCAATGCGGACGAGATCTGCGGCAATTAGCAGCGGCTGAATTAGATATGATTGGATTCCTAGAATAATGAGTAATGAATGCATGGTCGCATGATGAACTGGAATGTCCGTGTCAAATTCCTCAACAATATGCCATCTTCACTTGCCATGAGCGGGACGAGGGGAGTGGGAAAAGCCAGAACACCTTGATTGCATGCTGTCTCGGATGTATGGAGAAATCATCGAATTCGTGCCATCACGCCTCGCGATTTCATCAGTCTATTTGACCGTATGTCGTTTGCGTGCTGTATAAAACAGAGCCAGACGAAACCAATGCCGAGATCCATATCCCCCATAGCCATTGCCACTCCCCCAAAGCACAAAACCATGTGAGAATGCAATTATTCCTTCTTCGCCTTCTTGCCCTTGACCTTCTCGGTACCGCGCAGCGTCTTCTGTCGGTTCTTGCGTTGCTTGCCTGTTTGCCGTCACTTGTCAGCCACGTCTCTTTCGAGGTATCCCCGCGATAGAAGTCCGGAAGGTGTGGTGTCAACGTACGCTGTTGTCTGCTCGCACGCTCGACCTTGGTAGCCAGGCCGACACGGACCAGACGGTATTGGGGCTCGAACTTCTTCATGGCCTCGGGGGAGTCGTAAACGAGAGCGAAGCCGGTGGTCTTGCCACCACCGAATGCTGTGCGCAGACCGAAGACGGAGATCTGGTCCTTCTGGGCCTTGTACATGCTGGCAAGCTTGTCGCGCAGCTGGTCCTTGGAGATGTTGGGTCGGCTAGGGTGTAGGATGTCACTGTGCAAGTAGAAATCATCAGTCCAACGGTTCCATGTCCGTCAACAATTTTGGGAGGCATTCGAGTCGATTGCTGATGCTCGGCCCCAACGCGCCTGCCCCTCCGTGGTCCCTCTCGATCCCAGCAACATTTTTGCAATTTTGACACGCGTTTATCCATCATCTGCAACGCCGATAATTGCCAGGATCTCGAGGAAACGGTAAAGGTGACGCGATGAGGCCGTGGTTCGTCGCAATCGTCGTGGTTTGCACTGGAGGCGGGATACTCACACAACCATCTGCTTGCGGCCCAGGAGTGGGTTGCGGATGAACTTGCGAGTACGCAAAGTGACGGGGGCATCGGAGTCAGCCATCTTGACGATCTATCGGGGTTGAAGATGAGATCTTTTGTCGCAAGAGGTCGGCGGGTTGATGGTGGTGAATTTCTGACTGGATCAACTCAATCGAATTTGCTCGCTGGCTTGGGGGACCGTCCAGTGGGCTTGCTGGGTCGCGGCTGCCGTGAAAATTCCGGGATAGGGTCCGTGCGCTACTGGGTTAAGCGAGTAAAAAGCCCTAGCAAAAGTTTGTGGAAAGAGCAATTGTGGCACAACTATGTTGCATCCACCAGCCACATCTCAAATCTGCATCTAACTGAATGAACAATAAGTGACTTTCTATATTTCGGTTAGAGTCGTCCCACAGGTACGGGGTACAATAGCATGGTTTCATTGACCTTCACCTTGTAATTATGCAACAAGAAGTTGTTCGCCTTAATTACTTGACGCGATCCTCACTAACTCAATCCAGTCATTTCGAAATTATTTCATCAGACATTGAGGCCAGGTGACGCGACTACGCTGCACTAATTGGCACTTCATCTTGCCTCTTCCGAGTGTCCACTGCTCAAGCGGTGGTTCTGTGAAGTAATAAATTGAGGCTACAACGAAAAGAGAAATACTGTGCTGCTACTATCCTGTATAAGCAAAGTGCCCTGGGATTCTCTTTGCCAACTTGTTCCATCAGAGTTTGCACTGTCTAGTCACCTCGTCACGGTCGTGATGTTAGCGACAACTGCTCAGCGAATCTGTGTCTTCGATGGAAGATGGCATCACCTACTCTGGCTCTCTCGGCGAACATGTACCGAGCTTCTATATGTCTGCAGTTACCGCGAATCCCCATGATGACAATAATTTTATTGCCTCCTTTTATTGTCAATTGAACGAAACCGGAGAAGCCTCGCGAACTTGGACCTAAATTGCGTGCGCCACCTCCGCAAACAAGATCAATAGAAGTCTCCAGGACGAATGTATGGTTGGTATCACGAAGTTCGAAAGAATGACAAGGTCCAATTCGATATTATTCACGACCTTTATTACACACTCATGTATGACCAACCATTAATCTCATTTCCCTTACCTAATCGCTTTCTATGGATGTCATTGCCAGAATCACTGATTGAGCTGCGTGGCCCACATACCAAAGAAAACCAGTCCAGCAACAGCTAAAAGGCAATTAGCTCTCAGACCCAACATGTCTCGCGCATCACTGACGAACCAAAGCATCCAAATGGTGATCCATACCAACAACCATATTTCTTCCGCCCAAGGAGCGTGGTCTTGTTGCTGCTTCTGCGCAGTGGAGGAAGGAGACACTCCGCGTTCAAACTTCACATCAGTACTACTGCGAAACGGAATACATGCCCGAATAGCGTCGCTCGATAAGCCATCTTTATGATAGCTACTCGAACTGGCAAACCCAATCGAAGAACTAGCATCTGACGATGCACCCCTATCCCCACGATCCGGTCTGATGTACTGCATACACTCTCGGCAATGCAACCGCCCATTAGCGTGGCAATGGTAGCAGTACACCTCGTTTTCAACCCCGTGAAAGTCATTATGCTGGCAGCATTTGCACCGCTTCAACTCGGCCGGCCAGTTGCGCCGCTCCAGCGGGTTTTGGTACAGCCCGTACCCAAGATTCCTCTTTTCGTCCGCGGATAGCAAATCGAAGAGCTCGCATGCCTTCTCTTTTGTCATTCGCCATGCGCGCTTTGAGAGGAGCTCGGTGTACTCGGCCATCCGCGCGCAGGGCTTCTGTTCGCTGAGTTGCTCACCGGAGTTGAGGCGGGGGTTAGGCAACATGCTTGGGTCGGGTTTAACGTAGTCGGGTCGGATGTAGGAGTCGGGATGGTATGCAAATTCTGTCAGCCATTGTGGCTGTCGGGGTCGGGGCCGGGGACGCAGGAGCCCCGCCTCGTTTAGGGATATGGATGCAGGCTCTTGGCCTGGGTGGTCGACGTAGTACGCCATGGACTTCGGAGGTTAACCTCTCTGCGACATAGAAATGTCTGCTTGCTTGCTTGAGGTAGACGCTACTATCCGCTGTTGGTATTCACGGTCGTGTGGCTTGTCTTGGTGAGGTCGTAAGTATGGTAAATTATGAGTTGATTGTGGTCCTGGTAGATACTACATTTGTAGTATAGTTGAGCATGAACTCGCGGATTGTTAGGAAACAACCACAAAGGGCTTGGGTGTCTCCGTCAATGTTGAGCTTGCAGTCACGAAACAAGCATTATATGTCTATAAATTAGCTGGGTCACTTCCTTGTTCTTTCAAAAACAACATCGCATGTTTCTATCAACACGTATCCATAGAAATACCAGCCACTTTGTTGCATGCCCCAGGCACACCGCCGGGGCCAATTGCCCATAGATAGCCCTTCCGTAACTGCAACCTTTGGGACTTTTCCCATCATGATCACCGATACAACCCCACTTGCCTGTATTGCCAACACACTTTATTGAAACCGTGCCAGATCTGGCTGTGTTAGCTCAGGTTTTCAACTCCAGTGCCTACATCTAGGTCATGTGGTGGCTGATCTCCATTCTACTCAGACTTTTCACACGTATGGCAGTTTTATTGTAATCCTTCACATGAACCGTATCAATACTGTCAAATATCTCAGTGAGTGGCTGGGCGTGGTGCTGTTGAGCACGTATGCAACTCCGCCATCACATCGAGATATCACTGTTGCGACTAGCATTGGCAAATTAAGTTTACTATACTCCTCTATCGGACGGGTAATACCATGGTGCAGGTCATAATGTACTAATATATAGAGATCATTAAAATTTCTGATGGTTGCAATAACCAAAACAACGCCTCATGGTGGATCTATCTCAGATCAGACGTTCATTTGAATGATCCAGTTAACATTGCGCACGCAGTAAATAACGTCAAAAAGAGGTACGATTTAGAAAACTACGGCCTTCCGCGAGTGTTTAAAAAACGGAATTTCTCATGCACACAGATATTATGAGGAACCTCCCTCGAAACCCACAGCGATGTACTGGAAGCGACCACAAGGTCCATTCGAAAACACGATCTCAGGGTCGCCCGATATGTAGTCACCAGCCGCCAGCTTCTGATTCTCTGGACAGCTATTGTAGATGGCTAAAGAGCAGGAAATCCCCCTTGGGTCCACTTGCCAACTGGCTCCGGCACAATTTTTCCTGTCGAAGCATGCGGTGCAGCACTCGTACGCCGTTTTGGTGTAGAAGAACGTTTGAAACGGGGCATCATAGGTAATCTGTGATAAGGGCGCGCCGTTGGAGTCACGGCTAATTAGATTTTGTGCGTTGCAGACGGCCGTCGAGGTCGCGGTTGGTTGGTAGGTGGCCATTTCGGTGGTTCTGGATACATGATATTAGTTGAAAAGATTTCTTTTTCTAACCCCTGGAACTGCTAGAGAATACTCACGTTGAGGTTTCCGTCGTTATTGCCGTCGAAGTGGAGGTAACATACCCTGTCTCACTGAAGGTAATAGTCGTACTAGCATCTGGAATGTTCACGGTTATCGTTGTTGTCGATTGTGTCGTCAAAATGGTGGTTGGTGTTGGACCTCGGATGGTGTTTGTCCGCTTGGCTGTTTTGGTGACTACTTCAGGGATTATGTATTCCACTACAATATCACAGATGACGTTGTAAGGGTACTGTCGCTCTGCCCTCCGGTATCCCTGCCTCCCCCCGTCAACCGTGCCATTTTTGAAACCGTTTCGCACTTCGTGGGGTTTTTCAGGCTCCCTAGTATCTCGCTTCCGGAAAAGTGGATTGGGACTCGGGTAGATGAAATTTGGTGGGGGATCGAGAGTTGTCGTCGAGGTCTCGAGTGTCGTGGTGGAGGTGACGGACAAGGTGACTGCACTTGTTGAAGTTGCTATTTTTTATGTCAGTGATCTCCCACCAGGGACAAAAGCGGGTTGGAGGTAGCTGACATGTAGCCGTGATCGTCGATGTGATAGATGCAGTTTCGGTGAATGCGTTCGTCTCCGACATTGTAGAGGTTTTAGTGACAATATTCGTTTCGGTGACTAGACTTCGATCAGCACGCAAGATCTTAGTCTTCTTTCGGGTGGAAACAACACGTACGCACCGGTGGTAGGTTCGGGTGTTTCTGTTACTGTCGGCGTCTCCATCACGATCAATATAGGTTCAAGTGTAACAGTTTTAAAATTAGAAGTCGTCCACGCCGTCGTCGACTTGGTGGTGAAACGGGTCATGCAAGTGGTTTCAATAAGGCCATTGGCCACAGGGTCGCCAGCCTGTGGCATCCCATTTGCCACCAACAGGAAAAACATACCACTAAGAAGAACAGCACGCATCGTGACTCTTGTTAATACGTCCCTGTAATTCTCACGAGAACGTGCGTCATCAAGCTTTGCAGGATGCGAGAAGCGCCGTGACTTAAATACCATGTAGTGCGTCTTCATTTGTTCGTCCAAATGAAGGTTACTTGCTCGTGTTTGCGAATACCATGCGGGAAAACAGAGCATATTGCACGCTTTCTACATGCTCAAGTCTGCTACGACCACCGAAACAACGAACCTTATTTGAATTCACCCCTGAGGAGTCTTCTCAAGCTTTCATCAAATCCATCGTAAAATGGTTTGAGTACGAATCAAGCCATATCAAGTAATTAAAGCAGAATCATCCGACTTTTCTCATGAATCATATCTCAAATCGTAAAAGGCATCATGGAGACTGCCGTAAAGAGAGAGGCAAGACGTAACCGGAGTATTTACGGCAGCAGAATCTTCTGCATAATTATCTGTTTAGTATTGGCGAAGTTCACGCGGTACGGCCATATGGTGAGCCAATTTACAGAATATATATATATATATATATATAGATGCTCTGTTAAGTAGCATGCACAGGAGTCTTGCTGGGAGACTGGATTGTAAAATGTAGGGGAAGATAGCATGTCAACCTATTTAAAGCCTTCGGCTTAACTTGGAAAATTTGACCTAGCTGGAGACACAAATAGTTGGCCTACTAATGTCACAATGTTTGAAAATATAGACTTCGAATATCTTGGAGTCGATTTGCTACGCTATGACCATGGAACTCCCTTTTATACTGGTATATGCACAGCTTACCCTGTAGCTACTCAGTAGCACAGATCTAACGCTGAACATCCTAAAGGCTCCTAAAACTAAGAAATATAAGAGCAAAGAGATAGAATATAAGCTAGACATGTGTTGAGACAACTTCATCTGTATCTTGCCAGCATCTTCCAGTACGTCACAATAGAGCAGGCCGTTGCATGTTTCTCCTACCACGGAGATGGGAAGGTACGGCCAAGCGTAGGGCTACAAAACCCCGCTTCAAACCAGAAGTAACTATCACAGAGAAGAAAAAAAACATCCCTTTTTGGCCTTCATAAAAGTCTGGTGCTCAGTATGAGGAGAAATATTATTAGCCTTCTAAGGCATTGTTACTTATTCAACCTACTCGTTTTATCAATTTAGGACCTCACTACCGTTATTTACAGCATGATTCTATAGCGGAGGGTCGTTGCTGTCGACCTCAGATCCCTTAAGCCGGGGCTTCACACCAGCTAGTACTTCAAGCCGTTACGTTAGGCTAATACCTAAAGGCAAATACCTCAGCCCTTCTTCACCTCACTCAGAATACGTCATATCAACAGTCATATTGAAGAAGCACTTTGGAGACTAGGCGGGGACTCTCGTAGGCTATGGATGGTCTAGGGCCGTGGCAATTGTGAGCCCGGCATCAGGGAGGCGGACTCACCTACTGTGTACGTTATGGATGAAGGACTCGGAAGATAAGCTGTTAGGATGAGATATCTAAAGGTGAAGAGATCGGAAGCGTGAGGATGAGATTTACTATAAGGTTCTTAGTAAAATGACTGAGGGCGGTCACTATGTGGGAAGGACTAGATAGGAAGGTACGGCTAAGCGTAGGGCTACAAAACCCCGCTTCAAACCAGAAGTAACCATCATAGAGAAGAAAAAACATCCCTTTTTGGCCTTTATAAAAATCTCACGGGTACGATGAAAGAGTATTTGCAATCTGTGCATTTTCAAGATATGAACCGACGCTTTGAATCCTCGCAGACGCTGACGAGAAAACCTGTCGATGGCTTCTGGATGATGAATTTGGAGAGGGCCGGGAGCAGCAACAACGGTAGGCCGAACAGCGCTTCATCAACTAGTCCATCAACTAGTTTCAACATAGCAAGGGTATGTTTCACATCTTAAGAAAGCTAGGGGCTGGAAAATCCACGCTTATGAAGCTGATATGTCAGAACTGTTGTTTGGGGAGGAACTTACGGATTTGGCGCTCGTAGCCCCCCCATCTTCTCACGAAGGGTTCTTTCTTTTTCTGGCGTCTGGGGAGAACCGCTCAGCAGTCGAAACGTGGTCGCCAATGAATTCCATCGGCGACCATCAAGAACCACTTCGGACTTTGTTTTCGTGGACTAAGAAGTGCCCCAAAGCCCTCGAGTGTGTTAAGTCGCGAGTGGAATGTATTCTTGAAGGCGGTTGTGGGTTATCCCAAGCTTCGAACGTTGCGACGGTTGTTGTTGGACCTTCAAGGCTATTACACCAAAAATTACCAGCTTGCAAGGACATATGGCTACCTACCGTACGTTGTTGACCAATGTGATCATCACCCATCTTACCACACAATTTCTGCTTGTGGGGCAGACATCGTTTCATGTCTGCCTATATAAGGCCCTTATGGCCACAGTTCACTCTTTTGAATATATCCAGATATCATCACACATTCGATGCAATAGAACTTTCACAATTAGTCCATTAGTTGTGACCGTTAACCTCTAGTCCAATGATTAGTTCGAGACTATGGAAGCGGAGAAAGACGATTGTCTGAAGAAGGATATGTTCGAGAGATCCAAGGGTGTGTTCTTGTAGATGTCACTTTTTTCATTCTTCGGACACTTGAGTACGGCATCTCACCCAACGATGATTTTACACAGCTTAAGAAAAGATCAATGCTTGTTCAGCGGAGCTGAAACCATTGTTCCAGCACCCTCTTGACTCCAGCAATACTACGACTAGAAAAGAAAATGCGGCCGCCACCATCTTTCAACTGGGAAAAGCCAATGGAGAAAATTTTCGCGACACCGTCGTGGTGCACTCAAGAACACGGGGTGGATTCCAGTCCAGAAGATCACTTGATCTGGGTCTTCCAGGGGATAGCTTGTCTCTTCGCGGATACCATTTTCTCATCAAGAAATGTATTGGGTTGACCGCTTGGAAACGGCATTTCCGGAGGCGGCTGGAGTCCAAGGGCTGCCACTTTCGCATACACTATTGACTATCTTGACATGTGTTTCTGTTACATGGCTTGCATATGATTAAGATACCTACCAATACTGTTGGTATGCGTCGCCGTTAGGTGTAGTCGACCTTGGGAAGCTTAATGCCGATCATGTCTATGATCCTGAACGCCATGAATTAGCAACGACTATTTGTCGCAGCTTCGTGACAGCCTGAAACTGCGAATCAGAATAAAAGGTATCCTGACTCGAGGTGCCAATTACAATTTGGAAATTTCAAAGTTTCCAAGCAGTCTTCAGCTTCGTGTACAACTTCAATTTTCGGTGCAGGCACAATCTGATATCCAATAATTTGTCATTCTAGAGATGCAGCTCATTACGATACTGCCACACACAGCAGTTACTAAACCTGTGTCGTTGTGGCAGCATAGGAAGCAAACTAGGATCCTGAAGGCGCTGTCAAGCAGATTTGTTCGTCCGCAGGATTGGTTGTGAGCGAGGCACGACGTGGGGGTGGCTTATCACAACTATGATGCTGACTCACCGACAAAGAGCATACGCAGCACTATTTGCCAAGATTGGGGGGGTGCTAGCCTATACCTGGTAACCGGAAAGATGCTTCACATGCCGCGGAGGCCTGTCTCGAGTGCAGTTCAGGAGCAGAGCAATACTCTGCATTTATATGACACTTTCCTCTAAATTTTCGCAATGTATTGCCTATAGATCAGCACATAACAATAGGCCTGACAAACCAGCTGGTCCTGCCAACCTATTGCCCCATCGCCTCTAATTCTCTTGCTCTTGAAGATCGCAAGCACATATATCGTGGCTGTTATTTGATTACGTTATAGACTCAGTTCTGAAATCCCAAAGACGACCGAAAAGGGCAGGGGCCGAACTTCCAACCAAAATCCTGTGGTGTTGCTAATCCCTAAGCTCACCAACCCCCTGCCCGCTTACAGCTGGGTTTCTCGGAGAGAACCAGCACTCGGGGAGGAAATACGTTGTGAGTAAGTGGCTGAAGCCAAATGCAGGTGACAGGTTAACGGTGTGAGGCGCCACGCAGCGGCTTCCGGTCCGACAGACCCGTAAAGAGACTTGACGTGTGTAAGCAGCCCGACACAAATTGGGAGCACCGCATGTTACCCAAGCCTTGTCAATACCCATAAACTATTTGTCCCGAGGCTGCGGTTGCGAACCTCGCCAATCTAAAAATCGTATACGTCCTCGGTAAGTCATTATAGTTGGGGTAGGTACTTGGGAAAGCCGGTTCCCCCACGGGGTGGAGTAAGCTGTGCCTTGAGGACAACAAGTATTTCAGAAGACATCAAGAATTTGATAATACGAGTGCGGAAAGTGTCAGTCACTTTGGAAATCTGTGCTTACCCCGTGTCTAGTGGCTCTGACCACCTTCACCGAGAAAAGTCTGAATAAGGTCGCCGGTCTGTCCGACTTGATGTCCACGAGGTAATCGATGCATTCATTGTATTGGCTGGTTTTAGCTGGAGTTCAGAATCCTTCTCATCGCCCCTGTGAAACTATTACAGATTGTAATCATTAGTTGAAGAACAATGTGTTCCTTGTTGTTGTGACAGGCACACCATGTCTTCTCATGGCTTATGTTTCTCGAACGCCTCTTATTACTCCTGGAACCGTCCGGAATACAGCGGCCGACATTCCACGAAGCCAAGTCCCTCAAGGACCTCAGAAATAAGTATAAAGGGGCATTTTTCTCGCTGTGTACCCTGCTACTCACCATTCCACATCATAGAACAGCTCAGTCGCTTGTCTCATCATTCAGCCCCAAGTCCACACTTTATACTTCATCTCCATTCACCATGCATTTCATAATAAGCCTTATCGCCCCCTGCCTCGTTGCCGCCGCAAGCGTGCAAGTTCTCCCCAGCTCGCCCGTAGAGCAGCGTCAGGATACCCCCCGCATCTATGCCAAGTTCTACAATGATACGGCATGCCTCGATACCTGGGTCGAGGACACTGTCTGGCTCGAGAACCCGCCGCAGACCTGCATTGAGAACACCATCACCGCCACCTACGGCAGTACCTTGATTGCCGATAACCTCGCCACACACACCCGTGAGTACAGCATCATTATCATCACGTGAAAGGGATTACAGACAGACTGATGTGTCTATTTTACACAAACAGTTCGCGTTTTCAGCCTTCCCGGCTGCAACCCCAACCAGGGTAACTACTATGATGTCCCCGCGGGAGTGGAGAAATGCTATGCGGGACAGGCCAGATCGGTGGAATTCCTCTAAGATGCCGCTGCTGAGTAGTGACAAATCATACATGAAAAATAACTGGTTAGGATATTGCGTGGCTACGCAGGGGAAGAGAAACGGGGTCGTTAGAGTCATAAAAGCCATCTTCTTATTTGTTGTCTCCTTGAACGTTTCGACTACGGTCACACACTCCTTCCATACACATAGCTGGAAAAACTAAATCATTCCCGGGACATAAGTTTCTCAACTATGTGCACTCGCCATGTCGTATCCTGATCTCCTAATGGCGTCTCTTGTCCCAGATTGTTGTAATTATTTTCTGAAATGAAGGCCCATGTACGGTTGCTAATTCAGCAGCAAGGTAGGCGGGAACGAGCACATAGACTCTATGGCGCATTGTTGTCATTTTTTCCGCGTTGATAATCACACATCATACTTCGAGCTTCGGAGGGACCACAATTTTATTATTTAATTGCAATCAGAGCACATAATCAGTGCTCATGTGTTCTCCAACTTTCTACATCAGCGATGCCGTATACACTTGGAGCTGCGAATTGATCGAGAACAATGTCCTGTGCACGTTGTCTGGTCCAGATTGATTCATACACCAGCACGAATCCAAGCGTTTCCGACGCTCGGATGTCTAGCTTGACTAGCAAGCTCGGAAATGGGCTCTAGTCGTTTGAAGCAGTAATAGTGACACACTAGTATGGCCCGAACTAGTGGTTAAGGCTAGCTTTCCTCCGAAGTTGTGTTGGGATGATCAAACTTGCAGCCCGCATAATCAAACTACCAATTACTATCATTTATCCGGTAGCCCATCTCAACCCCCAGCCTTGCTTGGCAACGTCTGTGAGCAGTTCAGGGGGGATTAAGACCACTACTTCCCTGTATATAATATGGTGCCACGAAGTATCCTCATCTGCTTTATTGTACAACAGCTCGCACACACTTGCAACAGTCCTTCGTTACTCAGTACTCCTACCCCATTCCATCGTTTACTCCATTCCATCGTTTTAACCCATTCCAAATTCATCCACCATGAAGTTCCTCGCTACCAGTGCTACTCTCGCCTTGGCCCTTGCCGTCTCCGCCCAGGAAGTAGCCTATGATGATTCCACCGGTGACGCTGCCGCTGCCAACGAGATTCTGACCGAAGTGACGACCGACATGGAAACCCTCGACAGCGCCATCAAAGCTTATCAAGGAGGAGACCCGTCGCCTTTGAAGGCCTTGGGCGATGAGCTGGTCAATACCATCAACGATGGCACAGATAAATTCTCCACTTTCAGCGTCTTTACTACGGAGGAGACTTTGAGCCTGGATGATCAGTCTTCGGCTCTCAACGCCAAGGGGAAGGCTCTATTGGATGATATTGATGCGAAGCTGGAGATATTTGCGGAGGTTGGCATCTGTCAGCAAGTTTTGACTGGTGTTACTTCGTTGGGTACGTATCCTGTACTTGTTGACAGTCAGAGAATTTGCTTGCTAATTCAGTGAAATACAGCCACAGCAAGCCATGCTTTCCAGGTAGCTTTCGTGGCCAAGCTGCCTGAGGAAATTGCTGGTTTGGCCAGTCCCTACATCGAAGAGTCGGTTCAGGCCTTCGAGGCGACTGCGGCGAACCTGCAAGAGTGTGCAGCCACCTCTCCGTCGAAGACCAACGACACTCCCACTGGTATTCCCACAGGCGTTCCCACAGGCGTTCCCACTGGCGTTCCCACTGGCGTTCCTACAGGCATTGCCACCGCCACCGCCACCGCCACCCTCCGACTAAACGGCACCGCTGGATATCCCACCGCTAGTGTAACCCCTGTGGTTACCGCTGGAGCAGCCCTCATGGGCGTTTCTACCAAAGTGTTCGGCTTGGCTATGGCGATTTTCTTTTTGTAAGAATATACTGCTGGTCGTGTTCAATAGTGTCTTTGAAAACAATGAAGTGTGGTGTGACGGAGTGGAAGGATATGAACGGGACTAATTCCGAGTCCTGCATTTCATTTGTTTTGCGCTTCCACTTCATACGTAGATACTTTCCGTGAAAGTTGATGCGCTATTCAGGCAATATTATTGGCTTTCATTGAATATCAATAGAGATAAATTCATATTGTTCTTGCGTACCAAGTAGATACCTATCCTCACTCAGAGTGTAGGTAATAATCCCATAATCCATTTCCCGTCAAGAACAACTCCCGGACATCGGAGTATGTTAACAAGCATATAGAAATATGTTCTCATGCTGTCCACCTGAAGATATTTATGGTATACAAAAAAAACTTTGCGACGTTGACGTGGGGTTAGGGATTGTGGGTGCTCGTTTTCGTTTTTTCCGGTTTCAGACGAGTTATGTAAGCGCGTTCTTGAAGGGTATTTAAGACCTTATGTACATAGTTACTCTCTTGAGAAAAAGATAGGAATTCAAGCGGCCTTTTCCACAGTAATCTGAACCAATTTCTCTTTACTTGGACAGGCATTCAATGTCTGACATACCTGTTGAGGTACTTTCTGTTCCCCTATAGATCTGATTGTGCCTGTTGAGGCCATTGTTCCCATCTTTCACCTGTTGAGGTGACTGTTCAAGGGCCTGTTGAGGTTCCTTTTCTTCCCCAGCCTGCTGAGGCTACAGTTGTTAGTACCTGTTGAGGTACTTGTCGTTCCGATCAGGGCAAGGAGCTCTTGATCTTGTTATTTCTTTCCACCTCCGGATAGTAAGGTCTTGTTGAGGATCTTGTTATTCGTTGCCATCATCTTCACACCTTAAACCTGCGGGTGATTTCACTGCCCGTCGTCAATGTATCCCAGGACTTTCATGGGAAGTATTTAAGAAGTTATAATCAAAACTCTTGAATTAATTATTGCAGAAATAATCTCGGAACTTACCCCTGAATCTAAATACGGGATAAAACCTGGGTAGCGCCGCCCAACTCTGATGTCCCCGTCATTCTCGCCCCGCTATTTCAATACGGACGCAGCGGGGTTCACCCGTTTATCGCGAAATGTTTGTGCTCAGCCTCGGATTCTTTTTGACTTCCATCATATCATACATCAAGCCTCCGCAGGGTTCCGCGCAGTCACGATGCCAGAGAAGATCTCCGTCCTTTTCGTCTGCCTAGGCAACATATGCCGCTCGACCATGGCAGAGGGAGTCTTCCGGTCTCTGGTCAACAAGCCACCCTACCAAGGCTTGATCTACAAGGTTGATTCCTGCGGGACAGGTGCGAACCATTGCCAAACTCGAGGCCTCAGGTCTCGACTGACAATCATCGTGAAATTTAGGTGCATACCACACAGGTGACGAGCCTGACGACCGCACAATTTCGACGCTGGAGAATCATGGCATCACCGACTACACGCATGCAGCGCGAAAGGTGTGTCCTCACCACAGCTACTTTCGAGAGTTCCTCTCCCGAAACCAAACCATGGCGATCGCTGATGATTGACGATGTAGGTACGGCAATCCGACTTCGACACGTTTGACTACATTTTTGCCATGGACCGCTCCAACCTGTCGGACCTGCAGCGGTACAACAAAACCAACTCCAAGGCTAAGCTAATGTTATTTGGAGAGTATTCCGGCATACCAGGCAAGAAGGAGGTCGTCCAGGACCCATACTACGGCGGCAGAGATGGGTTTGAAACGGCGTATAAGCAGTGCCTTCGCTTCTCGACTAATTTCTTGGGCGAGGTGTTTCCTGATGTGAAATAGTAGCAGCTCAAGGCGCAGCGCACGCAAAAGGCGACACCATGATGAAAGACGAGACAAGATGAGACGATACCTACGATACCCCCGGGATACACTGATATAGAAGGGGAATGATGGCTTCAATGCCTATGGATGCGCCGATACACTTGATAGACTTGATGTACATAGGAAACCAAGGTTACACGAGTGCCTGTCCGACCTTGTCATTTAGCTGCATCTGGATAGAAGTGATGGTTTGGATATGTGATGCTGTGGTAAACCATGTTGATTGGTATCCGCCCACTTCAGATCTGCTAGGAGAGTTGACCAAGACCGTGCTTGGGCGATGAAGACCCTATGAATATACAAGTCACATGCATTGTGTTTCACCCATGAGGATGAACAATACTGGCTGATCATGAAGTTAAACTGACTTAGTGGACCCTAGATTAAATTGTCGTCGTCTACTAAGAGGGCAGGCCTATAGTAGAGACGATACTCTAGCTCGGGCTGTCCTGTTCACCTACGAATATAGAGCCCACCGGCGGTCAATTACGTGCTATTTATTATCATCATAATTAGCATTGGCACTTCCAAGGGCCTGGAAAGACTCGAATTATATATTTTCCACCCTTCTCATTGCTCGTCGATAGCAACTACCTTCACTCAGGTTGTTTCCCGTGTGGGTCCGTCCATATGGAGCTGGCCAAGTATGTCATACACATAGATTGCAAGAAACTGTAACGTGCGTTCATCATGCGTGGTGCCATTATGACTTTCAGATAGTCCATCACCCCTAAACGGGGCGAGCTCAGTATGGCACTCGATGAACTATGTCATGCCATACATATAATATTCAAGTGACCTGAGCAGTGTGGACCCATCCGGCGACTACCAAGTCGAACTCTCTTGAGCTAGACAACAAGTAACATTACATGGAACCAGAGGGCTAGAGAAAGGTTAACCCGAAGTTGGCCTCTCTTGACGACTCGAAGCAATATTTCTAGTGATGCCTTATTACGCACCTCAACCTCCAAATCCCATTCATTATCGCCCGCGTCTCTTGATCTTCGGCTCCACCCGTATTGAGGAAGACAGCGGTGGTCGTAAAGTTCTGCCCCGATTGCTTAACGGTCTTCAAAGCGGCAATCCCGTGGAGGCTTGCTGCGGCTCGCAACAGGTTCCCGGACAGCTGTACACGCTCGGGTATCATTAATGAAAACGAGACAATAATCACGCAGCCCCATGGATCCCACATTTACCCCATTTTGAATGTCCGGAGCCGTGGCAAATATTTGGCAACCCGACTAAAAGTACATCTCGGGCGTCGTGTTCGCGTGGTCACTTTTCTATTCTGTGCAAATTTACAGGTGCAATGTGTCAACATGCTTCATGGTGTCCATAGAATCTTGCGACTAGGTAGCGTCTTCGCACGGCATATTCTGCAGGTTACGAACAGTCAAGGTCTACGTGGGCTCATTGCCAAGCGTATGCTGATGCGCTGTTGTTGCCTCGAAGAATCGAAAGAGTCCCCTGGCCCGCACCTCCCGCATCTCGAAGATATAGCGTGCGAAGGAGCTTTCTCCGTCGAGTCCTGGGCAGTCCGAGATGAAGCATAATCGACTTGGTCTATACCAGAGAAGCCAGAAGGGCCTTCAAGTTGGCGTAGAAAACGGCATCGAGCTTTTGAAAATCGAAATTTTCGCTACCCCATGACTCATATCGATAGCTCGTCCGGCACGAGTCTGGACATGTGTGTAGGACGGCGCGGTCCGGCGTGGCCCTGGTGTGCGGGTTCTGCAGAGGGTCGAACCACTGCTTCTGGGTTTTGCTTGTTAGCAGCAAAGTAATCGTGCTGGACACATTGCGTATCGCCACAGACCTAGACGGAGCGATCTAGCAAGCAGACGTCGTGGCAGCAGGTAGGATACCGCAACATGCATTATCTCGTCCCAGGCTTGGACATCATCGACGGTTGGCTGACAGCAACATGGCACTAAAATACCCAGGCTGTTGTCCCAGGTTCAAAGACGCGAGGAGACTCCAACTCCACAAACCCCTATTTGCCCAGCATCAACATAAATCATTCTCCTTGCAGCTGGGGCCAAAAAAACCGGCAAACTGCGGACAGCCCAGAGATTGCATCCCAATTGACAGCCACCGAATGGGAGGTGTCAAAGAGTTGCCAAGTCTTGGGCACTGGTGTCTTTCCATGAATTGGGGGCCATCTTGGCCCTTCTCAGCCTCAGTTCGGCTCGCTCAGCCCACGGCTGTTGCCGTCAGCACTTGCAATGCTGCGGCCATCGAACTGGTCAACGTACGAATACTGCATACGCGCAAGCGAGGGAGAAGAAACAGAAGCAAGAGGAGTCGCGAATAGCAGGTTCGGTGTTCCGTCCCGTTCGAATATGAGGGTTTGATAAAAAGTAACGAGAAACAACACGAAAGAAAACCTCGTCTCATCGTCCCATAGAACCGCCGTTCCTGAATATCTCATCTGTCGGGAGATGCACGATGGAGACGTGATGGCGGCTACGGTTGGCCATTCGGTCCAATTAGCGGCGGGGTCAAGGGGGGGCTCCCAGCGGCTAGCATGACCTTCAGAAGGTGCTGGGGTTTGGGTGCTGCAACTGACGTCCTTGGGCCGCTGGAGTGGGACCAGGGCCTCGAAAACCGGCCACTGGCAGCGGCTCGACCACGATCTGCTGCGGGGTTTGCCAATGCAACCTCTGCCCCTCGTGTGTACAGCCTGCTTCGCATAAGCCAGGACGATGCAACGAATTGTGAAAAAGACGATGATAAGAAACCAAAAAGAAGATGAAGTCCTGTCTGCGTTGCTTTCACTGCACCAACGTTGGTTCCGTCCTTTCTCCCAAGTTCAATTCAACATCCAGAGTCCATCCGCAGCTATTTCGAGAGCTTCAGCACTCCTCGGTACCCTGGAGATTCCGTCAGCTCAAGTCTGGACCGCCAAGGACTCCCTGTCTGATATCGCATCCCACCACGTTGCGCCGCCATCCATCCATCAGTTTCTCAGAGGTGTGGCCATTAATTCTACAAATAAAAGTATCTGCCGTGACTTGGGGAGTCTGACATCCTCGCACTTACGACAACTACTGCGCCATTCTTACGGCCAAACTCGACTCGTTCCATCGATCTATCATTGCTTTCTACACCGATAAAAGCCTTCCCCCATTCTTGTAAAACGATTGCCGTTTCCGCAGTGTCAACGGTTCCCCGCTTTCTGTCGCAAGCAGCGGAACAGGTCCTTTGTCGGTGCGGGCCAGAGAGGGAAGACCTGCAAGTTGCAACATTGCATTGCATTTTCAGTCTCTCGTCTGATCTGACAATTTGACTTTGACACCTGACAACTGTCACACCCGCCTAGGAACACCACCAGAAAAAAAGAGCGCGACCAGCGACCCTAACGCCGACGCCGACTTCAACTTGGACTCACCAGTGCCTACACACCGAGATCTGCAAACATGGCCGACCTACAGGGACGTCGGATTTTCAAGGTGTTTGGCAGCCAGGACTTTATCGTCGACGAGCGCTACCAGGTCACCAAGGAACTGGGCCAGGGAGCTTACGGCATTGTTTGGTGTGTGCGTTTTATTGCTGCCCCTCATCGTGAACCGCAACTTCCCCGCCATCTATGGGCTGGGTGACTGCAAATCCGATTTAACCCAACTCCTCCAGAAAACAACCCAATGCGATTCGATGGCTGATTGATGTTCTTTTCCTCTCTAGTGCCGCCGTCAACAGCCAGACCGACGAGGGCGTGGCCATCAAAAAGGTGACCAATGTCTTCAGCAAGAAGATCCTCGCCAAGCGGGCACTGCGCGAGATCAAGCTGCTGCAGCACTTCCGCGGCCACCGCAACATCACCTGCCTCTACGACATGGATATCCCCCGACCCGACAACTTCAACGAGACCTACCTCTACGAGGAGCTGATGGAATGCGACTTGGCCGCCATCATCCGTTCGGGCCAGCCCCTGACCGACGCCCACTTCCAGTCCTTCATCTACCAGATCCTGTGTGGCCTCAAGTACATCCACTCGGCCAACGTGCTGCATCGTGACCTGAAGCCCGGCAACCTCCTCGTCAACGCCGACTGCGAACTCAAGATCTGCGATTTCGGACTGGCGCGAGGCTTCTCCATCAACCCCGACGAGAACGCCGGCTACATGACCGAGTACGTTGCTACCCGTTGGTACCGAGCCCCCGAGATCATGTTGAGCTTCCAGAGCTACACCAAGGCCAGTACGTGTACATTTCAGTCTCCACCCATCATGTCGTTTGGTTGCAGTGCGCGGGCGAGCGACGGTGCGAGAACTACTTCCCCAATACTAACAAACCACCAGTCGATGTCTGGTCCGTAGGGTGCATCCTCGCCGAACTCCTCGGCGGCCGCCCCTTCTTCAAGGGCCGCGACTACGTCGACCAGCTCAACCAGATCCTGCACATCCTGGGCACTCCCAACGAGGACACGCTCAGTCGCATCGGGTCCTCGCGCGCCCAGGAGTACGTCCGCAACCTGCCCTACATGGCCAAGAAGCCCTTCCCCAGCCTGTTCACCAATGCCAACCCCGATGCTCTCGACCTGCTCGACCGCATGCTCGCGTTTGACCCCTCGTCGCGTATCTCGGTCGAGACGGCGCTGCAGCACCCCTACCTCAAGATTTGGCACGACGAGACGGACGAGCCCGACTGTCCCACCCAGTTCAATTTCGACTTCGAGGTCGTCGACGAGGTCAGCGAGATGCGCAAGATGATCCTCAATGAGGTATACCAGTTCAGGCAGATGGTGAGGACCGCCCCTGGCGGCGGCGCGAATAACCTCGGTGCTTCGGCCCAGGCCGGCCAGGTTCCCCTGCCCTCCTCAGATTCGCAACAGCAGTGGCGGAGCCAGGACCCCAAGCCCCAGGACTTTGAGCAGCAGGACTACGCACAGATGGACGGCCTCGAGCGCGAGTTGCAGCATGGCCTCGACAGGCGATAAAGAGAAGCTGTGGTGATGTTCTTGGTTGCAAATCAAAGATGAAGAGACATGCAGTTTTGGTTATTTAGCATGAAAATCATGTTGGCAGAATTGGGCCTTTTGTTGGGTAAATATGTAAACAACGAGGCGGAGCTAATGAAGCTGGCTGGTTTAAAGATCTCGGAGAAGGGACTAGAGATGAAGTTCCCGAGCTTGTCGGATTTCCCGGTCAAGGCCAAGCGGTGCGACCGCAACATGATAACTGTGGGAAGATAGGATGTACAGACATCTGTTTTGGATTTATACGGTGTCTTGACAATGAATTGATGACAGGCGGCACTACATTTCACACCATCTGTCGATATTGACCTCTTATGACGGCGTATCATTGTCCTTACCCGTGAACCGGCTCCGATTCAACCTGGTACGTGGGACTAATGACTCGACCTCAAACCCGTACTGGAGAGACTTGGGCGGGATTCTTCTGTGCATGCCTTTACCTCTCATCATAGACTCAACTTTCTAATAACATGCTGGTGTCACATGAACCAAAGGAATGGGGCGTTAGACCTCTCCAAAGTTCGCCTCTCTTATCACATGTGCAGCGGCCTTCCTTTTTGTACTCAGCATGGCCCATCAGCATGAACCACAAACTGCTAACCGCCCCCCTCTGCAGATTTGTTCTAATAAGCGCAGCCCCCAGAATCTGCCAGACATCAAAGGTAGGTTCAAGCTACGTTTTTTCAGAAATGTAAACATGGAACCACTGTCATTGGGAATGTGAGAGTGTCTGCTTTGCTTTGCGTGGCCCTCGCCGCCTCTTCTGCTTACTGGTGTAACCCAAGTGGTGTGTCAGCAAGGAATGGATGGAACTAGTGCTGACGTCTGTTTAATGAACTAACCGTATTGACCACCTTTTTGCATGCACCCCCATTTTGCAGGGTCTAACTGAATCAACCTAAATACTTCGTCCATATTATTTATATACAGAACATACTTAATTTAAGTGTTCGAAGACTTAGATATATTCTTTCGAGCCCTCTTTTTAGGAGGGACCCTTCCTTCGAGAAAATTATCAATTTCTAACTGCTTATCCGGTAAAATAGGTCGTATTCGCTTATTTCGCTTGTCCTGGGCTGTTCGGATCGCTGATAAGTTAACGAATACTTTATTCGGGTCTGGCTCGACGGGCTGGCGTATATCTGTGTCAGAGAACAGAATGCCATAGGCACCAGTGGGTGTCAGGACACTGAACGCAGGACACCGGCGGGCCGCCGGAGGGGTGTTTCGGACAAAAGACTCCCGAATCATGATTACAATCTATGTGAAGCTTTGGGATGACGAGAGTCAAGATCCTTGGCATCGCCGACCCTGCTGTTATGCCGGGTCCAAGCGGCGGCCTAGCTATCTATATAAGGACCATCTCGAAGTAGGATAGGGAAGGAGTTGTCAGAGCCACAAGTGTCATCCGAGGCGGGCCGGCTTCCACCAGGTAGGAAGCCGTTTGTGGCGGCTAGAGAGCCGTTTGCAGCGGATAGGGAATCGCTTGGTTGCAGATAAGGAGCCGCTGTCCAAGATATTGGCCGAAGTCGGAGGAACACAGACATACGGAAGCAAACATCCAGAATCCAAGAGAGAACCTCGGCTGGCTATAAGTAAGGAGTCGAGACGGAGGAAGATAGAGAGGGCAGAGATCAATGCATCACCGTGGGCACCCCTACCTGAGACCGCCAGTGACCACCCGGTGCTACGTAGGAGGGACGCCCGTTACTCCCCATCACTCTGTACTATTGCCTTCGGCCTAGCCGTACCCTGACAATCTGGAGCGTATTTATCGAGTTCTTTATATACTTGCTCGTTTTCGATACGTAATTTGGCATTCTCGGCGGCCTGGAGTGTAAGGGCCTTGCCCGCCTTGCCTACTAGGGTACAAATCTTACGAGATACCCCGCCCTCGGCTTTCTCTATCGACTGTAGTTGGCTAGATAGTTGCTGCGCTTTCTGAGGAGTAAAAGCAACTAAAGGTGGTGATATATGAGGCGGAGGATCTGGTGTATGAGGCTCCGGAGGATCACAAGATACGTCGACTAGTCCTTCGGAGCCTAGGGGCCATATACCAGTCTTCCGCCAGCCAGAAAGTCTCGGATCTTGGTCGAATCGGACGCTCTAACTCAGCTAGCATCTACGACGCGCCCAATTTTGGTACGTATCTGTGGATGGCGGCTAACGAAGTGATCCACCCAGTGTTAGCCGAGTGTATTGTTATTGTCACGACCTGGGTTGCATCGCATTGGTAGAGACCTCGATTAGGTGCTATCGACGAAGATTCTACTCTAAGGAGCGAAGGAAAGAAGATGACAACTTAGGTTTGAGGGAGCGCGACTAAGTCGTCCACGCTTAGCGGGGCTCCTACAAGGGTTATGATTGGCTTCCCATCTGGCACTGCCATGGCAGGTGTTCCAGCTGTAAGTCACCTGGTTGTAGTGAGTCTGCGAGGGTTGACCTTCACAGTTATCCCCTTGAGCAAGGAGGATTTCGGCAGCGAAGTCGGCCACATAACGCTTGCTAGAAGCCCGTCCACACACTTCTTCGTGTAGGATCCAGTTCACGATAACCTTCTCTTGCTCTGGAGTCAACTTTTGTTGCCTGGAGGCCGCGTCGCGATGCGAATTACCGTGACGAATACGGTAGGACAGTGTAGTCCCCTTGATACCGTACCGATGAGCTGCTACGGCCTGGGAAGAGCCCTGACGGACAAGCTCGTTAGCGTGTTCGATTCGCTGCTCAAAATCGTCCAGACTATTCTCCACTGGATTAGCCATTTTGTACGTAGATAGGGAGCAATTGCGAGGTAAATTGAGAGACGTCGTGTTGTTGAGGCGTAGAAATTTCGTAGAAATTCCCTGCAAAATGGGGGTGCATGCAAAAAGGTGGTCAATGCGGTTAGTAGCTCGGAGACGCGGCGCAAACCGTTGATTGAGCCTCCAAGATGCGATGTAACTGGACACGAGGAAATAAGGAGAGATGCGCATTGCCACCGGTCGAGGAAGTAGCACCTATTTCACATGAGTGCGGAATGATGATCATCGCAAGGCGAGCGTCGTGCTTAGAGTTGGAGATGGATTCTGGTTTGTTCATCCAACTTCGATGATTTCATGTTCGTTTCCCCATTGTGCAAGTGGTTTACTCGAATCGTGAAACCCAAAATCTGGACTGGGCCGGCGCTTGATGAGATCCAGATGCAAGCTGTTACAGCGTAGTAGAATATTGAACCCGAGACACATCTAAACATGTAGACCGGAAATCCAAATGTAGGCAAATGGTCTCAGTAGCCAGTCAGGCCTGAACGTAGGGCCTGACTGCCTTAGTCAAGCTCGGATGGATTCAGCGTGGTAGCTACAAGACTCCGGGGTCGCATCACAATGCAGGTGCGAGTAGGTAAGGACGTCTACGAAATTCAGAGTTCGGCAACAGTTTCATGCCGGGGAAAAAGACATGATCAAGTATTAGTGTTTAGGACGTTTCGAGTCCACATTGAAAGTTTTCTATATAAGAAGCCCTGTCCCTGACTTCTACGACAACTTGAGCTCTGTCCTGTGATCCAGGCACTTGGCACCCGAACAGGTATATCCAAACCGAAACGGGAAAAAAACAGTAAAAACCACCTTAGCACGCGACTAGCGGCATGGTGGGGGAAAGCGGAAAAAAGACAATAGATAGAAAGGGGGACGGGGTTTTCCGTCCCTAAATATGTGTAGAGCATTCCATAACGCCGACTCCGTAACGCCTCTCCATGACCCATTAGAACGCCCTTTTTCATCCTTGACGCCGTCGTCCTGTCCATCGCGACTCAATCATTTAGCGTAGAACCAGTACATGGCGGCGTACGGGACACTGAAGGTCTCGCCGACAGAGGAGCAGCGCACGGGGCTGCCGCCAGCAGTACTGACGCGATAGACCTGGGTCAGGCCGACAGACGTGCCGAGACCCTTATCGCCCAGTTCCAACCAGTCGACGGCACCCGTGCGGAGCAAGCCCGGGTCCGCACCGGTGGGTGCCTTGATGCCGTCGAGCTTGGCCGACACCAGCATTTCACCCGTCTTGTACAAGTTGAAGGTAGGTACCAGGGTGGCGTCGAAGTAATGGTGTCCCGCGAGGGGGAGCGTGAGACCGTTGACAGTGGTGTTTGCGTCGCCGGCGAAGGGGCCGGAGGTATTGGCGGCATACTGGTTGACGGCGTTTCCGACAAGGTTCAGGGGAATGTCGGTGGTTCGCAGCATGTCGACGGGGAGTTGGTGCCATACCTCGGTGGAGAGTGCGTTGGTCGATGAACCGGGGTAGAGGCTCGTGACGTCGTACAGCACGGCCAGAGCGCCAGCCGAGGTGGCCGTGACGTTTACGGCACTACAGCTGTAGTTCTGAATGCCATGACCGACCGTTATGTGCTTGAGGGTGAGGCCAAAGGGGCTGGCAAGTTCTTTTGCAGCTATAGTCGTGTTAGACTCGTGGCGGCAGAAGGCATGCTTGAGAGGAATTGCACTTACCACCAGTGTTTGGCAGCGTAGGAGTGACCGCATCGGTCGTGTTGGCACATCTCCGCCATATGGGACCAGCAGAGGCAACTGACAGAGCCGATATGAAAACGAGGAGACTTTCGGGCAACATGGTGTAGGGGGGATGAAGGATGCAGATCTCGGATCCGTGCAAGAGAGAAACGCAGAAGATAATATAATGCAGGCAGGCCTCGGGCGGCGGTCGGCGGTACGTGAAGGTACGTATATTATCGTTAAATGGATCGGTGGCCGCCTTGGTGGCCGCCGGCGCTTAGAATAGAAACACGGCCTTGGGTAGGGAGATGAGAGAGCTTCCTGCAGTTACGAAAGGAATGAGAGGCGGACTTTCAGTAAGGCTTGGTACAAAACGTTGGCTGGCGGAAAATGAGTAAAACGAGAACCAAGACTATGAAATAGGAAGAGACGAAGGAAGACGTGATGAGGTTGATGCCATACTATGCACAGTAGAATCTGAGACTGGGACGGGAGTACAGTTTATATCAACGACGCAGATGAGGATGTAAGGCTCACGGCCACCGCAAACGAGTCGCGGGACCCTACTCCAGCCACGGCTCATGGGCAGCCCGGCAAAGCAAGCCTTGTTGCTAGTCGCAGGTACGTGCTGAGAACGCAGTATACAAAGGTCAGGAAATGGTACTTGGCAGTTCCGCGCTAGAAACGGCGTGGGCGGGGAACATGGATTCTTAGTTCCAAATGCGATGGGATGGCTGTGTCGGACGGAAAGCCGAGTATCCTTGGCCTAGCCATGGCTGCGCATCCCACCTTGGCAACAGGCGTGAATCGGCAAGGTTAATTCTAACCTTAGATGCAACTGGTGGTGACGGGGGGGTTTGACCAGGGCCCCGGTAACTGGTCAGACCTGACGGCAACTGGGAACTCCTTGCAGTCCATCTGGATCGCTTCTCAGACCGCTCAGACTTTGTGCTTAGCCCGCTTGGTAAGGTGGTAATCAAGTAGTCCTCGCTCATCAAGTCATCCTTGATAGTTCGCCAGAAGACGCTAGAGTGTAGACATGGCATACGATGAGGGGCAACTTTCCGACACTCCACGGCTCAGTGTCTCGTCTCCTGCATTCGCTCCGGGGAGCGTCGGTCTCTGGATTTGCTGGGGGCGGTGGGGAGAGAAGACGACGCCCCGCAAGGGTCCTGAACAGGGTGTGGTGGATTGATGACTTGGACCTGGGAAGTCCTGTTCGGATCGTTGCGCTGTGTGAACGCCATGTCGTCCAGGGTGGGGGATGGAGAGATTACCACGACCTTCGCCCAAACGCTCCAGGCAGAACGACAGCTGCCAAAACTTGGTCCGTCGGGATACTGCCCATCGAGTCGCCATAGTGGTATTGGTGGCGTGCGCTCGATGGCCGCCATAACTGGCCGCTACGGTGTAACAAGGAAATGATGGGAAAACGAAATATAAGAATAAAAAGTGAAGAGGTTGGACGTGGTTTAGCTGCAGGCAGCCGGCGATTGATTCTCCCTCGAGCGCCGCTTTCCGCCAGAATGCGCGGCTAACGCAGCGACCCTTAGGAGCATCTGCACCTCTGATTCGTCAATTGGCCGACCTATCTGCTATATTGCTGTTATATTGCTTCTGCCACCCTGGTCTTGGGCAGATGGAGAAAGCAACTTTCAAATATCCGCGCATTGAAAAAGCCGCAGAAGTGCCAAATGGTGGCACTCGTAACTGGCCGGATAGACGAACGTCCACATTGCCACAGAGGGGAATAAGAGCCAATACCCCCGGCCATTGGCCGGAAATGGGAGCTCGGCTACAGGTCGGAATTGCCTTGCCCTGATGCAAACTAAATTGTTCTCCTCTCTGCACCAGGATGGTGACAGAGGGGTCAATGGATGATGCTTGCGGGTACGGCATGCAGGGCGACTTCTTGTCTCAGCGTGCCAAGTGCCATGTGGTATCGACACAATATTGAATTCATTGCAGACGCAGACCAGGATAAGTGATATGGCAGTCGGGGACAGAGATCCATGGGTGATTTCCATCGCACTAGTCGCCTTTGGACTTCATGTTGTTTGAGCTTTGAACACAAAACGATCTTGCAAACCCAGCAGTCCTTTTACCGTTCGCGATGCGATGACCCTTGGGGGAAGGCTTGGGCTCAATCCATCCATCCATCCATCCATCCAGTTCATGACCCACCGGCGTTTCTGGAACCGACTGCTGGCAACCCCGCAAACAGTGCATCGTGACTTTGGAAAAGCATCAGGATCGCTCCAGACAAATGAAAGGATGGGCCGGTGTGAACGATTTTGTTGACGACGGCGGCGGAAAAATTGAGCGACGGAGCTCAATTGTGCAGCGCAATTCCTCAAGCCGCGCTAAACGGCGCTCTCCTGCATCCTGCAATCTGCAAGCCATCCATCGACAACGCCGCGCTACCATTGCCTCCCATGTCCAAATCTGCACCTCTGCTTACTTTGCGCCTCCCAATTTCCGCCTCTTGCGAAAGCTGCGAGTCCATGCTTACACCAGATTCTCACAGGCCACGCCGGAGTTTTGCACGAGATTGCACTGCCAATTCCGACAGCCAGGATCAAACACGCACAACCCACAGCACATGGTACGGCCAACAGAATTGCTGCGCGTTTGAGCCATCGTTTCTGGATCTGCAAGCTGTTCTGCCTGTTTTGTTCCCTTGGTGTTAGCCCGAGATTGGACAGTTGCATTGGGGATGCTTGTGCCGCTTGAACAGCCGAAACGGAGAATCTAAGCAGGCAGTGAGCTAGCCCGATGCCAATGATTTTAAGCCGCATACCGGCGATGCGGACTGCTGTCGTCATTTGTGTTATCCTGCCGTGGCGGGCCGGGAGATTCAGTTGCTGACTATCAGTGTACTTGATTGAGTCCGTTCCGGTAGTTGCTGAGAAATGGGTTTCGGTGATATTGTGATGTTCTCATCGTTGAAGCCACAGCTTGATGGTTGCTGAACGTGGCTGGCGACTCCAGCGGCGCCCCGCAGGATTGTCGTCTGTTCAATTTCAATGATCGACAACGACATCAACTCGTAACTTGGCGCTCTTTTGCTTGGTACGTCACAACGCAAAGACGCCATGGTAGCATCGGAGCGAGCCGCACTGATATGGCGCTTTGGTCAGTCTTTGCACTGTTAGCTGCTGGCAGTTCCGTCCATCCGATGCTGGACGGAGTCAGACAGAATTAGAGGGATGAGACATCAGACGGGCAGTGGTATGGCCGAAAATGCGATGGAAATACTACTTTGCTGCGTGGTGCCCCATCTTTGGACGAGGGATTTCCAAGCAGCTTGACTACAAAGTAAGCGTTTCGTTTCAGTCCGTCCGCAGCGTTTGAGGTTCGTTTTAGCGGACCCTCTCCCTGAGCACGGAGCGTTCCGAGCTCCTTGTACCCCTCGTCGTTGATCTCTCCAGACTCCATCGTCCGACTTTCAGACGAAAAGCTTCTTTTTTTTGCCTTTTTTTGCCAAGCGCGTCACGACGAACCCGAAGCGGTGGAAAGACGGAGACGTGTTGGTTCCCATGAAACTCCATTCTGATATGGCGTAGTTTGATATTCGTCCGGGAATCATAGTCTAGACGGTACAAGTTCACGGGCTGCAATACCTCGCGATACTCATTTGCGCGAGTCGGGCAAGTCGGTGACGTCTGTCAGTCGCAGGACGAACCCCCTTTTCGCGAACGAACCAACGCAAGCAAGTTTAAATCAGCCCCGTCTCGCCGATCCAGCCTGCGTGGTCCGCTCCAAGTGAATGCAGGGCTGTCTCTGTAGATGCTCGGAGTGCCCCTTGCCTTCTCATGCCTGACCTCACGAAAAGGCTAGCGGCAGAGCCTGGGCTAGGTCTGCTGGAGATGTCGTCCTTCCGACGACTGAGTTGCTTTGAGTTGCTTTCACGGCTGGGCTGATATGGATTTCGCCATAAAGCAGCGCAACCCACAACGCGTTGCTGCCGCGTGACCCCAGATTGCGCGCAACCCCCACCCCACGCGGCAACTTTTAACGTCGCTTACAGGCGTCTCTTCTAGTTAATCTTCTGCTATTGAATGCGCTTCTACCAGCCGACAGTAGCGCGATCCCATGCATCATCCTTCCCTCGCATTGTCCACAACAACCACCACCACCCTCACCGCAATACAACACTACAACACGGCCGCCAGACTAGAGAAGCAATGCAACAGAGCAATCAATAGTTCATCTCGAGCAACCACGTCAATTGGGCACACGGCACTAGTGTCCCCGACGTGCGCAAGCCCGGCCAATCATGGCAGGTGTGGTCGTTGGTCGGGCGCTTAAAACATGGACTATTGGCGGCATCCATGCCATTTCCGAACGTCGCAATCCTCCCACGCACAACAACAGGCAGGTCATATACCTCACCCGCAAAATTTTGCTCGACTTTGCGCGCTAACATCCATGCTGCAGCGCCGAAGTATGAGAAGCGCGTCTGCTGTTTGCTTGGTCATTTGCTACATGGTGCTATGATGACCTGACGCTTCGCAAGACAATGTCGAGGTCCAACTTGGCCGGCCGACATCTAAACCAAGACACCAGACTTGGCCTGGCTGAGCAGTGCCATCTGCTGGTAAGTGTCGGCGCCTGCAGGTCATTGATTCACCCGGGCGAAGGAGTTACTTGGTCGGCGGGTCAGTGGCCACCCCAGGCTTCCTACCAAACCCTCGTACTGTGCCCTCACATGACGAGCAACGGCTGCGATTTCGAGCCAACATGGTCGTTGGGTGTTGGTTCTACCTCGTGAACGATGCTGTGCCTCGTTTCAGAGAACCAACATCGCGACTCTGCGTACTTTCTCGCGCTTAAATGAACTACATGGCACTTGGCGGCCAGTCGGCTATCGACAAGCACTGGATCTCATGAGATTTCTCCCCTGGAAGGGAACACCTTGCTCGTGGAGGCGTGCAACATCGAGACCTCGGCAGGCAGGTATGGTAGCACTGCCGACCGTCGGCGCGTGAATCCCGATATTGCTGTCATCCTGCATCTGGGCAGGCCGCAGATTGACATGCTAGACAAGGGCGACTGTCTACACAATGGGAACAGAGTAACCATATTTCCAGGGTAAGTCTGCCTTGCATCGCATCGGGTGGACATTTGGGAGGGCCATGTCAGTACTGGTTCGTAAGAATGGCCAGGGGTACCAGTACACCATTTGAAGTCGCTGGTACAAGCTTCTGACGGACGGCAGGGTGCTACACTCGACTCTCGAATCGAATTCAAGGAGAGGTGGGCTTCAAGGGCTCGGTCTTTTCGGGTCTGGCGTCCTACATTGTCCACGATATCTCGTGTCTGCTTACCGAAATAAACCCAAGAAGTGATCCTGCTTGGCTTGTCTACCTTTCTTGGGTCATTCTGGATCTCGCTCGGCGCAATTCATTATTGGTATGGAAGAGAGGCAGTTCATTCGCTTCGCATATCCTCCCTTCGCCGAGAAACTTTACACTTTACACCACCTTTTTGCCGTCAACGTTAAGTCACCAATAAGTATGAAGATAATGACAATACTGAACACCCCTCCGCATCCAGGTACTCTAAATCTCCTATATTGCCGCATCTTATGTCGTGCATGTGGACGAATTCGCAGACAAGTTTCCAATAATTCAGACTCGTGTGGTATGTGGTATGTAGTGTTTTTGTTTGTATTATATTTTACTTTTTACTTTATTTCTGCTTCAACATCGTTGACCAGCGTGCTCCAGAGCGGATTCCTCGCGCAGGATTCCCAGTGGGCCAGAGTTGCGCTGTTAGCCAGACGGTCCTTGATTGCTAATACACGTTTGCCCATTCCCAGAGCGTCGTTTGTTCAGGCTGATCCAAAAATGGGACCCAATCACTCTGCCTCTGCCTATTTTGGAGACGCAGCCAGCAACACCCAATGGTGTGTTTGCCTCGTAACTGTGTTGAGTCTCTCTTTCTCACCGAGCCCTTTTAAAGAGGCGAGCAGGTGAATGGGGCTCGGATGCTTCCCTCCGCATATTGACGTTTCTACCCGGAATAGTTAGCAGTTGCTAGACATGGATGAGTGATGATGAGACAACTTACAATATCCGCAATGGCCGCATAGGTGCCAGCGACCAAGGTAACCATGCCAATAATAAAGACAACAGCATTGACGATGCTTAGAAGCAGGTTCTCCCGTGAATTCCACTTGCCCTTCTTGATAAGCTTGAACCACATGATGGCGGGAAAGTAGAAGGTGAAGCCCGAGATGAAGAGAGCGGACATGACGGACAGCAGGTCGGAGAAGAACGGAATGGCCTCGGCGATAACGAACGCAATGATGGTGACGAGGGTCAGGAGTGCCAGCCACGTGACCCAGCCCATTTTGGTGTTGATGTAGCGGATGACCGAGTCCTTGTAAATGCGGCCGTGGATGTAGCGGGCGACGACGGTGCCGTTGATGGAGCCCGAGATGAAAATGACGGGAAGAGCAACGCCAAAAGCCACCTTGGACACCAGCGTGCCGGCCGAGAGCAGAGCGGGCGACTCGACGCCCTGGCCGACGAAGGCGTAGATGAGGGCACCCGTCAGGGTGTAGATGCCAATTTCGATAAGACCTAGGGCCCAGATGGATTTGACAAAGTCCTCGGGCGTGTGCATCTCGTCCATGAAGGAGAATTGGCACACGGCGAAGGAGTAGGCGAAGACGATGTTGGTGACGGCCACAAATGCCTCAGAGAAGGTGACGCCCTCCTTGGGCCACGCGGACCAGTTCACAGCAGCCAGACCACCCGAGGCCTGGCTGGACACGACGCCCGTGGCCACCATGGTGATGAGGATAGCCACCACAATGGAAACGAAGTCGATGTAGCCCAGAATGGCCACCTCGGCGAACGAGGGTGGGACGGCCAACAACAGTAGAATAACAGCCGACACAACACCAAACACGACAGAGCACGTGCCACTGTCCGTGATGTTCTGGAAGGCAATGGTGCCCGTCAGACAATGGGACCCCACCAGGAAAACGAGCTGGAGCGCAAACATGGCGCCGACGAGCTCATATCCGAATTGACCCATGATGAGGCGACCGGCATCCGCATAATGTGACACGTGCGGGAATGCCAACTTGACTTGGCCGACGACGTAGCTGGTGTAGATGGCGACGAAGCCGAGCACCACCGTCAGGATCACACCGGCCACCATACCCAGCGTCGCAAATGCCGACGGGATGCTCAAGGCGCCGAGCGCAATGGCCTCGACGATGAGCACCACCGTCAGTCGCTTCCAGCCCAGCCGGTGGAAATGCGCATTGCCCTGGCGCTCAAGCTCCGACACCTCGCCCACGACGTTCTCCCCCGACAGGCCATCTTTGGACTGGCGCGAGCCAGACTCTGGTGTCAGCGTCTTCTCCTTGTCGGTGCTCGAACCCGTAGGTGCTGTCATGATGCCGTGATTGCTGAATTCGGCAGCCATGGTCACCTTGCGTGTCTCCTTCGTGTTGAAGAAAGGGGGTAGTGGGAGAGTGAGTGGGTTGGTGCACACACTGGCTGATCTGATTTGTCGTAAGTGGGTGGTGTGCTTGGGTGCAAGTGCGGGCGAGGAAGCTCGTTCAATCCTAGGTGACAGGCCAAAGTTTTGGGGCAGACAAGGAAAACACGAGGGTAAGAGTAGAGTTTTAACTTCCCCGGCGAGCTATTAGGAAAGACATACCTAATACGCCCGAATATGATACGAGAGGTAAATTGCAGGTGGACACGGGCGACGGGGGTGCGCAAGCGCAGGAAGGAGATGGTCAGCTGCCGGGGGATGCCGAGGGAAACAGATATATCATCGTCACTGCTTTTGACTGGGGAGGCATACCCGGTCCAGTCACCAGCCAGCCCCGGTGAACAGGATGCGACTCTGTCGTGCCGACGACTGGCGCGGCCCTGTCCAACTCCAGTTTCTCCTGCCCAGTCTCCATTCTCCAGCCATCTGGAAACGTGGAGATATGACGCCGTTGGGGGGGGGGGTGTTGAGTGTTTGCCCAGAGTTACAACATGGCATCCAATCACGCCTTTCATCTCCATGTGCCTGAACCGAAGAAAAGCTTTGGGGCAAAGCTTTCTAAGGAACCGTGCCTGCCCGTGACGACATGACAAAACTCTGCCTCGGTCTTCGTCGCCCATACGTCAAGGCAAAACAGCCCATAATAACATCATCCAACCGCGGCCCAGCTCCCATTGACGGAAAGAGTGCAGGTGGAAACACCCGTGTGCCATTGTGCGGGTCCCTGACCCGAACCAGAGTTTCTTTTACCTCATCTCGCCGAGTCGCTGGAGGCGGCCGAGTCATGGGCCAAGTAAAGTCGCAGAATTACCAAATGCTATGGATCCATCGTGTGCGCGCGAATAGTATATTAAGAAGGGGAAGATAAACAACCGAATTGTGTAAAAGAGTTTGGAAAGTTTTACGCACTCGCTCACTTCGACATCGGACTTTCGGATCTCGACGATGGAGGTCGGCTACCATTGAGGTCATGACCCACCCCTGGACCGACCCCCGACGACAGCCAAGCCAACAAGCGAAAGGAGAAAAGAATAGAAATAATAATTGAGGGGTATCCCGTTCCCGGCGCGCGGGCCGCCACGACAGACGAATTGCTGATTGCCGACAATGGCCGCAGCCAAGAACCCGGATCGGTCTTCGACCAAGACTGAGAAACGAGACGGCCGATCCGAACGACGACGCGCGCTACCGCCCCACAAATACGAAGGTGCTGGGCAGTTCTAGGTTGGGATGGCGCGATGGGACGCAACTCGTCCTGGCTCACGTCATCCCCTGTGAAACAAGTCGGAAAATGTAGCGATCCATACTGCTTCACGACCTGCCTCGACAGCACCGTACGCTGACTCGCAGCGCAACTGTACCACAGCAGCGTGTATCACTATCTGTCTGGGAAGTCAGTCATTTCCGCTTGTTAAGCGTAAAAGTCGGCAGTGCAAGGCCAACGCACTCTATCTGACGAGCCGAGACTTTCCTAAACGGCTGCATTTACACCACACGCGGGCTTGCGCAATAGTTTTAGGCAATACCACAGACAAGCGGTTTTTTCCTCTTGTCAAGTCGCTGGGCAAGCGCGCTTGGCATTTTATGCAGTATCAAACCAGGGGAAGCAACGCTGCCAAACTGCCAGAACATGGCCACCAACAGTCCATTCGGAACCTGATCCTCCCGGCCTTCCAGGTAGAGTCATATCTAAGGTGTCGTACGACCATTCGTTCTGAAATCACCCATGACAGGTCGAGCGATATGACGCCAACACGTAATACGGGATTTCTTGGACCGTGGGAGGGGGTTGGATCCGGCACCTCTCCCCGTTTAGAGCGACTCTGGAATTGGCAGGTCTTGGGCATTCATTTGCCGGTTGGTAGTTTCACTTGCCTCCCAAAAGCTGTTGCCATTCGGTTGGCTCATGGCCTTGCGATTCATGTCGCAATTTTCGTCAAAGTTGTGTCCAGTCAGATTTGGGTCCATAACCCGTTGAAGCGACATCGAGCCTGCTCGCCAGACTACTCCTGGCGAGTCGGTACTGTGATTAAAACTATACGGAACGGCACCGCCGCAGCGTAGAACAAGGCCTTTTGCTCGCGAACAGGCTTCGCTTCGAATTGTATGTCGTCCAAGTTAAATTGCGCTCGTGCTGGTGAGTAGTGGTCAGCGTACCTCCCCCGTCCGGATCGCAACGTGGCTTCTGTACATACCGCATTCCTGCCTGAAAGCCTCAAAGGTATCGGCGTTGCGCACTGCACCTGCGACGACGACTTGTAGCTTGGGGCGAAGTTCAAACAGCTCCCCCAACGTGCCTACCAACGCTGTGATTGCCACCTTGTCATAGGTCTATCGCCCCCAGTCAGTTAGCTGAGCACTTCGCATCTCGCAATTCCTTGCCATCGAGGAAGTGAACCCACAATGTCTGCGCCGATGACAACATCGTAAGGCCATTCATCGCAATCATCTGCAACCCAAGTCCCCTTCAAGGCCCACCCCCATCGCAGGATACTGGCCGTCACCTGGTCGCTTTCACCCAAGCCATTCAAAAACATGTTTTCCTTGAGCCCCTCGACGACTCCCTCGTCGCCATCAGTCGTCGTGATGTGCCTTGCCCCAAGGTGCTTCGCACATAATATGGAAAGAAAGCCCGTTCCAGCACCTAGTTCGAGGACGGACTTGTTCCGCACTAGGTCTTGGGTTGCTGGGGTGGAGAGAAGGTAAGCACCGAGATGTAGTGAAGCCTCCCACGTCCTGAATCCCGTAGTGCGGGAGCCCGATATGAGATGGCGCCGCTCGAGGAGAGTTATGGTGGGTTCCTCGGTCACCTCATCCTCGTTGTTTGCGCTCGCATTGCCCGGAAGACATGTGAAGCTGACGTAGGCTCTTTGTTGAACTGCAGTCAATTCCGAGGGCAGTTCCGTCATGAGTGCTGAGAGATGGGTCATGAGATCATCCGATATTTCCTAACGAAACAGTCAGTTATTGAGTTCGCATTGGGGAGTGTTGCTGCAATCTGCTTGAGCGAGATGAAAGGGCTAGTAACGGCAGCTCTCAAGACGAGACGACGTTGAAAGAGTCAGCAGCATACATCTTCCTCGGGATCTTCAATCGCCTTCTCGATTTTGGCGACCAGCAGTTTCAGTACGCGAACCTGGTACCTTTGAGGCGGCAGGTGCGGGTTCTTTTCATGGTTGAACAAGTTGTTAAAGAGCCATCCTTGAACGTCGGCGTTCCTGAGCAGCTGTGCAGGCGGCCATGCCAGAAAATCAGGTTCGAACAGCTGGAGATATTGTCGGCGGAACAAGACCAATTGGGGGTCCATTTTCGTAAAGTCTGGGAAGAGTTACTTTAGTTGAGCTACTGGAAGGTCAAGCCGCAAACTAAGCCGGATGGTGTTCTGCCGGGAAGACGTGGTCAAGTGTTTGACGCAATGGGGAGTCGTCAAGAAGGAGCGATTGTGAGGCTCCATAGAACAATTCAATTTGACTGGTCACTACGCATACAACCAGGCCCACAACGCCAACCAACACCTTGCAAAACCGAGTGTGAGACATCATGTTGGTCATAAGAGGCAGTGACAATCAAAACATTTCAAATAAAATAAATTAGGTCAAATTGAGTGAGGCCAGTGGCATACAAATGAAGTAAAAACCAAAAATTGACCCCATTGTAAAATATGTTATTATACAACTCCGAATCGGGGAATCGAACCCCGGGCTACACGGTACTATATGTATGTTTCAACACATGAGAGCGTGTAATGTTAGCCACTACACCAATTCGGATGATTTATTATTGAATCAAGACGGTATTTTGTTTACATATGAAGGTAGATTTTATCCCTGCATATATTTCCCGGGGTGACGGGAGTGACATTAGCGGTCAAGATTTATGGTTGGGTATATGTGGACCCAGACTCTGTCGAGTAGTACCTACTTGATATGTGAATTTAAGCGTTCATAGCTCCTAAATGTCCATCCTTTGTTCTGGAAGGTGTCATGAAGAATCTGAAATGCCTGTAGTTCGCTAGGATTGTCTCTTGTATATCGATTTTACAGGGCAGGTGATAACATATCACAAACGTAACGCGTGGTGACCTTGAGTTTATGCTATACGTCTTTCTATCTTACCAGGTTGAAATGGAAGGTGTCCAACGCAGTAAGTTATGGTGGACAAATCCTTTATCGCGCAGCGAAACCTCTTCCCCCGAAACCAAAAGATGACGTCCGTCAAGCAAAAGAAAGCGATGACGTCCGTCAAGCAAAAGAAAGCGATGACGTCCGTCAAGCAAAAGAAAGCGATGACGTCCGTCAAGCAAAAGAAAGCGATGAGTGCCATGTTGACGAGAATCGGAGCCATAGAGGCAGCTTCTTCGGCCCAGGGGTAAAGAAACTTGCTGTATATCCTGTCGATAAATGGTCCATAGTCCCTACTATAGAAGACAGGCAAGTGTCGGGACTTCACTTAACTCACACTATGGCCTACACAATGTTGTTCATCGCAATAGGGACGAACAGTGAACCTACCACTAGCTTTTAACTGTCGGTTGCAAACGTCGAAGTAATTGATAGCAACGCCGACATTTGCATCCCTAGAAATTCGTAACTGAGAACCACGACTTCCTGCCATGGTCAATGGTAATCATATCCAACCGCCGTAACTGTACTTCCCAGGATTATGCCAAGAACATATAGAATCATGGCTGGGAGCCGCAGCTCGGGCTCCTTCACCCCATTGTTCTTCCTTTTTAAGTACGCAGCAATCCAGTCTGCCCGGCCTATTGGTGTACAACCCAAAGAAATGTACAATCAGTATGGCAAGGTCAAACAGTGCAATGTTTTGCGATGAATAGTGTACCGTGAGGTGGGAAGGTACGGCCAAGTACAGGGCTACAAAACCCCGCCCCAAAACCAAAAGTAACCATCATAGATAAAGAAAAAAAACATCCTTTTTTGGCCTTCATATAAATCTGGTGCTCAGTATGAGGCGAAATATCATTAGCCTTCTAAGGCATTGTCACTTATTCAACCCACTCGTTTTATCAATTTAGGACCTCACTATCGTTATTTACAGCATGATTCTACAGCGGAGGGTCGTTGCTTTCGACCTCAGATCCCTCAAGCCGGCGCTCTATACCACCATCACGTCAGGCCAATACCTAGAGGCAAATACCTCAGCCCTTCTCCACCTCACTCAGAATACGTCATATCGACAGTCACATTGAAGAAGCACTTTGGAGACTAGGCGGGAACTCTCGTAGGCTATGGATAGCCTAGGGCCGTGGTAATTGTGAGCCCGGCATCAGGGAGGTGGAGTCACCTGCTGTGTACGTTGTGGATGAAGGACTCGGAAGATAAGCTGTCAGGATGAGATATCTAGAGGTGAAGAGATCGGAAGCGTGAGGATGAGATTTACCACAAGGTTCTTGGTAAAATGACCGAGGGCGGTCACTATGTGGAAAGGACTAGGTGGGAAGGTACGGCCAAGTACAGGGCTACAAAACCCCGCCCCAAAACCAGAAGTAACCATCATAGATAAAGAAAAAAAACATCTTTTTTTGGCCTTCATATAAATCTCCGTGGGGCGGCAAAGGCCTCCCGTCTACAACAGGTTGACAACAAGGTATCCGCTTGCGGAACACGACAAAACGCAAGCGGCAAACTCGATGCACGGAACTTGGAGTTCGCGGAAATTTCCCTTTTATGCTGGACAGAACTTGAGTTGCACTTTTGCTGGGCTTGCCATGGCCTTGCCATGGATCTTGATGACACTTATCAACACAGGCACTTCAATATCGATATATAACATCAGTAGGATAAGGTCGTTAACATAGCTGTAGAAGTCTTGCCACTCTTTTCAGGTCAAGTAAGATGTGGACAAGCATCATTGGGGACTAATAACGAGGAAGATTGAACGCTTGAGAGTGACCTGTATATAACTTACAGGAAGGCAAACTCAAATTAGATTGAGCTAGCTTAACCTAGGAAATTTCCACTTGGTCATTTGGTAGCTCGTAAGTGACTTCAGAAATGGCTGAGGCTATTGGGTATACACCTAAATTGCTATTGCACTAATGAATTATAGGGCTATGATTCGGCTATGATTCATTACCTGCTGATCCTGAGCACTTAAATCCATTCCAGGTTGTATTGAAAAAGGCGATATGAGCGTGTTGGCGGCCGATTACTTGGGACCCTCGAGTCCGACCGCATCGGCGCTCCGATTCGTCGCATTTCCCGTCCGCGTAGCACATACTGGGCGCACGACATCGTAGTTATTTCTCGTCAGTGCCGTGCACTTTCTGCCACATGCGTTGCTCCCGTTGTCGATTATTTCTATTCCAGGTCAGAAACTTACGTGGCGGCGTCCAAGTCCTATTCTCACTTGATCACCAAGTTAGCGAAGAAGCACTTGGTGTCGGTCAACGGTCACACCGCTGCTAAGCTGCAGCACGATGATTATACGCTGAAACGATGACATCGCGGGCGCTAGCCCTGGAAACCTGGACTTGGGGGTTGTCGGGATCAGGTGCGCAGCCTTGGCGTGCAGGCTATGAAAACGTTTGCGGGGCCATGTGGTGCCATGTGGTCGCCGTTAAGAGAAACCGAGGCCTATGTGGGGAAGACTTCGCTACCCCAGGCTGGAACCTACATCATCGTGCGGAGTAGCTACACCCTTTTGGTGATCTTAGCTCGCAGATCGGCCTGTGGGTGGTCAGCCTTAGGCCTTAGCTAAGCTTATGTTGTGGACCTGCGATCCGCCTGAGCACTTGAGATAAGGCACTGCGAGTAACATAGTATGGATCTTTAGAGCCACCATGGTAGAGCCCCCCGCGTCCACCGAATCTGCCAACCCCAACCCACCAATGGACATTCATACACACACACCAGGTCTCCGATGCTGTTTTCCCCCTTCGCCCATGCCCGTTTTCTGGCCCTGGTCACCACCTGGGCACCGTCAGAGCTGGAATGACCCGCGGCCACAACATTGCTGCTAGGCTACTAGGCCGACGTTGGCTTGGACTCGGTCCTCTTCCCGACTTGTCGGTGCTGGTTTTGACCTCATCGTCCGCCTGACTACCTAGAAATGACGTCCTGATTATGGGCTTGGCCTCGTTCGTTTTACGGATTGGTGGTGCGCACCACCCGGCTCGATCCCTCTTGTGATCGGTCAAGTCGTTGAGAGTGAGACAATGATGGCATCGTAAGGTATGCACATTCCGTCAAAGACCCTGCAGACACCACTTGCAATCCAGGGTCCTATGATGTATGCATGTTCCGCTTGAGGCGTCTGGTAACTACATATAGAGCTCTGCTACTGTCCCTGAGCTAGGCTGGGAAGGCAACACGCTTTTCCGCGATCTTTTTTCAAACGCCCTATCACTATGCTTGCTTCTAAACTAATGCTCGCAGCGCTGATTGGCTGCGCCAGCCTCGCCAACGGAGTTGCTATACTGAATAATTTCAAGAGAGAAACAAGCAGTGCTATTCTAGCCGGTTTCAATGCCGATCCCAACATCGCCGTCTTTGGCAACACATACTACATCTACCCCACGACTGACGGGGACCCGGGATGGAATGCGAAGGACTTCTACGTTTGGAGCTCCAAGGACCTAGTACAGTGGTCACGATCAGAAAAACCCATTCTCACTTTCAACCAAGCCAACACCGACCCAGAAGTGCCCAAGGTGCCATGGGCAAACAACGATGCGTGGGCACCGACAATCATCGAGCGCAGTGGAAAGTACTAGTAAGTAGATTTTACATGCTCGAGCATTCAATACCTCTTGCTAATTGGTGGAAAGCTTCTACTTCAGCGGCAACAATACTGCCTACAGCGACGATGTCCAGAAAACTATTGGTGTCGCCGTGGCTAGCTCACCCACGGGCCCATTCGTACCCCAGGCCAAAGCGATGATTTACAACAATGAGGCTGTCACGGCTACCGTGGCCATTGACCCAGCCGCGTTCCTCGATCCTGTGTCGGGGAAATATTACTTGTTTTGGGGCAATAACAAAGCTCTTTACGCCGAGCTCAACGACGACATGTTGTCCATTAAACAGGATACGCTCGCTGCGGTGGCATGGGATGGTACTTTCCCTGCCGAGAATGAGTATTTCGAGGCCCCCTTTATGGTCTATCGCGATGGTTTATACCACTTTACCTATTCTATCGACGACACACGCTCTGTCAACTACCGCGTTGGATATGCGACTTCATCAAAAATTAGTGGGCCGTACACGTACCACGGTATTGCGCTACAGAAGGACGAAGCTGGTGGTTTGCTGGCCACAGGGCATCAGTCCATCATCAATGTTCCTGGTACGAGTGACTGGTACATATGCTATCATTATTATTCCAGTAACGGGGGAGATGGGACCAAGCGCCAAGTAACCATCGATGTGCTAAACTTCAATGCCAATACTGGCCTGATTAACGTCGTTAAGCCAACCGTCGGGGGTGTGCCGGCGCAGACCATTCCATAGTCCCGATGAGAGGTACAGTGCGGCACGACTGAGCATAATGACTTATGAGGAATTTGGGATGCATGTTGTACTTTTATGTTCCCTTAGAAATGACTAAGCACAGATCTGGAACAATTGTATAGTATCAGTGCACAAAATCAAATTGGTGAAGCTAAAATTACATTCGTAATGATTTGTACATCATAGTATAGAGCAGTTACCTTATACGCTTAGTACCACAGATCACCGTCCAAACTATTGCACACACGATTCCAACCACGAATATGAAGTCGGGTCCCTCTTATTGCCGCACCTGTCCAAGAAAGACCACGTATGGCATAACACAGTCATTGGCGAGAAGCTCCCCCTGAAATGTAGACATCACTATCAACCGACAACCTGATCAAAGACTCAGTCTGCTACCGCACGCTCCATTCTTGCGTGGGCAACACTTGGGCATCAGAGTTAAATTCTGGAGCTTGCGGAGCAAGGCGCAAGGCTGGGTGGCCGCCGCCATCATTGGGTTACTGAAAGCACTAGTCGCCTTCGTGGTAGGAACGTGGCTCTTATAAGTGTTCGGAAGAAAGGATACTACTCATAAAATGTGCTGCTGGACCAAGAAACATGCTGTGCGGATGTGGGGTTGAATGCAGATAGCTGGCTGTTTGTGAAGGGTGGAAGGTCTGGGGTGATTCATATACGACATTTGCCGTGGCCGTGGGCATATGCCTGGACGAAGAAGGAACTTTTGTGCACACTTGAACGTGTGTGGGATATCTGGTGGTCAATGTTTGCACAAGTATAATGAGAATTCACGAAAACTGAGAGATGTTATCGGTGGCTTGCTAGAGTGGGCTCAGCATTGCGTTTCGGGAGGGTGAGGGGGGGGGCAATTGGTGGTGTCTTATTCAGTTATGAGGCAATTTTCTATGTTTCTACATTCCTCTTGCGCCACCACATGAAATAGATTGTATCGTTACATCATTCATGCAAAGACTACATTTAACATACATCTGAAGGTATGATAGAAGGTTCTCCGTTTGTTTCATTTAGTGCTGCACATAAGGCATTAGATTTAAATCCTACAATTGGGGCTATTAGGCTCAACAGGAATTTTCCACGTACTTCCACCACCATGTTCTCTGGAAATCATTCCTGCGCAGCAGGTTGCGGCCCTGAAGCAGCTCAACCGCATGGGGACCGGCAAGCTGGTCCCTTTCGAGACCAACTACGGCACCAATTACGACGCCATTCGTTACCCCGTCTTCATCTTCCTCGCCGTATCAGGCGAGTTTTTCGGGGATTTCTTCTGTCAAGCCAACTTCTTCTGGTCGCGGCAACTCCTGAAGTATGGAGTCACCAAGAACCAGGTTGTGCATGAGCTGATGCTTGTCATGTTCATCGCGGCGCTGCTGCAGTTCCCCAACCCCATGATCCAGGACACGAGAGATATTGCCATATCGAACCTGTTGGCCGACTGCCGGAATACGAGCCACCTCGTTCAAATATGTGTCCACGAACGGAAAGTGGAAAAGGGAGGTACTACTTCAGGCTGATCGAGGGGACCCTTGTCAAGCTGATTTTTGACCCTTACCTTGGGGTGCAAAGTACCCAGCGGAATCATCATCGACGGCCGAAGCCAAGCACAAGCGACTCAAGGTCAGGGGAAAAATGGATATGGGACTCATATTGGTGAGCGACCATGCCCTGGGTATCTACCCGAGGCAGAACTGGAATTTGGGTTGGGGCTGTTGGAGGAAGACAAGATCGAGGTCGACTTACTCGAAGGTCCCATCTCGGAGTTTGTGAATCGCACGCCGTTGACAATTTGTGCCAAGACGCCCATGGAGTTTGTGGTCGGGACGTTCGGCAAGTTGATGCTGGAATATGCCGTTGTGGTCGAGGAGGATACGGCGAGAGTGGTAGGCGCAATTATTGCGAAAAGGCTGGTTAGTTATATAGATGGGTTGAAGTAATGGCACAGAGCAGGTAATAAAGGCTTGATTTGCATTCGAATGAGGCGGTGCCGTCAATGCTGAGGTGAGCATTCGCCCTAAAGTCGCTTCTTGTGCTTGTGACGCCGCCACCTGGATCTGGAAGACGGGATTATCGTGGCTTGAAAATGGGTAGCATTACAACGTCCACCCGCGTTATGTGATCTGCAACCGTCCGTACGGATCTCTATTGTCGCAGTGTTGGAATGATCGCTTTCAGCTGTCGACTTCGAAGTTGCCAGACAAACTGCCATAGACGGCTGAGACACGTTGGAGCACGCGCGGGGAAGCATACGGGTGGTTCTTGTTCGCCAGCATTGATGCATTGCCGTCTAGCAGTATCGTCGTCGCGCGTTGCTCGTGGGCGGATATATGTACAAGCTGCCCCTTCACCCCCACCAGTCCACGCAGACTGCCTAATTGCTCCTCATACCATCCTTGGCCTCGCGCAGCTCGTTCATCTTGGTCACTCTCTTCTTGAACTCTTCATACTGGCATTTTTCGTAGCTGTGTCGCTCGTCCTATCGGGTCAACTTGTCAGCTCCAGGTCCAGCTCCAGCTCTTTTCCGCCTCGAGGAGTCCGAGCGTTGATTGTACGCACATTGCACTTCCAGGGCAGGTAGTATGTGTCGACTCGGCACCGGTTCAAGGGGATCAGCAGGCCGGCGCAGCTGTCGCGGTAGGCGATGGGCAGTTTGGCATCTCGCATCTCCTCGCGGGTCGCTCCTGCAGCCAAAGAAAATGGTGTCAACTGAGTTTGGAAAACGGGAAGATGGTCAAGATGACTTACTTGGCGAGACCTCGGCTGCGCTTCCGGCCATGATTGCGGTCGAAGGGATATTGTGATGTGGTTTGCGATGACTTCAATTGAGATGGACAATGAAGTCAATTGGTAGCCATCAAATGAACATAGAGCTCGTTGAGGTGGTGGAGGAACTTCGGCAATCAGGTCCCTGGAGCCAAGTGGAGTTTCTGGTTCCTGCCTATTGGCTGGCTTCAATGTTGGCGCTTGGGGCCGTCCAGAAGTTGTTTTTGCTTCAAATTCGACTTTGAACTCATTTGACCTTGTCGGAACTTATTCACATTCACCCAAGCCACCCAGAGCTAATGCGCGCCACGCGCTTGACAAAATACCAGTTCCGATGTTGTCTTCGGAGTAGCAGTCAAAGTCTTGAGAGCAACCTCTGCTTCATACTTTGTTGCGCTTCGCACTCTGGACAGACAGGAACAAACAACGCTCATTATACCCGACCGAGCTGACACTGGGCGCTTCTTTGTGAGGCAGTATGAAGCTTGCAGTTGGGCTATCTTTTACAGAAGTGGGCTGCTGCGGCATTGTCGAGTACCTCCACGCAAAGACTTGCCAATGACTTGAAGATTGAGAGCCTCTCAACCCATCGAGATAATAGCATGGAACGATGTCGCCAAACTTACATTAATCAAGGAAAGACTGACAACCCTCGGCGGTGTCACCTCCGACCGTCACGTCAAATGTGTCAAACCGGCCAGCCGCTGAAGAAAATGAGAGAAAAAACGGCTGGTCGATACTTGCCTCGTTATATCTCTTCTGAGAATCGATCAACATGCACGACTTCATACAAGACATCATGACAGCTGGGCAAGGTATATATTGATGCTGGCTACGGCGAGCCCAGGTCTACATCTGTCTCTTCATCTCCCGTTAGGCTACCCTTTATGGGCCGGGTGTCGTCTCTCACAACCCGAACCAAAGGCCTTGGGACCCCCCATTCAATCCATCCTCATGTCGGGATATCTCAGTGCTTTTGTGCGTGCTTCTTGGCGTGTCTCTTGTGGCCGCAGTGCGACGGAGCTTTAGTCGGCGTGGCGGTCGGGGGGTGTGGCACGCTGGTCAGGGTAACGGGACTACTGTAGCCTGATGAGCCCCATCCTATGGTCTCGGGGCAGGTCGCACTCACATCCCGGCCGACATTCTTGGTGGGCTGGGGGGCGGCGGTGACGACGGCGGTGCCGTTAGCGTAGCCCGTCTGGGGCACCAGAACCGTCACGGTGGATGCGGCGGCGCAAACCGTGGCGGTGCTGGAGGTATCAACACAAGGGGCACTGCCAGGCGCGACCGAGAACTTGCCGGTCTGCGCGTAGATGACATAGACGTTGGTGCCGTTGATGGCGTTGCTGGTCAATATAGGTCAGCCATAGGCTCATGCGTTTCGAAAACCAGGGGCAGGCAGAGGCATATACAGTTGGAAGCCGTAGGAAGTATCAACTCCGCACGGCACCGTAATGGAGTACTCTCCAAGTGACGTGTCGACGTCGGCAGCCACCTGCTGGTAGAACGGCGGCCAGTTCACAAAGTTGACCAGGTAGATGCTGAAAGCCGTGGGGTCCGTGTCAACTGTCGACCACGTCACGTCGTACTCGGCGCCCTTGACGAGCGTCGAGTTGATGGTGGGTGATGTGAACTGAATCGCCGACACGATGGGCGCCGCGAGGGCGAGGTATGACAGGAATTGCATTGTGATTACTTTGCGTAACAGTAAGTGTAAAGGTGATTTTAAGGGGTTGGGTTTGGGGGAAAAGTGAGTAGTGAAATGAGCGACTGTGCTGTGAATACAGAGGTAAAAGAGTGGCTGGACAAGTTGTCACTGTCCGAATGATGTCGTTGACTTGCGCGAGGTTACGAAGCCCGATACGAATGTCACCTGAGAGACGAGTCGCGAAGAAGAACTCCAGAAGCAGAGGCGATCGCGGTATATTAGTGCTTAATATACAAAGTAGGGTCGCGCGCCACCCCCTGCCAGGAGGATTCGTCAAATTAAATGGGATGGTACGATGGGCTCCCACCTGAGTGGCCACAACTGGTCAGCCAGACCTGTTTAGGCTCAATTCCCGAGAACTTAGCCCCCGCTTCCCCTGTTTAGCCAAGCATCCAATATTCCAGCATCAGGGCTGGCCAATCATGCAACCAAGAGGTGTGCCACGCTTACCACGAAGAGAAGAAAATACTGGTTTTTAAGATAACCTTAACCCACAGACTATGGAGTTGAGGGATATATGGTCAGGTTGTTCCTGTATATTCAGCCCTATCTGCAAACGGTGTAACACTAGTAGTCCTGCAAGGCCCCTGAAATGATAGCTGCCTGGAACACGAAGACTCATCTTAAAGCGAGATGAACAGTTGGTGGACTTCACGGTAACTTGAAGCGAACCACTGGGCGAGGTTTTAGGGTACTCATTACATAGTCCGTTCCGAAACTATCGGGACTGGCGAAACGCATGGGATGGCAATATAGAAAATCGAGATTAGTTAAAGACGAAGACCATCCTTTGACTATGCTCCGAGGCGCTCTAATGAGCAAAAGTGGAATGTGTTATGGTACCGGAGTACGTATGCAATTCACTCATGAACAATTCATGAACGTGGATTTCAGCATCCGGATCCGACGTTCCAAAGTCCGGGTCCACATCATAGGGGTGGGGGGAACACCACGTGGATCTTTATAGATCAATATATCAGGTTCTTCAGCAACTGGCGTGCTCAAGACACGTCCATACGCAGCTTGACGGATAACTTAGAAGTTTGCATCTTAAGCGAGGCTAGCTGTTGAGAAGTAGAGGATCGAGTTGCTTTGTAGGGGTTACGTGGTTGACTAGTAGTGTGGGGCTAAGATTACCAGGCCACTTGGACTTAGCCCCAGCGCCTTCTGCAGAGAGCACACAAGAACAGTCAATTGGAGCTATGTCACCGAGAGGTTACATCACAGTCACATCAAGGTCATACAGCAAAACACGTGAATATCTGACAGCAGGCGTTTATTTTGTTTCCGACTGTTCTCAGAGTAGATTGTACTTCAACTTCACCTAAGAATACACTTTGAACCTTTTGGTAAGCTAGAATCGATATATATAACATACTTATCTCCTATATAAACCGGCAAGTCCCTAGGAACCACCGTGGAGTAGGTGTTGTTTGCCTATCATTAGTTCGCTCTAACTTACTTGATATCGTAGTTACAGATAATAGCTGCTAAAATCGTTGATATTTCAATCCTAGCTAGATAGTAGCCGGCGCACGCTCCACGTACGTCATAATATCCCCAGAGAACTAACTGTCAGGGTACGGCTAGGCCGAAGGCAATAGTACAGAGTGATGGGGAGTAACGGGCGTCCCTCCTACGTAGCACCGGGTGGTCACTGGCGGTCTCAGGTAGGGGTGCCCACGGTGATGCATTGATCTCTGCCCTCTCTATCTTCCTCCGTCTCGACTCCTTACTTATAGCCAGCCGAGGTTCTCTCTTGGATTCTGGATGTTTGCTTCCGTATGTCTGTGTTCCTCCGACTTCGGCCAATATCTTGGACAGCGGCTCCTTATCTGCAACCAAGCGATTCCCTATCCGTTGCAAACGGCTTCAACGGCTCTCATTCGCCACAAGCGGCTCTCTAGCCGCCACAAACGGCTTCCTACCTGGTGGAAGCCGGCCCGCCTCGGATGACACTTGTGGCTCTGACAACTCCTTCCCTATCCTACTTTGAGATGGTCCTTATATAGATAGCTAGGCCGCCGCTTGGACCCGGCATAACAGCAGGGTCGGCGATGCCAAGGATCTTGACTCTCGTCATCCCAAAGCTTCACATAGATTGTAATCATGACTCGGGAGTCTTTTGTCCGAAACACCCCTCCGGCGGCCCACCGGTGTCCTGCGTTCAGTGTCCTGACACCCACGGGTGCCTATGGCATTCTGTTCTCTGACAGTGACCCCATGGGGGGTTGCCCTATAGCTAGAGATAAGATAGATAAGAGCTATAAAAGAGCTCTGCCAGGCCAGAATAGCTGATCTGGCCATCCTTTCCCAATACAACAATTCACACCCCATATGCACTCGCATCAGGAAGTTTAGTTCTATTTTTTGCTATGGGCGTGACCCGTTCGGTTGGGTGACCCGTTCGCTTGTGGACTCCGTTATTTATATATTAGTAAACATCTAAAAATATTTTTTATTATTAAATACGCCGTAGGCTCGAAGCCCCCGGTAACTCTGCTAGTACTCCCGTATGTCAAACCGTGCCCTAATGGCTGGACTAAATACATACGCTGCGTCGTCGGTTCGCCCTATTGGCGACTGCGTTACGTCCACTACCATACTACGTTGGTTCTCAACCTACCAACAAAGTCCCCCCTGAGAAGATCGATGCTATCTGGGCCTTGAAGCTGTCCGACCCGTCCCTAGCAGCCACCTTACAATAGTCCCACTAACTACTGGTTCTCCTGTTGCCGTTGCGAGGTCTCTGCGAGAGTATAGTGGCCGTGGTGCGATGGCGGCCCGTAATAGTTCCCTCGGTCCTTCCAACAGCCCGCAAAAGAGGATTACGTGCTCTGCCGTCTCAGGGGCGTCGCCACAGCGGCATAGCGGCGAGTACACGCCAAAAGCCCCTGTCTTGAATAAGAAGGCTGCTAGTCCTATTTTTTCCGTCCTGATCTGGCACAGCGTAGACGCCTCCAGTCGGTTCAGGCCGAAATACCTGCCCCCTTTCGGTATCTGCATCGAAGGGCCCTCCGGTTCCTCAGCGATAGCGCGTCGCTGGCGATCGTGATGCTCTGCTCCGGTGAGCCATCTCTTCCTCCAGTGGCCGAGGAGGGCAGCCGGGACCTCCTTTTCCTCACTCATCCACTCGGAGCCCCGGGCCTCCTTCTCCATAGTGTACCCTGCCGGTCGGAGTAGCTGCGACGCCTGCTTCCTCTTCGCCAGCCTATCCTGCCGGAGTATATGTGACGCTTCAGCGCTCGCGCTGCGAAGCAGATTTCTCTTCCCGCTAAGCCGTAGCCGTTCTTCAAACTTAGCAGCCCGGGCACTAAGATAGAGGTCTAGTGGCGGGATTGCTGCTTCTGCTTCCAGGTGGCGAACCGGCGTCGCTTTGTGGGCGCCACAGACTACCCGGAGGCACTCGTTCAGTATCCCCATCAGGCTCTTAGCTGGCCCTGCCGGTTCCTCACTTATAGTATGCCACGCAGTCGCCCCGAAGGCGATCGCGCTACGGATAACCACCGTATATAACAGCCTCGCACGTATAAGATCGCAGCCCCACGACATATTGACTAGCTTTGTCAGGGCTAGCTTTTGAGTTGCCATTTTTGTTTTAACACGCTCAACATGGGCGTGCCACGTCAGTTTGCGGTCGAACCAGACTCCTAGGAACCTCGCTGAGACTACCGGCGACACTGTGGCGTCCCCAAGGCGAATACTTTGCGGCAAGGGCTCTCGGGCCCTAGTAAAGTGCATTAGATCACTCTTGTCAGGAGCGAACTCCATCCCATGCCTCACTGCCCACCGCTGACACGTAGCCCATGCGCTCTCCAATCAGCGGCAGGTCGTGTCTGGATCGGTGCCGACGCTTAGCAGGTTCGTGTCAGATAGGGCACCTGGTTCCTAGGTTCAGAAATACTATGGCACTAGAGAAGACTATTGTCACTTAAAGTTCAGAAGGCGAAAGGAACCCCTCTTCTCAAAAGTAACACCAAAGTTACCGACATGTTCTAAAGCATCTATAAAAGGCAGAGCAACGGGAGTTCGCGAGAACAGAAGTGTCAGAGCCACAAGTGTCATCCGAGGCGGGCCGGCTTCCACCAGGAAGGAAGTCGTTTGTGGCGAATGAGGAGCCGGGAGGCCGTTTGTGGCGGCTAGAGAGCCGCTTGTGGCGAATGAGAGCTGTTGAAGCCGTTTGCAGCGGATAGGGAATCGCTTGGTTGCAGATAAAGAGCCGCTATCCAAGATGTTGGCCGAAGTCGGAGGAACACAGACATGCGGAAGCAAACATCCAGAATCCAACAGAGAACCTCGGCTGGCTATAAGTAAGGAGTCGAGACGGAGGAAGATAGAGAGGGGAGAGATGAATGAACTACTGTGGATACCCCTACCTGCCATCACCAAGTGACCACCAGTGAACACCAGGTGACCACCAGGGGGACACGCCTATTTCTCCCCTTCACTCTGTACTATCGCCTTCGGTCCAGGCCGTACCCTGACAAGAAGACAGACAGACAAGAACACACCTCATTTATATACAATCTTACGCACTGCTGACTACTCGATTGGACACACGTGATATTCGACAGTTCGTGTCGTCCGCGAACCCGACTACTAAAAGTAGTGGGTGCTGCTCCGCTAGCTCCTCGTACAGCGTTGAAATGTATAATATAAACAGTATCGGGGATAGCGGTGACCCCTGGGGGACGCCAGCTCGTAGGGGGATATCTAAAAATATCACTAAGTGTCAGGGTACGGCTAGGCTGAAGGCAATAATACAGAGTGATGGGGAGTAATGGGCGTCCATCCCACGTAGCACCGTGTGGTCACTGGCGGTCTCAGGTAGGGGTGCCCACGATGATGCATTGATCTCTACTCTCCTTCCTTATCCTACTTCGAGTTGGTCCTTATATAGATAGCTAGGCCGCCGCTTGGACCCGGCGTAGCCGCAGGTTTGGCGATGCCGGGAATCCTGACTCTCGGCATCCCGAAACTTCACATAGATTGTAATCATGACTCGGGGGGCTTTTGTCCGAAACACCCCACCGGCACCCCACCGGTGTCCTGCGTTCAGTGTCTCTGACACTAAGTACTCTATTAAAATCGCTCCTCTCCGTATAAACGATAAGTATTTAAATACTTCACTCAAGAAGGTAGATCCTAACGTACGCTAGCTAGTTAAACCGGATCTAAATAAGGTCTTCGCTAATGTGACGGGCTCACTGCGAAACTATACAGCTCAACATGGCCAAATACTGTTAATTATCTAACTGAGGAGGAAAGTAAAATATGCGAGTTGTCCCGGGAACACGGACTATGTTTTGTGTGCCCTCGATGGTTCCTTTGGTGGATCCGGACGCACGGTCCTTGCAGCTCCGGATCCCATATCAGGCACAGCCTGTCACAGCTAACATATCTATTCATATAGTATAGAAGAGAGATAAGCGAGCGATTCACTGCCTATACGGCTAGATCCGTAATTAGAAATAAATATATTCCGTAAAGAACTCCCTAGGCCTAAGAAGAGAGCTAAGAAGAGTATATCTACAGCTTAAAATATCTAAATTTAGTACGTTTGCTGTATAAATGGAAATTAGAAAATATTTTGGATTTTTAATTTAGTTTTGCAAAAGGGGGTCGATTCGGTTAATTAACTATTTCCACAATCATGCATAGCAAGACATAATCATTCGCATTCGCCACATGAACGCGCAGGTTTGCAATAGCTTCGACCCAGGAAATAACATAGATAGTCCGTACGGCGAAAACCTTCCTGTTATCGCAGGGGACTTTCATGGTTGACAACCGACAGCCGGCAATGCTACCCTGTTCAGGTAGTGTAGTTCGCTTGCCACCTCCCCAAAGCGCACTAGCTTTAGCTGCGGAGCATCAAGCTATGCCGGAGCAGTAAGCTAGAAGGGTGCATTCCCGCACAAGTCCGCGGCAGCATTGGCTCACGAAGTCGCAACACGGCAGCATGCCGTCAGCAAATGCACCAATGAAGCCAGGATGTCAGTTGATAAGCATTACCATGCAAGGCAGGCGGTGTCATCATAGACCGCTCGTCCGTCGAGAGTTTGGGTGCGCTTCTGGGATGCTTGCCTCTGTTCCACTAGACATTGTCAAGTTGAGAGAGATGCAGATTCAGCAACCGGACTGGAAGTCAATCAGATAAGTACAAAAAGAGAGACATGAAGCCCATGGTTATTGTGACGTTCTAATCCACACTTACTTGAGACTTATCCAACTCTGAATCTTTCTTTTGCCGCCCAAGATGAGGAACTCGGTGCTCCTGGCGTCCCTCTCGGGTACCGCGTGCATTCAGGCCACTCTGGGGTTCATGATGCCGAGGCCACGCATGCCCCCATTGGAACTATCCGACGAGGAGAGGGCGATCATACTCGATAGTAGCAATGTGGTAACAGGCAGCGGCACATTCGAGCAATATATTGACCACTCCAACCCTAGTCTCGGGACATTTCATCAATCATAGTGAGCAGACCCCTCCCGTCAAACGTGGTGTATCCCTTTAGACCCACTTATACCAACACCACAATGCTAACTATGGCCTCAGCTGGTGGAATGCGACATCCTGGGAAGGACCCGGATCGCCTGTCGTCTTCTTCACGCCAGGAGAAGTCGCTGCGGCGGCCTACACGGGCTATCTGACTGAGAGAACCATTACCGGCCAGCACGCCAAAGCCGTCGGTGGCGCCGTCATCATCATGGAGCACCGGTACTGGGGCAACTCGAGCCCCTACGTCAACCAGACGACGGAGAACCTGCAGTATCTGAATCTCGAGCAGAGTAGTGCCGACTTTGCCCACTTCGCCAAGACGGTCGAGCTCCCCTTTGACACCACCGGCCAGACCAATGCTGACCAAGCGCCTTGGATCTGGGTGGGGGGCTCTTACTCGGGGGCCCTGGCCTCGTGGGTTGACAAGCTCCAGCCTGGTGTCTTCTGGGCATACCACGGCAGCTCTGGGCCGGTCCAGGTCATCTACGACTACTGGCAGTACTTCTACCCCATCCAGGAAGGCATGCCTAAGAACTGCAGCAAGGACTACGAGGCCATCATCGAGCACGTCGACGGCGTTTTCATCAACGGCAGTGCCGAGGAGAAGACGGCGCTCAAACAGATGTTTGCCGTCGAGGCACTGGCCCACGATGCCGATGCTGCTAGCGCCATCTCGTCTCCCATCTGGGCTTGGCAGTCCATTTCCATGACCACTGGCTACTCGCAGTTCTACCAAATGTGCGACGCTATCGAGGGGGTCGTGGAAAATACCACGGCCACCTACAGTCCTGACGGTGTGGGGTTGGACAAGGCCCTGCCCAATTTTGCCAATTGGTTCATAACAAAGTATATCCCTGGTTGTAAGTACCAGTCATTACGAACTTAGTTTATTTACGGAATCTAATAGTGACTAGATTGCGATGGCTACGGCTATAGTGATTGGTCGGGCGTGGACAACGTGCAGTGTTTCGACACGTTCAATTCAACCACGGAAGCGTTCCATGACTGGACCCCACAGAACGCCGTGGACAGACCGTGGATCTGGATGACTTGTAATGAGCCTCTCTTCTACTGGCAGACGTGAGTTGGCCCCCTCTTTTGTCCCTCGGGAACCATTCTATGTAAGCCAGTTTAGTATCTGACATACTCAATCAGTGGTGCCCCTAGAGGTTTCCCCACCGTCTTCACCCGCCTGGCCGATACAACCTACTATCAACGTCAGTGTGAGCTGTGGTTCCCGACCGAGGGCAACTATACCTTTGGCAGTAACCAAGGCTTGACGGCGGCCGACACCAACGACCGTCTCGGAGGCTGGTTCAATACCAACACGACTCGTATGCTCTCGTCCGAGGGCGAGTTCGACCCCTGGCGCTCTGCATCCGTCTCGTCCGTGTTCCGTCCGGGTGGACCGTTCGATGGCACCGAGGCGGCTCCGGTCATTCTCATGGAGGGCTCGATCCACTGCCTCGATTTGATCGTCAGCAACGCGGTTCACCCGTCCATTGCCGCCGCCCAGAAGCAAGAGATTGCTCAAATCAGTACCTGGGTTGACGAGTATTACACGGCGAAAAAGGCCAAGGAGGTCACCAATGCCAAGAGGGGAAAGAGTGACCGACGGAGTCCAGCCGTGAGATTGCGACGTGACTGGATGAAGACAGTCGACTAGCCACATAGGTAGAAAATACACCCGAGTACACCGAGTAGGCAGCCTTCTAACATGTAGAACCATCAACCTATGAGACAGATATAATGAAGACGGATTCTTCTTGGGAGCACATTATGTTACGTTGAAATTAGGCCTGAGCGCCGTACACCTCCATAGTCTATATTATCCAGCAACTGATTGCTGAAAATTCCTGGGCTGTGCAACATCTCACATAGCCCTATCACCAGGACCTAGGAATGAAAAGATGCTTGATTTTGTTTCGAAATCCTTTCTCCATGTCCAAGTCATCTTCGTTACATGCTAACCCCCGCGTCTACAGTAGCGGCGCAAATCCGCGGCACGATCCGACGTGATGTCATTGTGGGGGTAGCCCAGCTTTAGTGCCTGCATGCGAACACCACTTTCCTCGGTGTAAGTTTGCATCTACGATGATCCCGATCTGTTCGGCACAGTTCGGCATAGATTAGTGGCTCGTCCTCACCCAATCGACATTGCAAGCTGGTGTGTTCACAGTAGGTTGGGATTAAACAGTCCTTCTACTGAAGATTCTTTTTTCTCTTTCGAGAATCCCTTCCTTGTCTTTGTGTTACCGTTTTGAGGATTACTGGTGTGGTCAAAATCGCACAGCAGCGCATATTTTCGTACGACTGGCCATTCCCCGATTGACACCTACCTGTGTATTACCAGTTTCCAGCCAACCGGATTCGTCTCGACTTGAGTCTTGGAACAGTCAAGATGCCGTTCCCGCCCTCGCAACCAGAGGATTCGCACGACATCAGACCCATCATCTCCAAGAAACATGAGATTGTCCTCTTCAGCAGCACAGCCATCGCGCTGTACGGCTATGACCAAGGCATGATGTCGCTCGTCAACACGAACCGGTCCTACTTGCGCACCATGCAGATCGCTGAGACGTCGCCCATGGTCGGCATTATTGTCTCCATCTACTACCTGGGCTGCACCGTTGGAGCCGTCGTGGCCTCGTTTTGGGCCGACAAAAAAGGCCGTAAACCTTCCATCTTTGCCTGTCTAGCTACATGCATGGTTGGCAATATCCTGATGTTTGTTGCTGGACTCTCGACCAATGGCTCCGATACATGGGGTGGCGCAGCATTGGCTTTCATGCTGGCTGGGCGCGTCATTCTAGGTCTTGGGGTTGGGGGTATCGATGCCGTCATTCCCATCTACAGCTCGGAGCTATCCAAAGACGAGGCGCGTGGTCGTGCACTAGCGCAAGAGTTCCAGATGAACATCTTTGGCTTGCTCATGGCCTTTGCCATCAACCTCGGTGTCACTATTGCCCTCGGAAAAGACAATCAGTGGGCCTGGCGCATCCCCATTGTGGTTATGCAGATCTTCCCCATTTTACTCATATCCATCATGGGACGGCTTCCTGAGACGCCGCGCTGGCTTATCAGAAAGGAGAGGAAAAGAGACGCAAGGAAGGCACTTGTGGCGTTGCATGGCGAGAGTAAGGCTGAGGATATGCTGGATGAGTTGCACAGAGCACAGGAGGAAGAGAGCGACGAGAAGATCAGATACATGGACATGTTGGTGCCAGGAGGGAGCCAGTTCCATCCCAGCATGGTCACCGTCATGGGCCAGATCAACCAGGCTTTGACGGGCTATGGCGCTGTATCTGTCTACGGACCGCAAATTTTCGAGCTTCTCGGGTTTGGCGTGCGCGAGGCCGAATACGTGACGCTGGGCAACTACATCAGCTACTTTTTCATGATGACGGTGGCCTGGATGTCGATCGACGTCCTCGGCAGAAGGAAACTCATGGTCTGGGGGTCTCTTGGATTGGCATCCTGCTTTGCGCTTCTGACCGTTTTTGGCGGACTGTCACTGGATGTGCGCCGTGCGCCCGTACTGGTCGTCGAGATCCTCGGGTCTGTCACGCTCTTCGTGGCCACAGCTATCTTTGGTATCTGCTGGCTCGCCACCGTCTGGTTGATCCCGACTGAGATCTACCCTTCTGGCGCGCGAGCACAGGGAAGCGCCATCAGCGTCATCATCTGGGGCCTCGCCAATTTCACCATCACGCTCTTGACTCCCATTGGATTCAATAACCTTAAATACTGGCTCTTTCTCGTATTTGCTGTTACTAACACCTTTGCTGGCTGGTGGACCTGGAGGTACTCGCCTGAAACAGGCGGCAGAAGCTTTGAAGAGAACCAAGAATTCTTTCTGTCGGCTCAGGATGATAAGAGCTGGGTTGTGAAAAAAGTTGACGCCGGCAAATTCTTGCGCATGCCGCGCGAGGAGGATGGCGAAGGGGGGAAAGCAACGTCGGATGAGAATGCTCCACTATTAGCGTCAAACAGTTAGTCAACGAGTCAACGAGTCAGTCGGTCGAGTTCCCGAGCTGAGGTCATGCACAGTCATATAAGGACGATGCATAAGAATGTATACATAGCAAGTGCTGAAACATCAGTTGACCCAGAGCCAACGGTCTAGAATAAAGTTATAAATAGTTGACGAAGACCACTGATGATCAACTGACATGCCCTTCCAATGATGAGTATTGTTTCACAAGATGTCGTGCTGATGTATTCAAAGTAGTCTGTTGCAGATAAGAACTACAAGGAGGTCTTAGAAAATAGTATGAAGGCATCTGGCAAGCCATGTTAGACGCAAAGTGTCATCTACCAGTCGGGGTCGTCAGCCCATAACAGTGGACAGAGAGTCGCACACCGACATAGTCAAGCGATACACTGGTAAATTTAGTGTCACCAGCTCAAGCATGCGTGGCATAGGCAGGCCGAGCCAAGTAATGCAGTTTCCTGCGTGGGTCACCGCCATCATTGAAATTTAGCGTGGCCCAACCATGACTCTTGGCTAGGTGTATCTTCCTGAGAATGTAGGCGCAGAGGCTGTGATAGAAGTCTCCATGAATTAAGACCTGCGACTTGCTGCCGCGGAACATCTCGTGGGAGATCCCCTCATGCCACTCGATTCGGCATACAGGGACCACTTGACCGCTGCGATAAACTCGTCTGAGAGGGAGTTGGGGTAGCATGCTGGATACACCCGGGTGTCCATCATGAGGTCGAAAACACAGCCGTCGGCTCGCGATTATTGGGCCAAGCACTACTCGTTGGCTCTTTGGCTGTCATCTTGGTCGTTGTGCATTGTGCCTGGCGAAACCGCGCGGGACTCTGGTGACATCCTCGCGATGTATCGGCCTTCAATTCAAAGCTCAGCTTTGGCCCCATAACCTTCCAGCCAGCCAAAGTGAAGGTATGCAGAAAAGAACCACATCCATGTTCTCTACCTAATTAGTTATATGTCGACACAATACAAGAAATCAAAACGGATCTGATATAAATGTCGAAACCGGGGTTGAGTATAATCAGAATATATTGCTCCAGAAAGCTGTGCGCACCGTGCGATATTGTTAGAATTCTTCATATCTCCAAAATCTTCCGACCTAACCCCTGAAACATATATTGCCAATCCTCCCACCGCAGTTGCAGGAATATGCTACAAATACTTGAGCCCATTAGACGGATCATTTAGGTCAGTCATGTAAGGTGCAAGTAGACCAAAAAGGAGTAGACGCTCCACTGCTCGAGACCAGCAGTTTTCTCAGCCTTTCGTACCTTATCCAGACGGGGCAATTTGTAGTCCTACCAACGACTTGTATTATAATGAAAGAGTATGGCGGGTTGGGTGTATTCATTTCTTGGATCACTGTTGACTTCGTCTGTCGTGGGAATCATACAAAGAAAGCATACTAGGTAGCCTTCACAAACTCCTACCAGGCATCAAAGTCTGGAAAGAATGCAACTCAACCCGGTGGTATGATAGGACGCAAAAGACTGGGTACTGCATTCAAGGAAAGAAACGAGGTACCTCGAAACAGCCATAAGATAGCATGACGTGATGCTCTCCTAATGTGAATGTTACGGTCGGTAGTGTATAAGCGAATTAGACCCAGCAGTCATTATCTTATGCTGGGACCTTTTCATAAATTCCACAGGAGTTACAGGTGCAATAAGTATGCCACCTAAGCATAGGTCGAGTCAAAGTCCACATCTAATCATTGCAGTTTCACAGATCCTTTGCATGTCACATCGTGTCACAGAAGTTTGACGTCAAGAAGTTCCTCGCCGAGAACGCTGAGCACGGCCATGATGCGCAAGCCAAAGCTCAAGATCTTGCCAAATAACAGCAAAGACAGCGTCATTGCTGTTGTCCACGGTTTTCGTTTGGCAAGTACTGAGACATGCTGGGCAAGCCGGTCGTATTGGACTTATTGCAAGCTATGGAAAAGCATAGAATTGAATGTGTCTCTGTCCTTCCCAAGTAGAAATAATGAAAGTGGCCACAAGGGCCTTAAGTACAGAAAAATGTGCCTCAACTGCACAGTGGCTGATACGTCAGAGGAACATTTGTACAGGGTCCAATATCTGGTCAACTGGCTTTTGTAATAGGAAGCGGGAAAATAGCCGTTGGGGGTCAAAGGTTGGTGCGGTCTAACAGATTGATACTTTATTATGCGCTTACTTTGGCGGCGGGGCAAAGTTCAAGGGCCAAAATGTAAAGACAAGCTGCTATTCTCTATACGCTCTCTGAGAGTCTCCTCGACCTGATTTAGTTCTTCCTGTACCAAATCTTGTACCTCGATACTTATACGCTCACCCTCAACATCCACCATGTTAGTTATCTCCTGCCGCATATCCACCCGTATCTCACCGAGGCGCTCATCAATATACTTTTGTAAACTAGTCTCGAGACGAGTCTCCAGACCCTGCATCTGCTCCGAAAGGCTGTCGGTCAACTCGTGTCTCATCACGGCGAGTCGACTGTCGACAACCCGAGAAAACCTACCCTCCATAGTTTTTACATCAATAACCATGTGTGCAGAGCCGGAGGCGGCTTGGCAGAAGCAGCAGCAGTAGTAGCAGGCATGAGTCTTGCTATTCCCACATCGACCAAGGTCCCACCCTTGCCAGCGTAGAGACTCGCCCTATTAGCGTGGGCGGCTATGGAACCGAGACCGCGCGATACGGCGTCGCAGAGGCCAAGCAACCGCAGCGCCGATAACCTGCCAGACATGGTGAAGCAGACATCGAGGCTGGTCTGGTGGGCGAGGGCGCATAGCGAATCCCACACTCGACCAGAGGATTTATTGCGCGGTTGTAGGTGCTGGTGTGGTCCGACAAGAGACGGTGGTTTGCTCAAGACAAAGCGTAGGTATGTTGCCTTTGTGCCGCCAGGACCCAGCGTCCCGACATTGTTGGCATCAGTGCCGCCTGCCGTTCCCATTGCTTTTCCGTTGAGAGCCAAGTTGCGGACAGACTCGGGGGGAATAAAGAGGAACATGGCAGTTTTCTGGGCTGCCGGAAAGGCCTTGAAGTGTAGAGTAGTGCATGGCTTGAAGAAAGCCTTGCCGGAGCGATGGTTATAGTGTACATCGAATTTCACATCTGCCAGTGACTACTTTCGGTCATCGAGTCCTTGCCATTCTACCACAGCCTGCTGGACAACTAAATCGATATCAGGATTTGCTTCCGTTTCTTGCACTATTTCAACTAGGTTGGAGGTTGAGTTGGAGGTCGGATTGGAGGTCGGTTTGGCTGCTTTTGAGTCCTAGTCCGAGTTCGAGTCAACAACAGAGTCGGATGCCGTTGATAACATGACACCTTGATCTTTTCCCCTGCGCGCGTCAACTTGGTGTTTGTGAGTAGAACCTGCACAACAGGGATAAAAACAGAAACAGGGCCAGGAATAGCCGGGAACATGACTGCTCCTACTTCTTTCACGATAGCACTGAGTTCTCAGTTCTCGCACTGTCACGCCCGCCCAGCCATGCCGTCCGGGGTCGACATCAGTATTTGCTGACAGGCAGCTCCCGGCTTCTGGCTTTCGTTGTCTTCATCCTTCAGCTCCTTACCAAGACCCCGGGTCTTCCGCTGCCCGCGGACAGTGGGCAGAAGCCGGTAGAAGATGGTCTTGGCCGCGAATGACCGCTCGCTCACCCGGCGCATGGCCTTGAGCAGAGGGAGACATGCATGAATCGTGCGGATACCTTTGAATTGTGCGACTAATTTGGTGATAGGTGATAGGTGATGGGTGATGGTGGAAAACGCGGCAAGCAAGTTGGTCGATGAAATGAAGGATGGTTGACTGATTGATTGATTGAAAGTTTAACGTCTCATCACGTGAGACGTGCCGGGCGCAGTGCCGGCATGGTCTATGCTAGTCGAATCTATGTTACAGGGGACTGTCTTCATCTAACATTCCTGTTCAGTGCGATGGGCAGATCTCAGTAAAGAAATTGGTCTCCTCCGCCCATTGGCAAAACAAACGAGCTCCCTTGGCCGTGCCTAGGAGGGAATCTATACTATTCTTGGCCATATGCGCTTTTAGATGACCGGGCGTGGCCTTGCGGCCGCGCTTGCAAAAGTAGAAGTGGACTGGTGTCTTTGTCTTTCCACACCCGCAGTTGAGCAGTGCGTCGCGATGCTGGAGTCTCTCGTGGTAGGTCACGAAATCCCCGTGGTGCGACCTCGCTGCGAGTAATCTGCCTAGGTGTTGCCGGGGCAGGCCAAGTTCGGGGGGTCGCGGGTGGATAGCGATCCCTAGATCTCGATACTGTTGAGGGCAGGTAGTGGCCCATCGTTCGTTGAAACTCTTCCAAGTGTAGGATCTCGCGATTCTCTTTATATGTGCGAATGAGGCCGGGTGTTGTGTCTTGGGCGGTTGCTCACAGGCCGCTTTGGCCTGGACATCTGCTTCTTCGTTTCCGGGGATGCCTACGTGTCCTGGGCACCACCAGATATACACTTGTCCCGGGGGTGTCCAGGGTTTTCGCTCTCTCTGTGACCAGGTTTTGGACAGCTCTTGGAAGGCGGTGAACTTTGCTTGACTGCTTCCGGGACTTGGACAGATGAGCCTACCCGCAACCGCGAGATTATCGAGGCAGATGTGGACATTATCTGCCATGCTGTTGGACGGAAGCTTTACAGCCTCCTGAAGCCCCCGTAGTGCTGCGTGGGCTTCCGCATCGTATACCTCTATCTGAGAGCCCAGTAGTTCGGACCCGCAGAGTAGTCTTTTACCGGCCTGATAACCAGCCCAGCCTGCTCCAGCTAAAGTCCTGTCGCTATGGGTAGCCAGCGAGCCGTCTGTATAGATTATTATATCGCGCTTTGAAAACTCGTTTATCCTTTGTAGAAACGAGCGGGCAGCCTCCTCCTTTGACTGTCCTGGGATATAACCGATCTTGGCGAGGGTGATGGACCATTCGCCAGCCTGCTCCCAGGGCGGTATTTGCAGAGGATCTATATATTCTGCAGTATCTGGGGTTAGGCTCGCCATACGCCTTAACCTCGAATCGGGGCCCGTAGGATGTCTGAGCCTCCTGCGTAAGGGATGGCGGCTATCCAGTTTGTGTAATCTAACAGAAGCCGCATTGAGTTTTGCGTCGAGTGCGATTTCTGCTGGCGGTAGTGCCGCTTCCCGTTGCAGGATCGGTATTGGCGTGGTCCTGTATACAGGAAGCATGGCTCTCATTGCGGTATTCTGCGTTCGATCCATTTGGTCAGCTAGGGATTGGACCCGGTTTGAGATAATGCGTCCATTCTTGTTCTGTCTGGCAGACGGCCACCATGCTTCCGAGGCGTAGAATTGCACGGGGAGCACGCACGCGATTACAGCTTGACGGAGTAGTCGTGTTGGGGCCCCTCTGATTGTGTTTCCTAACGACCGGAGTCCGTTAGCAACCTGTAGAGCTTTAGCTGAGACGAATTTGACATGGGCCTTAAAGCTAAGCTTTCTATCGAAGTAGACGCCTAACCACCTGAGTGCAGCACCGATTTTGATGGGTTGAACAGTGTGGATCGTTCCATTCTGTTGCGTAGTGGTAATGGGTGGGTTTGCGTCTCTCCCTCTTCTTGTGAAGTGTATTAGCTCCGTCTTGTCGGGGTCGAACGTGATACCCTCAGACATGCTCCAGTCGAGTGCTGCTTTCCACTCTTCGGCCAGTATAGTGCAATTTTCTTCTAGGGAACTAGAGCTTGACAGTATAGCTATGTCGTCCACGTAGCCGAATCGCGAGCGCTTGCGTCCAGGTCTGCAGGTGCCCAGCTTAAATAGGGGCTCGATATATAGAAGGAGGAGGATCGGCGAGACGGGCGATCCTTGCGGAAGTCCACATTCGAGGTCAAAGGTGTCTCCGGTTTCCCCGTCTAGCCATATTCTCCCCTTTCGCTGCGTGGCAAAGCTATAAACCCAGCGTACCAGGTTTTCCGGCCAGCCTTGTCGGTGGAGGCACTGTGCCAGTCTGCCTGGTAGGACGGAGTCGAATGCACCTCTGATGTCCATCGTCAGCATAGAGGTAAATTTTCCTTGTTGCCAAGCGGTTTCTATATCATGGATTACAGCTGAAATCAGATCGCTACACGATCGTTGTGGGAGCGCTCCGAATTGTTGGCTATGCAGGACTCGGTGCTTTACTGCGACCCAGGAGAGGCGTTTTGCAATAAGTCTTTCAAGGCCTTTCCCAAGTACGGATAGGAGGGCAATAGGTCGATATGAGCGTACTGCCGTTTTATCCTTTTTGCCTGGCTTGGCCAGAATAACGAGCGTTGCCTCTTTGAAACATGTAGGATGCCATCCAACTTCGACACAGGCTCGGAAGAGCGCAACGACTACTTCTTTGATAACTGGCTAAGCAGTTGTTAGGGCTGCAGTTGTAATGCCATCGGATCCGGGACTGGTGTTGCCGGCCTGGAGGATAGCCCTTTGGACTTCCTTTGCGGTGACACGGGGGAAAGGGAGCTTCGGATCGGGTCCCGGTGCTCGCAGCTCGCTGGGTATATCGCCGGCCTTGTCCGTGTTTCGGAGGAGTACGCGGGCGAATAATTCTCGCTTTTCGTCTGGCTTGGAGATGAATCGGTCCGAGTTTTCGGGGTCGCGTAATGGCGGGGTATAAAAGTTTCCCGTACTTTTATGCCAGCCCGCCATTTCAAAAATTTCTTTACTGGTCGAGGCTGCAGCGATTCTATCTTTCCAATATTTGTCCTTCGCCTTGTGAAGTTTCCGGACGAAGTCCTGCCGTAGCGCTTCAATTTCCTCCAGGTGTTCTGAGCGGGTTATCCCTAGAGCTTGAAGCCTTCTTGTGTCCCTCTTTTTGTTAGTAAATTCTTGATGTTTTCGCTTGCATTCTTCGTTCCAGTATGCACGTCCTTGTCGGAGTCCTTTGGATCGTTTTGTGGAGGCTGTAAGGCTTTCGATGAGGGCGTTTGTCAGTTGTTGCGCTACGCGGTCCAGTGACTCGGCGTCGTCTGCCGTTCTCACTGTCCCTCTTATTGGTTGTATGTTCCGTTGTAGGGTGCTGAGAAAAAGCTCTTCGTCCATCGTATCCAGCCGAAATTTGCCTAAGGTCGGCTTGGACTTGTCCAGCGCTGGGAGTGGAACCCAGATAAGCAAGGTTTCGTGGTCCGAGGTTGTGTTAAGGGAGGCTTCGATGCTTGTAGAGACTCCTGGCAACGAGGCTGAAGCCCAGGAAAGGTCTAGGACGTTACCTGCCCTATGTGTCGGTTCACCGATTGGCGATGTAAGTACGAGATCGAAAGATTCTGCCCAGTCGACCAAGTCCTGGGCCTTTGGGGAGGTGTACGTCGTCGTTGGTTGCCAGTTCGGATGATGTAGGTTGAAGTCCCCTGCTAGTATATATCGGTTTGGCGGAGCAAGGTGGTACTGGCCTAGGATATCTTGAATGGCCTTGCCGCCTTGGGAAGCTGCTTGGGGTGCGTTGTATATGTTAATGATTGTTAGTAGGTAGTGGCGGTCACATAGGACCTGAAGGAATAGTAGGTCTGTAGATGGGGCAGATAGTGGTCGGCATTGCTCCCCTCTAAGTCCAGTCCCTTTGCGTATGTAGGTTATCACCCTCGGTCTGCTTTCAATCCGGTCATCTATTGGTGCGAAGGTCTCGTAGGCTGGGTGAGTTCGGGTGAGTCTTCTTTCCTGTGATCGGACGAAAGGCTCCTGTATCAGTATAATGTCGATATGGCCTTCGTAGGCCAGGTTAAGTGCCGTCTCGTGTGCACTCGCCTTCCTGCCTACGTTGGCTTGCATGATCTGTAACTTTTTGGGTATTTGCTGCGTGGTTCTGTTAGGCATTTGCTATGATGCAGTCGTTGTTTTCGCTGTTGGCTTGGAGATGCGAGAGGCTAGATGCCGCTTTCCAGGCTCTTTCTCCTTCCGCTCGAATAGCGCGGAGCTGCGCTTGATCCCTTCTCTGGAGCGTACCATGGATCACTTTGGGTCTGGCGGGGCAGGCAGGGTCGTGAGCCGCGTGCGGGCCGTTGCAAGTTGGGCATTTGAGGGGGCAGTCACATCCGTTGAGGCCTTCCGTGCCTCCGCAAGGGGCCCGGTGCTCGTCGGTTGTGTGAGTTGCGGAGCTGCACTTCATGCACCTTCTCTTCCGGGTGCATGTGCGTGCATTGTGGAAGCCACCGCAGCGGTGGCATTCAATTGATTTCTTCTCCTTGGGGAGACGTAGATTGATATATACGTTGGGTCCTAAAAGCCTAGTGCGGAGCGGTATCTGCTTTGCCGCGTCTACCTTGAACCAGGCCGTTACCGTGCCTAGTCTTTCTATCTCGTCCTTTTTGGAAAAGTAGGCCTTTTCCGGGCGCCGTTTCGTGGCAAGTCGGATTTCCTCCTCTAGCTCCCCGTTTGTGATTTCCAATTCCGCGTCGGTAATCAGGCAGTGACGAGTATACGGGACATTGGGGATATATGCTCGAACCCAGGTATCTCTCTGCTCGACGCTATGCGCTTGCAGTAGGGTGGCTATCTGTTCTCTGTTATTTAGCAGGATCTTAGCGCCTTCTACTGAGGATGGGCAGAGGGCTAGTCCTGTTCGGACGTGGTCGACTCCCTTTAGTGCAGTGCGGGCATTTCCTGGCAGCTTTTCACGGAGAAAAGCGCATATATCGTAGGCTCTCTCCCTGCGGAAATGATTATCTTCATGCATCCGGGCAAAAATCCGTAGGTCTTTCGTGGGCAGTTTCTTTGGTGGCGTCGCGGTGACATTTAGGCTGTGGGCCGGCGTGCTACTCAGTTGCCTTGCAACCGCTGCGTATGTGCGGGCTGGTGTTGATTGTACTGTCGGGTCGGCCTCTATTGGGGTTCCGAGAGGCTTTCTAGCAGTTGTGTCTTGGGTTGTTCGAGTGGCATGTCGAGATTGTGCGAGTTGTGAGGTGCGGCAGTCTGGTTGCCCACGGTCCTCGCGCATCCTTTTCAGCTCCTGTTCGAGGAATTCTATTTTAGCCTTGTATGCCTCGAGAATCTTTTGTCTGTCGGCATCCTTTTGTTGTAGCTCTTTTGCAAGTCGAGCGAACTTTTTGGTGGCTTCGTGGATCACGTCCTTTGCGATATCTCGAGCCACGTCTTCCAAATTTTCGCGAGCTTTAGCGGTGAGTCTCCGGGGTCACCTCGATAGCCGCGAGGCCACTGAGTCCTCGAGCTCATTGTTATTGAGGTTGAAGTTTATGATTCCTTCCATGCAGTACGTTTTTCTTTTGTTCTTTGTCTAGTACCTTCACTGATCCCCACTTGGATATGTTGGTTGTCCAACATATCCACCCCTGTAGGTCACGTGACCTGTCGGTCCTTTCCTTCTTCCGATGCGGGGTCCCGTGATCCTAGCGTCTGTATCCACCTGGCCTGCCGACGGGCCTGTAATGTTGGTTCAGTGCCAACGGTTCGTAACAAAAGTGAGGAAGAGGATGAAAGTAGTCGTCCTACAAGGAGGAGGGCAACGGGTGCTAGGCGCTGTGGCATTTGCGGAGGAACTGGACATAATGCGCGAACTTGTCAGGCAGATGTAGAAACAGATAATGAAAAGAATTCCGATTAATTTCTTGGATGAATACGGGTTGTTGTTGATCTATCTAAGATTAAAGGTTGGGAGGTCGTGAAAAGTTGGGCAAAGACCCGTGTGGGGCATTGACCTGTGGGTGACGTTAGTAAGCCTAGCCCTATAATAGATATCTAAGTTTAATTTAGTATCGTTTAAATTAGATACTATGATTTTGTGAGGTCAAGGACAGTGTGGCTGTGTGGCTGAAATCGCCGAGCGATCGGATAATTGTCGGAGATTGAGCTCCTCAAAAGGGGCCAAACGCGCAACACTTAGCTCGGCAGATAGAAGTCAACAAAACACCTCACTTCTTGGAATTGACTTCCGTGTCAGCCCAACCGTAGTCACCTTCCCTGGCACCCAGCCGCACCTATCTTTACAGATTTGTCGTAGAGATAAGTTATAAAAGTTAAGGAGTTATATTCTAGGGAAAAGTGCGCGACTCGCTTATAAACCACGTTATAGTAATTTGTCAATTTTTCTTTTAAAACCCTAGAGAAAGATAAGAAAGTAAGCCCACGAGCTAGGTCCAAACGATAGCGTTACAAGCATTGTCGCAGGTCCTAGCCCGGCCGAAAATACGCCGTCCTAAGCGATGGCGTAGAAGCACTATCGCCCGTGAAATCGGTTACAGGAGGGAGACAGGCCGGAATGACAGCGTATCCAAACACAAATGGGGTATCATAGTAGAAAGAAATGAAGAGCAAAATTTCCTTTGGCCAAAGCGAGAAATCAAACGTATTCGCCCAAGTCTCGCTCCAGATTCCCAAAAAACATTACATCGCTCAGAGCGCCAGCTCTTGCCATTGTGGCATTTGGATGTCGTTAGTAATCGTCTGGTCGATTCGTACTTCGGCCGAGTCCCCCTTGGGCAGGACCGGCTCGACATGGGCCTTCATGGGGACAAGACCCCAGCGCTTGAACATGGCCAAGTCCTGGTCCCAGCCGGTGCAGGCTGTCGTCAGCATCTTTTCGCCGGTGAAGACGGCATTGGCGCCGGCCATGAAGCACAACACCTGCCGCTCCTCGGACATGCTGGTGCGGCCGGCGGCGATTCGAATGATGGAGGTAGGCATGATGAGGCGGGCGGCGGCGACGGTCCGTAGCACGGCATCGAACTCGATCGGCTTGGTGCGACGGAACAGCGGTGTCCCTTCGATGGGTACCAGCGTGTTGACGGGGAAGCTCTCCGGGTGCGACGGCATCGTCGCCACTGTGTGCAGCAAGCCCACGTGGTCCGACGGCGCCTCGCCCAGGCCTAGGATGCCCCCGGTGCACACCTTGATGCCAGCCTCGCGTACGTGGGCGATGGTCTGCAGCCGCTCGTCGTAGCTGCGCGTTGAGATGACCTTGGGGTAGTGCTCGCGGCTCGTGTCGACGTTGTGATTATAAGCCGTCAGCCCGGCGTCCTTGAGCTCTCGCGCTTGCCTCTCATCCAGCATGCCCAGCGTCACGCAGCTCTCGAGTCCCAGCGCGTGCACGCCCTCCACCATGGCCTTGATGTTTTTCAGGCTGCTCTTGCGTCCTCGCATGTCGCGCCACGCCGCGCCCATGCAGAACCGCGTCGAGCCCTTGTCCTTAGCTACTTTGGCCGCCGCCAGCACGCTCTCGACGCTCGACACCTTGGTCGCTGTGAGACCCGTCTGATACCTCGAAGATTGCGCGCAGTAGCTACAATCCTCGCTGCACCCGCCCGTCTTGATGTTCATCAGGGTACACATCTGGATGGCGGTAGGGTTGTGAAATCGCCGATGCACTGTTCCCTAAGCTCAACAACCTGGGTTAGCTTGGGAAAATAAGCGGTCTGGGTAGTAGGTCGCCGCTTACGGCTGCAAATGCCAACTCCATTAAAGGCTTGTTGTAAATCTCCGAAATCTCTTCTCTCTTCCAATCTGTCCGTGGCGATGTGGCGTGGAGGGCCTGTTGGAAGGCGCTTGGCGTCGCTCTCAGTTGGCCATATGCCCTGGGGCTCAGAATGCGTCCGTTTAAGAGGCCTTGCCGGCCAACACGGGCAACGGGGCGCAACAATTTGCTCGACATGGATACTAGTCGGGTCGGAAATAAAGTCATGATGAGACTGTCTTGGGCAGATTGGCCGTTTTGAGAACCAGAGAATGCCAGATGTCCCTTCATTGGTATTCCCAGTCTTAATAGATTCGTGGGAAACAGTAGAGCGAATGAGGGGTATTGTGAATATTGTGAGTAAGCGAGTTTGTCGTGCGGCCCCCTCCCCCATGCAACACAGCCCGCCACGCCCATTTCACGTTGCATAATCCACTTTTTGCATGGGCCCTCAACATTTCGACGGCCCATCCTGCTGCAGATTGTTACTTAGACGATTGGACTAGACGAATTAACTCCTTGGCTTAGTCAAGAGCTTTTTATGTTTCACGGCAAGTGATCCACTGGCCCGTTTCGCCGTTGGGAACGGACATATCCACTTTGCGGGGACTTATCCCGGGGAGGTCGAACGATGAGGTGTACGTGTAGGTCGGGCAAAAGGAACTACACAAACTAGCCACCAGCAGTAAGGAGCCGGTAGATCCCATAGCATGACGGCTACGGTTTCCCACCTGGCTAGAATCACTACCTTTACTTGGCAGCTGAGGACCCCCTGTATTGATCCTTGCCTTCATTATGAGGGATAGAAAGCCAGCCAATAACGATTTACGACTTTTTACCCACTCGTATGTGGGTCTGTGAATCTATGACTATAGAGTCGCAACAAACCGATCCGTTCCACGAACCCAGGATCTCACCACGGCAGTGAATTGATCGATGGCCTCGACGGTATTACCCGAGTGAAGACAAACCCTTACCCTCTCGGTCCCAGCCGGAACGGTGGGCGGCCTCACGGCACTGACTACAAAGCCTCTCCCTCGACATGTTGCCGCAAGATCCAACGCGAAGGGTGTCAGGACGGAGAAGATGGGAGAAGAAGGCTCGTGCTTGATAGTAACGACCCTGAGCAGGTTTCCAGAACCTCTTGGGAGACACAACTTTCGCGAGCTCAAACCATCGCTGTTTTCAATGCTCATAAGCGAGTTGTGGCAATATGCAATCAACCTGTGAAGTTTCGAACGGAGCTTCGTAAACAAACAAACAACATATCAGCTATGCCTTCCCTTGACCAAACGGCATTTCAGAGCAGACAGAGAAAGAGAAAGAATGGGGAATTCCATACCTCATCACACTCGTCCGAGTCTAGAAATTCATATGCAGTGCGGATGGACGCTAAGGCGGGGAAGGGTAGAGCCGTGGTGTATATCAGGCTCCTGGCATAGTTGATGAGATAATCACGCGTCTGGGAGGAACAGAGAACGGCGGCTTTCAAGTCGTCTAGTCGTCAATATTCATTTATATACCTTGTTCCAAAAAGAAAAGAAACAAATAAAAGACGAAAAAAGGGAGGAGAAAGGGGGTAACTCACCTCCATGAGAAGCAAGGGCCTTGCCAAAGGTGTGAACGCGTATGAAGACCCTTTGCTGCTGGCCCAGCTTCTGCACAACGCCGGCGCCCCTGGGTCCAAAGATGCCCGTGGCATGCGCCTCGTCGATGATCAGGTAACCGTTCCCGTGAGGCAACACCTCGTCAATGACGTCACAGAACCTATCCACGGGCGCAACGTCACCGTCCATGCTATACACGGACTCGACGACAACAAATATATTGCGGCTGCTGCCCTTGCCCCCGACATTGCTCTTTGCCCTACGCTCGCGATCCCATCTGCTCACCAGTTCCTTGAGCACCCCCCTCAGCCCCTCGGGTGCGTTGTGCGGAAACGGCAGGCAGGCAGATGCCGACGCCCGTGACAACCTCATGCCGTCATGGATACTGGCGTGTGCGAGAGCGTCGTAGACAATGGCGTCACCCAGCTGCGGCACGCACGACAGCAGGCCCACGTTGGCGTCGTACCCCGAGTTAAAGAGCAGTGCGCTCTCGGCCCTGTGAAACGAGGCAATGGTCCTCTCCAGGTCCTCGGCGAAGGCCGAGTTGCCGTCCAGGAGGCGCGAGCCGCCGCTCGCCAAGCCCTGTGGGTGTTGTGGGTGGTGGTACTGTTGCAGCTGGTGTTCATCGGCAGGGGCGGTTTGCTGATCGTGCTGTAGGTGTGCGAGGAAGCGCGCGCGGAAGGCGGGAGAGCGCGAGAGTGACAGAAAGTCGTTAGAAGAGAAGTCATGCGAGTTAGGCGGGGATATGGTCAGTTTCCGCCTGAGCTGCCGTGCACTCCTGTTCTCCAATGCATCCTCAAAGGCTTTGCTCAACGACGTCGGGGTTTGCTTCGAGCTATTATTCGTCGACATGCTTCTCAGTAGGAGCCTCGGCTACAACAGGTGACGTGACTGACAGTCAATTCGTAGCGGTGCAGGGGTCTTGTCGTGAGAATGGTGCAGTGAGCGGCAAGTATATGATGGAATCCATTTTCCTATTGCGTATTCAACGAGACGGATCATTGTAGATCCTGCCGCTGCAGTACAACATATACCATACACATACAATGAAGACGTGATCATTCAAATTTTGACTAGAAGGCCTGTTCAATATTCCTAGCAACAGGAAAACCATATGTAACCTAGTACCATGCCTAATTGCCTAGCGTCACCCTGTGAGGTATTACGGACTTCAGTGCTTGTAACTGAGTCATTTCCTCCACATAGACGAGAAATACAGTTACAAGTAATCTTGATGCAAATAAATCCCTTTGACCTTGCTATAAGAAACGCATCTACTGAATCACTGAGTTCTTCAAGTTACATTCGTGCAGTGTCTCATCTAGCCGAAACACGAGTCAAGCAGTCAAGCTGGCGTGAAATAATACGATTCCGTTCCCGTATTTTTCGCAACAAATATGGATGCGACGTGCGTCGCCAGTGTTACTAGCGGCTTGCTCCAGATATACGCTGTTCTTTCCTCCACTCTCGGTTATCGAGACCAGACAGCCCTATACTGTTGCTAATCTCCACAATTTTGAACTATTTTCATAGCCACACCCCTCTGTTGATTGGCGGACTATGTAAATCCGTACAACGCAAAAACCTTGTACATATACAGCTGCTTGCGTGTGACGTGTGACGTGTTAAGTGTTGAGCCCCGGTATAAAGAGAGAAATCAGTAGGTGGTGCTCTTCCCCGCACCCTCACGTGACTGGGTAACGGTCGACCTACACCTTCAGTCCCGACGATTCAATCAATGGTGGGCCTGTTCGTCGACTCATTTCTATATCTTTTCCCGACAGGGCAGCACTGGTAGATCAGTAGCCATGACCTCCTTCGCCAGCCCCCTGTGGAGAAAGCTGCAGGTCTATCAGGTGTACGGGGCTAACACCAACGTTGGGAAGACAGTCATTACGACGCTTCTATGCAAGGTTGCTCCCCGTGCAGGCTTTTTGAAGCCCGTTTCCACAGGCCCCTCGAGTGAGGCCGATGATAGGTGGGTATCCCCGATTTCTCACCTTCACGACGATGTAATTCCGAGAATCCAAGCAAGCGGGAGAAAAAGGTGCTACTACTGACATTTTTCCTGTCCTCATAAAATTCAGGCATGTAAAGCAATTCTCGCCTGGCACCGTCACTCAATGTCTGTACCAGTTCGAAGAGCCCGTCAGCCCGCATATCGCTGCCACGGCCCATGCCAGCCAGGTACGTACTTAGGCTTCGGCCAGCTGATGCATCCTCCGATATATTACACAAAGAGTCCACATCTTCCCCGAAGTCTAATTATTCACGACCATTATCTAAGTCCACCTATCTGATCCTTTCCAAAGGCCCCCGGGGACGCAGAAATCGTGTCCAGCATCCACAATATCCTCACACGATGGGCGAAAGACGAGGCGATGAGCCACGCCTTCGTGGAGACAGCGGGCGGCGTGCACTCGCCGGGGCCCTCGGGAACCTCACAGGCGGATTTATACCGTCCCCTGCGCCTGCCCGTGGTGCTAGTTGCCGACTTTCGCCTCGGCGGCATCTCGTCCACGATCGCGGCGTACGAGTCACTGCTGGTGCGCGGCTACGACGTGGAGTCCGTCCTCGTATTCGAGGACGCGTATTATCGGAACAGTGATTACCTAATGGATTACTTCGCTGCGAGGGACATCCCGCTGCTCGCGCTCCAGCGACCACCTGAACGGCTACGGAGAGAATCGCTTGGTAACAGTAGTAGTGATGATGCTTTCCAACGGGACCAGCAGGCAATGGCGAGGTATTACGAAGCCGTTTCCCGGCCGTCTTCCGGCCTCGGCGGGTTGTTGTCCGATCTCTCCGTCCGACACGAGAGACGAATAGGGGAGCTGGAGACGATGGCTTCGACAGCGCACAAGTCGATCTGGTACCCCTTTACCCAACACAACGGACTGAAGCCTGAGTCCCTGACTGTCATAGACTCGGCCAGGGGTGATCACTTCCAGGTTTTCCAGCAGCCAGCTGTAAAAGCCGACTCCTCGTCGTCATCGGTACTCGGACCCGTGTACGACGGCTCCGCATCGTGGTGGACCCAAGGGCTTGGGCATGGAAACCCAGAACTGGCTCTAGGCGCAGCGTACGCCGCAGGCAGGTACGGGCATGTAATGTTCGCGCTGGGGGCGCACAAGCCGGCAATCGAGCTGGCAGGGCTGGTGCTGCAGCACACGGCCAACGAGCGTCTGGTGAGAGTCTTCTACTCAGATAACGGGAGCACAGCCATGGAGGTCGCCGTTAAGATGGCGCTTCGTGCCTCCTGCCAACGCTACCGGTGGAACGCCGGCACCGACGAGGTGGAGATCCTCGGCCTAAAGGGTAGTTATCACGGCGATACCATTGGTACCATGGACTGCTCGGAGCCGTCCACTTTCAACCAGAAGGTGGAGTGGTATCGTGGGAGGGGATACTGGTTCGACTTTCCGCAAGTCAAGATGGTGCGGGGGTCTTGGACGGTCGTGTTCCCGGACCAGCTGGCGCACGCTGCTCATGGTAACGAGCGAGAGTCATTTTCGTCCCTGGCTGACATATTCAATATTGAGCATCGAGAACACTCGGGCTTCGGGCGTCTGTACGCGTATTTCATTCAGCAAACTCTGGAAAATCTCGTCAAGAAGCAAGGTCGGAAGTTTGGCGCGCTGATATTAGAGCCACTTGTCCTCGGAGCAGGCGGCATGTTGTTTGTGTAAGAATCTTCTATCCCTATTTCCCGTTTTTAAACTCAGCATTTTTGCGAAGGGAAAAAAAAGAAACCCTAACTTACCATAAAAACAGCGACCCCCTTTTCCAGCACATGCTCATCAAGACAGTCCGTCAAAATCCAGAGCTGATTGAGCCATCCCTTCCTATCCCCGGGCCATCCTCATCAAAGTCGTGGACTGGCCTGCCTATCATTTTCGACGAGGTCTTCACTGGTCTCTACCGCTTTTACCATTTCAGCCCCTCGACTTTCTTCCCCCAGGCGTCCCGGCCAGACATCGTCGCCAACGCCAAGCTCCTGACCGGCGGGCTCCTCCCCCTCTCCATGACGCTCGCGAGCGAGGATATCTTCGACGCGTTCAGTTCTAGCCCCGCCAAAGAGCAGGCTCTGCTGCATGGCCACAGCTACACCGCCCACCCGGTCGGCTGCCACGTGGCGCGCATGTCGGTCACGAAGATGATGGAGATGGAGCGCGACGGCGCGTGGGACCAATTCAAGGAGTCTTGGGTTGATGCGGGACCGGGTGTGGCTACCGTTGATGCTGCGCCCAGGGTCACGGTCTGGTCCATCTGGCCGCAAAATCTACTCACCGCGTTGTCCAACGCGGCATCCGTTGAGAGCGTCTGGGCACTCGGCACTGTTCTATCAATCGTGCTGTGCGATCACGACAGCCCAGGTGAGCCGAACTTCCTGCCTGCGTGCCCAGATTCCTCCTTCCTTTCCTCGCGCGGATAGATTTTATTGCCAAACTAACCTGATTTTCCTCTTTGCAGGGTACACCTCCTCAGTCGCTCAAGACTTGCAGAGGAAACTGAGGTCGCCCCTTGCATCCAATTCAACAGTAATTAGGGACAGCGGAAGTGGCTATAGTGACGACATAAGAAACTCGCACTTTAGCGTGCAGTCGAGAATCCTAGGTAATGTCTTCTATCTTATAACGAGCCTAACATCTAGTAAGGACGAGGTCGATAAGATATGTCAGATGCTAAGGAGAGCTCTCTTATAGATATCTATACTATAAAACTAGTTAATCCTATAGAACGCTCAGGTACGAGGTATATAGATATAGTAGTTAGGTTTAAGTATAGGGTTAACTATTGCTCACTCAGATTACTTAAATATGGGTGCAGTTGTCAGATAGGACACCTGGTTCCTAGGTTCAGAAATAATATGGCACTAGAGAAGACTAGTGTCACTTGAAGTTCAGACGGCGAAATGAACCCCTCTTCCCGAAAGTAACTCCGAAGTTCGGGGTCAGACACCTGAACAATGCACCTCCGACATTTCCGAAAGAATCTATAAAGGGCAGAGCAACGGGAGTTCGCGAGAATAGAACACAGACAATAACACACCTCATTCATATACAATCTTATGCACTTCTGACTACTCGATTGGACACACGTGATATTCGACAGCAGTCACATGGTGGTCAATGCGGTTAGATACCGAAGTCTACGGGGGCCCCATAGGCACACGGGTACCCGTGTGATTACCTAAATAGGTAAAGCCCCTCCGTTGTCGGATACTATCACGTGTCGCGTTGAAATTGGATAATTGAAGCAATTCATGTTCGTAGTCAAGTAGTCAAAGCACATATTATTAGCCAGAAATTACTACTGTAGACTGTCTGCTCTCTAATCGTTGCCAAGCGATGACTTCGTTATAAACAGTGAATCCGAGCTATGCAAAGCCGGTAATAACGCTTCAAGAGATAAAACAACGATATGAAGGGCTCTGTCAGCTCTGTTCGTATTACATGATTGCAGTGTATGAAATAAAGTACTGAATAACTATCTGAAGTGAATGTCTGTTGTGTAATGCAAGGGAATTATTTTTGTGCTGTTATGATGATGGTTGATGTGAGGTGATCGTGGCCATGTTTCTGCTTGCTTGCCTGTTGCTTGAGTGTGTTCGTGCTTGTTAACGTGTGTGTTGACGTTGTTTTCCCGTGCGTGCCTGTTGCTTGTTCGAGTGCTTCCGTGTGTGTTCCTCCTACTATTCAGAATGTGCTGCTATTTATGCACCCAGAGAAGAAGAGAATAACCCCTGTCCTTGCCCTTGTCCCCACTTTCACTGGCGGACGGCCTTGCCCTATTACAATAGTAGGCGGCTATTTAGCTACTACTATACAATCCTCTGTTTGTCTTGAGTATAAAGCTTCTTGTTCCTTCATATCTTTTTCTATCCTTCTCCAAAGCTCACCTGTACCTCTCCTATTCGATGGACCGTTTACCGATTCTTGAGCAACCTGAGCCTCGATTCGATGAGTTTCTGACCTATCCCAGTCTAAATAAGCCATCATCTCTTCTTTCGTCCACTCTCTTGAGCCTGTTGAAGTAGTATAACGTTTGTTCATTTGCTTATAATTAAGACACCATTCATAGCTTGTCTTGTCATATCGTAGCGGTAAACCCATCGCTTTTCGGTATCGCTGATTGTTTACATAGGTCCCAGTAGGCTGGGCTATATACCAAGCATCTCTTGCCGTAACGTATCTCTGGTAGATAGCCCTTGGATTGTCGTGTTTTAGAGGCGCAGATAAACCTGGATTCGGGGAAGACGATGGCGTACGAACTGGTAAGATAGGGGATAGAGGACTATCTTCGGCAGGGGGAACATCTTTAGGAGTCTGGATTGATGCTTCTCTTATAGTGTTTGTCTGCGAGGCTAGCTCTGAACCGATGCTTGACTGGGCCTGCGACTCTGTCGAAGTCGTAACTGGCTGGACAGGCTGGGCGCGCTGGTCGGGCTGGACTGCTTGTGATCTGAGTTCCGAATATCTTAAAGGACACTCTCTCGAGTTCCTTGTATGTCCTAATATATGGCATTTGCTACATAGAGGCGGTGTTCTCGACGCTGTTGCTGTTTCAATGATTTCGAACCCGCTAAGCTCTCGCCTAACACTCGACCGTGGTAATAATGAATTCGTAATTGCCGGATCGATACGCTGACGAGGCTCTAGTAATAGCTGCGGAATGCCGTTGCGGACTAGGTGCCAATGTGGGTGGAAGTCTTCTAGTTGTAGAACCTGGTCCTGTGCCAATAACCGTTCTAATTTATGGACACATGGTAGCCCTTGAGACTGAGAAAAAGAGCCTGTACAGTTTGGCGAGGGAGGCGGGTTCTTCGTTAATAGCTTCCGCTGTTCTTCGACTTTCCTTAGAGCTTCGTGTGATACCCAACCACGGACTATATGATATAGTGGCCCAGAGAGTTCGATTGGCGTCCGAATTTGCTGTTTGGCTTGGTTAGATCTCAACTCCGTAAGTTGGTTATGCAACGCTTGCTTTATTGCTCTCCAGGCTTCGAACAGATCTAATGTAGATCTTTTGAGATGGCTTTTAAGTATCCCATGAATGCCTTCAACTCTTGAAGTAATGACATTATCGAAATGAAGGTATCGATCAACCCAAGCTTTACTAGCTTCTCTTTATGCAAATCGAGCCAAGTCCCTTTTATGTATCCGACTTCTTCGAGATAGCCCGGAATATATTTATTTTCGAACTTTGATACACGCTCGTAGAATGTCTCCTCGTTAGCGATTTCATAATCGAATGCCAATGGTTGTAGAACTCGTTCCAAGCTTCGAGCCTTGCTGTTGCTCCTGTCGTTGTTCTTGCTGTTGCCGTGTAAATGTTGGCCGACAATGACGAAGGACTGCTTTGTTTGCGTGCCAAAGACACAGAAGTAGTGCAGAAGATGGAAAGCAAGTAGAAACCGCATCCATATACGCAATACAGCGGTCTGTTAAGATAACAGAGGGAAGCCGAGTATTACAGATCTCGTAAAGCGACTTTAATCGGTCCAAGGCCCAGAAGTAGTCCTGCTTGGACTCGCCGCTTAGGAATGCAAATGCAATACAGAAAGATTGCTAGCAGGCGTCGACTCCGATCATATCGAGAAGAGGCATTCCATACTTGTTCGTCTTATATGTACAGTCCAATATTAGAGTATCTGGGTAGGCGTGGAGGTACGCTAGGGAGTCTGGATGAGCGAACAGGACAGCGGTTACCCGGTTATCTGGACCTAATTGCATTTGGTTCCAAAACCCTTCCCGATCTAGCTGGTTCGCAAGTGCGTTGATCGTATTCTGTCCTTCGCATGTGTCTCGCCTAGAGTTGGACAATATGGGCCCTGTGGGCCATGTGGGTCCTATACTTGCCACTATCGCCACCTAGAACGGCGACCATCCCCACATACCTCTATTACGAGAAATGTGGCAAGGATAGAACATTCCCTACTTATCTATATGCTTCTACAACTTGTCTGAATTAATCAGCAAGTCTACCATTCATTGACTATATAAGAACCCTTTTGTTTCCATACATAGACCCTCGAAGAGAGGACCAGAGTTAGCTACAATACAGACAGGTTAGGCATATGTGCCCTCCTTTTGCTCCTTCAACGGGAACATCAAATCCAAGTGTTATGAGCCCGGTGTGCGTTTAAGCCACTGGAAAACCTTCAAGACATTCTCGTCGATTATCTTTACATAGCAACATGGCTTCTCTCACTCTTTCCGGGAAACTGGACGAACCTTACCAGTACGAGGCCTTCTATTTCAGAGCCAAAGCAGAAGCCCCTCTACTTTGGAACAACATCGATCCGAAACTCCCTGAATACGAGGTCGTGCCCTTGCTAACCAAGCCACTGGTCTCGTCGGTTAGTAAGGTCAAGGCCGGCGCAACCGATATTTCCGACCTCGACGCCGTGGAATTCAACAAATATAGATTTCTAATCGAAATACGCAAGGAGAAGCTTGTTGAATATCAACTTCAGGATGCCCAAGCCCAGAAGTTCGACGCTTGGCTCTTTAACAAGCTTCTCCTTGCGTATTTCGATTAGAAATCTATATTTGTTGAATTCCACGGCGTCGAGGTCGGAAATATCGGTTGCGCCGGCCTTGACCTTACTAACCGACGGGACCAGTGGCTTGGTTAGCAAGGGCACGACCTCGTATTCAGGGAGTTTCGGATCGATGTTGTTCCAAAGTAGAGGGGCTTCTGCTTTGGCTCTGAAATAGAAGGCCTCGTACTGGTAAGGTTCGTCCAGTTTCCCGGAAAGAGTGAGAGAAGCCATGTTGCTATGTAAAGATAATCGACGAGAATGTCTTGAAGGTTTTCCAGTGGCTTAAACGCACACCGGGCTCATAACACTTGGATTTGATGTTCCCGTTGAAGGAGCAAAAGGAGGGCACATATGCCTAACCTGTCTGTATTGTAGCTAACTCTGGTCCTCTCTTCGAGGGTCTATGTATGGAAACAAAAGGGTTCTTATATAGTCAATGAATGGTAGACTTGCTGATTAATTCAGACAAGTTGTAGAAGCATATAGATAAGTAGGGAATGTTCTATCCTTGCCACATTTCTCGTAATAGAGGTATGTGGGGATGGTCGCCGTTCTAGGTGGCGATAGTGGCAAGTATAGGACCCACATGGCCCACAGGGCCCATATTGTCCAACTCTAGGCGAGACACATGCGAAGGACAGAATACGATCAACGCACTTGCGAACCAGCTAGATCGGGAAGGGTTTTGGAACCAAATGCAATTAGGTCCAGATAACCGGGTAACCGCTGTCCTGTTCGCTCATCCAGACTCCCTAGCGTACCTCCACGCCTACCCAGATACTCTAATATTGGACTGTACATATAAGACGAACAAGTATGGAATGCCTCTTCTCGATATGATCGGAGTCGACGCCTGCTAGCAATCTTTCTGTATTGCATTTGCATTCCTAAGCGGCGAGTCCAAGCAGGACTACTTCTGGGCCTTGGACCGATTAAAGTCGCTTTACGAGATCTGTAATACTCGGCTTCCCTCTGTTATCTTAACAGACCGCTGTATTGCGTATATGGATGCGGTTTCTACTTGCTTTCCATCTTCTGCACTACTTCTGTGTCTTTGGCACGCAAACAAAGCAGTCCTTCGTCATTGTCGGCCAACATTTACACGGCAACAGCAAGAACAACGACAGGAGCAACAGCAAGGGCTCGAAGCTTGGAACGAGTTCTACAACCATTGGCATTCGATTATGAAATCGCTAAACGAGGAGACATTCTACGAGCGTGTATCAAAGTTCGAAAATAAATATATTCCGGGCTATCTCGAAGAAGTCGGATACATAAAAGGGACTTGGCTCGATTTGCATAAAGAGAAGCTAGTAAAGGCTTGGGTTGATCGATACCTTCATTTCGATAATGTCATTACTTCAAGAGTTGAAGGCATTCATGGGATACTTAAAAGCCATCTCAAAAGATCTACATTAGATCTGTTCGAAGCCTGGAGAGCAATAAAGCAAGCGTTGCATAACCAACTTACGGAGTTGAGATCTAACCAAGCCAAACAGCAAATTCGGACGCCAATCGAACTCTCTGGGCCACTATATCATATAGTCCGTGGTTGGGTATCACACGAAGCTCTAAGGAAAGTCGAAGAACAGCGGAAGCTATTAACGAAGAACCCGCCTCCCTCGCCAAACTGTACAGGCTCTTTTTCTCAGTCTCAAGGGCTACCATGTGTCCATAAATTAGAACGGTTATTGGCACAGGACCAGGTTCTACAACTAGAAGACTTCCACCCACATTGGCACCTAGTCCGCAACGGCATTCCGCAGCTATTACTAGAGCCTCGTCAGCGTATCGATCCGGCAATTACGAATTCATTATTACCACGGTCGAGTGTTAGGCGAGAGCTTAGCGGGTTCGAAATCATTGAAACAGCAACAGCGTCGAGAACACCGCCTCTATGTAGCAAATGCCATATATTAGGACATACAAGGAACTCGAGAGAGTGTCCTTTAAGATATTCGGAACTCAGATCACAAGCAGTCCAGCCCGACCAGCGCGCCCAGCCTGTCCAGCCAGTTACGACTTCGACAGAGTCGCAGGCCCAGTCAAGCATCGGTTCAGAGCTAGCCTCGCAGACAAACACTATAAGAGAAGCATCAATCCAGACTCCTAAAGATGTTCCCCCTGCCGAAGATAGTCCTCTATCCCCTATCTTACCAGTTCGTACGCCATCGTCTTCCCCGAATCCAGGTTTATCTGCGCCTCTAAAACACGACAATCCAAGGGCTATCTACCAGAGATACGTTACGGCAAGAGATGCTTGGTATATAGCCCAGCCTACTGGGACCTATGTAAACAATCAGCGATACCGAAAAGCGATGGGTTTACCGCTACGATATGACAAGACAAGCTATGAATGGTGTCTTAATTATAAGCAAATGAACAAACGTTATACTACTTCAACAGGCTCAAGAGAGTGGACGAAAGAAGAGATGATGGCTTATTTAGACTGGGATAGGTCAGAAACTCATCGAATCGAGGCTCAGGTTGCTCAAGAATCGGTAAACGGTCCATCGAATAGGAGAGGTACAGGTGAGCTTTGGAGAAGGATAGAAAAAGATATGAAGGAACAAGAAGCTTTATACTCAAGACAAACAGAGGATTGTATAGTAGTAGCTAAATAGCCGCCTACTATTGTAATAGGGCAAGGCCGTCCGCCAGTGAAAGTGGGGACAAGGGCAAGGACAGGGGTTATTCTCTTCTTCTCTGGGTGCATAAATAGCAGCACATTCTGAATAGTAGGAGGAACACACACGGAAGCACTCGAACAAGCAACAGGCACGCACGGGAAAACAACGTCAACACACACGTTAACAAGCACGAACACACTCAAGCAACAGGCAAGCAAGCAGAAACATGGCCACGATCACCTCACATCAACCATCATCATAACAGCACAAAAATAATTCCCTTGCATTACACAACAGACATTCACTTCAGATAGTTATTCAGTACTTTATTTCATACACTGCAATCATGTAATACGAACAGAGCTGACAGAGCCCTTCATATCGTTGTTTTATCTCTTGAAGCGTTATTACCGGCTTTGCATAGCTCGGATTCACTGTTTATAACGAAGTCATCGCTTGGCAACGATTAGAGAGCAGACAGTCTACAGTAGTAATTTCTGGCTAATAATATGTGCTTTGACTACTTGACTACGAACATGAATTGCTTCAATTATCCAATTTCAACGCGACACGTGATAGTATCCGACAACGGAGGGGCTTTACCTATTTAGGTAATCACACGGGTACCCGTGTGCCTATGGGGCCCCCGTAGACTTCGGTATCTAACCGCATTGACCACCATGTGACTGCTGTCGAATATCACGTGTGTCCAATCGAGTAGTCAGAAGTGCATAAGATTGTATATGAATGAGGTGTGTTATTGTCTGTGTTCTATTCTCGCGAACTCCCGTTGCTCTGCCCTTTATAGATTCTTTCGGAAATGTCGGAGGTGCATTGTTCAGGTGTCTGACCCCGAACTTCGGAGTTACTTTCGGGAAGAGGGGTTCATTTCGCCGTCTGAACTTCAAGTGACACTAGTCTTCTCTAGTGCCATATTATTTCTGAACCTAGGAACCAGGTGTCCTATCTGACAACTGCACCCATATTTAAGTAATCTGAGTGAGCAATAGTTAACCCTATACTTAAACCTAACTACTATATCTATATACCTCGTACCTGAGCGTTCTATAGGATTAACTAGTTTTATAGTATAGATATCTATAAGAGAGCTCTCCTTAGCATCTGACATATCTTATCGACCTCGTCCTTACTAGATGTTAGGCTCGTTATAAGATAGAAGACATTACCTAGGATTCTCGACTGCACGCTAAAGTGCGAGTTTCTTATGTCGTCACTATAGCCACTTCCGCTGTCCCTAATTACTGTTGAATTGGATGCAAGGGGCGACCTCAGTTTCCTCTGCAAGTCTTGAGCGACTGAGGAGGTGTACCCTGCAAAGAGGAAAATCAGGTTAGTTTGGCAATAAAATCTATCCGCGCGAGGAAAGGAAGGAGGAATCTGGGCACGCAGGCAGGAAGTTCGGCTCACCTGGGCTGTCGTGATCGCACAGCACGATTGATAGAACAGTGCCGAGTGCCCAGACGCTCTCAACGGATGCCGCGTTGGACAACGCGGTGAGTAGATTTTGCGGCCAGATGGACCAGACCGTGACCCTGGGCGCAGCATCAACGGTAGCCACACCCGGTCCCGCATCAACCCAAGACTCCTTGAATTGGTCCCACGCGCCGTCGCGCTCCATCTCCATCATCTTCGTGACCGACATGCGCGCCACGTGGCAGCCGACCGGGTGGGCGGTGTAGCTGTGGCCATGCAGCAGAGCCTGCTCTTTGGCGGGGCTAGAACTGAACGCGTCGAAGATATCCTCGCTCGCGAGCGTCATGGAGAGGGGGAGGAGCCCGCCGGTCAGGAGCTTGGCGTTGGCGACGATGTCTGGCCGGGACGCCTGGGGGAAGAAAGTCGAGGGGCTGAAATGGTAAAAGCGGTAGAGACCAGTGAAGACCTCGTCGAAAATGATAGGCAGGCCAGTCCACGACTTTGATGAGGATGGCCCGGGGATAGGAAGGGATGGCTCAATCAGCTCTGGATTTTGACGGACTGTCTTGATGAGCATGTGCTGGAAAAGGGGGTCGCTGTTTTTATGGTAAGTTAGGGTTTCTTTTTTTTCCCTTCGCAAAAATGCTGAGTTTAAAAACGGGAAATAGGGATAGAAGATTCTTACACAAACAACATGCCGCCTGCTCCGAGACAAGTGGCTCTAATATCAGCGCGCCAAACTTCCGACCTTGCTTCTTGACGAGATTTTCCAGAGTTTGCTGAATGAAATACGCGTACAGACGCCCCGAAGCCCGAGTGTTCTCGATGCTCAATATTGAATATGTCAGCCAGGGACGAAAATGACTCTCGCTCGTTACCATGAGCAGCGTGCGCCAGCTGGTCCGGGAACACGACCGTCCAAGACCCCCGCACCATCTTGACTTGCGGAAAGTCGAACCAGTATCCCCTCCCACGATACCACTCCACCTTCTGGTTGAAAGTGGACGGCTCCGAGCAGTCCATGGTACCAATGGTATCGCCGTGATAACTACCCTTTAGCCGAGGATCTCCACCTCGTCGGTGCCGGCGTTCCACCGGGTAGCGTTGGCAGGAGGCACGAAGCGCCATCTTAACGGCGACCTCCATGGCTGTGCTCCCGTTATCTGAGTAGAAGACTCTCACCAGACGCTCGTTGGCCGTGTGCTGCGCACCAGCCCTGCCAGCTCGATTGCCGGCTTGTGCGCCCCCAGCGCGAACATTACATGCCCGTACCTGCCTGCGGCGTACGCTGCGCCTAGAGCCCAGTTCTGGGTTTCCATGCCCAAGCCCTTGGGTCCACCACGATGCGGAGCCGTCGTACACGGGTCCGAGTACCGATGACGACGAGGAGTCGGCTTTTACAGCTGGCTGCTGGAAAACCTGGAAGTGATCACCCCTGGCCGAGTCATGACAGTCAGGGACTCAGGCTTCAGTCCGTTGTGTTGGTAAAGGGGTACCAGATCGACTTGTGCGCTGTCGAAGCCATCGTC